GCCTAAAGTCTTTGGTCTACATGTACACCAAAGGATTATCATCACGGTGCCGCCATTTGCGATGTGTTTTCTGAGCTATACGTAACTTCCCGTGCGTCCCGATCGATCGAGAGAGTTGAAGTTAATCGAGAGAACAAGAAAGTCAAGAAAGTACGGAGTTGTAGTCTGGATGCTTCTCTTCAAAGATACCACAAGTACCGAGTACGGATAACACCGTGCGCGGAATTTCCACAAGTGTGATGGTCTTGTTATATTTGATTAAAATAAATCAATACCATTTCTTGCCACGAGCTTAACTCTTATCATCTTGGGGGTCTCGATCCCCGCGATATTCCAATGGTGGGTCAAGGATTGGGTTGACAGGTCCCCTTTGAGGACGGAGTACCGAAGACCTCCGGTTTCAATTATCGATCTAGACTTTTGGCTTGGATTTAGTGCATAATACTAACAATGCTGACAGATTGTGCATTGTCAACCATTCAACCATTGTTAATTGCAGAATTGATCAAAAGTACTTGATGTGAATGACTTGTATGGAGTAGTCATGGTCTGGGCAGTACAAACGTTGCAACTATCCCATACACGGAGTACAAAGAAGCCAGCCTCGGGGATACCGTACCTAATTTCTATCACCTTCTTTGTCTTTCACGCTCTTAGTCTAACTATTAGTCTAAGTGGAGACAACTTGAAATTTCATCATCATGTTCTCCGGTTCTCACATTCTACTCCAGTTGACCCGAGGCTGTATTGCAACTTGAAATTCCCATTTCTTAGATCCAGTCTTTGATTCAAATAATGCGATGGAGTAGTACTTAGTGTACCACATTTTTGAACAAATCCAGCTTTGGTTCGGGGGACTCAATCTATACATCCGCGAACCAATCACTAACGGGGATCGCCTTGAACCTCCCCTAGTCTGGATTGAAGCCCCAGTTTTTGCCCCTCTGGAGCCGCCAGGGGAAGAGACGGAAGACACCAGTTAAAGCCATGGAAAAGGAGATGTCAATCCTAGATCCACCATTTAAAACGGAGTATACGGCTAGTTTTTCCTTGGAATTTAGGAATGTATTTTTTGGGATTTTCTGCTCGTTTCATCTCCCCGACCAACAGGAATCATCCCTACCCCTGTTCCTTTTCCCACTTGTGCCACTTGTGGCAACGCAAGCCCCATCGGAATGCAGCATCCGATGCCGCGGTGACGGGTACAAAAATTCTGCTGGAGCCAGTTACTCGTCATGGAACTACACTTCCTTGCAATGATTTTCACACTATTGATTCGGTTCCTGGTCATGTGAGGTGGAAGTTCTTTGTCTCCGGAGAACTTGATCCACACCCTTACCTGAATCTGAATCTTTGCCACAAGAGTAATGTGGATTTAGTATCCCTACTTCCCCGCTGTTATAGTACAAGTTTAGCTGGTCTTGAAACTTTCGTTTCATTTGACGTTTTTTATTTTTCGGATCTCATGAATTGTGCATCTCAGGGGCGTGGTTCGTTAGTGGGCCCCCCCCTTTTGTGCCGTCTGACTTAAACGCAGATCCGTACTTTGTCAAAAGTTGACACGTACTTTAGACACTAGTCGTACTTTGGAAATTTTTCCTTTCCGTGCGGGGGGCTAGCTGACAGGATTCTGGACCGGCGGCAAAATTAGGCTCGTTGATGTATCCAAAGTGTTCAGTGGAGGCATGGTTGCACCTAAATTGTTTGCTTGGCCCCCGGGGCTGAGTATTACAGGTGTACAGAGCACTATTGACTACTTCTGGCTTACAAAAATACTAGTTAATGCATTTGTTTGATCTGGGTTGAACATAGCCGACACGGCACAATGTACACTTTGTACGGAGTATATGCGATGGAATTCGATCTTCCCGATCTCAAAGTTCTATTGCCCGATCTGGTCCTCATACGAAGTAGATAGAGCGCAAATGACTTTTCCACGTACTTTGGTCTATTCATTGACAGCTGCTAGTGGTTTGCAATGCTAGTATTTCTGAATTTCTTTTTCTGACTGCATAAAGCATACGAGGTACTTCGTACAAAGTAAACAATGCGATTATACGCCCTGCTCGGCAATCGGCACTTTGGACCAAATCTGAATATACCTTCAAGTTTGACTTAAATTTGACTTGAATCAAGCTATAAACTAAAAGATCTATGGATAAAACTGATGGTCACAGCGTCATTCAACTGTTTACTATGCTCATATGCAATCTCCACTAGTTTGAGCTTATCAGCACCGCCAGTTTTATAAAGATCGGCCTAAATATGCAACTTTCTGTTTCTCATGTATCAACAAAAGTACATGTCAAACCCCCGTGTATCGTACTTTTGCCCTTCCCCCGTTTGATCGGCTCAAAAAACCTGCTCCAGATGTGACAATCAATTGCTTGAACCAAGACTTCTGGCCAACCATGGTAGAAACAGGGGGTATCCATAGATTTTCGTGTCTTACTATATCGGGGCTCTCTTGCTATAATGAGTATCATTGGAATTCCAAATCAGTACGGAGTACACTTCCTGATACATTGAATCCCAGTGTCACTCCATTATCTGCTGCATGCCATAGTACCTTCACAATTCTAACTTCGGTTGGAGTTTTTTGCATCAGATGCATGTCGATTCCAAGGTTTCTTGAGTATCTGAGATTGCACTCTAGATCTCGATGAATTTTTGCATCCTCCATAAACCTACACTTGGACCAGCGATGGACTACTCGGGTTTTGTAACTCCGAGCCAGAACCCATAACTAGATATATTGATCGTCTGCCTTGCTGATCAGGCCAGTATCCAGGGCTCCGGTAACAGTGCCGAGTGGTACTTCCCTCTACTAGTAGCACGGGTAGGTACATAAGTGCAAGGTATCTCAACATCTGAAGTCATCAGTGACCCACGTAAAATTGACCCGGGAGATCTGTCTCGACCAGTCTGTAATCCTTCAAGTTGTTCAAAAAGGGCTGGAAATGCACAAAGCGGTAGGGAGTCCATTGCATTGCGTATACTTCGAAAATATCCCGTTGAACATCCCAGTACTCCCTACTCCGTGCTCCATACTGATCTGGAAATTGGGGCAAACAGGGGTAATCCTTGTATAGTATGACTAAATTGTAAGGCTGCCATGCTCCCTATTCCGCCGATCAAAATTTCGTCGCACAGTTGACCATTTTCGAACAAAATGTTAGCAACAAACATCATTACTCCAGGGCTCTGGCCAATGAGACTCCGTTATGAAATTAATTTGGTGCCAAGGTTTGCAGGTACGGGTCAATTGGCTTTCCAGACACTCATCGCCTGGGGATCATTGGAGATCGGGTTTAAATGTTCAAGGGTAAGGGTACTCCCATCGGGCATCGGGGAGTGTAGTTCAGCTCCCCTACTAGGTATTGTGCCTTGTTTTCAATCTCTGTACATCCATTTTTGACTTTGAACCTGTGATTTCCCGACTGCCCAGAAATGAAAAAGTTAATTTCATCAGACTTTATTCATGCTACACACGTACGATCTCGTGGGAGCCTCATTCTTCCTATTGAGGACGAAAAAAAGCAATAAGAAATAAATCGGAAAAGGGCCTTACCCGAGCTCCGAGTCACACATCAACGACTATTCCTCACAAATCATGGATATTTTTTACTACAGGGCTATAGGTGATCTGTGCATAAGCGTTGGGCTACTCCAGGCTGATAATGCAAGTGGACTGTTGATAATTGAATCCGGGGCGAGTCATTGGTTCTGCGGGTCCTCAATAGGTCGATCCGCCAGCCACGTCGGCTTCATGCAGCTAGTACAAGGCTAGTCTCCCCATTCAAGGCTGAGAATATCGAATCCCTGTCTATATTCCAAATCAATATTACAGGGATTAAGCGGGATTGGTGGCAAGGTTAAGAGACGGTGAGTCCGATTTCTGTGTTGGCCCGAATAGAGGATGGACACATGGACTACATACTGCCATACTGCCCGGGTTTGGTGTTTGCTTTTGCACGTGTGGGAGAATATAGATGCCTGTCGAGCCGTGTCTCCTGTAAGGTATTGGAGTTGATTGAGGTCAAACTTCAAGTTCCAAGTTTTGGGAAGAGATATTTTTCAAGTTAGCGTCCTCCTGGATCCGAGTCTTGCTGTTTTCATGACATCCCTGCAAACCTTGGAAGTGTAGACTGGAATGATTGGTCAAATCTTGAACAGATGCATCTCCGAGTCTGAGACTGTTCCCCTATACAGAGTAGATCTGTCTTTCAATTTTTGCCCACCATATTTCAAGTTCCAAGCTTCAACCTTGGAATTTGTAAGGTTCAGAATTCGAGTCATATTATGTAGCAACTTGAACATGGATTAAGGTCCCAATTCCATCTTCTCTTAAACATGAAGCTCATATGGGCAGTGGTACCTACTAGTAGTACTAGTAAGTATACTATCTGGATTGTTCAAGTCCACCGTGACGGGTTCAACTTGAAGTTGAAGTTATGGACTGCCAGCCTGTTCTCAGATATGTATATGCTACCAGCGGATGTTCAAGTTCAGGTTTGGGTTGCAGATTTCAAGTTGTGGTCCATGTAGTACCTGCTGGGCCAGCAGATCTCTGTAAAAGCCCTAAGGATGAACATAAGCCATCTGAATACCCAGTCGGTATCTCAATACTTGGAATCATCGACTCAAGATGCAAACCCATTGGATAAGGACGATGGCACTCCACTATCGAGCTCCTTATCGATCTCCTTATCGAGCCTTATCTATACGTCATCGATAAAGCTCAATACTGCCGTCATTTCAACTCCGCCTCCGCCTTTTTATAGCGATAAGGCCCGATAACGATAATGCCGGCAATTGAACTCCGCCTCCGCACTTTTTTCCCCACTGCGGCCTTCCAGGTAGAAGCTCTTGTTTACCTTCTCACCTTGCATCTTCGTTCATGGAACACAACCCACACTGAATCCTTTCGCGTTAACGCGTTTTTCCTTTCGTTCACAAGCTTCATTTATCAAAAAACCGCAATTTCCATCAACCTCATCATGTCTGCCATCCTGTCTGGTATCCACTTGGGTCTTTCTTTCCCTGACGCCATATGCGCTGTATTGGAAGCGATCGCGAATCCCTCATCGGACGACCCCATCCACGAATGTGATGCGCTCCTCAAGAGAAAGCTTTTCCGGGACCCTGACTTTGTCCTTGAACGCGCTGAATCCCACATGCGCAGTGTCTATCCATACAAGGATGTGAAGATGTGCTGGCGCCGACTTTTCACGGATGCATCGATTGTGAAGGCAGTCTTCATGATCATTCAACATTGCCATCTGATTGACTGTGAGCCATGGGCAATGCACTATCATGACAGACTGGACAAGCTCATCTCCCATATCAAGGAAAGGCGGGACAAGAAATTGGAATTCGACCCTGATGTCCCGGGATACAACTGGCTTGTGAAGGATGTGATTCATACTTTGGATTTTGCCCTGATCATGACAGGCATACCTCGCCGTCAGCGAGAGGTGCACGGGCTGTTTGACCAGATTCAGAGGGCCATTGAGGAGAAAGAGCCAAGCACTGAGGGTTCGGATGAGTTACTGTGGCCCGGACAGCCAAACCTGGAACTACCTATGTTCTCACAGGAATCTGTCAACCGTCCTGAAGTCAAAAACCCGGTTCTGCGTGTTAGAAATCCTTCTCTTGACTGGCTTGTGAATCATCTGACAAATGTTCGCACTCCCTTCGTTGTTGAGGGTGAATGTGAGCATTGGCCAGCTCGATCGGGGGAGAACTCTTGGGCGTCCAGCAAGTTTTGGTGGAAGCAAACTCTGAAGGGTCGTCGCCTCATTCCCGTAGAGCTCGGGAAGTCATACACAGCTGAGGGATGGGGCCAAAAGATCACAGAGTTTGGGAACTTTGCAAGGTCGTACCTGTGGAATGAGGAAGAATTGCCCTCTTATCAGTCAAGCCAGGAAGATCCAGGTGACTGTTCGCCAAGTTTGTTTGGTCATAGACCGATGACTGGTTGGCAGCCCGACCTTGGCAAAGCCGGAGTTGCCTACCTCGCCCAGCATGACCTGCTCACTCAGATCCCGGCTCTGAGGAAAGACATTTGCATTCCCGACATGTGCCACGCCCCCACGCTCGGACCGGAGCCGGGAACCCCGGTCTATGAGAAAGCAAAGCGTGAGCGTGCAGAGGAACAAGCGCGTCAATCAGCTGGCGCTGAGGTCGAACCCAACCCTGCCGACCTGACCGTGGAGGCCACTGAGGAGCCGGGCTATGACTCTGACTTCACTCCAGGGAACCCAAGTGAGCCAATTATCAACACTTGGATTGGCCCTGAGTGGACTGTCACGCCTTTGCACCACGACCCATACCACAACGCTTTCTGTCAGGTTGTCGGTTCCAAGTACATCCGCCTTTACTCACCTCACACCCCTGCCGATAGGATTCATCCCCGCGGCCTTGAGCTGTTCGAAGAAGCTCTAGATGAGGACCCAGAGCGAAGCCCCCGTCGGATCGACATGTCGAATACCTCTTTGGTCAATATCGAGGACATCGAGCTTTCTCCAGCTGAGGCGGAGGAATGGGAACACCTCTGGCCTGGTTTCCAGGACCTTGAGTATCTTGACACTGTTCTCGAGGAGGGTGACTGCTTGTACATCCCGATTGGCTGGTGGCACTATGTGCGTGCGCTCCGCGCTGGTGTTAGCGTCAGTTTCTGGTGGAAAAAGGAACCTTGGATGGAATACTCTGATGATTAATATGGTCGTCCAATCGTTTGAAGCCCAATGATTTAACGGGTCCCATTTTATGAAGATATGATTCGCATATGGATGGAGTTTCAAGTTTTGTTCCGGACGGCATTACAGAGATTTACTATGTTGACGGGTCTTTTGTCCTCCCTCTCTACTGGAGGCACAGTGCGTGGAAGGCATTTACGAGGAGTTCGATCGGTGGTTTGATACCCCTGTTGATTAATTCTTTTTTTTTTTACCAGACCCAAGAAAATATTTTGAAAATCCAAAAAAAGATCAAAATTTCTTAAACACTACTCATTCAGTTCATATCTAACTCCATCCTTCAACTAATCTACACAACGTCGCCTCTCCACCCACATTACCAGGGAACACAACAAAAGGCACGCCGCGATGACGAGACGTAGACTCATCACATCTCCATAAGGGGACACCAGGAGAAGCCTGGCCAACAATCAACGCACGCTTAATATTCAACCCTTTTGTAGCAGCATCGGACGAGGTAATACCACCCTGGAAGACATGGATAAGTATACTAGTACGTGCATGGCAGATCACTTAATAATCAGGAGCTGGCAACAACCCGTGGACATACCTTAGCAATGACATATCTAGGTCGAACCTCAATTCTCTGCAAAACGCTAACCAGCGCCTCAGCAACAACAGACCCAATCTTCAACGAGGAAAGCCCATCCGCCCCTGTAATCAATTTCCGACTAGTCATAACCAACGTATCCTTTCCAGCCGCGAGATATGTTTCCGTTTCGTGAACCACACGCGCCACTGTCTCCGCAGCTGTCTCTGGAGAGGCGACGAGGTCTTCGACCTTGATCTCGATTATAGCGAGCTGACCTGTTGTTCCACGGCGATCTGTTAGAACCTTAAGTTGAGCCGTTGTTTTCGGTACGTAAGAGCCTGCGACGATGAGTCCACCTGTTTGTCGAGGTGAAGGAAGATTTAGTTGTGTTGCGGTTATGGGGGCTTTGGAGCGGATGGCTAGTCTTGTTGAGACGAAGGCTGCACCTGTTCGATAGAGGAAGTGTTTCCCCTTAATCTCGGCTGTAGACCGTGACAGTAGATATTAGACTCCGTTTCAAGGAAGGTTAAGGGGATGATATACCAAGTAGTAACCCAGCGACGAAGACATGCATATCTGATTCCGCCGCTGCATTGACAATAATGACTCCACCGGCTGGTGCAGCAAGTAACTTCTCACATACAGTATCAGGACCACCTTCTCTGATCTCATTAATAGTCACAGAATGTAATTGCGAATCGGAGAATCGACCCGGTGCTTTTTCTTTAATGTAATCCCGTAGATTCGAGGCCTTGTATCCGAATGTTGCATCTTTCGCAAACTGCGTTTCTCCAGCTGGAACAAGTTGATCACCCTCTGCAACATAGTGCACATCGTTAATGGTGAACCTTCCACCCTGGAAGAAGAATGGTGCGAGAACGAGAGCATCTGCAGGATCGAAGACTTTCTGTGCGACATCTGGCTCTAAGGGGAAATGTCCACGGAGAGTACTGTCACTTCGGAGTACGATGTCCACTTTATTTCCTGTGGACTTTGCTGCGGCGGAAACGTTGGTGCATATAGTTTCGATGAGAGTCTCGGCTTCTGCGGGTGGGAGGGCACGCGAGTTGGTTAAGATGAAGAAGCCGGCTGAATTGGTTTTGAATTCTGTTACTAGAGTTGGGATATCCCATACGGCGAGGACGTTGATGTCGTGGCAGGTTTGCGTGCCTGTTGGGTCATCGTCTAGGACCACAAGGCGATTGATGGAGGAGGTTGCGAGAATCTGGGCAATTTGGTCTTGCGTGTCTATAGGGTACTCGGCAGGTAGTTGGGCGAGGGTGGTCTCGCGAGGAAGCGATGGGTATTGCTGTGAATGCGACATTGGTCCGTAAGGTATTATTGTAGAAATCTATAATTCAATTCAGCCAGAAGTGATATCTGGAATCAATTGACAGTGGGGTAATTGTGTTGTTTATAGCTATGGGTTATCGCGGTTATCGGTGCGCGGTGCGCGGATGCGGGGAAATTCTATTGTGCGGAGAGAAGTCCGATCATGATGCAAATAGATTTCATTCCTGGAGATCAAGGACTATCAAATACTAGACAATATGACCAACTCACTAAACCACCTTAAAACGCCACAATGAAGTGCAAAGACTCAGATGCAATGACCACGAACGTGAATGCAATGACAGGAAAAAAGGGATATCCATGCATAGGGCTGATCATGTATTCCACCGAAGTCCAGCTCGCCACCTTAAAACAAAACAAAAATAAAGCCCAATTCCTCCCTCCAATGCCTTGAAAACGCATAAATGTTGTAAGATGTCAGGTCGTAGACGGCGTGAGTGAAAGTAAAAAAAAAAGTGTCGATGAACGGGGTATTAGCCTACAACGCTGCGGAAGCTCAATGCCTCCAAGAATCCACCAAGGTCATCCTTGGCTACTTCAACCACACAGTGCTCGAAGCTGTCAATACGGACGCGGGCATTGGTCTCCTGGACCACTTCTTGGAATGCAATGCCAAAGCGATTGCGCAACAGATGCTTTTTACTGGGATGACCTCCCTCGTCTTCGGACTCGGACTCGGACTCAGATGATGATTCAGATTCTTCAGATTCATCTTCATCTTCTTCATCGTCTCGCTCAGCACGTTCTGCGGCACGCTTGGCCCGCTTTTCCTCTCGCTCTTTTTGTTTCTTATCTTTGACTTCCTTCTTCTTGCGGCGCTCTTCTTGGCGCTTGGACATAGCTGCGAAGTCGATCACACCACCGCCACCTCCTGTACCTACTACCACGTACAGGTCCCGGTCTTCGTCAAGACCTGCGAGCACAAGGGGTGTACCGGCAGCTCGCTTACGTCCAATCTTCACCGAGTCTCCCTTCTCACGTTCCTGTACTCGAATAGCTTCTGCAACCCATAGGGCTAATTTGGTCAAAGCTCCTGGATTGGTGAAAAGTTTCACGTCAGGCCCATCTTTCACAACTGCAATACGGAAGGCCCGAAGATGTCGAATCTGATGCTTCGAAAGCAACGAGGTTCCAGTGCGAAGGATGGCCCGATGAAGGTGTTGAGCCAAGGGCAAAGCTTCCATCAGTAGAGTTGGTGATTCAGAAGTGAGTGAGAGTGCATCATATGCACTCCAGAAACGGGGAAGAAGACTAGCCAAATCTGACTCTCCAGTGACACCTCCATTTTCGGTATCATCGGTCGATCCTGGTGCTCGTTGGACACGCTTAACATCCCAGGACGGTGAGGCCTCCTGAGGACCCACTTCCAGCATAGCACCAAGGATAACACCAACATCCGTGGCTGAAAGACATGCTTTCCATCCCCAGCAGCGAACAAATCCCCAGCCCTCCCGGGAGCTGGAGTGCCCAGATGGCTCCGGAGGAACCAAGCCCTCAAGACCATACAGAGGTGCATACTTGAGTAATCGTCCCCGGAGTACTCGCTTCAATTCCATATCCATATGTGTGTAGTACTGGTGGCACTGCGTAAGACTGATACCCATCTTGGCGAGGAGTTTATGGAGTCGTTTGCGGCCATTCTCGGTCCAGACATGAAGCCTCGGAGCTAGATAGGGGCTGTGTAGCATGCTCTCATAGAGCGACCAATGGCGAACTAGCAAGAAACGTGGCTCGGGGGAGAGGCGGATTGACGTGTCTGTTGGAGATCTAGCAGTGGTTGGAATGACACCATTGATTTCTCCTCTAATGTCTCGGTCTCGTTCCATAGGGTCAGGCGGGTTGAGACGGTGAACTTCGTCCCGAAAGATCTGGCGAATGTGCTCTCCACGTTGTCCTCCCCATCCAGCGGAGCCTCCTGACTCCAGTGTATTTGAAATTCCCACGCCGGTCATAGATCGACCACTGAGCTCTAGACTGGAAACGCCAACAATGGCAAGCCAAAGGAGATCATTGTCGTCTCGACCAAGCTCGGACGCTAAAGAGTAAACGAGTGATGAAATTGGTTCCGAGTATGATGTACCGGAAGCATAGTAGGTCTGCAACACTGCTTCATGTTTCCTCTTGAGTCGAATTAGGCGTCGTTTTAGAGACCGTCCCGAGGGTTGTTTTGTCTCCGCAGGAGAAGGCGAGTCGCTAGTGGGAGTGGCAGAACGTGACGAGTTGGAAGAATTGATCCCTGCTCTCCTTTGTCGACTTGGAGATGTGACGAATGAAGAGCCCTGTCAAAGAAAGTTAGATCCTAGTCACAAGAATTTACTTCATAGAGCACTACTTACTGAATTGCTTCGTTTCCGCTGTCGGGGAGGTCCATCATCCTCATCTGAATCATCCTCGTCTTCGCGACCGGACCATGATTTGCGCTTTTTAGAACCAGGCTCGGTCTCATCACCATCCATATCTCCATTCAACTCGTCGTCACTGTCATCGTCTTCATCAACTTCAGGCATGTCTAGCAACGCGTAATAGGCCTCTCGCTCATTAATGAGCTCCTCTTCGATGTCACCATCGTCAAACACCACAATGCCGCCGTTTTTGGAAGAATAAGCCGCAGTGATACATCCCTTGTCTACACCTCGTCCACGCCTTCGCGCATTCGCATCGATTTCCACCATGGCTGAACCGCCGCCCGCCTGTCCGCCAAAGACATTGCCCAAATTCCATGGTCGGCGCGCGTCGAAAACCCAAATCTCGACCCCGCCCATATCCTCCACCTCGTCCTCGGGGTTGCTGAGCGCGAGGATCTCGGCCAGATCAACCAGTCCACCAACACCTAGACAGACAACTACACCTCCGCTGCCTCCATTGGTAGTCTGCATGGGCTGGACCAATTCCTGGCCGGCGCGCGCGAGGTCGCCATAACCAGCGACGGGTTGAATTTTATGAGGGATGTAGTCGCGTTTTAACAATGCGGTCAGAATTCGACAGGCACATAACGCGTCTGGCTCGAGCGCCACGAGAATTAGGACTGGTGGGGAGAGGGGGTGGTGGGATCGGAGAAGTTGGAGGTATAGTTGCGAGATGAGCTGGCGCGGAAGATACATGGCCAGCTAAGGAGGAGGGTATGAGATAAACTTGAGCATGAAGAATTGTAAGAATATTGGATCGTCAAGAAGAGTAGAGGTATTAATTGTGTCGAGTAGTGTGGTAGTAAAGTTGACTTGATGTTCCCAGGTGAACATCAATTTCCCGGTTTGAGAAAGCGCGACGCGTCGAGTGCACGTGCCAGATTCCATCCGTCGCCGAGACAAAAAGTTTGGATTGTTCGTTTAATTAGACCCGAAACCCCTGCTTCTACAACAATTAATACTTATAACACTTGTTAAAAACATTATATTATTACATATTTCATGCTAAATTCAAGGGGTCAAATCATTGATGCTCATACTAGTGAAATATGAATCTCCCCAACATCCATTGAATCTTAAGTATTCTGAAAATATCAATTTAAGATGTGTTTGATCCATTGATTTCTCTTTAAACCACTGGCATGAAAGTAGAGTAATGATTTTAATCACACAAATATGAGACAGAGAACCTTGGAAGTGAGCAGTAAACCACTTCTTCGCAGTCGAAATTAGCATGGGAGAAAATAATACAAACTTCAATATTGCTACCTCGATGGTGATCTCAGGGTATTAATGTTGTCAGGAAAAAAACAGTATCTGTTATAGTCTAAAACAATTAGCTTCTCCTTCAAATATTGCATTCCACCATGTAGTATCCCTCAGCAAAATCCATGTTTGACTCACCTGAGCGGGAGCTGTATATGTTGTTGTATAAACAGAAGCTGGCGTAATATGTAGACAACTACATGCCGCGGAGATCTCCCCCCGAAGTGAAGCGCTGTAAAGCAGCTGGGGTGGCTCGAGCTTCAATATTGTTGGCCGGCTCATTCCGTCTTTCCTTCAGCATCTTAATCATCTTTTCAGGGCCATTGGTGGTAAACAGAATATCGGTATATGTATACGTACTGCCTCGATATGTTAGCAGAGTTCTCGTATCAATTCCAGATATCAGGTCTTCTTACACTGGTTGTGGTACGACAGTGGGCTCAACTGTGGTGACACTGGGAATATGGAGGTAAGAGCTGCAAAATGCAGTTGCGGGTCCACCAAGTGCCCCTAATAAATTAATCACTTCAACATAGATATCGCATTGAAGACTACGTTCTTCAATGACGTGGTCTGCACGACCTTCTGGCCATAGTCGCCAGCCGTCCGGAAGACAAGTGATGGCTAACGGACCAGTTGCAATTGCGATAAAATAAAGTAGGAACCTTTTGGTTAAAAACATGTTTAATATCGGGGACTGATGTACGTGTGTTGTCTCTCATAGAAATATCGGGAATATTAGAGAATTGAACTGACAACCTCCGAACATTTGAAGTGACATAAATCACATTTTAATCACCCGAATAAACACATCAAAGATCTATGAGCTCACCAGAAACCACTGATCTTGGATCTTTGGTCCAACAAAGCCAGCAAGATTGGATTAATACGAGATCCGATCGATACGAGAACCTTGTTTCAAGATCATTGTGCCGCGGCTCTACATGTTTTATGGTCTAGACTCTAGATTATAATACCATTTTTAGATTGGCATTGGGGACGAACCAAAGCTCAGGACTCGGAGTATTGCTTCGAATTGAAAATCATCGCTCAAGGAACTTGAAACATTGAATTGGGGGGAGGGGGAAAGCGTGATAAAGGTCACGGCTTATAGATATGCACATGTGTGGGGGAGAGCCCTGGAGATTGATCACTTCTAGATAGTATTTGTATGGATATCTGGATAACCTTAACAGTATCCGTGGATCTATAGATCGTTGATAACCTTGGAACCTTAGCTAATGATGACATGCTCAGGTTGTTCAACTTTCCGCATGCGGAAATTTGTACATAATCAGTATATCTATGCAAGTAGTATCATATGTTTGTTCAAATGTTACTGGTTAAAAGGTAAGTATACCATAGGGAAATTATTTAGGACCCTTCCAGACTCCAGTAGGAATATAGGATAATTTTTCCGTAATGGTGTTCGGTTAGTATCTGAAGCTTAGGATTAAATTTCCTAGCTAATCATTAATGAATCCATACCTGAGTGATCTGGTGATGGATTTAAGTTTTTGACCTTCGAATGTTCTCCAGGGCTATGACTAGCGTTTTCAAATGTTGATGACGATTCGGCAAGTCCGGGAAACCTCAAGGCCTGGCTATGTGCTGCTTGGGCTAATTGACAGTAGCCGTCTTGACTGGGAACTATGATTTAATCCGCTCGACCTGGGCTCCAGGGCTCTTCGCTATATTATGTGGAGAGGAGTTTATGCCCAGGTGTAGGTTGATCTCTCAGCGTAAATTCAGTTTCAACTCTACGAGAAAAACATACCGTGACTCCTTCAAGTTGCAAAATGCACTTCACACTACTACTGCAAAAACAACCCATGCGACCTATATACTACACAGGTGTCTATATTACATTTTTATGCTGTCTGCTACTCACATTTTGCTCTCCACGCACTCTGCCGGCTACAATTGGACTACGGAATGATTCCATGAATTCAACACTGGGCTTCGAAAAAATATTCTACATAAGTTTACCGCAGTGTGTCCCCAAAACATGTCTTTTCTTCGCTTTTCTTGACTCACCCTCAATGGGTCTTTTTAGCGGATCTATTTGTGCTAATAAACTCGCGTATTAGTCGCACGGACCGGCAAGATGCCATGACTTTGATTGCAGCTGCGAGTGGCTTATCCTTGACGCCAGAGCATGGTGTAAGAGGAATTGACCCAGAGTGCTATCTCTACTGTTAAAATTACTGATCTAGTTGGTACAAGCTTTTAGATTTATGGAAGCCTGATACATGAAAAGGCAAGGCCTTATGGAAGCCATTATCTCAGAAATGAACAATTAGGTTGCTGGCGGGCACATGCAAACATTTGGAGGAAGATCATATCAGAGAATATAGAGACAGCCTTGATTCTCGAAGACGATGTTGATTGGGATATCAATATTCGCCACGTGTTTGCGGAGCTTAGCCATCAAATGAGCCTCCAGAAAGATTTCAGACAACTGACTCCGCGAGCGGAACCGAGGCCAGCTCCATATGGTATGCTTAAATTCATGAGATTTCTGATAGATGTGCTACTACTAACAAAGAACCTTCAACCCGAAGGCTCTGGTTGGGATGTTCTTTACGTGGGCAGCAGCTCAAATATCCCTAACCTATACAACCTACCACCTTGCTATATTTACCAGGACCCAAACGCGCCAGAATTCGACAAACTCGGACGATCGTACAAGCTCGAACTAGAGGTATGGGGTGTCAACACCAGCGAGCAGACAAATTCGCGTGTTGTGGCCCCATCATGGTATCCTGTGGGAGCGCTGGGATATGCTGTGACTAGAAGTGCCGCCCAAACCCTACTTTACAATCTTGGCGGTTACCAGGGTCTTCAATCACCAGTAGATCTTGCCATGATTAGTATGATACAACGAGGCATTCTGGATGCATACACTGTTATACCACCGCTGATCACTCCATTTTGGGTGGGAGGAGCCAGAGATAGCGATATCAACGAGAAGAAATATACGGAAGAAAGATGTGAAAAAAGAGTTCTGGGGTCGGAAAACCTGAAGAACAGTGCAAGATTAGCCCTTGCGGGCTTGATCAAACACTGAAATCTACCTGGCCAATTGATAAAGGCAAACTCCCCAGAAGCAGTACTGTGTAGCGCGCTATTACCACTACAATTCTATGCTTAGCTTTAAACATATCACTCAGGGCAATAGAAAAGTGGTCATCAAAATTTGGAATCATCTAGAACATTAATGAATCTATACACTCTATACTCTAATCATATAACGTCTGGGCATAATCTCATCATTGCATCTAGGTTGATCAAAACCTCCGAGTCGCTAAGCCAACATTATAATCCCAATGATCGGAAGGATTTTGTAATGTAGACAACCAAAGGTGGAATGTGTTCCAGGGATACACAAACCAATTCTTGTCTGTATTTTTGTCGATAAAGTACTGCAAATAGGTTAGTATCATACTTTCACAGTGAAATGGTAGTTCATAGGGAGCTTACACTGCCACAGAGAGTACTGTGCACTGTTCTTCCAATGGCATCATGGAGTTTTACATCGTATTCCCGCTCGCTACTGGCCTTAACCTCCACCGAAGAGGCCTTTTGGAGCATAATTGGCTCCATGATGCGGAGTACCATATCCACTTGACTGTTGTAAAGTTAGCGCATTACTCTCTTGAGAGGCAGAAACAGATTTCCTCGACTATACCTTTCGATAATCTGAATGGTTGATGTGTATAACCGTCCAGAGTTGGGTCCAAGAATATAGAAGAAGTTAGGAAATCCATTCATCGCAATTGTGTTGAATGTCGCTTTGTGGCCATATTCCTTCCAATGTTGCGCGCGTGTTTTGCCATTGCGACCTTTAATATCAACATCATAATGAGTAAGGGCGAATCCGTTGGCAAGCAGCTGAGATGTCTAATTAGTCCCTGGTCGTATGCGGATTCGAATTTTTAATACCCACAATGGCGTCGACGTGCACCTCCTCGCCTGATCGTGTCACGATGGAGTTTGGCTTAATCTCCACGATGGGATCATCTGTGAGACGCATTTTGCTATCTTCTAGAGTGGCTAAATAGCCTCGATCAAAAACTCGTCTCTGCGTTCCATTAGCTTGAGTCCTGTTATTTAAGTTGTTTTCATATGATTGCTTACCTTGCATCCAAACTCATACTTTGGAATCAACATATCCCAATATGATTCTGCAGCACTTGTTAGTCATTGCGTTAAAAGTATACACTATTGATGGGCTTTCTTACCGGGCGCTGATTTTTGTACATACTCGCGACTCCTTTTCTCGACTTGAGCACGACCAATTTGACCCAATTTGTTATTCTGGAAGCGGAACCATGTAATCTCCATCCAAAGGAAGATAGCAATGCGAATCAACCAGAGTATTAATGGAAATTGATGGAAGGTATTCCTCCATTCGGGGGAGATGTCGTAGTTGTCGCCTTTAACTATGTGATGTGGAGTCTAAAGTGTTAATTGTTAGTCAAGGATTCAAAGCCATGGAGAACTTCAAGTATAAACTGACCCTCATGAACTGCGTTACTGATTTGACTCTATTAAGAATGGCAGGAACCAATTGCACCGCAGAAGCTGAAATTGTCAATAATGTGTCAAAATAGATAGGGCGATGGTTACTCACCTCCATTACCGATGACGGCGACATGTTTGTTGGTCAAGTCAACATCATGATTCCACCTGGCTGTGTGAATGATCTCCCCTTGGAAGGTTTCCACTCCAGGTACTTTCAGTCCTTGTGGATTAACCAGACCTCCAACTGCGGAGATCAGCACCTTGCATTCCTGAGTGAACTGCCCAGTCTCATTGTTTCGCAATGTGACCAGCCATGTTTCGGTCTCTTCGTTCCATGCAGCATTGATCCATTCTGTTCCTCCGATAAACTGCTCGTCGATACGGTATTGGCGGACAACAGTCGAAAGGTAGGTCAGAACCTCTGATTGCGCAGGAAATAGTTTGGTGAAGTCAGGATTCGGAGCGAAGGAAAAACTATAGCAAAATCCGGGGATGTCCACAGCACATCCAGGGTCTATGAACCGAGCAACAAAAGATTAGCACAAACATTGTACATTTGAAGTCTAGCCTTAGCATATCAAATCACTCACATGTATTCGCCCACCAGGCACCTCCTAGACCTTCTTGACGGTCGTATATGCAAAGGTCATCAAGACCATAAACCTCCTTGAGCCGACAAGCCATCGCGATGCCTGATACTCCACCTCCAATGATCATGACTCGGCACGGAGACCGAGATGGAAGAGCCATGATAGCAGAGTAAATGAGATGCTCGTTTTCAAGTTGATTGATAACACAGGCCTATGTAGGACTCGGATGTTGATTAAAACACCACAAGTGAAAATTCACACGTAGGGCTAGGATATTTGAAGGCATTTTATACTTTCAATTATCTTCAAGCCATCAATATGCTCAGCCGCGATGACCGAAATTCACGTCCCCTTTTTGGGCATTTTTTTTGGGCCGATGTCCACAGCAGGCATTCAACATGATTGCATAATGTTTTGTTTGTCAGGGTCAATACTCCGAGTCATTAACACCGCTTGTTTTTCTTCTGCCAAAGATAGTAGCGAACCCTGAACTACGTAGTGATTGGTTGAGCGGTTAAAGGCTTAGCGTGGGCATAATTCCTTTAATTCAACCAATAGATATTCTAGATCATCGCTAATTTTTACCGGGTTTATTTTATCCTTACGAACCGTTCATCCATAATTCGCGTGAGCCACAATTTACGTCAAGCCACATGCCAAACTACCGGGTCAGATCCACACATGGGATACACGTCAACCACTCCCTGCTCATTTTCAGCCAGCCCTAAACCTGTCAGTGGCTGCCACTGACATCGGAATACCAAAATGAGAAGCTTTGACAGCCGCCTAAGTCCGGTGTCCTCGTTAAACGGGCGCCAGTGGATCCAGCGCATCGTGCTTTCGTCTAGCTAGTGTATACACACTGCATATTTTTTGTTGTTTTCCTCAGCTCGGTGATGCCCGAGCGGGCAGAAGCGGAATGTATTGATTTTGAAATGTTATGTTTGAACTAGAACTGCGCCTCGTGATGAAATAGAGCCTGAGTGGGTTTAAAACATATATTCATTCAAATATTATTTTGTCCATAGTTTCTTTCTCAATTTCAAAGTGAATCTCTGAGGGACTTTCTCACGATCCTTTGAGAAATGGAGTTTACCAATATACTCAAAGATGTCGCCTTGTTACTCTTGTATCTGGGACACCAGGCTAAAATCCCGTTATTCTGGTTTCGAGTAATCGGAGCAGGATTTGCTCTGGGAGTTGGCATCGCATCTCTGGCTATTATTATCCTACTTGTTCGAGTTCTTTCAGTTCCCCGTACGTTGGTTTCATTATCAGATGAAAAGCAGGATGTGATCGGAAAACCACTATTGTTCCCTGTCAGATTCAACCATACCCGATTTATTCCTGTTAAAGATCAGTTTTCGAATCGTTTTCTTTGCGTCGGAGTTCCAGTTGGTCTTCGATGCCGTATCGGAAACCTCCTGGCTGTGGATGATAGCTCTCTTGATGTCTCACCTCCCCCGGGAAGTACTGGGTGGTCATGGAAGCGAACTTTCTCTCACTTGAGCTGCTGGTTCACCTTGGACTCGGCACGTCACCTTCATCGAGGTGATCATGGATTAGATCTGCGACAGAAATTGGACAATTATCTTCTGGCCCTGGTATGTCGCTGTGATACAGATTTGAGGAACGCGGAGCTAACAGTGGTAATAGAATGAAGACCCAGCTCAATGGCCTCATGCATATCTGATGGGAATTCCTCAGTTCATGGGTTGGTCTCGAAGTGTGGTCACCTGGTGGTACCTTTATAATGAGGCGAAGGACCTTGATGCGGTCATTCTGGAGATCAACAACTCCTACTGGGAAAAGCGCAACATTTTCCTGAGAGTGAATCCCACTTCCGATGCTCCAATCAAGCAAATCGCAGCACCCACCGAGGGAAAGTATCTCGACAGCCGCGGAATGGTGCGATCTTTGGACTCTGCTCCCCGGGCCAACTATTACAAAGGAATCTGGAGCAAATACATCTTCGCATCTCCATTCGAGAAAGTCGATGGATTGGTATCTAACCGCATGATGGATCCTTTGCAACCGGGTGCCTGGAAGAAAAATACCTCATTCTCTAACATGACTACCATGGAGGACTCGGGTGAGGTGAGAATGGCAACACGTTTAACCTGTGAGGGACCTCCAATTGATCCTACTCAAATGAGCTGTTTCGATATCGTCAAGTTTGTCTGGCACTGGACGGTCCCTGGTATTTTGACGACTGCATTTATTGTCATCAAGGCCCTCAAGATCCGCTTTTCTGGAGCAATGATTATGAACAAAAAGCCTCCTGTGCGGACCGGCAGTGTTGGTCGACCGATCACAGAGGAAGAATTGTAAGTCACCACCCTCCCACTCAACAAGACCACCGTTAACTCTGGACTTGCAGCAAATTGGAGCCTCTTTTCCGCTCATATCTCGAGCAATGTATTCAGGCTTCCTCAGAGCCTGTAGAACTCACTTACATGCCCTGTCGATCATTCACCAATGACTTCATCCGCATGCGATCTCCATCTTACAAGGAGGGCGCTCCAAATGCACTGTCTCTGACAGTTGAGCCCGCAGACCCGGGATTTTACACAAGATTCATCACATACCCAGACATCAAGACCGCATTGGATGAAGAGACAAAACCAACGGGACTCAATGCTGATCCCAACTCTCAACGACTCCTTGTGTCCAATCCCAATCTTCTTGCTTCACTATGTGACTCTGCATCCCACCAAAAGACCGATTCATCACCGAAGACCACAAGCTGGAAAACAAAGTTGCTCCTATTATGGTGCCGCGGAAATTCCGGGCCCACATTCATGGATGACTTCGTTTTGGCTACTCCCAACACATCATCTCGCACATACCTCTCTTCTCTCATCAGATGGTCAAGTGCCAAGAAACTTGCATTCGGTTCTCCCAAACTTTTCGGCATTTTCACATTCATTGTCTCGTGCTTGATTCGGTTGTTCGTTTGGGAAGGTCTGTCTCACGGATACCGGCAAACCCTATCCATGCTCGACGTGGAGCCCTCTATTCCTACTCTGGTTACTGTTAGTGGGTATTTGTTTACGATGACACTTTTGGCATCGATGAAGAACTGGTTTCTTCAGTGATGAGATGAGAATGAATTCTAGTTAGATGACACTTCGATTGAAAATTACATAAATATAGACAATTCTTCATTATTTTATGCATCCTGCGGAGGTTTTATCTACTACAATGGACTGTAGCGTTCGTCTCGAGGTCTATACGCGAAAGCCTCAGTGCTTATGCACATACTCCATACGAGTCATTAGCCCCAGGCTCCCAATTCAAATTCTCCAAAAGATATCCACATTTAGCCGGTGTATCCGACAAAAATTATCGGTCTGAAAAATCATGGCGGCCGAACAAGCGGCTCGCCTATAGACTCCACAAGAGCTTCAGCCACAGTTAGCGCGGCAGGAAGACGCTATTGAACGGCTTTGTCCCTCTTAGCTTAATAGATATCGCGTGGCTCATCGGATCATATTTAATTGGTGCTTATTTCGGTATTAATGGACAAATTGCGAATCTATTGGAGGCTCTGCGTAGTGAAAAAGTTTTTTACCTTCTGATGAAAATCTTGATCGAAGTTTATTCTGATCAAGGTTTTTTTTTTTCGTCATCGGACTCTTGTTCAAATTTGACTGCCTTGATGTGCGGGGGGTAAGGGGGGGGGGGTTTTTTGTAACGAGGCGCGGGATTAGGAGCGGCATTTGGGCAAACATTTTCTCTTCTTTGCGGACTTTCACATATTGGAGCTAAGCAAAGGGTTAATTTAATCTTGAAAATTCGTGTCATTTGCTCCGCAGAGTATTATTGTGATCAGACCAAGATCTTACTAGTAGTAGCTCTTCCACGCATGTAGATTTTCCCTTCTGACAGTTTCTTCCCCAGAAAGTGTTTATACTTCGTATTCCGTATCCTGGACCGCTTCAAGTTTTGCATCCATGATCAGTTGAGATGAATTCAGTCCTCCAGGTTGAAATCCTTCTGGCTCCTTTCAATGCACGTGTTCGAATGTGCAGATACCTGGCCGAGCATAAGTCCTTGTACTATTGCTAGTCCATCCCAAAGTTACTGTAATTTTGGGCATGCAAAATTTTCAAGGATCCATTTATTCGGTGGCTTAGGGTGCTTAGCAAGCAGGGTCTTAGTGGCGTACATGTATATGCCGCTTAGAGAGAAAAGAAAACAAAAGCCTCATTATGAAAAGGTGGACTGAGATGCCTTGAAAGTACGCTGAAACGCCAAGCTCCAATAACATGCTATATACAAAAGTCGATAAAGAGGCGGTGATGCTGCTAAGTACCGCGGTGGCTTGATTGATTTAAGCCACTGAGCGACCCAGATACGAGCCGGCTACCCAAATAGCTGTGCAAGCTCCCACAACAGATATCCCGACCAGGCGTTTGGCCCAGCTGCTCTCATCAGTCATTCGGGTTGGGCCGACGGTCTTCTTCGGGGCCAGATGCACCGAGGATGACTGTGGGTTTTTAGGTGCTTGCGAAGCCGAGCTATTGAAGATGGTGGAATATTCCTCGTCACGTCTTTGCCACTTCTCTACTAGTCGTGCGATCTCAGCCAGGTCTTCCTTAAGAGAACCGGGCTCTGTGGCATTGGCATTCTCAACCTCGACGTTCTGCACGTTGCCAAAGAAATCTACAACGGTTCGGAGTCGACCTTCTTGCTCACCACCGGGGAACAGGTCCCATCGTACGCCAGGTTGGGAATGAATCTTAGATTCATCATACGAATCAAACAGATCGCCCAGTGTCAACTTCGAATTGGCGCTTGTCACTTGAGTCTCGAGGAATTCCAGCACATAGTAGGTCCAGCGATCAATGACCGCAACTCCGACATCGTTATCCGCATGGTGGGAGTAAGAGGACTGATCGAGCTCACTGGATCCTGTAGCAACAATGTTGGGCGAGTAAAAATGAGTGTACATCGTATTTGCTTGGCAAGTATCGATCATGAAAAGTAATTCATGGTAGCGCTTCTTCTCCCACATCTGGTTGAATGCGTCGGCCAAATCCCAAGCGCCAATCTCCTCCGCATCTTGAAATTTCAAGAACTGATCGCCGCCGTGGCCGGTCATGTAGACCAAAACGTTGCTGCCGGCATCAGAGCCCAGTCTCTTGCTTCGAGGGACATCTTCGTCGAGGCGATCGGTAAGAAGGCGGATGAAGTTCTCCACTGTCACTTCGTAGCCCCTGTAGTCCACTTCGATGTTGTCGCCGTACAGATCAACAGCGCGGTCTGCATTACTGTAGACGGTTCCGGGGAAAGCGTTCCGGGGATTGCAGGCCATGTCATCGGGGAGCATGAGGATGATCTGTGAGTCTGGAATGCCGAGCCGCTTCACGGTGCGGTAGAGGGATAAGACATTGGCGAGATGACGGTAATTGAACCAGAATCTCGAGGTGGACACGAGGACTGCCCAGTTGGAGGTGTGCTCGGCGGTGACTGCGCTGGCCAGCAGGAGCAGAGACAGGAGCTGAAGGGAACGGAAAAGTAGTGTCATGGTTGCGGTGGACAGGGAACGCTAGGTCATATAGTCTGGAAAGGAGGGAGGAGTCCAACTGTGTTGGCTGATTGTAGAAAGGACCGAATTGAATGTATAGAAGACGTGGCTTATGGAGCCTCAAAAGCAGAGCACCAAGCTACGTACAGGCCATCTGGGTACTAGGCCGAAGGATTGTCGCCAAAATACTGAATGCGACGAAGTTAAGGGTCCTGAAGCTGGATTAAGGTACTGCGGGCGGAGTGATGACAAATGACAAATGGAACTCGAAAGTGACACCTATATAATAAGGCATCAAACGAACTATAGACTTGAGTTCACATACATAAGATGGGACATCAACATTAGGCATTGATATGTTTAAAACGTAAAAAAAAGAATAAGATATTATACGTGACAAGAATATCTACCTACTCTTATACCACCAATGTCTCCAGCCCTGTTCAGGGGAAGCCTGGCCAAAAAATTATCGTCAATGAAGACTTGGGTCGCGGAGCCTCCAAAAAAAAAAAGTCGATTGAACAGCCAGGATCGCATAAAATTACTAATAACTTGGACATAAGCCCTTTTAAATGACAATCTAATTATTGTAAATTGAAATTGACATCCTATGTCCTAAATATAGTATTGATTTTCAATTTTTAATAAAAGAATTGGGTGTGTGTTGGACAAATAATTTTTGGAAGGTCTGGAGGCCCAATCTATAGATTAAGAAAAGAGCCCATGGAAGTCACCGCCTGCGCTTCGGAACCGGCATAATCGTAGGGCGGATCAGATCATCTTCTAGGTAGCAATCCACTTTTTTTTTGTTTCTCATCTCTCGCCCATTTTATCAACCCATTTTAATTTGATTTATTGCAAGTCAATATCTCAGCAAAATGGGAGGCAAGAAAGCAGCTGGAGAAAACTCCAAGAAGGCCGCTGGCAACGCCCGCGTATGTATTAACACCCACCACCACCGTGCCCCGCCCCCGCCATGCGCCAGCGCATACTAACGGTAGTATAGAAAGCCGACGCCGCCAACCAGAAGAAGGCCGCTGAAGACCAGAAGAAGTCCGCTGAAGACGAGAAGCAATGGGCTAAGGGATCCAAGAGCAACGCCAAGAAGTAATACATCTGATGCATATGATACATAAACATTCCCAGATGAAATACTAATCTCATTCTCGGATCATAGGGACGACGCCGAAGCCAAGAAGGCCGAAGCTGCCCGTAAGAAGGCCGAACGCGACGCCATGCTCGCCGACGAGGAAGCTTCCCAGCCCGCCAAGGGCAAGGGCGCCGGAGCCAAGACCGCTCAGAAGAAGTCTCGCGGTCTCGACCTGTCTCAGCTGGACGCCGACCCATTCAGCAAGAAGCCGGCTGCTTTGAACGCCTCCGGCATTGATAACGCGCTGGATGCGTTGTCACTGGCAAGCAAGGACACTGCAAAGGTCGAGAAGCACCCCGAGCGACGATTCAAGGCTGCCTATGCCGCATTCGAGGCCCGACGACTGCCGGAGATTGAGGAGGAGAACCCTGGCTTGCGTCGACAGCAGCGTATCGATCTCTGCCGCAAGGAGTTTGAGAAGAGCGAGGAGAATCCCTTCAACCAGGTTCACGTCGCTGTCAACGCCTCCAAGGAGGAAATCGCTGCAGTCCGCGAGCAGGAGCGCAACAAGACTGAGCGTCGCTTGGCGAAGTAAGTGACATGGGCTCCTTTTACCCACAAAGCACTTCTCCAATTGAGATTTGCAAAATCGCCGCAACGATTTCTGGAACTTGAATTTTGCATGTTTCGAGGCGCAAACTTTCCATACTACATGAGCGTACCAAATCCCCAACCAATTGCGTTCACTCATTCATGTGACGGTGTTTATTCAGTCGTGCATGGTAGACCAGAGGTAGTAGTAGTAAGTAGTAGTATTGATCTTCGTCCAGCGAGCGGCCGGCGTTAGCCAGTCGCCCTAAGACCTCCCATGGGGTATATGGACGTGCCAAGCTACGGAATAACCTACACAATGAAGGCCTTCGAAGGCAAACCAAGCTCAAAAGTGTGGCGCAAGGCCGGTCAAAAAGCGGTCACCCCGACCTGTTCCAGTCCTTGTGCCATTTGGAGAGGGGCTTGGCAGCTTTCCATAACCATTGTTGTCTTGCGACCTCCCGGTGTTGCTGGAAGAGCGAGCGGATGCCACTAAGTGTTGGGAGGGCCTCCTCTGAGCCTCTGGGGGCAGTTTGTCGTGCGGCCGGCGTTCATCAGGGTACCAAGTATCTGCAATCCTATGGCCCTCGTTGCCGGTGTGGCCTGAACACCATCTGGTCTTCATGTTGGGACATGATGTTATGACAGTTGTGGAATGCCCATTGTGACGCAAATAACAGATGTGCTGTTGATGCAGAGCCAGATCTTTGGGGGTTGACCGTCATACAGCAACTGGATCGCATGCTCAAGGCCTTTCAACGCACTTATAGCTTTGGTATCGAAAATATGGGAGCAGTTCCCGATCGCGCCAGACCCAGGAGTCCCGTTCTGGAATATGGCGTAGCCATAGCCTATCTGGTAGCCTCTGTTTTCATTGTGCTCAGATTTATCCATCGGAGTAGACGATTATGTCATGCGCTGGTGTATCTTTCAACCATCAGTGGAAGGCACTAGCCGCTTACTCCTTTGTAAGGCCATGTGCGCATGCCTCACTACACCGCATGCGCAGGATCGATCTGGGTATCGCGGGGGTACATTGTCGACAGGCATTGCACCTTGGTTTTGGGGCGTTGGCAAGTTCTGGTACCCTTGCCGCGAGTGATCATACGCGGGGTCACGCATGTCGCGAGGGGGCTTGGTCCACTGAGGTAAGGTGACGGGCGAAGTGAAGCCGAGCTTCTTCAAGTGCTGCCATCACTGATGGTAGGCCGGTGTCTCGGTAGAGGATTGGGTTTGGCGTCGTTTTCCACACATGGAGGACACCGCGCAGGGCCAGGTTCAACATCTTTTGTGGGGCATGAATATGTTCTCGGGCGCGTGTGGGCAATTGGCGTGTCTTGCGGGTTTGGTGCGGCCGCCATACCAAGCTTCCCCCCTAATATGAGAATGAGGGGAAGATGATAGATCAGAGGTGGATAGCCGAAAGTACCTATATTTTGAACTTAGGCTTTTCTTTATTCCGGGTTATAGTAGACTCGGACGCAGTTAAATTTACGAAATCAATGACCATAATGCTGAATTGCTCTGACTAGTAAATGGATGGGTATATCCTACAATAAAATTTAAGTGATGGGCCCCCACTTTTGGACTTGATCGTTCAAGTTCTTAAATTGTTGTGTTGTGAAATTTATTAAGCATCTTGAGCAAGCAGTGTCTCCGTCCTTGATGCACCATTGGGGTCGAGGTAAGGCTTCTCGCCGATGCCAACAGCACGATGACCAAATCGCTCTCCAAGACCTTCATAGTCAAATGTGGCAGTATGAAAAGCGGATCGGTTGTCCCAAATAGCTATCAAAATAATTAGTATCCAATCATCAAGAAGACTAATATCTTGTTTCTTTCTCTTACCAATATCATTCTCATTCTTCCACTTGAATCTCACGGTGAGGTCGTGGTTCTCAATAATAACCCGATAGAACTTCTTAAGAAGCTCCTCCGACTCCTCTGCATTCAACTCATTGATAGTTTTGGGGAACGGTCCAACAGCATAGATACTGTTCCAACCAGTTACTGGGTTGGTCCGCACAATAGGATGAACAGTAGTTAATCCTCCTCCAATATTCAGTGGGTTACCCCGAGGCTCAGTATAGATGTAGACCTTCTCTGGATCAGCAGCAGCAGCATTCAGGAAGCCATCTCCACTATAAGTAGCTGTGAGGCCCTCGAAGAACTTCTGATAAGGCTTCGAGAATCGGTCATACATCTCGTACCCCGAGGCCCAGAGAGTATCACCACCAGTCTTTGGAAGCTGGGTCAGACGCAGCGAAGTATAATCGGCTGGCGCGGGCTCGAATTGGATATCAGAGTGCCATTGCGCGGAGTCGTAGCGACGCTTGTTGCTTTGCTTGCCGTGGAAATGCATCTTCTTGCGCGCGAGAGAGCTAATAGTGCTGACTTCGGCATCGGCTACACCGAATTCGTTGGTGTTGTTGAGGACTGGGTGGATGTGTAGAGTTGAGTCTGCAGGCTTACCGGCTAGTTGACCTAGTCGGTGCACGAGCTGCTTCTGCAGGGCATCGGTGAGGTTGTTTTGGGCACGGAAGAAGACGACACCTCTTTGGGAGACTGAAAGATGGGAGATATTAGTAAAGTGCTTAGGTACTGGAAGAGGCTTGGGAAACATACTTGTGATGGCAAGGTCCCGTACTAGTTCGTCTGAATTCGGGGCATTCAAAAGATCGTCGACGATGTTCACTGTTGGAAACTCACGGCCGATGATAGGGGTGGTTTCATCAAATTCAAACTTGTCTAATGCGCCGCTGAGCTGGAGGGGAGCAGGGTATCTCGTCTGCTCGCTGGCCGCAGAGCGAACGGGGAGCGACTCGGTGTCGCCAGGAATAGGAACCATAGTGATATACAAGGGAATCTGGTAAAGTAGTTAATTTGACACGAAGGAGAATTACTTTGGCTTTAAATACATTAAGCATGTGAGCACACCATTCTTTACTGAATATTGATTGATATACACTTTCCGAAGAATCGGGACTAAGAATCACGCAATTGGTTGTGGAAGTTACGCGTCCCCAAATGTCACACTACGATCGATAAGAACTTGAAGGAAGCGGGGTCAATACTGCTTGTACTATTTTGAGAGTTATGAAGCTACAAAAGGGGTAATTAAGGGAATTATGCAGTGCTTCGAAACCGGTTATCTGATTTGGCTATTCCATACGAGGTGGGACAACGGAGTAGATTCACCGCGCTAGATCGGCCTTACATCGACCTAAAAACAGAGAAAGTTTTTATCAACAGCGCTGGATATCATCTAGACACAGAACCCCATATCGTGTCGCGCTTCGTGGCGATTCGTGGCATGATTGAGTTGTATTTTTTTTATTGGAAGTTGCCAGTGATCACGACTTCCATGGCTGAATCACGTCTGGAGTTGACGTGCTACAGCCGAACTTTCGGCTGATCGTCATTTCCCCACACTATGAGTTTAGACCAATTTACTAAGTCTAAATAGGCAATTTGATTCGGATTCTCTATTATTCGTCTATTATTCGTCTTATCAGACCCTTGATTATTGGTACAATCTCGAAGATTATAACGAGACTGGAACACCACGGTGAAGGACAGTACCTCGGGCTTCCCTTGATATCGCTATGGCCCATAAGTGTCCAGATTTCTACCATTTCCGAGTCATCAAACTAAAGATGCTCAAAACAGAGAACATTCGAGTCATTTGTTTAGTAGAAGCGTTTTCCCCAGAAATGCTTTTCCGACTTCAATCGTTTCCACCTTGAAGATTTCCCTTTCTATCTTATTGTCATATTATCCTGAATATTGTTTGGCATTATGTCTCCAATGTTTCAATTCAGCCAATGAATCTCATCTGAGCCATCAACTGAGTCTATATACAGGACATTTATCTGATAAAATGACTATTAGTACTGACATCGAATTTGTTTCCAGGGATGGTCCGTTGGCTTTTATAGACGATGCGCTGATATTATCTCAGGCTCTTGAGTTTCATTACGAGAATCGAAGGTCATAACCATTGGAATGGTATCTGGATTGCATTACACTTTGTTTCGCGAGCAAACATCTGGAGATGGCAGACATGCAAAATCAAAGCTGCGGTTATAACTACAACCGCGCATGCACAGAAGCAGATATCGATGACGTCAATCACCCACACGCGCCAATGCAACCACTCACTGAACAGCTCGTTTAAGCAAAGGATACCTACTCCTGATAAGAAAAGCCCGGAGTAGTCGAGTGATCAATCAAAAAGCGGTTCGTCATGAGTTTTGAACCATGTTCCTGGCTGCCATGAGAGGGCCCATGACGCCACTAAAGTAGTCTCTGAGACCTCTACGGAATTTCATTTCACATTCGACACAAACTGCAATTCCTATAGGACATCTCAAAGTCATAAAAATTGATCAATTCAAGAAATTTTCGTGATTGAAATCTGAATACATGCGAAGCCAACATGTCCGACCCAGATCTACCCAGCTCCTCTGCAACCCTCTTCCTCGAACAAGAAGTCTACCGACTCGGCACAGCCCCCGGTTTCCGATATCTCCCACCAGGTCCAGTACGCGACTTCATTTTATTAAGCTGGGGTCCCCTCATTTATCGAACGTCCTATAAACCCGAAACGAAACATCTCATACATTCCTTTCTGCGCTGTCTAAACGACGCGATCAGCAGCTCATTAAGTCAATTATCCGGCTCAGATGAGGAAATCAAGCTTTTAACTCAAGCATATTCATCGAAATTATTCAGTAATCGCGATATATACGCCGATGTGGGCGAAGAGGCGGTTCGAAGAGTGTTTCATGAGTATAAAGCCTCGTTGGATATCCCGGCGACAGATCTACCGAGTAGACTTCGGGTCTGCTTGATGGTTGATGATGCAGTGCTTTCGAATTTGAAGGCTATTCTGAATTTGAGTGAGATTTTGGAGAAAAGTACGGATATTGATCGGTGCTGGGTCAAGGTCATCGAGGAGAATTTCCCAGATTCGAGGTTTGGAGATCGGCCTTATGTGGCGAATGTTGATTTTAGTGATGAGGTTGATGGAGTTGGGGATTACCGAGGAAACTATCGCGGCTGGACTATGGTGGCTCTTTCTGCTCTTGTGGAAGTATTTGATGGGTTGAGACAGATGAAGCATTTAGTGAGATATCATCGGGAGGGTCGGGTGTACCTTGGAGGCGGAAAGTGGAGCAGCATATAAGATTATTGAGAATGGGTATATGTACAGTTCATACCTAACATCAAGCATTATCCATTGCGACATTTTTGACTATCCTTTACTCGTATGAATATGGTGATCTGCAATCCTTCACAATAAGGTCTCCTAGAGCGGATCTGATTGGTCAGTTCGAAGTCAATCATGTGCTGATAAGAATCTTATCGTAGATTATCAATCAATCTTCAGCCTTCACAGGCATTCTACGTACATTTCCTTTTATGACTGCACGGGGCGTGGGATGGGGTTTTTATTTCGATGGAGAATTTTTTGGCCAGGAAGAAACCAAGGCTATCAAACCCACAGTTTCAGTCAGAGAGGACTAATGTGACCCCGTCCAATGAGTCGGGAGGTATTAGTGCCGACACTGAAGAGTCTACCGATATCAAACTGGCCATCCTGATATCTCTTCATCCAGAGATAAAACAGGAAGAGCTGCTTGACATTCTCGTTTCCTGTGATGGATCTGTTGAAGAAGTCTCATCTCTACTATCCTCCAAAAATTCCACAGCTCCCACCCCGTCGAAGAAACGAACAGCCGGTGTATCACTCGGTGTCCAGACCTCTTTATCATCACACATCCTGACCAAATCTGAAGACGGATCACTTCGACCAATGAAGGAGATCAAACCTTTGATCACGAAGAAAGGGCAGACACTACATCTATATTCCCCTGAAGATGTTTCGGCTAACACGCCTTGTACTATTATCCACAACTTCTTACCACGAGAGGAGGCCAATACTCTCCTTACAGAGTTACTGGAAGAGTCAGAGCATTTCTCCAGATACGAGTTTCAACTATTCAGCCGTACAGTACAGAGTCCTCATACTGCCTGTGTGTATGTCTCCACGCCAGAGGAATACAAACAACAGACCTCGGAGTATACATACGGTGGTACATATCGATCAAATGTTCGAGAGGCAACCCCACAACTACGATCAACATCACGAAAGGTCCAACAAGTCGTGAATGAGGAAATACAAAAACGGATCAAGAATGTCTACCCAGACGGGAAGAAGCTGAAATTCCAATCACCGAAGCCCTGGCGACCAAATGCCGCATTCGTGAATTGCTACGACGGTCCAACGGAGAGTGTGGGGTACCATGCAGATGAATTAACCTATCTGGGGCCACACCCGGTGATCGGGAGTTTGAGTTTAGGCGTGGAACGAGAATTCCGTGTTCGACGGATCATCCCGCGCGAAGAGGAGGATGATCAGAGCACTGGTAGTTCAAGCTCACCTCGGAAAGATGATAAATCGAAGAAATCAACTGTACATGCAGATGCACAGGGTCAGATTTCCATACATCTACCGCATAACTCACTGCTTGTCATGCATGCTGAGATGCAGGAGAAATGGAAACATGCTATTACCCCTGCTCAAACTATTTCTCCGCATCCGATTGCTGGGAATCGTCGTATCAATATTACTTATCGCTGGTACCGTGAGACTTTACATCCGCGCTTCACGCCTCGGTGTCGATGTGGAACACATGCTATTTTGCGATGCTCCCAGCGTAAACAAGAGTCGAGGGGGAGGTATATGTGGATGTGTTATGGTGGATTTGCACCAGGAAAACAGGGTTGTTCTTTTTTTCAATGGGCTGAATTTGATGATGATGGGAATCCAGTGTGGGACCAAAAGCAGAAAGTTGAAAGTGTTGATGCTGCGCCTGCCTTGGCTAATTTCTCGGCGTCCCAATCTTCTCAATAACCTTCAGTGTGGATAAATAAGCACATGTGCTTTTTTCGCCCCCAATTTTCAAAATGAGACCTTATTAGAAGATGTAAGATACCACTGTATGACCACCTATCTAATAGAGGTGAATTATAGTAGTAATTTATGCCGCTTAATTGGTGGAATCTACCCGGGTAAAGTGTGCGGGGTACTAAGCTTATTCCCAAATTCCCAATGTTCCAAGTTATTGAGTGTGAATAGTGTGTGGAGTAGACCGTGACCTAAATTATGGAGTATCGCCAACTTGAATTCCGCCCCAAAACTTTGCTTGTCAGCTTCACCAAAGTTACTTAACCTTGCAAATAGTGGAAGCCCAATAAGATTCGAGGAAAAACTTCGGGTAAATTATCATTTTAACTCGTATACCGATATGCGGAATGTAGAACCGCGGACTGAAACATTAACTATCTTAGAAGGGTCAAAGAGGGGCCTCATGCATTAGCGAAGGGTTACTCGAAGCTAGTACAATTAGTTTAAAAGTGAAGATCAGCCAGTTTTGTTGTGAGGAACGTTGTAACTTTTTTCAAGTTCGCCATTCTATCTTGAAGATTTATCAATTATGGCGGATGCTAGTTCTTACGACTATATTATCTGCGGGTAAGTTGGCTTCACGTACAATGGCTACAATAGCTAAGAGAAGCTTCTCTAACTCAAGATTTTAAATACAGCGGTGGCACGTCAGGGTGTGTAGTAGCAGGTCGTCTTGCAGAAAACCCCGAGATAAGTATCCTCCTCATTGAGGCTGGACAGCATAATAAGGATCTGGAGAATGTACACATGGCAGGCGGGTAAGTGGTCTAGCCCTTGAACAAGCATCCTCGATATAACCTTGCTCACTCAATCATTGGAATTATAGATGGTCGAATAACTTCGACTCCGAAACCGACTGGAACTTCATCACACCGCCAATGCAAGGCGTCGACAACCGTCAAGTGAAATTAAGTCGTGGTCGATTCCTGGGCGGTTCAAGTGGCTGTAATGGAACACTATGCATTCGCGGAGCCAAGCAAGATTATGATGACTGGGAATTGGAAGGATGGGGTGGAGAGGAGTTCTTCAAATATATGCGCAAGGTAATTCAGATCCAAACAGATCTTTCGTCTTTAACATTTGAATAAGGCTGACCCTTTTCAGTCTGAGACCTTCAACTCCAAACCGTGGTTCAAAGCAGATGCATCAAGTCATGGCTATTCGGGCCCACTTCACACAGAACCGCATGATCTTGCACCGATCTCCCAGCTCCTGCTTGAGTCATTGGAGTCCCAGGGAATGCCGCTAAATCATGATATGTTTAGCACTGGCGATGTCCCTCACGGTTGTGGCCATGTGCCTCGAACAGTTCATGAAGGTATCCGGACAACGGGTGCTGATTTCGTGACTAACAAGAACCACCGTGGAAATGTCACAATTATCACAGACACAACTGTTGACAAGATTCTTTTCACAAAGCAAGGTAATCAAAATCACGCTTCTGGTGTTTTGACCAAGGCGAAAGATGGTACAACGAAGACTTTCTTTGCGCGAAAGGAAATCGTTATTTCAGGTGGCGCATACTGTAGCCCTGCTATCTTGCTTCGCTCCGGTATTGGACCTGAAGCAGAACTTGCAAAGCATCAAATTCCGGTTATTGTCAACTCTCCTGGCGTTGGCAGAAATCTTATGGATCATCTTGTAAGCCCTAACCTGCATTGTATCAGAAAAGAAACGGTATTGAACGGCTGACCCATCAGATCGTCTTCATCTTTTACGAGACTGAAAAATCAGGTCTGACAACCGATTATGCCGTCTACCATGACGACAACTTCGAGAAGACATACCAACTCTGGAAAGAGAAGAAAACAGGTTTCTTATCCACCTTCCCGTTCGGGTGCTTTGCATTCGCTAGATTGGATGAGCGTTTGAAAGATGAGCCCCTGTGGAAGAATGCACCCCGTCTCCCAGGCCGAGACCCCATGGGTCTGACTCCCAAACAACCGAACATCGAGTTCTTCACAACAGAATGCTACGGTGGTCCAAAGCAGTATGATCAGTTCCCAGTCGCTAACAAGCATGTATTTTCCATTATCGCGGAACTTTTCGCGCCGAAGTCGCGCGGATCTGTCACTCTATCCTCGACAGACCCATTGGTGAATCCTATCGTTGATTGCAACTACTTGGATGATCCCATGGATCTGTTAGTTCTGAGTGAGGCTTGTAAATTTGGCAATGAAGTTGTTATGAATGGGGCTGGGACGAAGGATATCGTGAAGGGATCTTGGCCTCCTAACTTGAGTCATCATACCAACAAGTCCAGAGAAGATTGGATTCCCCATGTGAAGGAGCATGCGACTACCTGTAAGTTAAACTGACTGATCCTCATCTAGCTTCGCGAGTGTCTTGCTAATTAGAGTTTGAAAGGTTATCATGCCGCTGGAACATGTGCGATGGGCAAAGAAGGAAACCCTCTGGCCGTGCTGGATGGGAAACTGCAGGTCAGGGGAGTCACTGGCTTACGTGTAGCTGACTGCAGCGTCATGCCCACTTTGCACGGAGGACATACCCAGATGCCGGCTTACGGTATTGGAGAGAAGTGCGCTGATCTCATCAAAGAGACCTGGCGCCAGGCAGGCAACGTATACCCCCGAATTTGAGCAATGGCTTGACAAATGGCCACCACATAACCAAATCAAATCTGGGTAGCTATGCGTTTCGCTGTTATTTGCGAGCACAACAAAAGCAGCTCTCGTCTCTATGTTCGTCAATTTCATTCTGTGGTATTCGTTAATTCAAGATTTAAAGCACACAAGCTTCACACAAAAACAATTTGATGAACTAGCAGAACATGTAATTACAAACCAGGTAACATCAATTGATGCACATTGTTAATCATAGCCAATAATAATATGAAAAACCAAAAGGATATGTTTGTTGTCGGTTTATGAGCTGTCGGAAAAGGAACCCTGGCAGAAGCTCATATCAGTACCTTGTGAGAGATTTCCTAGACTGAGCTCCCTAGAGGAACTCGATGTGCTCATAGACACATTATTTTGCCGAATGATTGTAAGAGTATTCCCAACACAAATTTTGCTAGTTGATGGTAGCAAGGAATGCTCATACTCCACATTGGCCGTGAGCAGGGGCTGAGTGATGTCGTCAGAGGAGTATTGATCCAGCACAAAATTGATCTGAGACACCATTTCTTCGATTAGAGGGTGTCGAAAGGAGGGCGAGTTTCGTTGAGTTTGGGATAGTTGGCTAAATGCCCGCGGTACATGAATCAGAACTGGAATGCTCCAAGTTTCTCCGGGTCGGAGCGAAATAAGTCTGCGATCCTCGATGATAGACTGCACTTGACATCCATCTGCCGCAGCAATAGAAAGTTTCAAGTCGATCACAGAACCAGGGCAGACACCAGTACGAAGTTGTCGAATAACCTTGCAGATCCGGCGTACGAAATGGTTGTCCCTGGGTCCAGTGTCACAAGGTCCGACAGTGTAAGAGATATGCCATCCAGATTGAAATGTTATGTTGTCCATTGGTAAGCATGCATGTGGGGTGATGGTGTGGAAACCAATCGCTGAGTTGATCGGTGGCATCGAAATACGGTCTGAGGGTGTCGCAGATACAAAGAATAAATGACATAATGCTGCACGAGGGGAGATGAAGAACATGTCCATGGCCTTGCCGATGATATATGTATATCCAATGTCGGAAGAGATCATATGAGCACTGCTCAGTTGGCGCCTCGAGAAGGTCTCAAGCGCTGCTTGAACTACCTCTATTGCATGGAAACCCAAGGGGAGTAAAATTTCAAACCCGCTTTTGGATTTCTGGTCAACATAGGCCAGAGCTATTCTGTCATGGTTGTGAGTTAAGTGAGAAATCAACACAGACGATCCAACCGTGATCTCAGCCAGAAGGTCGGTAGATTTTCGCCGACTAGTCACATATCAGCTGGGGTATTTATGGACTAACCATGGTTGCAAATACTTACAGACTATCAAGCAGAACGATAATGTCAAGAGGAGCACCTCGTGAGGTTCCCAGAGGTGGCGTGGGACCGACATCAGCGGAAACATAGATAGTAGTCCACACGGAGGTAGATCCCATTCCAATATGGAGTCGACTCGAGACTGTCCTCAGATTGATGAATGTCACAGGTCCGTTTATGGGCTGTAAAGTACTGGATTCCTCTTGACTGGTGTGTTTTTCTTGAGACGGTCGCAGCTCTAGCGTGGCACGTCTCGGTTTCGGTAAAAGGGGGGGAGCCATTCTGGGCGGATGAATCCCAGGAGCCGGAGCTCCAACGCACAACTAGTTGAGGTGCTAGTCGATATCCGTTCGTTGCCCAGTCTTTTTGGTTTGTGGTTGTTCTCCCGGGCGTCTGAGCAAGCCATTAGCACGTCAAAATACATACGCCTTCGACAACTTACCACATTTTCTATGAAAGGATCCTGCTCCAGGTCGCAGCCGGAGCGGAATTTCTTCCTTTGGCTAGGTGTTTTGGGTTGACGGATCTTCACAACTTCAATCTGGTATAGACTGTCACAAAGGGAAGGCGTTCTCGTAGATGTGGCTGGTCCATTCGAGTCCTTCCTCACGCTGAACGAAACGGATGAGCCGCGCCAAGGGATCCGTGGGTAAGATGAAGATGAGTTGGTGCGAAGACTCCGTGAAACGCTGCATCTTCTGGCTGTGAGTGGCGCAGGAAGCTCATCGTTGCTTGGGGGTCGTCTAGACATGTTCTAAGCCGCTAACGGGAATCTCGTATTCAAGCGGTGTCTCGGAGCTTTCAGTGTCTCGAATTCCGGCCGAGCTTTCTAGATCAGATCGCACTCTCTTCTTCTTTCGACGATCACGCCTTCGGCACCACGATGGAAGCCAAGATGGACGGGTAACTCTGCAAGTCCAATATTCAGAGCACACAAGAACCACAGCAACTGTGCAGAATAGAACGACGATAGGAACTAAAACAAGTGCAATAAGCAATGCGGTGTTTTTAAAATCAACTGATGTAACATGGGTCATTTTGAATGGATTTGGGGAGATGAATGGAGTGGTGTTGGAGGAAACTTGTGTGTTGGGTCTTATATAGTCTCGGAGGCCGACGACGTATTCGAATCCGGTAGGAAGGAACCAAGAGCCAAAAAAACTGAAATGGGTATATTTGGTAAGCGCCATCACTCTTTATGTACATTCACCACCGACTCCATCTTTTGTTTAGTCGAGTCCAAGGTGGCATCATCCAGTCGTGAGAACCGTATCTGATATCTGTTAGTGCTTGGCCAAATACATGTGTGATATGCTTACCATTTCATCCCCACCTCCACGGGCAGCATTGCCAAATAGTATAGGGTCTGATCGACTTGCTTCAATCTCATCTTGTGCCCGTCGAGCCCAAATCCCATCCCAGTGCCAGTCTCCAGGACGCCGAGCTTGTGGGCTTCCCCGTCTTAAATCCCCAGATGGTCGGCGGTGGGCCTGCCAAGCATGCCATGCTCCTGGATTGCCGGCGACTTCAACGGGTAAGGAGTCTAGAACAGACTCATCGTCGAATGTGGATCGGATGTAATCCAAGAGCTCGGCCACAGGCGCTTCTTGCCTTGATGCTGGAAACTGGCCTGTCGGGGGTAGTTTGGAAGCGCTGGGAGTTTGTGGGTCGTTTGTACTCTCTTGATTCCCAGCTGGGCTGTCTGGAGTACCCGATGAGCCGTCCTCCTCCTTAGTCGGTGGTGTTGGTTCGGTCGCCTCCTTGGTCCTTATTCCCGCACTATTCCCACTCACCTTCCGAGACGATGTACCAGATGCGAGCCCACTCCGCTTGGATCTGCCATACCAGTGGGGAAACCCATGCCGCAGACTGAATCCCCCCCGGGGGTAACCGCTCTTCGTCTGTTGCGCTGACCGGGTTATCGCTTGCTGACCCGGTGCTGAAAGTATAGGTTGTAAGAGGGACAATTAATGGGTGGAAGACATCGGTTGCAAACGTGACAAGAGGTGGCAGATCAGGGTAGATGTCTGGGAAGCGGATTTGAAACCGAAGGATAGCCGAGGCGTATGGCCCTAAGAGAAAGCCACATTGTCAATTGAGGATTCAGTGAGCATATTCGTATAGACGCTTACCGGACCGAACAAACATGACACCATTCCACAGGGTTGGGTCGCCTGGCGCGAGGGTCATGTAGACCCCTGGTGGTGCAGCATGTCGTAAACTTGCGCTACAGAGGTGGTCAATGGGACAGTCTGTTTTGCATGGAGGGAGAAAACTCACAACTCCAGGTGTAATTGTTGTTTCCGGAGAGATGGAATGCACGGTAGCCTGCTGGTTGACATGATAAAGTCGAGTTGATCCCCCCAGCTATCCGTGCTTCTTAGGGGATTGGAATGTGTGGAGATGTTGATTCAACCAAACACGCCGATTGTCTTATCGATAAGCAAAGTACAAAGTACCGCGGCAGACTTGCTCAAACGGGAATCCCAGTCATTGCCCAGGTGCTCTTGTGTCATTCTAGTCATTTATTGATCTCTTTACTTTTGGATTTGGTTCTAGCTGAATTCACCGCTATTTTTTTTGAATTCCATGTTATGCTCAAAAGCTAGAGGCGTTTTCCTGTTATCAAGTCATCTTTTTCAATCTACTCGAACCGCCCAGCAGCCATAATATATGGATAAAACCTGACGTGTATGAATTTAGTAGCGTGTATTTCTAATCAATAATTTTACAGTATCTACCATGCAATCGTTCTAAGGCCGATCAGGCTTAAATGCCAATCTATCGAGCTCTAAGCCTGGTTTCAAAAGTCCCAAGTGCATCATACCTTCTCCTACACCTTCGTATATACCTCCAGCGATGCCTTCCACCCACCAGCTCAAGAGATTTCCCACAGCTACGCCCACACGGCCTTCATTAATCCTGCAAAATGCTGTACCAATATCCACGCCTTTTTTGCCCAGTCCATCTGCTGCATCCAACGTCGTTGTCACTAGACGTTGTGTGATACGATGCGATCGTTCGTATTCATAAACTTGCCGCAGCAAGATCCTCAAATATGGCATCAGAAACCGAACCAAAAGAAAAAATTGAATGATGGCGGATGCAAGAAGTCTATGCAAGTATGAGCGGTGACAAGGAAGTGCTTTTGTTGGTGCTTGGCCTTCCAGCTGCGATTGTGATTGTAAATTCGAGCTTATGGATGACTTAACAGACTCCGGAAGACGATTCCGAAGCATGATTGTTTCTTCGGGCGTAAGATCAGACGGAAGTGCATCTAGTAGATACATCAACGCATTGACGTAAAGCGATCGTGTTAATCGACCATCAGCAAAAGGCTGTTGAGCTTCATAGCCTGCATTGCGCAACAGATTAAATGCTAGAGAATAATAAGCGAACTATCCATGCAATCATGAAATAATCAATTTGTATTTAGCTTCTCACCAGGTACGACCCTATTCCATCGTAATCCAGACTCAGTCTCATACTTTGCCGGTGACATTCCCTCCTCAGTGGGAGGGCTCTCGGTACCGACAGAGCCAGATTCAAATGAATCAAGACTATCACTTGCTGTGGAGGGTCTTTGTGTCTCAATGATTCGTAATTCTGGGAATTGTAGGTGACATAAGTGTGGCTCCGATAACGAGGTCAGCCCGTGACGCAATGTTTCGACCCCGCTCGAGTCGTTATCTGATACAGGTCTATGCGAGGAATATAGGCGGGGGAGCCGACGTCGAATAGTGGCTGGAATGGGGAGAAGTGAGAATCGAGAATACTCCATGTGTAGGTTCGTAGGTTGAAATGGAGTGAGTGTGTGTGTGTGAGAGAGAGAGAGAGAGAGAGAGAGAGAGAGTTGAGATAGCGGGGCACAGGTTCCCAGCCTGAATTTTATATGATATGAAAAGAGAAGGAGTAATATTCAGAAGAGGGGAATAACATAGTCCCAGTGAAATTTTTGACAGATAACGGTGCTGCAGATTCAAGTTACGCCATTTCGTGCATGCGGCACTTTCACATGTCAGCGTTCTCGTATCTGATATGCTGATAAGCATGGTCTGTGCTCTCGTTTAAAACGCACTTGATACTTAGTTTATCATCTGGGCATGGTTTGTTATATCAGATTCAAATCTACCAAACACGCGTTTCAGATCTCATAGTGGAATAATAATCAAGCGATCCGAGTGTTTCTAATTATTTGAGATTGATGCAGGACACTGCGCGACTGCGCGATTGTGGATTGATTACCCGAGGCTTCAACGTGGAAACTTGAAGCGTAGAAAAAAGTATTTGTTATATAGATCTAAAGCCACTGAATCTTTTTCAAGTTATTCATTCGAGTCCGAGTCGCTTGAAATCTTAGAATAATATTAATGAGATGGGCCACTAGGTGGCTATGTATCCAAAGATTTTGGACATATTAGTAGTAACTACTAGTAGTGGGGGCTATGCCCATGCGGCCATGCCCACCCGGGCATGCTCAGCCTCAACCTTTGGGCTCACTTTGGGCATCAACCAAAGTGGCTACCACCTAAAGTGGATGTGCCTCTGCCCAGGTGCTTGATAATGCTGGAACTCTGAATTGCATGTGAGATGGCAGATGATACATCATTTAACTGATATGCCTGTATTCTCTTCCCCAATTCAAAGGGTACATTAATTCATAATGGCTGACCCACTCTCAATCGCATCGGGGATTGCGGGGTTGCTTTCGCTTGGTATTCAAGTCACCCAATCCTTAGTCGAGTTTTACACCACATACAAAAACCAGGACAACGATGTGGCAAAGGTTACCCAGAATCTCGATAATCTTCAAAATCTCTTTCGAGCCCTTGATGCTGCAGTAGAGGAGCGCCGAACACAAGCCAACACGCAAGATCTACTCCAAGAAATCGAGAAGGCGGTACTCAAATGCGAGGAAATCATCATCGAGCTACGGAGCGAGTGTGACAGATTCAACAAAGACTCAAATGTCGGTTTAAAGGATCTCATCAAGGTGACCGGACGTCGCGCCGCCTATCCATTTCGGAAAAGTACCCTGCAGAAACTCGAAGAAGACGTGGGCGAAATACGTGAAAACCTGTCATTCGGACTCAATGTCCTGCAGCTTAAAAGCCAGACCCAGATCCAAGCTGATTTATCGGATATCAAATCACTCGTCGAGCGAACAAATGCTAGTCAAATCTCCTTTACAATCCGTTGCTGGCTTATGGCGCCAGATGCATCTCTCAACCACAACACCGCATGTGCCAAATCTCATCCAAAGACGGGTCTATGGTTCGTTAACGGCTACCAATTTCGGACTTGGCTGAAGGAACCCAGTTCCTTTCTATGGCTGAACGGGTTCGCGGGATGTGGCAAGTCGGTTCTCTGCTCAACTACAATCCAGAATACATTTCATGAGATGAAGGATGAACACGCAGTCGGAATCGCGTTTTTCTACTTTTCCTTCACTGATCAGACAAAGCAAGATGATAATGGTATGCTACGGACACTGCTACTACAGCTATCGGCACAGCTCCCAGACGGCGAAAAAGATCTGGAGCAGCTGTATATGTTGAATAAATCTGGGTCTCCTTCAGTGGACAAGCTACTTGCCTTACTTCGAAGTTTCCTTGAGCGATTCCGTGATACTTATATTCTACTCGATGCACTAGACGAGAGCCCTCGAGATTGTCAAAGAGAGGGAGTTTTAAAAGCTATACAGGTGATACGTGACTGGTTGATGCCTGGCGTCCATCTGTTGGTGACCAGTCGTAACGAGCTCGATATTCGCGAGTCGTTAAAACCTTCCTGTAGTCAGGATGTTCCGCTCAGGAATCCTGAAGTGGATAGAGACATCGCAGATTTTGTCTCCTATCAGCTTGAGAACGATGCGAAGGTTCAGAAGTGGAAATCACGTCACGAGGAGATCAAGAACAAGATGGCAACTGATGCGCAAGGAGTGTAAGTGCTCGATAACGAAAATTTAATTTTTCTGCTATTCTAATAAACATGAGATACAGATTCAGATACGTTGAATGTCAGTTCAACGCCTTTCGGCGGGTGCGAAATCGGAACCAGCTTGACCACTGCCTGCGCACATTGCCCCGTGATCTGGATGAAACGTACGAGCGAATACTGTGCAGTATTGCGGATGAATATGTCGAGGACGTCCGGCGGGTTTTGACATTGCTTTGCTTCTCCACTCGACCACTCACTATCAATGAGCTTATCGACGCTCACGCAGTTGATCTAAATGATCCACCCCAGCTCGATCGTGACGGTCGTTTATATGAGCAGGATGACATTATCGATGTTTGTGTTGGGCTTGTTGAGGTCGTGGCCACGGAAAACTACGAAGGACGAACTACTCCGACCGTGCGTATAGCGCATTTTTCTGTTCAGGAGTACCTCCTGTCAGACCGGCTCATTCAACAAAAATCAAGAATGTTTGCAATGAAAAGTGCGCCCGCAAATTCAGAGATAGCTCAAATATGCCTGGTCTACCTTCTGGAGCCAACTCTCTCTGAAGGGGTCTTTGATGAAGGAAAGCTCACGGAGTTTCCATTTGCTTCCTTCGCAGCTAGCTATTGGTTTCATCATTATAAAAATTCAGAGGAGGAGGAAGCAATTGGAAACCTAGCATCGAAGCTTTTCAAAGACAAGACGAAGGCTTTTGTTTCGTGGGTTCGCTTGCATAACATGGACGTTGGAAAAATACGGGGTTCGTATGGTCCTGCTGTTGATATAGCAACACCTGTGTACTATGCGGCGTTGTTGGGGCTAGACTTTGTCCTAAATAGCATCCTACCTGCAGGTTCAGAGTTATCTGAAACCGTGAACATCCAAGGTGGGTATTGGGGATATGCGCTCCAAGCCGCCTCATTTAATGGCCATGAGAAAGCGGTGCAGATACTATTGGATAGAGGTGCCGATATCAACATCCAATATGGAAATTGGGGCAATGCACTACATGCCGCATCATTTAATGGCCATGAGAAGGTGGTTCAGGTACTATTAGATGGAGGTGCCGATGTTAACATCCAACATGAATATTGGGGCAATATACTCCAGGCCGCTTCACTTAATGGTCATGAGAAGGTGGTGCAGACACTATTGGATAGAGGTGTCAATGTTAATGTCCAAGGTGGAAACTGGACTAATGCACTCCAGGCTGCATCAGTCAGTGGTCATGAGAAAGTGGTGCAGATACTATTGGATGCTGGTGCCGATGTTAATATGCAAGATGGATATTGGGGTAGTGCACTCCAGGCTGCTTCACTTAATGGCCATGACAAGGTTGCACAGATACTATTGAACGGAGGTGCCGATATCAACGCCGAAGGCAAATATTGGGGAAATGCACTCCGGGCTGCTTCAATTAATGGCCATGAGAAGGTGGTGGAGATACTATTGAATGGAGGTGCTGATGTCAACACCCAACATGAATATTGGGGGAATGCCCTCTACGCCGCTTCATTGAAAGGCCACAAAAAGGTAGTGCGGATTCTGTTAGATGAAGGCGCCGATGTCAACTTCGAAGATAAAAATTGGGGTAATGCACTCCAGGCTGCATCAAGTGAAGGCCACGAAAATGTGGTGCAAATACTATTGGATGCTGGTGCCGACGCCAACGCGCAAAATGGTGAATTAGGTCTTTAGTCGTAACCACTGGCAGTCTTTAACATACATAAACTTGATAACCCCAAAAGTGGCCTGGCGGATAAAGGATAGAGCCTTCTATGTAGTTCTTCACAGATATTAGTTACGCGCTTAAGCAATAAAAATAAAAAGTCTCATAGCTAGCTATCGCTTTCACTATGAGAGAAAAGTTGGCCTGGCCCCCATAACCAAGGACGTCTGGCGCCCTAGCCAATCTTCACCCACTTTGGAAGAGACTTGAAGGAACTGTTGAGTTAAAAGTCTCATTCATAATTCGAGTAAAAGAATTGAATGGATCTCAGAGGAACCTTTGCCTGATCCATCAATCGATATTTGCAGTGTCATAGGTAAGGGTTGGGCCAAACCATGGACAGCATCCCTCTCCCCAACGATTCAACAAAACTGGTGAATTAATGAGACAACATAACATGTCAATTCCACATGCGACCGAGGAAATAGTAATTTCTGGAATAGTAATCATATTGTATATATTGAGAGAATGAATAAATGAAAAATAAAATTGTTTCTCGATATCATACCTTATTCGGGTCTTCTTTCATCACAGTCCCATCGCATCACGAAATTCAAAGATTGGACTACACCAATCCTCAAGTATTGAGTCAAAGTATTTGAGACACCGGACTCAGGATAGGTTGAAATGGCAGAAACTAAACCAAATGATCAAAAGCTCCATATAACCGAGCAGCCCATCACACTGTCCAACTGGCACCGTCATGTCAATTGGATCAATACCAGTTTGATTCTAGTAGTGCCAATATTTGGTTGTATCGCTGCTTTCTTCACTGAGTTGAAGCCGGTCACAGCCGCTTGGGCTATTTTGTATTACTTCTGGACTGGTCTTGGGATCACTGCTGGATATCATCGTCTTTGGTCGCATCGTTCATATGAAGCGTAAGCCTCTTGCCAAGTCCTTCTCTTCCACTCCTCGCCTTCACATTTGTTGCAAAATCTTCATACTGATTCGAATATTTATCGATCTAGGGGTCTCCCACTTAAGATTTTTCTCGCGTGCGTTGGTGGAGGTGCAGTTCAAGGTTCTATTCGTTGGTGGAGCAGCAAGCACCGTGCCCACCACAGATGGACGGACACGGTTAAAGACCCTTACAGCGTTCGAAAGGGAGTGTGGTACTCCCATTTCATGTGGATGGCTTTGAAACAAAACCCGAAGGATCGTGGCCGAACGGATATTTCAGACCTGAATCACGACCCGATCGTTGTGTGGCAGCATAGGCACTATGGAATGGTAATCCTTGTTTTTGGAATGTTATTCCCCATGTTGGTAGCTGGTCTCGGCTGGGGCGATTGGCAGGGTGGACTGGTATATGCAGGAATTTTGAGATTCTTTTTCGTGCAGCAAGCAACCTTCTGTGTTAATTCCCTGGCTCATTGGTTGGGTGATCAGGTTTGTTTCGTCTTCATCCATGAAGCGAAAAAATCTTAAGTCGGTTGCTAATTACAACAGCCATTTGATGACAGGAACTCGCCCCGCGATCATGTCATTACTGCTTTGGTGACCTTGGGTGAAGGGTATCATAATTTCCATCATGAGGTAAAATTCACGCCCTCTGTTTCTGTTGAATCAATTCTGACTTATCAGTTCCCTTCGGATTACCGTAATGCGATCGAGTGGTGGCAATATGACCCAACAAAGTGGTCCATCTGGGTATGGAAGCAACTTGGTCTAGCGTCTAATCTGAAACAATTTCGCGCAAATGAGATTGAAAAAGGCCGCGTTCAACAATTGCAGAAGAAGGTCGACCAAAAGCGAGCAAAGTTGGATTGGGGTGTTCCTCTTGAGAAGCTACCAGCTGTTTCTTGGGATGACTTTGAGGTTGAGACTCAGAGTGGAAAGGCCTTGACAGTGATTGCTGGTGTTATCCATGATTTAACTCATTTCATCCATGAGCACCCCGGTGGGAAGGTTTTGATCAGTTCGGCAATTGGGAAGGATGCAACTGCTTTGTTCAACGGAGGAGTGTATAACCATTCTAATGCTGCACATAATTTGCTTTCCACCATGAGAGTCGGGGTGATTCGAGGAGGTGGTGAAGTGGAAATTTGGCGGAGAAGAAATAGCGACAAAGCTATTTAAATATCTGCAATTCCATGGTTCCAGAAAAGAAGACATTTCTAAGCCTTCAGAACAACAGGCATCTTGTTTACAAGATTTGAATTAGTAGTATCGCTCCCAAGTGGTGCTCAGTATAAGGAATGCATCCGATAGGATGAACGGAAAATATCATTTGGTCCAATGACAATAGAGCATTAGAAATGACTCTTTTGCTAAAAAGCTTAAAGGCCTCTGAGCATAGGCTAAAATTTGGCTCAAGCGCTCAAATTTCTACTATGTAGTTCGATGACTCCGAATTATGGGTCTCCGCAATGTCGAAATTTGACAGACGAAAATGCGGTTGGAGTCGGCCTGACATAACTTCTTCTCGGGACGGCCGTCTTCCATCGGCAAGAAAGAATTTTCCTGTCTTGGCATTGGCGTTTTCATTGTATGGAAAATGTTGCCAGTACCTCCAGGGCTTTGACCGATATTTAGCCGTTCGGATATCGGAATCGGATGGTACTAGTAGTAAATGCATAGGACAATGAAGGTTTTATGTACTCGCGCGTTGCTTCGTATAGACATGCTGTAAACATCAAATTATTGCCCAAGTGGCCCACTATGGCTTGTCACATGCGCTTGGGCGGTTCTTCTCAGGGCTGGAATCCCCAAGTGTGGAGGACCAAGTTTAGCCCCATGTCGCATGAGAGGGGTCAACTGGTTCATGGTTCCAAAGTTGTCTTGTGTACTCCGTACTCCATGAGAAAAAAAAAATCTCTATAAATCTCAACCATAGATCAGTTAATATTAGTTCTTCAACTATAATTTTCCAGAATAAATCTAGTGGCTTCTAGAAGATATCAAGTTCTATACTCAAAGTTCAATATGACTCCGATATCGCGCCCCATCGTGCCTACCTAATTAGGAATGCCCCGTAGCCCCGCCTTGGAAGTCACGCTTAACCTAAATAGGTTTGGCGTTGACATCCGAAGGGCGTGCAGCTGCGTCTCCCACATCACCCGCGGAACTAATTTCTCACTCCGAACTCGTTTATCCCACCTGTTTGTGGTAAACCGAACGAATGACGTACAATGTCTTTGGATCTATCTGTTCATTCGGCTTTACCGACTCTTGAACTCTAAGCGGGGGAAAGTAAAGCCCACGCGAGTAAACATGAGTCGACCAGTGACAATTCGCCATGACTGATTGCTTATCATGGCACGAGCCTCTCTACACTCTGTACCTTTGATATCTACATTTGGGGGCCCCCGATGTACCGGCCAAAGCCTTAGTGGCATCTCCAATAGTGGTCCCAAGGTAAATCTACTCCACCTGTGCCGAGTCTTGATTAATCACCCTGCTTGGTCTACCCCAGATCAGGGATACCCTTCCCAGACCGACTCTTTTTTTATCCGTTCTCTTACTCGTATCTTCCCCAGAAGAAAAAAAAATCACACTTGGTTAAAGAGAAAAAGAAAGAACAAGTTATAACAACATTCTTGCCTCGACAGTCTTGACGACTGTCACTCAATCGCTGTCATGGAGTACTTTGATTTTGAAGGTGCTTCTTCAGCTCATGAATCGAATCACCCAAGTGACGATGTTGCTTCGGTTGACCTCGAATTTGAAGAGGCCGATGAGCGGAACGCCAACTTCAACTCTCTACTCCACGATCAGCCTCTAGAGTTCGCCAATGACCCGCCCATCCCGGGGACGGCCGAACAAGTGCCAGTGCCCGTCGGCCCCGACCAGGACACCGGAGTCTACCCCATGTTCCGCGCTGAGCAGCCTTGTGATTTTTGTCGACGAATGGGTCTCGACTGCTTTGTTGCCAAACGAGGTGTTATGCACCAAAACGGTTGCACCTGTTGCATCTCTCTCTGGCGTGAATGCAGTTTCACCCACGTCGAAGTTCCTGGCAAGTTTCTTCAAACATTACAACCAGTGCCAGAGACCGTTTATATTCAAAACGGCGGCTTGACTGGTAAAAAAGCACTCAAATCTGTGTCATATGGTGGCTTCAGGGACGATTCAGACTCGCGATCCCGAAAGAACAGTTCAAGTTCTCGATTTTCCCGCAAGGCCATCAACATCCTCAAAGGCTGGCTCCGCGACCACAACGAGAATCCCTATCCCACAGAAACCGAAAAAGACGAATTGAAAGAAGACACTGGATTGAACAGAACACAAATTTCCAATTGGCTGGCCAATGCTCGACGACGCGGAAAAGTTCGACCTGCTAGTGGCACGGAATCTCCTGTTCCAGGCGCCGTCAACATCCCCGGTCAAGATCTGATGGACATCTCGCTCATGACTCCCATTGAACGTTGGAAACACTCACCTCCTGAGAACGAACCCGCTACTATAAGTGATATTGCCCGTGCTTTGGAAAATCCACCATTTGATCCTTCTCGTCAACGCCTGGCCCAGTCTGGTCACGTGCGGGCCCGTCGCCCTGGATCTACCAATGAGTCAAGCCACGCAAGCTCAGACCATAAAAGATATACCGCCTCGGGGAGTAGTCTGGATACTAGTCACTCATCCCTGTCTGATCTTTCTTTTGCTTCTGCATTCTCACATCGATCCTCTCTTGGGTCTTTTGGCTCAATGGATCGCAAAGAACGTCGTCGGCGCCGCAAGGCCTCGGTGCCTGTTAATACTTTCAACCACCAAAAGGCTCGAGCTGTCCGTCCATTCCAATGCACCTTCTGCACTGACTCCTTTGCTGCCAAGTATGATTGGCAGCGTCACGAGAAATCCATGCATCTGATCTTAGATAAATGGACATGTTCTCCCCATGGAGGCGTCACCGAGGAAAACGGGACGCTTCGATGTGTCTTTTGTTTTGCCATCAATCCTGATCGAGATCATCTGGAAACTCACAACTATCTCAGTTGTCAGGAGAAGTCAATCCAAGAGAGAACCTTCTATCGGAAGGACCACCTCAACCAACATCTTCGCCTCATGCACAATGCCAAATTCCAACCCTGCATGGAGATCTGGCAAAGCAGTATCACTAATATCAAATCCCGCTGTGGCTTCTGCGCATCTACATTACACACGTGGAAGGATCGTGTGGATCACCTGGCTGGTCACTTCAAAAATGGGGCCAACATGTCTCAGTGGAATGGCGACTGGGGATTTGAACCTTACATTCTCGAGCGCGTTGAAAATGCCATTCCACCATATATGATCGATTACGAGTGGAATTCACCAAATCCATGGACTACCGTACAGGCCCAAGGAGATGAGAACACTCCTCGATTGAATGTACCTCACGATGCCAATTGCTACGACCGCCTATCTCACGAACTTACTGCATACATCCACAACCAAACTGCACAAGGAATTGTGCCTACAGATCAGATGATACAAGCCCAGGCTCGTCGAGTGATTTATGATTGCGATGACCCTTGGAATCAAACCTGTGCCGATAATTCTGTCTGGCTAGGCATCTTGAAGCGTGATACGGGACTCAACTCTGCCGTGAACAATGAAGCTATTCAATACTCTGACCTGGGCTTGCAGCCCCCGTTTGCCGTTCATGGAGGTCTGCGCAACCCTCCACAAGAAGCCAACGTCCTAGCAAGGGCCATCTACCCTGGTGCTCTTCCAAGCCCTGCAGTCTCCAGCCCCGGGATCCAGAGTCCGACGTATCCGGGAACCGGTTTCTCATCGGCGGGTCCAAGCGGTCCGGGGAGTCTTTCAGGGAGCTATGTCGGAAGTGCAGGAATGATATCAGCTGGTGTACCGGCATTTTCCTCTGATTGGGGCAGTAGCCTCCCCGGCAACGCTTCGGCCTCCTCCGCTCCTGCAGAGAGGTCTGCTGATCCTTTGGTGCAGATGGGGTTCGATCCAGAGTTCCTGCAACGATTGAATGATAGCTACAGTGAACTGACGCCACATGAGATGGAAGGTTTGCCTTTGGATGAGACTGCAGGCTATGCAGTCAATGGGAAACAGAAATGGGTAGATCCAGCATCACAGCCTCATCCAGTATTGGGTCTGCCGACACCAAATGCCATTAATCTCATTCATTCGAAAGAGGGCGGTCCTCCTGCATCAGGTGATATCCAGCAAGGCATGCCTGCATATCACGACGGTTCTGGGCTTTGATTTGATGTTATGTTTATGTGATAGTTTTTTTACATGGAATTGTATACACCGAGATGGCCTTGGACATGTAAAAAGTTTAATGATCCCCAATTTGCATTTGTTTTCTTTTTGGCGAGCATTTTCAATTCCGGTTAATACTACAGAATGAATTGATGGTTTACTAATTTATCAATCAATATCTTGCTTTTGTTGATTAAATTCCCCTGTCACACTTCCTCCTCGTGGTGGGTGGTTCAATTGTAAATTCAACTTCGACCACGCGTCCTTGTTCACACCCAGATGCGTCATGTCCCTTGACTCTGAGATCCATAATTCGGTAACTATGGGGCACTTTGGATCCACTTTCTGCAGCTGTGGACTCCAGATGCCGTGGGGTCTGATTTTTTCCCTCCCAAATTTATTCAGAAGTCGGATTCTCCCGTCATTCCCTTCGGATGCGCACCGAGACGGCCTGGTTGACTCATACCTGGCGCTCACCATCCACCTTTTCATTTCCACAACTCTGAAGTTTCAACCGTGAATTTTGGTTGGATGTTTCTGACACGCAGAAACCCGAAACATTAGTCCACATCATTCGTATCCACAAGGCATACACTCTCATGCTCACTGCCACTATTTATTCCTGATTCGTCTATAGAAGACGGTCTGTGCAGTGCCGAGGTCCAGTCAACTTCCCTACCTGATTTATTACTATGATAGGGAGTAAATCTGCATAAGAAACAAAGCCAACCATCGGTGCCATGGCTACGCCCATTTGCATCATCACCCTCCATCACATCCCACTTGAAATTATCATTCGGCCTTAACTTAGCCCGAGATCTTGCGATCCCTTTCATTCAGATCTCTCATTTTCTTTTTTAGATTCAGGAACAGGCGGATGAATAACGAATTCCGTCCCGATGCAAAGACCGGGATGGTGGTCTACTACTGGTTATCCCCCCCTGGCCATGATCCATGACCCTAGACAAGGTATAATATCCCTTTAAAGGATCGGACGAACTACTCCCCACCTCCGTTCCTGCTGGGACATCTGCAGGGTCCCTTCGTCATCTGCATCGGGGACCTTTTCTATCTTTGTCTGCGATCCATTTTCAGCTATTTTTCATCTCACGGGTGAGATCAGCTGGGTATGCGGGTTACTGAGATCTGGAGTCTGATTCAGGGACAAGGGCTCCAAGACAAAAGAAGAATCAGGCAGGATTGAGATGAGAACCACATTGACCCGGTTTCTTCAGCCATGAAAGGCTTCTAAGGTTCTGTTTAGTATATAGCTTAGATCGCATCCGCATGTCGTGGTACAATGGTATACATTCTTATTCTAATTATCAAATACTATTTCTGAGCTACTATTGTCATAATGAAGGTCTCGATTAGTCATTTGGTCTTGTTGTTTCTATCTCTATTCCAATGGGTTTCTGCTGAAGTCGTTTACTTCTCTATTGTCCTTACATGGGAGGAAAGAGAAGTTGCGGGTTTTACTAGAGATGTTATCCTAGTCAATGATTCTATGCCTGGACCTGAACTGCGACTTGTTCAGGGTGATCATGTTATCTTCGATGTTAGGAATGAGTGTCCGTTCAACGTGACTGTGCATTTTCATGGTGAGTCTTTCCTGCTAGAGTCATGGTATCTACAATACCAATGCTGGAGGATCCTAACAACCTTCTTTATAGGCATCGAACAGAAGGGCACACCTTGGTCAGACGGTGTTCCTGGCTTGAGCCAACGACCCATCGATTCAGGAGCCGCGTTTCGTTATCAATGGACCGCTGATCAATACGGTTCATACTTTTATCATGCTCATCATCGCGGTCAGCTTGAAGATGGCTTATACGGTCCCATCTATATCGAGCCGGCAAATTCAGTGGAGAGACCATTCAGCCTGATTATCACCGAGGAGGCTGAACTTCAGGCTATGATTGTTGCGGAGAAGAATACCTCTCCTCTCATACTGTCGGATTGGCGTCTCTTGACATCCGAACAAATTTGGGATGCAGAAGAAGCATCCGGTGTTGATGCATACTGTGCCAATGCTCTTTTGATCAATGGCTTGGGTTCTGTATCTTGTCTGCCTCAGGCGGAGCTTGATGCTATAAGTGCTTCTCCCAACCTCCAACCTATTCTCGGCAATACGACTCTTACAGATATTGGGTGCGTTTTTATCTTCACTCCACTTGCAACCATTTTCAATGATAGAGCATTTGCTGACCTCGATATAGATGCTTTCCACCTAGTAACGTCGATGCCGAAGGAAACTATACACATGACTACAGCAAATTGTTACCAACCATGTTCGATGGATGTACGGCATCACAAAGCGCTCATGAGGTTTTCAACGTCAATGCAAATGACCGATACGTTAGCTGGGACTTGATTAGCCCAGCCGGAATCCTAGCTCTCACATTCTCTATCGACCAACATGACATGTACATATACGCGATAGACGGTCGGTACATACAACCCTACCTGGTGAACGCCATCAACATCCCAAACGCAAATCGATTCTCCGTTATGGTTCCCCTGAACCAAGAGCCAGGAGACTATACAATCCGCCTCGTAACTGGTGCCCAACAACAACAAATTCTCAACACAACAGCGACAATGCACTATGAGGGGAACTCCGAGCTCACTGGATCTTCCGATCCCTGGATCGACTTCCTCGGGCAGAACACAACCTTAGGAACAATCTTCTACAACGAGTCATTAGTTGTTCCTTTCCCTGTCATCTCACCTTCTGCTACTGTTGACGAAACCTACTTACTCAATATCGGACACTATAACGCCTCATACCTCTGGACACTGGGAAACAGCAGCTTCAACCTTGAACTTGAAGAGTCTCAACCTCTTCTTTTTAATCAACATTCTATACCAAGCGATCTTATCATCCGAACGAAAAATGGCTCTTGGGTTGATCTGATCATCCAAGTCGATACACCTTTTCAAGCAGCTCACCCGATTCATAAACATTCCAACAAACATTTCGCTATTGGATCGGGCAATGGAACTTTTACTTGGTCTTCTGTTGCGGAGGCGATGCAGGATATACCGGGTTCTTTCAATTTGATTAATCCACCGATCAAAGATACCACTGCTGCGCCTACTTCTGCGACCGGACCGGTGTGGATGGTCCTTAGATATCAGGCTGTTATCCCTGGAGCCTTTTTGTTGCATTGTCATATTCAAGTCCACCAGAGTGGAGGAATGGCGCTGGCTATTTTAGATGGAGTTGATGCTTGGCCGACGGTTCCTGATGCCTATTTGTATGATTCGGGATTTTGAGAGGATTTGATTGTTGCTAGTAGAGGTTGGGTTTAAGATGAGATAGTAGTTAGCGGATGGGAGGTTCAAGTTGGATAGAGACTAGAAGGTTGAGTTCAAGTATTTGGTTGAAAGTAGTACATAATGATGAAATGCATGATGAGTTTCTAGATGGCTGAAGAAGATTGAATTCCATGAATTGAAGCTACCATTATCATACATCATTGATCCTGAGACATAATCATCAAATTGACAGGAAAGAAAAACTAGCTGGCTAAATAGCATCGACTGTACGCCAAAAATGATGAATAAATGACAAATCAACGCAACATTGTACGTCCAAACATTTCGTCTCGTACTCGTTTCATTCCAATCGTAAATGCGAAATTTCTTCTTTCCAAATAATTGGTCAACTTAGAAAAAGAAAACAGGAAAACTTGCAGCTGATTACCGTGTAGAGGAGGGCAAGGAGCTAAATCACTCAATTCAGATCAACTGATTCCTCGATATGCTCCCCAGAGAGTTCCTCAAGCGATGTCTCATCGGACTCTTTAATCGATGCCTGAATCGGATCGGTAGACTCCTCGATAGGTTCCTCATCGGTTTCCACAAAAGCTGTCTCAATGGGATCCTCAGTTAGATCCTCACTAGCCTCATCAATAGGCTCCCCAATAAGATCCTCATTGGGCTCCTCATCAGGCTCCTCATTGGTTTCCTCAACAGCTGTCCCCACAGGTTCCTCAGTTGGTTCTTCACTGGGCTCATCGACAGGCTCCTCAATAACCTCCTTGCTGGGTTCCTCGATAGGCTCTTCGGTAGGCTCCTTAATTGGCTCCTCTACAGCTGTCTCAGCGGGCTCTTGAATAGATGCCTGAATTGGAACCACGGTAGGCTCCTCCATGGGTTCCTCATCGGTTTGCTCAACAGCTGTCTCAATGAGCTCCTCAGTTGGTTCTTCACTAGTCTCCTCAGTCACAATTGACTCTTCAATAACCTCTTCAGCTGGCTGATCAAGAGACGGCTCAACGAATGTATCAGTGGTCTCCTCAACGGCTGTCTCGATTGGGGCTTCAATAAACTCTTCGATCGGCTGTTCAATCTGAGTCTCAACAGGAGCACCAGTGGGCTCCTCAATGGCGTCCTCAGCAAACTCCTCGACAGCTCTGGCAGCCTCAGCATAGATAGGGGTGTTGATCTCATCAATGGCTTGATCTGTTGGGGTTTGCAGCCCCTCTTGAGAATCTTCCACCACTTGAGGCTCGGATTGTATAGTATTTTCGGACAGGGGTTTATGAAAGCTGACATCAGCGGATGGAATATATTGCTGCATCTTCTCGACCGCACCAACTTCCGTAATGGACTCCGCAAGCTGCACATGCTCAGAAACTTCTTCAATGAAAGAAGACTGAATCACCTCTGGAGCTGGAATGGCACTTTCCGTGGCAATAGGAGCCACACTTGTTACACTGGGCACGATGTCGATAACCGAAGAATGAACGTTTGCCGGCGCAATAGGGACGCTCGGGCCAACCACATTCGAGCGCCCAGTCATGAATGGTGCTTCCATGCCATTGAAGAAATACTGTGCAATAGGCTGAAGCTGCTCGTGAGGCTGGGCTCTTGTAGCGAGAAACCCAACCAAGACTGACATAGCAACCAGCGCAATGTTACGCTTATCGCTAGCCAAAACACGGATGTAATTGATCATCAATGTCCCGAGTGCAATTTGATGTTCCGGCTCCTGGCGCCTAACATCCGGGAATAGTGCAAGTGATGCAGGTGGTGCAGGCGGTGCAGGCATTAACGCAGGAAGAGGAGCCGCCGTGGCGCTCACGCCACTAAACAACCTGGTAGATTCCTGAACAGATTGACGCCGAGACTCAATCTTTTGTGTTACCGGAGGCTCGGGAACTGGCATGGGGATGAGCTGCATCTCTTGCCTCGGTGCAGCCAACCGTGCTTCGGCCATGCGCTTCTCAAGTGCCCTTCGCACATCAGATGGTAACCAAAGTCCAACCTCGACATCCACCTTCTCCATCTCCTTCCACGCGGCAGCCCATGCACCCGCTCGCATCAGACCATTGGCTGCGAATACCCGGATCTCCCATTTGCGATTGGTATCACTAGTTCGGAGTACCCGTCCACCACAGTCAAGACATTCTTCACCCTGCTCACCATCTGTCTCGCTTTCATCATTATCAGAAAGCTCGCCTTCGGATCCTGAGCCAGCTTCTTCGTGGCCGAGGAAATGGCCTTGGTGAACTCTTGCGCGCTGTAGTTCTAGACTTTCCAGTAATCGTTCCTCAAGCATATCGTATAAGTCTTCTGGATGAGAGATCAGCACACCTCGGTCTCGGAGGACGCCTGAGCCGGCTTTCTCTTGTAATCTGCGCCAGCGCTTCCAGTATTGAGTGGGTAAGACTTCTTCGACGATTTCTTGATTCTGAGGTTCGGAGGCACCGGGCACGGGGAGTGAAGGTGCGAGAAGGTTGCAGTGTAATAGAACAAGTGGATACTCTTTCTTGGCTTTGGGTTTGTTGGACGAAGTATTCGGTGAATAGTATGGTGACCGTTTCAATCCCGATGATCCCGGTGATCGAATTCCTGCTCGACGTCTCGGGGGGGGGTCAAGTAATCTTCCTCTTCGCCTTCATCCTCGGTATGCATCTGCATAGCTCTAACTGAGCTTGGCTTTCGGAATGCTGCTTCCCGAGGTCGAATAGGACGCATTGTTCTGGGTGGGTCGTCGAAATCACCGAAGCTGGCTTCCGATTCTTCAATTGTGTATCCAACCATCTTTTCATGTAGGTCCATCGGTGGCATTGATTTGACTCCACTGATAGGGTGTATGAGGACGGATGCTGGCATTGAGGAGAAGGACGAGCGGCTCGATGTGCGTGAGTTCATGTGCTCGAGTTCCACGTCAATTTCCCGGCCGAATATATCGCTAGATGAATGTCGAGTGGAAGATACTGAAGAGTTGTATTCATAATCTCGAGCGGCCAGCTGACTGTCATCTGTGGCTGATCCGTTATCGCTCGATGGAACGTGGGACGACTCGAACGTGGCAAGTAGATGCTCTTTGCTGGGGGGGACGAAGGGCTGGGGGCTTAGGATTTCATTGTAATTGTGGGCTTCTGAGTAAGAGTGGCCTTCATCATAAAGAGGCGCCATATGGAGTCACATGTGGTAATAGAAAAAAAGGAAATTGGGTTTGGCGGTGATAATACACCTCACATTCAACGTGGTTGTATAGGCACAGTGTGTTGACACCTCTCACCGCTCCGTCTCCCTGGGCAACCTTGAGACTCCATTACCGTTGGGCTTCATTAGGCCCCACTGACCCACTACAACTTTATATAAAACAACATTCTTGGAGTCAGCTTTGGGGATAAAATAGTATTGAGCCCTGGAGATCATGAATTTTTTGAAGAAATTCATCAAGATGGTCGTAGATAATTTTTATCCGGATTCAAACCCACAATCAAGGATGCTGTACGCTAGTCAAGACCGAATCAACCACGAAATTCAAGATGAGCCTACCGGACGATCTATAACTTGATCCAGGATATCTCACTACCGGACGCCGGTCATAATTCTCGAAATGAGAAAGCTGTTCCAAAAAAGATACCCAAACTCGCTTAATAGATAAGGCGGAAATTCAAATGCGGCCTTCAAGAACAAAATGGAAACAAAGAAATACATATACACGTAAAAGAGGCGACAACGCCAACTATTATGGCGGAGGACGAGTTTTTGGGTCGTCGGGATTCATCATAGGGTAGTTGTGGTTATCGCCGAAAAAGCTGAGAACATCTTGAGGCAAATACTCAAGCCAGGGCAGAATCTCCCCATTTGAGAAAGGAAAGGATTCTTGATGTTGTATGTTGTTCATGTCGACATCGTGACTTTCAATCATCATACCTCCATTGTGGGAGTGCATTGATGGATGCATATGTGTATGACTGCCATGCTGATCTGCGGCAGTGGATGAAACGGGGTAATTGAATGCAGAGGACTGACTATCCATTTGAGAGGGCGCAATACCCTGGTCATAACTCGACTGGGCTGAAGCAACAGCCCGGGTGCTTGGCTCCGGATAGGAAGAGGTCATTCCGAGGTAGTAAGGGGAGTCGGTACCCATGTTTCGGTTGGAGATATGAGGGTATTTGGCATTGGCGGACGCGAGAGAGGATCCGGGTGATTCCCCGATGGTGCCGGAAGGACTCACGGCGTGCGGAAACGAGGAACTTGAACCAGCATTTGGCACTTGAAGCATAGACGGGTAGCTGTGACTATATTGCGAAGAAAATGGTGGTTTATTCTCGGGTACTTCGTTTTCGGTCGTTGGCATTTGATAGAGTAAACTCAGATTAGGCTGGGAAGAATTTGTTGCCCCTGTCAATGCCCATCCAATGGCTAAGAAATAATGTTAGTGAAAACCCTGCAAAGTAGATAACGTGGTGTACGTACCATGACTGGGGTCAAACTTGGGCGACCATTTCCCATCTGTCGGAACATCTGCTACAGCAGGAGGTCTTTCAACTCCCTGGCCAGGAGCTCCGAAGGGAGTGTCACCGGTGGTGTTTTCCATGTCCTCTGCTGTGTACAGAAGAGGGTCGACGATCCCCTTGGCCTTCTGGTCTAGCACGGTCAGAATGTATCCGGTTCCTTCCCAGTACGCCTCCAACGCCTTCAACGCCTTATAACATCGTTGATAATTCTCCTTGGCAGCTGAAGCGAGCAAAATGTGCTTCGCGGTAGACTTTTGTTCTGACCCAGTGGATGACTCCATCGTAGGCATTACGAAGCCACTAGATGAGTTGCTCAATAGTGGTTGGGGTGGAGGGGAGGTCCCCCGGGATGAAGGCGAGGAGTAGTATGCACTTTCCATTAGAAAAGCGCATGCTGCAATATACATTGGCTGACTCGTGAAAGGGTTGCCAATGAAGCTTTTCCCGTCTACCAATTCGGAGAATGATAGGATGTCGGCAATTGTCTTGGCTGATGACATTGACAGCTCGCGGCTATTGGGATAGAGATGCTGTATCGATCCGCCAAATGAGTGTAGTAAAGTGGGTTGATGAAGTAGCACAATGAGTGTGTGAAACCACTAACAAAAATTAGAAGCAAGTCGAAGACAGGTAGTAAAGAGGGACATACGAAATGCAGAAGAATAAAATTAGTTCCTTCTTTGGCTTTGACATATGCTTGGAAATTAGCAGCATTGAAATGAAGCTTCGGAGAAAGTCGCTGGTAAATGCCTGGGTGGGGAGTTAGAATGTCTTTGCTATAGGCCCATCATCCAAAGATACATACCGGTCAGGTCACTTTCCATGCCCGCAAGCCTCTTTAGAGTGTCTGCCGTAACGTGCTTGACATCTTGAATTCCGTTAATTAGATCTGTTACTCTCCCGTAAAGATGAATAACTCGGATCAACGGTGGAAACGGCGCAGGCCACCCATTTGGCAATTGAGATTCGGACTGGAGTGGGAAACAAAGTTCGATATCCTCATCACGCAGGGTCACAGGGCGACCGGTTCCAGAAGAGATGACCCGGTCAAGGAAAAATATGCTCCAGAAGGAATCAACACGTTCTCTCTCTCGTGCCCGCTCTGTTCCAAAAGCAGGTGGTGGGACCGTTTGTGGACTGTTGTATACATCGAGGTCATCGTATTGATCCTCTCGGAGCTTGCCAGCTTGGCCACTCATCACTTCACTTGGTGTCACTCCTTTCCGACCATAGTTATGCTTCAGACCTTGATGTTTTTGCAGCCCAAGATCCTGCGCCATTCTGATTGAAATTCCCAGATACATCCAAAGACCACTGTCATGATTAGATCCGAATTGTTCATAGGCTAGCAGTAGGCAGGCCATAACTCCAGCAAGTGTTGGACAAGATAATGAATCGACGAGTGCACTCATTGCGCGATGAGCGAAAGGCAGCCCGCGATCTGACATTTTGATATCGGCGGGTGGTTGTGAACGATCAATGGGCGGTGCCTGAGGAGGTCCAAGTAGAGGATGCGGAGAGAATCTAGCGGCTAATGCGCACACGGCATCCACTAACATAGTATCGATTTTCTTCTCCTTGAGATCTTGAAGAAATCTGTCGCGCTGAAGAAATGGAAAGCTGCAACCTAGATGCACAAAAAAGAGCTCGCTCAAATGAAAAACCAGTTTTGATACTGGAAGTGGGTCGTCCCGGTCGTAAAATGGTATCGTATTAGCATCTCTAGTATCATGGTTGTCCAAAGTAGGAGCAAAAATGCCTGGTTGAACATCGGATAACCTGGGGCTGCGCAAGGAAGACAAGGAGTCTGGATCTTATCGCGACAGTCAGCAAATTGCACATCCATATATTCAACAGAGTTTCACAGACCTGACGACATTGACGGATTACTTTTGCGTGATCCCCGAACTTGAACAACCTAATATCAAGTTAAAACCAGACGAAATCAACCTAGTAAAAAGATTCCCACCATTTGTTTAAAGCCAGGCACGATGGCCGTGGGTCCGAAATATCGAAAGTATGGAACATGTGTGCGATTACTGGCGCTCACAGAGGTCCTATCTAAGACGATAGACATATCTTAGCATCACAGTTCACAGTTGCTTCCACCGACCAACGGATGGGCCAGTCTACATGACACTATATCCAACTCACTGCTTTCAGGACTATCTCCATCGACCTGCGAGATAATCTCTTTATTAATGCGCGCGACAGCATCTTTTGAATCTAATTTCTTTGGTACCGCCGACTTGTCGAGTGTTGGTTTAAGGAAAGGTTTTGGGGCTACTGTTGGTATTGGTTCTGGTGAACAGCTCTCCACCGCCCGCTCGTTGCGCTGTGGCGGAGAATCGTTGGGACCGAAGGGAGGGATTCGGGGTACCCGCGAGGTGGAATCAGATTGGGATCGTAGATGGGCGGTCGATTCGCTATAACCAAGACAGACATGTTTGTAGTCGGAGCAAGTCTTGCACACTAGAACTTGCGTGAGTGGTCTGTCGCACTAGCTATAGGTTCCATCTCATCCATACCTGGTTGTTCTCCCGAACATCTAATCTTGCGCCGACGACATGTTAAACAACTATAGATCCCAAACCTCTATTAGCCACCTATATTGCTTGAATTATAGCTTGATATGAACTGCGCTGGACGTACGCGGCGGTGACTCTGCGTCGTTTAGTCTGCGGTTGGCCGTCGGTAGAGACGAAGCGGATTTGTTTCGGACCGGAGTTGTTGCCGCCACTCTTCTTCTTAGGAGAAGGGGGGCTCATATCGAGCGAAGAGCTTAACCGTGCTCACGACCCATTGGGTATATGCTATCGAGCCCAGGAGGGGGCGTAGGTGGGATCGAATCGGCACGCGAAGCTTACACCGAGGCGCGGCCGGGTATGGGGCAGATGAAGCGGTAAGGAAGATCGTGGGAGAGCAGAAGGGACTCGGGGAGCGTCAGCTGCATGAGGCTTTGAGTCTGAATGATTTGCTGGCGTGGGGAGCACAGAGGGGGCCTTAGAGCCCAATAGGAAGGGATAGCTTATAAGTTTAAAGGGTGTGTGCTGTGTAGAGGGGGAAGGGAAGAAAGAGTATGAAAGGAGGGGAGTAGTATGCAGTTTTGGATAAGAGATTCCGGGAATCTTGATCTAAAAACCACTTGCTTTTTGGATTCACAGCAGGGTGAGACTAAAAGAAATTCTTTTTTTGTGAAGGATTCCAGTTCATGTTCATCTGTATGGAATCATAATAATAATAATTTACGTGCGTAACGGAATTCCAACCCTTGACCGCCCCATGTGCTAATGGTATCACCCGAAAACAGACGAAACAAACGAAAGAAACGATGACCACGGGTCCACCAGGGGAACATACTAGTACAGCGTAATAATGACATTTAAAAAGATCTTGATGGTCATGGGATCGGTGGGTCTTAAGTTTTAACATCCATCAGATCCTCGGGTTCCTGGAACCAATGACTCGTGGGTTTGGGGGTAAATGGGATGATAATGATCATCAATGCAGCGCCGGAGCCGAGGGGTAAATTGAATGATATCCCCGAATGAAGATGTAAAAGCTGGGGCCGGTGAGAGACAACGTGGAGTCCAGACTTTGTGGGGACTCCATAATTTGGAGCTTGATGGTTGTGGGATGGTCCACTCGGACCAGTCGGGGAACCGTGAGTCCGGCAATTTGTCCTTTTTTACTGTACACGCTGACGGGTTTTTCCCCCTCGACACGAGTTGTACACTCCACCTAGCTGTACACATGTCCTAGTTCTCCGGCTATATCTTTACTAACCCTAGGGTTTACTGGTATTTTATCGTGAATTTTCAATGTTTGCGGAAGATGATGTTTGGAACTTATCCACGTTGACCAATATTGATCTACTATAGTATCATTTACCCGAGGTCAGTCGGCGCATCTCCGGTCTAGACGATTCAGTACTAGCAGTAATAACGATTCAAAATTTTCCTCTTCTCAGTTCTGCGGGAAACAGAAATTTCAAATGTTTCTAGAATCTGAAGAACAATGCCCCAGGGTTCAGCTAAATTGTAGATCAGTCTCATAACCGATATTGGAAACATCATACTGCAGAATACGTGGACCTAGCACTATGATGTCACAAGGAACCTATGAAAATCAACATTTGAGTGAAATCTTTCAAAGCATCTGAAATTGGGCAATCAAACCAGGTTCATTCAATCAGACCAATCATGGCCATAATTTTACTCATACTTGATGGTTCTCAACTTCAAGTTCAAATGTTGACCCGGTACACCTTCATGGATACTACAAATATTCTACGTTTGAGTATTGGCCACTAGCATTCTGTACTCCGAGCTCTAAAGTTCAAGGCTCATTAATTTGAAACATGAATCGCATTATGACTATCAACTTGAAGTATGTAAGGTTTGAGTGGTTTAGTCTGATAGCAAATAACCTTGGACAACTGAATTAAGCTTAAATCAAGCGCACTGCAGCTGAGTGGCAGTGAGGTTCTTCGATGAGTTCAAGTTCAGATCGATCATAGTAGAGCCCAATATATCCCACTACCTGTAGTACTCATACACGATAGTATTTCAGTATCCATTGCCATCATGATCCATCCCAAAAACGAATCACGCATATTCACCTGTTATTTCCAACATTGGAGCTTACCCCATTCCTATCACTGATATGAATCCATATACCCATGGTTATGAATAGCGATACACCGTGGTAGACATAGTAAACATTCGGCCCGAAGGGCGGTCCGATATTACCACGCACATAATTCCCTGGATGGACATAAAGACACGAGGGCGGAAACACGGGATGTGGGCCTATCATCCACGGGGCGTGTCCTTAAGCTTCTCATAACTTGAAAGCCGGAAAGCTTCGTCATTACAAATGCGATAAGAATTTCCATTCATTTTCGTGATTTTCATGGCTTTACGACCACCTTCATTCCGGGTTACTCGATACTTTCACACCCCCAGATTACCATTGTAAGTATTCATTTTCACCGTCACAGTGGCGATTATCTGCCAACAAAAACTCCGCTGATTGATGCACCTACTGCCAGTGCGTCTGACGTGGTTATCGCATCGCGGGGCAGTTCAAACGCCCTAGCTAATCTCATAAGTTTTCAGTAATCGCATTGAACCCTGCCGCTATACCTTCCTTCCTTCTCATCTTCCCCGCCGATCCTTCAATCGTACCTCGGGCTTCAATATGTCCAATCCCCGGCCCGATTTCAAGGAAGTCGAAGCTACGCGCCCCGATTTCCGCCGCAATGCCGAAGTTACCGTCACAAAGACTCCGAACCCTGCTTGGAAGGAGGGTGATGGTGCCAATGATGGCGGAGAGAGCTTGAAGAAAGACCATGTCGAGATTGACCCTTATGCTGAGGGCCGTCCGGTAGCGTCCAACTACAAGTTGTTGATCTCTGGTATGGTGCCGAGACCCATTGCTCTGGTTAGTACGCGGTCGGCCGATGGGAAGACAACAAACCTCGCACCGTTCAGTTATTCCCAAGTTGTCAATCACGATCCACCTACTTTCATTGTGGGGTTCGCTGGGGGTCTCGGTAATGCCAAGGATACCCTGCGCAACCTGCAGGAAACTGGAGAGTGCGTGATCAATATTATTTCAGAGCACTTTGTCGAAGCTGCCAATTCTACTTCTATCAACACTCCATATGGTGTCTCTGAGTGGGAGACTTCGGGTCTGACTCCTGCACCGACTACTGTTGTTAAGCCGGCGCGTGTCAAGGAATCTATTGTGGCTATCGAGGCCAAGCTTGTCGACACAAAGGAGTTTGAGAGTCGCACTACCCCTGGCAAGATGACTGGTGCACTGATTATTGTCGAGGGGGTAAGGTTTTGGGTTAGAGAGGACGCTATTAATGAAGAGCGGTCTATGGTTGACCTGAGCGTTCTTAAGCCGATTAGTCGTTTAGGCGGAATCTCGTATGGCCGCACCACGGAATCCTTCGAGATTCCCCGCCCCTCAATCTGAAGGATGATTGAGAATCTTTGCGGAGTCTTTTTTATATCCATGGATATACTACCTGGGATTTACAACAGATAGAAGGTCTCAGCTGCTGAGCCACACATGGCGTTAGAACACTGTGAAAATTGGTCCGGCGCCTCCGATAGCAGATTATTATCAGGAAAATAATTGGGCAAATAAACTCTTCGTGACGTGTCTCCCTACTAGATCCTAGACCTGGCGTAGCTGACATCTGGAAGGAGTGGAGATGCTTAGCGAGAATGATTGGACAGCGATAGTCGTAATCTGCAACACTTTGTGTGTAGTTCCAACAGCCGATAATGGAACCGTCATTTTTTTTTCTAAAGTGGACTCTTGTGGAGCCGTCCTGGCATAAACTATTGACCAGAGACCGACTAGTCTTGACTTTTTCTTCACCGATCCCGAACCTACCATGCGCCACTTGGGCTTCCTCGCCTTTATTTACTATGAACCACTGCAGAACGGGATCTGAGGTGGACCTGATGGTTCAGCTAGCCGACCTCAGCTAAACTATGTATGGCCAAATCTATGAAATGGCAGATCATGGCGAGGCTGGCGTTGGCGTGATAGCAGCGCCCGTGGAGTTTATCTGATTTCTGAAACTAAATTTGTATAAGAATAAAGCATATGGCGCCTTTCACCTAATGTTCTCGCGTTCATTCTGCAAAACTTTGAATTTCAAATTGGTAAACTGGTAGATTGTTGGCTGTACCCTTATCCGAAATGACCGATATTTCCCTTCGTCTGGCTCAAACAGAGCTCTTCAAGACACCTATTAGCAATTTGTCTGAGGATGAGCAACTCATACTTGGCTATGAACATGCTCGTGCTTCAGCCCAAGAATTCGGTGAGCTCGCTATTCTGTCTGTCGCATGTAGTATGTGATATCCCACGAGAGTGCAAATTCTAATCGATTAGGACTCACAATTGAGGATATCATCCATCTTACACCAAAGTTCTGGGATTATCACCAGCAGTTAATCCACACCGTCGCTATGCCTGCATTTGTTTTGGTCACTATCCAATACAATCTGGTAGCCGGCACGATTGGACGATACATCACTAAAAGACCTGATCTTTGGGGTCTGTTGGACTCTATAGTAAAGTTTGAAGTCTCGTAAGTGCCATATTCACTAAGTAGAGGAAAATAGACGGGCTAACTTTGACAGTGCACAATTCTTGCTGACAGAGATTGGTCATGGACTTGATGCCAAAAACTTGGAAACAACAGCAACTCTCCTCCCTGATGGAGGATTTGACTTGCATTCACCGACCATGGGAGCAGCTAAGTAATTTTCTCTCTCCATTCCAGATCATCTGACTATGTCTAACAACCCTCTCCTACTAGGTTCATGCCTCCCACGACCCCTATTTCAAATTTCCCAAAAGTTGCAGTGGTCTTCGCTAGATTGATTGTCTCCGGAGATGATCACGGTATAAGACCGTTCATTGTCTGGTTGAACGACGGAAACGAGATGAGCAAAGGAGTTACGTCAAGGAGACTGCCAAATCGAGCTGGCTCAAGTCCACTTGACCATTCCGTGACAACTTTCGACCATGTTAAACTTCCGGCATCTGCTCTTCTTGGATCGATTAAGAAGCCCAAGAACATGCGAGATCAATTTCTCTACTTGATCCAGCGTGTGGCAGTTGGTACTCTGGCCTTGTCAACTGTGCTGATCCCCGTTATGAAACGTGCTGTCTACGTAGCCGGAAAGTACAGCATCAAAAGATCGATCCAAGGAAACAATAAAAATGCGGAACTCACACCAATCATCTCGTTCCGTACCCAGCAACGGCCGATTTTGCATACACTTGCTCAGATTGCTGTTTTCGAACCTCTAGTACAAGTTGCGATCGAGACCTTCATGAATTCTGTCACCGAACCTGCTATCCAAAGCGCAATTGCCACGATAGTGAAAGCAGTGCTTGTTTCCTCCTCACAGCGCAGTCTCTTTGAGCTGGCTGAAAGATGTGGGGCCCAAGGATTATTTGGCCACAATCATATCATACAGAATCAACTTGAAGCTCGTGGTATTTCCATTGCGGAAGGCGATATTCAAGTGTTATCCATAAGTATGAATCTTTCTAATCCTTCCCAAAGGTAAATATTGACAATGTTTCATAGGACTGGGATCCGAACTTCTTCTAGGGAGATACGAAATTTCCCCCGCCCACGATGAAACATCACTACTTGCGCGGCACGAGGCCGGGCTTTTCGAAGAATGCCGTATGGCCTTCAAAGATTTCAAGGGCCATCGGAATGAGGCATTTAACAACGCAATTCTTCCACGGTGCTTCCCTCTTGTTGAGGCTATAGGCCATCGCATGGCCTTTGAAGCTGCAAGCAAGGCGGGTATCGATCCAGATCTGCTAGCTCTATACGAAGCAGGTGTTATCCTTCAAGATTCTAGCTGGTATGTGCAACATGCCGGATTAACTAGAGAGGAGCAATTTGAGCGTGAGTCTCGTGCTTTAAGTGCCTGCTTGCCTAAACTGGAGGAACTATTGCATGGAACCGGTGCAAAGGAATTTGTAACTGCACCCATCTTGTCAGATGAGGCTTGGGCAGAATTTCTGTCTGAGTTGAAGACATTTGAGCCTGCCTCGGGGTGGTCGACCTTTGTGCCTCGACTTCCGTTGCGCTCAATGCTGTAGGCCTGAGTGCTTACTAGACGGAGGTATGAATTATGATGATCAAGTCCAGATGCCTGAATAATTAATATAGTAGAAATAAAATAAAACACTACCGATACTACATACACATGGATGCAATTTTGATTCTGATCCTGAGAGCCTGTAATACCATATTATCATCTAATACGGCTTATTAAAGAAATATCCGCGGGGAACACTCCTCTATCCATATCACAGCACCCGGTGCAAAGCGTGATAGGCCGTGCGGAGAGTGCGGGGTTCTTATCTCCAACCTTGATACTATATAAGCCCCTTGGAAGGTTCAGATCTGTGTGACTTAAGCCGTATTTTCCAAGGACTCGGAGGAAATCGAAGATAGCAGAAACACAAACTTTTCCATATTCTGACCTACCACGTTGCAAGCTGAACTAGCAACAACGTCACGATGCCTCAAGAGGACTATGAGATCTACAAGCTTGGTGACTGGGAGCTCCAAAGTGGGCAAAAGATCGCCAATGCGCATATCGCTTTCACAACATTTGGAGATCCCAAGTCGCCAGCTATCCTGTATCCGAGTTGGTTTTCAGGCTGTAAGTTCCGAAAGCGTCTCTTACTTCTCGTTGTGATATTCTTCTTGACTAATGATCACCTCGCCATCTATAGTGCTGTCGGATAATTTCTGGCTTATCGGAGAAGACAAAACTCTGAATCCGAAGGACTATTTTATCATTGTTACCGGCCTTTTTGGAAACGGGCAGTCCTCATCGCCATCAAATCAGCCTAAGCCCGGACCATTCCCGAAGGTCTCATTCTATGATAATGTGCGGGCGCAACACGAACTTCTCACTAAGCACTTCGGGATCGCACACCTGCGCGCTGTGGTGGGGTGGTCCATGGGAGCTGGCCAAACGTTCCAATGGGCAACTCAATATCCCGAATTCATGGACATTGCCGTACCATTCTGTGGATCAGCGAAGACTTCCTTGCATAACCAAGTTTTTCTGGAAGGTGTGAAAAGTGCTCTTCTAGCCGTCAAGAATACTCCATCTGCAGGATCTGGAGAGATCGGAGTGCAGACGTCCCCGACGGAGTTCCGTACTTGGACAGCTGAGGAAAAGGAAATTGGCCTCAAAGCAATGGGTAGGGTCTATGCTGGATGGTAAGCAGATTAGCAGATTTGGTATGTTTCAAAGATTGAGCTAATCCATGATCTATAGGGGGTTCAGTCAGGCGTTTTATCGACACAAGTTGTATGAGACTGTCCTGGGCTACAAAGGGCTTGAGGATTTCATGCAAAACTTCTGGGAGAAGTGGGCTTGCTCCAAAGGTACTGCACAATTATTTCGATGAGTCCCCAACCATATCACAGGGAAAGCAGCTAAATGTGCAATCACAGACCCTGAGAATCTACTTGTCATGATCCAAACATGGCAGAATGGAGATGTGTCCAAGCAGGAACCCTACAATGGTGACTTTGGGAAGGCACTTGCATCAATCAAGGCAAAGACCCTTGTTCTGCCAGCCCAGACAGACCTCTACTTCCCGTAAGTCTTTCATAGTTCCAGCTGATTGAAATGTGAAGGTACTAATCCCTTTCGCTGCCGTCAGACCAGAGGACTCCGAGTATGAAGTCAATTGCATGGCACCAGGGGTTGGAAAATTAGATATTTTCCCATCTATTTGGGGACGTAAGTCTTTCCATGATATATCTTCATTCAAATTTCATATCCGCTGACCAAATTTCTTAGACTGGGCAGGAGGTCCTGGAGATAGTCAGGAGGACGTGAAATGGCTGGATAAGCAGCTTCAACAATTCTTTGCGGCAGATATGGCAGATTTGGCTAAGGAAGTTCAGAATGTGTTATAGAATATGCAATGCAAGCACATCTCAGGTCTACAGCAAGATGTACTGAGTAATACCTGTTGTACATCCATTGGATAATTGAATTTCAACCTGGGGTCGTGGACAAATACAAAGCTCACTGGGCAGAATGGGATGGACGCCCATGCGGGCACGTGATATTCCTGAGTAAGCTTCCAAGGTTTGCTTAAGGGCGGCGGGCCGCGGGCGCCTGGACATGATTTCGCGTCTATCACCTTCCTTACTCCATTCGATCTTTCATTTCACCATTGTCTTTGCCCGGCGTCTTTCTTTTGTTGATTCGTCACTTCCTGATAATCACTCCTAATTTTGATTTCTCATTTCCCATTGCCGTCCTTGAGACGCGACTGTGACGTCGCTACCATTCTCCTTCCCGTTATCTTATCCTCTTGATCACATCACCGGTTTCTTTCATTGCAAAATTTGAGCTACCATGGCAGCCCAATCTGCCCGACAATGGGGTGTCACACCTCCGATCTCGACTGTGCTTCCTACCCAAGATGAGTTGGTCGCCAATGATGATCTCATCGCGGAGCTAAAGGCGCAGAATAACTTCGAGCCTCCAGCGGAGACGGAACGGAGGTATGTCAATCATCGCTCAATGAGGAGGTTGTGACCAAGAGTTGATTCTAACCAATGAAATAGACAACAGATGCTGCAGTTGCTTCAGCGCTGCGCTTTGGAGTTTGTCAAGGTCGTAAGTCGCAGAAAAGGAATGTCGCCTGCCGCTGTAGAAGCAGCCGGTGGTAAGATCTTTGCCTATGGCAGTTATCGTCTCGGAGTTTATGGTCCAGGTTTGTCGCGTCGACCTCTCCATTTGGCCAGCCTTCTTTTTGACAATTTTTACCGCAGGATCGGATATCGATACCCTCGTCGTTGGCCCGCAACATGTCCTGACTGAAGACTTCTTCGCCGACTTCCCGCCCGTTCTTGAACAACTAGCCCCCGAAGGCACGATTGAAAAGATGACACCCGTCCCCGATGCATTTGTCCCTATCATTAAGCTCGAACTTGCTGGAATCAGCATCGACTTGATCTTTGCTCGACTCATTGTTCCTTCGGTGCCCATGAACCTTGACTTAAAGAACAACGACTATCTGCGAGGTCTAGATGAGAAAGAGGTCCGGTCGCTTAATGGAACCCGTGTCACTGATGAGATTCTGGAGCTCGTTCCGCAGCAGAAGACATTCCGCTTGGCTTTGCGCGCGATCAAGCTCTGGGCCCAACGTGCGTGCTATTATGAATCCTTGCTTTCGGTATTCGATTACTTTTGCTGACAACTTCAATAAAGGACGCGCAATTTATGCCAACATTGTTGGCTTCCCTGGTGGTGTAGCATGGGCAATGCTGGTGGCTAGAGTCTGCCAGCTTTACCCTCAGGCTACTGGTTCTGTCATTGTAGGCAAGTTTTTCCGCATTATGAACAAGTGGTCATGGCCACAGCCTGTTTTGCTCAAGCCAATTGAGGATGGTCCTCTGCCAATGAAAGTTTGGAACCCAAAGGTAAGCTTCACTCACGTATTTTGCTCGCAATATGATCTGACGTTGTGGGGGGAACCCTTAGATCTACCACGGCGACCGTTTTCATCTTATGCCCATTATTACCCCGGCTTACCCCTCAATGTGCGCGACCCATAACATCTCAATGTCGACAAAGACAGTCCTTCTCCGGGAGCTTCAGAGAGGTGGCGATATGGTGGATAAAATCTTTTTGAAGCAACTCTCCTGGAACGATCTATTCACACGTCACAGCTTCTTCACAAATGATTACAAGTACTATCTCAGCATTACAGCCTCAAGCAAGACAAAGGAAGCAGAGTCCGTTTGGTCTGGCTTAGTTGAATCTAAGCTGCGACATCTGGTTGGAGCTCTTGATAGAAAAGCTGTTATTGCTGTTGCACACCCTTTCCCGAAGGGCTTTGAACGAATTCATCTTACTAAGAACGAAGATGAGATGGAGGCTGTGAAGAACGGATCCACTAAATATCAAGCCACTGGAACCAAAACTGAGATGACGGACGAGACCAAAGATGCAGCTCACCAAGCTGCTGCGGAGGCTGGGGCTGAGGATGCAGCAGTCCCAGAGCCTGCAGTGAAGCCTGTTGAAAGTAACGAGGGCCAGACAGTTTACACCACAACCTACTACATTGGCTTGGAATTGAAGCCGTTAGACCAAGGTAAGACCCCTCAAACTCGTTTCTACCTGTCATCTTTCCCCTCTTGCTCGTCATGCTAACTCAAATTCCAGGCGCACCGCGATCCCTGGATATTTCGACCGATTCCCAGATATTCAAATCTACCTGCACATCATGGCCTGGATACCAGCCAGAGGTAATGGATCTTTCTGTGATCCATGTTCGAAGGTATGGCAACACACGCTCCTATTCGGAATATCTCCTTTAACAATACTCTAGTTTCGATTTGCCCGATGATGTCTTTCAGCCGGGCGAAGTCCGTCCGGTCAAAAAAGTGAAGAAGGTTCAGAAGAGAGGCCTTCAAGGCCAAAAGCGACGAATCGATGAGTTGGACGTAAGTGCAAGAAGACACGGAGACTGAACTTGACTCAGCAACATATCAACACTCGAATTCGCCCCTGTGTCTCGTGACACCATTGCCCTTGAAGCCGATAGTTAGGCAGAGCTAATATCATTCTTAACCACAGGACCCGACCCAAGGTGCTGCTAAACGCCAGGTCACTCCCAACACGAAGCCCAACGATCCGACCGCCGCATGAACACAGTCTTATTCTTTGAATTTCGAACCAACGAGTCATTATGCCGGGCCGGTCCCCGCCAGATTCCATCATCCTTGTAATTGAAGACAATCTTTCAGATTCCCATCCCATCTAATATGCGAACGATGAGTTGTCAGTTGTGAGTTGTGAGTTGAGTTTTGACGATCTGCCAATCGACGACATCCCATGTTGAACCTGCGCTCGCAGAGCACAAGGTTGGTTCTTTCCACTTACCCTCTCCTTCAAGCATAATGGGCGAGTAAGACCAGAGTTTGTATCCTCGGAGAAGTCCGAGTGCACTCATTTTGCATGCTCCCTATTTGCAGCCTTCATACCCTTCTTTTGTTTTGCGCCACTTGTCGAGGTAGTCCATTCTCGGCTTCTGAAGACATGATCCACATTGTGTCATTGCTTCAGATTCTTGAAAATTGCAGATAATTCAGCTCAGATAGCTTAATCAAAGGGATGCTCCCGTCATGGGCGGGTTAAACGTAACTGTGTTCTATTTCTTCATGAGTCCTTGTAGCTGTGACTGATCACATATTTTAAGACTCATTTGAAGATTGATGTGATATTAAAGACATATTGGAGCAATAGGCAGTAAATTGATATCATGATATTGTTAAGGTACATTTCAGATCGCCTGAACACTTAGTGACTGATAAGGCTGTTCCAGATATTCGACTTCATCTAGCGAGAGCTTGATGTCCAAAGCCTCCAGTGCAGCTTCAATCCGCTCGATGCTGTTTAGCCCGACAATAGGGCAGGCTCCCTTCTGCATCAACCATGCCATTGCGACAGAGCTCATCGCACATTTCTTTCTTTGTGAAAGCTCCTCCACTCGGTTCACAATTACCGCATTCTGATCTCCAACAAACCACCGTTTAGTCTTCTCATCCTGATCTCCCCGACTGGATTTATCGTGCCACGGTCGTGCCAACAGGCCTCGTGCAAGTGGACTCCAAGGTATCAGTCCAACACCCTCAGCCTCACAGAAAGGATTCATCTCTCGCTCTTCTTCGCGGTAAAGAAGATTATAAAGTCCTTGCATACTGACAAATGGTGTCCACCCGTTCATTTTTGCACAATACTGTAGCCGTGCAAATTCCCAACAATGCATACTCGAGGCTCCCAAGTATCGAACTTTTCCCATATGAACAAGATCATGAAGCGCTCGCATGATCTCCTCAACTGGTGTTTCTGAGTCTAGTCGATGAAGTTGCAGGACATCGATATAGCTGGTGTTCAATCGACGTAAAGAGCCCTCCACTGCATCGAAAATGTGTTTTCGGCTTAACCCCACTTGATTCACAAGGGGCCCATCGTTGATAGCAGGATTCGGCCTTGACGTCGGGTCATCCTCTAGAACGGGGTAGTAAAGCTTTGTCATGATCACGACTTTACTTCGAGGAATCGAATACTTCGTCAATGCTTTGCCGAGAATGGTCTCGGATTCTCCATTCGAGTATGTGTTTGCTGTGTCGAAAGTGTTTATTCCCAAATCAAAGGCCTTCTTCAATAAAGGAAGTGAGGCTTCCTCGTCTAGGACCCATGGTGACCCTTCCCAGTTTGGGTTGCCATAAGTCATACATCCGAGGATTATTCGAGAGACTTTTAGTCCACTGTTGCCGAGTCGCTGGTACTGCATGGCTGGTGCGACATTGCTTTTTTGGCATAGGAGTGAAGAATCCATGGGAAGATGATACTCTATCTCAAACTTTTGACAAATTAAAGTGGTTTATTTGAGGGTTTACAACCATTTATAGTTTTGATCGGTCTCATGCGGCTTATTGGCTCGGTGATCTCTCCGTGATTGCGGCCAACAGAAATTCTTCCGGATATGAAGTTAATCGAGAGCACTAAAAGGTAGAAAGTACTACAGCCTGAGAATGAGAATTCATTTCCAAAATTGAGATTCGTATTATAGTCTAAGGCATCCCATTTGACATCATCCCAGGAAAAGTGAACTCTCCAAAATCAGCAAGCAAAAAGTCATCTACAGGCGTGACAAGAGACTCCCCAGGAAATGGGAATGAACCTGGCACTGAGTCCATATGCCCATCCAAGTTCTGGGACTGGTATCCCATCATATTGTTTGAGGCTGGCAGGGATAAGTCCATTTGACTACCCTCCTTTTGAAGAGACGCAACACACTCATGTAATTTCCGTGTTAGACCAGGAGTCATTCGGCAGATCGGATGTTGTTGAACGCTTGGTGTAGCCTGGAACAACTCTAGCACCTTGCGAATTAACTCGAAGTCTTGACCTGAAGAAATTGACAGTTGCGTATGGTAATTCTTGGTGACCTCTAACAAGAAGTGTCCCGCAAACGCAATCATGATGTGGAAGTAGTGTGGCATTCCAATTAAGCTGTGCTGGATATTTTCCTCGTGAAGGATCATCTCGAAAATTGCTACAGCTGCTTCGTGCGCCATACTTGCTGCTGTTATAAAGTGAGGAGGAAGAGCCTCCCCATTCAGACCTTTGAATACCTGGTGTCCAAGGTACAACTTTCCAAAATGATAATGTAGTTGGAGGCCGCGTTTGGGGAAGTCTCCGATGTATGGATCAGGTTTGAAAAGTGTGGAAAATTTGTTAAACCAGCGGTCCAACTGGCGAGAATAATGAATGATCTGATTTGCTAGTGATTGTGGTACTCGGATTTCTTGGTCCGAGCCTAATAAGTCTCGAATTTGACTCATGATGACAAGAAGTGCCACCTGGGAGATGAGTCGAATATCCGAATCCGTAGTATCATCACGGGCCAGGAAGGTTTCCCAACCTAATGCAATTTCCTTGTCACTGCGAAGAAGTGGATCGCGGTTGTGAAGGATCGAAAGGTGCTCATCGGATATGAAGATGAGATACCATAACCTTACACGATCCTTGACTGCCATTGTCTCTATCGATGTAGTATTTGGAGAGCTGTGAGTGGGTATCAATCGGCCATCACTTGCGCTGCAGAGATGATTAAAGCTACGATGGAGTCGCATGTCTGCTGCACGACGAATGGCATCACTTGAAAGAATCCTCGATGCATCTGAAAGCCAAAAAGAAGATATGCATAGAGCACGCACATATTCCAGATCATGTTTCTCAAAAATCGACCGCGACATGAGCCGCCGAAACTCGCGATTGCATGTCTCGTAGAGGGATTGGGCCTGGGGGTCTTGCAATGCGGAAATGGTGCATACTGCCGCAAATAGCAGCGGCGATGTACTCCTCAGCTGGAGGAATGTGCGATATCCGCTACATATTCCATAGAGATAGGGATCAAGCTGCGTGAAATAACGTTCAACCAAACTTTCTGCCACGCTCAAACTTATGACACCTTTGGTGACAAGATCCTGTGGAAAGTGCTGCTTCTGACGGGTAACACTTGGTGGAGTATTGGCAGATGATCCTGGACTTCCAAACTTGGCGATATCTAAATAGGTGTCGATAGGTGCTTGGACCGCAGATGGTGTATCAGGTGGAGATATCTCACAGCCATCAAGTTCTTCGGGATCTCGCTCCAAGTCTTCCGAGTCGTTTTGTGATGCTTTATTTTCACTAGCAGAGGCCCCGCCCGTGCAAACGAGAGGTTTTGGTTGAGAGAAGTTAAGATGTTGGCATATATTCGTCAATAGTTCATGGATATTGCGGACATCATTTTGTAGATGTTCCGTGTTCCTAAGTCATCAAGTTAGTGCCCAATTAGTATATAGAGAGCAGACTATCCATTCCGGGGTTGTCACATACTTTACTTCCTCCACCAATGATTGTAGACTCTTGTTCAACACACATGATAGTCCTCGGCGACGACATCGTGTACACGGTGGCCCTTCGGTCATATCACATTTGATCTAAGCTGTGTCAGTTGGGCCTATCAGAAGAGTAATGATGCTGCTCATGACGATACACACCTTTTGCTTCCTACAGGCTCCACACGCAGTGATTTTGCGGGTAATCCCCGGCAAAACATCGAGCACTTCGGGGTCCTTCGAATTGAGAAGCTCGGTCGAGGGAGAATTGGCATCCGGTAACCCTTCCGGTCCCTCGTCGGTTGAGATCCGCTTTCGCTTTGTCATGTTTAATTTGTGATAGGGGCTGCCAGGTGCTCAGAGCGGCATTGTGATGGGTCTCAGAATAACAGCGCGCCGGTGAGCACCCCGACGGGTTTATCTATTAACGAGAGGGGAAATGTTGAGTCCCGCCATGACGAAACCTCCTTTTGCTATTCGTTGAATGTGCATCCTTTGACCACGTCCTCGGTGGAACCAAGAAAGGTATGGATCATCTGGTTTTCCTGGAGCTTCCCCACATCATCTAACAGGGCTGATTGGGGACAGCTCGAGCTCCCCGCATCTGTGGAAAAGACTCCGGACGGAAATCTCGGAGACACACCGAGAATCCGAGATGACTTGATAATCTTCCAGGATAATTGCGAATCAGGCAATGTCTATAAGGTGAATAAGATGATGTTCACACGCGCAAGCTTATGTGTAAACCCAATTTGGTGTGAATATCCCTCCCGAGGTAAACAACCAAGACACCATGACATCTACCCTCCCACCGAAATCAAAGCCCCTCCCTCGCGGGGTTTACCCGCCAGTTATTTCGCTGTTCAAGTCGAACCCGCGACAAGAAATCGACCTAGACGCTTCCTATAAGTTCTTTTGCCATCTGATTCGAGGTGGAGTTGATGGCCTTGTACTCGCCGGTACCAACGCAGAGGCTGTTCTGCTTTCTCCCGAGGAACGCAAAGATTTAGTCAAGGTCGCAAAAAAGGCTGCTTCCGATCTCGGTCGCCCTGAATTGGCAGTAATTGCTGGCATCAGCGGACAGTCTACAAATGAATCGATTCGTCTTGCAGAAGATGCATTGAGTGCGGGCGCCGACTTCGGCTTATTACTCCCACCGAATTACTGGGCCAAGGCTGTTACCAAAGATGTAATTCTCAGCTTCTATCACGATGTCGCAGACGCAACTGATCTACCGATCGTGATTTATAGCGTAAGTCACACTGGTCTGTGATTGCCATGACTCGACATTGACTCAATTTCTATTAGTTTCCCGCGATGTGCAATGGCATTGACATGAATTCTGACACGTTATCCGAGCTTGCGCAACATCCTAATATTGTCGGTGTCAAGCTGACATGTGGAAATGCCGGGAAAGTGACAAGACTGACACAGGAATACAACCATGATCAGTTTGCCGTTTATGCTGGTTCCTCAGACTGGTTAATTCCTTGCTTGGCAGGTGGAGGCAGTGGATGCGTCACTGGAATTGCGAATATCTTCCCGAAATCCGTGGCTAAGATTTACGCTCTGTGGAATGCTGGGCACATTCAAGAAACCAAGGAGCTACAGGGGTTGGTGGCTCAGGCGGAGAAGGCATGCAAGGAAGGGATCGCGCCCACCAAATATGCGGCCTTCCATTTTGCAGGATCGGCTGCTGGGTTAAATGATCCCAAAGCCTTTTGGCCGAGGAAGCCATACACCCCGTGTGGAAGTGAGAAGGCTGCGTGGGTGGAAAAGGTGATGCAGCACTTGGTGCAAATAGAGCAGAACCTACCTGATGCTGTGTAATTAAGACAACAGAATTTCCTGATTGAATATTACCGGTACTATATTTAGCCTGAAGTTCTCAAAATCTCCCTAGAAGCGTCGATGGTCGGCATATTATCCTATGCGATGGATTGTCCAAGATGAAGAAGTATTAAACTATAGCGAGCTAAAATAGCGACATCAGTTTCTAGATAAGTTTATTAGTATATCTTAGAGCTATTATTAAATTATTTTTTTAGGTTTACTATACATGATTTGGAATAATTACAACTTGAAGGTAAAGTGAGCTGATTCATGCATTTCTATCTAAAATCAAATCTAAGAATGCCTCATGATCACTGAAAGAAGTCTGCCCTTAGTTGAACATACTTGATCCGCTGCCTCCAAAAGGTAAAAGCAATATGAATCACTCCGTCCTTTTGAAAAAATATGCTTGGGTAAGACAACTCGCGATTGAGCTTTTGCTCACTGTTGTTCGTTAAACAATATCCGTCTCCCTCTTCCAGTGTTTTCCATTTCCAAGTAGCACCGTTATCATCACTCCAAGCAACACATAGCGGTGCCCGTGGCGCACCCCAGAAGGCTTCCTTGCCGTGCTTGCTAGCTTGATTGGCACGTGTATCAGTGCCGTCGCTTATATCGTCATAAAGGCCATCACGTCGGCCAACTGCATCCTTTTTTGAGGAATGATTATACACGAGGACCACCCGACCAGATGGCAACACATCGAAACAGATTCCTGCATTGGGATTGGGCAATACAGTTGCTTCGGGCTCGCTCCAATCGATACCATTGGGAGAGGTCGAGAGGTATACGTGATCCGCCCACCGACTTCGAAATAGTCCGAGATAGGAGCCATCTTTCAGTTCCTGGATATTCATGTGAACACATCCGTAGCTGTTCGGTATCTCCTTTTCGGTCCATGTTTGGCCCCCATCTTTCGATAAGCGTATGCAAGAGATGTCGTCACTTCCAAGCCATCGCTCGCCTGGTTCGGCACGACATTTGAATATAGGAACTATCCATGTGGCATCTTTGAGAACGATGACTGGTTGACGGATGAATGTCCCAGGCTCGTCAAACAAAACTGTAGGCTCAGACCAGCTCTTCCCCTCATCGGTGGAAGTCAATTGCTTGACTACTGCCGAGTCTTGGTTCCCGGCATCCTGAGACGTGTATAAAAGTCGAAGCTCGCCGGTTGAGGCGTCGTGGAAAAGGACAGGATTTTGTTCGCTTCGGGTTTGATCGTGTGTCATTTTGATTGCTGCCTGCCATGCTTTTTCTCCGGCTGGGAGTCGGGACATGTAGATGCAAATATCGGGACGACCCTCAATACTACCACCGAACCACGCGCAAAGCAAGTCTCCATTCGGGAGAAGGAGGAGGTTCGACGCGTGACATTGTGTAGTGAGGGCAGGTATGAATGCCTCTAGCTGCGTGTATGATCGCTTTGAAAATACTTGGAGGTCAGGGTGGAACTCAGGTGCTGTGTGATCAGAAGTTGAAGCCATGGCGGTGGCTGGTAGGTTGTCTGAGGAATTGTGATTCAGACAAGAAGGTTGGAGGTTCAAACAAAACTTCAGGACCTCTTATCTTATCTTCAGCGAGCTATAGCTAACCAAATGCAGAAACGAGCATTGATATCGGGATGGTCACCGAGGAAGACTGGATTTGAGCCAGATGTCGGTGGGCAAGCCGGCATCAGATCGACGTCGCTCCACACTCTCCACTTCCCCATGGGGTTTGCAGATAAATTCCGGGGAAGCATCCGTTATGCTGCAGTTTGGATTAAAGATGCTCAGAGTGGAGCATTGATTCCTTCCCTCGATTTTTGAGCTCGCTATATATCCATTTCCTCATCAAGCAGGAAGCATTGGTTTTCAGAATTCTATCTCGCACCTTGAATTACCACAACTTGAACATTGAAACATGGCTGGAAGCACAAGCATCTGGGTCAGTAGTGAGGCGAAGAATGATCCACCAGCAATCTTCAATCTTCGCCTTCTCTATCTTCTCGTTGCTGTTGCGTGGGGAGGTGCATTTTATGGATTCGACACTGGAAATATTTCGGGGATTCAAACCCTCGCTTCATTTGAAAAAGCCTTTGGAATGGCCGATATGACTACATCGGAGATCGACAATCGAAAGGTGACTCGCAATATCAATTTTCTCTCTACCAAGTCTCAGCTAACTAACATGTCTGTGGGTATTAGGGAATCATCTCCGCGATGCTAGCAGCTGGTGGATCAGCAGGCGCCTTACTTGCGGCTCCAACATCCGATTACCTTGGCCGCAAATGGTCTGTCTTCTTATGGGCTGTCATTTTCATAATTGGAGCTGCAATGCAGATGGTGCCTACCTATAATGTGCTTCTCGCAGGTCGATTCATTGCTGGGATGGGTGTCGGTGCTTCATCAATGCTCACGCCGCAATTCTTGGCAGAGAACTCCCCCCAAATCAGTTCGAGGTGCTATGACAGCTACATACAATCTTATGATCGTAACTTGCATCATGTTGGCATTCTTTATCAGCTATGGTGTCTCTAAATGGTCTTATCCTGGAGTTGAGACGGATAATCGCCAATGGCAAACTGCTATGGCAATTCAACTCATCCCAGGTGGCCTCATGTGCTTGATGATTCCATTTGTCCCAGAAACACCCCGATGGTTGATTAACCATGGGAAACATGAACAGGGACTTGCGAATATTTGCAAGTTGAGGAAGTTGCCTCCTTATCACGAGTATGTGCAGACCGAGTTTCGCGAGATCGAAGCCCAAGTGACCTATGAGCAAGAATTCTACGCCGGACACAGCTATTGGGTTGTGATTAAGGATATTTTTACTTTGAAAAACAACTTTCAGCGTTTCTTCCTGGCTATTATGTTATTTCTATTTCACAAACTCACTGGAACAGATTCCCTTAACGTGAGTTACCATGACTTTGATATGGCCCCTACATTTTACTGACATGGAGTGCAGTACTATGCGCCCGAGATTTTCGACTTGATTGGGGTCTCGGGTGGCTCAAGTAATTTACTGGATACTGGAATCTATGGTGTCGTTAAAGTGGTAACGTCTCTGTTCTATGTGTCATATTTGATTGATCGCATTGGACGTCGGATTCCACTACTCGTTGGCGCAACGATTCAAGCCACCTGCATGCTATATCTTGCTCTTTATCTTCGCTTTGCAGGCACAACTGATGATAGCACTGGAGAAGGTACACCTGCGGGAGGAATTGCTGGCATTGTGTTTATTTACATTTACGCCTTTGGGTGGTCATTCGGTCACTCGGTAGCGCCCTATGTTCTTGCGGCGGAAGTCTTTCCATCACGAATTGTGAGTTCCATTTTTGAATTGTTTTGAGCTGTCAAAATGCTAATATTACTAAGCGCTCTTTCTGCATGGCTATTTGCTTGTTTGTCGATTGGATTGTCGATTATGGAATCACCCGTGCTACACCAAACATGATTACCGAGATGGGATGGGGTGTGTTTTTGTTATATGCTATGCTGACATACCTGGGTGTAGTTTTCATCTTCTTCTGCATGCCGGAGTTGAAGGGCCGATCGATTGAAAGTATGGATGCTCTATTTGATCGACCCTTGTGGACTATGTGGCGACATGCCTATCCTACAGAGGAAGGGAAAGTCCGCTCTGATGTCCGTGAGATTATGGCTGGAAAGCTTCAGAACCATGAGGATGACAATAAGAGGGAATATGTGGAACATGTGGAGACTGCCTGAAATATTGAATACTAGTAGTATCCCGAGAATTTTATGACATGAAATATGAATGATTTGATTTGTCCTCCTTCGCTGGCTTGAGAAGGAATTTAGAGATACGGATCAACTCCGATCATCTAGGTCTATTCCACGAGAGGTAGAAGTTCTGATCTATTACGGGCTTCTCTCCGATGAGTTACAGCTTACCCGGAGTGGAGATAATAAATGGATGACTAGAAGCATAGATAAGCCGACTGTAGTCGCAAATTAATTGAAAATCAAGGTATTAAATTCATAATTTCTAGGAATAATGACTAGTTTGCAGACTAAAGTCTTTACTTTGAACACCGGGGCAGATATTCCTGCCATCGGGTTTGGTACTTGGAAAGCTGCCCCAGGAGAGGCTGCTACAGCTGTTAAAGCTGCGTTTGATGCGGGCTATCGGCATTTTGTAAGGATCATGTGAATACAAAAAGTTGCTCTTTGATCATACTAACACCTCTTAATAGGATTGCGCACCTCTATGTGAGATTTCCAGCCTCCGACCATGGAGCATGAGCAGAAGCTGATAAATGATAGATGGAAATGAACCTGAGATCGGCCAGGTTTTCAAAGCTACAAGTGTCTCAAGAGATGATTACTTCGTCACCACCAAGCTGTATGCTCATAATCTCTTTTGCGGTTAGCTATGGAAATTGACCAGTTTTTAGATGGTCCTCCGATCATCGACGTATCACCTCCGCCCTCCAAAAATCTCTCGATGATCTATGTCTCGACTATGTCGATCTCTACCTAATGCACTGGCCTATCACCCTTCCCACTTCTACCCCAGAGAAATACGGAAAAGAAGATCGCACAGTGCGTGACCCAGATTGGAATTTCTGTGACACATGGAGGGAAATGGAAAAGCTGTTGGAAACAGGAAAAGTGCGCGCAATTGGCGTTGCAAACTTCTCAACTGTAAACCTGGAGAAACTATTGAGAACTTGCAAGATTGTTCCAGCTGTGAACCAAACAGAAATTCAGCCATTGCTTCCTCAGGAGAAGTTGAACGCGTTCTGTTCTCAGCATAACATCCATCAGACTGCCTTTGGACCTCTTGGAGGAAGTGGGAGTACATTACATGAAAATCCTGTGGTCAAGAGAATTGCAGAGAAGAGGGGATGTAGCTCAGGCAATGTCTTGCTCAGCTGGGGTGTGCGGAAAGGATGGAGTGTGATCCCAAAGAGTATCAATCCTGTCAGAATTACGAGTAATCTGAGGGATTGCTTTGAGATGAATGGTCAGGAGGTGGAGCAAGTGGACAATTTGGTCGAGGCACTTGGAGGAAAGCGCTTCAATGTTCCAAATTGGGGGACGACTGTGTTCCATGACGATTAGTATTTGAAAATAAATTCTTGTTATATTCTGCAAATTATTCAAAAAGATTTGGAAGCATCTGGAGAGTCAAATAAATGCTATTTGCATTCACTCAAGTATATTACAATTATTGTAAAGCCCCATTGAATTTACTTATAGGTTTGAGACCAAAGAATGACGGAGGTTAATGAGATCCATGACCCTTGAGGTGGTTCACAATATGCTGATGGGCATGACAGGTTGCAGACTCGGAAATCTTGTGTCAACTTCTGAAATTACCTATGGGAGCAGACTTGAATGTTGCTTCATTGTAGATAAAATGAATATCAGGTCCAAGAGCCTCGGGCTTAATAGGAGAACCTTGGAACTTTATGAGAAGGGAGCTGAGATGTTCAGATTGCAGTACCAATGGAGACAGAGTACAGTTCACCTTCCCGCCTCTTGTGCGATGCTTCGATCCACATTTGAATCAATGTGACACTTCAAATTACTCCAAGAACAAATTCCTCTTCTCTTCAAGCCACTGCTCAAATTTGATTGGCGCCTGTCCAGTATAAGCTTGAACATTCTTCAATGCGTTCACATAGTCAGGTGGGGTGGAGATATCCGACGCAGGCCCAGTGATGTTGGCGACAAACCACTCAGCAACAGGTCTGGGAAGACCAGATTTCTTCATGGCATCTTGCACGGCTTCTTCTCTCTCAAGTTTGATCACTTGTACTTCCTTCCCGATGGATCGCGCAATAATCAATATTGCGTCTTGATATGATAGTAGCTGAGGCCCAACCAGGCCACAATCACACGTACGTCAGATCCATGAACCAAAAGCTTTCCACAGACGCGCCCAATATCTGCTGGCACAATTCAATCAAGCTTAGCATCAGGATTAGCGAATCTCACTTCCCCTGAGAGAATTTCACTCTTCATGGAAATCATGTTGCTGGCAAAGAATCCTGGTCGAACCACAATACCATTGTCGCCAAAAACTTCATCTAACGAAATCTCAACTTGAGCGTGCATATATGGGACAAATTCGGTGGGTGATATAGTACGAAAATCTTCAGAGACGCTGAAGGAGCTCAGAAACACAACAGACTCCACTCCAGCCTCTTTCAGAGCCTCGATTGAGGATCGCATCCCATCTCTGGTTGCATGAACGAGGTAAATAAAAGCACGCTTCGCTCCAGTCTGCTCCACGGCCGCTTTGATGGTTTTCGGCTGGTTCAAATCGGCCTGGACCCTCTCGGCAGCAATATTGTCGAGTATTGGGATGTGCTTTGAAGGGTCGCGCATTGCTAGGACGACCTGTGCGCCCTCTTCATGAGCGGTCAGAGCGGCCACAGAACCGACCCTTCCTGCTGGTCCGAAAACAATGACAGTCTAGGACGACGACATAGCGCTTTCAACTTGAAGTAACAAAAATTGAAAGTAGTTATAGTTGTTCGGTGAGAAATAAGACTGAAGGTACTAGTAAGAGAACTCGATGCACTTCTTTCTCTGAATCTTTCCGGTGAGCATAATCAAGCTATTTATATTGCATCGGTCAGTCAACCATGGAGGTGTTCAAGTTCTTTCCTTGTTTCTTTCTGAGAAGCCGGTTCTCTAGCTATGAGTGTGTTTTGATGCTTCGGTTGGATGGATACGACTCGATATCCGTTCGGACCAATCGCTAAAGTGAGCCGGTGACAAGACATGATCTTTATTCCAGAGCCAACTGGTTTTTGATTGGATGTTTTGACTGGAATCATTCCACTGTTGTTGGTGGCTGAAACATGTCATATGCCCATGGGCCTGAGCACCTTAGGCAACCCATGGAAGTACATCCTCGAAGCATGTAGTACATGGGACTCTGATGGAAATTCTGGGCCCTTGAGATGATACGAATGCCACACCTACACGGAGGTAGAGTGCTACATTGAAAATATTTAGAATGGGGTCCAATTTTGGGACTCGGAAGGACATATCGGACCGTTGGAATGATGTTTCAAAATTCAAGTTTTCCTATGTACATCAATAGAACCAAATACAGAAATCTCGTGATCCTAGTAAGAACTTGAAGCGAACATTGAATGGAAAACTCGGAATATTCTGCGGGGAGAATAAAATTTGAAGTTCATTGGTCGGATGCTCACTGGCACTTCCAAGATGTTCATTATCATTTAGTCGTCGCGGGTGACCTAAAACCTCCGTATATCAAGAATCAAGATTGATTTCACTACTCATGCAAGATGTATAGGCGCCTCATAATTTCAAGTTCAAATGCTGATCTTTATTTTCTTCTCAGGCTCTCTGTGTGTACCTATTCAACAGACTTGGCGCGTCAATTATTGGCCAAGTTGGTTTAAGTCACGGTTCCAATCAGGTATAGTACTTTATACATTTCCTCGCTCGCTTTTTGCATAGGTGGTTGAGAGATAGTCGTGTAATGACTCAAGGGCGAACAAAAACCTTGAAACCTTGATGGCTCTATCATCAATTTTTATTTCCGTTCAAAGTGGCTTCAGCCACAGACTTCTCCTCCTTCTTCCCCAGCCTCTTTTGACGCCATTTCATTCCGTGTGACATCATGAGCCAAAAACAGGGTGATGCTGCAAAGGCGATCAACGCAAGAGTTGTATAAGCCCAGCCCGATCCCATAGCCCGGATCATCGGACTGATTGCAGCAGACGATGCAGCACCTAGCTCACACCGAAAAAGGTTGTTCGCTGCGGTCGCGGATGCCGACTTTCCAGGCCAGATGTCAACCATTAAGGCATTCAAAACCTGAGATGTCCCCATCAACGACCATCCTGCAATGAACAGGAGAATGATAGGGGCAGCCAGATTGACCTTATGGCCCAAGACCCATCCATAGGCAATGACTGACGCAAGACTCAAATAGTACAACGGCAGTGCAACTTCCAATCGGGCCCTCTCGATATTGAAGTTACGAAGATCTTGTCGAACACCTTTCAGAACAGGAATCCCGGCGCGCTTGGCGTGGCGTCGATAGTTCCAATCCACGATACGTCCGGTTGTAAAGGCGGAACCAACACCACCTGCACCTATAGGGAGGTACATTAACCCGCTTTCGATATTGTTGAAATGGTATACTTCATGGAACGAGGTTGTGGCACCGGTCATAACAGCATAAAAGCATGCGAACATCAATCCAGTTGTTAACAGGATTAAAGATGTTTCCAAATCAAGGCAGACTCTTAGAGTTGGCCAAGGCGAAGGGATCTGTAACTTATAGTTCTTTCGAACCTCAGCAATTTGTTCAGGATCTGGGTTGATGCCATTCTTCATCTGTCGCTTATGCCGAATGATATCGGTTACTGAGTTATTCAGAGGTGGTGGTGGAACCGATCCATCTCCAACGACTTTCCGACACGTCTCTGGAAGGAAAAGTGCAAGGCAGAGGAAAAAGGTGCCGCCAAAAATGAGAAGGAACCAGAAGATCCAATGCCAGTTGAGATATTGGCTTATCAAGCCACCTAGAACTGGAGAAAGAGAAGGTCCCAGCATACTTCCAAGGGAGGCAAATGCGATGTAATGGCCTCGCTCTGCGGATGTGACCATATCTCCTACCAGGCCATTGGCTAGTGCCACAGTACCACTACTACCAGCACTTTGAAGCATGCGCAGCAGTAATAGTGCAACATAGCTATTTTGCAGTCCGAGGCCGAGATTTGCAAGGAGGTAGATTGTAAAACAGATCATGTACGCTGGACGTCGTCCGGCAGTATCTGAAAATCCGGCAATAAACATTGGTGCAACGCCTTGCAGGATCTAAATGAACAATGAGAAAAATGAGCAAGAGAAACAAAAGCATATGATGAGCGGTGACTTACCAAGTATGTGGTCACGGTAATGTCTATCCTCGAGGTAGTCTCGTCAAGAGCTGCGGCGATTGTGTCCAAAGCAGGGAAGTATATGCTCGATGATAAGGGCGAGAAGAATGCCGCAAGAGACCCAACAGAGACCATTACCTTCTTTTCAGTGACTGTAAATGCGGAGTATTGTTTATGTACTGGCTCGGCATCTTTGGCGATTGCTTTTTCTGGATCTTGACTTGATAGTTGTTCTGCAGACCCTGGTCCAGAGCCGGTGGGGCTGGTTTGCCTGTCAACGGGTATCGGCATGGTGGACAATAGGGGTGGGTTGCTGGCTGGATTACCTCCAACGATGTCACTTTTTGAAGTCATATGCAATCCCGGCAGCGTGTAGTTTCACAGGGTTCATCGAGTGAGGTACATTAGTATTTAATAGTCATTGTGTAGTCGAGAGGAGAAAAAAATCAAGCTAAGTGTAGATGGGTGAAAAAAAGAGCCGTTACCGGCCCGGCCCCGGGATTCAATCAAGATGTCACTCGTTCATTCTAGCTTGTCTGAACTGTGGAGGGTGATAATAGTATTCTAGGCTGAGTGTAATGAGGTATGATTCTATTTTGGATCTATAATATCCATTCAAGGTTTTGATATCCTGTGTCACGCGTGTCTGATCTACAGTATCACAGAGATCGCTGGCTGACGCTTCATTGAATTTGTATGTAGTGCCGGAACCGGCATAAGGCTGTCCCTTGTTATTTGGGACGACCGGATAATTTCTACCACTATTGAATACCATCAGAACAGCAATGAAGAGTAAATCTATGAATTCTAGTCTATCATCTGTGATTTTTCTCAGTTAAGCGAGCTGGGAGATAGGAACTTTGGACCACCAGAACTCAGTTTCCTCCTTCGCCCAGTCATCCTCTACAAATTTGGCAGCCGGCGCGGTAGAGCCTCCAATAAGTTCTTCATTGTCTTCACCAAAGATCATAACGTGTGCATCATTTGGTGCGTAAGTCTTCCACTCCGGTCGTTGTCCATATCGCCCTCGAATAGCATTTGGATCGCCCTTGGCAATGAAGCTAGTCAAGTACGCATGAAGAGTTCCAGACAGCTCTTTCTGGGACTCTGAAAGTCCGGTTATGCCGCTGTTAAAAGTCTCATAGAACATGTTATCGCCATGGTTTGCCCGACCCACGATAGTTCTTGTGAATGCCCAGTTGTATAAGTACACTGGAGCACCCTGCGACGATGCAAACTGAGCTGTCTGTCGCACTGGAGCGACATAAGCATAGTGCCCATATGCAGCTTCGATACGCTTGTATTGTGGGCCAAGACCTTCTCCAGTCCGAGTTTCAACATAGGGAGATGTAAAGTCAGAACTGGGATCAGGATACAGTCGGTCGATTGTATCCAAATCGGCACTCGATAGCTCGGGTAGAAGGTTGTGCCAGAATTTTCGGAATTGGGCTGGGTCTGACATCTTCTTATCCACGTACATAGTACCCTCATTGGAATTGTATCCTGTCATTATGGCGACCTTGTTCCACAATTCCGAGTTCCAGGCGTCAAGTGGCTTTCGAGGGATTATGTCGTCGTCAATCACAGGTTGAAATGCCCAACGAAGCGAGGGGTTCCATTTATTGAAAACACGCGATTGAGCGTCTGTGACCGTGAGACTTGGAAGTGATCGTAGGAAGGGGAATATCTCATCCTCTGACAGGCTCGAAGGACATCCAACCTCCTTTAGAAAATCTTGAAATTGCATCTCATGGACCTTCGCGTTGTAGGGACGAACGGCGCGTGATGTTGGCGAACCGGATTCGAGAATGGCACGGTGGAACAGCCGAGAGGATTGAGCATTGTAGTTCAAAATATGGTGGCCAATCTATCTTTTGTTAACTACTTGCGTCTCGGCAGTGATCACTGTTAGACGTTACTTACTGAGTGCGCTCCTGCTGATAGACCAAAGAGCGTGACATTACCAGGGTCACCACCAAATTTGGCAATATTCTCCTGTACCCATTCAAACAGAACCACTTGATCACGCAAGCCCAAGTTGAGAATTCCCTCCTTTTTAGACAGGCTAGAAGGCAAAAATCCCAAAGCTCCGACCCGGTACCCAAAACTCACTCCAATGAAAGGTTCCTCAGACCAAGCGACCATTGAGGCGGTGTTATGTCCAGCAGCTGATCCCCGATTAAATGCACCACCGTGTATGTAGATCGCAACTGGTAGCTTGGATTCTTCAGTTGTTCCCGCTGGTCGAAAGATATTCGCTGTCAAGCAATCCTCGCTCTGCTCCAGCTTTGGCCCACTGACGACCAATGCCTTACCTGGGGCCGCAGGACCAAATTTGGAAGCATCAATTGTGTCATTGGAAGGGTTCACTTTCTCAGCAGGCCTGAATCGTCGGTCTCCAACAGGGGGAAGGGCATATGGGACCCCCAGGAAAGCCTCGATGGGCTGCGGGGATGTCTTTTCCAAATGAGTTCCTATGACTTGGCCCTGTATCAGGGAAACAGAAGGGCGTTCGGGGACAGTCATCACAATTAAGCTGAATTGGGCTCCAGGAATAAACAGTCTCAATGTCTCGCAGCAGCAGGGTGATTTATGATTGTGCGCGTTTCTCTCCGGTGCTCAAAAATAGTTCCGTGCGGGGAATCAAATAGTGGAGTCACTTATCTCGCGTTGGAGTAGATAGCAATCATAGGATTAAACTATGCCCTTTATCTCTTGGAGATATCAGCTTTCGGACAGTGTCCGACACAAGTTGATCCGCGTTGATTGTCTACTCTTGGAAATGAGGAGATGTAAGTGCAAAGATAACGGCCATGCGCCGACTCCTCTTTCAAAAGACCGTTGTGATAGCTTGTCTAGATGATGCACTCCGTCTCTCCATGAGCAAATACTATTTGTGATCAAATCTAATTATGGAAGATTCGACAAAGAAACCTTCTACCTCCGAAATTCTAGAGATGAAAGATGTTCAAACTGGGGTCATGACAGATCTTGATGAGGGTGAAGTCTTTCTCCACCAGCATGGATTCACCCATGAAACCGTTCAGGCGCTTTTGGACGATGAACCACGCAACAAATCTCTAGTTCGCAGAGTGGACCTTGTGCTTCTACCACTTCTTGCAGGCACATACACACTTCAGTACATAGACAAATCAGCTCTGGCCTACTCCGCCGTATTTGATCTCTTATCTTCAACTCATATGACAAGCAATGAGTACAGTTGGCTAGCAAGCATTTTCTACTTTGCCTACCTGGTTGCTGAATACCCATGGAATATTCTTGCTCAGAGAACAAAACTGGCCAGAGTTGTTTCTGGGAATGTGATCGCCTGGGGTGCCATGCTAATGATTACGGCTTCTTGCTCTTCATTCACCGGAATCGCGATTTGTCGATTTCTTCTCGGGATATTTGAAGCACCCATTACCCCATGTTTTATGATGATTGTGGGCATGTGGTACACACGCTCCCAGCAGCCTTTTCGAGCAGGTGTATTTTATAGCTGCAATGGACTCGGTGCTGTTATCGGTGGTGTATTGACATTTGGGATTGGCCAAATTAAAACCATCGCAGTCTGGAGAGCTATCTACCTTATTCTGGGAGGCATCACTGTGCTTTGGGGTATTTTGATGCTTGTCTTCTTGCCAGACAATATCGTCTCCGCGAAACGGTTCACGCTGGAAGATAAGGCTCTACTAATAGGTCGCAGTCGACTTGGCCGAACTGGTGTGATTAACCATCGAATTAAATGGTATCAGATCCGTGAAGCGTTGGTTGACCCACAAGTGTGGATCTTATTCTTGTTTACTCTACTGAATGAGACCATTAACGGTGGGATTGCAAATTTCAGCAAGCTTATCATCAAAGGCTTGACTGATGACGCTCTCACAACAGTTGCTCTAGCTATCCCGATGGGTGGGTTTCAGATCTTCTATGTTCTTGGAGGAACATTCCTTGCGTCGCGCTTCCGCAATATTCGGACTATAGTCATGGTGTTATATCTTGTTCCAACAATTGTTGGTGTCTGTTTGATGTGGAAGATGAATCATGAAACAAACAAGATTGGTGTGCTTTTTGGTTACTATATCTGTGGAGCCTATGTGTGCTCTTTAGTACTCGCTTTACAGATGCCTGCCACGAACCTAGGCGGCTATACCAAGCGCAGTACCGGGGTGGCCTTGGTATTCCTCGCTTATTGTGCTGGCAATATCATCGGCCCTCATGCATTCTTGTCTACAGAAGCACCGATATATCAAACTGGCTGCAAGGTCATTATTGCCTGTGCGGCTGGTCAGGCAGTTCTTGCTGTTTGTCTTCGATTATTGCTGGTCTCTCGGAATAAAAGGAGAGATGCACTCGCTAGTAGTGAATCTCTTCAGGGGTTATCTGAGGCTGATGAGATTACTGATTTGACCGATTTCGAGGTATGTATTTCTGCGCAGGATTCACAAGGTGAGCTGATGCTGACTCTTAGTAGAACCCTAATTTTCGATATGTATTTTGAACAGAATCCAGTATTCAATCTGATGAGCATTCGTGATAACCGGTGGATCACTTCACTTTATTCATCTATATGCACATGTGTTGCGATAATCCCATATATGGTGTAGAATGCAGACTGGGAGGTAGGGATATTCTCTGATCAGGGCGTCAGCTTGGTCAAAACGTCCTAGTTCACGATTGTTGCATATTTGTGTAGTTTGGAAACAGCCCTGGAGTAGAGTAATGATGAATTTGGGCTCTAGAGGTAAGAGAGCGGCAATAAGAGGACAACATAAGCATGTTTATCATGGAGAGTATTCCTTGCAAGGATTTTTATGTAGCTCACATGTAGCACATGTACATTAGCCTCATCACAGCTAAACCCTTCGGATACTCCCCGATCCGGGCCCCAACGGTGACCAATAACGGGCCTGAGAGAGAGGGTAGTGCCGAAAAACCGGCTACTATTCGTGGAATAACGGGTAAGAAGTGGGGAACCACACGGTCCTTCTGCGGTGATGGTCAAAACAAGGCGATCAAAGAATATGCCCCATCGTTGCCGCCAGGTGTCCACTGTGACGTACCGAAAAAAAAGTTCGGGTTAATTGTGAATCTGCGTCCAAAATGAGAGCATGTTGGAACATTCAAATTGGATCTGTATGCTATATGAGTTTCTTTTCTTTTGTTATATGATGTTACTCAGCCACGCATGAAATTTCTTCCATTTGGTACCGACTTTTCCCGGGGTGTTGTTCAAAACAAAAACATTGGGGAATTTGATATCGACGTCTGACACAGCAACAGTGATAAGAATTGACAATTTGTATAGACTAAGACGTGCAACAGGTCACCGAGAAGTAGATTCAAGTACAAACATCAGCAAGAGTCCAGGTGGTTGACCGGGGATGGAGACGGACTTAGAGCGGAGGACTTAAGGCGGTGTCCCGTCTCCTACCGAGACAATCCATTTCCCGGATTGGTCCGAAAAGTCTGCGGGCTGGGACCCATCCCTTTCAAATCCTTTTTCTCCTTTCCTCTTTCTCTTCCTATCTCCAATTGATCTCTCTCCTCTCCATTCCTCTACCGGGTCTTAATTACATCAAAAATGGCTGCTCCTGTTCCCGTCCAGGCCCCTGCTGGCCCTTCCGGCCTCGACCTTTAGTGCGCTCACTCCCGTCAATGTATAGCATCATGAACGTTCGGCTAACCTATACAATCTTAACAGCTCCCGCTTCGCCTTCGCTGGTGCTTGCTGTTGTGCCATCACCCACGGCGCTGCCACTCCTCTCGATGTGTGAGTTTTGAGACGTCGCGCGATATGAATGTTGAAAGAGAATTCGGCTGACTGGAGAACCTCCGATAACAGCGTTAAGACCCGTATGCAGCTTGACCCTGTCACCTACAACCGCGGTATGATCGGTGGTTTCCGCCAGGTCATCCAGAACGAGGGTGCCGGTGCTCTCCTCACTGGTTTCGGTCCCACCGCTGCCGGTTACTTCATCCAGGGTGCCCTGAAGTTCGGTGGTTACGAGTTCTTCAAGCAGCAGTCCGTCAACTTCCTCGGACTCGAGTCTGCTACCCAGAACCGCACCGCTGTCTACCTCGCTTCCTCCGCCGCTGCTGAGTTCGTTGCCGACATCGGTCTTTGCCCTCTTGAGGCTACCCGTATCCGTCTTGTCTCCCAGCCTACCTTCGCCTCCGGTCTTCTCGGTGGTTTCAGCCGTATCCTCAAGGAGGAGGGTATCGGTGCTTTCTACTCCGGATTCGGACCCATTCTGTTCAAGCAGTAAGTTTTACCTGGGATGCGCGTGTTTTTTATCGTGATTGCGCATAATTCTAACGCGTCTTAGGGTTCCTTACACTATGGCCAAGTTCGTCGTCTTCGAGAAGGTCTCCGAGGCCATCTACAAGTCCGTTGGTGACAAGGACAACCTCTCCAACGGTACTAAGACTGGTATCAACCTTGGTTCCGGTCTGATCGCCGGTCTCGCCGCCGCCGCCGTTTCCCAGCCCGCTGACACCATGCTGTCTAAGATCAACAAGACCCAGGGTGCTCCCGGTGAGGGCACTGTCTCTCGTCTGATTAAGATCGCCAAGGAGCTCGGTCTCCGTGGTTCTTACTCCGGTATCGGTGCCCGTCTTGTCATGGTTGGTGGTATCACTGCCGGTCAGTTCGCCATCTACGGTGACATCAAGCGTGTTCTCGGTGCCACTGGTGGTGTTGAGATTGGCAAATAGAGGACTCGTCAGTTGTGGCCGTGGGAGGATAATAGAGATAACCCTTAGATTTTTTGCTTCAAGACCTTGTCCATCTCTACAATCCGATGTACAATATTTGTCTCAGTTTTCCTTCAAGAACAGCCCTGGTTTTCTTTTGTTCAAAATGATTCTTGTAATGAACTACATTCGGGTGATTTTTTCAATCAATAATTCATCTGTTTCAACATTGTTGACCTTTTTTCAATTAAAATGTGCATTACTCCTACTTATACAAAGTCCTTAATCTGCATATCACATTGCACATGATATTCTAAAAAGAGATGTCTTTCATGGAGAATCCGTCAATCCCCAGTCCATCTTCACTTTCAACAACAAACGAGTGATATCCAGTATAAAATGCGTATCCTTCAACGCGCACATCCACAGACTGTTGGTCTTCAGCTACGCTGAATACAGAGCCAACAAACCCAGCTAAGGCCTTGTGAGACCGGTTCACAAGTGAATTATACATTCGTTTCTCACCAACAGACAAGTCTCCTTTAGCATGAGCTAAGGCCACACGCGCAGCAACGCATCCTCCAGTGGGAGACCGGTCAATCTGCTGATTTGCGAAGAAGCAAAGACCCGTTTCTTCACTGTCAACACCTTCTCGAGCTCGGAATGTGGCGGTTCCCTGAGGTGCATCAACATGGCCCAATTCATTATCCGTGATCATAACACTGTATAGGAATCCCTGTTCCCCTGTTATGACATGCTGGGTCAAGTATTTCAAGTCTGGGTTGGTGATGATTGCCTGCTTCAAGAGCCCGGTAGCATGATCCATTTTCTGAAGATCAAACTTGGCCAATCCACCAGGGAAACCTAGTTCCTTTGCACTAATCAGGCAATAATAGGCTCCGCCATATGAGAAGTCCGCTGTAACAGAGTCTCGTCCCTGAAGTTCCGGCCATCGATGAGTTTCAGGTAACGGAACTTGTAAAGAGATGGCAGTTTTGAACGACGGAACCGAAAATAAATGAAACCGGTCGTGAAGGATCAGATTTGCCTGTTGGCAAAGTAGGAACAGTAACTCTGACAAAGCCACAAGGTACATGGAGATTGAGCTGAGTAGTACCCGATATGCTATCGTATTTCAATTGATGTCGTCGAGGGAAGACATTCTCATCAACGTCAACTAGGAAGCGTCCTAGCGCAATGGTCGCATGGCCACACATAGTTGAAAAGCCCTCGTTATGCATGAACAAGACGCCGATGTCGGCTGAACCTGTAGCTACAAGTTCTGTTTCCAGGCAAAGGATGGCTCCATACATATCAAAATGTCCGCGGGGTTCTAGCATGAGGAGACGTCGAAATTCATCGCCTTTTGACTTGGCTTGGTCTCGTTGTTCGAGTAGGGTGCCGGTCAATTCTGGGAATCCAGTCCAAAGAATTCGGGTCGGTTCGCCTGCGGTGTGCATTTCAACACAGCTTATGGGCTTTATTGGGCCCTGGCCCTGGAAAGGAGGCAGTTTCGGATAATCCATGGTGTCTGTTTGCAAAATAGGAGAGAGATAAATTGTCGAGACCTGGGAAGTAGTTCTTATAAGTGAGTGCCGATGGGGGTCACAGGGGTGGGCGTTTGGTACGCGGGGGAGTGGGCCTGTTCTAATAAGGGCGTGGGTGGGTAGGTGGATGTTCAAGTTTTTGTTTGAAGTTTAAGAGAGAAAATGTCGAATAAGGACTTGAAAGATACGACTAGCTGATAATGTCTAGCTGAAACTGGAAATTGGAATAGTTCATGACTATCTTCTAGTACTACGATTGATGTCTGTCTTATACTGTCTCCGTTCAAGGGTCAAATTTACCGTTTGAAGGATTTCGGATGCTGAATTTCCCAAGTAGAAGACGTATCTTCCTGCATCAAGAGCCCACACTCGCAATTCCTCATCAAAGTAAGCCATGTCCCGAAGGGAAATATAGAGATCGACCTTCCTCGTGCCTCCTGGAGTCAAATGTATCTTCTGAAACGCCACCAAGCTCTTCAGTGGATGTTCAGCGGCAGGAGACTCGATGCCGCCATAGATTTGAATAACGGTGCCGCCATAGACAGTTCCAGTGTTTGAAACTTCGAGACTAGCAATCAAAGTATCCTCTTTCTCAGAGTCCAGGTCAGAGATAACCACCGAGCCATATGAGAATGTAGTATATGAGAGACCATGGCCGAAAGGAAAGTTCAGTGTATCACCGGCAATAGAATCGAACCATCTATAGCCAACAAAAACATCTTCAGCATAAGTCACTTTCAACTGGCCGTCGACATATTCTCCTGGGAAATTATCGAAAGCAGGAGCCTCTTGGATGCGACGTGGGAAGCTAGCAGGTAGTCGACCCTCTGGGTTCACCACACCAGTCAGAACGTCCGCAATCGAATTACCGCATTCTTGGCCAGGAAACCAGGCTTGAACAACAGCACGCACGCTTTCCAACCATGGCATAGCAATAGCAACACCGGTCGAGTTGACAACAATGGTATTTGGATTCGCAGCGGCAACGGCCGATACGACACCATCCTGTGTACCACGTCGTGGAAGATTAAACGAGTCTTGGTCACGACCTTCAGATTCCCATTGTGGGTCGTGTCCTGTAAAAACAATCGCAAGATCGGCCTCGGCGGCAATTCTGGCCGCTTCACCTTGTAGGTCCTCATCATGAACGGACTCCAGCTGCATACCCATCCGCACGCCGCTTCGACCCTCTAGAATATCCAGACCAATGCCAACAGGAGGGTAGGATCTAATGCAAAGTCTGTAGGTTCGCCCAGCAACAAATTCATGGCGGATCTCCTCTTCAGGCGCCGCGAGAAACAAGGATCCCATCGGGTCGGAGGAGTTGTCTTTTTGTTCAAAAATCACCTCGTCATCTACCAGAACCTGCGTGGGACCAAGTCCAGAACAGGCGATGTAATGCTTTCCAGTCTCAGCGGGCGTGAAGTCGCCAACGATTTCGAGAGTTTTCCATAGGGACTCCTGGGAGCCAAGAGGAGAATATGATGATTGAAGGAAGCCGTGCAGTGTAGATACTGGTTCAGTTTTCTCAGTGACAACATTCTCTTTCTTGAAGTCAAACAACAGTCGAGTGAAGCCGGTTTTACCATCAAGACCGACCACTGTGCCGCAAGTTGTGGTGCTACTGTCGATGGATGGAAGAAGACGCTCTTTATGAAAGCCTTTCGCATAAAGAAGCTCCACTTGGGCACCCAATGCATTCTTTAGACCCTCCCATGGCGTGACTTTATAATAAGCATTGACACTGGCACTGCCACCACCATGAGCGAGGGCATCTTTGGCCAGTCCAACCAGGGCAATTCTCTTCCCCTTCAGCTTATCCTTCCGGAGAGGCAAAATTTCATTATCATTCTTCAACAGAACAATCCCTTGAGCGCCAGCATTTCGAATTAGTGCCCTGTCTTCTGGCTGATTGATGGTAACATCTTGTGCGTGTATCTTCGACAAGGCCGTAAGCTTCGTAACAAACCGAAGTACGGAGCGAACACGATCGTCAATCACATCCTCGGACACCTCTCCGTCATCCAACGCTTTCACAACAGCGGAGAATATGCGTTTTCGTGGAGGACCAGGCATCTCCAGATCAAGTCCAGCTTTCAACGCATCCACAACCGAATTGGTACCGCCCCAATCACTCATAACCAATCCATCCCACTTCCATTCATCGCGCAGAACATCTTCTAGTAACCACTTATGAGCATCACAATGTGTCCCATTTACCGAGTTATACGCGGTCATGATAGCCCAGGGATTAGCTTCTCTCATAGCAATCTCAAACGGTCGAAGGTAAATCTCCCGAAGAGCTCTTTCCGAAATCGTCTCATCCACAGTGGTACGAGCAGTCTCCTGCTCATTAGCGACAAAGTGTTTGATAGTCGCGGATACCCCATGGTCCTGAAGTCCACGAATAACCTGCGCAGCAAGCTTGCCAGCAAGAAAGGGGTCTTCACTGAAACTCTCAAAGTTCCGCCCACCTAGTGGGTGTCGGTGGATGCATACCGTGGGCCCTAACACGCATTGTGCGCCTTTCTCATGGGCTTCTGCTGCGAGGGCTGTGCCCATCTGGTAGGCAATTTTGAAATCAAAGGTCGCAGCCACGCTACATGCGGCTGGGAAACATGCTGATTTTATATCCCGGTCAATCGCAGCTGCACGGATGCCATTGGGGCCGTCACAGAGCTTCAAGCACAATCGTGGTCAGTCGGGACTCAGTTCTGGTTTCAAATGATCTGAATAAATCTCACCTTGACGCTTGGGATTCTCTTGCTCTCTATGGATGTTGTGTTTGAAAATGTTGCACCTGCTAGAAGGGAAATCTGGAGTAAATACACGGTTAGTCAATACCCGATGAAAATAGTTCCAGGAAACTATGCTACTCCACCTTCTCTTCCAGAGTGAGGGAAGTAAGAAGCTTCTCGATATCAGGAAGCTCTTCCATTATTCACAGTTTAGTCTGATTTTTTTTTTTCTCGGGGAAGCTGGAGAGGATTGCTCAATGTGCACCCTTCTGGAGTTAAGTACCGAGTACTGCCCCGCTCTAGTGACCGATAGCCGGACCCCCGACCGGTCCCCAGATTCAGGTTTCAAGGCTGAGAAAAGGTGAGAAATTGTGGAGATTGAACTAAATTAATTTTGGAGTCAACATGATGTTTATTTGGCTAGTGGTTGAATTTATCAGTTTGAAATGTTATTTCAACTGCCAGTGTTCCAACTTGAAGTCGTTCATCGTCCTAGTCAGACAGAGCGGCTGCCTCGCAGATATACTATCACATCTCAGCTCGGAGAATGGCAGGATTCGAAAAACCACTGGCAGCATTCGAATTGAACTTGACATGCTTGAACTTGAACCGGACCACACTGGAGGCAATTGAATCCATTTGGATTGATTCACCGCATGTGTGGTTCCCAGGGGACAGTTGGTCTAAGGTCATCTCAGGCTTTCACCAACCTTGGAACTGATGAATAGACGCCACTTCAAGTTTCTTTTTTCCATGCTCTATGAGCCTCATAATTTGAAGTCCAAGCTGCCAGTGCTTTTCCACTCTGTCATAGCCACAAGGAGTCGTTTCAAGCTGGGGTATTTTGAGGATTGGGTAGTCATGTCAGTTATTGATCGTTTTTGTGTCTTTTATGGATGATCGTATTAGTGAGGTCCCTGTCATCTGGACTTAAGAGATCTAGGCAACATGAAGAGCAAGCAAGAGCAAAAGTACCCTTTATGGATCAAGTGAAAAGTGAGAGAGAACGAGTGGAAATTTCGAAAGACGTTCGCATCGTTGCTTCATATAACCACTCAGTTTGCAGTGGAAGAAACAGGAGAAATTCAATGGCGTCACTCATGGTCTCCAATTGAAAGCTGAAACATTCAGGCAACAATTTATCCGATCAAGTAAGGGACCGTTGCTTTGTCAAAAGACATGCATGGACATAATAATAATAATACCTCGGCTACCACCTGGCAGCAGCGTAAGGAAATCTTGTACCAATAATCGGAGAGAGAAGTTCACTTCACCGATGTAGAACGTTGAAAACTCAATTTAACTTGAAATCGCAAATTAATAATCTAGTCTGCTCAGATGAATAAGATAAGATGATACAAAGAACGTGGAACTTGAAAGCCAGAGCAAAGATAGCTGCAACATGCAGATCGCTAACCCGACCCAACATTTTGAACGCAGGAATCGACGCCAAGTGAGCAGAACAAGTTTTAATCCAGTTGACCGTTGTCCATGTTGCTAAAATAAGCCGAAACAAGGCGTTGCTGTCGAATAAGCATTTCGGCTTTTCATTCACTCCGCTAGAGTGGATATCTTGATCTGCCGGAACAGCAAACCCTGTTACGCGCGTCCATTGCGTGGCAGCATGAAACAACTTCCTGAACAGGCGGGTTTACATGCGCCTTTTTCAGGGCCTGGAAGCCGTTCCTTCACTTGTAAATTGCTATCGCACAGCTTGGGTATTCTTGAATTTTCATGAGGACGCTGCACCGCTTTGCTGTGTTAAGCCGATCATTACCCGAGTTTTCGAGTCCAGGCAGACATGATGTGATATGACAACACTGCATATGTGCCGCACAAATCCCGCGATCATTGAGTCGATGTCACCGACGCCTAAAAGGCTCTTTTTGTCTTTGAAATTGCAAAGAAACTCGATGGAAATCGGCATGTGGAGACCTTGGCGTACACATTGAGTGACGCGGCGCGGCAGGTCTTGATATAGGAATTCAAGCCTCTCATCAGTTTGTTTGGTCGCTTATCACATGTTTTTTTCTATCACATAATCTTAGTCCTGTGGCGTGGAATATTCCTTTACTGTCAAGCTCCTTTCTTTCCTCTTTTAGTTTTCTTTCTTCTTTCAAGTGCTCTCAATTGCGTCTTGTTGAATTCTGCTCTGCTCAATTCGTGCAGTAGCCTAGAATCATGAGATTCCAAGATCCGTATCGCAATATCGACGATGACTATAGCCGATTTGGAGGTGCCACATCACGATTGCCACAGTTTGATAATCACAATTACGCACCATCTGGGGACACTGGGTACCAGGGTCAATCAAGCTCAGGTTCTGGTTGGCCAGGCCCCCAAACAGAGCAAGGTCCACCTCCTCCTCGATACTCTACTGTGGCAGGAGCCAGGCCAGAGGCTAAAGCTAGCTATCCATGGTATAATCCGCGCGGCTGGTCATTGAGGAAGAAATTGATCGTTGCGGGTTGCATTGCAGTCGTCATTATTGCGGTGATTGTCGGAGCAGTTGAGGGCGTAAAAGCAAATGCGGCGTATCCCGACTATTCAACACTCAATTATACACTCGTCGACACTTACTCGGGTACTGATTTCTTTGATAATTTCGCATACTACACTGCAGCTGATACAACAGATGGCTTTGTGCAGTGAGTTATACTGTGATGATTTGAATGTCAGGTCAACTAACGAATGCTAGATACGTGGATTCAATGACAGCTTCTCAAATGAATCTCACATACGCTTCTGATAGCTCTGCTGTGCTCAGGGTTGATACCGACTCCTCAAACCAGACCTCCGGCCGAAAGTCTGTTCGTATCACTTCGAACAACCAGTACTACGATGGACTCTTTATCTTCGATATTGTGCATACTCCTTATGGCTGCGCAACCTGGCCTGCCTTATGGCTCACAGATCCGGATAATTGGCCTGAGCATGGTGAGATCGACGTGTTGGAATCGAATAATAAGGGTACTCATGGAAATGCGATGACCCTACATACTTCGAGTGGGTGCAAGATGAATGTCAAGCGCAAGGAGACCGGATCTGCAAACTATGCGAACTGCCTGGATACTGCGAATGACAATGCTGGCTGTGGTGTGGATGGAAAGAAGAAAACATATGGACAGGAATTTAACGACAACGGTGGTGGCGTAAGTCAATTTCAATTCCTTTTTAATTCGTCTCCACCAGCGACTGACTTTGTGTATTTCAGGTATATGCAATGGAACTTCGAGATGCTGGAATCCGAGTCTGGATGTTCGCCCGCGATGATGTTCCCAACGACATTTCCAATACAAGCACTACCCCAGATCCATCCACATGGGGTGAGGCATTGGCGGATTTCCCGAATACAAACTGCAACATCACCTCGCATTTCAAAAACCAAAGTATCATTGCGAATATTGATATTTGTGGTGACCTGGCTGGTGCGTCGAAGTACTATACGGATCTCTACGACTGTCCTGAAACATGTACGAAATGGGCTGCGGAAAATGGGAGTAACTTCACGTCTGCTTATTGGGAGTTTAATAGCTTCAAGGTGTATCAATCATCATAATAGATATTAGATAATTTAATAATCACTCATCTCAACTTTGACTGCAATTTAAAGCGGTTCTATATTTGGCTGTCATCTCAAGGTTCTCTTTGATCAATGGATCCGAGTCCTTGCATTCCCTTCAACCTGAATGTTGCTTGTGGTTATTCTTTTTGTGTTCTTTCTCTTTGTTTGCAGTCTTCCTACATATACCCTTCTTGTGTTTGCCAGTGGGTTCCCTCCGTTCGATATTCCTGCGCTTCAAGTTCAACTTCCTATATTTGAGTGTCCTATCTTCCAACTTCCCACGTTTAGCCTTCCCGTGCTCGAGTTCTCTTCGCTTATCCAGATATCATGTCGTTATCTATGCGTGATGGTTTGTTGTGTTCTATCCTGCTTCCTAAGTCGAGACTGACTTTTTAAGATGTGCTTCGCTCACTATTACTTGCTCTTCGCCATATCGCCCGTTTCCTTCTTTATACGGCTGATTTTTTGATCTTTGTTTACGAAATACATCTCATAAGTACGCTTTTCGAGGATCTTCGCCTACATGTTGATGAGGGTCCTGGTCTCTTTGGCGATGCTGCTTGGACCAGTGCTCTCCGCCGGCTGGGTGTGCTTCAGCCTTTACCCAACCGCTTAGAAGCCTTCTTGCTTCGTTGGACACAGCGCTTTTCGTACTTTCGCATTCATTCTGCCGAGTTTTTGATAGCCTATGGCCCGGAAATGCTACTGTCTATATTCTTTCACTTGATACGGGATAGGGTACCCGTATAACCTCGTCCTTTCTGGAATACCGTTGTGAAGGATACTGTTGGGACATTTTTAATAATACACCTCCTGCTCTGGTAGACTTGTTAATGGATTTTTCATTTGGATACTTGTTTTGACTTTGTTTGTTCTTTTCTTCTTATATACACAAGCCATCTGATTCGGGATGTCTTTCGCTTCTTTGACTGGTGGATCTCTGCTTCTAGTTTCTTTTCAAATTTTATCTGAATCAAATTTGAGTCATAAATGAACCTGGAATTCAAATTGCAATCCAGGTATATGCATACGTTAATTGATATAGATGACAGAGGCTAAGAATATTGAACCAAATGGGTATTTCCACAAGTCAAAAGTACCTCCCAAAATGGAAGCCCTAAGGCCTGTGGTAGTGCGTATACGTAGAGAGAGTAGGCCATACAGGATGAGAATGGGTCATTAAGAAACAAAAGAAATAATCGGAATGCTAAAAATGGCACAAAACAAAATGCCCCCGTTAAATAAGACTCGCGATATCCATGCGTGAGTGAGCTGAACTCGATCGCTCAGTCGTATCTGAAGCCGCAGACTCAGCGACCAACATCGCTGGACTCGCTGCTTGCTGTGGAGTCTGTGTTGGCTCGCGTAGCTGAGCATCGAAGTCTCGGCGCTGCTTTTCGGTGATGAGTTCTTGGACGGTGCTCTCAATCCATTCCCACATCTTCTTGGGTTCTTCCCACGATATCGGTCCATCGGTCTCGGATAACGGAGCTGATGGGTTCCGGGATGATGCTATCGCTTCAAGATGTGAGCCTGTTTCGCTACCTTGCCACACCCAGCTTCCGTCACTGGTGCCTTGCATGTCGCCGGATACGTAGGCCATCATCTCTTCGTCGGTATCAAGGATCATCATGTCATCCTGTCGGAAGCGATCTAGGAGAATACGAATGAAGAAGGCGAGATATCGAACACAGGCGACGTTAATTGCGCGACCATCGCCAATTGCTGCGCTTGCTTGGACGCAGATTAAGGCGGAGATGAAGTCTTGTCGGAATAAAAGGAAGAGCGTACAACGCCAGATATGTGTACAAAGCAGAGTCCCGGCCGATGAGGCGAGGAGGGTCTTCCAGTCCGCGGGACTGGAGTTGCGCATACAGCGGGAGAGAATTGAGGCGGTGTCAGCAGCCGTCGAGGCACAATAGTCCATTGCCATTGAGCGAACGATTTCTTGGCAGAAGGGCGTGATGTTATGTCGATGAAGAAGAAGACGAGCGTTTTGGAGATAGATGATGGGTGCTAATGACCGGGGATCTAGATCTTGGTCGGTTTTCGGGTGAAGATTTGGAGGGAATGTGGCTAGACATGAATTGAAATGGCGTTCGAAGGTTTCAAGAGTTGCAGGGCTGATTGTGGTTGATCGGAGAGTTCGAGTGAGTTGGCCGATGGATCGGACTACATGGATGGTTGCCAGCATTGGGGTTGTTTGTTGAGTCTCTGGAATGTTTCCACCTTCACTGATATACTGATCATCAATAGGACAGGGTAGGTCGATATCGCAGTCTTGGTCATTTATCAAAACTGGTTTGCCCATCTCAAGAGCGAGCAGCCTGAATAGAAATTGTGTAAGTCTAAAATTATCCATCCAAGATTTCAATGTCCAATTCATACCGATCCCAAGTATATAGACCCCACCAAAGACGTTTCCGCATTTCTCCTTCCAATGGAGGCCATGGTCCGGATTCGATATGCAAGCCAATCTCCTGCGCCACGCGTACTGCAGATCCAATCCACACCCAACTCGCCGATTTTGAGTTCACCTCATACAGGAACATACTGGCCAGTAAAGCTGCTCGAGCTCTATCCAGATTAAAGCTATCTTGCCAGACATCAATGATGACACAGGATATGCGCACAAATTCCTTGGCCCGTTCCTCGCGATCCGGCTCCACGGTATGGACTGCACCACATGCAAAGACTCCATATAAGACTGCAGCCCATTCACTGGAAACGCCCGCAATAGATCCAGCCCGATAGACCTGCTCATATTCTGCAAGGAAGGTTGGCCAATGAAGAACCGGAAAGACAGAGTGAATGCAGTTGAAATACTGAGCCAAGAGGTGATCGGCAACCTCCTTCGGCGGTAGGCTCGGCACATCACCCATAACAACAGACCGTGCACCTTGTTGCTGATAAGGTGTAGGAACTTTCAAGATACCACGACCGTGTTGTCGTAAATTCTTGCGCACCTCGGATAGATCTTCGTTGAGTGAGATCTTGGGCCGCCTAGCAGGCTTGTAATCAATCTCCGGGAGTTTGATCATCGGTTGAGCCGCACTCTCATCCAGATCCATCAAATGATCAGGGCGCAACATGCCTGTCCTAGCTTGCTGCAACTGCTGCTTGGTAATATGAAGCTGGCGCTCCAGATCCTGAACTTGCTTGATTGACGACATGCGACGATTGGTCTCCTTGGTGAATTGACATCGAACTCGTCGGTTATTGCATTCCGTGCAACTACTAGACTCCGATGCATCGCATTTCACTTTCCGTTCCCGACAAGCATCACAGCTTGGATCCTTTCTTCGCTGTCGATAAGCTCTCTTCTGTTGCAGTTGGGCTTGCGAATGACTATGTCCGATTGGACTGGTCTGGAATAGACCCGGATTTCCTGGATGAGCTCCCATATGCGACGATTCAGGCAATCCTCCATTCTCAGCAGGAGATCCTGATGCCGATTCATAAAATCGCGGATACGGCGAGGTCGATGGACCTGGCGCTGGTGGGATTGCATGTGGCGATGCTTGGGGCATAGCTTGCTGACCTGACTGTGGCATAGGCTGTAACAAGTGAGACATTCTCATGCCACTGTCGGGTCTACTTGGCGGGGCGGAAAGCATTACACTCGGGGCCGGGTATGTACCCGAGGTCACCGATTGTACGGGAGGTAGCTCATACGAGTTACTCGGATTTTGAGTCCCCGCGCGAAAAGGAAGAGGATTCATCTCGAATGAGATGATTCACCCACCTTTTTTTGTGATTTGTCTTTTTTCTCTTTGGATCCACAATAAATTGAGATCAAAAGTAATAAAGTTAGGTTTTTGGGATTTGTTTTCTTTCCCCGTTTCCCTTTTTCCCCAAGTGGGAAGACGGAGTGGATATGGTAAGGGTCAGAAAACCATGCGATGAGCCGAAGTCAAGCCACCGAGTCTAGAAGAATCGATCATAGAATTGGCAAATCGCCGAAAGTAAATGTTGAATAGATGACGGATGCTATAGGAGATCGAGATCAAGTCCATTCGTATGTATTGAGCAATGGTCGTTGAAGAAAGCGCGGGTCATTCAAACGGTAATTCCCGCAGAGCCATTCTCGGAGAGGAGTGATTGGTGGCGAAAAGAGAATAGACGGCGAATAAACGATCCCAATCGGTCCAAATGGCCGAAAAAAAATAAGTAGAAAATATAGAAAAAATAATCAACGAAATAATAATAGAAAATAAATATAAAATAAAGAAGTAACTCAAATCGGAATCGTGGAGTTCTCAAATGCCGAGGTTTTGGGGGCAACTTTGCGGCGAATTAAGGCGAATGAAGATCCAAGAATCTTTTATAACAGAGAAAATGAGGAGTCAAAATGAAAAGTCCCTTTTTCTCAGTTGAAACAGTTGAAACAGTAAGAGTAGTAGGAACAAGTAAAAACTTTTGAGATATTTGTTCTTTTTTGTTCTTTTCCTTCTTCTTTTCTTTGCTTTTTTGTGATTTCAAGGTCAAGTTTCTTGGGACTTCGTATGACTTTTTTTCTTTGTTTGAAGGGGAAAAAAAGGGTCAATCCCTACTCCGTACAAAAAAATCAAAAGAAAGAGAAAAAGGAAAAAAAAGTTTAGGGAAGTTCGGGGCAAGCAAAATGGTAAAAAGGCCGAAAGGAACCAGATCGACAGGCCCAAGAAAGAAGTCATTACGATCACCGTTCTCCTAGGCTCCATCAGGGTCCCGTATTCTGACCCAGATCGTGGAGATTTAAGGAATCTTCAGCCGAAATGACAACTGATAACCCGCAAGCCCGACAGTTTGGGTCAAGAATGTACACTAATGAGGTACCTAGGTATATTAGAAGTTAGTGCGGTGTACGGGTTACGGGCTACGGGCTATAGCCCAGGTGGACTAACGGAGTACAATAGGCCTGTCCATAGCCACTGGAGGAGTATAGGTGTACTATTAGAACATTGGAACCTTGGAAGTTCCTGCAATGTAAGATAATTTCCGACAATTCAATCTCCTTCCGCCACATCTACCCAAGTCATGCACGTTGGAGATCAGACCTCTCGGGTCACCCATGAGGCATTCCGAGATCGGCGGATAGGCGTGTCGATGGATACCTGAAGCAGTTGAAAGTCGTCTCTTGGGAGGTTTCATGGATGGACCAGTGACGGGAGTTGGAGTCGATAGCTTGATGCCCACACGGGCCCCACCATGGTATTTTGGTGAACCTTGTCTCCGTTGATTTGACTTGGTTTGACTTGATCCGTGCAGGTATGAGAAGTCGGTAAACTTCGAGGAGAGTCGGCAGAGTTAGGCGGGTATCCACTTCACTGTGCACCATCCCCTTGGGAAAAGATGTCCGTGACAGGCCCAGATCGTCTACATCGTAGGAGGTTGGTGCGCACCGAGTTGACGATCACCTCAAATGAGGTTAGAAGTTGAGTGAAGATGGAAAAGAAAGAACATATTGAACACTGAGAAGAATAAATGACTTTTGTTTAGTAAGTTCCTCATTTCAAATGCTTAATTCATATCCCAACTTGAACCTTGAAAGGTTCCAAGGTTATACTCAGAGTGCACCCGGCACGAGTCTCACGGGAGTCGTCACGTACCGGTATGTGGGATGAAGATCTCGGCGCCCGCCGTGCCGTGCCTTTTTTAAACGAGACCCATTATTATTGACTGCGCCCACTACACCCACTAGGTACACACCCCCGTTTCATATTCTGCACACGATGGAGTAATAATAATACCTAATACAAAACAGTTGATCGACTCCGGAACTCATGCACCGGAGCACATGGAAACCAAGACCGGATCGTGGCCCGGGGTGGATACTCACAAACCAGGTAATAGGTACAACACAATATTAAGAAGGGGTTTAAAGTGTATAGGGAAAGAGGACTCCGTACTCCGTTTACTCCGTTTACTCCGTCTTGAAAGTCCTTGGAAATCAAAATGCCATATGATACTAGTCTATGTAGTAGTTCCAAATTTCCTTCATATCAATTGCACTTCAGCCGATGCTGCCGAGCAACTTGAACTATCATAATATCCTATGTCTATCAGGGGGGGGCAAATCTTCCCGATCTAGTAAGGTACCACAGGTGGTATCACTTTTCAAATCATTCAGCTTAAGCTACTTTGGCCCTGGGACTGCCCGAATTTTATCCGACTAACGTTGAATCCTGGCCCCAGGTCTAGGCTCCGCAAAAGGGGAGATCTCCTGAGGGAACGCGGCCAGAGAAGCCCCGTGCGCATAGTAACATGGGTTTGTTTTTTTTTCTTCCTACTTTCTGACCAGTTATTCTTTTTTGTTTTTCCCGCTCTTTGTCCACGGGGTTCATTCATTTGAAAAAAAAAATTATATTAATTTATCCTATCACAAGGGAAACCCCATCGTACTACTTTTCCCTCGGATTTAGAAGGTTCCACTTCAGGGGAGGTTGCCGACAAGCCCAAACCCCTCGGAGAATATCTCCATGACCAAATCTATCAGCGTACTTGATACGTATTTTCCTTTATGATCACAGGACCTGCGCAGTACCCGTGCATGCTGTGCAGGAAGCACGGAGCACTGATAACCTCGTTAGGTTAGATCTCCGTGAAATCCTGCCACCGGTCCCTCGGGCTGGAACCTACACCAACCAACCTGGGAATATGATCTGACCCTATAGGAAGGCCAAAACGAACGGAATTACAAGAAATCACTGTGGCCCTGCAGACTTCTTAGCACTAACTACACTTGGCGCGCGGGTCAATTCCCAATCTCGTTATAGTCTAACACATGGACTGAATACGACTTCCCCGCACAACTCAAGTGCTTCGGCTACGCGATAAGACGCCCCAGATACGCTACAGTAAAGTGTACTCCGTAGGTAGTCCACTTTCAATTTGTTCCATCTTCCCTTTTACCAAATCATCCTGGTGCGCTATGATAGTGGGAATTGCGCCATTTGCCCCTTCTATCCATCACCTCGGGTCCCCCATTGTGTTGTCCCGAACTTGGAAGTTGGAACTACTTTAGCCCCAGTGCCTTAGTTTGCCTCGTTACCGTTATATTCTCTACTAGTAGGGGCTGTGTTCATGTATCATATGCATATACCCCTGTCCAAGATATTAATTAATTAATACGTTCCCAAAGAACTCTTGGTCGGAGCGGCTGAGTTCTCGGTTCGTGCCGTGCTTCTCCCACGGAAGTATTTCTCCCGTTCGTTTATTGGATTCGACACATTGACAACGCATTATGCCAAAGTGCCTCTAACTAAATCGGGTACATGGTACATGGTACATGGTACAGAGTACAGAGTACTAGTCAATCTGGAGGAATTAGCTACATGGAAAAAGAAAGGGAAAAAAAATTCCATGTCCGACTCAGCGGTAAAGCATATGAAGAACCTTGGAATAGGCCAAAGCTCAAGCAAGAACCCTGCCGAGGAAGTGATATGATAGTTGCCTCGATGATCGACATTGGCGACCTACAGAGTTCGCCGGCCGAGATGAGAATTCAGCACTTGAGTGGACTTGTTTTCTCAAGTGCTCGAAAACAAGACGGAATCGACGGGGCTCTCTCAGCACAGACTACTATGTAGTACGTACTCCATCTCTTCTCCATCCACTATTACTCCAACTTGCATGTAACGAATTTAACCAGCCACCTGGCATCAAGCTCACCTCCAACCACACAACCGAGCTAATACTTTGCACTTCTCATGAACTTCCGAAGCGTCCATTTGCTCTACCCTGTCATATCCTCCATATCCTTCCCAAGGTTCTTGAGTTCCTCCCCGATCCCCGAGACCCCCAAGGGCTCCCGATTTCCTCTTCTCCCCAAGCCCCCACTTCTAAGAATAGCGTGGATAAAATTCAACTTTAGAGCAGGCCAGACCTGAAAACGGCGATCAATTTTTGCCTTTTTTCGTTAACATGGTTCTTGTTTTTTATTTTTTTTACAAAATATTCCCAAGTTCTTGTTCCAGTTCTCTCGTTCTAGCGCAAACAACAACACACTATCCGTACTTCAAATCCACACCGTTCTTAGTGTCTTCATCCTAGTCTTGGAGCTTCAAGTTCTAGACTCTTCTTAGCTTAGTCTCCTGTGTACTTACTATCCCACAACAGTCAACCTCCACGAGCGGAGAGAGTTCAAATCACCTCACCGAGTCCATCTCATCTTGAATCCGTCTGGGATATTCGGTACACTACATCTGTTTCGAGTCTATTTTTCTTCGCCCCACAGCGGGACAACGATCCGAGTAGATGAAACAACTCCGGCCAACAGCCGAGCCCTTCCGATTTGCCCTGTGCGGTCTTTTTTCTGACCTCTTGAATCACATTTCTATCTGAGACCGGAGGGCTCCGTGTGCTAAATCGCGGGAGTCTCAGTTTAACAATTTGCTTGGCTTTGTTCATGACGTATGGACCGTGCTGTCGTCGGAATGCTCCGATTTGCCCTATCTATCTGTAATGGGCTTGAGTAAATTGGTTCCGAGTCATGGTCTCCAATTTCAAACCCGCAGATTGCCGTTTTGAGATGTAATTACTAAATCTTGAGTCATGATTGATATTGATTGTTGATGCTTTGCTCCGTTGACGGAGTACTCCATCCAGCCCTGTGGGTGCTCCTGTGGATGCTGTTGGGGTATATTGAGCTCGGGCTATAGCTTGGACTCGGATAGCTGCTAGCTTCTCGGGTTAGTTTCTCATTCCTAAATCCGAGTCTTCAATAGTACGCATTGGCATTATATGAATTGGCTTCAACTTACCCGAATTATTACTTCGTTTCGTCTCGACAACCGGAGAAATATCCGCCCGGTATTCCTTGAATTGGTCTGAATCTGGTCTCCATACCTCGCTTGTGTATCGCATTGAGTGGGTCAGGCCATGTAACTAGATTCAAGTTCGAGAAGTATATGAAAGCTCAAAGCCATTTTGGTGCAATTCGGCACTTGTCAATCATTTTTATTATGAACCTCGGAACCTCCGTCCTCCGCTTATTAAAATTCGTATTCGTAGCCCTGGAGAGTCAATCATCGAAAGGTGCCCAGGTGGAGGGTAGTCAAATGTTTGATGCTACACAGTGGGTCCAGGCAAACGCATAAAGAGATTCATGTATCTCTAGTACATGACAGAAGGACCTTGCATTTGAAGGGCTGAGGTGTTGCATAATGAGTCTATCCACTTATATGCTGCCTACTAGTACTAGTACTAGTACTAGTGCTAGTATGTAGTCTTGTGATGCGTTATCCATACATAATTGCCAATTAAAACCTCGAGACGAGTCTAGCTGCAAGCCAAGTCCATAACAGCATAGCTCCGACGAAACATAGAATATGCATGACTCCGAGTCGGAGGTAATACTAAGTCTCATGACTCGGAGTAAGCGCATCAATAGAGGCAGTCTCTCCATCCTTATGATCGCTCCCGCAGACAGCACATCTATTACTTGTTAGCCGCTAGCCCCCAAAATTTTGGATATTATATTAATTGAGTCTTTCCGAGATTTTCCTAACGCACCTCATCGTCGGGAGAAACTTTCTCCCGTTGTCCCAGGCGATCGTGGAGATCGATCTTAGTACTGACCACCTGGGCATTGAACTAATGTTATGTTACGCGTAGACCTAACAGAGTACTTACGAGTCCACTTCCAAAGATTATTCCGATTTGTCGATCCAGGGGTTCTTCGTTGCAGTTGTTCAAGTTGCTGAATACTAGACTAGCTAGTGGAACACTATCCACCGGCTGTGTATATATCCCCGCAGTTTGTCGGACGGTAAAGCCTACTAGTACTACTACTAGTAGTCTAACGCAACTTGAATAATTGAATTTCTCTCCTTTAAATTCTATGAACACCTTCTTGATTCTTTTATCGCCGAAGAACTTGAAATCTTCGTAGCTCTGCTCGCTGATCATTTTGGGCACGGTATCAGAGTTAAAAAGTTGAACAAGGATTCTTGGGGCCAGCAAGGAAATAATTGTAAAGAAACGACCGTAGGACTTTGCTATGATATTGAGGCTCGGAGCGTGAAAGAAGATCTAGTTGAAAGCCAGGAACCGAATAGTTTTCATTGGATTTAGCTGGCCGATGACGAGTGAGGTTGCATGCTTCCATATATATTCATCAGTATTGAGGGACGGTAGATGCTTTTGAAGGTGGCTCTACATCTGCGGGATGGTGAGCGTGAAAAGCCCCAAGAATCTGTAGTGTGTTGTCCTTCGGATTCTTTGATGTATGCTTTCGCGCTCTCTCCATCATTGCGATAGAAAAAATCACGCGGATCAGGTGAATTTAGGAGATTACAGCTTCAGGCTGTTTTCGCGGGAATCAGGTACGAGAATTTGGATTCTCCAAAAGCTCAGGACTAGGAGCTCGTATCGAGTATGGTTCGAAGCTGTGAAAGCTAACCTTGGAACAGTATCAGGTAATTTTGGGGTGGAAAGAATGTCTTTCCGGATATTCATGGTATGACAAGCTTGCGTTGCTTCGAATGAAATACGACAAGAGCCGAAGTTTGCGAGAATGGCTTGTTCAATGGCGAAGGCATTATACAAATCATTTATCTTCTCACGCGTGGATGCTTTGTGATCCAAAATCGGAAAATACCGAGTCAAATTTGTCCAGGTAATTCGCTTTGCTTTTTCGTCCTTATCCTTCCATTTTGCAATAGAAAAGCGAATACTAGGGATCCCAGTGGTTTAGGATAATGAACCTGAGTATGGACCTTGTAGGATTAGGAGAGTAGAGTTGGTCCTGTAAACTCCATCCAACTGAATGGGAAATCCTCCTGGTAAGGATTGATCAGAGGAACAAATTGCTGGACCTGGGCTGGTGTCATGTTTTCCGCAATGTTGACTAAAAACTGCACTCGAAGACAGTGGGACTGACCACGGATCGGTGTTAGCAGTAAGTCCTGAAAAATAGGCATAGAGAGACAGATAGATTGATCACCTGGGCACCCTTCTTCAGCCAATGTGAGAGCTTACAAGCCTGAGGTTGGTGATAGCGTTCCAAGGTTTGACGCTGATCTCATGGTCCGAGTTCAATAGGAAGGAGATAAAGATAAAGGGGTATAGGGTGATTACATGAGACAAAACATAGGTAGATTAGTATCTAGTAAAGGAAGGGAGAATGTAGTGAGAGAAAAAGTAAGAGTAGGAGTAGGAGTAGGAGATGGTATAAAGTGGACCTCGAGATACCTGGGTGAAATAGGAGTGAGGGAAGGAGTAAGAGTTAGTATTGGAAGATGATTGGAGGAAAATAATGAAGATTAGGATAGTTGAGTATGTACTTGGCGATGAACCTTGCAAGCTCTGTTTCAACTTGAACAGCAGACACCCGATACATATCTGTTATCAACTAGTAATAAGCGTGAGATTTAATCAACTTGAAGCACTTCAAACATTTGAACCTTCCAAGGTTGAAATATTATGCTTATATGGTAGCTAGATTGATGCTACTACATGTCGTATCTGTACTAGTAACATTCGAAGTGAACTTAAATGGTTACCTAGTACTCCTCTACTACATGTGGATGATACGAAGAGGGTTATCTAAAGGGACAGGCTCAAGTGCTAACTGCTGTGTAACCTCGGAAGTTGCATATGTGGATAAGGAAGAAAAATAGAAGTAACAGCTAACTGTAAACCTGAAGAGGTTAACTGGAATAATGCTGGACAGTCAAAAAAAACTCCAGTGCCCGAGTTTTAAAGGGGGTCTTTACCAGTATGTCAACCTTGGAACTGCCCAGGTGATACTCCAAGCTGACATATCATCAAGCTGGTAATTTCAGATTTCAGCAGGAGAGCTTTTGGAAGAAATCTGCCTCTATTCAATTAAACTCCGGGAACAATGAAAATGTAACATTTGAAAGCAGATGCGGCCCAAGGAGATCCTGAACACCAGTCATGTCACGGTGCTAGCAGAGTTGATGATCATTTGCCAGTGTGATTATTCCGAGTCTGTTAATTCTGTCCAATCTTTTCAGCGATAGTATTGACAATCTGGGTTAAGCCCTCCATCTCCTCTTCGACTGTCAACCCCAGTCCGTTGGGGTCAATACTGCAGCCAACATAAATTGGCTTGCCGGTCCGTCGTGCCAGGATCTTGGCCACGCGAGTTGTGTACTCAATGCTTGCTGGTGTTGTGTAGATAGTAGTTGAGATTGTGGATTTGGGGGATGTCCGCTATTTTAAGTCAGTGATGAACAATCGTGGTCGCAACTTGAATCAATGTCATTCAGGATGAAGTCGGTGCAGATCTCAAGTATCCGTTGGGAATAAAAAGCAGTTGATGACAGCAATCCAGCGTAGTAGGATCACAGGGGTATACACAGGGGCAAGTTGAATATGAAGGAACAACAAAAAATAAAGTTTAAACATTCAAGTCGAAGTCAAGGGCACGGAACTGAACTCCCAGTTGGGCAGAAACATATCCAGGTCAAATCATAGGAACGTGGGACTTACATCTGGCATAGCATACACAAAGCTCCCCAATGGCTTCACGGAACCCGTCGAGTCTCCAGGTGTAGATGTGGTAATGAACACAGTTGTACATTTGTCCAATAAGGTCAATTGCACATGAGTTGTTGTATGCAGTGCTTTTGGCAACGGGAAGGAGAGCTCTAGTGGCTTGAAACTAGGCTCGACCCGTTCCGTCTGTGGAATGCTCATGATGATTTCCGCGGCCACAAATTTTTGCTATTGCAGCGTCTTGATAATTGTGATTCTTGAAAGCTAGAACAAGACTGTTGTTGTTGATGATATAGGCGAGGTGGAGATGTGAAGAAGTCAAGATTGTCCCCGCTTGGCGGCAAAACAACATTGGCTCCACCAATCGCACTCAGATCTGCCCGCACCGCACACATACGAGATCAACTCTTACAGTTTGCTCTTAAATCCAGATATCTCCCAGGAACATCTGGCAAAATGGAGGAACAGCACCAGTCAGACCATGAAGAAGACGGACGTAGCTGGGCAGGGGACTTTGATCCCTTTGCTGACCCCGAGGAACGTCGGGTTCTTTTTGCCGCATTTGACTCATTCAGGCAAGTGAAATGAAGTGGTATATAGAGCTTTGGCGTGCCTTGTTTCTTGTTTTGCTTTTTTTCTTTCTTTTCTCTACCACCGTTCAAATTTTACAACTGAAGATGTAGGCCAGCTAGATCTAACTTGGTAGACTACAGACAATATCGGCGAAATGCTCATCAGAACACCACGCATCGCCGCCGACAGGCTTTCTACGCTTTACCATCAGAACACTGGCAAATGCTCTCGGAGCCCCCATTCTCCATCTTAGATCAGTTCAACAAGGTCGATGATGCCATCGATACCAATTCCGAGATCGCAGATGCGATCCTTGCTGTTGGATTAGACTCCTTCGGTCTCTCCGCCAATCCAGACAAGGACGATCCAACTCAGTACTGGCACGAGACCGCTACTTCATCTGATGTGAACAAAGCTCATTCTACTATCCGACAATTCTATCGCGACTGGAGTGCCGAAGGACGCGCGGAGCGCAAGGTATGCTACGATCCTGTCCTTGAGGATCTCCGCAATGAGTTCCAGGCTCGCCGCGACGCGGGCGAGGAAATCCGGGTGTTAGTTCCTGGAGCCGGACTAGGCCGATTAGTCTTTGAGGTCTGCTTGGCTGGATTCGACGCGGAGGGTAACGAGATCTCGTACCACCAGTTGCTTGCCAGCAGTTGGATTCTCAATCACACGAATGGACCTCAGATGCACGCGCTTCATCCCTTTGCGCTACACTTTTCCAACTTGAAGTCTCGCGCACAGCAATTACGGCGCGTCCTGATTCCCGATGTCCACCCGGGCACGGCTATGGCGCAGGCTGATCTGTCAGATGACGCGGGTCGTCCGACGTTTGGGACAATGTCCATGACGGCGGCTGATTTCGTGGTTCTTTATAACCAGCCAGATAACCAGGCGGCATTCGATGCAGTGGCCACTGTCTTTTTTATTGATACGGCTCCCAATCTAATTCGGTACATCGAGGCGATCCGACACTGCCTCAAGCCGGGGGGGACTCTGGATCAATGTGGGTCCCTTGTTATGGCACTTTGAGGATGGACATCGTAAGGAGCATCATGATGGAGACGCGACGGGGATTGGCGAACCGGGTAATGTGGAGTTGACAGAAGAGGAGGTCTTTGCACTCGTTACGCGGATGGGGTTCCGAATTGAGACACTGCCAGGAGATCGGCAGTTGTGCGGTTATATCCAGGATGAGGAGAGCATGCTTCAAAACCTGTATCAGCCGTCACATTGGGTGGCTCGGAAAGTGGCTGAGGCTGACTGAGTACCACCGAGTACCCCGTACCTACCCGTGGACCTTGAAGAATATGTCAACCTAGAAGTACTTGTAAATCTGGATACAACCAGAATAAATGATGATTTCGCAGCAAATAAATCTCCGAATCCCATGGAATCCTTGGCCCCTTTGTTTCATTTTTTTCTCTTTCTTTCCATAGACGAATGGTGTTAAGAGTTGGGGGCCAAATGTAGTAGTGGGTCTTGGGTTGGGTGGCTCGGCGAACAAAGAAACTTGAGAACGTGGATAAATAACAATGGGAAGTTGAAGTGGGAATGCTTTATTTTCTTTGCGAGAATCCACTCATTTTCAAATGAATCGATATGGATCAGTATTCTTGTATTTAATTGAACTAATGTGGATATAAGATAGTAGGTAAGATGTATAGATGTATGGGTAACCAGTTGGCAGTATAAACACCCGCTTATATTGTACAAGGTACACAGTACACAGGGTAACTTGGCACAGTCAGCAGTACAAAAGTCCGGGTGCTATGCTAAAAGTACTGATATAACAGTTTAGTTATATTATTATCTATACATAAATTAAAATCTATTTAGAATAGTTCAATCATTAATAATCCATATTGAATAATTCAAATAGTTCCTTATTTTTTGGATAATACTAGAATTTACTGGTAAAAATGTTCATGTTCAATTCCAATGTTCTTAACCCCCAACTTGAATTCCGACCAAAATCACTTCCTAATTCATAATTCCCCCCCTTCAGCCTCAGATCAATCTTCCTTATCCCTTTACAAACTTGAACTTGAAACTCTCGCTCCACATTGGTTTTTCGTATTCAGCCTTGCCCTTTTTTCTGCCCCCCGCTCTTTTTCTTTCTTTTCCTTTCTTCTTTTCCCTTTTCTTCCCCTTCCCTTATCATACCCGAGCGGTCGCCGCCTATGGACCTCATGAGCGCCCGATTCAAGTCGTTCGCCTTAAAACGTAAAGAGAAGCACTCTTCCCCACTCACCTCAAACACCCCTCCCAACCTGAACGGAACTTCTCCTACTTCTCCTCCTTCCAACCGAAGTTCCTCAACGACCAGTTTACCCCCGATCAACAACTTGAATCAGGTCGGTCGTCCTCCCAGCTATCGTCCAACCAGCCCCTTAGCCCCCGTTCAACAGCTCGCTTCACACACCGCCCCCCTCAACCCCTCCTCAATGCAACAATACGGTCAACCGGGCATCGCCCAGCAGATGAATGCGCCGCCAGGTTACGCCATGCAATCACAACCCATGGGGCATGCCCCCGCTGGTCTTCCTCATCAGTATGCGGGGCGCAACCCCGCTGAGATTCAAGCACCCGTCGACCGCAGTAAAGCCCAACTCATCGTCGGTATCGATTTCGGTACGACTTTCTCCGGTGTCGCGTTTGCCTTTGCGACAAACAATGAGGCCAGGGAAGATATCATCACCGAATGGCCTGGCGCAGGAACCCATACCAAACAAAAGGTGAGAATAGCCATCCATGGTTTTGAACTGTTTACCCGCCTTTTTCCCCTCCCCACCAACAACAAATAAACACCTGGGTATATGTATATAAAATCTCATCGTTCTAACTCTTACATTTTTCTTCATTATTAGATTCCTACGGTATTATACTATGATCAATACCAGAAAGTCGTTGGATGGGGTCCCGATATCGCCGAGGCGCTGGCGCCCACCGGTTACCCGAAACCTGGGGTCCAAAAGGTGGAATGGTTCAAGTTGCAGCTGATGCTCTCTGGAAACACATACATTGACCCTATCAACCTTCCTCCTCTCCCTCCCGGCAAGTCAGAAATCGATGTCGCCGCCGATTATCTCTTTAAGCTCCGTCAGGCCATGCGTGCCCAACTACAGAAGACCCTGGGTGAGGTATTTACCCGTGAAGAGCGCAACATTCGCTACTATTTGACCGTCCCGGCCATCTGGAATGACGCTGGGAAGGCGGCCACCCGAGCGGCGGCCATTCAGGCCGGTTTCTTGCGGGATGAGAATGATAACCGATTGACTTTGGTCTCAGAACCAGAGGCAGCAGCCCTCTTCTGTGCGAAGACTGGTCTGCTGAACTTGAAGATTGGAGATGCTATTCTGATCGTTGATTGTGGTGGTGGTACTGTTGATTTGATCGCATACGAGGTTGAAGAGGAATCACCGTTCAGCGTAATGGAATGCACTGCAGGTTCGGGTGACTCGTGTGGTTCTACAGCCCTGAATCGCAATTTCAGCAATATTCTGCGAGCTAAGATTCGCAAGATGAAGCTGCCCGATGGTTCACGGACGGCTGGCAAGGTCTATGCTAAGTGTATTATGGACTTCGAGAACCGTATCAAGGCCGACTTCCGTAACAATGGACAGAAGTGGGCAGTCGATGTTGGTATTGAGGCGGACTTCCCCGAAGCCGGGATTGAAGAGGGCTACATGACATTTACGAATGAGGAAATTCTTCAGTGCTTTGAGCCTGTAGTGAACCGAATTCTGGAACTGGTTCGCAACCAGATTATTGCTATTCAAGCGCAAAATCGTTTGCTACAGGTATGTCCTTGGCTTTTGTTCCCATTTTCTCCGACTCATATATTAATATTCCACAGAACGTTCTCGTCGTTGGTGGTTTCGGTGCCTCGGAATACCTCTTCCAACAGATCAAGCTCCACGTACCCCCGCAATATCAGACCAAGGTTGTTCGCCCAATGGACTCTGTGGCAGCGATTGTCAAGGGTGCAGTTACCGCGGGTATTACCGAGCGGGTTATCACTCACCGTGTTGCGCGTCGTCATTATCTGATGGCTACCTTGCAACCATTCAAGGAAGGATACCACCCCGAACAGTACCGAGTACCCAGTCTAGATGGTCGCGACCGATGCAAGTACACCCGGCAAATCTTCGTGCAGAAGGGTGAGCGTGTTAAGATTGGCGAGCCTGTCAAGGTCAGCTTCTTCCGTCAAGTAGCTCCAGGTGCCACCCTCATGTACGAAGATGTGCTCTATGCTTGTGACGAAGATGTGTGTCCCGAGTACACCAAGGATCCTCGTAAGTTGCTAGTTTGCTTTCTATTCTCTAGACCACCACTAATCATTCCAAAATGCAGGCATCAAGGAAGTTGTTACACTCACTTCGGATCTGTCTCGCAAGAACCTCGAGACTGACTTTGAACGCATGGACACCCCACAGGGTATCTTCTACCGCGTGTACTTTGATATCTACCTCACTCTTGATGGCAGTGAGTTCAGCGCCGAGCTGGTGTGCCAAAATGAGATCATGGGTCGCTGCCGTGCCAAGTTCCGGTAAAGGACTCGAGATTCTATCCACCGCGCACCAGGACATCGAGCACAAATCGAAATAAAATCAGTCCTCTGAAAATATATGATCGACAAGATCCGAGGCTCAACGCGGGAGTCGTATATATTCCCATCCCCAAAGAAAACCGACGAATGTGTCCGGCAAGGTATCTAAATTTTTGTTCTTTCATCTGTTCTTTCATCTCCGGGGTCAAATCCCCTTCTTACAAGTGACTGGACAGCACGGCACTGGAGAATGGGCGTTGTTTGGATGATTCATGTCGAATCCTTTCTCCCCCTTACACCTCTTACATACCTACCACAGCGTGCTTTGATTGATTTCTTGTTTCCTCCCCGACGGGTAATATGTGGCGGATTGCCTACCTTATTTGTTTCTCCCCTTTTTATCTTTTGTGATCCTCTTAGATACCTCTTATACTTTTCGACTTGAATGATATTTACGAGCTGCGGTTGCCAGATTGGCGTATCCAGTAATTTTTTACAACTCACGCGTCTACCTTGACATTATTGCCTGTATCTCACTTATTAAAGCATGGGCCTGGATTGACAGTTCAAGTTCCAGTTTTCAAGTTGTTAATATATTGTTTTTTAAGAGTAAAATCCCGGCTTTCTATTTAACAGGACGATCATTGATAGAGAAAGGAAAAGATCATGGTCATCAACATCAATTATGTCTCCAGGTTGATACTCCGGCCAAAGCGAGCATACAGGGCAACCTTGAGCTGCTGCAACTCCTCATGAAGCTCAGAAATGGACTCTTCCAGCTTGGCAACATCCGCATCAATCTGCTCTGTGGAAGTAGCGAGCATAGACTGTGCATCCGCAAGAGGAAGCTGGAAGAAGGAATCGCCAATTTTGTACCTAGTAAGGTTAGCATGTCCATGCCATAAAGAAATAACTCAAAGATGAGAAAATGACCGGAAATAATAAAACATAGGAGCTCTTACGGAACAAGTTCATCCTCATCAGCCAACTCAAGTTCCATAGAAAGCTCCTCAAGATCTTCCTTATCCTTCTGTATGCTTGTCAGTTCCATCGTATACAGAAGAAATCTAGATCAAGAGGAGACTATTCATACCTGCTTCGCTTTCAATTGCTCCTCCAATACAGTCTCGCGCTGATGCAATCGGCTAAACCGATTAATCTTCTCCTGATCCTCACGACGGACCTCATTCTCATCGCCAGTAGTCTCCTCGGCTCTTGAAAGCTATAAATGATGTAAGTTAAAATTCGATTCTTCGCCTTCGTGGCTCGCGCTTCTCCATCTGTCTTTTTTTGTGGTGTCTTGCTGCGCGCCAAGACGCCAGGTGGGATGTCGTTCCCGTGAGGGGCAGACACGTCTTTTGGTCTGGTCCCCTGCCTGACAGGATTTGGTGAAGGGAATAGCTTACCATGCGTGGTTGAACCATGATGGATGTTTTAAAGGAGCTTTGTTGCTGTGAGAACTTGAAGTTGATGTTGTGGTTGAGGGGATTTGATGGATTTGATGGTGGTCTGTGCGTTCGGGGTTGTGGTGGGCTCAAGTGCTCCTTATGGGTGCGGCTCTGATGAGAGAAGTACTTTGTTTATATGCAAGAATTTTAATGTCATAAGAGAAGGATTTGATATCCAAGTTATCAGTTTGTCATCTCTCCAATCTATAACTTTTTGGTTGTCGTCTAACAATAGGGCTGCATTATGCTGGCCGGTCTTGTATATGGGCCAGAGGGATAGTACCAGGTCCATATGAATTTACTATGAGATGAATATAGCAGCAATATATATGATACTGGCTATTTGTAGTATCTTCAAGTATCTTCATCTCGTGACGTTCAAACTGTTTGTTCTATCAGAATCACACGACATCTGGAACAGCTGTACTTCGTACCCCCAGCTGACATCATCGATCTCCCAAATAAAATCATCCATCCAAATTTATTTTATCTCAATAATCTAACATATACGATGAATATCTTATAATAGGCAGATACATTGTTGTTTGGCCCCTTAACCATGACATAGTGCTATAGCTCTCAATACAGTAAGCCGCTCGGAGAAACGAAACACCTCCGCAACTCCCATCGTCATCTCCACACGACCAGCTCTACCCAACTCGCTACCCAGTCACTCATTTCTGGTGCTCTATTCGCCACGACTGATAATCCCTACTTAGTTCCAGCAATTTTCGAGCTCGTGATATCCCACTTCACGAGTCCTATCTTCTACGCCCCCGTTCGCATCCCTCCGATAGACACTCTACATCACCGCCATGCGAATACAATCACACAGAGCACCACTGCTCCTCTCCGCACTTCTTTCCGGCTTCGCGTCCGCCGTTAGCTTCAAATGTTCCGATATCAAGACATCAGATCACACCTTCGATTTTAGTGGATTGAAGGGTACACATGAGGTGTTCCACTCATCGACGAACGAGACGGAAGGTTTCCTAACAAATACGACATACGTACTGAACATCTGTGATGTTCTCCACGGCGCTGCGAATCGAGATGGAATTACCTGTGGTACAACTAGAAATGGTATGTGGATGTACTCTCAACATATCCCAAACATCGATCTTATTCCCCGATCACCATGAATCTCGCGAGGCGTCTTGCTTATCTCAAGAGACTGACATTCTATTCACATCTAGTCTGTGGCTTCTCGAAACGAATCGCAAATGATACTCATCACAGTAACTCGGTCTATTACCCGATCGCTGGTCTCGATCACGTAGGCGAAGGTTCTAAGGACCCCGTCGCGACACCATTGAAAGAGATTAACGAGAACGAAGAGGGTCTGCGACTGAGGATGGCTGGTGGTGAGTACGAAGCTGAATCGGGGAAGAAGAGCCCTGCCGCTGCGATCATCGATTTCGTGTGTGATCCGGATCGATCGGGACTGGAGGGTATTCCCTTGATGGAGGATGAGAATGGTGAGAAGGATATGCAGAGGCGGGATGGAGAGGATCCTGTAAGGGATCCGAGCTTGACATTTAAGAGCTTTGGTCCTGATGCGGATGATACTTTCATCTTGAAATTGGACTGGCGTACACGGTATGCTTGTTATGATTATCAAGGTGGGAACTCCGGAGATGCGAATAGCTCGCAGCACTGGGGATTCTTTACTTGGATGATTATTATGTGAGTGTGCTTCCTCTCGGGTTTCTGCTGCATGGCTTGATGCTATGTTTTGTTTCTGCTCTGTTCACAACAGCTAACCACTCTTAGTGTTTTCCTTTGCGTCGCTGCCTACCTCATCTTCGGCTCTTGGCTCAACTACAATCGCTACGGTGCTCGTGGCTGGGACCTACTTCCACATGGAGATACCCTCCGTGATGTGCCTTATATCTTCCAGGACTGGGTCCGCCGCGTGGTCAACACGCTACAGGGTAGCGGATCAAGAGGCGGATACAGTGCTGTGTGATAGCACTTGCTCGAAGCTGTCAAGGCCATGTATTTTGCGGAGACTGGCCTCTGCTATTTCTTCTTTCCTTTCCATTTTGTATGTGGTTGCGTTTTGGTTGATGACCGGATTTGTAGCTTACTCTCGGGTTGGAATGCAGTACATCTTGTTTATGGCGCTAGATGGGAAGCCAGATGAATTATAGGATTGATTGACTCACGTGGTACAGTCATTGAGCTTCTGAGAATGGAGTGGTTGAATCAATCGATTTCAGTGATCCGGGTTGGTTAGTTTGCAGGATGAAGATGATCTTGTAGATCCAATATCAAACTGCCTTGGACAAGGTACCACTAGCAATCAAACATCGGAATGACTTTCACCACTACTGGTACTCGACTTAGCAGCTATAAAAAACTAGATATTCCTACAGGGCACGCAATTAAGCGAAAATATCATATGCCATAGACTCAGATTCAATCTCCCCACATACAAATATCAAAATGCAGATCATGAGCATCAATAACAAATGGAGAAAAAAAGTCGGTGTAGGACATAAAGCAAAACAATGAAACAAAGCAATGCAAGATCATTATGATTTCCACCAATCCCCACAGCTCTTGCGAGTCCCGGAAAGTATCACGGAGCTATAAGAGTGTGCGAGTCGGTGGAGATCGCGTCATCGGGGCTAAATCATTCTCATAGGAGACAAAGCGATCATTGCAAAATGGAGCAACGTTTCACGAGGATCATTGATACGCTAATCATCAGCAGAGCTCAGCCTTTCCTTCAAAAGATGGGGTTCTCCCCACGCTGCCCCAGGGTTCCCCCTTTTTTTCCCCCTGCTTTTCTTGGGTTTTCTTCTCTTACTTCCCCTCCTTGGTCGTCTTTCTCATACTTCGTCCATTCCATGTCATCAGAATGCTCAGTCATTATGAAATGAATGGAAGAGACTCAAAGTTTCGACTCTTCTATCTAGACCTTCATGGCAAACTGCTTCAGGTATAGGTAGTCGTCCATGGTCTCGTTGACGGTCTGACGGATTAGAGCAGCTCCCTTGGAGCCATACCTCTCCAGCCAGGCAGCATCCCACTGCTCCTCGGTCTTGGGAGCATGTTTCTATAAGATCATGTTAGTCATTTGTCCACTATCACGATCTAATGGTATGTCCCAACATGGTTGGATATACATATCAGTAAGGACATCAACTTACATGAGCTCGTGCAGTCAAGCCCTTCGACTCAATAGCATCATTATGGAACCCTCTCCATTTCTCAAACGCCTCACACGCAAACGCATAATCCTCATCCGTATCCCACTCCAACATAGAAGGTGTATACGGCACACCGGTACTACGACAAAAGGCCTCAATCATCGGCGCCGGCGCATCAAGCATATCATCCGCATCAACCATACAAACCTCATGCACCGTCTCCCGATCCGCTTCCGATCCAACCTCGGGCGAGAGATCCGGTCGAGTAGCTACTCGTGGTCCGACAAGTCCCTCCCTCAGCAGATAATCGAAGTGACGTCTCAACTCGCTATATCCCGCTTCCTTGGGATCGAAGTTATGGAATCCCGTCAACTTATCCAACGGGGCAATGGTGCACCGGTAGTATGATGGGATACTATGATGCGGGTCCCGGATCAGGAACGCCCAGTGGAACTTTTCTTGAAGTTCTCGTGGCATTACCGTCGGATTACCTGGTTCCTTTGGCGTGTTATATGGGTATGGAGTGGACTTGCCTGTACCGTTGGTATGGTGATGACCATTGCATCCGTTGGCGTGTCCGTTTGTCAGACTGGGCCCGTTGACACCGTTACTGTGGCCATTACTGTGGCCGTTGGTCTCGGCGTGTCCGTTTTGGCTTGAACCATTAGTGTACACGCCGTTGCTTACCGCGCCATTGGTGCCGTTCGCACCGTTGGTCGCGGTTGTGTGGCCGTTGGCGTGGACGCCGTTGGCCGGGTGGTGGTCATCTTCTGAGGATGTGGTGCCTACACCACGCTTGATGCGTCGCAATGAGGGTGCAATGCTTGCAGGCTTTCCTCCAGGTGGAAGAAGGTAGGCGTCAATGTCCTTGATGAAGACTCGCTTTCCCTGTATAAAGGTGAGTTTCCCCTCGGGATGAAAACGATTCACGATATGAAAAGAAACTCGGATCTTTCAATCTGAGTGTTCTTTTGTCTTCTGTGCTTTGCAGAATGGGGAAAGGAAGTATGCAGTGGTACTGATCAGGCTCGGAAAAGAAACCCGATGCAGATGCAGTATGTGATATGCCTTCCACTAACGAGCCTATCATATGATGAGACACGCGTGTTGTTGTTTCAAACACGGCAGTGAAAATGCAACAGAAAGAACAAAAATGGGCTCAAGGATTTTGCAGGAAAATGGTTCGGACCTCTGAGCCTTCACGTTCCAATCTATCCATCACAGTGCGATATGTCGAGTTGCTGAAACCACTATCCAGACGACCTTGTTCGTCATCTTCGAACCGATCGGCTAGACGCTCAGGACCGTAGTACCAAGCATCTCCGAAAGGTTCATGAACGCACTGAATTGTAGCACGTTGAGTCATAAAGACCTGTAGAAAGGAAAACCGGTAAGAAGTAACCGTTAGCACTCCCATATCTTATTCCAGCATGTCAACTCTATATAATCAAAATGAAAAATAGTTTTTCTGAACATACCCGCTCAAATGCAGTAGAGCAAGCGCGCGGATGCGCAGCCACATAGATAGGTTTGTTAGACATGATGAATTAGGGTCGCGTGCGCAGATTCTAAATTCCACTCAGGAACTAGGATCAGGACAGGAACAAAAGTAAGTATTCCTTGCAGGGGAAAAAGGCTTTTTTTTCTCAGGATTACACAAGGTAATCGGGAACCTTGGAATAAACTCGTGGAGATCCGAAGGCAAGAGCAAATGAAATATAGGATGATGCAAATTGCCGGATATGACAGGGCCGTGTAGTCAAAAATAAGTGACTATAACTGCCGGGCTTGACCTAAGGGACAGAACCCCAGGCTGTATTTTCAGCAAATACGAAGGCTTCAAAATGAGATCAGAGGCGGATGCGATGGCGTGAGAATAGTGATGCAGGTAGGTTGAAACTCTTTATAAGATATGGAGGGGGGCAACGCCTGACTTTACCCGGGATCCAATACTGGGAAGTTGAGTGAAAAAAGACACGATTTAATTGGAAAATGTGGGAAAAGAAAGTAGATTGCAGAAGGGGGCGAAAATGGATTTTTGATTTTAAAAAAATTCATTATTTTCTTATTTGCTATGGAGTTTGAGACTTCCCCGTCGACCGTGGATACTGCCTAGATGAGCTCTTGGTACAGTTTATAGCTTGAAAGTGACATAGTGATGTAGAATATTCAGTAGAAATAGACTAATAGATCTTTTTATTAGGATAATTATGGCTCTTTTTAACTCACTGATGAATTATATATGAATTGAAATAATGAATATGATTTCTACTACTAATCGGATCTATAGACGTCGAGTGAAGGTGACATGCATATTGCAGGCATCCATGTACCATGTCTAATTCTTCACATTTTTAATGCCGCAAGTCATACAGTTTCATCGTCGTGGAGTCAATTCTAAACGAGTGAAAAAGCTCTCTAAAAGAGGGGTTGAAAGTCTCTAATCAAATCAGAACCACTATAATCCAAGCTCTACCTGTTTCCACTCATAGTCCACTCATAGTGCCCCGCTATCATCAAGTGTGTTCCGCTTCTATTTTTTGCGTATCCGCCCAGAGCGAGGCTACCACCCAACGGTAGGTCTAGAAAAGGGAATCAAAACTCTAGCAACCACTTTTTCCATGCTACACCGAACCAATCGGGATCCCTGTTGTGGGCAGTAGGAGGGATAGATCTCCGTGTCTGGACACGCCGACTCGGAACAAAGGTGTCCACAAGGCGCAAGCTCATAATGTACGGGTATTTTAGTTGGCTCGGTGGAATCATAATGGTGCTTTCGAGTTTTTTTCTCTCTTTAGTTTCTCCCCCTCTCACCGGTGACAAATGTCCGAGAAACGGAGTCAATTGTCACTTATTTGCCCCAACTAACACGACTAACCCGTTTATTTTTCTTTTCGTGTTCGGCCGAGTTTTCACGAGATCCCTTGGCCAGGCGAGGTCTGATCCTGGGTCCTTGAAAGTCAGATCTTATCCATTTTGCGGCATGGCCGGCTTGCGCTTGACGTCATGAACCGGGTGATTTTGGCTCGGTTATTGAGTGGATTGAAATGGGTTGGGTTAATGGGGCGAGGGAGGGGCTAAATGAAGGTGTGGTTTTTTTTCTTCTCTTGTTGAATTATTGTAAATGATCAAAAAATAGTAGGTGTGCCCTGGAACTCGTTGTCTCAAACAGGTATTTAGTAGAAACGTCGAGATGCGGAGATCAGATCAGGTCCCGTTCTGGACCTTCACGCCTTGGTTCCTTGTGGACGGTGGTGGGCCGGGCGTGGGCTTCTGGTCCCGCATACTTCGCCAGGAACACACGCAAGCCATTAAACCTTTCCGCCAATGGCGGGTGGCGCGTAGAACAGGAGGGACCCAGAGCACCCAACGTGGGGTATTGTGTTCAACTGGGCAGTGAACTTTGTGTTGAGAAGGTGGCTTTTTCCTAGAGCCACTGGGCACTGGCCCCGGCCCCGGGGGAGAGTCGCTCGCTGACTCAGCATATGACTGTGACACCTGAGGCAGAAAGCGTCCAGCTATACTGGTCAACAAGTCATTCCAGATGTCCAGATGTGAGAGGAATATGTGAATGGATGTAGTATGAGAACCAGCTCATTCGAATTTAATAGTTACTTCGAATGTGACAAGGAATTTCCATATCAAGTCAGCTGAGGAAATTGACCTCTGGGAAGGACCCAGGCCTAGTGAAAAAGCAATGAATGGATACGGAAGCATAATCTACGTGGTGTTGGATATTATCATGATTCATGGATGCCAGTGTAATAGACCTCTTTTACTAGAGCTCGTACTCCCAGCACTGGAGGCTTTTTCAGCCCGCGAGCTCCCTAGCAAAGTACATTGAAACCTTCAAGTTAGAAGTACGTATCTCAATGGAAGTTCTCAATCAATGAATGTTCTCAATGGAAGTTATCTGCTTGAAATACATACTCAGCTAGTTCAAGACCCCTAGTACCACCACAGCTCGCAACAGCTAGCCTGTCGGCCGTTAGCAGTTTCCAGGTGTCAATCAAACCTCGGCGAAGTAAGAAAACCCAAATACAAACCGGATTCCTTCCGGAGTGCTTGAGAGATCGAGATATGCCCATCATCAAAACTCTCCAGTCGTTCCTCGTCACAAGTAAGTCCAACCTCAAGCCGCATGCTAGTCCCGTGAACGCGTCCGGCTCCTGCTATGAATCTTAAGGAGCCTCCACCCCTATACCGAATGCATTCATTCGGTAGCCCTACACGACTAGTTAGTTTTAGAGTCAACAATGATCAGCTCTTTGACTTACAGAAAATTCACCAGTGAGCGCTGCTACCCGTCCACCGACAACAAGGCGAAATGACCAGCACCTGTGACTACGGGGATTGCCAATCCATTGGTACGCCGCTTCAGGGGTGTGAAGAATGATCGGCCGAATTGCACGAATGCACCCCGTGCCAGCTTTTACTTCAAACCCTCTCAAACTCTTGCCCTTCAGGTCAATCGTAACCTGACGTTCCGGAAGTTGGTAGCCAAATTTCACGTTTGGTTTGCCGGGGCCGTAGATAAGCTCGAACCCGGTAATCGTCGTCCATATGCCCTCAGAGTAAACGAATACTGCAAGGCCCAACATATCTGCAGAAGTATCGACCGTGATGGTCTGGGTCCTAGATTCACGCGATCTGATGGGCTTGGCTGAATGTATTATCCATCTTTGATTCATGCCAGTTGCCTGATAATTGACATCCTTCACTATCTTCCAATCAAGCGATGTCGAACGATCTGTACTTGTGGTACTAGGAGCCAGATCTGGGCTTATGAAATATTGGTCACGAGCCCACTCGTAGCGAATCCATTGGTCAGTCATCCGACGACGAGGCTCATTTGATCGGGCAGGTCTCTTGGAACAGTGGTATGCCATCATCCACTTCGTGAAATTCTCACGCCTGAGGAAACGCAGATAGCCTCGCTCCATGGAGAGCTCAAAGCGAGATTTCCAGAAGCTTTCAATGCGAAAAATGGGCGCCATGGCTCGTGAGGCAAGTGTCAAGTGCAGCATGTCGCTCGTGGGTAGAAGGCACGCGACCATTAAGCGAAGTTCCAAAGGCAGACGAGAGAAACAGTCTGTATTCGACGCCACTTTGCTTTGCACCATTTCAGTGTTGATAATTGGGTCCATCTTTGGGAGAGTCCTTTCCGCATTTCGAAGTGTACCTTGGCGGAAATATCTCCGGATTCGCAACTCTGGCGCCGCTGTCGTAGTTGTCGTGGTAGCAGGTGGATCCAATCCCATTGATTCTCTTGCCACCGCGATTGATCCACGATATAATGTTGGGAATTGGAGTATGCTAGCGAGTATTAGAAGGTCGATTGATACATGGTGAGTCTCGTGGCGGAAATGTTGCATCAAGGCCTCCCAACAGGGCTTATGAATCATCAGTTGCCGTTCATTAGGCGCATGATACCGCTGATGAAACAATGCTAGGGGGTCGGGGTTCCTTCTGCGAAAGGGTTCGGTGTTGGTAACATGATTGCTGTTCTCGGTATCTGCGTGGTCAAGGCGACAGCGTAGTCTAAGCTCACGTCAGTTTTCATTTCTTTGCAGAAGTGATACTAGTATATTGCAGCCAACTAACAGTCCTGCAACTCTGGATAGCTTGAAGGCTCTGGATTATTGCAGCATATGCAGAAAATGTATGGGTCTCCAGTTATTTGAGGAGCAACATTCACAGTATGGGCAGTCATCTTTGCTGGTATTGTTGTTGTTGTTATTGTTGCAAAAGGAATACGTCGTGATGTGGAGAGAAGAGAAGGGTGAGAAGAGAAGAGATCTTTGCCTGGAGCTCATGATACCAGAAGAAGTGTGTAAAAATATAGCAAAGAACCCTCGGAAATATTTATATTTTTGATATTGGCCCCAATTAACTTACTGATGTGAGGGTGTTTAAGTTCCAGATGCTACTAGTCATGTCAAATTTCCTTACTATCATCTACATTATCTCAGTAGGTACCTACTCATAACCCTTCCAATACTTGATCTTGATATCGTTCCCTTCAGGGCTCTTAATTTAGATCTCTCTCACTTTGGCTATCTCTTAGTGTAGATATCTCTCACTCCAGCTCTATCTTAGTACTTTGGATATCTCTTACTTTATCAAACTCTCACTTCAAATATCTCTCATATATACTTCAGGTATCTCTTACTTTAAATTGAATCAGGCCAAAAAGTCTGATTGTGTCTAATTTTGCACTAGGGGTGGTCATCTGTGTTTCTCTTGCCGGATCACTTCCCCACGCTTATGAATCCTCATACATATGTGATAAACACCACATGTGCAGTTGACTGGGATTCAAGAGCAATTGCTGTATTCGAATAATGCTTGCTACATTTCTTCAGGAAACTAAACGATTCTTAGAAAACCCGACACACGCTCAAGCTTTCCGCACATAGCTATTTACAACTCCGATCAGCTCGCATACCTGACTATTCAACCCTCGATGTCGGCCACAGCGTTGGAGCAGATGATATCACTGACCAGTGGTATATGAAAAATCCTCCTCTCACTTCTGACAATACTCCAATTTATGGATCCATACAAGTGTTCAAGCTCAGGTGACCGGTGTTGATATAGTCGCCAAGATTGACTCGATGGCACCTAAAAAACTGGGTGATCACAGCTGAAAGGTCTCTGACTTAGTGGACTGGGCCTTTTTTCTCAAACCAGGCAAATTCAAAAAAAATCCCAAGCTCAATGTCTCCAGGGCTACTATCTTGACTATGGCCGTGAAACCTGTGTCCGCTCATTGTCAGCTCTCGCCTGAAGAAAACGTGCGATTATTTTTCAATCCACCGCATGTACATAATGAGGAATTTAAAAACCAAGATTGCTCTGTTTTATAGGGTGCATTTCCCCGATGGTTTCGCTGACTTCAACTTGAACTGTTACGCGTGGGTCTACTCGGCTCGCTAGTTGTTACCTATATTCAGGTGTTCGCGGACAAGCCACCTCAAATCGGGCGCATCCTGAAGAACTATAATGGCAATTTTTCCCGGTACTATGACTGCCTTGATCTCTAAAAGCCATTGTATCCGAGCTGAATCAGCTATCCAGTCTTTGCTAGTTCTATATAAACCCAGACAAGATCCCAGCACTTGAGTTCAATCATACTCACAGCCTCTTGAAGTTCGCTGCCCTGCCAAGAAAATCATCAACGCCTCACGAGTCGCAATGAATCCCATGAACCCCATGACCGCCTTCAAAGGCTTCCCTGATATGTCTGGCACAGACCCAATAGGGTTCATGAGCGGGATCCAACCACCTACCGGTCAAATCCAAGATCTCAAGCCCGGAAGCATCAAGGCAATCCCTCAATATGGCGGCAATGACGGCAGTCCATTCATTCTTTACCCGAACTACCCTGGACCCATCAAAACTATTGAGGTCTACAGTGGAGTTTCGGGTGATCCCCAGAGACCCTATGTCATTCGGGGTTTGCGAGTCGAGTGGTTCCACAGTCCCACCAGCCCACTCTACGGCCGCGAGACCGATCGGAAAGATACCTATACCTTCCAGCCCGAGGAGCGGATTCTTAGCATGATTATCGCGAGTGGAGTTCGCACCGATCGGATTGAATTCACAACTACCCACGGCAATTTCAAGGCGGGCGGTAATGGCGGAACGGCTCACGATGTGGACGTTGCGAGCGGGATCATTCTTGGGTTCCAGGGGCGCTCGGGATGGGATATTGATAGTTTGGGAGTGGAATTTTTCAAGGGCTAGCTGTTTTCCAGTGCCATAAGGGGGCTTAATGTTTTGATCACATGCATGAGGTTGAGGTCCTGTTGTTGAATTTCTAGCTTCTTAGAACCACTGTGTCAAATTCTGATTTTCTCACGCTTTTAAAGTGGAGTGCGGACCGCATTGCTCGACGTATATACTGGGGTAATTATTTTGTAGATCTGCGATATGAGCGAAACGGCGATCTGGAGCCTTTCCTATAGAAAAGAAATGTGGAAAATGATATGAAGTGTGCCTTTGCTCAGCAGGCTATCGAAGCTGTGGCATTCATTCACCAGAATGAAATTATCCATTTTGATCATGGCGCCCGTTAATTCCTGGTTGATAATGAGCTTAACATCAGGTTATGCAACTTTGGTGGCTCTTCCCTACTGGACGCCGACGCACTGATGATGGAGAATAGTTCTCACTTTTACCTCTCAATGAAAATCTACCAAACTTCAAGCAGGATGATTTGTTTGCCCTGGGCTGTACAATTTACGAGGTCTTATAAGGAATGAGACCACACCATGGACTTGGAGATGAAGAGATACAGAACCTTTATTCTCAAAAGTCATTCCCAGCACTGAAAAGGGATGGATGAATATCATTCTCCATTGTTGGAATTGCAAATATCCTGCGTGGCTGATATCTCAAAGGAATTGTCTTTTCTTTCCAGCGATTGTGGCAGCGGGTGAATAGTGCTCAAAGGAAGCACCGATACTCACCAACCTGATGCGTCGCTGTCATATTCACGAACTGCCAGTGGGGAACCTGGTGCACTGTCTGCCAAATCTGTACATCTGTCAAGGTCATTACATATTGACAATCCGGCACTGCACGCTCCATAATCTCAAGATATCTGTCCTCAATATCTCCCCAGTCCCGCTCTTTCATTTCTTGTACCCATTTTTCTACCTGCTCCTGGTAGCTCTCTTCACTCTGCTGTGCAACAACCCAACGAGGTGTGTGATGGAGGTCCATCAAGAACATAGGCGGATATGAACGTTGAAATGTCTTTTTCCACTCTGTGGCGACTAGAGGGAGTTTGAGGAGGTGTCGGATCAATGATAGTAGATATCATGGGGCTTTGGAGTGAGAAGCAAAAGGTCATGGGCGAATGTTGAAGGTACTTCGATGGTCTCCTCCAGCGTTAAACCAACGAGCGACAGAGGAAGAAGATGTGCACGCCTCCAGTGAGAGCTTTCAAGACTATGAGCCAAGCACGGATTCCCCCAGAATAGGTCTCCAAGTATGTGGTCATCTTGGTTATATTACAAAAGCGGGAATTCATTGTTGATCAATATTTGCGAAGCAAGAGACAACTTGTCATCAGGCACTGCCCACCCCACAAGCTGAATCACGAATTAGTTTTGAGTAAAGATATTTTGAAGCTCCTATCTTCTTATACTCACAATTAGGACCTCTGCATATCCGTACCGGTATTGAACTTGGGTCCCATACTCAACAACCTGAATATTTCCATCAAGACGTGCTCTTAAGGCAAGTGGCATCTCAGGATAATGGAATTGTAGAGGGTTGGTGAGGTCTTCCGATCCGATTGTTGAGGGACTTTGAAGTTCTGCACTTTCATAATCATCTGATGCAAATAAAAGATGTGGGGGATGTTCTCCTTTTTCAGCGCAGCAGTGAGTGCTGCGGCAGCTGCATCAAGGTGGTTGAAATTCGGCTGTACAGGGCCAACCGATGATCCTCCCCCTGCCGAGAATACCGTGGATGCGAATCACTCATATTGATGCAGTGGCGTTCACAAGGTTCAGAAATGTGATAGAGATGAGTGTAGCCGAGAGAGAGCAAAGCAAAAGTAAAGAAAGGAGGAGGTGAAGTGGTCGATGTTGATCGAGGGGGGTAGAAGAGAAGTTAGTTTTTTCAGAGGTAATTGAAAAGAGGAATGATAGCAAGTGAAAGATCAAACTAATTTATGGGAGTTAAAGATGAGACCACTTTTCCCTGTGTAGACTTCATTCACTATCAGAACTTAGGATCCTACACTACTTATTCCCCCACCTAGAAGCCTCCTCAACACCAACAACCACACCACCATGGATTCCTCTAACGACAGCAGCATACCAAGCACCCCATCCCCCATCATGAGCTTGAAGGAATTAGGGGAAGTACTTACTGAACCTCCTTCCCAAGTCTCGTCGTTCGTCGCGCAAGTTCCATCCTCAACCGTTCCCTCCTCGCCGCACGGAGGTTATGCGGCGACTCTCATTGGAGGACGTCGTATGACGGAGGTATGATGAAGCTACTATTTCCTGTTCTTTTTTTTAATTGACACTTTAACTAATCAATCCATCCTGATAGGATGTTGATGTCATCGTGGGAAAGAAATGCTTCGAAACTTTGCTGAGGCTTCCTGGATTCTCAAAATCAACAGACAATCGCTTAATCTTTCACGCAGGAAGGCATGCCGTACTAATTGGTCTCATGTATGAGCAAGACTCGAGATATCCTCTTCCTAAGTCCAACTGCTCTCGGCGATTGAAGATTCAATTGCACGATCACCCTGACCGAAAGATACACCATTCAAGTAAGTCTGAACAACTCTTTCCTGATGACTATCAAAATTTACTAATTCTTTAGTTGAAATTTTGCATCCGTCAGCCCTCCTTCTAAGGAAACTCATTCCTTGGCATGAGGCATTCTATGCCACTCGGGCGCATGCCAGGTTGCGGGCCATGACCGATTTGGAGGATATTGAAACAATCCTGATATGGCTCGTCAGAAGGAACCAGACAATTGACCTCAACTACCCGCCAAGGCATTCTGACTGGTTTCGGCGGATCTTGGGGGATCTCTACGTGGAGGTTTGGGACCTTCGCCCCCTCTTAGCTTCGGCGTTCTCCGTGGATGACTTGAGATTAGCACTAGCACTCAGGAGGCGCAGAGCTTGATCCTGACTTTCATGGGCGGTGGTGCAAGTCTTCTCTTGGATTTTGCCTTTTTGAGGCCTAGTATTCTTCGATCTATGTTTCTTGATACTGGACCGGATATGGCAGTGGTTTTCTACCTTCAAGTTCAATATTATTTGAGACCGCGACTCTACTATGGAGTCGAAATTGGAATAACTTGAAATTAGCTTGTATCCGATGCGTATGTGTTCGTCTTACGGTCAACTGGGGGAACTGAATTATATGCCCAGGTGGACGATGCTATAGAAGCCCTGGAGCTTGGAAAGTTTCGTAAGACTTGCCAGGTCACGGTTCAAGTTTTACCTTTGAGTCCTCATTACTCCACTTACACTGGCAGGATGATACTAGTATATAGTAATGGATATATCTAATACTAAATCATACACAGTAGGTTGATGATGTACACCAACACTAACACCCTGTACTATCTACCATCACCTACTATGCCAGGACAGAGAAACCCGACTGAATTCAACGCTCTTGACGCTGCTGCAACGGCAGTATCACCCCTTTTGCGGGAGGCTCATATGCCATATGTCTTCCAAGGAGCATACGCTATCACCTTGATCGGCGGAGATCGCCTAACAGAGGTAGATCAGCGCTTCCTTCTTTCTCATCCGCCATTCTTGTGAGCTTGAGTCTCCATTAACACTAACCACAACTAGTGTATTGATGTGATCGTGAAACATGATTGTTTCAACCTCCTCCTGAAACACCCAGATTTTCGAGTATCAACGAACAACCGCTTGATATTCAGATACGGCCAAACAAACATATTGATCAACATCGAAACTGATAAGGATACAATCGACGACTATCGGCCCTGTGCCAACACAACGAAAAGATTGAGGATAGGAGTAAGAGCTCATCCTCACCGCAGGGTCGGTACAATGAGTAAGTTTAGACAACATGAGTCAAGTTTGGAGAAAGATGGGACTTTGCTGATTTACTTTTTACTAGTTGATATTGTAGACCCAAAGATTCTGCTTCTCAAAAAGCTTCTTGCCTGGCATAAGATCTGCATTAAAAACCGGGAAGGCGCTGATTTGCCACTCGATGGAGATTTCGAAGACATTCAGACAATTTTGACTTGGTTGAAGGAACGAGATGAGCGGATTGATGACCGCTATTTTAGGTTCCCCAACACTGATACCGAAGATGAATTTGTTTTCAGTTTGGGTGATCTTTATGTTGCAAAGAGACAAGTACGGCCTAATCTGGCCGCAATTCTGTCCTCGCATCTAATGAGATTAGCTCTTGAAAGGGTCGATGCATGATTTGGAAGGTCGGTTCTTGGTTTTCAATGAGAACATGGCTCAATGGAAGTCTTTCAGCATGTTAGGAGGACTCAACGGCAGAGGGGATGTGGGAAATAAGGGGGATATCATTTTCTTTCGCCATAGGTTGACGACTGACGCTTTCCCACACCTCCTTACTATTCTGGTAGTTGAGTTGATTTGTTTTTGAATGAAATTTCCCAAGTGCTTACATTATTGTAAATCGGAGGGCTGTACAGAATACGGAGTAGACAGTTGTATTAAGTTAAGCTCCATGTTATAGAACGCAGGTAGTAATTAGGTACGAAAGACAAACGTCTTTTCCCCCGAAATACCAATATAAAACTTCATGATTATCCCTCAGACTGAGGGAAAAGAAGATAAAAAGAGAGAAGAAAAAAAAATCCGCAAGCGACGCAGGGATCGAACTTCGTGATATTTAGGACGGCCGGCTAACGCCGGTTCCCCTGACGGGGGTTAGTCAATACTACTACTACTACTACTAGGTACTCACATCCCTTTGTAATCTGCACGTAGAATAAACAATAAGTTCAGTAAGTCTCTCAGCTTCAAGTTTCCTTCTTAATATTGTACACTATCTAATCCTTCCAAGGTTCTCTTCAACACACAGATAAACTTAAACGATGTACCTCTGGTACAAACGTTTGTCCCTCCGACGCACCCTCCCGCGCAAACGGTTGCGCAAACGGTTGTTAACCTCAACCGCAAATGTTTCTTTCACTTAAACAGCCAGTTAATGGCAACGGATTCAATGATAAGTGTCGTCCCCTTCTCAGGTGGGCCAATCGGGTTATCCTGTGAACGACCTACGCGAGGTAGTTCACCGAGCAGCTAGCCGGGCCGCGTAACGGCGATTCGATTCCTATATAGGTTAGTTTGAGCTTAAAGAAAGATTATTGGGAGATTAAAAATACTCTGCACCCCGCACATGTCTTGAACAGTTTCCCATTCTCCCAAAACTCGCTGGAAGGCTTTCGGAAACGGCACTTCGAGCAGGCGAAAGTTGATGGGTGGGATGCTGGGTCATCTGCGGTGGGAGGAATATCCCCATTGTTTCCAGGTCGACGCTGTGAGCCACTTCGGGCATTGGTTGTACGCCCAGCTGTACGCCGAGCTGCACTTGGAGTTCTGCGCCGAGTTGTGCGCCGAGTTGGACGACGGGTGGTTCGCCGGGCATAACGGCGACAGGTCTCCTATATACTGGGTTAGTGTGAATTTAAAGACGATTGGGAGATTATACCATACCAGGCAAGGTACACATGACTTGAACTGTTTTTCGTTCTCCATAAACTCACTCAGAGGCTTTGTGGCACGGCATCTTGAGCAGACAGCCGTTGCTGGGGGAGATTCAGGGTCTTCGGGGCTGTCGTGGTCTTCGGGGTCCTCGTGGCCGTCTTGGTCCTCATGATCATCGTGGTCATCGGGGCTGTCAGAGTCCATAGTAATATCACTTAGGCTCTCTTCTTCAGATTGACCGTCGTCCTGGACACGTGATGCTACCTCCTCAACTTGGTTTTCTTCCTCGGAACTCGATACATCTTCCAATAGCTTCAAGATATCGGGCAATGTCAAAGTTGAAGACATTTTTAATGATGGTGGTAGAAAAGGTGTGGTCATGTGGTTGTATGTGTTGTGTAAGTGAAGAGGAAAATGGGGAACGCGAGGTTGTAAACAGAAGGAGATGGGACTAAGAAAGGCAAACATTGAAAATGAAAATAGTAACAACAGTAGATATAAATATTTCACCTTATAGCTCTGATAGTTTTTAGCCAAGTTAAAAATCAAAGTTTAAATTTGCACTGAATAAAATTATACTGATCAAAAGAATCACAATTGAACAAAAGCATATCACAGATTTGAACGGAAAGCCATGTTTGGCGGTGCATTCAACCCACCAAGACCATCTTTGTTACGCGGCAACTGAGGCAAAATCTCAGACACCCAACCAATTATCTGGGGTGCCTGGAACTCGATTCGCAAAGTTCCACCGTTCACACTCATTTTCTGGGAAGACTGTTTATTATCCGTTTTGAGCGTTGCACTGTGAAATTAGGTCAGCTATGAAACAAGGAAATTGTATAAAGTGGCCCACTCACCCTGTCTTCAGACCCCATGGACCATAGCTTGCCTGGATCGAGCTGTCTGTGGCAAGAGAACTCATCATTTGCGAACTGCTGCGTTCGTCGGTTTTGAACTAGATCAGGTCAGTATACTCGCTATCCATATACTGGTATGATTATGTTTACCTCGAGCACTGTATCCGCAGCAACTATGAATGAGGTGGGATAAGCAGGAAACTTCCCATAGTTGGTACGCTTATCAGTGGTGGTCTCATCTCCATTCTCAATCCAATGGCGCATTGTCTTTGCACCTGGGCTAAGACTATTCAGAGAAACAGTTGTCAGTGGAAGGTCACATGGCTATATCTTCAGTGAACTAATGAGGCCACTTACCTAGTATCCTGGGGAATATCAATGTCAAAGTCCTGGAACAGATCCGCATGAAGCCAGGGACGACGAATGGTCACAACCATTGCAGAGCTTGATCGACGTTAGAAGCTTGTCAACATGATCGAAAAACGGGATGGACTTACAATGATCCTGAAACTGAACATTCAGCCATCTTGCTTTCAATTTCCCTGCGAATATATAAGTAAATGAAACAAGAGTAAGAGAAAGGTTGACATACTTGTTGGATGAGGAGACAGTGGTTTGAGCCTTGACCGAGCTCCACCACGCCCCAACTTCAGCACTGAAGGAGCCATTGAGGTTGGTCTCGTTGGTCTTACGAGAATCGTTCTTGGAGCCAACATCAAATTGGATCTTGGTCCACACATCGGCACTCTTCTCATTGCCTGGCTTTGAGGCTTGTGCAGGGAGTTCCGCATCACCGTCACCGCTTCGCATGATGGTCTTGTCTTTTCTGACACCCAAAACCAGGCCGCTAGGTCCGCCACTTGCCTTGTCGATTCTGGCTTGGAGAGCTGCAATCTGAGACCTCAAAGCCTCGATGTGGTCTAGGACGTTAGTTCTCATGGCTTGGCGACCGGCGCCCTCCAGCTTGGATACATCAATCTGTGTTCGAAGCCCGTTGAGCTTCGCGCTGGCTTCAACCCATCTTTCCTTGGCTGCTTCCAACTTGTCCTCGTCAGGCTTCACATCTTCCTTTTTCCAATCCTTTTTCTTCTTGGCTTCGTTGATAGCCACCTCATACGTGTATATCTCAGCAAGAGCCCCCTTTATTTCATCCTCAGCGACCTCAACCTCTGACTTGCTCGAGTTGCTTGTCGTTACTTCAGTGGGTTTGATAGTACCAGGTGAGCTGCCTCCACCTTCATTCTTGGGTTCTCTGGCCTCATTAGCTGGATTTCCACTTCCAGACTTCTTCTCATTGTCCTTGGTTGGGTCCAAGAATTGCTATAAAAGACATGTTAATCAAAAAGAGATTCAACCAAGGGGGTGTAGTATATTCTTACCGTGTCATAAACCTCATAGGATGCGAGCATTCTTCTCAAATTGTCGATCCGCATTTCTAGGAACTCGACATCCACCGGATTCCTCTCAGCCCAGGCAAGAGCTTTCTCCCGGCAGAGGGTAGCCCTAGTCATTCGTTAGTCTCAAATGGTGGGACATATGTGAGCTGTATTTATATACCAGTGTTGTGGCTCAAGACTCACTACCGCCCAGTCCGTTCCATCAATGCCTGATACCATGGCATCACGAGTTGCCTCCTATAGTACAGTGAGTATTTTGTGAACAGATTTTTAAAATCGCGCTAGACTCTGACAAACCTTGGCCTTCTCAATTCTTGCCATGACGGAGTCCCGGTCAACAAGGGCTATTGAATGTGAGTGATTTGAATGTGTGAATCCGCTGAAAAAAACTAACCAAAACAGTAATCAACACGGAACTTGTCACCGTTGACAACCCAGTCCATCCAACGGGCGTGCAGTTCACCCTGTGCCCGCTTGATGTCCTTCTGGCGGGAGCTGAATGCCGCAGCGGATTGTGAATCAGGGCGCGATTCGCGTGCCTCTGTAGTCCAGGTTACTAAATGATCGGTCCTGGTAATGGATTTCACGACTTACCAGCAGCTTCGCTGCGGACAGCATCCCATTTACCACGAGCCTCCGACCAAGCAATTTGCTTTTGGACGTATCTATCCACAACAGTGCCCTGGATGCCAATCTGAGCGGCCTTATCCTTGGCCAGTGCAACCTTTGAACCCTTGATCTCGGAGTTCGGGGTCAGAATGGACTCCTTGGAGCGAAGGAAGCGCATAGCCTCACTATACGGGCTCTTGCTATCGGCACTGAAATCAGTGGAGACATCCACGGAGCCAATATCCGTCTTACGAGGAACAAGCATGTCTAGTGCGGTGTAGTAACTTCTGGTGACACTCTTTCCAGTTGCACCAAGCTAAAATCATCGTTAGTACGGATGACAGCTTCAAAGACAATGCATATGTGGAATATTCTGACGTACCATTACTTTGTCCAGGGGAATCATAGAGTCAACAAGCATAGCCTCGTTGATCTGGATCTTGTTTCTCACGTCGGCAGAGGCCTTCTCGCCCTCGGGAAGATAACTGATGTGTTTTAGCACTGGATTGCTTCTCATAACATGGCCAAAGAATTTTTCATCACTTACGATCCTCCACGGCGTGTATCGATGATAGTACCTGGCATTGAGATACAAACATACTGCTCGTACGCGCAGGGAAACGAGGCCAGAAGACATCCTCTAAGCTGGACGTTGATGCGCTCCAGCATCTGAAGGCTGTCCTTGCCTGGGTCGTACTTCTTTCCGTCACTCATCTTGAAGGATGATCACTGTGATTTTAGATTGGTTCTTGAGGTACCTATAATGTCGAGTCTATCTTTGTAGATTGACTGGCGTTGCGGCTAGGTCTGTCTGTCTCAAGAGCTGCAATGGGATTCCTCTGATTTATATCCTCTGAAATTTGTTATTCTCCATGATGTCCAGTCTGTGCCAGTGATCCAAAGCGCACCGGGCTCCTCGGCCTTGGAAGCCCTCGACGGCGAGGCCGAAGAAGAAAGACATGTGTCACAGAAATTCCGGGCTTTTTTGGCGCCTCCAGGGGCATTTTCACCTACTGGAAAGGTTAGTATGACCTGTGATATCGTTCGTCTCTCCACTAATGTGTTCATCCCAGCAGTGTCAAAGCAAGCCACAACGCCGACTAGTGACATGAACTACTCCTCATTCTTCAACTTGGTTTTCCAAAGCCACCTCTCTTGCATGTCTCGCTCACTCCGATTCGGTTCACAACGACAACCTCGCCAAACGTTGCCTTACTACCGAGTACGTCAAAGCTCAGCTTGCTGCACCTCAGCTTATGGCAGCTCATTTTGTGTGATATGGCTTAGTAGGATCAAGTTTGGTGTTATTCACGTCGCCACAAGTTACCTTCCAACTTGAACGCCCAGCCCCTCCGTTCCCGGCGGCTTGGCTGGGAATGGTTCATGCGATGACCTTTTCTACAGGCCAGTCTTATCCATTGCTTGCGCCCAATTTTGATGTCATTTTCTCGTATCCACTGATTCGTGGAAGCGAGATCTGCAATCCTGACTTTTCCCAAATTCAACCATGAAATAGTGAGACTCATATAATAGTGCCTAGCGGCCTATGAAAGTGATTAAATTAGAACTTCAAACTCATGACCACCTTTTAGAATGAGTTTGTGGTAGGAAGAATTTCTGTGGTTCTAGCCATTGACTAACAGAAATTTAGCGCTGTCTTCAACGACAAGTTCCAAGGTTTAAACCGCTAGTGCTGAAGCGTGCAGGTGATGAAAAACGCCTCCACGAACCCCTGAGCCTTTCTGTTCCTGCATCGGTTCGAATATCCTTAAGTCTGACATCCCCGCACTTCTTCAGGTCTTTGCTCACGAGGCCTTTTTGCTTATTCCTTGAAAACAGGGAAGCTGGCGAAATCTAGCCGGGGTCCATGGAGGCTAAAAAGGGGGCAAGCTGGGCCGATGAGATGCCAAGGAGCTTCATCCAGCAGGTTTACCTGAGCATCCTAATACTAAATCAGTATTTTCATCATCTACAATATGAACCATTATTAATATGAGAGTTTTGGTCTGATCACTAGATAACACCAGTTGACGACTATGACATTAAGTCTCACCAGATGTCAACTTAGCAGTACCAATAGCTTAACTTCAAGTTATCCCAAGGTTTATGCATTGAAATGTTGAAATATTCAATAGATATCAATTCTATTTTAGTTGCTCGTAGTAATTCATTTGGTTTCCTTTGCCAACATCTTCTTCTCCTTCCACCACCGAGCAATCTCTCCAGTCTGCAAAAACTCCACCTCACCTTCTCGCTCCCATTCCTTAAGCCACTCAAGCATACGCTGCAACATACCAATAACATGCGCCATTCCACTCGTGTCGGGATGCATCAAAACAGGGAAGATGGGCTCCTCCTCGTTATCACGAATCCATAAAAATCGATCGCGCCACATATTCTCGATAACACGCACATCAACGTACCCTTGAGAGTTCTCACAGTGAGGAAGAAACTGCATAGGTGTCATATCTTCCATATAAAAGTTGCACGGAACACATACGAGAGGTCTTCGATCGGGTGGAGAGGGCGATTCCTTGACGGGGTGCATCCAGGTAGCGGCGGGCTTGGAAAAATCGATGGGTTGGATAGGTGGGCGTTTTGGCGCAAAGAAGGGGTGACAATCGTGGTCCGTCAATGAGGCATCTAAAGTACATCAGTCTTGATACATGAGTACAGCATCCAGCTTCACTTACCATATTCAAATCCATACTCCTCGAGTAGATCAAGGGTCGTCTCACGGAGCTGATATAACGGTGCTCGGTACCCGACCGGTTTCTTGCCTGTCAGGGTCTGGGAAATATCCATGCATCGTACAAGAACGTCACGCTCTTGCTCGGGTGTGAGTTGGTATGCGCCCTCGTGGGCGTAGCCATGCAGACCGATTTCACAGCCTGATTCAACAACTTTCTTCACTTCCTCCGGGAAACTCTCTGCAGAGTGGCCAGGGATAAACCAGGTACAGCGATTCGCGATGTTCAACTTTGTTAACATGCGCAGTAACCGAGGAACACCAACGCGGGCAGCGAAGAATCCGGCAGAATAGTCTGCCAGGATGTTGTCGGGATGAGAGTCTATAGTGGAAAATATGGTAAATGTCATGTCTTCCATGAATTGTGCTAGGGCGGGAACTTACTAGTACCAAGCCACCCTGACACTGCATCAAGATCAATTGATACAGCAACGCGAATCTTATTGCGTTTCGGCTTTGCAAGTGCACGCGGGATTGACGGTGCAGAATCCTGGGCGGAAACAGCTTTCGAGGCCTGACTGTTGTCATGGCTCTCTTTGCCCTCTACTTGAATACACTGTCCAGAGATATGACCGGCAGCCCGCTTTGAAGCCAAGAAGGCCATGGTTCGAGCTACATCTGCTGGGGTAATCCCTTTTGCGTGGTCACTGTCATCGAGGCCACATGCCACAGCATTGATTCGACCGTCACTATTGAGCTGCAAGATTTCCTTCCGAACGGTGTTGAGAAGAGCATAGTGAAGACCAGCTGTGGACTCGGTTTCTGTGACAACAATTGATGGACTGGCCAATTGACACCCAGAGCTTTGTGAATATTCACACACACCTCGCAAGAAGTGTTTGATGGCGAGGAAAGAACTTCGGACACTCAACTGGTGGCTCTTATTCCAGTCATCCAGAGAAAGGTCCCAGATTGGCTTTGATTTTGATGGATTCTCTTGCGTGGGATTGACAATAAGGATGTTGACGGCTCCGAATCTCTCCTTTGCCTTGGAAAACCCAGCTTCAATTGATGCTTCGTCCGCGCCATCACCACCGACGATGTGCAATCGAGAAAACCGCTCCGCATCAATACCGGACAATTGTAAAGCTTTGTTATCGAAAGCTGTGACACGACATCCGTGATCTATATCGACCCACAGTCAGACAGGTTGCTCAGAGAGAGAATTGACTATACATAGAATATATTCGATGCAACACGCATGTCTATACTGGACGACTACTAATTGGGATCTGAGCCCTGGTACCAGGCAAGTCAACGGCCGAATGATATCGACCATGGTCAATCTCAATGCCAATTGAGTTTTGCATTCAGCCATCTGGGCAACCAATGACGAGTCCACTGATGAACAGACCAGTACCAGACTGCTCTGCCATCTATGACTTTGAAGGAAATAGCAAAGGGGATAATGGAAAAGCCGGACTATGACCCAGCAAATTTACCTAGGAACTCTCGGACCGCTTCGCCTCCAATGGCACTAGCAGCTCCTGTGATGAGAACATGTTGGTTTTCCAAACCCAAGAACGAGCGTCGAGGGAGAGATTCGTCTTGCATCTTGGATTGCGTAAGTCGACGTATACTTCAAGTTCGCGCACGTCCAATGAGATAGCAAATGTACTATCGATAGATGAATCAGCGCATTTACTTCGGCGGTCTTATGCCACTCGTCGATGAACCCTGGTTCGGGATTCTCTTGGACTTGTTAGCTTTCGCTTCACGTCGGCAAATCTGTGGACCTAGAATCTATCAGCTCGATCTCAACAATCTCAACATTTCCCTGTAGTTCCGGTTACCCGAAATGATAGTCAGGAGAAAGAAAGCTAGCACTTACTATTGAACCTGGAAAGAGAAGCCCGGTTCTTGATTATACATGCACGTCCAGCAGCTTTCTCCAAATCGGTCAACTGTGGGTTTCAGTAAACGCCAGTGACGCTTGTTCCTGTGTCCGTGCGCAACAGACTGGCCAGACCTTGGTTCTTGATGGGGATGAACAAGCTTTCGGGTGGTTCTCAATCCTGTTTGGATCTCTTTGCTGCAGAGAGTTAAGTTGACTTTAGCAAGGGGTTAAGATTCAATAGCCGGATCGTATCAACTTACCGCGATGAAGGGGCATCACGTGAGTTTCTCTCTTGTGTTTATGTTGACTAACAGTTTGTTCTGTGAGTTTATAGTAGGTTTATATTTACTTGTTTTCAATGATGGATTATACGAGTTCAGATTGCATCAAACTGAAATGTTCAAGTTCATTTTTTTACTCAAGATATACTACTTCGTATACTACTAGTGACCGCGATCCCTGTCATCTTGACTTGATCCGTCGGAAAGATATAGTTCACCTGGGCAGTTGGAACCATGAACTTGACTCGCAAAATGAATCCCAATTCTGGCACTTACGCCCGAAAGTTCCGAATAACTCTTACGACCGATCATCCGAATCCCGAGAGACCAAAGTTTTAGCAATAAGGTTCTAAATGGAGTGAACCAGAAGCAATATCGTATTCGGGAGGACATTCCGCAGCCACCACTGGCAGGAGACCACCAGCACGGACCTGTACTATGGTGGATCAGGAACCACAAGAACAAAGCGAGGCGCACGAGCATCCCTGCGATCGATGATCAGGTTTTTTCGATCATTGGCGCGAGGCTGTCGCGCTACTCGATTGAATTTTCATTACGGAGCAACCCCATAAAACATTCTGCATTGGGTATAGGATGTGCTCTAGTATATGCAGTCGTCGTAAGACTTTCAAATGTTTGCGAGGTACTGAAGTACTGAGAATGGAGAAATGTTCTCATTGCCCAGGTGCCCAAGTGGGCCATCAGAAGTACAATTCCACATTAATTTCCGTTAATATACTGCATAGCATACACAAGTGCTACCAGACGGAAGTACGGCAATGTCAATTCCGCATTGAAGGTTTGATCACATGTGCAAGTTTGTTGATGGTCGATTTATATTGATAATGCTTTTGTTGATATTGCGGAGACCCTGAATTAATATAGAAAAGCGACATCGGCCCCGAGGATCTAACCACACATGCATACTATGCCAGTGCATTCTGAATACCTTTGTCAACCTTGGAAGTACGTGCACATGCTCATGTGCTCAGGCAGCCAGGTGGACAACAAGGCCCTCTCCGTGAAGAAAACCATGATCTCGGGCTTCTATGGAGCGTGTTGGCCCGGCGGACCGCGCAGTAGATACCGTGGGTCAGGGAAACTCATTTTCGGTCATAGAAAGTCTGATTTGCTCTAGAAGGAAAGTGGCTAAAGTCAATTGAAGTTTTCTGTTTCTGTTCTGGAATCCTTTAAAACTGAAACTTTTCTAAAATGGTGTTACGTCCGTGTTTTAGCGTGAAGATTTTTCTCGAATCATCATTTTTAGTTGCTTTAAAAAAGGGGTCGTAGATATGCGCGGTAAAATCTCGGCTTCTATTACTAGTGGAAATTAATAATATTTCTCATCAGGATCGCTCAGACCCCTTATCGCTCTCCGCAAGAATGGTCGATCCCGGGCCCAATTTTCTGGTTAAGTGGGAGAAAGTGGGAAACTCATGACTCTCCGGGGCCGGAAAATCTGTCCACAGTGCGTACCATAGAAGACTCGGAGAGCTAATTCCGTGGTTCGAGAGAATACCGATAGACAACTGGAGAAGCCCGAAAGCCAATGAATTGTCTTAATCAAGGGGACGATGGGCGCGGAGTGGAGCCGAACTCTTGGTGGCTGGACAGGCGGCGTCACCGAAGGAAAAAGTCAGGGAAGCAATTGATTTAGTTAATGATATTGAGATACAATTAACTTTGCGTATTTGGCGGAAATATCTTGTCTCTTGGCGTGCTTCATGCACACAGTTGAACACTGACACTGGCATCCTAGATCATGGTGTCTCAAATAGGTCGATATTAGCCACACTGTCATGGCACTTGCTCAACCCTAATGGTCCTTTATTGTTATTTCCGTCCTATATCAACGGTCTCAAGAGATCTCAATTTTCGGAATGACCTCCGGATCTAGTCAAGGGTGAATTTCAAGGATCTCAGCTGGCTTGATTGACGAATAAACAGCCATAATATTCCAAATATCGGTAAGATCAGCAGTGTTGACGCAAATAGGCGGGAGATCGGCGGGTCTGGTGGATTGATGCTTGACCGAAATTGGGATAGATTGACCCAGTCAGGGTTTGATTCCGTGGGTCGCTTACAAGGAAAGATGGCCGCTTATGCCCAGATGTTAGTTGATTGTTAGTTAATTGTTAGTTAATTAATGAAGTGGATGAAGTACACGAATAGATTGACTATAGCCCAGTAGGTTTAATTTCTATGTTCGGGTATCTCGGTAAACACCCCTGGTCGAGACACGTACCCAAGAGTCTATGGTATGATCTAAAAACAGAAAGAAAAAAAGGAGAGCAGGGTGATATGTACACAGAGAAGGAAAAATGAAGATTTAAACTTGACAGGGTGAGGGTATCAGATCTACGCGGACTGCGTAGATTCGTAACAAATTAAATAGTTTTCGAGATTTTTCGGTGTGAGCGACCATTGAGATTTCACAACTAGACTGATTCGTGCCCAGTGACGTGGGCACTACTAGCAGTAGTCTCATAATCAGGTGGCCTCGAATCATGTTGTACGGTAACGGTAATATCTTGGCGAATGCGTAGGGCGCGAGCAGATCCATCGTCGCTGCTCATGTCCCGGTCGTTACTGGTCTCGAGACTGATATCGGAAACCGCAGGGCCACCCTTCGTGGGAATGACTGTAGCCGTATGGAAATCTTGCATATGGAAATCTTCTGAGCGGAATTGACTGGAAGGTCCATATGGTCGAGAGTTCTTGCTGTTGGTCCAGGGTTGCGACTTGTACCGATCGGTTCCTCTCTTCGATCCCCCGGTCCAACTCTTGAGCGCAGGGAAGACGTCTCGTAGCAATGACCATACTAGTGGCAAGTTTGTAACCAGGATCGCCACTGTAGCTTCCCGGAAGTACCAGTTCATATAGACGTAAGAAATGAGCGAGGGGACCAGACAGTAGACCTTGTTCAGAATGGCGGCGACAATGACGAATACACCCATTCCGAAGAGCAGGATGAGAATCATCTTCTGCTTGAGTGGCACGCGGACTTGAACAAGCATTGGAATCGCAACGAGCAGCATGAAGATGTCGGCTGAGATAGAAAGGGATCCTTGAACAATCTCATAGTATTGGTATGATTGGCATTGGTCTGGTTGAAATGGTCGGTAAGTGTGTTACACTGGGAGAATTTATACTGATGCCTCTTACAGTTACTAGTAGGAACAGCCCAGTAATTTGGTAAAGGTCGACAGATGAGAAATAGTGAGAGTTCGGTGGCGACGAATCCAAGTGCAACGTAGACAGCGATGTAGTTAATCCATTTTCGCTGTCGTAGTCCCTCACTAGTAAAGTTGTCAGTATAGAAGTTTCAAGTCGAGTTTAGAATGCAGTCAACATACGTGATACGAGCATAAATCACCAACATGCATGCCTTCAAACTCCAAACACAAAGAATGAACGCATGTTCCGACACAAAGACCCATTTACTTCCTCGGACTCGCTCAGCGGTAGTGGCAGGTGTGAGAGCATCGATTTCCGCTTGGGTCAACAAATTTGATCCTCCGCCTGAAGCGACCTCGTTCAAGGCGACACAGAGAATGGTATACCAAACCACGGCGTTCAACATTAAGTAGTCATCGACCTGGAGATTCTGAAAACCTAAACGTCTTACACGGGCCGTACTATATGGTGAGAATTCATTAGCCACAATACTCTATTGGTTAGTGATATCGCAGATATCAAGTCACTCACTATCGAAGGACAGCACCCAAGACGCCAACAGCGTAAAGAGCCCATGTTTCTCGCGCAAAACGCTCGGCAAAGCCACCGCCTAAACCAGACATGACCGGCCTGTGATATCTGAGATTAATCGATGATCGATCGAAAAAAGGAAGAGATGAATGGAGAGGCACTAACATCTTTTTAAGTAAATTACCGGGGGATAAATCTCAACGATAAAGTTTCCAAGACTAGCGCATGCATCTGCCGGGATGATCACACTTCTCCAGGGGACGAACGGAGAGTTCGCCGATTCGCGAGATGCAATATTGGGAAGATTACTAGTAGCTGCAGGGCCTCGTCATGCAGAAGGAATATGGGGAGGAACTCTTATCACAGGCAAGATAGATCTTCCGGTGACAGCAGTGGCCAACCATAGGATTGAGTGGGGGGGATTTAATGGAAAGCTGGGCTGCATCCATGGACCCAGATAGAAGATAGAGTGAGGATCCCTGGTAATAGATTTCCTGGTACACAAGTAATTGACCCTGATTGCTCCAAACACACGAATTACAATTTGGTGCCTGGCACTGCCGACTTAACTCCACTTTTTGCCAGCTTTTGCCATCTTTGCTTCTCATCGGGCATCGGGGATTACTAGATTAGCCTACAGACCTGCCATTTTGGGAGACTTGTACTTGATACGGACACACATTAGGTTTGTTAGGTTTAAAGTGTAGAGTGTATGAGAAGTTTACTGCGGAGTACGTTGATCTCCATAACAGATTACTCAAACGCTCACTGGATCTTTTTAATTTACAAGCTCTCTTCCAAGAGAAAAGAGAGTTTTCTTGGTACCTTACTGTAAATTTTAGAAATTGACGTGGGTCAACAATAGGACTGTCCAGATGTCTCGGAAATAAGAGGTTCATATACAACCTTGGGAAGATTGAGGCTGTAGTGAATATAGCCGACCCAAGAGTGTAAAGTGAGCACGCGAGCCTTATAGCCTTCCTAAGATAGTTAGCACATATGAGAAACCAGTGTATGATTTGGCCCGAATTTGAATCCAAATCGGAATATCCGGAATTCACACTTATTTTTAAGTGTTTTATTTGATCAGGCTTAAGCCAAGTCCCACCTGGGCAACTGGGTAAGCTGAACTACCAATCTACTCAAGTGTATGTACCTCGGATAATGAGCGCGGAACTAGAGTTTACGGTCAACCTCCGTCCACTTTACTTGATGTGGGTGATTTAATCGAAGCTGAGAAAAAGGAAAAGATTTTTAGAAATTGAATAAACTTTTGCTTCAAAGATGGTGCAAGTGGGGCCATAAGGAATGTGGTTCTGGACTCGATTGAGGCATTTTGAAAGTGGATACTGGGGGGGATGGGGGGAATGAGGATCATTACTCCGTACGGGGAATTCCGTAATTTGGTGTTATGGAGTCCATTCATTAATGGAGTCCGCTCTGCTCCGATGATATAGGTTCAGCGTGGCAATCATATGTTGTATGAGCGGCTTAACAATGGTAGTCGATCTAAAGATGCACCAGGGTCAATAAGGGATTCGTCAAATGATCCTGCACTAGAGTTTGGAAGATTTTTCATTCCTGCATACTGGTGATGGTTTGATCGAATCACTCATTGGTCTAAAGATTACAAGTAACTTTCTTAGTCTCTTGAGACCCAGTTCCTGAACCAGAATTAATTACTCCGTTGCCATTTTCTGATCTAAAATATTATATTGCCTCTCGGGGACTTGTCTAGATCTGGAATGCATACGCCATCTATCTAGAACATTGAACCCACTTGATCTAAGGCGATCTTGTTATACAGATTGATCTCGAGCAATCAAGTGCTGTAAGGACCATGTACTCCTTACGGAGGATCTCTATGCCTCACATGGGGAAGTGATTCATCCTGGGGTGTCGATCCTGTGATCCAGAGTGACCCATGGGTTAGAAACTGGTTATATGCGGAAGAATGCATTTCAACCGGTCGCACCTTTATGAAATAATTATCCCAAGGCTCATTCAATTTGCATATGAAGCTAGGGAGTAAATTCCTGTTAGCTCAAGTGGGTAAAATTAATTAAGTAGGTCGAGTCTCACACTCAGAATAACACATGTTTCTCAGTGTCTCACCACGGCCACTCCGTGCCTGTCCGGGGGACTCATTTTTAAGATTAAGAAAACTCTAGAATATGCATCCCAATGCAGGCAAGGGTAGTTCTAGTCACAGCCGTGGCTTCTAGAAGTTTTTCAAGTTGAAAAGGGATAACGGTCAGAACCCCGTAAGGATTCTTCAGATGCAGTGCCAGTATTGGGTAAACACTCTTGCGTGACTACATCAATTTCAAGGTTTAGATGCATAGACGGCAGAGACTGGGGAGATACATGCATAGCACACGATAATTATTGATAACTATCAACTCCATCCGTACGAAATACGGAGTAGAGAGTTCTCCACTACCCGGCACATCATCTGTAACAGATAGATCAATCCTCATTAGGCTGAGTCTACTTTCTGTATAGCAGATGGTGCCAAGGACCGATGTAGTTTGGGAAATTCTTTCTGTTGAAGCTCCCCTTCTGGGTAAAGCGTGCTGCATGAATCTCCGCGTCCTGGCTTCTTTTTCCTTGGAGTTTGGCTCTCTCGCCTCTGTGATCACCCAATGACGGGATAGTAAAGCCCCACTCTTCGACAGAGTGGCCACCGGGAAGGCGACCCCAATTCAATGATTGGTTGGAGATTGGGGTATCGGGTGATTAGAGTGGTCAGGGAAGTGGAGACGATGAGTGAATTCACGGTTGAACATGCTGAACAGGCCGAACTTGATGGGGTTCGCAGTGCGTGTTAACCTACTCCTCCGGGGCATTCGGAGGGGCTGTAGTGTGGTTGTACGACTCCACCCTCTAGAATAATATAGCCTTGCCCTGCTCCCTTTTCTAGATTTCTGTTCTTCCAGTCATCTCGTTCATTTTGACTCGCAGAGAAGCTCCCGGGGAGTTCATTCTCAACTTGAATCTCACCCCCCTTGCTTAGGTTCGACACATTTGCTGGTATATTCGGATCACGCCACTCGATTAATTCCATCTTCTTATCCCTATCGCGACTCCATACAAACCTTCCGGGAACTCAATTTCCACGTGGAGATCCAGATATCATCATGTCGACAGAATCTATCACCGAAAAGATTAAGGCTCCGGAGCCAGTGGCGGAGGAGGAGGACCACCATGGCGAATTGGTTAACGCGTCTGGTCATCGTCAGGAGGTCGACCGAAACTTCAGCTTGATCAGTCTGTGTGCTATCGCCGTCACGACTGGTAACACGTGGATTGCCCAGGGTGGTAGTGTGGTGACAGCATTGAGTAACGGTGGATTGGCTGGATGTATTTATGAATTGTATGAAGTTGACAGCTTCGTGTCACGGGACCCCCTGCATTTCAGATGAAATGTGTTATACTAACGAACAATATAGTATCGCTGTTTCAATTTGTTACTGGATGGTCGCTGCCTCGCTTGCTGAGTTGGCATCCGGTATGCCCTCGTCTAGTGGTGTTTACCATTGGGCTTCCATCACGGCTGGCAAGTATGGTCGTGTCTGCGGATTTTTCGCTGGTTGGTGGAACTGTTTGGCTTGGATCCTAGGTGCCGCCTCGATGTCATTGATTATGGGCCAGCAGACCGTTTCCATGTATGCTCTGATGCATCCCGGTTTCGAAGTCAAACCATGGAATACCTTCGTCAGCTTCCTCATCTGCACATGGGTGTGCTGCTGCATCGTGCTTTTCATGAACCGCTTCTTGCCATACATCGGTAACCTCGGCATGTTTTTCATTCTTGCTGGTGTATTCATTACCATCATCGTCTGTGTTGTGATGCCTTCTGTCAACGGCGTTGGTTACGAATCCAACTATGTTGTCTGGCAGGAATGGACGAATGAGACCAATTACTCGCAACAAGGCTTTGTTTTCGTGATGGGTATGCTGAACGGTGCTTACAGTGTTGGAACTCCCGACTGTTCTTCCCACTTGGCTGAAGAAATTCCCAAGCCCAGCCGCAACATTCCCAAGGCTGTTCTTGCTCAGATGGGTGTTGGCTTTATCACCGGTCTCCTGTATATGATTGCCATCTTCTACTCCATCCAAGACCTGGATGCCGTTGCCAACAGCAGTTACAAATTCCCTCTTGCTGAGATCTACTTCCAGGCCACAGGATCCCGTGGTGGTGGCTTGGGTCTTTTGATCGTCGCCTTCATCCCGACTCTGATCACCGCAACTGGTTGCTACATCACTGCCGGTCGCACTCTCTGGACTATCTCCCGCGACCGTGCTACTCCTTTCCCCAAGTGGTTGGGTCACATCAACACCACCTACCAGAACCCATTCAACGCTACTTTCGTTTGCGGTGTTCTCGTCACCATCCTCGCCTGCATTTATCTCGGATCTTCCACCGCCTTTAGCGCTTTCGTTGGATGCTTCGTTCAACTGTCCAGTCTCTCTTACTTTATGGCCATCTTCCCCCACATTCTCACCAAGCGCAATTCTTTCGTTCCTGGGTTTTTCTTCATGAACAACAAGATCGGCTATGTTATCAACGCTCTTTCCTGCATCTACATCCTCGCTTTCGTCGTCATCTTCTGCTTCCCTTACGCCCTCCCCGCTGAGGCTGCTTCGATGAACTACGCATCCTTGATGACTGGTGGACTATCGATCTTTGTCACTATTTGGTGGTTCATTCGCCAGGGTTCATACGAGGGACCTCAGAATATCCCCTTGACCGATAAGGCTCTGATGGAGGATGCCCAGTAAAATATTGCATGAATCTATTAGGATTTATGGAAAGTTATCTCTGTTATTATACCACTTCTGATTGATGATCTTGATGTTTGTCAGATGCATTTATATACCTTTTTACTGACATGGCATCCTTTACATGTACCATTCTAATTACAAGTTTCGATGTTGGGGCTTCGAGTCGTGTATATCATTTTTGTACAAATAGCTTGAATCCAATACTAGTATTTCGTGGGATTATATATATCCCAAATGAAAATCTACTTTACCCCAAATGAGATGAATCCTACTACCAGTAGCTAGCATTGACTGTAATTCATATTCATTCCATAACTGAATGTTCGAAATTGCCGTTCGAGCCTGGTATGATCCCTTCCTGATTCGACCCCGCATAGGAAGTCTTTAACCACCCTTTCTCAGGGATTGATGCGCCTTATTCTTCAGCTCAACCCGATCACTTGGCATCCTTGATTTCATCCTTCTCCCCTTGAAGAGAAGGCATGCGGTGCAATGAAGTTGAAAGCGCATTTCTTTAGCAACTAGCTTCTTCACATCATATTATTAGGGACGGTAGATCCATTTCCATATTTGAGATGGCATCATATTGCATAGTGAGAAGTAGCAGTCCTTGTTTTCTTTGTTCGATCAAGGCTATGCTTTTTGTTCATCAGCCATGGAATAACAAAGCTGTCGTCCAATTCAGGGTGAAGGCCCGTGTAATGACTCAGGGGACGGCTTTTTTTTGAACATCGCAGCAAACTGCGCGATCTGCCCTTGGAAAAGACAATAACGCTTATTGGAGCCCAAGCATAGAAGGAAAAGACCCGGGTCGCGGTGGCCGTAGCAAAGGTAGGCTATTCATCATACGTCATTAGTCTAACCTGCCCACGTATCTTCAAATAGCCATAGCTATTAATAAATCCGTGTACATAAGATCCTCGAGTGCTGGAAAACCTGTGAGGCTATGTTGGTGCAGAACTCAAAGCACAAATATTTAGATCGCTCACTCCCCGTTTTTCACTCATGTTCACGCATCTCATACTATTCGTTGGTGTGGGAAGGCGTATAAGAGATTCTTCGCGTTTTAACAAAACCATGGTACTAGGTCGTCTCAGTATGCTCAAGCTATAGTAAACTGGATTAGTGGAAGCTTATGTTTAAAGGGACAGGAAAATTGACTCGTACCACCTTGGACATTCTTTGTGAATGATTTGCGTTGAGATTAGTTATCCCAGCTCTTTCCCAGTATTCTTGAGAGCTGCGAGGGGGGTATGAGATAGGACGCGTAATTGTGGGGATTTAAAAGATTGATAGGTAACATTGGTATGCGCTTTTTATCTTTTAACGTTTTTGAGGATAGAGAGAGTGCTTGAGAGAGAAAGAGTAAGTGAGTGGAGATGTGATGGCGATATCGACTGAGCCGCCTGTTACTTACCAGTATACCGAAAGCTTCTTCCACCATGTATTAAACCTTGGAAGATGAACTTGCATGAATGAGGAACAAAGCGCCCCTTGAGCAGGCTATTTATTAGCTTGTGGCTGCCGTGACTAGTAAGATGACCTCGGGAACATAGAGAAGACATACATACTGTATCCATTGGAGAATGACACTTAATGAGGGGGGCACTGTATGACAGCGGCTGATCAGAGTGCCTTTCCAGTGGGTGAAGCCGATATGCATTGTGGATAAGACGTGCAATCAACCAATAAAAAGTACGAGGTAGTAGACTTGAGCTTCAGTATTTCTCAAGTGCTGATAGATAATGTAAGGAATAGTAGCATTATCTGGTTAATGACACCTGCTTCACTTCAGGTTCCATGCAAATTTGTTTGGAACAGACCTTATCCAGTGAGTTCAAGTGCTGAAATAGATAGCTTAGATTAGGATTTAAAGCTTCCTTTTCTACCAATGATCAATCAGATAAGCATCTCCAGCTTATCCTTTGAACTAGAAATAGCAACAAACCCGGAGCTTAATAGCGGGGTAAAGGTATGACAAGTCGCACCGACCTTCCTTTATTCTTGCTTTATCTTGGCTCTAAGTATCAACTTGAGCTCTAATATCATGATAAGCAGTGCTCATAAACAGATCGAGTCTGTCAAGGATGCTATCAATCGTAGTTTGAATTTCTGGTTACTTCATTTCCCATCGGAGCTATATAAGCATTGTATCTCTCACCTTATTCGTTTCATCCCTAGATTCGATACTCTGCTAGGAGGAAGACCAATAGTCGCTTTCTTTTGAATATGTCACAGTTAAAGGATTCAAAAGGGGAATCTAGTGCTAATGATCTATCAGAGGTCGATGCAGTCAGTGATGAAAGTGTTGGGGAAGTTGGCACGCTGCGTAACAATGGTCGATTTCATCGTACCTTCACCCCCAGACAAATTCATGTATGAAAGACAATTCTCATATTTCTATTATTTGTGAATAGCTCTAACTTCGGATAGGCAATTTCTCTTGGTGGACAGATCGGAGCAGGTCTCTTCATTTCAACCGGCGAAAACCTCCGAGATGGCGGTCCTGGATCTCTGTTCCTGGGCTTTGTGGTTGTCTGTTCATGTGTATGGGCAGTTCTGCAAACTGTCAGTGAGATGACAATACTTTTCCCTACTCCAGGGAATTTCATCGATTATGCCGATCGCTTTGTGGATCCAGCCTTGTCTTTCGCTGCCGGATTTTCGATGTGGATAGGCTGGACAGCTGTTATTGCCTCGGAAGCAACATTCTTCTCAACTATCGTTAACTATTGGGCAAAAGATCGAGTCAATGAGGCTGTCTGGTGTGAGTGAGCAATGCACCTATGAAACACCGCATTTCAAAATTCCTTATTACAGACAGGCCCTCGGATTCAGCTGATTTATCGCTAGTGACCATTTTTCTTCTTCTTATGTTTGTAATTTTCAGTCTACCAAATGTGGCATTTGGCTGGTTCGAGTATTTTACCTCTCTTCTGAAGATATTGGCTCTCATCATATTTATCATTGTGGGAATCGCTATCATTTTTGGAGCTGGTACCGATGGATCTATGCATCATGGTGAGACATGGCAACATGGGGATGCGTTTTTGAATGGATTCAAAGGATTCGGAAATAGTGTCTTACTAGCGATTTTGGCTATTGGAGGTATGGCTTGTATCTGGCTGCTAGGACACTTTCTCCCCCAGATTATGTTGGCAATATTGACACACCCATTCGCACAGATAACACGTTCACTGGCTTTCTTGCTGGTGAATCCAAGAGCCCTCGGTTCTCTGTTGGCCACGCAGTTTTCCTGATTCCAATCCGAGTCACTGTGTTTTATTTGACGTCCGTGGTTCTGATCGGCCTACTGGTCTCTCCCAGTAATCCAAATTTACTAGGCAGCAGCGGCGTTGCGGCATCTCCTTTTGTCATCGCTATCAACCAGGCCGGGATCAAGGGGCTTCCAGATTTCCTCAATGTCATTATCATGTTCGCCGTGGCAGCAATCGCCGCAGAGAGCTTCTATATCGCTTCAAGAATTCTCCAGACAATGTCCCATCAAGGTCTGATCTCTGCGTGGGTGGCGAAGGTTGACTCACGCGGCCGTCCACGGGTATCCCTGGCTATTACGGGCGCTCTTAGTGTCATTCTCACATACATCAACCTCAGTGGAGAGGGCACAACTGTATTCAACTGGCTGGCACAGATTGCAAGCACTGGATACTTCATGGTATGGTTTGTGATTGCCATTACCTCGTTTCGTTTCCGTGCAGCTCTGAAAGCTCAGAATGATCCTCTGTTCGATCAAATATATTCTTGGAAGTGCAGTATCTGGCCAATACCTCCTATTTGGCTTCTGACTTGCTGTTGTTTTTATATTGCATGCTCTTTATACCTCGCTTTATATCCTATCGTAAGTGATTTTGAACTGGTGTTCCTGCGGTTCAATCTTAACATGATTCATCTAGGGATCAAATACGCCGACAGCATACTATTTTTTCCAGTATATGTTTGGATTGATTTTGATTACATTCAGTGCAATTGGTTACAAGCTCATATTCCGGACAAAGCTCCGAGACCCTCAAACAGTGGATTTGCAGACAGGGCGCAGGGTCCTAAGCGTTAAAGAGATACGGGAGTTGGATAACTACGAGAAAATGCCCAAGTGGAGGAAGTTTGTCTCATTTGTACAGCTTTGGTAGCTGTTCAACTTGAATCTCTGTTAACTTATATCTGAATATCATACATATGTCCATGGATGATGCCTCGTGATGATGGAAAGATTTTATAAACATTGAAGCTATGCTATTTACAGTGTCACCATTTGATATTTCACAATGGTGTAAATGTCTACTAGTAGATACAGAGAACTTGAATATCTATGCAAAAATGTAGCGAAGCCATGGGATTTAGTATCCCAGGTCATGAAAAGTCATGTTATCATGAGTGTCCCCAGCGAACGGGGTTTGAGTCCAGGGGAATGATTCAAGTCATCAGATCAATAATCCTCTTTCACTTCAATAGTCTTATTGACTTCAGAGCTCTCAATCAAGGTTCAATTGAGGGTTTGCTGACTCGTCGACCACCATTGTCCTTCCGATCAGCAGCGAGTGACTTAGCAAACTTGCTCCTATCACGGATCTGAGGACCCTTCCAGTAGAAGACGTATATAGGAGCGACGACCAGGCAGGAAAGACAAGCCAGCACAGTACTGGCATACTCCACATGCCACTTGCTACCAATATTGGTATACATGGGTGTGGCGTACATCGCAGAGATACCAGCCAGAAGATCACGAGCAAAGGCATTACCACCGCATGCTGAAGCGGAGTATACACCGTAGGCAGCGATCATGTAATCCACCGATGAAAGGTAAATGGCAAAATTTGCAATTCCTACCATTGTTGAGAAAATCATAGATGCGATCCATGGGATACCACGTGCCTTTCCAAAAGATGTCCAGGCAAAACCGAATAACCCGATCGGCTCGAATGGTGCCAGCCAAAGAAGCCATTTTAGGCGACGCTCAGGTACCAGGGCATCGTTTCCGTGCTTCTTGCGAATATACTCATCTCGCCAGAACCAGGGGAAGTAGGAGAAATAGGCGAGGAAGTAGGCGAGGTTGATTGGAATGACAGCCCAGGCAATTGCCAAAATACCGAAATCCCAGCCATCCGCATAGACAATTGTGAAGCTCTCCAGGAAGGTGAAGATCAGAGCGTCGGAAAATCCGGATAGCAGAGACAGACAGAAAACAATAGGCTCGCGCAGCAGCATGTGGAAGGGTCGCATCCAGATCTTGCCGGCCTCTTTCAGGGAAATGCGAGGTTTCTTGAGTTCGTTAGGTCCGTAACAATTGGGGTCTTCTCCGGTTTTGCGGCGGCGCTTGGCTTCTCGATCGATGAGGATTGTTGAGCGACTTTCGGGCATAAAAAAGATAATAGCTTGTACGGTAGCGCCGAAAATGAGCTGGATCCAGAAGAACCATTGCCAGCTAAGGACTATTCGGATGATTTATTAGCATCAGATATTTAGAGTCGAGTTGCACATTAATAAAGAAAACTTACATCGTTCGATTGGACCACCGATAACACCACCAATACTGGTACCAATGCAAGAAGAGAGGACGATGAAAGCAAGAGGAAATTGTTGAGAGTCAGGCTCGTAAACATCAGCGATCAAGCCGAGAGTGACACTGCCACCGGCAGTGGAAATTCCACCTAGAGCACGAGCGACAACAATGCTCCCCCAATTCGGGGCCCATGCCGCAATGAATTGCCAGATGTTGATGAGGAACATGGAGAGCTGGAGAATGGGCCAGCGACCAAACTCTTCACTCCATGGTGCCCAGAGTTCGCATCCAATAGAATAAGTCACAAGGTAAGCCATCTGTCCAGTTCGAACTTCCTGTTCACTAACGTCGAAAGCTTCCGAAAGTGGCGAAACAGCATTTGGAAAAACTGAGGTATTGAAGTTCATGGATACCTGTACACAGGCCACGGCTGCAAGATATGTCCATTTCTTCCATCGAGGCCAGGAATAGGCCAATGCGTCGTAGCAATCATTCTCTTTCAGTTCGTAAGGACCATCTTCGATGCCACCATGTTCGGCTTTTCGTACGGTTGGAACAAGGCCATCATGGGAGAGATCTGGAGATGAGGACTCCGAGTCGGCGCCACTATCTGTAAATTGGGGTGGACTCTCCTTGGGCTCAGACATGATCAGATTGCTGATATAATCTGATTCTAAACCGGTGTGAGATTAAGGCAATTCCTCCTTACCTAGGAATCATCTTCACTTTAAGAGAGTCGGATGAAAAATCTGCGTCAGCGCAGACTTGTCTTTGTTCGCTATCGTCATAGTTCCTAAACCGGTTTATCAAGTACCTTGCTCATCAGTGGAGACCCAAGGGTGGATCATCCGCGTTGGGGTCCCTGGGGCTCGTGCATAAATGAGAGAATAGCTTAAATTTATTGGCCTAGGCATTATGAACCATAGAGGATTTTCCGAGAATCCTTGGTGGTTGAATCAGTTGCAATAGAATACATGATTCTTTCATGCGTAGAATAGCATAAGTGCACGTGCACATCGCTTCCTTGAGCGCATAATGGAATTTGAGGCCATTCCGATCAAGCGGAAAAAGTACGGAATAGGCGGATGAGGCAACAGGCTTTGATAGCATGCTATTGGATCTTCCCCACCGGCTGTTCAAGGGGCAGAGAATGAACCAATTGGGCAATATAAATCTCATCTTTGTAAGAATCTGATCTTATTAATTGTATTGATCTACTCCACACGGATACTATTGATCAATCTACTACCGAGGTCAAGTAGTGCCAAATATTTTATATAAAGATTCACTGGCAGCACAGTATCACTGCCATACCCTGGACTTACAAACTTGAACTTGAACCAGCCCGGCTCATGCTCGGCCTGACGTTTGCGTACAGACTCACTCGGCAGAGTTTCCAGCCGTATTCTTTGAATATCAGATATTTCTGATGGCGTTATCGTGGCTGTACCCAAAAAAGGTCCTGATATACGTCATGTGCTTGAATTCTTATCATACTTCGAATTCTGCCAGGTTTTGAATGGGTTGTTCCTGTTGGGTCCACTTTATGATCCACAAAAATGGGACTTGCAGGAGGCACCGAGATTGACGTCAACTGTGCCTCTAAAAAACCTCGGTCGCGAATCAATGGTGACGGCGAGTAATGTTCTTGGGATCTCCTTCATTATATCATTTCATAACTTCGATCATTATGAATAGAGACCCAGCCCCGGGATAGGATTCTTCCATCTATAAGCCACACAGACAGATGGGATGTGCCGAGTTTCATTAGATCAAACCAATCAAGACGTCGGGATTGACGGGAGTGGGGGATGAGAATGGAGTCAAGAAAAGACCCTGAACTTGAGTGTAGTGAGAAGGTCTGCCGAGATGGGGAAGTCAACTGGTCAACTCTTAAATTTAAATCCAGGTCATGTGACCGCGCGTGATTACGCGTGATCCAGTCGCGTCTGTTAACCACATCCTCAAGATCTGCTCTACGCTCAAGGAGTATATTGCTCGTCATGGTCTTCAAGCCCTTCAAACCACCTTTGATTAGGAAACCAGAGTCGACAGAGAACGTTAAAAATCAAGACCCCCCCGGCAAAAAAGCCTCGTCTTGAAAAAGAAGATCCAACATCCACTACGAAATCGCAACCCACATCAGCAGTTGGAGTTCGGAGGCCCCTGCTTCAGGTTAGAAATGTGGGGAAGGAATCTGGCGAGAAGGCGACGCCTGCGGCCCAAGCAATAAGTTTGGTGGGCGATGAGAGATTTTTCAATGTGCTCTGGTACGTACACCGCTGGAAACAAAGTCATCGCAATGAATTAAAGTACTTTTCTGACTTAGATTTTTCTATACGCATTAGGAGAAAGCCAACTACAAAGAAGAACAAAACATGGGATGGCGATGGTATTCTCACAGCTCGGGCTGGATATGTCACTCTGCGAGACGTCGGAGGAAAGGACATGGGGCGAGCGAATTTTGAGTCCGAGCTCGAGCCTGGCAAGATGCTCTATGTGAGCGGCAAAGAAGTGGAAGTCGAATCTGAAATTCCTCGCAGAGAATACTTGGCTGGGAAGAACATTGTCCAATCCACAAGCTTAGCTGCAACCCCGCAAAAGCTTCCCAAGAAATCCCCTTTGACTTCACTGCAACGCGCTGTTGGAAATACTTCCGCAAGCTCCTTGAGTCGAACTGGGTCTCTGAAACGAGACTTATCAGCTATGGAGTCCGATGGGCAGAGTCACTCCGGATTTGGAGCTTACAAGAAACCCATTCTCGACGATAACATAATGCCAAGCAAGCCAGACAAAATCGTTCCGCGCCATGACCCATCTGCGCCAGGGGCTCTGGTTATGCCTCGTCCCAGCTCTGTCCCTAAAGGGAAGCATATTGTTGATGTTGTTGTCGATCCTTTGCTGACAAAAAGCTTGCGACCACACCAACGGGAGGGTATACAATTCTTATATGAATGTGTCATGGGCATGCGATCATTCAATGGGGAGGGTGCAATCTTAGCAGATGACATGGGCCTGGGTAAAACATTGCAAACAATTGCTTTATTATGGACACTTCTCAAGCAAAATCCCATTTATGGTGACGCTCCAGTCATCAAGAAGGCTCTGATCGTCTGTCCCGTTACCTTGATCAATAACTGGAAGAAGGAGTTCCGCAAGTGGCTTGGGAATGAACGTATCGGAGTCTTTGTCTTTGATGACAAGCGGAAACGTCTCACCGATTTTACCAAGGGCAGATCGTACAGCGTTATGATTGTAGGTTATGAGAAGTTGAGAACCGTTCAGGAAGGCTTGGCAAAAGGCGCTGGCGTCGACATTATCATCGCGGATGAAGGCCATCGACTCAAGACACTACAAAACAAGAGTGGCCAGGCTATTCAATCACTCAATGCTACAAAGCGAGTCATCCTCTCTGGCACTCCAATTCAAAACGATCTCAAAGAATTCTTCGCTGGTGTTGACCTTGTGAACCCCGGAGTTCTCGGTTCATTCAAATCCTTCATCAGGGAGTACGAAACACCCATTGTTCGAAGCAGACAACCAGAGGCCACAAGAAAAGAGATTGAGAAGGGAGAAGCTCAGAACGAAGAGCTGCGAGAACTCACTTCCAAGTTTATTCTTCGCAGAACAGCAGACATTTTATCCAAGTACTTACCACCAAAGACTGAATATGTGCTATTCTGCAACCCGACACGGCCACAGGCCCAGATCTATCAGGCAGTCCTCGCATCTCCTATCTTCCAGTCTGCCATGGGAAATGCCGAAAGCGCTCTCCAGCTCATCACAATCCTGAAGAAGCTTTGCAACAGTCCATCACTACTCTCAGCAAAGAACAACGACAACTCACCTAACGAAACCATCGCTGCTCTCCTATCTTCCATTCCACAAGCCCTCATACGACACTTATCCCCCTCGGCAAGCGCCAAAGTCCGAGTCCTCGACCAAATCCTGGATAGTATGCGAAACAACACTTCCGAAAAGATCGTCCTCGTCTCAAATTACACATCCACTCTCAATCTCCTCGCCACACTCCTGACTTCCCTTGGTCTTCCTTTTCTTCGTCTAGACGGAAGTACCCCTGCTCAAAAGCGTCAACCATTGGTAGACGATTTCAACCGACTACCCGCAGAAAAATGCTTCGCCTTTTTACTCTCCGCAAAGGCCGGTGGCACAGGTCTGAACCTTATCGGTGCTAGCCGTCTGATCCTTTTCGATGTTGACTGGAATCCCGCTACGGATATCCAGGCTATGGCTCGTATCCACCGTGATGGACAAAAACATCACTGTCGTATCTACCGTGTTATTCTGAAAGGCAGTCTTGAAGAGAAAATCTGGCAGAGACAGGTTACTAAACTCGGTTTAGCTGATAGTGTTATGGAACATAAGAATAGCGTTGCTCAGTTCTCGGCCGCTGAGCTTCGTGATCTTTTTAGACTTGATGAGGAGAGTCGTTGTCAGACGCATGATCTGTTAGGATGTGACTGTGAAGGTAGAGGGACTGGTGCGTCGTCGGGAACCACAACACCTACTCGCAAGACAAGCGATAATGACTCCGACCCTGAGGAGACTAGTGATATCCCCTCTGATGAGGATGAGTCTGGCTTCCCTAAGCTGGTTAAAGCTTCAGAGCTCGATATGGATGAGCAGGAACGCTCGATTCGTGAGTCGTCGCGGAGAGGCACAAAGCAAAAGGAAACGATGCATCAGTCTTTGGCACAGTATGCGCATATTGATCCTTCGCTTCTGACTGCTGATGGTGAAGAGGAAGAGGAGATCGGTTCGGCTGTTGATGATGATGTCCTTCTTTCTATATTGAAAGATGAGTGCAATCGCATTGGGTATGTATTTAAGAAGTCAAACGGCGCTGAGATTGGGTGTGAGGAAGCTGCGGTGGCGGATATTACGTCTGATGAATGATGAAGAATCTACCTAAAAGAAATTACTAGAGACGAATACATAGCATTCTCTTGATTTGGCAGTTGACCTTGGAAATTCAACATTTGAAAGATGTTCTCAAATGAAAGGCTTAAAGGCCCCGCCACAGGACCTTACAAAATTGCTCGGACACCATCATCTCTGACTACATACTTCTGCAGACGGCCAGATTTAGTTCCAATGTACAGTGCCTCTCTATGTGAGGCCCATACACCCCTTTCCTCATGTGTGAGCCAAAGGCGTTTTTGGTCACCTGTCACAATCCAGTCATCCCGCACATCAAGGGGTAAGGAATATTGTCTAATAGCACCTGTAGATGATTCGTCACTCTCTAAATCCGGTTCTATGAGTGAGAACACTCCTCTCTCCATGATGATCTCATTCCCTTCTTCTGAGAACTCCAGAATCATGACTGGCCCGGGGACGATGGTAGTTCGTACAATCTCACAGGTGACGAAGTCCCATACTATTATGATATCATCTTCACCTGTATGACTTGCCACTAGATAGCGATTTTGTGGCGACAAAGCAATAGCCAGAGGCCAATAGTCCCAGTCCTTTGGGGAACGCTCGAAGTACTTAAATGGGTCACAGGTCTCCTTACTCAAGTCCCACACCAGGTGCCCACCCTCACCGGCAGAGACAGCACCTAGAAGCATTTGGGAATCGGAGGAGAAACATATCACTTCGCAAAAATTATGGCGATCTGCACCCAGTGTCAATTTGCGAATAATCATTCTGTGCTTGAGGTCCCAAAGAGAGATTGACTCGTCCCGCATGGGTGAAAATGCTAGGACTTGACCATCTGCTGAAAAAACAAGTGAGCTTCTGGCAGCGCTGGATCCATGAAGATTCTTCACTGATAATGTATGTATGAGTTTGTGGTTTTCTAACCCCCCCAATATCCCAAATTTGAAGCTCTTTTCGTAATATGCTCAAAGCCAATTTCTGTCCATCCGGAGAGATTCGAATCCCATTGATTATTGGTAGGCTTTTTGAAATTTGCCAAGCGTCATCTGAGGCAAGTTTATCGATTTCCCAAATTTGAACACTGTCTCGAAGGCCACAGGCTAGACGGCCATCAAGTGAAAAAGCAGAAGTGTGAAATACCCGCTGCTTCTCTTGAGCTCGACCCCATTGGGCTAACTCTGGGACTTCGTTGTCCAGATCCCAGAGCTTTAAAATGCTCATGAGCGTACATAGGAGCCATCGGCCATCCGGCGAAAGATTGATTGCTGCGAGTTTTTCGTTTGAATTTCCAGAATGAGCAATCACCGTCTTGATAGGCATACCTAATTCAGTTGTTGTGACGTCGGAATCATAAACTCGGATAGCATACTTATTATGGTCCTGTTCCATAGAGACTGCTAGCCGCTGGCTATTCCTTGAGTGAGCTATAAGCCCAAGAGGGGAGGATTGTTCAAAGGTTATGATCTAAATAGGGCCAGACCAGGATATACCATGATTCTCGACACGGTAAACTTTCACTTTTTCATGTGTAGAACAGTAAAAATGACAATCACCATTCAAAAATTCAATGGATTGAACCAGGTCTTTTTCACAGAACGTATGAAGAAGATGCGGATCCTTCTCAGTCACACTCCAGAGCTGTATTTGCTTTTCGGTAGCTGTAGCCAGGACTTGACTATTGAATGAGAAAGCTATTCTCCTGATGGCCCAAGCATCAGGGCCCTCCCTCGTATAATCATAATCGAAGTCTTCCGGATTATCTGTTGCAGGCAGAAATTTGACCAGATCTGGGGAGTCCACATGCCATATCTGAATAACACCATTCAGAAAAACACAAGCTATGAATTTCCCGTTGGGTGAAATTACACTTGTCAAACCCCTTCTGGAAGGGCTGGGCTGGTTTTTAATTTGTTTCTCTGCTCCTGTTCCCTCGACATTCCAAATCATGGTCATATTGAACCCATGAGTAGATGCAAGCAAGCGACCATCTGGTAAAAACACAAGGTCGTCTACGCAATGTGCACGGCTCTCAGAAGTTTGGAGCAGTGCATCCCACTCATCTATAACCTGTGGCAGCGTGATAAAACATTTCGGAATTTGAGAGTTGAAAATCTGCCGTATGACAGAATTCTGAGGAGTGAAAATCAGCGCAGAGGAGTAGACTTGTAGACGCGCGTTACTGATGGTTTCTCCGGCTCTTCGCACAAATCGAATAGCATCGGATAGGTATACACCCAACTTGGTGGAGTTTGTTCCCTGAACGATATGTCAGTATCAATTTTGCAATTTTTTACATCGAAGTATCACCCACAGAAATCTTTCTTTCTAAGCATATGAGATGCCTCAAAGCTTCCGAGATAATGTCAAGATATCCGATGTTTTCCAGCCAGTGCAGAAGATGTATTTTGAAGATTTCATAAATGCGATCTTGGTCAAGACTTGATGATCCATCCTGAAGATGCTGTAACCAGTATCGACAAGCGTACCTTAGGTGGGGCGCCAAGTTCACCTTGGTAGCATCGATTTCAGAGCGTGGAACACCATCATTTTCAAGACAAAGCATGTTATATCGGAGACCACTCTCTTTGCTCGACATTACTTCAATGCATCGCATGGCCAAAATGTAGTTTCTTCTGGTCTTATCCACTCTGAAATCGGTCATATCGGGAGCAGTTTGATCCAGAAGGACATCTCGGAACGAAAGATGTAGCATTTTGATTGGGAGAATGGAAATCATCCAATCTCAATCTCACCCGATTTTCTTCTACGCCAAGTAAACATGCCAAAGAGGTGACTGTGAGCGCATCATGAAGAAGAATGATTGAGCCCACGATTTGCTGTAAATCTTGGAATATTTTCTCGGTCTTCGTGAGGTACGTCGAGGAGGAATTGATGCAGGACTGTTTGGTAGGTTCCGAGGAGCTTGTCGCCAGATCTTTGAGACTGTAGAATGGTTTTTGTACGTTCCACAGCAAAGAATTTTGGATCTCCAATAAATCGGCAGATTGTTGAAGCGACGATGAACAGAGGGCTTGCTTTGTCGATGAGCTCTACTATGGTGCTTTCCTAGGGCCGAGTCTCTGGATTTAGGCTCTCCTCCCTGATTGTCCGATCTTGAATCTTCTTTTCTCTTATCTGATAGAGATTGGTACGTATGAAGATGGAAATATCATCCTTTGCACTTTTCACATCTTGTAGGCAGACTTCCTTGTACTGGTATTGAGTTTTCTGTAAGCTGGTAAAACTTTCACGAACAGCTGGTTTTGATCGTCCAGTAATCAAGAAGCGCCATTTGAATGTGGTTATATCTGCAAGCTGTAGCTGAGGTAGAAGGTGGACAATCTCCTTTATACCATTGCTATATTCATCAACACATTCATCAACACATTCATCAACACATTCATCACCTGCGTCAATGATAATAACTATCGTTGGGCACTGGCCCTCGGGAGTCTTATTTGCCGTCATGGCTCAAGCAGCAAAGCTTCAAATTGATTCTCCAGGCTTGAGTCAAATATCGAAACATCGTCATCCTTGAGCACGCCAAGGATTCCACTTCTGAGAATAGGAAGGAATCTCATCAGCTGGCGAGCTATCGTTGGCATGAATTTTCGGGTAGAGTCGCAATCTTGTTCTCCCCTTTTGAAGAAAAAACTTGCCCCAAGAATACCTCGACTTTGGAAGTGTTTGGCCAGCGTGCGCGAGACGGTGGACTTTCCGGTCCCTGCCATACCGTTAAGCCAGAAGAGATGTTCGCTGTTGCAATCATCATCCACCCAATCCACAACTCCTTGCAGTAGCTCTTTTCTTGTTTATTTCAAGCATATATCCTCATGTAGATCCTCTCTTGTGCCATAATCTGCCTTACGAGCAAAAGGAAGGTTGGAAAGTTGTTGGCCTTCGGCAATTCCTTCAATGAGGATTGTGTTTTGTTCGATCTGCGCGAGCAGTCTCTCTCCCTGATTTTGACTCTGAATATGATGTGCGAAATCAACCACTGTCTTGAGGTTTTCCTCCTGGTCCTTAATTTTCTGCTGTAGCGACGAAAGTGGCTGACCCGTAATGTCAGAGACAGAAACAGCGACCCAGATTCGTTCGCGTACGCTGAGATTGCGGATACGATCCATCTCTAAGGCATATCGCAAAATATTTGCATAGAGCTCAAGAAGGCATTTCTTTATCATTGAGTGGTTTTTCTCTTCTGCTCGTTGCAGAATATCCTGAGCGAGGGTATAGCGACCTAACGCCCTAGTAAGAAACTCCGAGGTCTCAAATAGCGCATCTTGAAGCGCAGAATCCGTATGGGTCAACTAGAACATGCAGAAGTGAGTGTAAAGCCAGATATAGGTACATGGTAACAGGATTGCTAACCTTTAGTCCAAGAGACACTACTGCCCAAGCGCTTGCTGCATGTCCCGTGGGATCAGCAGCAACAATGCTTCCAATGAAACTTTGCATCGAATATGCAGTATCGAGAATGGCCTTAGCGGCCTTCCTGACCTTTGAGGTGTCTCATTCTTCATTTTTCGAACTTTGAATTGAGTCTTCACTGTGCTTATGACATTCTCAAGAACCGTGGAAATGGCCGATTTTCCTGCACAGTGATTATTGCGACTTCCCTCCAGCAAGTACTTAGGAATAGAGTCTAGTCGCGACTTTTCGTCTTGTGCAAGAGATTCATACGCAGCTTGCCAAAGATCCTCAACAATTCCGGGCTTAGGTTGATGTCCTCCAATTGCAGACTGGGGGTCGTACCTGAGAGGAGGAGATGATCTCGGCTGTGCGTTGGGTCATTCACTGGCTCGTTCCCTATCATGGTGTCTATCCTGATTGTCGAATTCGCCGGTGCATCTTCCTTGACTTTCGAGCGCCATCGTCCAAACAAAGACCTCTTGCCTCGCTTGCCACCCATGTTCTCTGTGATGAATGGCTGGGATTATTTGACTCAGGGTTTTAACTAGAGATAGAAATTTTTCGCGTGGGCTAAGTCTGAACTTTGATTAATATGACGACCTCAGGAGTTGTTTTTGGGGGGCCGTTCATGAGGGGCTCATGCACACATGTGCATGTATACCGCGGGTACGCCTTCCATTGGGCACGCATAGCCGCCGGCTTCAAATTCCCACCTTGGAATCTGGGCAGTTATGCACACGTAGGAACCCTGTGTGATACCATGAAACTCTTCTAGCTTAATCACGTGTCTGCTTCGTATTCTGGGTAGCCTGTCCTGAGTGACGGTTTCTCGTAAACAAGAGACTCGGAGTCTGAACGACATTGAAAACCTTGGAAGACTCTGGGTAATCGGTAGGATGTCCCTATTCTACATACAAATGTCTACGCAGACCTCAACAGAAGCCTCGCATCAATGTGTAGTACGATGTAAAGGAAGGTCCCAGGGATTCCAGATGTCTGCTTAAAGAAAATCCATACTGGTGCCCAGTCACCCAAGGAGATACTACCACAATAGTGGTGGAGCCCAGGTACCGGGCGGTACCAGTGGGGAAGCGGCGGCGCTCTCCAGGAGTTACGGGTGGAGAGGCAGTCCAGATGTCGTTTCTGGCGTCGAAAGCTGTCATCTTCGGTCTCGATTTCATAGTTAACTAGGATATGTATTTTGGATGCAATATAGACAACAGAACAGGAATGGATATTGAATTAAGACATGAAAGAAATGGGGAATAAGTTGGTAAGACATGGCAAAAGCCAGGATCGCAAAGATAGCGAGAAAGATATCTACATACATGGATGAAAAAGTAATAAAGAATCGGGGTAGTCAGACATGAGATCTAGTATGACCGCAAAAAGAAATAAGGGTAAAGGGGTAAAAGAAAGGAAATGGTAGGATATAAAAGGCAGAAAAGCGCTTCCAGTCATGCAATGATACTGGCATCAGAGGGAATATTCCAGTAAACTTGAGGATGCACCAACTCAGTAGCGCAGTTTACCAACAAGGCCAAATGTGTAGGCTGCTTCAGCTTCACTCTTCATTTGAATCATGTAGATGCGCTGGAAGCTGGTGTTAACACCACCTTGCTTAGCGGGCCCACCATTGGTCTCCTCGAGAACGGAAATCGCAATTCCAGTGCGAGCAACGCGCTCAAAGGAACTTTCAGGTAGACAGACATCCAGCAGAACCTCACCACGAGTCTTGCCACGGATGATAATGCGCTTCTCGGGTTCGACGTCACGGTGTGGTGTGGCTGCTCCAGAGCTTGGTGGGGAGTCACCAGCCGCATCACCACCGTACATGGTGCCACTCGAGCTCCGACCACTGACTGCTGTGCCAGGGCGCGAGGGGTTCTTGGGTGGAGAGGGCATAATGGTCAAACGAGCTCCGCCCATGTCACGCCATTTAGAAGCGGATTCGCGCAGATAAATTCTGATCTTGGCGTTTGAGAGACCGATTCCGTCGGCGCCCTTGATGGCCGCGGCGATACGGCCTATACCGGAGGATGGGGAAGGTCCGTCAGCAGAGTCTCCTGAACCGGAGTAGATACTCTCTTCCCGACCATTGCGAGACTCAACGGTTGAGCGAGAAATATTGAACATCTTGCTGCCACCACCGAAACGCTTCAAGGCAGAGAAGGCGCTACTCATGGTACCGACACTGCTCTCGGAGCCTTCAGCAAGGGATCGGGGATTGCTGTTGGAAGCTCGGTAGCTTCTTCTGCGACGGGGAAAGCCGAACCAGTTCGAGCCAGACTTGGCGGCGGGCTCGAATGATGGGAGATTCTCGTTGAAGGGCCCACGAGCATTCTGAAGAGCGATATAGGTTGGGTTGTTAATGCGAGCCTGGTTGATGAGGCCATACAAAGCATCGCATTCGTCTGGAGATCGAGACCGGAACATGATATTGCTAGATGCGATCTTGGAACGTTCAGTGGGAGGAGAGCGAATGCTAATGTCGATAGCTGTACCCCGACGGATGGGGACCAAGGGAGTGAGCTCCATGGAGATAAGCGGCTTCGACCGGTGATCCGCATTCGTCTTGAAAGCTTCAATCAGACCAGGGCTGACAGAGATGTCGCATTCATCGGGAAGCACTGGGTCCCAGCTACCCTTATCAGACCAGGCAAAGATAGACGCAACGGCCTTGGAAGACTTTGCAGGTTGCAGAGGTACCGCCCGATAGCCACTTTGGGACGCAGAATTTGATGGAGAAAGCGAGCTGGCGTCAGATGTGGCAGTATGAATACGCCTTGGCTTGGGAAGTTCACTCAGTTCACTCTCTTCATCTTCGGATGCAGAATCTTCGGAGTATGAGTCTGAATCTTCCGATGCGGATCTTGAGTATTCGGAGGAAGAGTAACTGTAGTGTCGGACAGTAGAGGCATCAGAGTCTGATTCAGTGTATGAATCGGAAGCTGTGGAAGGCTCATATTCATGCTTCAAAGGAGAAGAGCCTCGTCGCTTGAATCGGGCCCCTGATGGTGTGAGAACAGGCGAGTTAGACGGGTTGCCACTAGCAGCGCTTGGGGAGCGATGCGGAGGTGGAGGTGGAGGCGCATCATCGTGTTTTGACTTGTGACGGGACTTTCTTCTCCGAGACTTGGTTGGTGTCTCCAATGGCCCTGGATCTGGCAGTGAGTCCAGGGGCGGGTAATCCTCCTCTTCATCGGCCTCTGTACTAGCCGGAGTCGACAAATGAGTTTGGCTGCTGGCGGTTCTGATCTTTGGAATTTGGGGTAAGCGTGCAGAAGGTACTGAAGATACACGGGGAGATTCAGGCTCTGGGGACTGCTGCTTGCGTGGTGTCTTGGGCTGCGGTATTCTTGAAGCGGACTTTGACTTTGGAGGAGGGCTCGTCACTTGGCTGCCATCATTACTTTCCCCGCCATAGAATCTGTTTTTTGTGGGAGTAGAATCTTGGACCTGATCCTGAGGCTTCTCCTGGACCGTTTCCTCAACAATGGGCTGGGCAGGCGCTAATTCTGAGATTGGGCTATCGCCATAACGAGAATGTCTCTTGGCTTTAGATCGTTTCAACCCATTGGGAGACTTGTCAGGGCTGGTTTGGGAGGGCAGAGAGGTGAAACCAGTGCGAACTTTGATTGCCGAGAGCTCAGATCCGCCGGTCGTGTAGTCTGTCTCGCGGGTGACGGAGGAGGACAGAGAGCTCCTTGTTTCGGTGGCAGAAGAGCTGACAGTGCTCGGCTCTGAATAGTGTTCCTTAGGTGTGAGAGATCGTCGCTTCTCGCCAATTGGAATATCAATGTCACTCGGGTTGGCTCTAGGAGGAGAGTCGCTCACGGAGGACTTGCGGGCCTTGTGCTGCTTTGCGCGACTAATGAAGCTTTGACTTCGGAAGATTGATGGCGGGATGGGATCTGAGCCCAGCAGCTGAACCCATTCAACACCAATCTCATAATCATCAATGCGGAGGGAGATCAGCTCTTGCCAATACTTCTCGTCTCCGGCAGCACTGCGGAGCATAAGAACAATCTCGCCTGTTTCACCATTTCTTGCTGAAACACACCGGAGATCCATAGGCGGGAAAAGTAGCCAACGATCGGAGTGATCAATCTCGCAAATCAACAAATCACCACCAGATCCACTTCCAGAGGAATTGTCTCGATACAGCAGTTCCGCACGGCAATCAACCAATTGTCCACTTGAGTGGTAAAGAGACAAGTTGAAGAAATCACGGGCTCTAACGCGCCGGGTTTGGTCGACCACAACATTTCGGGCGACTGCAAGAGTCATCGGGTCTCTAGCGCGAGTTGCATCGACAGTAGCAGCAGACTCATCTTCCAATCTTGCTCTCTCGTCACGAGCTCGCTTTCGGGCATCTAGAACAAGCGATTGGTAGGCGGTGGAAATTTCTTCAGCCTTGGGTGAGGGTTGAAGAGTATTGATGCCCTTGAAGCTCTTTGCGAGATACTTCAATCGGACCAAGGGACGCTTTAGGAGATAAGCAACATCCACCTTCTCACCATCGGCATCTACCACATCACCGTTCTCATCTCGCTCCATGCCTTCATCCAAACTCTTAGTATCCGCATTTTCATTCTCTTCTCCTTCTTCCAGAGGTGCGAGATTGACAATCACATCTTTGAAGCCGAGTCGCCATGCTTTAAGGTATTCACGGTAGACCTTCTGCGCACCTTGCGCCCAGTTGAGGAGAGCATCAATGTCATTTTGCGGGATGCGCTTGTGTAATGTCTTTAAGCGCTCAATAGCAACACCCATGTTAACGATAGGCTTGGAGAAGTTGATGTCGTCCTTTGGATCCACAGAGGGCCGGAACAAGCCAGCAGCAATGGCTGAATCGGAGCGCGATAGAACACATGTCAGGAGAACAGGGATAACACCACCAACAAGCGTCTTCAGCTCTCGCATATACTTGGTCTCATCGGAAGCTAGTTCAACAAAGAGGTCGGGGATAGTTGCACTCGCCAGTCGACTCTTATTGGTGCGAATACTTCGAGATGATCGGACACTTCTGGTTCTAGAAGCAGGAACGGAGAGCACAGACATAAGATCATTGTGTGTGGTCAGTCGACGTTTAAGCTGTGATGATACCACAGGAAGAGAATCCGGATCAAATTGGTCCTTCTCTTCGCCAGCTTCTTCTGGGTCCTCGGCCGGTTTAGGTTCCTCTGATGCGCTGTCCTTGGGCTTCTCACGTGCGGATGATGGCCCGGATGATTCCTCAGGGAGAATGCTCAAAGTCTCGCCCGAGGCAATGGTGGATAATCGATGAGGTCCAGTGCTGGGAATTGACTTCTTGCGGCCAGTCGGGACAGGTGCATTATTTCCCGACGCCTCTGATTTTTCTGAACTCACTTGCACATCTGACTCTGATGGTACGATACTGGGCTCTTTTACCTCCCGAGTCTCCAGAACAGGCTTCTCCTCTTTAGCCTTGGGCGGATGCTTGTGGGATTTGTCCAAACTCGCTCGTTTGGGCTCTGGTGCGGGGTCCTCATGGATTTTGGTAGATTTTCCGCTTGATGATGGACGGTATTTCTCTTTCTCTTTCTCTCTCAATTCCTTGGAGTCTTTGGATTGTCGGCTGTGAGAGCTCTTTGGACGAGGCTCGCCTTCAGCCTGCGTCTCCGATGTCAAGCTGCTCGATGTCTCTGTATCCCCCAATCTCCTGGATCGCCTTTCCCTCGCTGATTTGATATCCAGCGGAACAGGCATATCATCTTTGTTCTCATAATCAAGAAACGGGTCAGGCGTCTCCGATAACCACGCCTCGATCTTCGCGCCTCGATTCGCAGTTGGTGGAGGAGGTCTGGGGGGGCTCGGGCTTGGGCAACGAGAACATCTTCCTGGACTCGTCCAGCATCTGAGCGAAAATTCCACCCTTTGGTATCTGACCTCTGGCGCGCCTGCGCGACAGTTCCGTAAAATCGGCCTCGCTCTTTCCCCATTCTGCTGCATCTTCGGGAGGCGGTGATTCTCGTTTCTGCTTTGTGGACACCTCCGACCGTATAGTCGATTTTGGGCGATCAGTCTCTGTCTCCCAGTCACTATCAACCACCGAGTCCGGTCGCTTGCGAGGCTTGGCCTTAAATTCCTTCGCGGGAGTCTTGGTGCCAGACCGAGGGGTATCTCGAGTTCTGTCCGGAAGCTCTTTTTGAGTCTCCTTCTTTGTGCGGACCGTTACTCCACTATCATTGATGGTGTATTCACTGATGCGCTTCGGAGCTGGAAGGTTGCGCACTGAGGGTTGACTTCCGACTGTTGTTGTTGATCGATTCCTTCGCCAGTGCTCGTCGCTAATGACTCGTTTGCGCGGGGTACTGTGACTTCGTTTCCTCGTCTGAGCCACTGGGCCTTTGCTGGATTTTGCTTTGGGAGGTTTTCCTGCCTCGGATTTGGGCTTGGTCGCTTTGGATGGCGTTCTGATCTTATTCTCTTCATCCTCGTCATTCTCATTCTCATTCTCATTCCCATCGTCATTGTAAACTCCATCGTCGATCGTGATTACCCCGCCTCCTTGTTGTTGCCATTTTCGCACTATCGATCGCACAGAATTTGTATCATGGACTCCGAGTGGTTGACCGATATCTAGCGATTTTGATGGCTTTGATGCGGATTGAGTACCCCCTCCAGATTTGGAGGGACGAGTTGGGGTCGCGGGGGATGGCATCGATGTCTATTTTGAGGGGTATTAGTATCGAGGAGTATAGATTAGATTAAATGAGATCAACATACCACCTAAATGACCAATTCAGTACATGACATCGAGAATTCAAGAGCGTCAAAAGGTTCAAAGATGTAAACAAGATTGGGCGGTGATCACCCGATAAGCCTGTTCGCGGTTGGCTGCCGGGGAAACCACGCGCTGATCGAATGAATCGTCTTTAACGCTGCTAATAGGTTGCAAATAAATGCAAGGAAGATCAAAAATATTATGTAAAAATGTGATGAGCTGAATGAATAGTTTCGACAAATATCATCTCTTTTTCTCCCTTCTCTTCTCTTCTCTCAGTTCTATCAGGCTTCACCTAAGAGCTGAAATGACCAAGGGCTTGGCATCGCCAGCTTTCACCCTTCACACCGTAAAATATGAGAATGTGGAGGGGCAAAGAATATAAAAAAAAAATCAAATGGGTCATGCACATGTGAAGGGGGATCATGGGGAGATTTTATTGCCGGTTGCGCGTCCTAATAGGATTTGATGTGCATTGGGCGTCATAACTGTGATGGAGTCGGACAAAGTTGGAGTGTGACTTGTTGATTTGCTAGTCTTTGTTCAAGTTCAAGTTTTCGGATTATTCGGGTCTTTCAGCTCAGATTTGTTTCTTTATATCAGAGAAATAAGAAATTTATACTCTGATATTATTCTAATATTGTTGATATCCCCAACTCTACTCTTTATTAATTCCTGAATGAAAGCCTGATGAGTATATCTCGTCTCCATCTCGATTTTGACCGAGACAAGCATTATTGGTACCATTCAGTGCGAGATTAACCCTTTCCCCACTATGTCCACTCACATGCGGCTATGACGGAAGAGGTGTTACTGGGCCTTGCGCCGCTCGGCCGACTCTACCTGTCGCTGCATGGCGTTCGAAAGTGTGGTCATGCTTTGGTAAAGATAATCTATAAAAGGATGATCATCAGCTCATGCTCTCTGCAAGCGAACTTGAAGCTCTCCACTAATCCTAAGTACTCACAAAAGGGAACAACAATCCAAATGAAATTCATCAGGAAGTAATATATCCAGAAATAATAAGGCTCCGGTCGGCTGTAAGGTCGGTCATGCACATAGTGGTCGAATAAGCTGGTAGCATAATACAGCGTATCACCGTAAAGATGGCTCATGCACACCACTACTTGGAACGGGTGGCGCAGGGAATGCCGTGTTGCGGTCAAGTAGGCTACCACGAAGCAAAGGGGCCCCCACAGGAGCTGGCGGATATAGTGAGTCAGCGGAAGCCTGATATGGATATCAGGGAGCTTTTCGGGAAATCTGCATACCACGGTCATGCTCTCCATGCATAAGACCAGAGTGTCCGAGGTCATGTACCGGGAATCCGATAGGGCGTACTCTTTCCATAACTGGCCGAAGAGATCTTGGGCGGACGCCATATGGTCATGGTGCAGCATGAAATATCCTTCAAAGAAGCAGTGCAGGGATCCAGCTATTAGATGCATCTGTTAGTTGTAGTCCTTTCATGCTGCTTTTTTCCAAGGTTTCGGTTCCAAGTTTCATGCATCATTTGGGCAGCATTCATGTGGGATTGGTCATACAGAGTACAAACCACAGGATGGCAATCCGATCCGCCATGCGAAGGGCTGGTCGTACATAACTGGCCACAGCAAAGACCAGGCCCAGAAGAACGGCGCATCCTCCACCCGCAGACACCAGTAGCTCCAAGACGGGGGTTTGGTTGGGCGAATAGTCAACGATATTGGCCCCAAGGGGGTAATATGGGTGGGAGGGTTCACTCGGCATTGTGCTTGACAGTGAGTGGAGATTGAATAAAAGCTTGCTTCTGTGCTCTAGACTCGGAAGATTGGAGTCAATGGGCCATCTGAATTTCCGGTTCAGATCAAAATTCCTATGTTTTGACCCGTTTCCCGCTATGATCATGGGCATAGTGGATCTGCAAGGGCTGGACCAATTGTTGACCTTGTTGACCGGGATCGTTCTGCAGACTGAGATCGAGCTTACTAGCTTTTGGAAACCAATAGGATAGCAGAGTAAGCAACTTCTCTTCAATGGTGTTAAATCAAATATCTCATCGGCAGCAACATTGAAAATTAGTACACGTAGTCGATCCAGATGTCTTGATGTTCATTGACTTGATGGTACACACGACTCACGAGTCTGGTTAGGCAGCCCGGGTCTCTCCGCCCAACTGTGGAGTCACGGTATACATACTCAGTGCTAGTAGGTGTCTCAGTGTCTGGTATGTACGTATGTACTCCGTTAAGTGGGCACTGTACACCTGGCATCTATGTATGTTTATAAACTTCAAGAACATATGACAATCTAAAGCCAGTAAATTTTTATTTCTTGGATAATTGCCGTTTTTAAGGTATATGTAGCTCATCTTAGATGACTATGACGGTACATATACGACCAACCGACCTCGGAAGTAGTCACAATTCTACCGGCCCTCATCCTTGGGCTTCCGCACATGATAAATATGCCAGGCCCAGGTGATTATGGGTAGCTGTCAAATTCAAACAACCCTTGCCTCTCGGACTCTACCCAAGAGCCACCAATGAGCATAGCGTTTTGGCGAAATACAATCGGGCAGAAACAGATACCAATCATCCTCCTCGTATGGAGCTAAACAGTTAGTGCACTTGAAAGCTTCGCAGTATTCAGGGTAGAATCCACTATATTCCCAATCAAGAAGTCCAGTGACAACCCATTGGTTACAGTCATCGATGTCAACCGTAATGTTTTCTGGTCGAAGATCACCGTGCGTGAAAACGATCTTCATCTCCGTGGGTGGAGTCGGGTAAAGTTGACGAAGCAGCTCAATGAAAACTTGACCGCCAGGATGAGGGCTCGAGAACATGAATTCTTCAAATTCAACAAGGCTTCGAATCGGCTTCTGACTCTTCCGTAGATGTCTTCTAATGTCTTTGCAACCTTCACCGGCCACACCTCCAAATGCAGAACCGGAATTGTGAGGTATAGACCTTAAATTTGACATAATCATGCCCAGCTGATCTCTAATACAAGTCTTCTGGTCGTTGTTCATTTGAGGCCACACTGTCGCAAGAGTCTTCGATGGCTTGTAGGTCTGAAAAATAAGAGTTATGCCACTCATTTGTACATACCCTAGAGGTCTTGGAGCAGGGATGTCAGGTTTGTGACATTCAAGATATTGCAGTGTCGTGTATTCAGTATCATCATCCAAACGCCGTACCACTTTAACAATGATCTCGTCGTCAGGCCTGAAAAAATCATTTGTTCCGGGACCGGAGATTTCCAAATAACCTCGCTTGTTTGCACGAGATCAAATATCCGCTGAGACAGACCTTCTGGCAAAGGTTCTGTAATTTGCGATGATTCTTCGAGTAGCCTCGATACCGTTGAAGAAAAAGGCCAAACAATTTCAACGGGATCCGAAGGTCGAAGACAATCACGTATGTCACTCTGTCGTTTTGTAGTCTCGAACGTCTCTGTCGAAGAAAATCTATCAGGCTTGCATAGGCATTGGCATTCCATCAAGTCTTACTGTTTATTTCCTTGCTTTCTTCTTGATGCTCGCCTTGAAATTCGACCAGACGGGTAGAATAGTCCGGGGTTGCATCATCAAGTTGATCTCCGGGTCATTATCGACGGCGGCTTGTAATTTTCTCAATGTATGAGTGTTGAATTTCGCGGCCTTTGATTTCGGGCGCGATGAGGTAGCTCAAGCATCTTGTTTGTTTTCCAGTTTCCTATCGACGGTGGTGTGCTGCGACATTTTCAATGTTTCCAAAAGGTTCCCAATGCTGCAGCCCTAGACATTGGGGGTTGGCAGCCGACTATGCTTCTTTTCCGGATTATGAATCGAGATGAATAATGTCGTTAACTGCAGTCAGCAGGATCGGATTATGAGGAGAGAGGAAATTTATTGTCGCAATTTTTAGAACGATTGAAATTAGATGGAAGTGTATCGTAGTCATATCTTCTATCTTAAAGACTTGATATTAGATGGGATTGGACCATTGTGGGGGAGCTTCTGCCTGAGGCCAGCATCAGCGGAGACGGGTATCGCTTCTCCAAGTTCCTCAGCTTCGTACCGTGTTTCCCCGAGCTTAAGTGGCGTCTCGACTCCGCCTCTTTCACAATGCCAGATGCTAATAAACTATTTGGCATCGACCTCTCGCGCTCTGCAATGGAGTCCCCTCCAGGAATTGCAGCCTTGTTCGTCATCTCCTTCGACATCAGGACCGGGTAAGTCATACTCCCCTGTAACCTTGCAAGCTCCGATGCATGGAGGGGCATATCGCTGATACGTGTATAACAGTTATGTGGTCTCATGGAAGCGAACTGCACCGGGAGGTAAGCAAGAAACAACCCCTGCGCCTTATTCAAGACCCCTTCGGCTGTGCGGAACTGACACTCGTCTGATAGTCGAGATTGAAGGAGTGGTGGAATACAAGTCGCTCCCCTCCGGACTACACAATGTGACGGAAGACCTGGTGTGAGTGGTTCAGACATATCCCAGACTGTGCTCTCCCAAATATATCGCTAATCACTCGTTGATAGGTACTTCGTCGAAGACCGATATGCCGGTATCAGCGCGTTCCTTAACCGACCCGCCGCCGAGGTAGAGCGCAATGCGCGCATGTTCGCAATTGGAGTGCTGGTTCCGCTGAGCTCAGGAAGACTTGGAAAAAGCTGGAGACACGCAGCGAAGCTTAAGGAGCTGGCATTGTGAGTGGCATGCCGCCTAGGAGAACTGAAGGGATACAACAGACTAATAATCGAACGTCACATAGGAAATATGCCGAGAATATGTCTGATTTACAACCGTTATTAGACTACTGGGACGCTTTCCAGATTGGAGGTACCGAGTCAGCCATTGACTCTCCTATCGATTCACCCTCAAGCCTTCGGTTCCGACCGGGAGACGGACCAGATACTCGCAACCGAGCATTCAGTGATGCAATGGTTTTGGAGACGTTGAGGCCGGCCTTAACGCCTTTCCACCCTGCATCCTCTCTTCCAGCCTTCCTAGATTGCTTTGGACCATTGATCTTCCCATTATACAGAGCGGCACTGTTGCGTAAGCGTGTCCTCTTTATGACCGAAGCACCGGTGCATACACCGTGTAATTATGGTATGTCAATCTACTTAGATTACGCTATGCTCGATCGGCTAATCTGATACCAGTCTATGATCTGTCATTACTCGCATCTCTCCCCAACTCTCTTCTTCAAACCCTCCCCACAGATCGCACCCCACCATTGCGACCCCGCCCCCTGTTCAACGTTGGCATTCACGATATTCCCTTTCTCTCTACCTTTGACCCATCGCGATCAGACTTTGATACCGAGACGGATCCTAGCTGGATTGCTTGTTCGACGGATAGTGTCCTGACCATGAAGCCTGATCTCTATGATGCACTCGTCACTCTTCCCCCGCCATCCTCCAAACAAGCTACCGAGCGAGCCTTCCCTACTATCAGTTTAATAGACCACGCAAGCACAAAACACAACTCAAGTCAGGCAATCGAACTCAAGGCCACTCAACGGGATGCTAGGCGGTACGCCATGCTTCGCAAAGGCTTACGGCAGTTCGCACAAGACCGGTCTGCATCAGATACAGATCACAGCTCCGATACAGAGTCGACATATTCATCAAGTCCGATTGTTGAGCCGCTTTCCTGGACCAGACTGGCTTACACATCATTCATCTGGTGGGCCTCAGCGGGCGAGAACCGCGACGGCCTATCGGAAGAAGAGGAGGAACATCAAATCGAACAAGACGCCCGACTTCTGGCAAGCGTGGAGAGTCTTGCGTACCCTGGCCCCAATTCCAATCGTAGCCGCTCAATGCGTGCAGATGAAACTAGCCAGGAACCTGCCGAAGTGGCGCTGGTAGCCTACTTCCGTCGTCTGACTACCCAAATTTTCTACACACTTGCTGGTGCCATTGCTCGGCATGATCATGATGGCGAGGTCGATGCTTACGCTGATGCTCCTTACCTTGATGATCCTGCTGACGATGAAACCGACCTCTCCCTTTCGCATTCACGACAGTCTATTCCCAGCGATGATGGTGAAACACCTCTTCTCCGCCAACGGGCCCACCCGCATACCACATCTCGTCACGAGTCCGATGCAGCGCATCATGACCACGATACCGAAGATCCGATCAACATCACCGTTGCCGATATGGCCGAGATGGGCCTTGACGTATGGAGCGCTACGGACAGGATCTTCGTCGAGGAGCTTGTATCCCTCTGGTGGGGACGCTCAGCATACGTCGATACCGCTCGCATTCGGTGCTGCGGTCTATCCATATTGTAGAAAGATGTATCTCATAATCTCTCCTATTTTGACTCATTTTTCTTCATCTTTATCTTTGTTGCTCGTCTCGGCTTTTCTCTGAGGCTCGAGCCAACTGTGCCCAGCGCGGGCCATAGATTCAATGTTCCATGTTCAATCTCGTACCGCGGTCCAATTGACGCGGATTTCTGACAAGCGCTATCATTTGAAATAACACCAGCTAGTTCTTATCTATCATGATGCCTGGCTGGTCCTGGTCAAGGCTTCATTCATCTTGAAACGCATCATGTTTTGCGTTGACTCACAATCTGATATTGAGAACACGTCGTTGTCTATCTGCCTTCATCTCCTGTACATATAGCCTGTATGCCCATTTGCTCTAAGGATTATGTCTGGTGTCTAAGTATTACAAGGTTAGTGTCATACACATTTGCAATGCCCGACCTTCAATTGACTACCTACATCTATTCGAGCTATACATATAGAAACTAGGTTCCTTACTAAGTACTGGGGCTACTAGTATAACCTTGGAACTGGAATGAGCCAGTACTAGTAGTATCTCAAACCTTGAAGCTCGGTGGATGATACCAGTCTGGTTCAACATTTGAAGTCGATGACTACCTAGGTAGTACTCTAGTACACCACTGCCAGTCAACTGGTAGGTACCTAGGTAGCGTCCATACTAGTATCTACCTCCAGGGCTAGTAGCCCCGCCCAGGTGGAGGCATATGTACCTAGGTACATCCATGGATGCCAGTGATATATGTACTAGCTTGGGTACTTGATTATTACTAGGAGCGAGGACCTCGGGAGCTTGTCTATATGAAAAATAACAATCTCATGTGAAATAATCATTAATAAACAGCTGTTTTGAGATGGATAACACCATGAGGACAAAGGAAATATGTAGTGAATGTCGAAATCGGAGATAAAAATCTCCAAAACAAGTGGGCAACAAACTGGGTCTATGATAATCCATACTCATGAGACTCCAAGTGGAAAGAAATATGAACAAGCCCGGAATTATCGCAGCGCCATGCGAAGTAAACGTGATACCAAATCATAACAATGGCCCGAAAGTGAAAACAATATCATAAATGGAAAGAAACAATTAGATGCAACCTGCGCCGGGGGTATTTTGCAATTTAAAGACAAGAACCGGCTGAATAGAACAGAGAACAGGCGTGAGAATTCATAAACGGGAAACAAGGTCCTCACTGGACTTGATTCATCGTCGGAACATACGGACTGGCGCACTCATATCCCGACGCTCAACGAGGTCATTCTCGGGTTTCGAGGAATGGGTCTGGACGTTTGGGATACGTCGTGGACCTTGACCTGGAGTTGTAGCGGTACTCCCAGCTGGGCCTGCGGCACGTCCGGATATTTCGGCTGCGCTCACTGAGCGGACATTGCTGCGGGCCCGACCGCGTCGTGCTCTGATCTGTGCGAGAGCTTCTTCACGGTTGATGGGCTGATCAGGGAAGAAGGAGGCGGCAGTCCGGGAATCCATTGCTTCACGGAGAGGAACTCGCTTCGTCATTGAGCTCATTGAGTGAGATGAATATTCAGTTCTCACACGAGGCCTTGACGAGCGTGAATCAGTGGATTCATGAGGTTGGGTCTTTTCGATCATATCCGCCTCTGGTGCTTTGCGATGAGCCATTCTTGATGCCCGAGGCTCGTCGGTTGGCGTGGAGGACTCTACATGTCGGTTGGAAGCGGCTGATTCCGTCCGAGATTCCGTCCGACTTTGGCGAGATTGAAGTGGATTGTTTAAAGGAGTCGGTGATACTCGGGTATCAGTCCGTCGGGGTGGAGGAGGGGGTCTGGGGTTGTCGCGGAGCGGGGATGGAAACGTTTTGAATGTACCGGTCTCAGGTGAAAATGTGACTAAGGGTTCTTCCGGCATGGGCATCTTCTCAGGAGGCTCTGTAGGCTCAGGCTTCACGTCTTCAGCAGACTGGACGCTGTTTTCGTATGAAAGAGACACGGGAGGCTCAACAGAAGGGGTATGGCTGGAATAGGAGGCGGAATGAGAATTGTACTCTTGCTGGGCTGCCTCTTCCTGCATCTGTGAAGCTCTTTCTTCGGCCTCAGCCTGTATTTGTGCTGCCCTTTCCTCTGCATCTGCTTGGATCCGTGCAACACTGGCCTTGGCTTCTGCTTGCATGCGTGCCACTTCGGCCTCTGCCTCTGCCTTGAGCCTTGTAACTTGTGCCTTTGCCTCTGCTTCCAATCGAAAAATTCTCGTCGCCTCTTCCTGTGCTTGCGCTTTCATCTCCGTGGCTCTTCTCGTTGCCTCTGCTTCCAAGCGAGCAATTCTCGCTGCCGACTCTTCCTGTGCTTGCAATTCCGCGGCCGCCTTCGCCTGTTTCTCTGCTAGAGCCTTTGCCTTTGCGTGCTCCTCTGCTTCCACTTGAGGCTTTTGAAATTTCTCAAAATAATCGGCATCGTAGATATAACGGCGTCCTTCATGTTCGGCAATACGACAGGAGCATCGCTCGAACTGACACTCAATATTCATGAAGTGGACCATTTCCTCAGCTTCGGCTCGTCGGCGGCGTTCGAAGTGAAGTTCATCCTGAAGATCGTCAAAGGATCGAGTATCCATGGCCGGCACAGAGTCGGTGGTCGTGGATAAATCCTCGACGGGAGATGTAGCACCAGATAATCGAGGTCGTTTCGGAAGTGTGGCCTCCACAAAGCTCTCTCCGTCCCTCTCCTGAGCTGGCGATCTGATCGAGTCGGCGGCGGCTCGCTTCGGGCGGCGGGGTGTTGTCAAAAAGGCAAGGTCACCTTCGACCAGCGATAATCTTCCGAAGTCCTCCTTTCTGATCTCATGTGCGCGTGCGTCCAAGGTATTCGAGTGGTTCGTGGTTTCCATAGATCGTAGTTGACCCTTCAGTACTTCAAGCTCTTCAGTCAGGCCAGCAAGGGCATATGCACGTTCGAATGCTTCTTGTTTCGCCTTGTTCTTAGCCTCCCGCTCAGCAGATACCTCATCTTTCAAAGCCTTGGTTTCGGATTTGGCGTGTTTCAACTCCTCTTGGAGTTTGACTAATGTCGAGCCGGCACGAAACGCCTCTTTTCGGGCCTTTCGGATTTCTTTTTCAAAAATTGATCGTTCGTGTGCTTGACGCTCTTTGGCACCGTGTAACTCTTCCAGTAATGATTCAAGACGTTCACTGATCCGACGCTCTCGTGTCTGTGCCTCTGAAAGTTCCTCTTGAACCGATGTAAGAACGGACTCTGCTTCTTCGCGTCCTAGGATCGCCCTCTGCAGCGCGGCATTATTTGTTACCGACTGTCCTTGTCCAGGGCTGGCACCACGAGCGAGACTGTTCAAGAAAGCCACTTTGGCTTGAACTTCTGATACGCCTCTTGTGCTTTTATGATGTAGAGATAGAAGGTCGGAAGGGAGGGAGGGTGAAGCGGGGATAGTGGTTTGTTGATTCATTCGTTCCGGTGATACGGGGTTGAGTGCCTTCGTAGGGCTCAGGATTGGACGTGTCGGAGAGTCCATCGCGGGCCTTGTCGAGAAGATGTAGGTGTCAAATGCCTGGTGTCAAGAGGTCATGGGTGCAGGCTTGGAAGGATGATTGTTCACGAGAGAAAATCACCGTTGGAGTTTGGACGAGTGACGCACCCACACGATCGTTGTTTATTGCCTTTTTCGTGTGTGTCAGGTGATCGTTGCCGTGGACACAACTCGAGCCTTCCCCGTTTAGGTTAGTCACGCGTCGATAACCATGGGGCATATCATCACGTGGGGGCTAGTTCTAATCGGGGTTAGCGCGGGGATAATCACATCAGATTCCACGAGCATTCCAGAAGCTGAAGAATAGAAGATCTACCGAGAGAGAAATTCCCCGCTATTTCAAACTAACAAGCAATATGCACGAAGTTGTTACCTTGCAGTTAGGCCAACGCGCCAACTATCTGGCGACACATTTCTGGAATCTTCAGGTAACGTAAAGTGCCTGCTTTGGTATGATTAGGTCTAATGCATTAGTAGGAGTCATATTTCACATACAATGAGACTGAAGAGTCTCCAATTGATCATGATGTTCACTTTCGTCCCGGTGTTGGTGCTGATGGGTCAGAGACCTACACCCCAAGAACCGTCATCTATGACCTGAAAGGTGGATTTGGCACCCTGCGGAAGTATAATGCGCTCTACGAGATGTCTGAGGGTATTCAGAGCGGACAAGGTCTCTGGTAGGTATCCATCATTCTTCTAATTTATGGGCGCTCATCTCACAAGGATATAGGGACGGGCAAGAAGTCATTCAGAAGCAAGACCCTATTCTACAGAGTGCATACCAGAAAAGTCTAGATCTGGGCACTCCTGCACCTAAATTAACATCAGAGACTGTGCGCTACTGGTCTGATTATAACAGAGTCTTCTACCATCCTCGATCCATTGTCCAGTTGAATGAATATGAGTTAAATTCCCAGATCATGCCCTTCGAGGACTGGAATGCTGGCGAAGAACTTTTCAGCGACCTTGATAAGGAACATGACCTGTTGGATCGAGACTTGAGACCGTTCGCTGAAGAATGTGATCAATTACGAGCAATCCAGATTTTCTCGGGAGCGGATGATGCTTGGGGTGGCTTTGCAGCCCGTTATATGGACCGATTGAGAGATGAATACGGCAAGAAGAGTATCTGGGTCTGGGCCATTGAAGATGGTCATAAAGTCCAACGTGTGCGTTCGATTGACACCTGAAATGTACAAAAAAGAAAAAGTTGCTAACTTTTTTTCAATAGCATCACCAGATGAAGAAAGACGTAAACAAGGCCAAGTCGCTCTGTGCCATCTCGCCACAGTCCACCCTTTATGTCCCTATCATGGATATTCCTCAGAAGCTGCCAAGCTACCTCAATATTGACCGCCAATCACATTGGCAAACATCTGCCCTTATTGCATCTGCGCTCGAAACTGTAACATTGCCATCTCGACTAAGGCCATACCATGACTTTGAAGCCTCGTTGGCTGGTGATGATGGCAGACACACCATTTTTGAACTGCAGTCAACTATCAACCCTAAGAAGAAGGATGATAAGCAGCCGGAAACTGAAGACAGCGACCCACCCAAGGCGGAAACCGAATTTGACATCGATTTTACGTATGGAGAAACCAACAACAAGAATGCGCATATTTTCAATCAGGTCCAAGTCACCCGAGGAACCGAGCGTGGGGAGTCTACTGATTCAGCGGATGGTGATCTTGGTCGTCTCCGAAAACTCCGACTGTACAATTCTGAAGCTATGCTTCAAAGGTATGTATTTTCCCGTTTTTTATTATCTTGACTGCTCATTGTGCTCATACATCACATAGCTATTACACTCCCCTTCGACTTCCTGTTCTAGACAGTTTCCCCCAGGATCTTTACCAAATCCCTCAGGCTAACGAGGGAATCAATGTCTTTGCTGCACTGACCGCTTCCACCCGGACAGCAGAAAGAATCAAATCCATCCAGGCCACCACTGCCCGTGCACTCTCCATTGATGAACGGGAGGCCATGCTCAATGGGCTAGGCGAGATCAGGGAATCCTACGAGACCGGCTGGAGCAGCGGATCCGACGATGATGATGAGTAAATAGACTCCGTGTCTAGAATAGAAAAAAAAGCCACTTTATTCTTTACCATGACGTTACTTTTTGGAAGGTTCGGCTGTTGTGCCATAACTTCTTTTAGTCCCCTTGCATGTTGAGATGCGGCGATTTTCCTCCCTGCGCCAAGGCACTCAGGACCCTATATTTAGTGACTAGTAGTGTCGTTGATAATATGAGACTGCTGGTAGTGGAAAGACTAAAGATGCATAATCCGTAGTAAACTCTCTGAATACGAGGACTTTACTCAAGTGCTCACTCGAATGATGAAACTGCACCTATGATATAGGACGATGCAGATTAAGTCATGTGGTTCTATAGAACTTCAAGACCCTGGATGTCCTGAGATACTTTGTTCTGCAAAAATCCGAGACAACATAGTTCCCTGGGTGATGGGGTGACTCCTAACACAAATCTCTGACTCAATGTTACTTCTCAGCTTCCTTCCTTTCCGGCGGCTGGAGGTGTTCAACCTGTACACAATTGAGTCAACCATCTCTTCTAAAAACTGAAAAGGAGAGCAGACCAGGTCCGAGATGTAAATGCTGAGATGACCAGCCCCTCTCCGCCACCAGTTCCTTCAAAGGATGAAGGTCCGGGTGTCACCAGTTGTGTTGTCAACATTCAGTCCTTCGGCTCCCGCCAAGTGGGATTATTACACCAAAGGGACGGGGGAGTAACCATGGAACCCCAGACCATTCCGAGACATGAGAAGTGACATCTCAATTGTTGGAGCCAAAAAATTAAAAAATAGAGGATTGGAGGGAAATAATGCTCAGGGCCATGAGCCGTCTCTGACATCATAAGCATGGAATGAGGTGCTCTGCCAATGGGGGGCCTACTTTTACTATGTATATCGCGCGGACCCTCCGAGTCGGCAACTCCCCCGTAATAACGTGTCTTAGCTTAGTTCAACCGATGCAGGGCTTCATGGAGTGTCCACTTCCTGCTGTCAGTTATATTCTGTCAGGTCCTCGAGTCTTCTTGGAAGGGGGATTCTGTCATGTAACGTTACCTGCATAAGCCACTTTAAGGCACTGGATCAGGACGCCCAACTGACTCCCGGGTAAAGAAAAAAACATGAGCCGCGGATCCACTGTAAATGAGCATGATTATTATCAAAGTAATTGATCAAAATGATTGATGATGCAAAAGGGCTTGCAGGGAGTCAGGGACTGCAGAAACTCGTGGCATCCATCGTGGCCCACTAGGACCCAAAACATGGACCCTTTCCCCAGGTCTAGCTCATAAAATTCAGAATCCCCATCCTCTTTTGGAGGAAAGTGTCTTGCCTGACTTTTCCCACAATGTTTTTTTTGGGTTATTGGCAAAAGCCGGTACATGCTTGAACTTAGGTACCGGAGTGAGATTGCCGTGACGCTTTTCATTCGTGATGTTTCCCCACGAAATTATCACTAACCCAACAACTCATGAAACCTATCCTTTGTCCGAGCACAAATATTTTGAACTTCTTTTTTCTGATCCCATGACGGAGGATTTATAATTGAACTTAGAGTTCTGAGTTTTTGTTTTACCTAGTCCTCATGGTGATGACAGAGGCTGACATTAGGAACCAAAATTAACCTCTATTGCTCAGGGTGGGTATGAACGCCGTGTATCCCCAACGCCTCCAACATGGCTCTCCCCGGATAATGAGCTAGCCATGAGCTTGTTGCCACAGTTGCAGACATAAGTTACCAAGGCTACATCTGCATCATCGGGTCGCCTAGATTCCCGTTCCATTCAAGCATCTGTCTCTCGTTGGATTGAGTTTGGGTGTATGTATTCCGGTGCTTCCATCGAGCGAACCAGAGACTCTATATCATTCGGGGAGTGTTACAATTGGCGCATCATCGGTGGCTGTCACCGAGTCAACCGGGTTAATACACCGGTACTAGCTTGGGCCCTGCATCGCGACCCAATCCAGCAGAGCTTGTCGGATTACGCCTTCCAGTGCACACGGGACTTCTGTATCCACTAGATCCTGTGTCCATGCCAGGTCTGTCGACTACCTAGGACAGGTGTCAATGCGTACCACTCTTGAGCTTACTTGCTGTCTGGTCTCAAATGTCGTACGGATTGAGCCTAGCACCATCCAAATCGAGACGAGGCCTTTTCCCGATACCAGGAAGCATGATATCCATCCCCCAAGGGTGGATGTGCTCGGTACCTTGGGAACCAATGTATAAATTCAACCACTGTTCTCGCTTTTTCTGACGTTTTCTGGTTCATTTGTGAATTCATATTAGGAACTCTTTCGCTACGGTTCCTGCTTGTCTCTCATTTCCAAGGAACTTATATAATAAACCACTAGTAGTTTACCACTACTACATTCTAATATTCTTACTCTCGCTTGTTGGACAGAATGCGTGGTATCCCGATTCTTCTGATTTATGCCGTCAGCTTAGTCTCTGGCACTGTTCTGCCACGAGAGCTTGCTGGCGAGGCTCTGATTGCAGTTCGTGGTGATGGTGGAGGTGGAGGAGGAGGAGGCGGAGGCGGAGGAGGAGGAGGAGGAGGAGGTGGTGGTGGTGGTGGTGGTGGTAATGATCCTCCACCTGGAACGACCACTACGGCCAGTGGGACCGGAACTCCATCATCTTCCCCAGTATCTTCAACTAGCCCTCCAACCAACTCCACTAGTCCTGCAACTTCCACTGCGCCGGCAACCTCCAGCGGAAGCACATCCGAGTCTTCTACACTGCCACCAACTTCAGCCCCATCCACCACTGCTAGTAGTACAGAATCAACACCTCCTACTACAAGCTCTACTGGGCCAGGAACCACGAATGGAAGTACATTGCCACCATCTTCATCCTCTTCTCCAACTCCAACACCATGTACAACTGAGACTAGCACTGCATCACCTCCTCCGAGTACCACATCTACTCCGTGTACTACTGAGAGCACAGCATCGCCACCTTCTTCAAGTGAACCATGTACAACCGAGACTTCAGAACCTCCAACTACCTCTACAACTCCATGTACCACTGAGACCGCAGTGCCGCCACCTTCGTCAAGTGAACCTCCCTGCACAACAGAGACTACAGCGCCTCCTCCACCTCCGACTACAGTTCCATGCAGTACCGAGACTACCACGGCTGTGCCCCCGCCCCCAACGACAACTCCATGCCCCACCGAATCTACTACTAGTAGCTCACCTCCAGTCACCACCACTACTATAATCACCACAACAACATGCCCTGGTATGTACAAAGTTAAGTTCCATTGAGTCCAGGATAAATGCTGATTTTAATAGTTGGATGGTCAACTATCACGAGTGGAAGTTCTGTCGTTAGTCACCCGGTAACTCAGACTAGTACTTTGACTCTCACCTCTGTGATCACTTGCACCGAGGGATGCACTGAGCCAACGGCGCCACCACAGAGCGGCTCATCTTCAAGCCAGCCCACTGAGCCTACATCCTCGGCACCGGGAATTCCGACTTCGGCTCCTTCGGCATCTAAATCCGTATCTGTGCACCAATCCTCTAGCACGTCTGTTGCAACCACAACCCCTACCTTCAATGCCGCCTCGTCCCAGTTCAAGAACTCTGTGGCTGGTGTTCTACCCGGTTTGGTTCTTGTGTTGGCTCTAATCTAATTTTCAAGACGCTGTGACAGTGCTCTCGTGGATAGTCAAGATACGTAAGAGCTGGATTGACGTCTATATGCCAACAAATTGGAAAAAGAAAAAAGGACCAAAAAAATATTTGATTTCTTGTGGAATATTGCGTTTGTGTTGAGATTCTGGATTTTTATGCTACTTATTCTACTAATAACCTTCCTTTAAGTGCTTGATTGGGGCCCGGGGACCCTTGTTTACCTGGGTTATGGAGTTTTAGTACAGGACTTGGTGACATTCCTTATAACATGCGGCAACGTACCGGGTTAGTTTAGTTATGCATAAAGTACAACTAGTCCTTAATGAATGCGACTTCAATATGCTTTTTCTAATCATAAGAGGTTTAAATTTGAAATTTTAGATCAAACTCAGTCTGTTCTTGAAGAAACCAATTATTTGTGTAAGGAATCAGGGATACATTATCGAAATCCCCAGGTATTTATACTGCCCAGGTGGAGATCTAGGGCCCATTACATAATACAGAGCTCTCAAGTCAAACAGTGCAAACACCACTTGCATCGAGGGTCTTATGGATCGGACCCGTGGCCTCAGATGCGGCTCCGTTGTGTTTCTGTTGCCAGGTGGCCACTCTATCCCCTCGCGCCTGGATGGATTAATCGACGTGGTGTTTCCCTTTATACCAAATCTCCATTACTCTTTCCCTTGAAGAATATCTAGAACTATTATCCATCGAACCCGATCTCATTGCTTCCTCCCGCCCGCCGCAAGCGCAGCGTTCCACCAACACACCTTTTGACGATCTCGCGGAGCAGCTCTGATTCCTGTGTTATTTCTTCTGTAATAATATATCCGCTGCCTTCATGTGAGCCACACCGAATCCGAGATTCGGCAGCTCATACGCCAGCAACAAAGAAAACCGACTAACAGTTCCAGTGCGCAGCATTAAACATAGATCATGGCCCCCCCCGGGCCGGCAACGACTGTCTACCTCCCCTTTCCTCTCTTTCCTCGTCCTTCCATTCCTCGTTTTCCTACTCAGCTTTGCAGGCTCAGCTTCTGCTGCTGGCTCCGCGGTGATTGGTCTTGATGTTGGTACAGAATACTTCAAGGCCACATTAGTGAAGCCCGGCATCCCTCTCGAGATCGTGCTCAGCAAGGACTCGAAACGCAAAGAATCGGCTGCAATCGCATTCAAGCCGACGAGAGACTCCTCCGACTCCTTCCCCGAACGATTCTACGGCGGCAATGCGCTAGCCCTGGCGGCTCGATACCCCGATGACGTCTACACCAACCTTAAGGCTTTGCTGGGAGTGCCGTTCAATGACGGAAACGATGAATCAGTCAAGGGCTACTGGAGCCGGTATCCAGCTTTGAACCTTGAGGCCGCTCCTGAACGGGAATCCGTTGCGATGCGTAGCTCTCGCCTTGGCGAAGCGGAGAAGAAGGATGCTTTTCTGGTTGAGGAGATTCTGGCTATGCAATTGAAAGAGGTCAAGGCTAATGCCGACTCGCTGGCTGGCCAGGGCTCTGATGTCCGTGATGTGGTGATCACTTATCCCGCTTTCTATACCGCGGAGGAGAAACGGAGTCTCGTACTGGCAGCGGATCTGGCAGGCCTGAACATTGAGGCTCTTGTCAGTGATGGATTGGCTGTTGGATTGAACTACGCCACCTCCAGACAGTTCCCAAGTGTCACGGACGGAGAGAAGCCCGAGTACCATGTTGTCTTCGATATGGGTGCTGGTTCGACAACTGCCAGTGTGTTGCGCTTCCAGAGCCGACAGGTCAAGGATGTGGGTCGCTACAACAAAACCATCCAGGAGATTCATGTTCTTGGAACTGGCTGGGATAAGACACTTGGAGGCGACTCTCTGAATGATCTTATTGTGGATGACATGGTCGCCAAATTGGTCGAGCACAAGAAGCTGAAGGACAAGGTCACTCCTGAGCAGGTAAAGTCGCATGGAAAGACTATGGCCCGTCTCTGGAAGGACGCCGAGAAGGTTCGTCAGGTTCTCAGCGCCAACACGGAAACAGCCACCAGCTTTGAGGGTCTGTATGATGAAGACTTGAACTTCAAATACAAGCTCTCCCGCGCTGATTTCGAGAAGATGGCTGCTGGTCATGCAGCCCGTGTTGGTGCTCCTCTGGAGCAGGCCCTTCAAGAGGCCGGATTGACCTTCGATGATATTGACTCGATCGTTCTCCATGGTGGAGCTATCCGAACTCCATTTGTTCAGAAGCAGCTGGAGAATGTTTGCGGGTCTTCCAAGAAGCTTCGCACCAACGTTAACGCCGATGAGGCCGCTGTTTTCGGTGCTGCATTCAAGGGTGCCGCTCTCAGCCCTAGCTTCCGTGTCAAGGACATTCGTGCCCACGATGCGGCTGTCTACCCTGTCGTTCTCAAGTGGAACTCAGATGGCAAGGAGCGAAGCCAGAAGCTCTTTACATCTACTTCTCAAGTCGGTCCGGAGAAGCAGGTCACTGTCAAGAACTTGGCCGATTTCGAGCTTAGCTTCTACCAGCAAGTTGGTGACAATGTTCTGCCTGTTTGGACTGTTCAGACCCAGAACTTGACCGCGTCAGTGGCCAAACTCAAGGACACCTTTGGCTGTTCGGCTGCGAACATTACGACCAAGTTTGGTATCCGTCTCAGCCCTGTTGATGGTCTCCCTGAAGTCACAGGTGGCAATGTTAGCTGTGAAGTCGAGGCTGAGAAGAAGGGAATCGTCGAAGATGTGAAGGACTTCTTCGGTCTTGGATCTAAGAAGGATTCGCAGCAGGTCCTGGGCGAGGATGGCGAGCCCGCTGAATCAATCACTCTTGAACCTGAGGCTGAGTCCTCGACCACCCCTTCTGCCAGCGAGTCCACTACCTCCAGTGTGACCAAGGAGAGCACCAAGGCAACCGGTAACACAAAGTTGGAGATTATTCCTATCAGCTTAAAATCTACCCAGCTTGGAACCCAGGCTCCATCGGCCGCTGAGATGTCCCGCATTCGTAGCCGCCTGGCTGCATTTGACGCCTCCGACCGCGACCGTGTTCTTCGCGAGGAGGCTCTGAATGAACTCGAGTCCTTCATCTACCGAAGCCGCGATCTCATCGAGAGAGATGATTTTGTCCAGGCAATCAAGGAAGATCAGCTCACTGATCTCCAGGAGAAGGTCTCCAAGGCCAGCGATTGGCTCTACGAGGACAGTGATAATGCAAAGACCGCAGACTTCAAGGCGAAGCTGAAGGACCTGAAGGTGATCGTCGACCCTGCTCTGAAGCGTATCAAGGAATCCTCTACCCGCCCCGCGCGCATCGAACTCCTTCAAGACATGTTGAAGAACGCCGAGTCCATGAAGCAGTTGATTGAGAGTCAAATTGAAAATGACCAAGCCGCTTACTCGTCAGCTCTTTCGGCCTCAAGCACTGCCACGGTCGAGGAGCCTGAGACTGAGTCCGCTACCACCCCCACCCCAGCTCCCTCCGATGATCCCCTAGATGATCTTGACGAAGACCCCTACTCGACCTCTAGCTCCAAGACCTCCACAAAGTCTTCTGCCGCGCCTAAACCTACTGGTCCTAAATACACTCTCTTCACTCCAGCTGATCTGGCTTCCTTGAGCCAAGTCTACGAGTCTACCAAGCCATGGCTTGAGGCTCAGCTTGAGCTTCAGGAAAAGCTCACCGAGTCGGATGACCCCGCCTTGACAGTCGTGGAAATTGACTCCCGTCTGCGCGAGTTCGAGCGCATCTTGAACCGCATGTACGAGCGTATGACTGCCGCCGCTGGACGCAAGAGCCAAAAGGCCGGTAACAGTCAGAAGAGCAGTAAGAAGGAGAAAGCTGAGTCTGCCAAGGCCAAAAAGACTGGTAAGGGCAAGGAAGATAAGAAGGATACAAAGGAGGATGACCGTAAGGACGAGCTCTGAGTCCCTTTTTGTCATTGTCACATTACCTATATTATGCATTTTCTTTTTGCCGTTTTCCCCTTTCCATGTTGAAGTACAGTGCCGATATCTCTTTTTCATATCCCCATGTACCATGCATTCATGTCATGTCTTTAAATGATAGAGAAAAGAGTTTCAATGGAGTTATGGTCCACAGGATACTTTTGAATTTTTTTACAAGTCATTTTCCATTGCGTTTGGTTTTCCAATATTCCAATATTCATTGCGACTCCTAGCCAGCGAATGAATTTCAAGTTCATAAACTCGAACAAGAAAAGAGACCCCTACACCTCCAATGTTCAGCATTGGGATGTACGACGAGCAGAATACAAGGACAAAGTCGATGAACGACCTTACGTTTCCCACTTTGGGGGCCACCACTTTATCACAAATTTCAGGACAAATATAATGGTTTGCAGTGTGACAATCATGATCTTTAAGATGAGATATCCTCTCCAAGTATCAAACCGAAGCTTTCGTTCAAGTTCTTGGATATTCATTGTATTCGCCGCCATCATCTGTCAGCTTACAAGTTTCTGTCAGTTGCTTGATTATTGAACTCGACATCCAGATGGTTGAGATTGGTTTACCGAAGAGATTCTGTTTCATCATTCGCATAGACGACTTGGAATTCAGTGTTGCAGTACAGAGAGGAATCTATCGGGATCATATTCTCATCTTCCTTCACATGTCAGTCACTCATACCCTTTTTTTCACGGAACTGGGATTGAAAATTTCATACTATGCTGTGAACCGTGTTCTCAAGTGCTTGAAAGAGCATTTCTAGAAATCAAAGAACCGTGGCATTTCAGGGAGATTCGAGCTCTTTCATTACGGGCTGAATGCGGGGATATCATGAGGAACACAGAACAAGCAAAATGATGAGCTCTTCCAATATCTGCTTGATATTGGTTGGATCTATTGAACATTGCTTTTTTCGGCACATCATCACACCTGTCTACAGGTATAGATGTGACATTCAAGGTTTTCAAGGTGCAGTTCTTCACATCACATAAATGGCTCTCAGATCTCCGTGCCATGTAAGAAGTACAGAATACTAGAGCACAGATCCTCATGAAGAGTGGGAGTTGGTTCTCTGTTTGAAGGTTGCTCCACCATCAAGTCTTACATCGGCATCGGACCACGTTCGGGTCTAACATCCATCATTTATCGGAATCTTTCTTCCCGTTACCAATGCAGATATTGATCTCGGGGCCTCAGCTCCACATTCTACGGAGTCATTGAAGTTTCAAATTCTGCAATATCGCTGAATTTTCCCGAATCAGACATTCTCCGCTGCGATTTGCGTGACTGGAAATAGCCGAGACTGTGCGGAGAACATTTGAACCCTCCAGGGCTTGAAACCTGGTTTTAAGCATCCATAGAATACCACTTTAGCTTCATCGTCGAAGCTTTATTTAATTTCAAATGTTCTTTGAATATTAAATGGCGGGATATCATGTAACAAAATGCAACCTTGTACCTGAGCTCCGGTGGGGTGTCGATCGCGACCAATTCCAGGCTATACTCCGAGTACCCTTGAAGAATGCTCGGAATACCGACTCTATACAGATGTGGACTCAAACACTATAAGATCCTATACCCTGATTGACCTCGAAGATCGGCGGGTCGGTGGACACCCTACAACTCGGTTAATTGTGGTGGCTGTGTTATGCATCATTGTTCGGGAAGAGCACTTTTCCACCTAGCATGATGCTGAAACATGAACATGATACCTGCAGATCTTCTGGTTCCATCCAATTCCTCTCAGGCACTATTACAAACATAAGTTTGAAAACTATGACCTATAAAGCGAGACAAAGTTCTACTCATCCAATGTATTATCCTCACAAAATCACACTTATCTAAACACCAGACGAAAGGCATTCCAGCTGAAATGCATTCATCTTTACTTTTTCTCGCAGGTCTATCTTCTCTGGCTTTGGCCATTCCAAATGCGAAGACTGGTTTAGGAAAACGAGACACTACGCTGATCCCAACCTCATGTTTTGACTCGACTTCGACTCTTACGGAATACTTCGACTACAACTACCCATGGGGCGATACCCACAATGGAGCCGCTATAATGAGCAGCGCGAACGCTGTTATCTCCACTGCTGGCACTCTTACCCTGAACGCAACATACACCGGTAACTCAGACTATGCCTACGACTCAGGAACGGTATATGCGAAGCAAAGCTTCACAGTTGAAGAATCCGGTGGCTTGGATTTCTCTGCTGATTTCCTCGCACCCGTGGCACTAGGAACATGGCCTGCATTCTGGCTGGATGGTGTGAACTCTTGGCCTCCTGAGGTTGATATTGCGGAATGGAAGGGTGATGGCGAAATTAGCTTCAACACTTTTAACACTTCCAGTGTTGTTGAGGCCTATAATGTTGACTATCCTGATTCGACAGAATTTCATACTGTCAAGGCTGAATTCCGTGATGAAAATGGAAGTGATGTTAGCATCAAGTTTTATCTTGATGGTACGCTCACGACGACTCAGTATGCTAGTGGTCTGACTGGGCAGCCTCTGTATTTGATCATTGATTTTCAGATGGAGGGGAGTAGTGGCAGTCCTGGCCCAACTGGAAGTAAGTCTTTTCTTGCATTTTTGAACAGATGATATCGAACTAATCTATCATAGCCACGTTTTACGAAATCAAGAATCTGGAGGTGGTTAGCATCAGTTCTTGATTCAGTTGATGATATGATGACTGAGATCAAGGGAATCTCAGGACGCCAGGCAATTCAAGTTGTGATATTCCAAGTTTTCCCTGTAATCTCTGCAGATCAGACTTGGGACGAATGGACTTGGCTCAACCTGAAAGGCTCGCAATCTGGAATGTTTCAAAGTGACATGCGATCAATTAGCTGAGAGTGCCCTGAAATTACATCTACTTCAAGCTGAAACAGTTCTTCTGCTGGCGTTAATTGGCTTCTTTGTACTTGGGGCTCCTCAAGGATGCCGGGGCATAAAAAGACCGGTTGCGTGATCTTACAACTTTAGAACCTGAAACTCAAAGCCACCTGGATACAAGTCTTCTCGGATGGCGTTACACATCGGTATACTTATACTGAACATTGAAGTGCTCTACTCAGAGTTGCGACCGGGTCATGCTTCCGAGAACTTGAGTGACTTGCACATTGTGGGGGAAAAATCAATTTCACTCATATGTGGCCATAGACATGCTAAAATCTACCCACTAACGCAACTGACAATCGATCAGTAAATCATATGCCTCTTCGTCGACTTGAAAACCGTGACTCTGATTATCCCCAGAAATTCGACGCCGAATCCCATCTGCACGTTGCAGCAACCCCTCATACAGTTCCTTTTCTCCTTCTTTCCAGTTTCCGACTTGAGACATAGCCTTCCACAGAAGATGAAGAACACGAGCCTCGTGGCAGTCTGGCGCTTCACGACGGCTCAAAATAACACGGGCGTCCTGTAGATATTTGCTACATGTTGGTCAGCTAACCGTTCGAATCACACATGGGAAATCTGAAAATAACTCATACATTGCAGCCTGTGCGTCACTTTGGCTCAGAGCGATTGATGCTAATCTATATTTGCAGCAAGCTACTAAGAGTGACATCGGGCCCTCATTTGACTTGAGCTGTGCATTGTGACATGTCTGCACAAGATGCTTCCCTGCATCTATATCCCCAGTTTTCAGCAAAAGTCTAGCTTTGTAGAACAAATGACTCCAGTCCTGTTAGTGGGTTTGGTCCCGAGGAGAATAGGTGAAGGGGTTAATCTCACAATGGTGAATTCCTTGACGATGGATAGATGCTTTCGGATTTTTTAAACCACTCCAGTGCCTCAGTTGTTCTCCCAAGCTCCGTCAAGGCACGACCAGTGTTGGTCATGATGACCGCTTGTGCACGTGTGGATATTATGTTCAACCCATCAATCACACCCGAATTGAGAGCTCTAGTTTGATATTCCACTGCTTGTTCATAGTGAGCCATTGACACGTTGAGTTTACCTAAATTACTCAAGACACCTGCAATGTTTTCATCACCTGGCTGCAGTTCGCGCTCACGAATAGAAAGACATTCCTGCATGTATCTCTCACCCATTTGGAATTCTCCCCTTTGAGTCCAGAGGCGACCTGCTGAGTTGCATAGGTGAGCCCAGAGCAAAGGATGCGTCTCCTTCATTCCGTTTGATTTCATGGCGGTGAATGAATTATCAAGTGTAGCCTCGAGATCATGATGACCTTGTCTCTCGGCACAATACCAAGCGGCATTCGTCATAAGCTTGACATACTCAACGGAGGGGATGAGGCCTTTTCCATCTCCTTCACTCCACATTATATTCGAGTTGTCACGGAGACTGTAAACGTGCAGAATGAATTTTGTGCATGTTGGCATTCTGTCCCCAAATAGCTCACCCTTCAGTTGTTTTGGAAAAGCCTCATATAGCAGCAGTGCTGCCGCATCGAAGGCCTCCTGGAACTTTTCAGGACTGAGCTGGGACTTGTACTCAGCCTGGACTAGACGATGGATGCTCATTGTGTCATTTGTCGGGTCTCGCTTGATGAATGCAAGGTTAATCAACTCCTCGAAAGCCTCATCTGATCTGGTTGAATAAGCAGTCAGTCATTAGACGAAGCCATCCACAACCTGTAAAAGTTTTATGCAGCCTGAACTTACTCATCCTCATCCTGGCAAAATTCGAGCGCTGGGGGGATGTCAACATCCATACTGACTGCAAAGATGTCCTGTGTGATAGTGTCTGGGGATATAAGAGTCATCACAGCGAGAATCCAAAGTGCATTCAGACTCAGAGATTGGAACGACATGGAAAAAAGGCTACCCAGTATGAGGCAATAGCCTCCATGAGAACATTCTGGTTTGACGCTTCTGAAGAGTATGTTCGGGTTCTTTCGATAAGCTCTCAAGAATCTAGAGAAGGACCAGAGCTTTGTGTGCATCAAGGCAACCATCTGATTTATACCAAGTGGATGGCCATGAAGAAGCCTTGCAACCTCAAGAGCTTCCTCACGATCAGAATCCTTGAACGTTCTGTCGCGCAAGAGATGGGCAATGAAGCCAAGCCCATTGTCTGGGGGAACTCAGTAACCTCAATTGAATCATGGCCCCAATTGAAGAAATGCTTCCGAGATGTAATTATTGCAGAGCCTTTCTTTGCCGAAACCGGCCAATACTTGCTGATGAGCGCACTATCCTCCGCATTGTCGTAAATTAACAACGAACGGAGCTCTATCCACTAATAGTTAGCAGCGGATAGAGACAAAATTGGGAGACCGTTTCTAGTGTATTATCAAAAGGTTGGGCGAGCTGACCTGTGTCTCCCAGCCATTTAAGAAGGACAAGTCGGTTTTCAGAGTCTTGATTTGCTTTGGCGTCTGGTAGACCCAAAAGCTTAGCAGCAGCAGAGCTGAAGCTCTGTTTCAAAGATTCCTCGGTCTCGCTATTGAACCAAAGAATGACGGGATACGTGCACGTATGTTGGTGAGCAAAATGCAGTGCAATCTGCGTTTTGCCCATACCGGCTAATCCATGCAACGCGACAGAAAGCAGTCCCATAGAGGTTGGCTCCTCTTCCAAGCGGAACGAGCTGGTCAATCCTCTTAGATGAGACTCACGTCCAAAAAAGTTAGCGTTAGGGGCGAATGGTAGTTTGTGACAAGTGGCTTCTCCATTGGGTAAGATGCTCGAGTTATGGGTATTCAAGTCACCGTCTATCCCAAGTGACTTCAGATGTTCTGTGTAAAGTGCCCACTCTTCGTATTGCTTATTATTCAAAGCAATCTGGGAAACTTTGATGAAGTTGTCCACAGTATCTTTGATTGTTTGAACTATTGTGTCACTGCTCTGCTCGATTGGCTTCCAGTCTCTCTCTTCAATCTTCCCTTCGTTCAGTTAGCACATCAATGTGTTCATGGATATTATTAGATGGCGGACTATCACTGAATGTTGTCTCTACAAACGGGACAATTTACTTACTTGGCGATCGAAAGAGGGTAATAATGTTCAACCAAAGTACCATGATCTCGTTTTGCACCTGGATCGGGGCCTCTAGAATGTCCTCCCCAGCAGTCGTCCCGTAAATCTCATTGAGAGTTTTCAAATTCTTTCCAATGCCTTGCAAAAGTTTGTTGACACGACTGAGTGAGCTCGTTGATCGCAAAGCGCACTATGCAGAGGTCAGTTGGAATTCCGATAGAGACCTATCAATTACCTACCTGTATGACCAAGAATAGAAGACCCCACATGAGTGATACATCAATGTCTCTTTTCATCATTCTCACAAAAATATTCGCAAATGTTTCATAGTGTCCCAGCGTCACAGGAAGTAAACAGAAGACATCGCTCTTCTCTTTGCTTAGATGATCAGTCTGGAGCAATCCAAACTGCGTGGTAAAGTCTGAGAGTGATTTTACCAGACTTGCTTGTGAGAACTCATCGTTTTCGAGTTCAAATCTACAGCGATCTGTTGTGTGCTGCCATTATTGATAAAAAATCTCATCCGGATCACTAATCGATTAGTACTCCATGTGAAGAAGAGCTGTCAGAAGAGGACTGCTCACAAACTACCCTGTTCCATGAGACCTGAATCTGGAGTTGGGTTGATTGACCCTTCAAGTCGATGCTCTCCCTCGCCAGCCGCTGACTGTAGCACTTTCAGTCCTGCATATTTGAGCTTCATCTTCCTTCCACTTGAAAATATTGCAGCAAACAAGATTTGAGATCCCTTGGTAAATCCACACACGGTGGATCCTCCCTACGAGACGGAGCCCAGTCAGAGCGGATTACTTCAAATGTTTTAATCTTATAACCCCAGCTAATAAGTGGCTCGAGATACTTGATCCTGGACGATCTAGCGTTCAATGTGGTATACCCCGCGGCGCTGGCCAAGTGAAATCTTGAAAGCTATCCGTCGCAAAATTACGTATCGAGAGATATAACTAGTATTCAGAAAGCTTGGGTGAATTCAAATCCCACATGTGGAAACGGTCGAGAGTGCTAATGATTAACTCCGAGGGGCTCGGAATGCGAGCTCATAACTTGGCAATTCGAATTCATGTAATTAATTTCCTTTTGTGGTAATTTCGGACCATGCACTTTCTCGTTGTACAGCCCACTACCTAGGCCGGCTTGGAATGTCATGCATGATATGCCATGCAGTCCTGGAGCGGACTGGGCCACGTATCCATTCATGCGCAGATGTGCATTAAGATTTGCGGGATTTGGATTAATTGCAGCGTGACGGCCCATTTTGGTCCACAGCCCGGGCCTTTCAAGGTTTGCTTACTAGATAGCAAACATTGATAGATACATTCCTGCCAGTGGAAGAGAGGGTGAGGCAGGAGGCAAAAAGCATGAGGCCCGGGGCTCAGGCTTTGAGTACTACCTATGTACCGGGGCCAGTGATTCGGAGTAAAGCATAAATATCCAGGCTCTGCTCTCACGCAAACTTCAAGCCGCATCATCATCCAGACCATTGTGTGTCTAGCAATCAAGCCAGTTGACTCTTTACAGAGACTCCCATCACAAGGACTTCAACTCAACCCTTTTTACGTCAAGATTTACCAGTATTGACCATCTCCCTCAATGCCAATCATTCACTCAGGCTCGTCACAGCCGGTCACATTCAAGTATATTGCAAATATTCCTCTTTGGCAATCTGAGAAGCCTTATGTGATCGACCAGATACCAGATATTCCAGAGGGGTCCTTGTCAAACTTGATCTACGAGGATCATGAGTCGCACAGCCTCCATAATCTTCGGGGTTACGAGGAAGGAGTCAATACATTTGACAACTCTTTTCAGTTTATCAAGCATCCCACGAAGTTAACTGCTCTTGCGGAAGAAGAAATGATGGTACCCTACGCAGAGGAGATAAATGATCTTTTGAAGACCATCTTCAAAACCGATCATGTGATAACTTACGATCTACGAGTAAAATACCCTCATAGCTCATTCAAGTTTTGTTCTTTAGCTCTACATACTGTTAAAGTCCAAGGCTGGCAAGAAGGGAATAGCTCAGACAGAACAGGAAGTTCACCCAAGCCGAAAGCTTTTCAAAGAGCCGCAAGGTTGCATCTCCTACTGTCTCAATTGTACATGGAGGTAGGATATTCTAATATGAGAAATGCTGCTACAACTCAATAATAATGAAAATACTGACTGGCAGTCTAGACCATTCAAGAGACGGTGGCTGGGATCGGGTTGCCCGCCATTTAACCGATGAGGAACTCGCCAAATTCAAGTCTGGCAAATGGAGGGCTAGAATCGTGAAGTACTCTCAAATAATTCTTCATGTTAACTTTTTCGTGCTGATTTCAAGCTGTAAAATAGTGTGTGGAGGCCACTGATTCCGATTGTCGAGGATAACCCCATCGCATTCCTCGATCCCGCTACCGTTCACGACGAGGATCTTGTGGAGGTTGACAGAGTATCCCCCATCAGCTGCGGCAGGATGTACAACATCAAATTCAATCCTGCGCAAAAATGGTACTGGATCAACAATCAAAGCTCAGAGGAGATCGCTGTGTTTGTTTGCTTCGACTCTCATCCGCCTGATGGAAGGTTCAACTGTATGTACGGAGTACTGAACATGTTATTCCTTCAATTATTTCCATTCAAATGGGAGCTTGGGTAGCCTTGCTGACCTGCATGTGAGCAGTTTGTGCACACTCTGCCTTTACAGACCCAGGGGCTAGATCGGATGCTCCTATACGCCAGAGTGTCGAGACTCGGACCATCGTTTTCACTCTCTTGCCTTAAACTATATCATTCTAGTACTGTCAAATCTATTGATTTAGCTGAAATTTGAGTGGTCTCTCAATTCTTATGGTTCTGGCAATCTATGACTATTGTAAATGTACTCCAGGGCTACAGCAGGAACCTTAGAAGTTTGGTGACAGAAGCGTGACTTCACACGACTTGGATGTCGAGATAATAGATGTCAGATGTTGTTTGCAATAAGATGATAAGTAAATTGCGTCATGAACCTTGAAAATTCCATTTCTAGGCTGAATATCTCTGCGGTCCTTCCCTAACGTGCAGCTAGAACGCTGCTTGACCCGTTCGCTCCAACCCCGGGTTCTCCCACCTGTGATCAAATTGACCTGCGGTGCTTCCATTCCACGGTAAAAGAAATTAGCTCATCAAATACTCCATCAATTCTCGTGCTAGAACTGCGCATGTGGAAATATCGGGGTCACAAGGCTCTAATCCTCGAGTACATCATGATATGCCGTCCAAGAGATCAGTGCCTCAAATTCCTGGCACGTTTACACGTGAAATGGTGTTTCTTCGTCGTGCTCTATTGCTTAATCCTATTTCTGTTCATCTTTGGACTTTGGCCTAGTGTTGCTATCCGGTTGAGGCCCAGTAAGTTGGAGACTGTTCATACGCCATTATGGTAGGAAATGAACACGCCGCTAACATTTCCTGGATCAGGACTTCGGCTTTGCATTCAAATGCAGTATGCCAAGTTTTGTGGAGCTGGAGGCTGCATACAGAAGTCTCTCGGCTTTAAAGCTAGTATGCTACTCCGTACATAATTAGGCCATGGGAGATCTACGGACAAGTTCCAAGATCAACATTGGTGCCTACCGGTAGTATATTACTTTGACTGGTCGGAAGTATACTCCGTATCCCGTGAAGCATTATTCCGACCAGTCACCTACCTAGGCACCTGGGCACCTGGGCACAACTGATCGTATTTAATTACAGGTCATGACGTTACGTATTGAGACCTGCCTGGGCAGGAGATGACCTCTGAAAGGATTAGAACAACATAGAGACAACGGCGACCAATGAAAATCGCAGTGAATAATATTAGCCACGGGAAGAAAAAGCATCTTTGCCTACGAGGGTGCCAGTTCTCTATGTAGACAATGCAGCCTTCTATTTGATCATGTCAAAGGAGTGTGACCGAAGGCTGCGTGTGGCATGGAGGCCAAAAAAGAAAGGAAAATGAAGGTGGAAGGATGGGGGGGCTCTTGCTAGATTGTTAGGATCGACCGTTTGCTTGGTTTCTTTGCATGAAAGATTCTATTAAATTCCATGGAAATTACGGTATTATCACAATGACCCACAATACAGTCTGACCGGGATTCCTGGGGTATGGCTAAAATTAGACTAGTGTGTTTCAAAATAGGGTTGGGGAATGAAAGTCTAAGAGTGTAGAGGTAAATCTGATTTCGAATATTACTGTAAGCCAATGTTCGCGGTTAATTTCAGCGCCTATGCCACTGAACAGCTGGAATAGTCTGTCATGGCAGTCAAATGGTCGACTCCAGTAGCCATCTTGTTGAGTCCAGGCCATATTTTCAAGTTTGTTTCAGGTATTTGTGAGTATGGAAAACTTTGATGAGCTGGTGAAACGAGTTAATATTTCCACAGTTAGATTCAGATCTCCGGTGGTTGCGATGAGATCTTATAGTCAAGTGAGCTTACTCCATATTGGAGTCCATGAAAGAGTCCAGCTGCCAGTGGGCCTGATCTTCTACCACATTCTCAATCCCACAATTAAGACATCACTGCAGGTCCAGGCACTGGTCCCTTATCGATTCCAGAATTGCTGGAAGCCAAGGCAAAAAAAGGTCATCCTGACTGGTTGGTGGTCATGTTTCATGTTCAAGAAATTTGATCGATGGAACATATCATGAAAGACCGTCACAACTAATCAGACTTAATTCCTTTAGGCAATTTATATCGAAGAGTTAATATTCACCGTGACAATCACTGCCGCTAACTTGAAACTCTCCGTTCTTGCGTTCTACCAGATCATCTTCGCAGCTTGAATCCAAGTCTCGGTTACTTTCCGCCGATCAGGCATGGTTTTAGGTATCCCAAACGGAGTGAGGACTGTACAGAAACACAGAGAATCGTGGGAGCCACTTCTGTCACGGTGTAACAAATCTTCCAGAGTTGGCTTTCTCTGTATAGATCTGAAAGAACCCGGACTTTACTCAGCATCTCTGGGCTAAGATTAGACAGTAAAGGATACGGAGCATTGATTTATACCTACATTTAGGGCGTAAGATGAAGATTCAAGTTCCCTTTTTAGAAGCTCCAGAGCTAGCAATGAAACTTGTCTGGAACATTTGAAGGCCAAATCAATTGAACATTCAAATGTTTCAAATGTTGAATGACGTGGCGAAACTTGAAACATTCTTTGAACTTGAACCTTGGAAGCACACCTAGCACCTGGGCAGCAAAGAGGTGCCCAGGTGTACTAGAATAGATATACTAATAGTATATATAAGTACCATCAGACTCCTAGGTAGTCTGCCATTCAAGTTCAAGTTTGCAGGTACTACATACTAGATAGTAAACATTTTGAATCCACCGGGGCCGCAAAACTATTTCAAGTTTCACAAGAACATTCAAGAATGAAATCATCCATCATGGATAAGTTGATCGGCGACCAAGAAACTTTCAAGAAAGTTTTAGGACAGACGCAAACTCTTGCGACGTACTATATTAAGGACGCCCGAGCTTCAACTTGGATTTACAGGCGTGAAGGAGTCAAAAACAACTTGTCATCGCTAACTGAATTCCTAATTCAGGATGGATTCCACAAAGATTACGAACTGAGTACACCAGAGCAAGATTGTTATTTGAATGCTCGACGAGTACACGTTATGATTTCCTATAATTTGACCCTCGAACTTCATTTACGGTGGTGCCACGCATATGAGGGCGAGACTTTCAAATTCTATGGTCAGCACGGCACGTTTGATCCACCAGCAAAGGACATGCTTCGTGGTGATTATATACAAAAAGTCCTCGCTTTGATGTGAGAGCGGACAAGATCACTTCCTGATCAAATATTTTGACCTCTGGCGAAGGCCATTCCGACTAGACCAAGGGGGAGGAATTGCGATATCCGAAGTCAATACATTTGTCGCTGACGGAATCAACCGAAGGTAACATGGTGTGGATGAGAAATTTGGGGGAGAAGCCAAGGGACAGGAAGATCATGGGGCAACACCTGGGCAGATGATGTATGCGAGGCACGAGGGAGACATTAGTGGTGAAAGATTTTAGCAAATCTTTGAATGAATAACTTGTTATTTCTATAACATTGCTTAGATAGATGTAAAGAAGCCCTACCAGGTTAGGTAAATAAAGATATTGGAGGGCTATTATAGTATTAAAACAGGCTGAGTTTGGTACTTCAAATGTTGATAAAGGTGTTAAAAACTACGTAAATTTTCAGTTTCCTCTTGACGATCTCAGGACACGTCCAGAAGTCGATTATGTTTTTGCTTGCAAGCTCGAAATTCCAGTGGCCTACCACTCGTCGCACATGTAGCTGAGCACTGGCAAATGTCACAGTCTGGATGGTCCCAGCGATTAAATGATGGTTGAAAAAGGCCTCGAGGTTCTTCGTGAGGAGGAGCTACGTGGTGTCGTGGACTGGGCTTGCAATCTAAACCTCATAGTCTCTTCAGCCTGGGAAACGCAAGTGCTGGCTGCTTTAATCATATCCCATAAAGTGTTAGAATAAGGCAAGGATCTTCTCCCTTACATGAAGCGAGTAATGTACTGCCAGTGCCGACTGCATCAGACAGGTTCGGGGGAGGAGAAGCACTCTCAAGAGTTAAGAAAGGAATTTGATGACCCTTCACATTCAGACCTTTCTCGCAAATTCTATTGAGCATACCTGTGATGATTGTTCAAGCTCCATATATACTCGTACTTAAAAATAGCGGGAATACCCGGTATCGACTTCAACTTGGAATCTAGCCTTGGTGCCAGTGGCGTAAGTACTAGTCTGGGGAATCCCCAGAATTATCCTCATGGAGCCATTTCAATTACCTACCCATATTACCCATTTTACTTAACAACCTTAATGACCACTGATGAGATAGGGGAAAGTATAATCTGAGACAAATACCCTATTGGTCCACACTTATCGCCAAGACGAGCTAGGAGAAGCCAAGATAATGGGCTTATCAGGTTATCTCCAGGGTTTGGGGTTCCCGTTATCTTGCGCTTTGGTGCCCGCGCTACGAGTGGGAGTTGAGATGGAGAAGATAAGCTCATCTTCAATGTTTTATAATGAGCTGTCCCTCTGGGGTCAAGGAACTAGATTTCATAAATCAATTCTCCATCACAGTCATGGACAAATCAAAATTATCTTTAAAAGTCGACTCGGAGCTTCCTCCACATGAGTCTGATACTCTACCAAAGCAAGATGATCATACAGTCATTACAAACATCGATATCGACTCCGAGGCAGAGAAGGCCCTGGTCTGGAAATTTGATCGTCGTATATTGCCAGTACTAGCTATGATGTATCTTTTCAACAGTCTCGACAAGTCAAATCTGGGAAATGCGCATACAGCAGGAATGGATGGTTGGTCTATTCACGCCTCTAGTAAAACATTATTGCCCAAATGTTGACACTCCTTTCCAGATACCTTACATCTTGTTGGAAACCAATACAATATGGTTCTGAGCATCTTCTATATCCCATATGTGTTGACAGCGCCCTTCCTCGGCCTGCTGGGCAAGAAGATTGGTCCCAGCATTTTACTACCGTGCATGATGATGACATTTGGTCTTTGCACCATTCTCATGGTCGCTGTTTTCAATTTCAGTGGTCTTCTTGCCCTTCGATGGTTTTTGGGAATGGCGGAGAGTGCTTTCTTCCCTCTTGTTATCTATTATCAGACAACGTATGTTCCGGTAACCCCCTTGGAACAGAAATTCAGAATCATAGCTAACGCTCACTGAAGTTTCTACCGTCGAGGAGAGCTCGCGCGTCGTCTCTCAATTTTCTATGCCGCACAAAATATTGGATCCGCATTTTCGGGATTACTCGCCTTCGGTGTCTTCCGCATACAGAGCGGACCTTTGGCATCATGGAGATATCTATTCCTGATCGAAGGTGGAGCGACTCTGATTTGCGCTGCTTTCGCCTTTTGGTATCTGCCCAAATCAGCTGCCGAAGCCACCTTCTTAACGCCAGAGGAGAAGGAACTGGCATATCTGCGTCTGCAGATGGATAGTTCGGCTGTTGTCAATGCGAAGCTGAATATTCGGGACGCATTCCGCATCTTCAAACACCCTACTAGCTGGGTCATCCTGGTCATTGAAATGTGTCTTGGTGTTCCTCTCCAGGGCGTTTCACTCTTCCTGCCTGTTATCATTGGGCGTCTGGGCTACAGTACTGTCAAGACAAACTTGTACACTGTCGCACCCAACGTCTCTGGAGCTGTGGTCTTATTGATCCTGGGATTCTGCAGTGATTGGACCAGATGGCGATTCCCGTTCATTGCTTTGGGATTTACGTTCACTTTCCTGGGTATGGTGATCTACGCCGTGATCGATGTTCAAACAGATCTCAGCGTGGCCTATTTCGCGTCCTTCCTCATGTGTTGGGGAACGTCGGCACCATCTGTCCTTCTTGATGTGTGGTACAATAATAATATCGCCAACGAGGGACAGCGTGTTGTCTTGACTAGTATCGGTGTCCCAGTCGCGAATCTGATGGGTGTCGTTGCTTCGAATATCTTCCGTTCTCAGGATGCACCAAAATACCTCCCCGCTTTAATCACCACTGCTTCTATTGGTGGTGTTGGAATCCTCCTGACACTGTCTCTTGGATTTTGGATGATGTGGGATAATAAGAGGAGAGATCTGGCTCAGGGAGTCCATGTTCGGGCAAGGGATATTCCAACGGAGAATCTCCAGGATGGTCCTGCGAGCGACTGTTTCCGATGGTTTTATTAATTATGTTTACACATGCATCTGTGACGATAGAATACTCCTAACGTATAATGAAATGAATTCTATGATGATACATTCACATATTCGCTTTCAAGCTCACTGTCTCAAGATCTGGGCTACTACATCCAATTTAGAAAGTTTTTTGATCATTCCGTCAAATAAACCAGTCGGGAACAGCGACAAGATTCGTACTTTCCATGCATTCTCTCCCTTCCAGATGGCATATGGGGGTCCTTTCAAAAGCTCCACGGTTACCTCTTTTGCCCAGCGCTCCGCTGACCACTCAACCGTCTCCGACCAATTCTCCAACGAAAGAACCGGATCCAGGATTTGTCTTGCAGGTTCGTAAATGGAATTCTCAGGCAAAGAACGTTTCTTCGACTTGGCATTATCATTCAGATTTGAACTAACGTTGCCGGTTCGAAGATCAACAACCTTGATATTGAATGGCTCAAGCTCCAATCTTAATGTGTCGGAGAACATGACCATCGCAGCCTTGGAGGCATTGTACACCGATTGGAAGGGAATAGTCACGACAGACGAAATGGAAGTTTGGTTTACGATCATCGCTTCAGGTGACTCTCGCAGCAGAGGGATGAAGGCTTGAGTAACTGCGATGTAGGACCAGACGTTTATATCGAAGGTCTTTTTCGCTTCGGTGATGGATATGTCGGCGATAGGCATGCTGTATCCCATTCCAGCGTTGTTGACTAGAATGTCCAGACTGGGTATCTGGCGCGCACATGCTGCGATGGATTCGTCGAATAGAACGTCCAGAGTCATGGTTTCAATTCCTTTAGATGCAAGCCCCTTCATCTTGCTTTGATCTCGGGATGTTGCGTAGACTTTGAGGCCGGCTTCGTGGAAGGCTAGGGCGAGTGCAGCACCTAGTCCACCATCGGAACAGCCAGTTATCAACACACTTCGTTGAGGTGACATTCTGTAGGCATGAAATGAATGAATTGTTGAAATTATCAGTTTTTCCAGTTTGAAGGCAGTTTTCAACGTTCTTATACCTTATGAGTCGGATGTTGTAATGAGCCGACTTCTAAGATTAGGTATCATTCGAAGGATTCGTGGTTGAATGATGCATCAACATTTTTAATCTATTCCGAAGACAAGCAATTTTGATCTGATGTGCTTTAACCCGTTCCCGATCAGGATCATTCATATTAAGCACTTGTAATGAATTATGATTATCTGGTCATCTTGTCTCGACACCTCATCTCACGAACTTGCATCCTTGCTCGGATAGTTATTAGGCCGACGGTCCATGCAACAACAAGAACAATAATTTTGATTCGTCAACAATTCCGTGCCACTATCAATCACTAAAGGATTCTGTTTTACTCTACGAGACTTCTTTGTAGTAAATATTGTGTACTTCAGTTGGATGACTTGCATTTGCACTGCACAGTAGATAATTTGAATGATGATACACAAAGGTGAAGCTATGGTACATGAAGAATAAAGTGGTAAACAAAGGGTATAGGTACAAATCAAAGCAAACAAGTAATAAAAATACAGAAGAAGGCATTTTGAGTGGTTCGCGGCATCATATCATCCAGTAGTAGCAAAATAATCCAAAGGAACCCGATATCAAGCACAGTCCATCTGATAATCAGCATCGACTTCCTCCTTTCGACAAAGGAAAGTAGCCTCCTCAAAGTCATCCAAATCCATGGAAGAGTGTTGATTCAAGAGGGACTTCTTGTGTGCGGCGATGATGCGGCGTCGCTGCTGTCCCAGGCTTGGAGATAGAATGGTTCGGCCAGCAGTATTGCCTTGCCAATGGTGAAAACCATCGTCTTCTTGGTCGGAGTCGGAGTCGGCAAAGATATCATTGTCCAGGTGTCGCTTTTGACCATTTAGCCCGATCGGTCCAGTAGTGGAAGATGCGACGGACTCCTGACTGCTAGGAGGAAGAGAAAACGCATCGTCGTCGGTGACAAGGTTGTTTGAAGATTTAGGGATCCCAGAGAATGGCGCCAGTTCGGATGATGTGGTGGAAGGATATGTTTGAGAAACGAATGACTCCCGTGTGGGCATCACAGGCGCGACTTTCTCTTTTTCCAGCGAAAGTTGAGTTTTGTAACCATCCGCGACCGATTTCCGGACCCGCATTCCGACAGACAGAAGGGACGCTTGGACTTTAGCGGATACCACGGGGGTGGCGGAGTAAGTAGTGGCGGAGTAGTGATTGTGAGAAAGTGAAGGGTCGGAGGCGCTTGACTCAGGTGCTGAGAAGTAGGTAGTGATCGAAGACTGGAAGCGACGACGCTTGGACAGTGCGCTGTTTGTGGGCTGCATGGTGGAATGTGGAATGTGGAATGTGGAATGTGGAATGTGGGATGACGGGTGGAAGTGTTTGCAGAGCGGGGGGATAAAAGTCTTCGAGAAGCGGAGGTCGGAGGATAAAGAAGAAAAGAGGGGCGAGAATGGATAAGACCTGCACCATGACAAAATGAGGCTGGGAAAACGCGTCGCGTCGCGCGCTAAATTTCCATTAATCCTATTTCGGTAGCGACACGTGACTCAAGGTTGAGCCCTGGTAATTTTTATCCTCTTTAATTGTAACATTGTTACTGAAAGATTGATAGCTGGCTACCTAGGTCCCAGATACTTTTCGATGTCATACTGTAATACATATACGGACTACATGGACCTCGGGATCCATGTCCGACCTGTCTGGGCAGGTGAAAGCCACGCATTGCTAGTTTTAGTACGGAGTACAAATTAACCTTGAACCATTCAATTTGGCACCCAAAACGGCAAAATCAAAGAACTTGAATAATTATGGGCAAAGTAACGTCGCTCTATAACGACATCTGGAACTTCAAGTTGAACCAGCGAGAGCCTTGCCGGGGCTAATAGGTAGAAATATAGATTAGCAGTGCCCAGGTGCCACAGTGAAACTTCAAGTTGAAGCCACCACCAACTTCAAGTTCAGTTTTTCGAAAGAATCAAGAAATAACATCGAAAGTGTGGATTGGTTTAATTTACTAATGTATTCACTTAGACAGAGACTTGAGGGCTTGGAACATTTATCTATGGGAGTACCTAGGTAGGGTTCAAGTTTTGAACGATAAGCAATTCACGAATAGACCTAGGTAGTAGCGGCTCTGCCTATGCAGTTTGCAATTTTCAAGTTGGAAGGATATATGTATCATGTATGTACATACATAGTAGTCGTGGCACTGAGCTTCCACATGTGCAAACAAAAGGGTGGGTCAAAAATTTACAATCTCAACATTTGAATAATAACGGGCTCGCTTAGCTCAGTTAGTAGAGTAGACGAGTAATTTATGGAAAATCGTCAAGTAATCATGAGGTCTCCGGCCCCGACGTTCCTCCGGATGTGAGCGTTGGTTTTTGTCTTGCTTTCCCTTAAAAGGTTGGATTTTCAGACCAAAAGTAAGATATGCCTCATATCGAATAGCTCGCATAGCTCAGTTGGTAGAGCGCATGACTAGTACGACAACCTCGGGATTCTTTAAATAGGATTCATAAAGTCAATCATGAGGTCTCCGGTTCAAATCCGGATGTGAGCATTGCTTTTTGTCCGATTTCGCTTTTTGTCTAATATTTTCACTTTAAAATTGTTAAAAAAGCTATCCGGCCTATGATTAATCAATTGGTAGCATAAGAATGCTCGCTACCAATACCTAATTAGCTCCGATAGCTTAGTTGGTTGGTAAGTACTACTATGCAGTTCATCATTCCAAGGGTTGCCGTTGTGAAGTCTCCGTTTCTAAAGATTTTTGTTTTCATTTTTTTTTCTCTTGCCTTTTTAGTCATGCCTCTATCCCGAGGTCATCATGTAGGTTATTAAATAGTAAGGTATCAGACGAGTATATCCAGCATCGCTTTTGGTGACAACCCTTGGCCTCCTGATATGTTTTGGCTGCTGTCTTGTCTGTGCGATTCCCCATGGAGAAGTTACGTACAGCCTGAGATGCCAGTGCGATGCGGACGTTACGTACAACTTGAATGTGTAGTTGAGATGTTCTATTGGAAGGGCAGTGCGATAATCAAACATTTTGAAGTATAGGAGACAGATTAGGACCAGGGTTATTGCCAATAGTGAGGCTAGATAGATATGTACCTTCTATTCATGCACATATCGTAGCTTTTGTCCCAGAAACTTTGAACAAAGCTTCAAGTTGGTAGTAGTAGTACTAAATACATATTTTAAACGCCGAATTCCAGAGATGAAAAGTGTGAAAACTCAGTGTGAGAAATGTACGTGAAATGGATGGTCCGCTTAATTACCAACATTACCTCTCTTTCCACCACGCTTCTTACGGTCATGGTGAGCCTTGAGCACAGCCCGAGTCTCCACCAGACTGCGCTTGTTCTTGCTTCTCGCCTTGCCAAGAGTCATGAGGAAATTCTTCTTGCGAGCCTTCTCCTTGTTGGTAGTACTCTTTCCTTGCTCCTGCTTGCGCTCTCTCCGCTTGGCCTCCTTACTCTTATGCTCGGCGCGGTCAAGCTTGCCCTCCTTCGCGTGGGCAATCTTCTCCTCACGAGTGAGCTTAGCAGCAGACAAGGCTGCAAGACCCTCGATCTCCTCGGCTGTCAAGGGGTCGTCGGTGTGACGGGAAGAAGCAGTCTGTCCGGGACGGCGCTTGTTTCCAGATAGGGCAGCATCCACCGATGCCTGGGCGCGAAGCTCGGCAAGCTTGGCCAGATCGGCTGGGGTCAGGATGCGAGTGGTTGCCAACTTGGAGAATGCTGTCTCCTTGGAGACTTCATCGGCCTTCTTAGGCTGTTCAGCTTCAGCTTCAGCCTTGGCCTTCTCCTCCTGTTTGGCCTTCTTGGAGGGTCGATCCTTGCCCTCATCTTCTGAGTCGCTGATTTCGATCTCATCATCACTCTGGACGTTAATCCACTCGCCATCGACATCACTATCGTCATCATCTTCGACATTCCAGGCGTCCCAGTTGTCCTCCTCATCTTCTTCATCATCATCCTCAGCATCAGATGCAAGGCCCTTCTCCTGTCGTTTCCTGCGGCGTTCTTCCTCCTTCCATTGCTCCAGAAGCTCCAGACCCTCGATACCACCAGTCTCTTGTTGACCAAAGCGTCTCTCCTCCTTCTCTCCAGATCGAAGACCCATGCTGGCCTCCTTGCCACGGTCGCGCTTCTTAAGCATAGACGCACCGACATCACGGTAAAGACTCAACAGACCCTTTGAAGCCATCATCACACCCTTATCCTTGCTCTTCTTGTACATAACAAGATCCTGCAGCAATGTCTCATTCATAGCAAGAGGCTGTCGCACACAGATCTCACGAATGGCGTTGAGACCAGCAGTGGCAACTTCTCCGGCAGATGCCTCCGAGACGAACTCATTGGCGATCTTCTGAACCAAGGGCTCTAGGACATCTGGGGGCACCAAATCGTGCGATGCCTGGGCCAGAGATGCCAAGAATGAAGTAACCGACGGCTGGCGAGGAGTGAGGAACTTTTGGAAGTACGAGTAGAGTGACATGATATGCAACTTGTGCAAACCGACCAGTCGTGAAACCAATTGGAGAACCAGAAGCTTCTGCTCGAGATTCAGCTTGGACTTGTTGGATTGCAGATGCTTCGTGAACAGAGTGTCGGCGAAGCCCTGAGGATCGTGCAGCAGGTGAAGTGCGGAGAAGTTGAGAGGATGGGGCTGGTTCTTCTTCTTCTCCTTCTTCTTGTGAGCAAGCACTGCCTTGTGTGCCGTACGAGCCTTCTTCTTCGTCTTCTTGTTGATTCCAAGCTGATGCCTGATGCGACCAACATCAATTTCCTCATCACTGCTCTCGTCCTCCATCTCCTCGCGCTCTTTATCTCCACCAAGGAAGAAGCGAACTCCACCTACAATGACCTTCTCATTTAATGATAAACTGGCCTCCTTCATGACCTCAACAGTCTTGGCATCTGTCCAGATTTGGCGCTTCCACAGCTCACGGGTCAACTTGATTGCCCAAAGAGCTTTGGAGGATGTGCGATCAGATGTGACGAGGTTGAAGAGAACGGTTTGCATAGTTCGGTTCAACTTGTGGTTGATGGTCTTCGAATTGGCTGTGCGAAGTTCAGACAAAATCTTCTGGAACAGCAAAGCGCGCAGAGTCTTGCTAGGTGTGGAAATCAAAATGGGGAAGAGCGTATGAAGTAGACTGCCAGGGACAAAGATTAGTTTCGACTCCAATAAGGACTTCAGAATATAGAATCACATACGTTGCAGAGTCAACAAGGTCCTTCTTCTTCAGTAGAACCAGACTTCCAACCAGCTTTTCCCTCAACTCCGACTCCAGCACCAAGTGGTGCTCCATAAGCATATCAATGAGTTGTTGAGGGAAATCCTTAAGAATCTCAGGATAACAATCGGCAACATGGGAAATGAAGTCAATCAAGTCCCGCAGCGAGATGATACCAGTATCAGTAGCTGAAGTGGGCGCAGCCATGAAAATCTCACGATGCGACTCATATTGGTAGTGTTGGGCGCGGAAGTCCTCGATATAGGACCTGAAGAATTCCAGCCTAATTAGCCTCGTTCGACTCCAAAAAAAGATCTATCCATAGAAAGAGTGATTCGAGGTACATACTTGGGATCCCGACGAATCTTGTGTTGCAGATTAGGCCTGTAAAAGTTGTGTCAATATGCGGACTTTGAATATTTCACCAGATTGAGATTGAGATGGCCCTCGGGCGCATTGCTATCCTGGTCGGCAATTAGACTTACAGGTCAGCCTCGACCTTTTCCAAGGCCCCAAGCTTTCTTTTAACCATTTTTGAGAATTACTCGTAGGGTTGGAGTAGTTGCAAGTGGGAGAGGTTGGGGTGAACAGGGACCGCCTCGAAACTTTTTTTTTTCTGCCGTATCGATAAGCGCCTCCCCCGGTGTGACCGTCAACTGGCAAGTTGAAAAAAAATTGAAAGAAGATACATAGAGCAGAGATCCATATCAACAAGTCTAGAATCTATATGTTGACCGGGTCAATTCTATATTTATCCTGAGATAACAGGGCTACAAAATGGGCCATATCTAACGGCGCAGATTGAAGATAGAGCTTTTTCGTATTGAAAATTGGTCATTAACGACCTAAGGACTTCATCATCGTATCCCAACTCTACATGGAAAAAAGCCAAACCATTGCGATCCTTTTTTTGGACTCTGCTTTTTTCTGACTGTTTCAATTTAATGTACAGCCGCGCAGAAGCATGCAAAACGACTGAATCCCAGTGAAAACCCCCCCGTCCATTCCCGATTCCGTAACACGAGACAAAACGGAGAACCATAACCAATTAACCCTTTACCGGTTGGACTTGGCAACACGCTCGAGCTCGTCCTTCTTCTTGATGGCGTAAGAGTTGGAGGAACCCTTGGCGCTGTTGATAAGCTCCTCAGCCAACTATTCGTAGAAAGAAAAAATATTGTTAGTTCAAAGTTCCAGAATTTCGATTTCGGATCATGTTGAAAACTTACGCATTCGGCGATGGACTTGATGTTGCTATTTGAAGAATTAGAATCATGGATCGCTTGATTGGGGTATCCAATTGATGAATAGCTGATATGTTGACATACCGGAAAGAGGCCTCACGAGCACCAATGGTGAGCAGAGCAACGGCCTGGTTGACACGGCGCAGGGGAGAGACATCGACAGCCTGGCGACGGACGGTACCCTGGGAACCGATACGGGTGGAGTCCTCACGAGCACCGCTGTTGACAACGGCGTCGCAGAGAACCTGGAGAGGGTTCTGGTCGGTCATGATGTGGATCTGATGCGAAGTTTAGAAGTTGAACATTGGTATCTGGGCGGGCGCTTGTAGGGTGGAACGTACGATCTCGAAGGCGTGGGCGACAATGCGGACAGCCTTGACCTTCTTACCGTTGTTACGGCCGTTCATCATGAGGGAGTTGGTCAGACGCTCAACAATGGGGCACTGAGCCTTGCGGAAACGCTTGGCGGCATAGCGACCGGCAGTGTGGGAGGTGTAGACGGGAGCGCGGATCTGGATGTAGTCGCTACATGTGGGCAAGCAAGTCAGTTTGTTGGATTCTTCGATATTGATGTGCGTGGCGTCGTTTCGTGAAAATTTGTCGTTGAATTCGATTCCGCAAGAAAATTGTTTCCAATAGCCCCCAATTCCTCCTCCTTTTCGTTTTCGATTTCAAGTGATAGATTGGACAAGGGATGGATCGATTGCACTCACGTCAGGGAGATATCGCGGACCTCAACACTGGATATGATATTAGCGACATCGCAAAACGGGGGTTTAAAGGTTCAATTGGCGTACTCGTAGCTCCATTTGCCGAAGAGCTTGACCTCGCCCTCGAGAGCGGCGATCTCCTTGGGCAGGGAGGGGTAGGTAGCGACCTCAACTTCGCCGTTGTCGGACATTTTGGCAGGGTTTCGTGGGAGGTGGTCGTTTGGATCGATGAGTCGTCAAGTCGATGCGTCTGTGACCAAGGGAAATTGGGTGCGCTCGCTTAACCCTGTGTGGGGGTCACATGAGATTAGGGCAGACCAGACCCACCAATGATACTCCATAAGTCACGTGACTGTATACGCCATCCGCCTCAGGCAGGAATCGCCTGATTGGGCTGTCGCTGATGAGTCAGCGTGATCTGCGCCCGCTCCAGTCCAGACATGTTGTGCATACTGTACGGAGTACTATACAAACATTCATCTGCGAGAGAACTACTATACTTGTACTTGTCTCATATGTACCCAATTATTCTGGATCACATCGAAATTCTCAAAATTTCCAAATGTAATCTCTTAAATCCATAAATAGTGTGTCTCAGCATGGTAGCAATGTCATATCTACTATCTAGTCGAGTACGACCATATACTTCGCCGAAGTTCTCTGGTACAGACATAAAAGTACCAGTACATGCAATTCTAACAAACATTCCAAGTCTATTCAAGAAACATCACCAAATTCTTCAGAAAGAAATCCACCGCAACTCTCTTCCTTCTTTTCCTTATCTCAAGTATACCTAACTGAGACAATTGCATCGTGTCTCAGATGCATACTCGGCTCGCCTGACCGCCTTGGTGGGTGACGTTGTGGGCGACGCGGAAACACCTGAGCATCGACCACTTTGAATGTCCCCAGGACGACTTGTGGACAGCGTTCTTCAACGACCTCGGGAGTATTTTTGACAAGCAGCAGGACTTAGTGGATTGACCCTATATCGTACCCCACTCTTTTACACATTGCGCTTGGAGCCACATACTGCGATGAGGCCTTGTTCCTGAACTAGGTGTTCCTGTCATCCCTCCCCCCGCGCTTTTGATCCACTTCCTCAATTTGAGTTCTTCCCCGTGTTCATAATGGCGGAAGAAAACCCGAACTTCCAGTACGCTTTGCGGGACTTGGACCGGGAGCTGGAGGTAAATATTCCTATCCGTTATGTAGCCGGTATTCATGCGCTTACACAAGGACTTTTTCGAACTGAGTAGGATGGCGATATCACTGAGAAAGGGTAAGCCGTGCCTTGATCACTGTTCCCGAGTCCAGTACAATCGGCCTCGCGGAAATGGATAGATCTATACCCTGGCGAATGGACTGGGGTTATGGGATACACAAGAGACGTACAAGCTAACCGCGAATAAAGGTACCAAAAACGACGCACTCTCCTTCTGTCACAATTCCTCGGCCCAAATAAACCACTCGAAATCAATACAAACGCCGATTACGAAAGTTCCTCGAGTGGAGGACATATGGGTCCGCCAGCGATCTTGAATGTCCGACCACCCACGGCGGAGTCTTCACAGACTGGCTTGGCGTCTCCAACCTATGCTGGCGGGTACGATGGAATGCAAGGCGGATCGTTCGGGTACAACCATGGTGTTAGCATGGATATGCACAATGCGTCAGCGGCCACCGCCGGGGCTTATGATAGGGATAATATGGGAATGTTACAAGCTCATGATCGGGTGCCATCTTCCTCGTCGTACGATTCGCTATTCCTCCCCAGGCCTATGCCCCCGGGTGTCCAAGGCCCCGATGGATCAAGAACGGCCACTTTGATGAGCCAGAACTACGCCTTCACCCCAGATGCTCAGCCTGAGTACGTGGATGATGGAATGGGTGCCTATGACCCAGCCTCTGGTGGAGTCACGCGACAATCTACAATGCTTGATTCTCAACAGGGATTCTTCTCTGACTTTGCAGGCCAACAACACGAAGACTACCGGGAAAGCTACGGAGGAGGGTTTCATCGTTACTCCCAGTCAGGGGAAGCCTTCTCCCCTACAGCAAATATGGCTCCTCCGTTTATCCCTCCCTCAGAACTTCATCATGGGCCAGCCATCGAGCACCTCATGCCCCTCGAACCTCGAGATATTCCGTTTGCCGTCAACGATCCACACGACAAGAATATCCCCATGTCCAACTTTGAAAATCTGCCGGCCGTCCTCCGCCACAGGGCCAGGGCCCACCCTAAACAGCCGGCATACTGGGTATTGGATCAAAAGGGCAAAGAAATCGCATCTATCACTTATGACAAACTGGCTAGCCGAGCAGAGAAGGTTGCACAGGTCATTCGCGATAAGAGTAATTTGTATCGTGGAGACCGAGTTGCGTTGATCTATCGTGACACGGAGATCATCGAGTTTGCTGTCGCTCTCATGGGTTGCTTCATCGCAGGAGTAGTTGCAGTTCCCATCAATAGTCTGGACGACTATCAAACTTTGAACCTAGTGCTCACATCTACTCAAGCACATCTCGCTTTAACCACTGAGAACAATCTGAAAGGCTTCCAGCGGGATATTACCGCACAGAAGCTCAACTGGCCGCGCGGAGTCGAATGGTGGAAGACAAACGAATTCGGAAGTTTCCATCCCAAGAAGAAGGATGATACGCCCGCTCTTATCGTCCCGGACTTAGCATATATCGAGTTTGCTCGAGCTCCTACAGGCGACATGCGTGGTGTAGTGATGAGCCACCGAACTATCATGCACCAGATGGCTTGTCTCAGTGCCATCGTTTCTTCTGCGCCCACTGATGCCAGCGCCAGGCAATTCGCAGCCAAAGGTGAAACCCTTGTCAGCTATCTCGACCCAAGACAAGGAATCGGAATGATTTTGGGTGTTCTCATGACTGTATATGGTGGTCATACAACTGTCTGGCACGAGGACCGGGCTGTCGAGACCCCTGGTCTGTACGCTCATATAATCACCAAATATCGAGCGACAATCATGGCCGCCGATTACTCTGGACTTAAGATCGCCACCTACAATTACCAGCAGGATCCTATGTCTACCCGGCATTACAAAAAGAACGCAGAGCCTAATTTCAGTAGCGTCAAGCTTTGTCTCATTGATACGCTGACTCTTGATCCTGAGTTTCACGAAATTTTGGCCGACAGATGGTTGCGACCTATGAGAAATCCACGGGCAAGAGAAATCGTTACTCCAATGCTTTGCTTACCGGAACATGGCGGTATGGTTGTCAGTATGCGCGACTGGGTGGGTGGTGAAGAACGAATGGGTTGCTCTTTGACACATGAGATGGACCCTGCTCAACGTGGTACCTCGAAAGGTGACGATGAGAAATTTGAGAAATCCGAAACCAATACTGGCTTTGGTAGCAGTCTTCTTGGTGGCGGTTCTCGCGTCTCTGTGCCTAAACAGACCGCGAAGAACGAACTGAGTGAGGTTCTTCTTGATAAGGAAGCCTTGAAGAGCAATGAAGTTGTTGTTCTCGCCATGGGCGAGGATGCCCGAAAATATGCAAGCAGTATGCCTCATGCTGTTCGCATCGGCGCCTTCGGTTACCCACTCCCAGATGCCACGCTGTGTGTTGTAGATCCAGAAACCAATCTTTTGTGCACCCCGAATGTGGTTGGAGAAATTTGGGTAGACTCGCCATCTCTATCCGGAGGCTTCTGGGCGCTGCCAAAGCATACAGAAGCAATCTTTCATGCCCGACCCTACAAGTTCGAAGATTCCAACCCCACGCCTGTACTTGTCGAACCCGAGTTCCTGCGAACTGGCTTGCTAGGCTGCGTTATCGAGGGAAGGATATTCGTGTTGGGTCTTTACGAAGATCGACTGCGCCAAAAGGTTGAATGGGTTGAGCACGGCCAAGAACTTATCGAGCATCGTTACTTCTTTGTCCAACACTTGGTTGTCAGCCTCCTGAAGAAGGTTCCTAAGATCCACGACTGCACGGCATTCGATGTATTTGTCAATGACGAGCATTTACCCGTCATTGTACTAGAGTCTTACGCAGCCTCGACGGCACCAACGACATCTGGAGGGCCCCCACGACAGCTGGACTCAGTACTTCTTGATTCACTAGCAGAGAGATGTATGGAGGTTCTTTACCAGGAACACCACTTGCGTGTTTACTGTGTTTTGATCACAGCCCCCAACAGTCTTCCTCGCGTAACAAAGAGTGGCAGACAGGAAATCGGCAACATGCTTTGCAGAAAAGAATTTGAAGCCGGCATGTTGCAGGCTGTGCACGTCAAGTTTGGTGTCGAACGATCGGTAATGAATCTACCCGTCGGTGTTGACCCCGAGGGTGGTATCTGGTCCCCACTCGCGCTTGCTTCAAGACAGGAGATTCTTGCCTACCAAGAGAAGCAATATTCCGGGGTGGATTATCGAGATGTTGTCATGGATGACCGAACGTCGACACCACTGAATAATTTCAAGACAATTGTGGATCTTCTACAATGGCGTGTCTCACGCCAAGCCGAAGAATTGGCTTACTGCTCTATTGATGGTCGTGGGAAGGAAGGCAAAGGCATCACTTGGAAGAAATTTGATCTCAAGGTGTCAGCAGTAGCCACCTACCTGAAGAACAAAGTCAAAGTGCGGCCTGGCGATCATTTGATTCTGATGTACACCCACTCGGAAGAGTACATCTATGCGGTTCATGCATGCTTTTGTCTAGGTGTTGTTGTCATTCCGTTAGCTCCGATTGACCAAAATCGCCTGTCAGAAGATGCACCTGCATTCCTCCATGTGATTAGTGACTTCAACGTCAAGGCTATCATTGTCAATACTGATGTCGACCATGTCATGAGACAGAAGCTTGTCTCTCAGCACATTAAACAGTCTGCCCAAGTTCTGCGAATTGGTGTCCCGGCGATTTACAACACGACAAAGCCTTCGAAACAGTCACATAGTTGCCGTGAGCTTGGATACACGATAAAGGATACATGGCTCAATAGTAAACAACCTGCTATGGTTTGGACCTATTGGACTCCGGACCAACGACGAATCTCTGTCCAAATCGGACATGATACGGTAATGGGAATGTGCAAAGTGCAGAAAGAAACTTGTCAGATGACAAGTTCCAGACCAGTACTTGGAAGTGTGCGCAGTACTCTAGGTCTTGGTTTCCTCCACACTTGTTTATTAGGTATCTACGTTGGTAAGTCGCACTTTACTTTCCTTTCAAGGATCTCTATGGGGTAGATTCTCTTTCTAACAATAAATAGGTGCACCTACTTACCTCGTTTCGCCTGTCGACTTCGCCCAAAATCCGATGACCCTTTTTGTAACGCTTTCGCGGTACAAGATCAAGGACACTTATGCAACTGCCCAGATGCTGGATTATGCCATCAGCGCCATGGCAGCAAAGGGTTTCCAGCTTCAAGAGCTCAAAAATTTGATGATCTCAGCGGAGGGTCGACCTCGAGCCGATATCTGTATGTTTCTTTTTTTCTCTCCTTAATTGTCATCGACAAACTTATGACTGACAACTCCAACAGACCAGAAGACTCGCTTGCATTTTGCGACTGCCAGTCTGGATCGTACGGCCATCAACGTTTCTTATTCTCACGTCCTCAACCCTATGATTGTCACCAGATCCTACATGTGCATTGAACCCATTGAACTGTACCTAGACATCCGCAGCCTTCGCCGTGGTCTGATCTACCCTGTAGACTCCGATGCAGATCCTACTGCTCTCTTGGTACAAGATTCTGGAATGGTGCCTGTCAACACACAAATTGCAATTGTCAACCCTGAGACTTGCACTCTCGCCCATGTCGGTGAATATGGTGAGATCTGGGTCCAGTCCGATGCTTGCGCCACAGGATTCTACCGGTCGAAGAACGAGTTTGATGCCGAGAGAATGAATGGTCGCGTTGCAGACGGAGATCCCGGCGTACCTTATGTTCGAACCGGCGATCTGGGCTTCCTTCATACTGTGACTCGGCCCATTGGCCCCGGTGGCCAGGCTGTCGAAATGCAGGTTCTGTTCGTTTTGGGAAGTATTGGTGAGACATTTGAAGTCAACGGCCTGAATCACTTCCCAATGGATATCGAAAACTCGGTGGAAAAATGCCATCGGAATATTGTGAATGGAGGATCGTAAGTTTCCCATGTCCACCGCACTACCTTGACCTTTTACTAATATGATTTTCTCTACAGAGCTATCTTCCAGGCAGGTGGATTAATTGTAGTGGTAGTCGAAGTTACACGAAAGGCATTCCTGGCTTCCCTTGTTCCTGTCATCGTCGACGTGGTTCTGAATGAGCACCAAGTGGTCGCAGACATCGTGGCCTTTGTCTCACATGGTGATTTCCCTCGATCGCGTCTCGGTGAGAAACAACGTGGTAAGGTTCTGGCATCTTGGGTCACTCGCAAACTACGCACAATTGCTCAATTCAGTATTCGCGACATGGATGGCCATCCGTTTGCAGAGCTCCCGCAACATCGTGCTAGCCGAGGCTCTAAGCCTGGAAGTACGATGGACAATAGCACTCGGAGATCAACAATGAACCCCGAATCGGAAATATCTCCCATGCCGCTATCTCCTGCGCCAGTAGTCCTTGAGGAAACAATCATCCCACCAGAGCCGTACCGTGACGGACTATCCCGGAAAAATCTCCCAGAGCTTGACACCCGCACCGATCGAAAGGTTTCTGCAACACCTGTCCCCGAACCAACATCCGCTGTACCTTACATCCAGGAACCGCAATCTGCTACGATCATGTCTGCGGATGATGATCACCACTTCGACTTTTCCGAGCATGCGCATGATAATGGACACTCAGACGAACCCCGGGATTTCCGATTCAGCTTTGATATGGTCGACACTCCTATCGACCCTATTCCACAAGATTCATTCCATTCAGAAAATGGACGACCCTCCACTGGCCGCGACTCTCTGCCTGGTCAACAGCCTGGTATGTATAGTGGCGGAGCCAATGCTACAGGCTACCGTCCTGGTACTCAAGACAGTGGCGTCATCGATGATTGGCCACAAGAAGCCCTGATGTACCAGTCGTCGTATGGCGGAGATGAACATCATCAAGATTATCATCGTCGTCCGAGCACCCAGAGCGCTAGTGCAAGACACCGCTATGATGGCGGAGGCTACCTGTAATGTGAAGTATTGATTGACCATCAAGAATGGACACTCTGTACATGACACGAACATAACTTTGACATACTCTTCTTTTCTTCACGCTCTAAACACTTTGTCCATTTGAATGGCATGATAGAGTCATATTTCTTCAGTCTTCCAGCTCTGGGCTTTACTGGGTCCCCGTTTTTTTTCTCTTTCATTTTAAACAAGTTTACAAGCGTCCATCACATTCTTAGCATCTTTGAACCTGTTCTTAGTATCTCCCCTTGAATACCACACTGTTAGTTTTCGTTACGACTTGCTATGCGATGCATTTTTCATCTGTAAACGGACTAATAAGAAAACCCAAGTGTTTACTGATCTACTAGTATTAACAAGCTCAAGCGCCGCACGAGGATAAGGAAACATGCTAGTAGTATTTACTTGGCTGCGAAGCTGTTGAAGCTCTGCATGTGCCAAATGGACACGCTGTATCGTCATGAGCCTGAGCACTTGAGCACCCCGAGTCATGTTTACATACTCAGCTGGACTGTTGGTCATATCTGTAGTAGGTGAATGGTTACCTACTCTATATTCTTCAGGGAAAGTAAAAAGAAAAGAACTAATTTCGAATACTCATCAAACTGCAGATAACATTGAGCAGTAAGATACATGAACCTTCGTCTCTCTGAGAGGCAAAGCCTATGATACAAAATAACCACAAACTCATCAACAGAGATGAAACTTCTGTTCAAGAAAGTACTTGCAGTCAGTATCAGCGATCTTAGAAGATTCCAACACAGGCCCTTAAGTGATCCGATAAAGTTGCGATATCCTCCAGGGGTAAGAGACCGATACTGTTGGATTGACCAGGTAGTCGTAGAGGCTCTCCGAAGAGGAGAGTTGCTCGAAAACAGAGAACCTACCCGGCCAGTCTGGTCATTTCCAATTCTATCCATGAAAAGCTTTAGTATTCCGGTAACTCCTTCTCTTCCGCGTTATCACATTCATCTATCTCAGCATTGCTTCCGTGGGTTGAACCGTCTTCGTCACTGTATGTCTCGGAATCACTATGAGCATTGGGCTTTGTTCAATTAGTATCGAATAAGAAATAAGAAAAAATGGGCTTGAAAACTCACTCCTCGTTCTCCATAAAAGGATTCGGGCGCGAAACGGGAGCCAAGTGGTGCGTATTTTGGCAGTCTACCGGTTGAATCATATGCCAAAACACGAGCAAGGTGATGAGATACTTTGAAAAGTTTGGCACTAATAGCAGGGTCTCTTAGAACGAGATCCCCAGGATGCCTAGTTTTCGGGTGCTTGGATTCGAATCCAAATACAGAAACAGCTCTGTCATAGTTGACAAACCAATGAAACGCCGCTATGAAGATATCATGATCCTTAATCTCATCAAACTCGCAGCCTTTCTCGCGAAACTCGGCCATCAGTAAGGGAACGATAGCTTCTCGAATGTGCTTCTGAGTTGGGTTTTCTTCAAATGTATCCATGGGAAGATCGAGTTCTTGGTGTCCAAGCTTCAAGTCGAATTCGTTTTCGAGAAAATTTAGAAGAGGGTGAACCAGCGGCTTACATTGTTGATAAAATTCATTGCATCCCGCCATGAAGGCTAAGACTGCTCTTTCGGAGGGGGCTTGAGAGTGATCTTTGCTCATCCTGGCGATTTTGATGTGAGAAATCCTGGGTGTAATGATTTACCAAAAGGGAATCGAATGTAAGGAAAGATGAGAGATCAAAAGGCCCAAGTGAAGGAACGATGAATGGAATGGTGAGACTGACAGAGTATGAGGAAAAGAACTTCTACGTGGTAGATAGAACTACCTACTAGGTAGAACTAGGCTTCAACGACATAATCAGGTACCTAGGTAGGTTTCAACAGCCACAAAATAATCCGTAGGGGTTGTTCTGATAGACCAATTATTTGACAAGCTAAGCTATCAGATAGTTTAGACCAATATCTGATATGCCCTGAGGTCCTCTAGCTACACTTGAGTACTTATGATCCTCTTCCTATACATATACCTCGTTTTTCTCCATGTCTCATCCACTCTTTCTGCTTCACCTCTAATGCTTCTAGTATAAGCAACATTCAGTCAGGTTTCTTAATCCACACTTTCTACCTCTCCGAGTCACTTTTGCTATCTCTTGGTTTCTCTCTTACTTGAGCCTCCAGGGCTTCTATACTATCAACTTTTTTTATATCATGATGATATGCTTTAAGCAATTAGCGATGAGCTAGGTGGTCAAAATTCATTGTAGGAAAATAGGTTTTAGTGTTGAAGAGAAACTTGAACTAGAATGATAAGAACGGCATTTATTATAGAACACAATTAGATATGATAATCAACTTCTACTAGTAATAATATTACATATACCAATTGGTCTTCCAAGGTTGCTGTAGGTCAAGCAAATTGAAGTCAACCTCCCTATATAAGATGTGATAATTGACCTAGGGTTACTGGATCCATGGCACTCTGGAAAAGTAGTAAGCCCGAGGGATCGATGGATTTATTTACTATACAAGTGGGCAGGAAATGAGAAAAATTGAAGAAACCCCCCCCTCCCCCGCGAAATGAACGCTTCACCAATTGAAAGGAAAAAAGAATTTCACCAGATGCCATATTAGGAACCTGGGAAAGAAAAAAAATATGACACAAAAAACTAAGAGCCCACTCGCGGGATTGAACCACGGACCTCGCCATTACGAGTGGCGCGCTCTACCACTGAGCTAAACGGGCGCTTATTCATCGAAATTGCAGACTTTAAAATATATCAACCTTAACCTATGTGGGGGAAAGAAAATATTAGACAAAAAGCAAAATCGTACAAAAAGCAATGCTCACATCCGGATTTGAACCGGAGACTTCATGATTGACTTCATGAATCCTTTCTAAAGGATAACTGGGTCGTACTAGTCATGCGCTCTACCAACTGAGCTATGCGAGCTATTCGATGTGGCGTAATTTGACCTTTGGTCTCATGCCTTCTTGGAGCCTATTGGATGAATCTTTAACATTTAACCTTCGAACGAACCTTGGGAAGCTACCTCTCACTCGTAGATGAATAAAACTCCTTAGACCACTGACATCAGGCCATGGAATTTAATGACCCCTATCCAGCTTTTCTTACCTACATATGTAGGTATCTCAAGTGCTGGGTACATACACATGTGCAATTGATATACTAGACATCTCACCTGGGCAAGCTATGTCGCTTCAAGGTTGAGTCTCAGTCTTACTTTGTTCAGCTATTACCTAAGAGAATAGGTATTCAAAATTTCGACTCAGGTGATACCCTATACAGTATCGATTAATGTGGATATGCCAGTGATTAATAGTTCTACAATGTTGGAAGAGTAAAAACATGATCTTGAAGATCAGGTATTCAATTTGTACAAACTTTATTCACATATGCATTATTGCTAAATCATGAAATTTGAATCATCTCAAAAATTGAACGACTTTTGAAGGCGCTTAGGCCTCAGCTTGTTTTGTGAGCTTCTCAATGTTAACCTTGGGAGTAAGACCACCGTTGGCAGTGGCAGCCTCGGCATTACCAGTCAACTGCTCAAGAGCCTGGATATCCTCATCGGTGAGGGTGTTGGAACGAATAGGGCGGAAAGGAGCGGGTGAGCCAGAGTTAGAAGCAAGGAACTGAATTAAAACATTAGCATGCTAAAGAAAAGTAGCGCAAAATTTGGATATTATATCCTAGGACTTACCGAACTGGCAGCGCTCAACATGGCAATCAGGGATGCCTGGACCACATCGGCGTGGATACCAACACCCCAGACCTTCTCCTTGCTACCGGCGGCGGTACAGTTAATGTATGTGGCAGCCTTCACGTCACGACCCAGACCGCTAGAGCGACCAATAGAGTGCTCCTTGTAATCGACGACATCAAGGTCAATACCAAGAGTAGCGAGGGCTGCAGCGAGAGATGAAAGGGCACCAGTACCGGTACCGGTAATAGCGTGCTGGGCACCATCGATCTCGATAACACCGGTGAAGCGACGCTTGAGGTTCTTAGTATTAAGGACCTTACCAGACTCTGGTGGAGCAGGAGAGTGCGAGCGGTCGGTAGTAATGTTGTAATCGATCAGGTTGAAACGAGGGTTTGACTTGAGGTGGTAAGATTCCTCAAACAGGTGAACAACTTCGGCAGGTCGCAGTTCGCGGTTCGCATCCTCAGTTGCTTGCTGGACGGTCTTACTGAACTCGATCTGCAAAGCACGCGGGAGATCCAGCTCCAGACTGCGCAGAATAACCCAGGCGGCACCACCCTTGCCGCTCTGCGAGTTGACTCGGATAACGGCCTCGTAGGTACGTCCGATATCTTGGGGATCGAGAGGGAGATAAGGCATTCTCCACTCGACGTCGTCGTTTGCACCCTCTGCCTCGCGGAGCTTGAAACCCTTGAGAACGGCATCTTGGTGACTAATGGAAAGAGTTAATAAGAAAATCGTAGTTTGTATATCAAGAGAGAAGCGAAAACGAACCTTCCAGAAAAGGCAGAGGTAACAAGCAATCCTCCATATGGCCAGCGCTCGTTAACGGGAATCTTATTACTCTCCTCCACAACCTTAATAACAGAGCAAATATCCGAAAAGTCGACGTTAGGCGTGACACCTTGTGTGTAAAGGTTGAGGGCAAGAGTGACCAAGTCGACGTTTCCAGTACGCTCACCGTTACCGAAGAGGGTACCCTCGACTCGTTGAGCACCGGCCATCTGAGCCAACTCAGCAGCAGCGACAGCGCAGCCACGGTCGTTATGGGGGTGAAGGGAGACAACGAACTTCTCGCGCTCAGTCATTTTGGAACAGAAGTATTCAATCTGATCAGCGTAGACGTTGGGTGTGGACATCTCAACTGTGGCGGGCAGGTTAAAGATAATAGGGTTCTCAGCAGTAGGCTCCCAGGCGGCCTTGACAGCCTCACAAACCTCTACAGCGAAATCAGGCTCAGTATCTGAGAATGTCTCTGGCGAGAACTCGAATTGCCATTCTGTGCCGGCTTGGGCGGGGTCATCCTTTGTGATTGAGCGAGCATACTTGGCGCACTGAACAGCCTTTTCTAAACTTTGCTTCTTATCCATGTTGAAAACAATTTGACGGAAACAGGGGCTAGTGGCGAGGTAAATGTGCAGGATGGCCTTCTTGGCTCCCGTAAGAGAGTCGACGGTACGACGGATCAGATCCTCACGGCAAGGAGCAAGGACCTGGAGCCAGACATCATCGGGGGTGAGGCCGGGCTCTTCCACGAGGCGGCGGGTGAAGTCGAAGTCGATTTGAGAAGCAGCAGGGAATGAAACCTCGATTTCCTTGTAACCGATCTCTACTAACATCTTGAAGAACTTAAGTTTTTGCTCGCCGTCCTACATGTTCACATTGTATTAGCGAAATTCACTCATTATCAAAGCTTCAGGTGAATAATTCTGAATCTTTACCATTGGATCAGGGAGACTTTGGTTGCCATCACGAAGGTCGGTGGCCAACCAACGGGGGGCCTTGTCGATGGTCTTGTTGGGCCATTGGCGGTTAGGTAGATTCAATGGCTTGAAAGGCTTGTACTTTTTGGAAGGGTCTTTGAGCCTAGAGAATTGTTAAAATTCCAAATAAATATGAAATCGGGGTCGTTGTGGTGGTGGTTATTGAACATACATTGGCATGATGGCGATTGGCGGGGTATAGAGCGGGGGAGGAGGAAAGAAGTATGATAATGGGATATAAGTCGATTAATCCTTAGTAGACTCACAACCGCGTACCTGATCAAAGAAAATCAGATATTCAGGGCACCACTAGATTTCTTTTAAAACAGAAAAAGGAGGAAGCCAATGAAGCGAAAGGAATTTGTGACTCAACAAGCCTGCGATCGTCGATGACGCCGAAAAACTCGGCGCCGACAGCGGAGTCACGTGAAAGCCCCCGTTGACACCAATTTGGGACTAAACAAGGATCGAAAGGGCGTGGAGATCGGCAGTTCTGTATGCGATTTGGGTCTTACCTAGTTTAGACTTTGTCCTACCCCTTCCTTATTCTCAATTGAACTTATGTTTTGCATATCTATTCCCCTTGATTTGGAAATTGTGACATATGATCGTTGATGCTGCTTGCTCACTGTGGCAATCTGATATACTAAATGGGCCCCGAGGTCGGAGCATTCTTGAGCTGTTTCCATATTTTCTATAGTGTCCACTCCGTGTCTAACCGCTGATAGCTCGCATAGCTCGGTCTTCATTTTTTGGGGAATGGATATTCAAGCGTAATACATGTGGGAATTTAGTCATAAAAGTTCAGCAATAGCAGGTCACTCAATTAGAGTAATCATATTAAGTGGGAGACTCGGATCATATTCAAGTTCCAGTTTTCGTCTGAATAGAACACTGTACCTGGACCATGTCCACGGATATATACATCTGGCTAGGTCACTGCAAGTGTAAAAAAAAAATTAGATGAACACTAGTATCTGCTATGTACATCTGCACATGTGGGCAGTACCTACTACCTAGGTAGTAGCCTTGGAGCTCGGTGTAGGATACAGGACTACATACTAGGTACATGATATCTACTAGTACTTCTAACTTGAAACTTGAAATTTGAACCATGGTGCACAACGTAAGTAGTCAACATTGAATGTCTATAGTACAAATTCGCTAAATAGCCAAATAAAAATACAGTTCGATGCTTTACAGGAAATTCTTCTCAAATTGAACCAATAAGGGATGCACCTCATCCAGCTTAAGCTTTACAGCTCGAGGGTTCTGCAGCGCATTTTCGCCCAGTTGGGACTGGATCAGAGCTTGGAATTGCTGGGCATCCGCATCGGTCTTACTCTGCATTTGCCCAGTGACATCAACCGTAATACCTCCGTCAGCCAGATCGCGCGAACCCAAAATGAAAATTAAGTTATACTTCATCTGCTTAGCGCGTTGAATCTTCTTGCCCAGTGTCTGAGCACTGGTATCAACATCCATCAGGAAAGTGGAATCGACCGATGAGAGCGGACGAGGTGGTTGAGCAGTTCCATCATTCTGTAGTACCTTGAACCCGGAGAACTTCGCTGCCGCTTCTTGGGCTCGGCGTACTACGGCCTCATCCTGGTTAACTGTCAGGATAATTCCCTGCCGGGGAGATAACCAGAATGGCCAATGACCTCCATGCTGCTCGATGAGCAACGCTAGGAACCGCTCCAGTGAGCCGAAGATAGCCCGATGTACCAGAACGGGCGTTGCGACACCGGGAGTAGCAGGGTTATAGTCTTCTTCTCCTTCCGCAACTTGGTACTCGAGCCCAAACCGCTGGGGCAGATTCATATCCAGCTGAATAGTTGATAGCTGATGATATTTGCCCGCTTGGTCTTGAAGCTGGATATCGATTTTAGGCCCGTAGAATGCCCCATCCCCTTCGTTCAACGCCCACTCTCGCCCTGTACTATCCAACGCCTGGCGCAATTGGTTCTCGGCATTATCCCACATCTCCAAAGTCCCGATATAATCCGTTTCAGGTCGCGTCGACAGTACCAATCGGTATGGACCCAGTCCGAAAGTCTTCATCGCCATATCGACGAATCCCAATGCCGACGCAATTTCCGATTTGATCTGCTGCGGTCGGCAGAAAATATGACCATCATCCTGGTGGAACCGACGAACGCGCGTGAGACCGGTTAACGAGCCGGAGACTTCATTGCGGTGGAGGGGACTGAAATCGGCGTAGCGCACGGGTAGTTCTCGGTAGGAGTGGTTTTGAGATTTAAAGAGTAGGCAGTGACCGGGGCAATTCATGGGTTTCAGACCGTAGGACTCGTCTTCGCCCACTTCGCCTTCAGTGTCTCCAGTCGCGCCACGTCCAGTCACTTCGTACATATCATCTTTGTAGTTCTGCCAGTGACCCGATACCTCCCACAGCGATCGCTTGTAGATGCTCGGCGTGAGGACCTCACGAAACCCGTACTGTAGGTATTGGGTGCGGAGGAAGCCAATGAGCTTATTGATAACGTGGGTACCATTTGGGAGAAAAAGCGGCGAGCCGGGACTGTAGATCGAAGAAGTGAATAGCTCTTGTGTTGTTCCGAGAGCTCGGTGGTCATTGGGAGGTATGGAGGGTTCGACATTGTTGGCAGCATCACCGCAGGAGCAGCGACGGATCGCTGATGTAGATAGCCATTGTGGCCTTGAAGAATGGAGCTGTAAAGCTCTATTGACCACAGGCCTTGTGTAAAGGTGTGGTCGAAGCCGAGTAAGTGGGCGCATGGTTGGTTGCACTGAATGACTGCGTTTTCCTGCCGCGCGATCTTCTTCACATTCTCCACCGCTTTGTAACCGCCGTCATCAGCGCGCTTCACAGCGGTCGAAGGAGTTAACTACAGCATTTTCGAAGCTGTATCCTGCAATCTGTCAAGGAAATACGAGTCGCACTTGGCTGATAATTAATTTTGCGACTTTTTATTACTCCCAGCCTCGCGTTACCCCGCAGAACGGATATGTTTACAGCATCATGGCGGAACAACCTCGTAACCCCGATAGTTCGGTACTGGGCGAGTCCTGGGTAATGGCCTCAACGGCCTCGATCTGGGAAAAGGATCTAAAGCAGCAAACACCATGTATTGAAACAAAACCTGAGAGACTCGAGGAGCCAGCATCTCCAACTCCTCGCCCGAAGTCTGCGAGAAACAAGGATAGCGGCAAGACAATCGAGTCAATATCGTCGCTGACTTCCTCATCGTCCTTGACTATGTCGGGCCCAGAACTGATTATGCCATCTATTTACGAAGTGCCCATATCAGAAGTATCATGGGTTGCACCTGGAGTGCGATCTAAGGATCAAAGCTCGATGCGGAAGAGACGCAAGATATCACCGTCCCGGGGTAAAGAACAAGCTAGCCCTACTATATCTCGGAATCATGACGCTGGATCTTCGGCTCCGATACCTCCTAAGCAAACGCCGAGATTGCGAGCACGGCTCATAGCCTTCTTTCGTGATCAAACAGCCATACGCACCCTGATAAACGGTATCTTAATCGGCTTTATTCTCCACCTTCTGGTCCTCCCCGAGGTCATCTATCAAGTTCAAGACCTGTGTCAGATCCCCGTGGTGAAAACCGTCTATCCGGGCAGTTGTATTCATCTCAAACCTCAACCACATCCTTTTTTACCCTCATCCAGCGCCTCCATTATCTCACCCGAGGACACCATCATCACTTCCCAGAATGACCTCGAGTCCATCTTCGATATCACCCTTCAAACTCTTTCACCACTCTCTCATATCCTAAAAGAAAGCGAATCAATGTTGGAAGAGCTTCAATATAAACTCCAATCCACCTTCCCAGACGCCCGCAACGCACTCGAACTTGAATTCCAAGGAAGTGACCAGGCCCTTCGCGCCGCAGCATGGGAATTCGACTCTCTACGCGCTGATCTTCGCTCTGCAATTGATAGTCTTCTATCTTCACCACCAACTCAAGAACAAACAGGGCCCGTCTCGATCGCGCGCGACACTCGGCTCGCAGCCCAACTCCGTCTTCGCGCAGAGTACCTCGACCGACTCCGTTCTCAAATTCGGTCCAAAGCTGACTCGCTCGGTTCCCGTTTCAGCACACTTGATGACCACCTCGAAGCTGTGGATGGCATCGTTACTCGGGAGGAACGGAGGAACTCGTTACTGAGTTCAATGTCTGGTCTTGGGGTAGGAGCTGGAGCTGGAACTGGTGTCGGGGCTAGCATGCAGGCTGTGCTACATTCATTGTCTAGCTATGCCTCTTTTTGGTCGAGATCGTCAGACGACTCATCTGTTCCTGATGGGGGTCCGGATGCTGGTGTTGAGGGCTATGAGAACCCTCAACCTGTCACGACCCTTGCCTTGTTGAGACTCGCGGCGACGCATCATCATCCTGTCGCTGGCTCGGTGGCTGGATTATCGAGACAATTACGGGATGTGCAGCGTACTCGATCGGGGTCTACTTGGTGATTTTCACTGGATATTTACAGCGTGGTGCTATAGTGTTTTGTATGCATGGATTTCGGGTTAGCGGTTAAACTGCATGTGTATTGGATTGGGGTTCAGCGATGGAATTGCATATTATTTATTTATTTAGTTATTTTATTAGAGTCGTTCACCATGATGATATATGAAATGCATGGAGTTTTAGTTACACACTTCACTAGGAACAGACTCCAGGCTTGGATCTCCGCCAGTATCAAATTTTCTAAACAAATTCTTTCAAGTTCTATTGATCTATTCATAGAAACTGGATCCATAAAGAGCTTTGATCTTTTCCACGGCTCAGGGGTCTTGAACCCTGGAACATCCACTCAACAATCCATTCAATCGTAGCCAATAGCACTACAATTAAGAAGCTCGGCTGAATTACTCTTATTGCAATAGAAAATGATTATTTTGTCTGATCATTTCGGCATGTATACCCGACAAATTCCATCAAACATGAGGCGTTTATTCATCATCTTCGAGTCACGGCTAATAGTAAAGACCTCTTTGAAAGTACATCCAAGCTAGAGTAGGGAAAGCCTAAGTAAATAAGCTCTATCTTTACCTAGGTAATCAAATACCACTGGCAGTGCTTCAATTCAGAGAATTCTCCTACTCGGGCAGAGAAGTACTACATGTAGTTGTAGTACAATAATGGATAGGAACATAGTTCCGACTAGGTATGGCTCACCATGGAACTCCACAAACTCAATTCAATCACTCTATACTGGGTATCTATGTGGACATCAATTACAGATCTCAAAGAAAACTTGAATCTCAACGTATAACTCGGATGACCCGGCAACAGGGAGCTCTTGTTACACGGCTACGTGCATATCGTGGTGATAGTGTCGCACAATGAATATCACTGTACTGCAGGCACGAGTGCAGACTGAAATGCGGGTTAGGATGCAAATCCCAGTTCAAATCTAAATACGTGTCAGGTACAGTATGCATGTTGGTGCATGATTTGTAGTACAAGTTCTCCCTTGCAGGTCTAGAATTCTATTGATCATATTCAAATGTTGAGTTTTAGGGAAACTGGTAGGACCTTCGTAGTGAGTTTGATCTACAGTAGACCTTGACTTGAAGTGGTAAATAACATTTGAATTTGAATATTAGTTTCTAGATCATTTGATCTATGATAAAGTAGATACATGTGGGAGATCACTCATGGACAACATGGAGATCATTGAAAAAGGTACAAAATCAGAAAAGAAAAAGAAAAACCAAGCGTCATTTCAATCCAAACACCCGGTTCCAGCCCAGTTCGCTTCATCCATGAGGCATGATTAAAAACGTAACGTACTCATAAAAAGAAAGTACGGGATTTTTTTTTACAACTGGATGAAAGCACCAACCAGAGCCAGGAGGGAAATGGGAGCGAAGTAGTTGCTAGCAACGTTGACAGCGGCATTGTAGGTAGGTGTAGCGCTAGCAGAAGTGCTGGAGCCAGAGCCAGTTCCAGTTGCAAATCCGGAGCTAGAGCCAGTGGTGGTGCTGTTGCCAGAGCTGGAACCAGTGCCCGAGGGGGTAGCGGAGCCGGAGCCGGAGGCAGAGCCCGAGCCCGAGACCTTGGAGCTGCTTCCAGAAACGGTGGAGGAACCCTTGGTGGAAGAAGAGGAGGACTCAGTAGTAGTAGCCGAGGTGGCATCGGTGGTGGAAGTCTTGGAGGACTTGGTGGAGGAAGAAGTGGAGGTGGAGGTAGATGAGGAAGAGGAAGAGCTATCAGTCTGGCTGAGAGCAGCAGCACCGCTCAGACTGATGCTGTCGTAAGAGCCGGAGGTGTCGGTGTAGGTGTAGGACTCAGCGGGGTTGGAGTTGGTGATCTCGACGGACTTCACGTACATGGTGAAAGGAACATCGGCGTAGTCAGTCTCGCCGCCGGCCCACTCGATAGTTCCCTCACCGTTGGTGGGGTCACCACCAGCCCAGATACCAATGCGGACACGCATAGGAGTCTGAGGGAATCGGGTACCGCTTGAAGCATCGGCGTACTCGAGAGTTCGGACGGAAACACCGTCAATGTACCAGATGATGGCATCCTTCTGCCAGGACACCTTGTAGGTGTGCCATGTGTTCTGAGGATCGGAGACGGCGGGCCAGGTATCACGGTTGTAGGTACTGGTGTCGCCCTTTCCGAAGTAGTTGGTCTCAATTTGGGTGGAATCTCCGCCAAGAGCCTCCTATAAAAAGAAGTCAGAAGATGTATCACGAGGGTTCCAAAATTAGAAGTAACAAGAACAATAAAATAAACACAGGGATTGGAGGAAATCGGCAATCGGAAAGGCCGTGGAATGTGGAGTCCATGCTTACCCAGTCGATCTCATCGAGGTCATCAGACTCGAAAACGATACTGCTCACGATACCAGTGCCAGGAGCAGCCTTCATGGTAACAGAGACATCACCGAAGAAGATGTAGAAATCAGTCTCAATGGTGGGCGCATCACCCTGCTTGTTAATGGTGAACTCGGCACCATTGGAGCCAGTGTTAACAGTTCCAGCGGTGGTAGTCCAGTCATCAAGACTCTGAGTGAAGTCGAAGCTCAGATTAGACTCAGTTGTTCCCTTATCAGCGGGGCAAGTGCCGTCCAGGGGGTTGCAAGTAGTATAAGTTTGAGCGGAAGCCTGAGCCACGGCCAGAGCGGCGGCAGCGAACTTGAGAAGAGAAGGCATTTTGGAGAGTAGTTAAACACGCAAAAAACCCGAGAAGCGAGAGACAAGGGTATAAAAGTAACGAGAGAGAGAAACGAGTGGATCAAACGATTTAAGTCCCCGGGTTCAGCACGATGAGGGGTCCACGGTAGGGAGATGGGGTCTTTATGTACTAAAAGTAATAGAGACGGAGACTCCGTAATAGTATTTTTCCCTTAGTATAAAAATGGGATGTAAGAGGGTCTCCCCTGGGGCTCCATTGCTCAACTTGAATTAATTTGATTGGATTATGAAGTGGCAAAGGCGCAGGGATAGTGGATCATCATCCCCATGAGCTGCTGGGGAAACATGAGAAGGTGAGACATTTGTGCTCTGATGTCTTGGGGCCTATTTTCGGTCTTTCCTTCTTTCCCGCCACACCCCCAGCCTCTTCACTTACACTACACTTCACTACACTATGATTATGATCACCTTTAACCCTTTCTTACAGTACACCAAGTACTTGAGAATATTGAAATCTCTATTTGAAAAAAGGAGAATAGGATCGTCCGGATGATCAGCCCATCATGTTACAGAATCTCATTATCTCCCTGATGTATTCCACATGGTCCACCGTTTCCACCGTTCATAAGCGAAGAGAACCCTTTGCCCCACCAGCCCCAATTATCCGAGAAACAAGTCTCATCTTTCAATTGTTATTGGAGGAATCCCTGTCAGAGAAGTGGCTTTTATCTTTTATATTTCTTACAGGGCGGGAAAAGAAAAGAAACAAAAAGAAAAAATATCCCTGCAGTTGAGCCATCATATTGGAACTGTCTCGTCCTTCCAATATCCCTACCGAGGTTCTAACTCCTGCTCCAATTATTGAATACAAGTCGCCTTGTTGACTCTCGCTTCTACTTTCCCTTGATAAACTGTCATCTTTAGCGGGTCCGTGCCCAGAAACATGACTGCTAGTGTCGATGCGACCGTCCACTGCACCCCAACGCGGAGGAGCCTAAACATTTGCTAGCTTAAGGCCAAATGACTACCTAACGAATTACAGAGTTTTTGCCATGAAATTTTATATTAATAGCCCCTCGCTTGGCAGGGGACCCAGTTTTGACTTTGACCAAAATTTGGGGAGATGTTAATCGAGAATGATCAGTATAATACCGATACCGTGACAAGTAAGTAATATGCATGAAAGTGATGTTCCAAGGTTGTGATATTCAATGTTCTCTCAATATTACACAGGTTAAAGTCCAATTCTCAGGGTCTTCAGGGACTCAGGGACTTGGATGGATCATCCTCCGGTTTTAAGTGGAGACTAGTTATTACTAGTGTCTCGCAGGCTCACTAGTGGTCTTTGCTCAAGTCCTGGCGCTTCTTAACACGAAAAATTAAAATGAGTAAACAATAAGAGAAATGAATTTCCTTTATTCATATCATCGTAAGATACTGGTCATCATACCGAGTAGAGCCCCATGACATCTTGAGTCTCCCCATCCGGAGTCGTTCTCCGTGCACGGTCTGCGTCATTTGGAATCCGATAGGTGGATATCAACAGCACAGACCAAATATCAAATAAAAGGAGAACAGAAACTAATAAACTAAAAAGAAATGACTATAGGGCCCGTCAATGGGACATTGACCTGCTTGCTCATCGTCTCCCGCTCAGCATCAAACAAAATGTCATCCCGACGACGAACAGGTCCCTTACTCTGACCTAAGACTGTCACCGACTCAATCATAACCTGCTCTGCACGGTATCCAAACTCTCCATGGATATCTAACTTCCCATGACTGTACTCAAACTCCACAGTAGACGAACTCGCAGGATGAAGTGACTCCCCATCATCGAGGTACAGCTGACCCTTTGCATAATTATCTGCGTTCGGTGCAACAACAATCTCGAATCCGCGGCGTCGGAGCTCAGCCGTCGTCTGCGCGCTTTGCGATCGTAATGGAAGTACAAAGCCCCCGCGAATATGAATCGGGATCTCGGTCATTGCGATACCCGTCAATGTAATGGGTTTGCTTCTTCCGTGAATGGTCTTGCCAGTATGCCAGTCATAGAAAGTATCATTGGGGAAGTAAGCATTCACAGAGGTTTGTCCCTGGTCTAGAACTGGAGAAATCAGGATCGCATCACCGTAGAAGAACTGTGCTTCGTTACCGAAGGTTTGCGCGTCTGCAGGATACACGTAGAAAAGTGGCTGCAGGAATGGCTCGCCTGATATTGCCTGTCGGTGAAAGGCTGTGTACAGGTAATCCAATAATCGGTAACGAATATCAATTATCTTGCGTGCGGCAGAAGCAACACTCGGCCAGCGGTAGAACTCTTGTGGTACACTGCCTAGTTCGTTGTGGTTACGGTAGAATGGGTAGAATGCACCTAGAGTGGCCCAGCGCGCGCAGAGCTCTTCTGTTGTGTTTCCGCCAAATCCACAGACATCCGAGCCGACCATGGGGATTTGGAAAATCGACGCGAATTGAAGCATCTGCGCAATTGAGATGCGGTATTTGTCCCAGTCGCTGCGGTTATCTCCGAGCCTTTAGGGCTGTTAGTATGGGTTGAGTTTGGATGAGAGGTCACTTACCAGTGACCAACATGGGCTCCTGCACCAGCGAATGTACTACGGGTGATAACTAAAGGTCGAACCTTGGGACTGCGTTGAAGCATGGCTTCACGACAAGCAGAGCTCATCACTAAGGACATTGGATATTAGCAGGGCACACAGAACGTAATAGTTATAGTGTGTGGGTGAACTTACTGGTACCATAGAGGTTGTGAGTATCATACTCCACATAACCCTTCCCAGCATGCACGAGATCGGTATCAATTGTCTTATTGCTGAGAGATCCAGCGGCATTGGCGATCTGATACTGAGGAGAGATTAAATCACGACCGGGCAGCCCAGCCTTCTGACCCTTGGTATCTCGAGTACCAAGCTCAAGCGACCGCTTTGCACGATAGCCATGAACTGGCTGGAAGTTCCGGGGGAAACCAGGCAGAGGACGTGGAGGTGAGCGAACTGGAGGAGGTAATGGAGGGAGGTTATTCTCGAGAGAGTAATGCGCTGGGTCTTTGCAGGGCCAGGAACAGAAGTTTGCAGCTTCATTCATATCGATCCAGAGTCCGTCGATATCAACGCCATCTTTCTTGTTGAAGAAGCGCTCGAATTCGTTGTTCCAGTAGGCTTGCGTGTCGGAGTTGAACCAGTCGGGATACACGGTGACACCGGGCCAGACAGCACCTATATCGTGAGTTATGTTTTGCATGATTTACTGGATCTGTCGTGGTGAACATACCTTGGTACAGAGTGTTCTCATCACGGTACATGAAGACGCTGCGCTCCCGTCCTCGGTTAAAGGCACCATTATCTATGTCGGATTAGTATGTCCAAGTACCTGAGTTTCCCATCATCTACTTACCACTGTCACTAATGGCAGGATCGACCATCACGATGTAGTGCTGATTATGTTTGTGAAGATACTTCACCAACTCAGTCACCTTCTCGAGAGGGAATCTCAAAGGATCCAGCGTAAAGACACGACGGCTATCCATGTAGTCAATGTCTGTCCACATGGTCTCCAGAGGAATATGAGCATGACTGTAGTTGTAAACAACTTCAGCAACCTCATATGCATCCTGGTACCCATAGCGACACTGATGGAACTAAAGCGAGAGTTAGCGAGGAAGTCTGCATTCCAGGATCTGTAACACTTACACCGAAGGTCCAGTAGCTCTGCATTGCTGGCAGGCCAACAATTTCGGAGTACTGCTTGCTAACATCCTTTGGTGTGGGTCCAGATAGGAAGTAGAAATCAAAAACACCTCCAAGGGTGTTGTACTCCAAGTACTGTTTGCCATCATCGGTCTTGTCGATCTTGATATCCATGCCATTGGAGTTGAGGAAGAACACGCCGTGAGAACCTGCTTCTCCACGATGATCCACGTAAATTGGGTGATTACTGTACAGGTTACTGTTTGGTGGAATGCCATATGCATCGCGGCTCCATAGGGTACGGGTGTAGTTGGTAGTCGGCAGACGCAGCGAATCAGAATGTTCGCCCAAACCATACAGATTTGGGTTATCAGGAAGCCAGGTACGAAGGTTCAAGTATTGAGTCTCAAAAACAATTTTGGTGCCTGTAGTATCGAAGAGAACTTCATCTTCACGCAGGACGCGGAAACTGAAAGGCTCAGGCTGGTAGTCGAAACGAAGAGCAGAATCATCGGCGTTGGTACTCTGAGAAGAGGGGCGAGGCAGAACAGACTCAGGAACCTGGTAAACCTCCTCATTGGCATCGTAGATCATGACATGAAGGCGATTGTCTGGTGTCTGGTATTAGTTATGCAAGTTATATGACTTGAAAGTGATAGAACGTTAGGATACTGACCCTTCTGGTACTCCACAAGTAGCTTCAAGTTAGGCAGATCACTTCCATACAGATCACAAGCATCGTTAGCCAAGACCAAATCAGCCGTGAGAGAGTTGTCGTGCTCGTTAATGTTGATCGCATTGTAACCAGGGCACTGGTCAGGGCCGTCAAGGGGAGGTCCAATGACTGTCGCCTGCACAAGCGCGAGTAACAGGAACAGGAATAGTCCCAACATGTTGGAAATTTGACCAAAGGGCCGTTAAGCACGCAAAGACGGGAATGAAATTCGCAAGGGGATTGGGAGAGCCCAGAGTTCTTATGATGAACTGAACTGGACGTGATGAGGATGTGTAGGGGAAAGGTGTAACCAGAGCAAAATGTAAACAAGGCGTCAAGAGAGAGAAGTTAGACAAAGATAATATCCAATTATTTCATGATATTGTAAGACTAAACGAACCCCAGTGAGAGATCAAGTGGTCTGCCAGATCTTTCTCTTCATGATCCACACCTGGCACATACACTATACCTGAACTCAGTGTGGAAACACGGGCAAATATCGGATGATTTACTTTGAAACTATAGAGAATCACAGGCTTTTCTGTCTTGATTGTTTTCAGTTTATCCTACAATGAAAGCGATGAGCCTCAAACATGTATGTGATCGAAAGAGCTTCACAATCTAGCTATTTGTGCGAATTCATAAGCGAGCCATCAGATGTCTAAATGACATTCTTAGGTTATAATGTTTGGAAGACGAGGATTGCCTGATCAAACTATTGATCAATTATCATTCTACAAACAAGGATGATAGAGTACATGTCTGTAGTAATCTGTGTTGTTGTATGAGTACCGATGGTGACTACATGAAAGAGCCTCAGGCTGTGAAGTCGATCCCATTCAACAGATACCATTTAGTATATCTGAATATCTCCCAGATAGATTTATCAATGAGCTATGAATGATACATAGTATTTTTCATTTCCAGGTCTGCGCAGCCCTAGATTTGAGCCATGCAAGAGTTATCTGCAAATGCACGCACATCTGTTGTACAGAGCACATTTAAGTAGATCTGATGTCATATAGAGCACTTACTTCAAGTTGTGCAATTGAATTTAATAAAAAAAACATTCTTTTGTCTACAAATCATATCAGATGTGAACCTTTGAATAGGAAATATCATGATAATTGATGACACTTTACAAGATCATGGTTTAATCCACTTGGGCAGCTAGTGTACATGTGATTTTTCCATTTTGATTGAGTGACTTGAAGCTTCAGTTAAAATTTTGAATCATTTTTGCTGTATTTATTCTCTTTTAATTGAATTTAGTTCAGTCCTAGTATGCCAATTGGTCTGAATTCCAGATAATTCTAATTTTGAGACTGCTGTACCGAGCACATTGCCAACTTTTGATGGTATTATCATAGATCAAATGAGGGATTTAAGCCATTCTACAGGAGTAAGCCTTATGCTTGATGCAAGAAGTTTTATCATTATAATTAAAAGTGATAGAAAAATACTCAAGTGCTGCCTTGTTCAGAGACTTAAACGCCTCGGGCCTTAGTCCAGCCTAACGTCAGGGTTCAACATGCATTCTCTCCGATGACCATCATCGTAACACAGCCCAATAGTCATGAGATCAAGTCATAAGTCATGCCTATGAGAGTAAAAATTGGTCAATTGACCTGATCATAGGTGGAAAAGAAAATCTTGGCTATTTAAAGCTTATGGACCGGGTGATGGACAGCCAACCCGGCTTGGATCGACGAATGAAATCTTGCTTGGAGAACAAAATTCGGACAGAAATCATAACAATACCCCCACTTGCAGGTGGGCTTTTGTGCCCAGCCATTACACATCATGTTCCAGTTGATAATTGAGTCTATAAGAATTAATCTGTGCCTTCAAACTATATGGAAAAAGAGGCAAGCAGAGACAATATCAAGAATTGGCTGACGGCAGATATTACGCATTATGCAACATCACGATATAGTCTCCTTCAATATAATTTCAGGGGCCTGGAATATTCTATCCATTTAAATACCTATGGTAGCACATCTTGGTAGAACAGTGAGTCCCTCATTGGTCCATTAGTAGTATCAGTGACGGGATTAGTGCTTTCGCTCCATCAAGGCAACAACTTTTGGTCTTTTCTCATCCCATTCATCCCAGGTAATAGCAAAAATGGCAGTATGTCTGCCCCGTAGCTCTCCCTTGGTTCCATTCCTCTTCTCCAGTTCTTCAGCGGAATCTCCAAGCGTGAATGCACGATGCCAACGCGCAATGCCCTCAAACTCAAACCCCATTCGCAATGCAGCTCTCCGAGAGCCGGCATTCTCAGAATGGCACTTCCATTCCACGCGTCGCAGACCTAGACCACCAGCAGGTGGTGGGTCAAGAGTATACTTCAATAATAGACCAACTGCATTTGTCGCGACATGTGTCCGCTGAAATGCCGGGAAAATCATGATACCGATCTCAGTGGCGGCATTTTCTTTGCTTGTGGCTGTCAAAGCCATAGTCCCGGCATAGGCGTCACTCTCTCCCGATACCCTGGCTGTAGCTTTATCGATAATTGCATATAGACATTCACCCGGCGCATCTCGAACAGGAGCCCAGAAACTCTTGATGAATTCTTCATTTGATTCGAACTTTGGAAAAGGGATAAACTTCAAAAGGTCATGGGTCTTCACTTCATGAACGAGTTTTGACGTGTGGATATCTTGCTGCATGATGAGAATTAGTTTTGCTCTGATATTTTCGGGTTGATGGACCTACGTCGAATGGGACCAGAGAGATCAAGTCATTCTCAAGGATCTTCTGTTCGTAGTAGAACTCCCCTGCAGACATTTTGAATTCAAATGGCAACTGGTCAACGTGGGTAGGCTTAGTTCTATCTCTCAAATCTCCTTATTTTCTTGGATAATGACTCTCAGATTCGAATTCTCGAGATTCCAAGGTTGCCTGTTTATCTGAACCTTTCCCCCACTTTTTGCTGACAGCCCCAATTCATACTAGTAGATTACTAATGGCCGATTTGGAGGCCTTATCGCAGAAGAACCTTCCAGAGTGGCTGGCTTCACAAAGACCCGTGGACGTTTTCCTTCCAAAGTTCCATGTAAAATGTTTTGTTTGGGTGTGAGGTATTGGAACGAAGTGTCCCGAAATGTCTATTCGGAATTATATTCTATGCCCACTCCTACGAGTCCTACCACGGTATCCACGGATCATGATGAAGGTCACGGTCATATCATACTAGTAGGCTAACAATTATCTATTAAGATATATATACGGTCAAAGTCCTAAGTTAAGAAACTATCTCACAGTCATAGAAAACACCAAGAGGAACACCACCAGTTGTGTGGTTATACCCAAGATTCAACGCCATAATTTGGCCAACAGTGGTACCATAAAATGTCGCGAAGTCCTGGAGCGTGCCATAGGTAAAGGTAAAGACGCTTGCCGTGCAAATGCTGTTATCACAAACAGGGATCTTGATAGTTTCGCCAGTCTGGAGCACATCATAAGGACCTGGATTCAAGGCAGCGATGTAACCTGTTTGAGCAGTCTGGTTCAACACCGATTCGACAGTGATATTATAACGCTCGTTGGCAATCTTTTGAACAGTGTCACCAGGCATGATCGTGTAGACGTGAGGACCGGCATAGACGCAGTCGTTCGTGGCGTTGGTATTATTCTGACTAAAGCAGGAATAGTCATCTGGGAAAGTGGCTCTTGCTGGGATGAGCAATGTCTCATTTGCGTAGATGAAGTTTGGATCGGCTAGCACGTTCACTCGAGCTACATCACATGCTCCAACGCCGAATTTCTTTGCAACGTCGAAGATTGTCTCATTTCCTGTGACTGTGTATGTGACGTTGCTTAGTGCAATATCGAGGTTGAGAACTGTTCCAGTGCTTGGGAGAACTAATGAAAAACCAGTCAGAATATCCTTTGTATGAGTGAAGAAAGTCTGGGGATCCTAACCATCATAAGACGTAGCAGCTGTTACAGGGATCGCTTGAGTAATGCCAGTGAGTGAAAGCAAAGCAAAGCAAGAGCCGGCGGCAGCTAGATTTTGAAACATGGTGGATGATTTCAGTGCTTTAAGCCTTGGACATTTACAAGTAACAAGCTTTCGAGAGCACCTGAGAACTTGAAGTCGATATCAGCCACTGAGAATCCGCTGATTGGAATTGAATCTTCCAAGGTTGTCTCATTAAATTTCTCCTACACGGGCTCAATTGCAGTATTTATAGTGCATTCCAACCTTGGAAAGAGACCCGACACGACGTCCATGTTGAACAAGGCTGGCATATCCATCAATGGATCTGTATTAAGAATTTACCCGAAATCTCTCAAGCCACGTCATGTTTTGATATACCAAGGCCTTAATTTCAACACTTGTGCATAGTATGCATATACTATCCTCGAATGTTTGTCATGATAGGTCAATTTACTGGGCTTTCTTGCTCGGGAGGTCGGATTCCGGGCCTGTAGGCCTGACTCAGGATATCACCTCCATCCCCACAATGTCTCCGCATCCCCGGACTTCTCGCCAGAGCCCCACAATATCGAACACATGGACAGTTCATTTGTTGATTTTTACGTTAACTACTCTATAACCCATTGGCAGAGGGCTCGGATATCCCCCGAGTTCGGACCTTGAGTACGATTTGGGTTAATATCACGTTTAGATACAAGGTTTTATGCATTTAATTGAGAGGTTTCTTTTTGACTCCGAATCCCCACATCAACTTCCAAGGTTCGGCTTTCACTTCTCAATTCATCTTGGGGCTTACGCCACATTTCTCCAGTGGAGGGATCCACAAGTCTCTCGGGATAACTTCGTTGATGATGGTAAAAAAGCACTAAGATTAGTGGGTGTGAGTGTTGTATGTATTAAAACCATGGCACCGGGGGTTGATTCAGGATCATCAGTAAGTGATTCTTTGATTAAAATTCAACTTTTGCTGTATGCATGGCTGGAGATTAGCTTTCCAATTCCAAGCTTATTTCACGTCTAGGAAATTGATAGAAAAATTCATCAAAGAGTGGGGCTCCGAGATAGGGATCAGCTCTCGGTCAAGGCTTTCCAAGGTTTTTTGTTGACTTACGTGTTTCTAGTAGTAGTAAAAGTTACTAGTCAGTCTTTTTAGCACGCATTCTGAGCAGAGGTCTGACTGCTCTTTGCTACTAGTATGCAGTTTTTGGTCGTGTCACTCATGAAATTCTGTATAATCAACAAATGGGTAACACGTGAACCAGGATAAGAGCGGATGGATATCTTCAATTGTCACTTCTCGGAGTCCAAGCAATACCATGACTACCATCTCCATAGGCCGCACTGAACTTTCTATCTAGTCCAAGGCAATGTGGAGATGCACCTGCCCACTTGGGTAGGCTGGTAGTGCGTTTGGATTCCCCTCGCCGTGGTGCCCATTATTATGCTAATACCGATGATAAGTGGAGTCATTAGACCTAGCAATGGAAAAAGACTCACGCGCTCTTCAATGTCGTATTGTTCATTCAAGGCCGGAGGGGAGTGGGTATAATTTTGTACATGTGTGGCTTCGAAGGAAAAGGCGGTCCAATACCCATAAGAAAGACAAGTCTGTCGTCAAACGGGCACAATTCCTGGAACAAATGTCTTTCATGATCTGGCAAGTTGAACCGACTCAGCATATTCAGCTTTGCGTGAACCAGAAGTATCCTCATCAAGGAGAGTGGAGCTGGACTGGGCAAGGTATGTTTTCACGCTTTCCAAGAGGAAGATGTCCATTAACAGGTGGTCCGGCTTAATCAAAAGAGTACAACCGGCGAGCATGGTCAAAGAGTGGTAATAGTTCACTGCTTTTTTTCGGGTCTATAATACTCGGGAATGCCTCAGTCGAGTAGGATCAACGAAAAGATTATCATCATAGAGATCACCGTGCTGAGATAGACTCATCTTGCGGTAGAAGATATTCCAAAAGTTTCAAATAGCTTTGCAAGGCTACTCGCAACTTTCTTTGCCCGAGTTGGACAGTATGTAGACCCAAAATAGTCAACCGTAGGAATCTTATGTGCTATGGACATGTAGTCTCTCGGTGCCCGGTGGTAAGTTGGTGCTGTAGGATATCGCTCCCTAGATAATCATATATCAGAAATGACTGGAGCCATCATATAGAGAAGAGCAGCTAACATTCAAGTGTACCAAGTTGACCACGATCCAATCTCATTCCTACCATCGTCAAGTCAAATTAGTATCTGTCAGTTAGCTCTTGCTGCCATATCGGACAGTTCACTCATGTTGGATCTAATGCGGCGCATTCAGTTTGATGTGATTCGTCAAAAATGAAAGCCCCCTTGTGAATTCAAAGAACACGTCCCAAAAGTTCCAATCTTGACGAATCTTTTGGGTTCGGTTATCAACGGTAAAGTGTAGGCCACTGTGAGCCTTCTAGATGATGGAGAAATTAATCTCTGCATTTTGGTGAAATTGGTGTTTTTGAGGGTAATATGCTGCCCAGGTGGTGTTGTTGACTGTATCATAGTAGTATGCAGTAATGGTGCCGGGTGACTGAGATGCAGGAATGCAGGAACATCGGATCTACTCCGTACACCAACTTGAGATGGTTGACTCCCATTTGCCGAATTATTGAAACGAGATTCAACAATTGAATGACTGCTAATTTCAGATTAAATTGTAGAATAGATAAAATGTATACTTAGTTGTAAGAATAAACTTCTTATGTTGTTGGAACCAGGCACATTAGACAAGTGACCACGTGATCACCTCTTCCCTGAAGTTCCCGAGCCGTGAAATCCGCAGATTCTGGTCTCCGTTGTTGCGCCAGACTTAATCCCGCCATTGGACCCCCCCTCGTCCTTATACCAGCGACTGTATTGGGTGACTTTTGCCTGGACCTTAATTTTCGCTCCTTCTCTACTTCCAACAGTCCCAAGATGTCTGCTCCCTCTCGTGCTGTCCTGCGTCAATCGCAGTTCCTGACTCGCCGCACTGCCGTCAGACACGCTTCCTCCTCCACCGAGAAGGCTACCCAGGCTGCTGCTAAGGCCCAGGAGGGTCTCTCCAAGGTCACTGCTACCGCTGGTCCCGCTATCTCCAATGCTGCCTCTGCCCTGCGCAAAGTCGGCGGTCCCGTCGGCAAGGTCGTCTCATTTGTCGACTGTAAGAAACCAACCCCCTCTTGAATTATCAGAATCTTGCAATCGAAGTGGAAAAGTTGCCCGGAGACACTTGCAGTCACGCATCAAGAGTCATTGCGACCATCGGTGCATGTCAAGATGAACTCCGAAGCCCTCCTTGGCTACCCTCGAATTTGCCGAATGTGAAAGTGAAGTATCAGTAGATATATGGGCTAACATCGAATCCTTTCCTCTAGCCATGATCCCCCCCGACTCTTTACTACTCTAAGGTCGGCATTGAGCTCGGCAAGCTGGTTTTCCGTGGCCAGAAGATGTCTCCTCCGTATGTTTCCGCCCTGAGTTTATAACGTACCATGTGCTTCATAAGACCTCACTCTAACACCATTTCTAGCAACATGGCCACCTTCCAGTCCTACTTCCAGCCTCTGACCAACGTCGCCCGCAACCCTGCCGCCTTCAAGACTCTTAACTTCCCCTCCCCCCCAGAACTTCCTGGCTCGCGTCCGCAACGCCAGCCCCAAGGAGATCGCCCTGGTTGGTGTCACCGCTGCTGAGGTTATTGGTTTCTTCACCGTTGGTGAGATCATTGGTCGCATGAACCTGGTCGGCTACCGCGGCGAGGCTGCTTCCCACCACTAAGCACTGAAAAGAACTCGTCTTTCCATTTTCCTTTGTCACCTCCCCCCTTGCGCGTTGAGCTGTGTATGATAGACGATGGGATATAAACTGCCGTCTGAGATAGATTCATTTGTTTAAGAATTCATTTGCCGGGTTTCAGGCATTCTGGCTATATACTTGGCACTAGTAGCTCCGATGTACACATGTGCAGAGTACTAATTCTAAACTCCCACATAATGATACTGGCGTGGTTAGGCAGTTTTGCCAAATATTGATCTATGCCATCTATGGTAGATGACCGGCGATTGTGGTGCAAAAGGCGTCCATTTAGTATTAACAACACTCAAAGTTCAAGTTTTTAAACTTGACTCAGGCGACGCGGCGCTAACCTTCCAAGGTTGGAAGGCTTGTAGTTGTAGTTGATACTACTTGCCCTCCAGGGCTGTTTCTAGCTATGTGATTTCCAACTTGAACCTGATATCACAATGACTATCCTTGAGTCGATACTCTTGCTTCTGGTGCTGTGGATTATTCAACTTTTGTATACAGAGTCCATTTCACTGCCGATCTTGGTATTCTATATGCTGGGCTATGACTACTTACATCTAGTCCGCCGTGTTTGGATGCCGCACCGTTGATTGGGCCGGAACCTCTGTGTGGGTCAATCTTTTTTTCTCTTACAAAATATCCCAAGTCCAGCGATTCGAGATCTTCAAACCGACCACTTCTCAAGCATGGATGCTTTCAGGTTACTGACTCGGTCGACAAAGTTCAGCAAGTCGGCTGCTGCACCGGCAGAGTCCTCCCGACTGCCTTCAACTGGGAAAGCAGCGAACCCGCAGCTCTTCCGTACCGCAGAAGGTGAAAAGCTCGAGTCCGCACAAAATGGAAAGAAGAGGAAGCGCGCAGCTCGCGCAGTCGATGAGAAGACCGAAGAGGATACTGCGGATCTGGATTTCTTCCACTCCAACAAGCGCTCAGCAGCACCTGCGACCGAGACAACAGGACACACCAAGGGCGACCGGGGCCAACCGATAGCTCAAGACGAGTCCGATGAGGAAGATGCCATGGATGAAGTGCAGCGTCGCACTATTCTGAACTCGCACAAAATCAAAGTGACCGATCTTCGCGATTTGGACGAAATCCAACTCCAACCTACGCCTGCCCCCGAGGACTCGAAGAAGAAAAAGAAGAAGTCTAAGAAGGAAGTGCCGGAGCCGGAGCCACAACCTCTCAGCAAGAAAGAGCAGAAGCGCGCTCGAAGGATGTATCCTCAGCCACTGGTTTCTTTTAAGGAACTTCGCTCAAGATATAAGATCTCGAGCCGTTTGGCGGAGAACATTGCTGAGCAAGGGTTTACGGTACCTACGGAGGTGCAGCTGGGCAGTCTTCCTCTGCTGCTGGGCGATTCTTCGGTGTCTACTGCAGGCCAGGTGTCAGAGCCGGATCTGTTGGTTGTAGCACCGACTGGTAGCGGTAAGACGCTTTCTTTTATGATTCCTGTGATCAATAAGATTGTTCGACACCACCACTCCTCGCAATCGGACGAGCATGGTATTCTGTCGCTCGTTGTGGCTCCTACCAAAGAACTTGCCAGTCAAATTGTCAATGAGGGACGGAAGTTGGTTGCAGGCACTGGCGTGAAAATTACCTTGATGAGAAAGGGCATGCGAGTTGTTGAGCAAGAGGATGAGGGAGAATCCAACGCCCTTGACGAGGACAGTGAGGAGTCTGGGTCAGAAGCCGAGAATGAAGAGGAGGATAAACCCAAGAAACAGCGCAACAACGCCCCTGTCACCAAGAGCGACATCTTGGTCACTACGCCCTTGATGTTAGTGAACTCCTTGTCCGCGAATCAAACAACAAGCATCGCCCGTCTCCCCTTGGTGCGAAGCCTGGTGCTAGATGAGGCAGATGTACTCTTGGATCCTTTATTCCGTGAACAGACACTGGATATTTGGCGTTCATGTGTACACCCAGACCTGCGCGTTAGCTTGTGGTCTGCTACCATGGGCTCTAATGTTGAGGACCTCACTCAGTCGACAATTAAAGAGCGCTTAGAGAGCATTGGTCACCCCTCGACCACATCTCATCCTCTTGTGCGTCTTGTTGTTGGATTGAAAGATTCAGCTGTCCCCAATATCGATCACCGACTAGTCTACGCAGCAACTGAGCAGGGTAAATTGCTTGGACTCCGACAACTTCTTCGCCCTGCAGCAGCCTCAGCTTCGGATGTCCGCCTCCGTCCCCCATTCCTCATCTTCACTCAAACCATCCCCCGTGCGATTGCCCTGCATTCCGAATTGAAATATGATATTCCAGCTGAGGCTGGCGGTTCTTCACGCATTGCCGTGCTACACTCAGATCTCTCGGATAGCCAACGATCCGATATTATGCGTGATTTCCGCAAGGGAGAGATCTGGATTCTCGTCACTACCGATCTGCTCGCGCGTGGTGTTGACTTCCGTGGTATCAACGGTGTTGTCAACTACGATATCCCCAACTCTGCCGCTGTCTACGTTCATCGCGTCGGTCGAACTGGTCGTGCTGGTCGCGAGGGTGGTATTGCGGTGACTTATTATACCAAGGAGGATATTCCTTACGTTAAGAGCATTGCCAACGTCATCGATGTCAGTGAAAAACTTCGTGGTGCTGAGGGTGAAAAGTCGATTCAGAAGTGGCTTCTGGATTCTTTGCCAGATCTCAGCAAGAAGGATAAGCAAGAGCTTAAAAAGCATGGTGTTAAAGCACGCCAGATGTCCAAGCAAGTTGGTGGCAAGGACAAGAATGCTGGTCAAGATGGCAAGTCTTCTCGTGAGACAAGAATCAGTACTAAGAGTGGCTTTGAGCGACGGATGGAGAACCGCAAGAGAGGTGCTATTGAGGCCAGTCGCAACAGAAAAGCGACAGCCAACACTGATGGAAATGAGAGCGCAGGAAGCTGGGATGGTCTGGAGGATTAAGCTGCCATTTTCATTCGGTACAGGGCTATCTATGAACTTGCCTGGGCAGTTTGAACTATGTGTATATTAAGTAACCAAAATAATCATCAACGCATTCAGTCATGACCATGAATATTTCTTTCTTCATCATCCATTCTGCCTATCGCTCCCAGAACTTTACCCTTGGCTTTGCTGCTGCTGCTGCGGTTGGGATTTTTGTTGTTGAGTTGGAGCAGAGGGTTCCTCCGCAATTCGTCTGACCAAGTTGACAGGCACGAAAGCATTATCCAACATGCCCTGCTCCTCCAAAACATACGATAATTCGTCCCCATCTCGGTCGAAATAGAGCGCCCACTCGCCTTCCCCCTCCTCAACCGCGTAAAACGATGTGCTCTCCTCTAACATAATCACCTTCTCATCTTCTGTCCAGTTCCACGGTCCAACAGTGTGCTCCACACTCTGGGTTCGATTGCCATACTTCAACTCATGCGTATCTATATCCGCATAGATCCAATTCAAAAGTGGAGGGTTTGCTGATACATAGGTTGGTAGTCCGAGACCACGGTCTAGGTGCTTTGTTTCTTCGAGCTCGGGGTACTCTATGTAGAAGGCAAGGGAGGTAAATGAAGGCACAGATCGTTTGCGAGGGTCTGGATCGTCAAGGTAGACCTGCGCATATTATGACAAGTTAGATCGATATTCCGCATGTCGGACACTTGAAGTTCGTAGATGGCCTACCAATGTACTCACCTTGTCATTCCGAACCACTACTCTTCGCCCATTCACATCTCGATCGTCGTCCGTATCTCCATCGCAGACTGCGTCGATATGAAATTTCACCATTCGTCGCGCGTCTTCCTTGCGTTGGTTCGACTTGCGCTGTTCGCTGACTCCGAATGCCACGCCCGTCACTGTCGGGATCGATGAGAGGGCTAATAGTCCAATCATTTTGGGTGATTTCCAACAGTTCAGGATCTGTCGTATATCTTGTTGGATTTGATTCCTCTTCTATTGCTGGGAGGTTTCGTCGCCGATTGGGTCGTCTTGGTGGCTTTTATGACGATTCGAGACTCATTGGGCCTGGGGGATTCTGCATCTCACCAAACTGGTATATTGTTTGAGTATATGACTGATGCCAGTGCATAGAGACACGATTTTTCTTTTTTGAAGCTTTGATATGTGTAGGAAACAAGAAAGATCTCGATGTTTCATAGATTTGATGCGACACCGACGTCATTGGCCCCACGTGATGGTCGCGTGGGCATTCGCTCTTTCCTGGTGCAACACAAGACTCAACTTCCTTCAATTATCTCAATTATTATAATCGGAATCGCTTTCTTCTAGATGGATTTATATTCTTCGTATATATCTAAACCTCTAGCAGGTCTATCGTGTATCGTCTATTCGTTATATCGTGCATCACTACCACTACCTGAAACCCCGGTCGCAGGTCAACTTACTGGTCATACCTTCTCGCTCCATCCCCAGATAGACCACCAACACTTCACGGCCAACACATCCCCATCCGCACCCTCCCAGTCATCGTACCCGGTCTCTTCGCCCTCTTCAACGATCGCCAGTCCCAGGTCGGTCATCCGCTGACGGAACTCTTGGACCTGTGGCAGATACGCATCACGCAGTGGCATCTCTGCCACAACCCGGGCGTCGAGACCACGACTGAGCCAAGTTCCAACGGTCTGGACAAGCCATGCTGGGTGCTTGGGCGAATACAACGGGTCCGCGGCGAGAATAACATCGAATCGCTCTTCCGCTGTCGGTTGCGGCTCCGGAACTACAGACCAATCCAATACACCTGTGGTCACCTTTGCCTCCGTGTTATTCAAAAGCTCACAGTTCAGAGCCCTGTTGTGCTCCAGATTTGGCACGATCTCCGGAAGATCGGTCAGATGGATTGTGGCAGACTTGCCGTGCAGAGCCGCGAATGCGAGGCCCACAAGACCTGTTCCGGAGCCGAGCTCAAGGGCCCGAAGCTTGTTCTGTGAGTCTGCATGTACGATCGAGGGATCGGTAGGGCCCGAGGGAACGAGGCTCGGGGGTGACTCGAGGAGGCTATGCAATCGACGGGAAAGCAGATAAGATGATACCCAAGTCTTCATGCCCAAATTATCCGACGTGAGGGATGGCTCGTGCAAAGTGAGCGTGAGGTCCTCACCGCAGAAGGTGGGAACACTGAATACTCGCGACATGGCCGGCATGGCTACACGGAACTAGATGTCAGCAACAGATACGCACTAACTAGGAACAAAAACGACATACCAGTTCGGCCAGATCGCTCGCTCAGACGAGCAGCAGCGGCATCCCACACGGCCTCTCGCAGTTCATCGGTGTCCAGCCATGAAAGTGGGCTGGCAATGATCTGCGTGAGATAACGATTGACCCCTGCGGGGTGCACAGCAGGGCCCTTGACTGCCTCGGCGCTGACTCCAAAGGTACGTGGCTGCTGAGTTAACAGTGCCAGCGTCTTCATGAGCTCAGTCCCCGAGGGCTTCTCGTATATCTGGGGCAAATCGAGCACTAGCAGAGATGCTCTTATCAGTTCCACTTTCTTAGTGGCCCGAGAGGAGTGGATTGACGATCTTACCGTGGAGCGGCTCATCCTCTGTAGCACTAATCATGATTCAAGTTTTGGAGGTGTTAAACTCGCCCGCCTGGGAAAGAATCTCCAGGTTCTGGACTTCGAGGGCACTAGGGGGGCTTTTATCGGAGGGCGTCTCGCCGCCGAAGACCCGCCACATCAGAAAAAAGAAATTCCCAATCGGGAAAGGTTGGTTCAAGTTCCGCGGATCCATATTTTGCCCGATAATTAAGGCACTAATTAAATTATGGCGATTTCGACTAATTCACAGGGTTGTATAACGGTCTAGCCTTTCGCGGTGGCTAATAGTAAGCCCTGGAGGTCAATCGAGAATCAATTTCATCTCAATTATACAATGGTCCCTAAATTACCATATGGAAGAGACCATATTATACTTTCAAGTATTCACGCAGGTGCCTACCACTGCGCATTATCAATGCAAAGAAGAGCTATACATCCCGGACCATATAGTAAATGCCCAAGTGGTATCAATCGTCAGTCATATAAAATCCACAACGCCAAGCCCAATGCAACTAGTTCAGTGTCGCCTTGAAACCCTGATATGCTTGCTCGATATCAAAAGCTAACTCTCGCGCCTGATCTTCACTCAGCTCCTCGGTCGCTCTCATCTGATTGAGCGCAATCAGCCACTGAATAATCTTTCCCCGGTTCTCAAAATCTCCATCTGTCACTTTATTGACCGATTGAATCACTTCTGAGAGAAGGGGATGAAGCGCGTCTTTCGAGACCATATTCAGCTTCAAGGCATCCAAGAATGTGATGAAGTTCTCCGTCGCTGCCAGGATAAGACTGCCTGATGCACCACCTACGCCTCCTGACCCTGCAGCTGTGTTATTGGATGTAGAGGTATTGTGCGAGGCCTGTTCGACAGTTGCGGGAAGACCGATTCGGAGTCGTTCGGTAGCGCGAGGACATTCTAACTGTTCATTCATAAGTGTCAGATAACATTCCTTGCTGAGTCTTCTCAGAATCAGGGAACTTACACCCCACGTCCGCTTGAATGTTTCCAAATCAACAAATTCATGCGCCACAGTCTCATCGCCCAAACTAGACTTGTACTGTTTCAATAACCGGGCGCATGTCTCGGTGTATTCTGATTCGGTGACGACGTCCTTAATGTAGGCCTTCTCCAGTCCATCGAGGGTAACGATTATGCTGTAAATCTCCGCGAGAGACTCGTATAAATCTCTCTCGCCTGAGCTTGAAACTAATTTCACCTCCTGCAACGTCGGTCAGTCCTCTTGAACCCCACGTTCCATACAATGGGCCATACTTCATCGAGATTGATTGTAGCCGACCGAGCTGGGTTTGGTGTATAGCTGTACGGGGTGGGCGCATAAGATAACGGGCGCTGCTGAGAATACATCGAAGAAAAAAGCCCAAGGCGAAATAAGAAGAATTGAATCTTGTACTCAGTAGATCTATGATCGCAATTGACGATGGGGAAGCTCTGTCCTTATCGGCAGCCAAAAGGCGGTGGGGAAGGCGGTGCCAGTATTCTCCCGAGCCAAATTTTTTTTTCTTCCAGCGTCGGATTTATCTGCTTCTAGCTAAGGACCGCGAATAAATTGCCCACTATGGCCGGAGCAAAGAAGTCGACTAAGAAGTTCGAGTCCAAGCACCTCAAGGATGTCCTTGAGCGTCGCAAGGCGACCGCCAAGATCAAGCAGCGCCACCACCTGAACGACAAGCGCAAAGAAAAGAACGCCAGTCGCCGCGCCGCCGAAGAGGAAGATAACGAGTCGGATCCCGAGGAAACCAAGAAGCAAGGTTTCGCTGATATGAATGTCGATGACTTCTTCGCTGGTGGTTTCGATATTACCGAGTCCACTGCTAGCGGTAAGAAGGCCAGCAAGAAGGATGTCACCCCCAAGATTGGCAAGCGCAAGCGTTCTGAAGATACCAAGAAGGAGGAGGAGGCCAGCGAAGATGATGATGACGCTAGCAATGCTGATGCATTCGATGAGCACAAGGATCAGCTTGAGGCATTGAAAGAGAAGGATCCCGAATTCTACAAGTACCTGAAGGAGAACGATTCAGAGCTTCTCGATTTCGGCGACCAAGGCGATCTCTCTGAGGTTGATGAATTGAGTGAAAGCGAGGCGGCTGAAGAGGAGGAGGGTCCCGCCAAGAAGAAGAAGAAGAAGTCTAAGAAGCAGGAGGAAGAAGAGGAGGAGGAAATCATCGACAACACATTGACTATTCCTATGGTCAAGAAGTGGCAGACTTTGATGGAGGAGCAACACTCAATTCGGGCTATGCGCCAGGCTGTTCTGGCTTTCCGTGCCGCAGCATCTGTCAACGACCCCAATGCCCCCGAACAAAAGTACACTATCTCCGACCCTAATGTCTACCACCAGGTGCTTGTGACTGCATTGAATGTCGTCCCCAAGACTCTGGCACACCACCTCCCTGTTAAGGAGACCGCAGGAGGCAAAGTCAAGGTCACTCTTGACTCCAAGAAGTTCAAGACCCTCACATCTCTGATTAAATCACACACTTCCTCAGTCCACCAACTCTTGCTCAACCTGTCGGACGCTTCCACTCTGAAATTGACCATTGAATCCATGGAGCCCATGCTTCCCTACCTTCTGCAGTTCCGCAAGGTTCTCAAGACACTCATCAAGATTGTTGTCGGCATCTGGGCCGATGTTTCCACCAATGATGCTACACGAATCACCGCATTCCTCTTGCTACGCCGTCTTACAACCATCGGCGATTCTGGTATCAAGGAGGCCGTTCTCAAGGCTACTTACGAGGGTGTAGTGAAGGGTAGTCGCAACACCACTATTCACACTCTTGCCGGTGTCAACTTGATGAAAAACTCGGCCGCCGAACTCTGGGGCATTGATCAGAACGTTTCATACACCACTGGCTTCAATTTCATCCGACAATTGGCAATGCACTTGCGTAGCAGCATTACCAACACCTCCAAGGAGTCCTATAAGACCATTTACAACTGGCAATACGTACACTCTCTCGACTTCTGGTCCCGTGTGCTCTCACAACACTGTGATGGACTTGTCGAGGCCCAAGTCGGCAAGCAGTCCGCCCTGCGTCCGCTGATCTACCCCGTCGTTCAGATCACTCTGGGTGCCATGCGTCTCATCCCCACTGCACAGTACTTCCCGCTGCGCTTCCAGCTGACTCGCGCTCTGCTCCGTCTCTCGCGCGCCACCGGCACTTACATCCCGCTCGCCTCTTCCCTGCTGGAGGTCCTTAACTCTGCTGAGATGCGCAAGCACCCCAAGTCCAGCACCCTCAAGCCCCTCGACTTCAACACCGCCATCCGTGCTCCCAAATCCTACCTTCGCTCCCGTATTTACCAAGATGGTGTCGGAGAGCAGGTCGCTGAGCTCCTGTCCGAGTTCTTTGTCCTGTGGTCTAAGCACATTGCTTTCCCCGAACTTTCGGTCCCCATCGTTGTCTCCCTTAAGCGCTGGCTGAAGCAGGTCTCTGTCCGTAATGGTGGCAACAAGAACGCGAAGATCAACCAGATGATTCTTTTACTTGTGCAGAAGATCGAGGCTAACGCCCGCTGGATTGAAGAGCGCCGTTTGAATGTTACTTATACCCCTCGCAACCGCACTGAGGTTGATACTTTCCTTAAGGATGTTGACTGGGAGACTACTCCTCTCGGTGCATTTGTTAAGACTCAGCGCAAACTGAGGGAAGAGCGTGCTGCTGTTCTTGAGGAGGGTCGTATTGAGGAGGAGAAGCGCCGGGCTGAAGCTAAGAAAGGTGATGAGGACGAGGCGATGAAGGACTTTGGCAGCGATGAGGGCAGTGACGATGAAGATGAAGAGGAGCTTGAGAGTGAGGATGAGATTGAGGAGGAGGAAGAAGATGAGGAGGAGGAGGAGGGAGAGTACGAGGAGGAGTGATCGTATCATCCCTCTCATATCATGTCTCTTGTGTATATCTCTTTTTATGTCGATCTACTAAACTCCCCGGATATTCCGCATCAAAAGAATCTGGCGTTTTCTCTTTTTTCATATTTTCTACATAACGAAATAAATTTTCTTCTGCAAACATTCGTGCAATACCATTATTTCATTCCTCATGCAATTCTATGTACTCCAAGATAATATTATCTTAGACACGGATCTATCGTCATTCAATGCTACGCTCAAATGCAAAAAGAATCAAGCAACCTCATCTAAACCTCTCCAACAGGCATACGACCCTGTCCCCAAGCCTGTGCTCTCTCCCTTCGAAACTGAGCATCTTCCTCTTCCGCCCAAGCCAAAGACTCAGTCGGCAGCATAATTGCTTTATCAATAGCAACCGGCAATCCGCGATGTCTTCCTCTCAATGCAACAGCAGCAAGAATCAACTTGCTAATAGGATGCCAGGCTCCACAAAACGAGTAGTTCTTCCCAGGGTATCCCACACTAACCCCAACACAACCATAAGCTGACACAACCTCAAAAATAATGTTAAAGGTGGAAAATGCGACAGGCTGCGCATTGAAGTGGTCTGATTCTGCGATTGCGATGAAAAGAACTGCGAGTGCGATCCACCAGAGGTCGTGGCTTAGTTGAGATCGCAGTTGCTGGTGAACGAAGTACCCGCGCGAGGTCTCCGAGGCGCTGGGTCGGCCCAAATGGTGTCGGATTAGGTCGACGAAGACGTTACTGCGGCTTGTGTTTGCGGGTGATTCAGAGGATTCGTCGTTGGCGTAAATGCCCAATGATCGTTCTTCGTACACGTTTGTGTTGCTAGTGGTTGTTAGGACACAATTTGTGACCGAATATTAGGTGACATACCGCATGGTTACCAGTACTGGGAACGCTGACACATACTGTGTTCTGTCAGTTTGTTTGACCTAAAGAAAGTTTTGATACTGTGCTCGATCTTACCATCATGAGAACTGCGCGATTGTTAGCTACGGTCCGGTTTGATATCAAGAAGTGGACAAAACTTACCATAGAGAACAAGGAGACCTTGTCGTAGATCAGAAATCGTGACCACGTAAAAACCACCAGAGCGAACAGCTAAGTCACTTGTTAAATCACATAGAACTTATTCATGAAGTATGGTTGATACGTACCAACTGCTTGGAACAAACCATCTAACACTCGATACTTGTCAGGAAGATCCTCTATTTCTTTGTTTCCAATAGACAGGATCTCAAAGCCAGCCCAGTCAATCGCGTTGAGCACGATGATTGTACCAAGAAGATACCAAGTATGGCGTGCCGGGAACAGATTCGTGTATACCCTTCTTGGATGATCTAGGATGAAATCAAGAGTAACTCGCCATGAACTCCATTCCGGACGATCTGGCAGCATAATTCGCATGACCCAAATAATAAATCTCAGGAAGCAAGGGTAGAGTGTGTTTCCAGCGAGAATAAGCATAGCCATAGTGAGAAGGGGGTACGCACTAATAGAATATTAGCAGATGTTGCATAGTTAAAAATAAAAAGGGATCTCCACTCACTTCAATTGCAAAGCAGTCACATTCGCGTCCAGGAGAGCCATTCCGCTGTTGACAAATGCCGATACGGCAAAGAAAGCACCTGTCCAGAATGGTGAAAGCCCATTCGAGCGGGCAATTTCTGGATGGTTAACCTGAATCCAGGTTCCGACGCCGATGGCTCCAAGAAGCAGGAATAAAATCAAGTACAGTGCTACGACGACCGAAAGAAATGAAACTGCCTTGTACTCGACGCCACCTAGCTTCTCTCGCTCGGCAGATGTTAAGCCATGGAATTGAGAGTTTCGAGAAACAAGTCCTTTTGAAGCGAAGTATTTCTGTGTGCCGCGGAGGATACCTCCGAACTTGGACTTGCCTGTTTCATCTGCGTACATGTGAACTGGCGCCGCATCCCGAGGGTGATTGTTCAGATCTGGACGAGCTCCAACACCGGCCATGGGAAATACTCGGTGGTGGTGATGCCGAGCTAGTGTATCGGCGACGGTAATTTGATCGTCATCCATATCCCATGCGATTTGACCTTGAGGAGATTGCTCCGCAGAGACCTCTTGTACATCCACAGTGGCATGTTGTCTCGGTTTGCAGTTTTGATCATCTAGTTCGTGTGCCGAAGACTCGCCACTCTCTGCATTCTGCATCTGCATATCCACAATTGAAGCCCGAGCACTTTTGCGCTCTTCCGATACTCCCCGGAATTTTTCCTCAAATGCTCGTTTGCGAACCATGAGCACTGCCAGGGAGACGGTTATCGCGGAGCCCAAAATAAGCAGAATGAACAAAACGACCTGTTGAAAGGTGTTGAGAGTTGATAAATCCACTGTATTCAGACCCGCGCCAGTCATGGCACTGACGCACAAGAAAATAGCATCGACATAGGCAACGCTCTTCCATGGAGTCGAAGTCAAATAGAAAATGATACTGCTAATTAAACAGGTCGCAATGAAATAGACATAGTGTAATGTCAAAAAATTAGCAGGCGGCGAAATGGCCATCAGAGCTCGGCCTATGGGTCCTTGCCATAGTACTGAAGGTTTGTTAGATATTAGGTACTATTAAAAGGGGGAAAAATCCCAGGGAAAAACTCACGGCTGAGCCTCGCACGGATTCTCATTTTAGCTGCAGGTTGACCAGGATTATCAGATAAGAAGAATCAATCACCAATTGGAAGAAAAGCCCCCGCCTCGTGGAGGATATGTCGGTGTGCAGACCGGTATAACGACACGCTACTAGTACTTCACATGCGCAGTCTGCTCAACCGTGAACGTTTTGGATGACAGAAAACTGACAATCCATTAATGTTCTTGAAGGCTTTCCTCTCAAAATATTTGAAAAGGAGAGTTCCAAGAACTTGAACCTCGCCCAGTATATCCGTGCAGAAAATAATGTGGGTTAATATAGTAAGAAATTTTCTGGCGATGAACGGCGCCCCACTTGGAGCCTTATTTTACGTATCAGACAAAATAGGGAGGGGAGATCAAGTATGAACCTTGGAACTTGACAGTGTTTCATATTTAGAAATAATATGAATAAAAAATGTATAAAAAAACACTAGTTTGTATAAGCTGAAGAAATTACTACTAGTGAAATCTTGGGGTAAAGGTCAGGGACACATTCCAGTGCTCTTGATTCCCCTTGCGTGGCGTAGGGCTGGGACCACTTTTCCCGGCATAACAAAGGGTCTCAAAGTACTAGTATGGAGTACATCCCGAGGTAATCATTGAGAAAGCATCTTGTGCACTCGCTTGACTAGACTCTGTTCAAATTGCTCCACCCCGTTAGGCTGCTCGTTGAATTTGCCCGCTTTGACCACAAACACGGCCCGGCGTCGAACGGTACTTTCTTCCACTTCCTCTTCAACCCCCTCAAAATCATCATCTAGCTTATGCTCTGTGTCGCGTTTTCCTTCTACCACCGCACGGATCAGGAACCGGTCGTGTGATACGAGAAGTATAGCCCCATTAAAGGATGAGAGTGCAGTGGCGAGCGCTGTGACCGTGTGGAAGTCCAAGTGGGTGGTGATCTCATCCAGAATAAGAAGCTGAGGCGCACTCCAGACAATTCTGGCTAGAGCAAGACGAACCTGATTCGGTGTCAGTGGATTATATTCCGTAACATTTTATGTGTCGTCAAATGGAATTGCTGCACTTACAAGCTGCCCGCCGGATAATTTACCCACTGGGACATCAGATGCGATACGGCCTTGTAGACCCATTGATGATAGAAGCCCTCGGACTTCCCCTTGATTAAGCGAGTCACCTGCTTCGGTCATTAACAGACCAAGTGCGGTGAGACCGGGTTCCCCTCGACCACGTTCTTGTAGTTCTTCCACGGAGTGTTGGCCATAGTAACCCAATTTCAACCGGGAATGGGTTGTCACTTTTCCTCTGGATGGCACAAGTTGGCCTGTCAGAATGCGAATGAGGGTAGTCTTTCCAGACCCGTTAAGACCCATAATACCAACTCGATCACCCATGTGAACAACCAAATTGATATCCTCGAGGATGACTTGATCACTCTTCTTATACCGGAATGAAATGCCTTCTAGTGAGACCAATGGCCCTGGGAATCGCAGCTCAGTAGCATCAGGCAAAGTCATAGTCGCGCCTTTTCCGTCGGTCGGTACCTCGATCTCAGCCCGACTGGACAGATGATAACCCACAAGATCTCTGTTGAGTTTGAATCGACCCCCATTCGCACTAACCTGCAGTCCCATCCTATCATCAACTTTCTTTTGCCGTGACTTTGCCTGTCGAAGTTTGTTGTCATCGTTGGTCTTCTTCCCTATCTTCATGTTCTCACGAATACTCGCTTCCATATGGGCGATCTGTCGCTCCTGTGCCTCCTTCATGCGACCCAGATACAATTTCTGTTCCTCGAAATCCTGCTCGTATGCCGCCAGATTCCCACGGAAGTAGTTGAATTTTTGGTCTTTTAGAATCACGATCTCCTCACAGGCGGCGTTGACGAAATCCCGATCGTGCGAGACGAGAAGAATTGTGGTGGGGGAAGTATCACGTAATTGCTGGAGGTAGTTCTCTAGCCAGACTACTCCCAGTAAATCGAGGAAATTGGTCGGTTCATCAAGAATCATGATGTCGGGTTTTTGGACTAGAACAGCAGCAAGCATGCATCGCATCCGCCATCCTCCTGATAGAGTTGAGACCTGTTTTCCCAGTGTATCTTCTTTGAAACCCAGTCCAAGAAGAATTCGGCGCGCTTCTTTCTCCATGTCCGCGAGATTTGACTAATCGTCTATTAGTTTTGTGGTCAAGAGTAGATGAGGATATACTGACGTCTTCGAGTTGAGCTTGCAAATTCTGAAGCATCTCAACGGCATCTTGTGTATCCGCTTGGACTGCCTCAGCATCGATAGCATCAGATCCCTGCGAAAGCCTAACTGAAAGTTAGTCGCCTTGATCAACCTAGTAAGCCAATTGAATCATCCTACAGTTCTTCTGTCGATTCGAGCTTCGCCTCGGCAGCCTTCAAATCTTTTCGCGCTTGCATCCCTCTTGCTCCACTCTTCAAGTTGGCATTCTTCTGCGCAAGGAACAGTTTCTTCCCTGCTTTCTCGTGTCGTATTTTACGGATAGCTCGTACCGGGTCCAGTGTATCCTCCGTTTCGAAGCTTTTAGATAGGACTAAACTGAAGTTAGTTATAGTCAAGAACGACTTTGGAAAGATTCGTACCATCTGCTAGGCGAACAGCTTCATTTCTGGTTTCGTCGCTGCTAAGCACTGATTCTAAAACAGTCTTCTCAAGTTTCAGACCGTATGTGCTCCCCGATTCATCTTGATCGTCTGTTTGTTGTAGAATTGCAATGCGAGTTGGGTGAGGGATACCAGGGATGAGCTTCTCGGCCATCGCCCTCAGAAGGGCTACATGATATGTTAATGATTTTCTCTCTTTCATACAAATCCAATTTGTTGCTGCTCACTTGATTTCCCTGTCCCATTGCGCCCTATCAATCCATAGTGAGTACCTCCCTTGAGTCGGAGATGACCATCAGAGATGAGTTCCCGGCCAGATGCCTTTGCCTTTCCCTTTCCCTTGGCTTTCAGCTTGGAGCCATCATCAATTGCATCCGGAGATGCTGATGTCACAGTTATAGAAAGTCCCTCCACATCTATCTTTTCTCGTTGTGAATAACCATACCAAATTTGTGCTTAGCTCAACTAACCTCGGGAGAAGGATTGTCATCTAGAAGATGAAACCGCGTTTGTTTGCAAGTAGCAATAATTGTTGGCGCGCATAACATAGTAGTTTTCAGGTTTTAATTTAAGGTCCATATGCCTTGATCTGGTTTAGATGCTCGAATGTGCGGAAGGTTCATATAAGGGATGCCTCGGTTATGCATAAATCGTAACCTTGGGATTATTCAAGGTTGCCACTTATGATTCACATTGCACCTCGTGTTTGGAGTCATCTCCCAAGCCCTGAAATTCTCAACTCCTTGCTCTGGTTTCGTGTGGAATCTTCAGAATGTTGGAGTCGGGGTCCCAATATGGTTTAGTCGGATGTCGATGGCCGTGCGTGGTATAGAATAATGCGGGTGGTACCGCCGCCACTGTGCGAATGTTTGGTTGATGGAATTATTCACCAAAATCATTCATTCGTATGACTCACAAATGCTCTGACGGGAGTGAATGATCTAATAATTGTCTCCTGACTAAATATCAGAGATCAAGATAAAGTTGAGCTTGAACTTGAAGGTTGGAAGGTAGGTAGCTGGAGGTGGTATACAGTCTGTGATGCCGGCATTAATCTATGCACATTAGTATTTGCCAGGTAAACCTGGATTTGTGTATTATGGAGTCGAGTAAAACATGAAGTCTTTGATTTAGAATAAGAACTGACACTCAAAGGCTTAAATGTCATATTCTGGCCCTGGCATGTCTTCTTGATCGAGAAAAAAGAAAAAGGAAGTCGGCTAAGAAGTGATATTACCTACCATTATTTCGTAGACAAATGAACATTGACAATCTCCTCCCATCATAAGACGTAAAATGGCCACTCCCTGCACCAATCATCCGAATTGGTGTAGTGGCTAACATCGTCGTCTCTCACACGACAGCCGGGGGTTCGATTCCCCCATTCGGAGTTTCTTTTTTGCTTTTCATTTTTTGCTCTGGTCTATGAACCCATTTCTTTCCTCTTCTTTTTTTTTTGTCGCTGTTGTCGTCATGTTTTCTCGTACATTTTAACTTCATGCTATCCATGGATTTAGCTCAATTGATTTGCTCTTACTGCACGTGGCAAGTGTTTGCCGAACTTGAAGTTATTCGGCCCGAACTATATATCACGGCCCGCGTACTGTTTTGGATTAAACAGAATTTGAGTTCCCGATTCATCTCAATTCTTTAGTCTATCTTCTAAGGTTAGCTTTTCATATCACCAATACCTCAATTCTGCTAGACGGATAAACATTAAATGTCCGAGTCCACGTATCTATCCCCACTTGATGCGAGAGAAAAACTATATCGGTTGCGCCTACCAAACACAGACGACGATCGTTTAGATTAGATCAAAATGCTCATCACGCCATTTAAGACTAGCGGAAGTCGCCGTCTTCCATCATCAGCGAGATGTCGTGATAGAGTACATGGGTAATGATGTAAGGGGAACTTTGCAAACATTTTAATATAAAATATTCTTCAATTTTGGAGTACAAGTCCAAATGGCCTCTGTATCCGATATTTACTATCAACTTCAACAACCCGGGACTCAAGTCACAATGACTGCGCCTCGAACACGCGGGCGCCTTTCAAGCCTGGCATCACTTCTATTCGCCAGTTATGCAACTGCAAATCTAGCCTACAAGTCCCGACCCGATCTCGCACCCCCAGTCCTGAACATCACCATCCCCGCCACAAACGACACAGCCGAAGGACTCATCTTCTACACGCCAGAAAGTACCTACGCCGATGATACAGGCAACGGCCCAGCACAAAGTGGTCCATACATCTTCACCGAGAAAGGCGACCTCGTCTGGTCGGGATTCGGCTTTGTCGGTCCTCGGAGTGAAAATTTCCAGGTTCATACATACCGCGGTGAACAAGTGCTGAGTATCTTCGAAGGCTCGCATAATTCACCCATGGGACATGGCCATGGCCATACTTCTATTTTCGATAATCGGTATCGACTCCTCGATGAGATTAAAGGTGGTGGGCACACTCTAGCGGATCAACATGAATTTTTATTCTTCGATAATCATTCTGCTGTGTTTACGGTCTTTAATCCTGAGATTGCGGATCTATCGCCCTATGGCGCGACGGAGGAATCTCAGTCTTGGATTTTGAATAATAAGATTCAGAAAGTTGATACGGATTCGAATCGTATGCTTTGGGAATGGAGTGCTTTGGATCATGTTGATCCTGCTGGAACTAATATCACCTTGCAAAGCGGTAATGCTGGACTAGGTGTGAACTCTAGTCAGGCATGGCATTACTTTTATATGAATGCGTTTGATGTGGATGCAGACACGAATACGTATCTGATTTCTGCGCGGAGTATGTGTGCTATTTTCAAGATGGACGGGGATTCAGGAAAGATTCTTTGGCAGCTTGGTGGGAAGAATTCGAAACTTCTCGCTTGGTGATGGGGTTGGTTTTTGTTGGCAACATGATACTAGGATGCATGCGAAGTATCTGAATTATGAAACGAAGGGATCTAAGGAGATCATTTCTTTCTTTGATAACTCTGCCCATGAGAATTTGGCTGGTGGGCCTGTTCTTCAGACGAGAGCTTATAGTGCTGGCAAGGTGGTTGAGTTGGATACGGAGAATTGGAATGCGAGATTGATTGCCGAGTTTCGTGCTCCTGGAGATCTCTCTGTTCGGTCCCAGGGTAATTTGCAGCTGCTGTCTAATGGGAATGCGTTTATCAATTGGGGGTATGACGGTGCTATGTCGGAGCACAAACCTGATGGGACGACGATCTGGTTTTCCCGGCTGGATTCTGGGAAGTTGGGACCTGGGTCTGAGAATTACCGCGCCTTCAAGTTTGAATGGCATGCCTTGCCGTATGAGGAACCTGCGCTGGTTGCTTTCAAGGAGTCCAATGGAACTTCTGTCTACGTGAGTTGGAATGGAGATACAGAGACGAGAGTATGGAAGTTCTTTGGGGTCCAAAATGGACAGAGAGAATTGCTGGGCCAGGTATCAAGAGGGGGATTCGAGACTAGCTGGCAAACTAGCAAGAAACCCGTGGAGGTGGTCGCAGAGGCATACGATGCACATGGCCACCGGCTCGTCTCTTCACAAGTCAAGACGCGTGAGTATAAACCGCGCCTTTTTTACGCATAACTACCATGTACATTAAACTAGCAACGATCAAATCCATTTCCCGTTTACTATTAATTATTAAATCCACAAATTGATTTACGATAGAAAACAGGATGAAATACTCCGTGCATTTACTCTGCACATTGCACATGTGATAGTCTGTTCTTGCACGGATGCTAAAATGATCGTCGTGTCGTGTGAACTGCTGCAAGTGATTCAGATCAGCGCTGCCAATTTTTGTTCAAGCAATATTTCCTCCCATCCTCGGCCTATTCTTCCGTGTTTGTGTACTACTGGCAGATCACACTCCCCGTGCTCTTCACTCCGAGTCCCCACGTGGATAATATTAACCCCCGAGGCTATGGTAGACTAGATATTCGCAGGAGAATTCTAGAAAAATGTGAGCCGTGTTCCTTAAAAAAGTCTATATAGAGTAGATCGGTCGAGAGCTAGTGAACGATAGGAAGCCTGGTGTCCACTCTTAATAGAGCCACATGGAGCATGGAATTTTTTTTTTTTTCACTGGGAATGATCTAGACGTCGGATATTCGATCGATATCTGAAGAAACAGTGAACCGGTTCCTAAGAACGGATGTAGTACCTTGGATCTAGGCACAATGCAAATTAAAAATTTTCGTCATACCAAACCAAGCATGCATCGAGGCCCCCTTCGATTCAAAAGTGGATTTTGTCAGGGTCTGTAGGGTAGGAAATCTAGAAAAGCCCGTCGATCAGCTAGCGGGGGCGTTAGGAGTCGTCGTCAGACGACCAAAGATCGGAGGTACAGGGTCAACTCCATGGTGTAAGGCGTAGACTTCGTCATGATTCTGGAACGGGGCTGGATTATGCCAGTTCCAACATTTGAATCAGAACCGAGTATTTCAGTTGAGCCTGTGAGTGCAAGTATCCATTGATCCAAATATGCAGATCTCCTTTTCTTTCCAGGTTTGCTTCCCGTCTCCCAGGGCTGTTCCTGGACTGTACCTTGGGTACGGGTGCATTATTGAGTGATAGTGTGAATGACCCGCGTAGTCAGCGGCTTGGAATTAAGTTTGAATGGAAGTCGACCGAAGCCCTATGCTGTGCCACTGTGCCACTTTGTGTGTTGGGTGGCCAAAGAAGACCAAGCTGAATTTACCGAACATCGGCACCTGGTTAGGGTGTGGACCCGCCCTATGAACCATTGATCAAGGATGGGCTGAGAACGTTTTTTTGGGAGCCATGTGTGAATCGAGGTCATTTAATTAGAGTGTTAATGATCGGCCGAATTATTGATCATGCCACTCCAGATGCACGGAGTACATGGAGTACACACTGGATACTCCAGGACGGCAGGACCCCATAGTGAAGGGGTAAGTCGTCTAATTTTGTCTGATTTTCAGGCAATATGGATCTCAAGGCTCATGTGCAGGTGAGGCGCAGACAAAGTCAGACTCAGCCTTCAGCTTAGTAGTTTTTTTTCTTTTTTTGATCCAGATGTCAAACGGAAGTCTCAGCCCTAGGTGATCGTTGCTTGAAAAGGGGCTGGATTCTTTCAAAATGGTATTCTTTTTCAGAACAAAGTTTCTCGGTCCGTGATCCACAACACTGCGCGGCTATGATTTAATCCGTAAGTGAGAACATTTTTTTTTGGGAAAATGTGAGACCATACCAGTCAGAAGATGAGATCTCATGGATTTACCAATTTGCGGCGATTATTGAGTGAGTGAGTCCATCCGAGTCCGCCAAATCAGAAGATCAGCACTACTTTGGTGTGAGATCTTGTTCCCGACGAATTAAAAATTTCTCATATTTGGCCGAACAACCCTTGAGAGGCTCGGCCGAGGGCTCCTTATGCGGCATTGCACTCGTACAAAAAATCCACCGGAGGTTGTCCGATCCAATTATATGACTTAGAAGAGGCGCCTGGCTCTTTTGGTCTCCGCTCTCTTGTTTCTAGAAGGGATAAACCGAGGAAGAAAAGTTAAACCTTAATGTGGTTCTTTTCTGAGACGACGGTGAGTTTGTTTCTTGTCTCCATACGGAGGTGTTCTGAAGTATGTGAGAGGTACGAGTATGCCCAGATGAAGTGCATAGATCCGAAGGTATAGTTATACTATTACCAAGTACCTATTTGTGTGATGGAACTTGAACCGGAACTTAATCATGTTCAATCTTTTATTTAATGCGATTCTTTTGCTATAACCTTGGAATAACTCATGAGATATACTCTTACTAGCACTAGATAAGGTGCTAGCAGGGTAAAAAGGGGCCCTGAACAGGCGCCATTGACGAGACTATCTGGATTATGCTCCATGGATAACCCAATGTAGAAACAGACCAAAATCATGCATAAATATAATTGTATAAATCAGACTAAGCGCTAGTCCAAATTAGTCCATCCGAATCTTGTTTATTTTTAATTTAATTTTATTTATTTTTTCTGAATTTCTTTTTCTCAGTGTGATCCTCCAGGGCTTAGACCTGGTTTGCCTAGCTCAACACGGGTTAGAGCCTCGGCATATCTCCCAGACGGTGGCGCTCTTGACTAGTTTAGTGTTAGAAAGTTGTATCATGATGCTGCAATTCTTAGGAAATAGGATCTCCTGTCAACTATAATTAATTGGAGATCAATACTCCAGATATCCGTATTTATGAAAATGTCCGAACACATGGCGATAAAAATGGCACAGCCACCAGCGTCATGTTTGGCCTCGGCTCCTCTCAATTGCCATGTTCCAGTCTTTGGGAGTTTCTAGTGGGGTCAAAAAATAAAATTGATATAAATAAATTATTTATTTTCGATTTTATTTTTATTATTTTTTATGATTTTATCTTTTTCTACGCCAATCATAGATTCTGTTATGGGGGGACTCCACTTAGTTAAGAGCGATTATTTTAGGGGAATTTTCTCCAAAGAAAGATGATCTTCAAAATGAGATAGGATAAAATGGGGGAATGATAGGGGGGGATTAATTGATTGATGATTAAATAAAGATAAATATATAAATGTATAAATATATAAAATCGATTTAATTCAATATACATAACTATCTCCTACCTAAAAGAACCATGGAACCCATGGTAGAAGTGGAATCTCGGAGTAAACAACACCCGTTTCAGTGCTAGCCCCCCGGACCAATCACAGCACGAAAAACATTAGGTCCCGCTGACTCATCTAAAGGACGCGCAATCCTTTTCATCTCTGGGTCTCGCTCCTTCTTAACCAACTCCTTGTATCTCCCTGTTTCCCCTGTCTCCCTACTCCATTACTCCATTCAGACCCAACCTTTTGCTTGAATCGTATTCTTTTAGCCCACTTCAGTTCTCTCGTTTATCTACTAAAAAGAAAGCCCCCCTCTTTCCCACCTATTCCTATTTCTAACGTTCGACCCCGAACGGAAAATTATTTTATTATAATCATGGCTACCCTCGCAGAGCATCCTTTGCACTCCACCGCTTCCCCCATCCCGAACATGCCCGCTAGTTACGACCAAGATCTCGACTCATTTATCAACTTCGACCAACTCGCTTACACTTCTGCTGATGCCGCCCGGCCAAAAGTCGCCTTAGCTAGTCAACCCTCGGTCGCAAGTACAGATTACAGCGTGGGCGATGCCCGGAGTGCCAGCTTCGCTTCAAGTGGACAATCTCCAATCGCTTATCAAGCCCCTAGCCATCATTACGAAGATCACCGCCAACAGACTGGTCTGGTTCCCGGTGCTTTGTCTATGAGTTACAGCCAACAAGTCAATCCTATGAACTACAACAACAACCAAGGCTTCCCCGTGAATGCTGGTGAAATGTACCCACACATGAAGCGCGAAGACGCCCCCTTTGATTTCAATGCGGCCCCGGCCCGAAACCCATCTGAGATGGATATCGAGTCCGAAGGTATCAACTCCACACCTTACTACTTCTCCGCGACTCCCGGCAATAAGAGCCAATACGTCGACCCCAACGCTCTCGGCGGCCATGAGCTGGCTCAGGCTGGTCCCTCCACTCAAGTCGGTCGCATGTACCCGGGTATGCATCAGCAGCAGGCTGCGATGGCCAAGGCTCAACAACAGCAACAGCAACAACAACAGAAGCACCAAGAGATGGTCCGTCATCAGATGCAGCAGCGCCGCATCGAGGAACCTGCTGGTGGTGCTGCCCCCGCCCGTGTGTCCCACAACCCAGACCCCATTGTCGAGGAGCGTATCTCTCGCCTCTTACAACAGATGCGCCAGAATGCTGTCGCGGCCGGCGAAGTCTCTCCATCTCCTTCGTCTATTCTCCCCCAGATGGCCAAGGCTCGCAAGGATGAGGCCGATATGGATGAGGATGAGCGTCTTCTCGCTAGTGAGGAGGGCAAGAAGCTGAGCAGCAAGGAACGTCGTCAACTGCGTAACAAGGTTTCCGCTCGTGCTTTCCGTTCTCGTCGCAAGGGTGTGTATACATCTATACTAGATTACTCCCAACATGGTGTTCAAGAAGCTAACATTTATATCCAGAGTACATTGGCCAGCTTGAGAGTGAAGTCGCCGCTCGCACCAACGAGGCTCACGAAATGCGTCTCCAGAACCGTGCCCTCTTTGAGGAGAACGCTCGTTTGAATGATCTTGCCCGTATGCTTTTGGGATCCCCTCACTTCGCCAACTTCCTGAACGAGATGCCCAAAACTGTTCCACCCCAGGTCCAGGCTCACCAGCAGGCTCAGCAACAGCCCCAGGTTCAACAACAGCAAGCCCCCAAGGAGAACAACCCTCCCCGCACCCAGGAATTTCAAATGCAACACAACCCCCAGACCAACATGGTCATGGTCCCTAACCAGTCCATGGACACCTCCATGATCAACAGTGGCTGGAACTCGGGAATTGACATGAACTACGGCAACACCCCCGTTTTCGCTATTCTGGAAGTTCCCGAGGGTCCCGCTTTTGATGCCGAGATTCTGTCTGGAAAGTCATCCGCTATGCCCTCCTCTGAGCCTAGCAAGGACGAGGCCCCGGTTATCTCTCACCCTGAAGTCGCCAGCCAGAAGTCTGACATTGGAGTTGCCAACCCCGATGTTGAGATCGACGAGTCTGATCCCGCTTTTGCTCTCTTTGTTGATTCTCCTGCCCCATCTGCTGCCTCAGAGCTTGTTTTTGAAGGTGTGCCTTCCGAGAAGTCGTCCTCTCAGTACGAACTGGTGGTGGACAACACCCATGTTTCTGCTGCTGCCCGTGCTCGATTCCACACACTCTGCTCAAGTATGGAAGCCGCCTTTGAGCGGGTTTCGTCTGTCACGTCTCATCTTCAGTGATTCCCTCCATTAGCGTCCATCTTTTTGACATCTCGTTTTTTCTTTGTATATCTCTCTTTGGTACCGGCATTTTGGTTTCCTTTATCATGGTGTGAATACCCACCACTCTTATTTGAGCTATCTTGTACTCGCCGATCGTGTCAAGCGGCCCTCGGGATTTTTTACGGCGCTATTTTTTTGTCATCATATATTGTGTATCCCGGGATGGGCTTATTGGGTGGAAATTTGGTAACGGTTATGGCGTATGTGATGGATTAGCAAAATAAGCTCAAAATTGATTATACCTATTCACTACATACTAGTATTGTTCAACCTTCCCTCTAGTTCAAGTGTTTCAGGTTTAATCGTCGTCTGGTGGGTCCTTAGTGACTTGTCAATCTTGAATCTCTCGGCGACTCAGCCCTACCTCAGCCCTGGAGCATACGTGACTGCGAACATTGGAAGTGATGAGTCTAGGCGCCCACTGGCACCTGGGCAGTAAACATCAGATCACTGGATGATCACATTGCAGATGCTAATCATTGGCGCTAATTCGCCATCACTATGCATGTTATTCATCCTATAACCTGCGATCTACTGATCACAACTTGAACCCACCTTCAAGTTGATCCGGCCAGTCATAAGTCTGATACTAGTTTAAAACACTACCCCACCTTGATCACATTTTGGATTAGATGTTGAAGGCTAACTCGCTAAGATCTTTTTCAACATTTGATCTAGGCGCTTGGATTTTGATTTCCGTACTTCCCCTCTCTACCCCGCAAGATGTATAATGGAGTTTCAAGTGGATCCGAAGGATGTAATGGATACCAAGGCTGAACCTTGGAACCTTGGAAGTGATTATTCTGCATTCCTGTATCAGCGCTAACATGTCCGAGTCAGCAACTTGAATTCGTGGATGTGCCCAGGTGATAAGGCGCACCCCTGCAGATGTCGGGTTCCCTTACCTGGCTCTCCGGCCCCGGCGTGTACACCTGGGCATGTACAAATGTACATACATAGTAATATACGAGTATGTGGAAACAGGGAGATGCCGGTAGTTAGGATACGGCTTCTTAGATACATAGAGTAGATCTATCCCGCATATCTGAGACATACAGTCGTAGTGGTGATCTTCCGATGTCACGAACTACGGACAAGACCTTAACCTTGAACTCGGAACTTGAATCTCCGGGCTTAGTCGGTATCTGATGGATTGGGGCCGCTCTCACTATTTATCATGATTAGTGACCTCGGGAGGGGCCATACGGTCCACCGGGTACCCAGGTGCCCAAGTGTCGAGGGCCGACGCTTGGTCATGCTAATGTTGTGTGGTTTCTTGGACAACTGCAAATGCCAGGTGTCACCGGGTATCAGGGCCCGCAAGCTCTAAATTTGGAGTATGGATTTGGGCTTATTCTAATAATACAATGTTGGGAGAGTACGTCCGACTCGGGCGATATGTACTAATCGAGATGGATTGTTCTTCATCTTATCCTATTTATCATCTTGCATCCTTGAACATGTCATTTTCTGTATGTCTCAATTAGGCCATCACCCTAACTATCGATGATGACAGACATCTCTAGGCAGTCATATACTTGTATAACCGAATAGAGTGACCGGTAACTATTGGTTAATACTGCGCCACTACCGATGTAAACTTGCTTGGGACTGTGTGGCTATGCTGCGAAGGGACCCGAACCATGTAATTGAGAGAAAAGTTGATTGGTTCAATATGGTGGATAATGATTCCTGACATGTACATCTACTTTTTACTACTTTTCACTAGTTTAGATCGTGCATAAACCACTTTGTTCAGGCAACCATGAGTTACTTGTAGTTAGAATATACTAGTTTTAAGTACGTGCCAGATGAGCAGGTGGCTTTGATATGATGTTGCCTAAACAATCACATCCAATATGCTAATCCTATCTAGTCCCTTATATTCATAAATTAGCCGAGGTGCCGGATTTTCGCAACTCTTACCCTTTTGGCAGAGTAAAGAGTGGATAAACCTCTTATAATGAACCATGAAAGCATGGAGTCTTCTTGACTAGTAGGTAAACTGTGCGAAATGAAAATTTTACTCCAAGGCTTAGCTTTAATTGACTTTGACACTAGACCTCCTTTAGTCGAAACTCGCGAAGGCTTCCATCTGATTGTCCACTTTCCACTCAACTTGCTTGGACTTTGTGCTGGTTGACTCCACTAATGGCTCTACATGACCAAGCTTGATCCGCTTTCTCAGGGTCATGGCTTACCATGGTTACATGTTGTTGTATATGAAGATTTTCTATGGCTTTGTACATAAGATCCTCAATTCATCTTGTCTTCTTTTCTTGTCGTGAAACAAGCATTTCATTTTCCTATCTACAAGCGACTAACCTACTTGACTGATTCGGCGAGATTATGATTTTAATATACAAAAAGATCAAAAAGCGAAATGAAAGAAAGAGACTAGAGGATCAACAGCCAGACCAACCCCAGCAACTTGAAACAACGAATGAATCTCCTGCTTCAGAAGGCCATATACCATCAACAGTCGAGAAAGATGTCTCACCGGAAGAGAAAGCCGAAAAGAAACTCAGAAGAACATATCGCTTGAAGCTCATTCTTGGTCTATTTGGTCCTTTCTGTCTTTCATCACTAGATACAACGATTGTTGCATCTGCTTTACCATACATCGCAACAGATTTCAGTATGTCTTCTAATCAACAATCTCACTACCCATACTCACCTGTATAGATCAACTCAGCCAACTAAACTGGATCATCTCATCCTTCAACCTTACCTCCGCCGCCTCCTTATTCCTCTGGGCCCAACTCACAGATCTATTCGGCAGACACAATACCCTCCAAGCAGCGACGCTCACCATGGTATTAGGATCTGCCATCTGTACTGGATCCCCAACCTCAAAATTCAGTGTCCTCCTTCTTGGCCGTGCGATACAGGGTATCGGCGCCGCAGGAGTAACTATATCCGTTCGTACGATCCTAGCAGATGGTGTCTCGCTTTCAGATTACGCGGTTAACTGGACCATCTTCGCTATTGTCGCCGGTGTGGGATTTAGTATTGGTCCCGTTATTGGTGGTTACTTGACCACTGCTTCATGGCGTTGGTGCTTCGCTATTAACCTACCCATTGGTATCCTCGCTATGATCGTGCTCCTTATCTTACTGAGAAAAGATCTGCTGGGTCCACAGCCTTTGGTTCAGTTAGATGGAAGGGATTTATCAACCCGGTCGAAACGCTTCATCGCTCGCGTTTCTACTATTGATTTTGGTGGTCAGATGCTTTTCCTTTGGGGATTTGGTCTTTTGATTCTGGGCTTGACTTGGGCTGGTGGGAATTATTCTTGGAACTCTGCTGCTGTCATTGCTCCTCTCGTTCTTGGTGGCATTATGGCTATTGCTTGGGTTGTATACGAACGCCTTATGGCTCCTGACGCCCTGTTAGCGAGAGCTTTACCAAGGCAGAAGGCTATGATGCCCTGGAAAGTACTCTCGCAACGGAATATTGCGTTGCTTTTTGCGATCAACTTCACGATGGGTGCTTCCATGTTTGCTGTTATGTATTTCATGGACTTGTACTTTGATTTGGTGGAAGGGAAAAGCTCTAGTTCTTCTGGAACGGCTTTATTGTATTTTCTTCCGGGATACGGTGGTAAGTGATCCAAGGTTTCCAATATTGTCCTCTGTTTCGATTGTCATGCTAATATCCTTTGTTCATTTGCAGGTGGTGCCTACTTCGTCATGTTTGCATGCAACTTTTGGCCTCGTCAAACCCTTCCCATCCTTCTTGTTGGTAGTATCGCCACCGCAGTTGGTATAACCGTTTTAGCATCGGCTGTTCATAAATCTCAAACAGACCTCATATACGGCATGATGGCTCTAGTGGGCTTTGGTGTTGGCAGTCGAATGAACCCTGCCTCACTCCATGGTCTAGCTTTCTTCCCAACGATGACAGCCCAGGTTACAAGTTTGGTTGCATTTGCGCTTCCGTTTGGTGGTCTGGTGGGCCTGACTATTATGTCGACCGTCTTTGAGAATAAAAGTGGTGTTGATGAGTCGGATCCTAGGAGTGGGATTAAGTGGGCGTTTGTTGCTATGATGCCGTTCATGTGGATTGGTGTGCTGTTGACTACTCTCTTGGGGAACGTGTGGCTTTTGAAAGGGGGTGGTCATGAGGTTGTGAATGGGGCTTATCTTTGGAGTTTTGTTACTCGGAAGAAGCTTGTCAGAGAGAGGCGAGACCGGAGGTTGGATCTGGGGTCTGCGGGTGAGGTGAAGGGGAAGAGTGATATTGAGGATGGAACTGGCACTGGAACTGAAGTTCGGGATCGGACTACCAGTTGATCAGATGTAGATACTTATATTTGTTGACAATGGGAGAAGAATATCAATATGTATTGGGAATATTGTTTGAATCAAAACTGGCATTCATGGGTACACAACCTCGGCACTTGCACATGTGCAATCCTCAGATGAGAGGGGTATATCCGAAACAGAATATCCAAAATGAAAGAAATGGACCATAAGTAACCCTGATTATCTTTGCCGAGGACTAACGAGACCATAAAAGTTGAGTGGATTCAAACTGAAGGCCCCATTAGACTCCAGCTTGTACTCTGGATTCTCAAATTCGAAATCAACATCCTTGATAATACTCGCCAGCGTAAAGATGGACCATCTCCATGCCCACGTCGTGCCATAGCATTGTCGTTTACCATTTCCAAAATTCCTCTTTGCTCCCATCGGAAGCTTGTCCCACTTCTCACCCATAACACGCTCCGGGATAAAGGCCTCAGGATCTTCAAAGACATCTGGATCTCGGTTCACAGTGTACAGAACCGATATGATGGCTTGATTATGTGGGATCTGATATTGACCCCCACCAAGCAATACCGGACTCTTATCATCTGTTGGAATGGGCTCGATGTTGAATCCCGGTGCCACAGCGGAAAGACGAAGAGACTCGCGGATTATAGCTTCGCAGTATTCAAGACTTTTGATATGTTCAAGTTGGAACTCCCCATCGGGACCAACGACCCGGTCAAGCTCGAGTCTTGCTTTCGCAACCGCCTCGGGATTCTTGACAAGGTAGTAGAGAGCGTATGCGACGAGGTTTGGTGCAGTCGCTGCTCCAATGAACATTGTTACCACTTCATCAATAACTCGTGATTCATCGAGTTTCTCGCCGGTCTCGGGGTCAGAATTGTTGAGTAATCCGTAGAGGAGGTCATCCCGAGATTGAAGTGGCTTCTCCTTTCGCGTTTTCACAATGTTGGCCGCGTAATCACGCATGAGCTTGATGTTATTCTTGAAGCCGCGGTCGTAGAGTAACGAGTTCAGGAGTTTTGGACGATTAGGTCGCTTCATCGCTTCATCGGTTATTGATTTCCAGGCTTGAATGAGTGGAGGCTCGGCTCCCTCGAGAACTTCGATTCTCTGATTGTAGAAGCTTTGCATGACTGATGTCATGAGTAAACGATCAAGGTCACTGGTGAAGAGAACTCGCTTCTTGGGTCCGGACGTCCATCTCTCCGTGATATCGGGGATCACTTTGGCCATATCCTTGAATCCTTGGTCTGTTGCTAGTTGTGTCACGTATGGTGCCATGATGCGATGGGCGATACCCCATATCTTTTCGGAGTCGTAAGCTGTGAAGAGACAGTCGTGGGCTAGTTGTCGCATCTCCACAATGGGGCCGACGACGCATTTTCGGAATCGTCGTTCGTCGCATATTTCTTCTAGCAGGGCGACATTGCTCACGAAAACGATCTGTTTTCCCAGAACATTAATTTTGAAAATCGGGCCTAGTAGATGTTAGATTAAATTGAATTTTTTTTAGCACAGCTATTACTTGAGACACTTACCGTATTTTTGTGAGAGTTTGATTAACGAAATCCATGTGTCGTTGGGGTTCACATCAAACACATTCCCTAGGATAGGGATTCCAGGTGGTTTGGGTATTTCCGATGTCATTTTGTTCAAGCTACTATGCACTAACAGGGGGGGCCAAGGTTCAAGGAGTTCGAACATCTGAAAGATCCAGATGTCAGGGCTGATCTGCATCATGGGATCCGGGGTCTTTATAGTAAAGGGGTATGTTGATCATTATGTTCGTCGCCTGATCATATGGGGTTAGTCAATTTACACGGTTACACGAATATGCAGCTTGACAACATTGAATGAAGATCTTCATGATGATAAGCGAGCTCTTCGATTGGACATCGGGATCGTTGAGTTGTTGTTTAGGATGATCAGAAGCGATAGGCTATGAGTTGCTCCATCACGCCCGATCCCCACTAGGAGTTCCTCAGAATTGCCGAGAAGTGCCCAGAAGTGGTCTGTATGGTCTAATGATCCGCTCCAGCTCTGAATCATCCATGCGTTACATTCCACTAGTGCTAGGCTGAAGAAGCACAGCTAGCCACATTGCAAATTTGACCTCGTGACTAACCTTGGAATATAGGCATACCCTATACCTACTCAGTAGGTATGAGTATGATCCCGGGACGACTGGCATTCTTAGCCAAGTTGGGTACTGTTATGGGACAAGTGACCTCAAATGACGTATGAGATGAATAAAAGCATCAAATGAAACAACAGTACATCTGCTTTCATCTGTAGCATTGAGTCATTAATGTATTCTCATGCAGGTGTCCAATGTACTTTAGACTCGACATGCGTGGTCAACTGGTGTACCTATAATAAGGCCCAATGATTGGGCAGATATTTCATTATGTTAAATGAACACCGGAATTAGGCTCAGACTGTACATATCCGCACATGCATCAAGGTAGATAGCCAGCGAGGTAGTAGTAGTAGGTTGGACTGGCAAAGTGATACCTTCACCTTCCTCTATCAGAGCCCTTATGTGTATAAGTACATGTATGGGTACCTACCTTAGTACCTACTACTTTACTTGTCCTTCTAGATACTAATTTCAGGGATGTCTTTTATACTACTACATATGTCCGGTAACCTTGAATAAAAGGTACCTTGTGTAGAGGAACCTTACAAGTTGATGCATGGCAAATCTACTTAGGACATTCGAGTCCAAAGCTTCTTAAGATCTAGCTACTAGTACATATAGTATTGATCACCTTCTGTATAGTGTCCATGAAAACTTGTCTGAGGTAATAAAACTAGCGATAAAGATCAAATTTAAAATGAACAATATCTTTAATGTGATGTTAGTTATGTAGTAATGATAATGGAGGCTCTTCCAAGGTTTCTACTCCATATTTGCTAAGCCCCACATTGACGGCCCGTGGAAAAGATTTCGACTTCGAATGTTCGCGACAATCTACTCTTTTCTTCTCTCCATCAATTCGCCCGGTCTGAGCCTTTCCCCTTCTTGCCTTTGATCAGTCAAGTTGGCTTCCTTCGGTGCCCGCGGTAAATTGATTACCGCGAACCCTGGCGGAATCGCTCGGCGCGTCTTTGGAACAAGTTCCCCGTTTTTGGTTCTTGGGCTACATCGCGCCTCCCAGCTCAAACTCCCTAGCTACCACCGCTCGCTTTCAACCGTTAAGCATAGTCATACAGCAAGATCCTTCATCAAACAAGTAATCTCAAGGCAGACCTCCTCGCCACCGCGATCGCCATCAGCGCCGCGTTCAGTTTCTCGAAATCCACGTACATCAGCAGCCCGCACGAGACCACTCCCGAAAGACTTTATCCTTCTCCCCTCTACTGGCTCTGCCAGATCTCGGAAATATATTCTTTGCAATCCCAAGTCACTTCAATCGCCCGAACAACCTCCCCTCCCCAAGGGACCATCCCAACCAATGAAGGCCTTCTGGCAAGTCATTGCCACGCCGACCGCGGACACGCCCGGCACCGCGATCTACCTCCATTATCCCGATAAGCGATATATCTTTGGCCAAGTGTCCGAGGGTTTCCAGCGTGCTTGTACCGAGCGCGGTGCGAAGCTTGTCAACTTAAATGATGTCTTTATCACTGGGCGCACGGAGTGGGCCAACACCGGTGGTCTCATTGGTCTCATTCTGACCCTGGCAGATGCTATAGCATCCGGAAATGCGGCCATCGAGGAACAGAATCGCAAAAAGGCTGCTCGCAAGGCCGCCCTTCAGGATACCCCCGAAGAGAAAAGACCCGCTGTTGCTCATACCCAGAACCCCAACAGGGGCCAATTGACGATCCATGGCACAACGAACCTGACTCACACCCTCGCTACTGCTCGACGATTCGTTTTCAGGAAAGGAACCCCGGTCTTCACGCAAGAATATGATTTCGAAGGCATCGCCGGCCAAACCCGTGGTGATGCGGAGGATCCCTTTGAGAAACCTACTTGGACCGACCACAACATCAAAGTCTGGGCGTTACCTATCAGACCTCAGGCTTCATCCCCCACTACTTTCAGCCCACCTACACAGCTCCGACCGCAGAGTCCACGAAAGCGCAGCCTGGATGAATTCAGAGAATCCGATGAACCTAAAACTGAGCTAGACCAGAAAGCGCAGACTCAGTTGATGCGCCAGGCTATTGTCTCAGACATGTTTAACTCAACCTGGAAAATGGATACCCTGATTGAGACCCCGCTGGCTGAAGTGAACATGCCTGCTGCAATGTTTGTGCGCAACCCGGAAACAAAGGACATGGAGCCCTACAATGGTCCTAAACCAGGTGAAGGCAAGCCATTGCCCGATATCAAGGTATTTGTTCGGCAACCTTGGCCAGGCGCGAAGATAGAAAGTTTGCCCCCCACATCTCCTTCACAGGATGCGCTCAGCTATATTGTTCGTAGCCATGATAATCGTGGAAAGTTCGATCCTAAAATGGCCAAGCAATTGAAAGTTAAGGCGGGTCCTGATTATGCTAAGTTGGCGAGGGGAGAGAGTGTTCAGTCAGAGGACGGCAAGACAATCACCTCCGATATGGTTTTGGGTGAAACTCGCCCTGGATCTGGAGTTGCCATTATGGATGTGCCCTCAGTCGAGTATGTAGAGTCATTGGTGCAACGGCCAGAGTGGAAATCCCCTGCTGTGACCACCGGACTCAAAGCATTCGTCTGGATTTTGGGTCCCGGAGTGGGTGATCACCCCAAGCTTCGAGAATTCGTGGCGCAGATGTCTCATTGCGAGCACACAGTCTCAGGCACAGACTACTCTCCGAACTACTTGGCGCTTCCAAGTGTTGCTCAAGCCGCTGTTCGCCTGGCTCGACTCAAGGGTGACAGCTACTCTATCCCTGTTCACGATAATGTGACCATTCCCCAGAACCGAGCTACTCTTCCCCGCTCTACTTCTCGATCTACCAGGTCCCAGAGCGCTCCTCCATTTAAGCCTCTTGATCCGGGATTTATCATTGATCTGGAGCCAACCTATAAACTCAACACAGATGAGGTGGTTCCCCGCCTGAACACTGCCAAGACTGTCTTCAGGATTCCCAAGTCTGTCGAGCAACGAATGAATCACATTCGCCGACGTACTACCAAAAAGGAGTTCAAGGAGGAGTTAGAAGCGTTCCGACAGGAACTGCCTGGAGGAGATGCTGAAATCACTGCTCTCGGTACAGGATCATCAGCCCCATCAAAGTACCGTAATGTTTCCGCAACCTTGGTCTATGTTCCAGGATCCGGTTATTACCTCCTTGACTGTGGTGAAAATACCCTTGGTCAGTTAGAGCGCGTGTTTGAGCCAGAGAAAGTACGTGACATTTTGCAAAATCTCCGTATGATCTGGATTAGCCATCTACACGCTGATCACCACTTGGGCACGGCTTCACTCATCAAAGCCTGGTACCGTGAGAATTACGGGGCCGATGCTAAACCGTCCACTACTCCTGAAACAGATCTGTCCAAGATCCTTAAGGAGAAGCGTCTTTTCTTGGTATCTGACGAAATGATGGTCAGTTGGATCGAAGAGTATGCTTCCGTTGAGAATTTTGGTTTCGATAAGCTTGTCTGTCTCTGCGCTTTCCCAGAACCGACTGAGATCTCTGTTGCTACCAAGTTTGGCTACAGGCATCGACACAATGGCGGGCTTCCGTTCGGTCCGAAAATGGGTAAAACTATTCTCGATTTTAACGATGACTCGTCGCCACTCACACCGCTGCTTAAATCTGCCACTGGTCTCAAAGATATTCTCACCACCTACGTAAGACACTGCCGCGGCGCTCTTGCCGCGTCTTTCGTCTTCCCAGATGGTTTCAAGGTCTCCTACTCGGGTGACTGCAGACCGTCAGACAAATTCGCATCCATCGGTCAAGATTCCACCGTGCTCATTCACGAGGCTACCTTCGAAGATGATATGGTTGGGTCCGCCCTTGCGAAGCGTCATTCCACTATGGGCGAGGCATTAGAAGTTGGACGTCGTATGGGAGCTCAGTCTATTCTCCTCACGCACTTCAGTCAGCGATACGCCAAATCCGCAAATCTAAGCAACCAGGCTGAATCCCGTGCGCGCAGCCTCTCGTCGTCTAAGAAGGATAATCCCACTCCAAGAGCAGAGGAGGATGCAGATATTCCCTTCGATGATCAAGATGAGCCCGTTGCTGCTGATTCTGGTGCTAAGCTCTTAGATGACATCCGATTTCCATCCAGGGACCGTCCTGCTCTACCCCGGAGAGCTATCAAATCTGGTCGCTCTCACCCCGCTGTTGCGGCTTGCATGGATTATCTCCGCATCAAGGTTCGGGATATCCCCATTGCACAGGCGTATGCTCCGGCTCTGGAGAAGCTCATGACTGTCATGGAGCGCGATGCTGAGTTGATTGCTGCGCAGGCGAAGAGAATTGCACTAGAGGAGGAGGAGGCCCGCAAGGCTGCGAAGACTAAGAAGTTTTCGGGCAAGAAATCTCAGGCCGCGGCTGCGGCTGTTGCCACCGTTGCTGCTGTAGCAGTTGTGGAGACACCGGAGGAGAAAAAAGAGGAGAAAGAAGATCGCAAGCATTCGCCTTACAGTGCTAGCGAGAGTGAGAGTGGATGGGAAATGAGTGATGAAGAATAAAAGCATTGAGGATGCTAGTACATATACATTCTCCACTATGCATTATACAATCAAGTTCATAATCAATCAACTGTTCAAGTCTTACATTCTTCTCTAGTTGTAGAGTTGTAAGTATTGATTAAAAGTATCCCGAAACAGCTCAGTACCACGTACTAGTAGAGGACTCAATCAAATTTGAAATTGAATCCCTACTACTTTACATTGATTCCAAGGTTGTCATGGTCAGGCTAACTTGAACCTTGGAATTTGAGGCTGTATACTCCGTACTTGCATTGTGTATAGCTCTCTCTATGATTGCGCCACCCGAGGTCTTCTCCTCACCGCCCCACTCGGAGATGTCATCTGGACCGGGGACCTCCCCGACATTCGACTCATCATCAGACATGACGACTCTCATTCCACGTGAGCCCTACTCCCCGGAGGAGCTGGAGAGGCTTTATCCAAAAGGATTGAAGCTTCAATTGGTTCAAGTGGTAAGAAATTCATTCTACTTTTCAAATTCAAGTTAGGTCTATAGCTAACGCCAGTACTCCGTAGTTCCTCCGTCATGGTAAGAGCTTAGAGCCAACTTGCGGTCAATGCAATGCAGCCACAGAATTCTGATTTAGTCCAGGTGAACGAACTCCTGTGTCTTCACGCTTCCAGAATGTATGTATATCTTATATTATCCTCATATTTCTAATATTTACTAATGTTTTCCAAAGGCCGGCTTAAGTCCATGTAACCTCCCTATCTCACCTTATGCGCAATTACCGATATACTGATACCGGGTGTAGTCTGGTCATATTGCAGTGTTGCAAAGCAGATGGTGGAAACTGCTGCGAGCAACCGAGAGCTGTCGAGCTGGAACGGATTCCAATGGCGTCGGAAGATCGAAACATTCGGTCTTAACGACGAGGCGAGAGTCGCACCTGGCCCCAATGGCGAGATTGATGGAATCTGGTTAGTAGAGAATCAGTTGGAGTATATGTGAACCAGGCTAACTGTACCCAAAGCCAGCATGGTCAGCTCACTGACAAGGGCCGAGAGACGACCTACGCCTTAGGCCAACGCCTGCGCCATCTTTATGTCGATCAACTCGGCTTTATGCCTCAGATCAAGCAGGATACTGAGGATATGTACTTGCGTGCGACCTCCATTCCCCGTGCGCTGGAGTCTATGCAACAGGCATTCTGGGGAATGTATCCACCCAACGCCCGTACCCTGGACTTCCCGCCTCCGGTTATCGTTGCCCGTCCCGTAAACGAGGAGACCCTTTTCCCAAATGAGGGTAACTGTCGCCGATTCCGACAGCTCGCTCGTCTGTTTGCTGATCGTGCCGCTGTGCGGTGTAAGTTTTACCATGACCTCACTTGATCAATCATACTAATGCGCTTCCAGGAACGAATCTGAGCAGATGGACTACCTGAATAAGATCTGGTCTAAGTATATGCCCGAGTCATCACCCAAGGTCGCTGTGGATGCCCATCCTCGTCTCTCTGGAATAATGGATACGATCAATGCCACTGATGCTCACGGGCCAGCCACAAGGCTCCCATCCGACTTTTACGACAAGAAGGGCCGCGCCATCCTTGACCGCATTGCCGTGGAAGAGTGGTTTGCCGGTTATAACGAAAGCCAGGAATACCGCAAGTTGGGTATTGGTGGTTTGATGGGTGATGTTGTTGACCGTATGGTTAGCACCGCCGTGGATGGCGGCTGGCGCAGCGAAACTTCCGCATCTGGGTCTGGTCACCCTGGTGCTGGCAAGTCTATCAAGTTCGCAATGAGTGGATGTCATGATACCACCCTCGCAGCTATTCTGTCTAGTCTCGGAGGCTTCCAGAATGAGTCATGGCCACCTTTCACTTCGTCCATCGCTGTTGAATTATTCTCCCAAGCCCCTAGCAGCCGTGCTGATGCGGGTACAATGCTTGAGGAATTCTCTAACCCCTCCGTTTCCGCTAAGAAGGGAGGTGTGCTGTCCTCCTTGTTCAGTGGAAGCAAGTCTGCGCCCCAGCAGCTCGCCCCATCTGCCACTGCCCGCGCATCGCTCGACTCCTTCCCTGATGAATCACGCGATGTCATGCGTAAGCACTACGTTCGTATCCGTTATAATGACCGGCCTGTGCGCATCCCTGGCTGCGCAGCCAAGCCCGAGAATCACCTCCCCGGAGATGATACCTTCTGCACATTGGATGCTTTCAAGAGCATTGTCGACAAGTTCACACCCCAGAGCTGGACTACCGAGTGCATATCCAATTTGGGCGAGGGCATGTTTGGACCGGGTGACTCTGAGCGCATCCCTGCTGATGCCTAGGCTGTACTTACTCTCTTGCACAGCACGTTCTATTGCACATTGATCTTGCTTTTTCGATTTCTTACTATTTTGATGCAGATAATTGGGTATTTGGTTGAACTGTAATTAATTATACACGACCTAGACTATTCAAGACAATCAATCATCCTTGTTTCTCCTTTGATTCCTGTTCCGCCTTCAACGACATCATCTTCTTCACAGTGATATTCATCAACATCCTCCGGGGAACGGCATAGAAACTCAATCCCTGAAGCCAATGCCAGAAATATGCGTATGGGATAACTTGGCCACATCCAACCCGATTTAATCCGGCCGACGCCAATACTCGTCCAGTTGGAACAAACAGATTTGTCGCAATATCAAACCCGGCTGTTTTCACTGTTCCAACTCGTAGACCCATGATGTCTACATGCCTGCCCGCGGCAACACACTCCGCTTCAAGCGCCCGCGTAAAGGTCTCGACAAAGCCCTTCGATGCGGAATAAACACTGATGTACGGCATTCCGTAGGCGGATACCGACGAGATATTCATAACAAGTCCGCGTTCTCCCTCTTCAAGTAGGGGAATTAAGACCCGCGTAATATGTAACATGAACACAGCGTTCTTGTCCATAGTCTCTTGTGCCTCTGCAAATGTGTTCCCATCTAACAAGGTATACGGCTTCGCATCCCCGCCCACATTATTCACAAGTACACTTAGATACCCTCCATTTTGCTTCAATATCTCATGTACTTGTGTTGCGATTTCATCAATGCTGGAATTCACTCCCACGACATCTAGAACCACAATCCCTGTCTTGCATCTCGGGAACTCGGCTTCTAGTTCGCGCGCGCGTCGCTCAAGCTTCTTCGCGTTTCGACCATGGAGGATTACGTTGAATCCGCGTGAACAGAGCTCCTGGCAGAATCCGAATCCGATCCCGTCTGTTGCGCCGGTTACGAGTGCCCAGTTATTGTTTGTGGGGTTGTATGTTTGAAGGGTTGAGGGGAGGAGAAAAGTGGTTGCTTCGCTGGTGAGTTGGAGACTCGTGTAGGCAAGTGTTGCGAGGCCGAGGTAGGAGAGTGGTGTTTTCCAACGTGCGAATGCCATTGTGTAGGTATTGGGAGGTTGTGTATATGGTTTTAGGGGTTGTAGTGAAGTTGGAGAAGTTAGAGGTATGGAGAAAGTATCCGTTTGATGATATCATCAATTGATGTTCACGAGTCGATAAAGAGAGTATGCAATTGATCAATTTGATTCTGGATTTGAAGTCACATGAGATGATACATCACAATTGAGGTCGAGAAAGCACCTTTTATAAGTCATTTTTTCTTGAATCGTATTTCGTTTAAAATGGTTCTTGTCATCGCGTCTTCGGTCATTTACATGCTTGTCGGCCCGTGCGGAGGCCGATCCACCGACTGTCCAGTTGACTTCGAATTGGATATTCAGGAATCTGCACTATAGACCTTCAACTTGAACATTGAAAAGGGAGTATGAAGAAATGTCAGATATCAGAATATAAGAGATGTCTAGGATCGTTCAAATGTTTTCTTTACGAATCCCAGGCTGGAACTTTACCTTTTCTTCATATACTTATCTCAGCTGCCATCTATGCTTTAGCTCTTGGTCATGAAATACTGAATCAATTGCTCATTTATGCTTATTTTGAACTCATATCAGGGCTAATAGATAGCCTGAGTAATAAAAGACTAATAGCAAGCTCAAAGTCTTGCTGTACGAAGTTTCTGGATTTGGAAAGTTTTAAGGTTGTCTTCGGCTGTTACTGGGCTTTACCACACATATGCATTTTGACATTGGCATATTTCGGGCCCAGAATTGAATAACCTTGGAAATAAAAGCACTTGAGTAATCCTGTCCAATAGAATCTTCGATAATACAAAATTACAGACTACATCATAAATTGGGGACCGTGAAGGCCAACATCGTCAACCAGGTACCTTGTGGACTAATCTACTCAACCAAACAAAACTCTCGAATTATCAGCAATATGGGGCTACTATTGATCTATTGGCCGTCTTATTACTCCACATTGTTTCTATACACCTTGGGGTCTTGTATAGATTGTTGTATCACACGAAAACTACGATTGGAATGTCCTAGACAGTGAGGAACTTGGAGACGATGCATCGAAATAGATAAAAGAGTCGCTCGCAAGGTGCTTGGGGGCGCTTAATTTCAAATTCCTTCCTGGCTTCAATTATTCTTCCTTTCTATTCTTCTAGCAACATAATACAGGAAGAGATTCGGAGTCGTATTCACTATGGTTATTGATTCGGGACGAGAGTCATTGGTCTACCATGTTCAGGTACCGGTTGAGGAGAACAATGCACCCAAGGGCCGGCAATTGCCTGTAACTCTCCTTTCTGGGTTCTTGGTAAGATACTATATCCAACTCAAGTCTTCTGAAATTGACGGATTTTCACTTACACTGCCCAGGGAAGTGGCAAGACAACCTTGCTACAGCACATCCTCAAGTCTCCTGACCATGGCATGCGCATTGCTGTCATTGTCAATGATATGAGCCAGTAAGTATCATATCTTACACCCCAATCTTGACCATTCCTAATGGGTTTCTTCATAGACTTAATATCGATGCTGCTCTCATTCGCAACCACAATATCTCTCAAACCCAGGAGAAGCTCATTCAATTACAGAATGGATGCATCTGCTGTACTCTCCGCGGTGATCTTCTCTCTGAGCTTGCACGCTTGTCAAAGAAGAATGAGGTTCAATATGTCATCATTGAAAGTACTGGTATCAGCGAGCCGATGCAAGTAGCTGAGACCTTTACAGCAGAGTTCAGTGCGGCAATGCTGGAGGCGGAAGATCAGATTGACGAAAACGACGAGGACACAAAGAAAATTCTCAACGAAATGTGAGTAGTCATATAGCATCTTGCATTGCATGTTTACTTACCAAAGTCAGCGTCGAGATGGGTGGCCTGCATACAATGGCTCGTCTTGACACTACAGTGACCGTCATCGATTCCTTCAACCTCCTCTCCAACTTCGATACCACCGAGTTTCTCTCCGACCGATACGGACGCGATGAGATCGTACCCGAAGACGAGCGAACAATCTCCGACCTTATGGTTGATCAAATTGAATTCGCGGACGTGCTCATCGTTAACAAGATTGAGACTATCGATCAACCTACCCGAGACAAAATCATGCAGCTGCTCAAGTTACTCAATCCTGATGCTAAGGTCTTGATGTCCAGTTACTCTCAGGTTGATGTGCGTGAGATCATTGCAACTGGTAAATTTGACTTTGTTCGTGCTGCTTCAGGAGCTGGTTGGCTTCGTAGTCTGCATGAGATGACTGTCCAAGTCACTGGCAATGGAAATCGCATGGCGCCCAAGCCGGAGACTCTGGAATACGGTATCAACAACTTCGTCTACACTGCTCGTCGACCATTCCACCCTCGTCGCATTTTCTCACTCCTTCATGACAAGTTTATCATTCTTCAAAGTAATGAAGTTGAGGAAGAAGATGATGAAATGGATGAGGATGAGAATGGCGAAGATACTGGGGATGAGATGGACACAGATGACGAATCTATTGAAGACTTCGATCAACCTGATCCAAAAGACATTTTGAATAACAAGCGCAATCACCCTGCCTTTGGACCTACTCTTCGGTCAAAGGGATTCTTCTGGTTAGCCACTCGACCCTTCCAGTTTGGTGAATGGAGCCAAGCAGGTGGTATGTTAACAGTTGGATGTGGAGGTCCCTGGTTTGCCGAGGTTCCTGCAGAGTCCTGGCCTGAAGATAAGGATGTGCGAGAGTCGATAGGAAATGACTTCCAGGGACCATGGGGTGATCGACGCCAGGAGATTGTGTTCATCGGCGAGGGAGTGGATCAGGAGAAGATCAGTGCTATTTTGGATGAATGTTTATTGGATGACAAGGATATGAAGCAATGGGAAAAGATCATGAAGAGTAAGAAGTTGAGTCATGAGGCTAAGACTCGGAAATTGGACAAGATTTGGGAAGATGGATGGGAGGAGTGGCCTGTCTTTGAGATTGAGGAGGAAGAGGAGGTCACTGGCGGTGGTAAGCATCGCATTAGTGAGTATCTGGGCAACTCAGATCATAAAGGTCATAAACATGGTCATCGCTAGAGAGGGTTAGATTCGGTCTAAAAGTGAATTTAAGTTGTTCCTTCAAAAATATGGCGACATAACCTGTGACAGATTATAGCCCTGGAGAAAGGATATTGTTTCGGCTCAAGATTGTTTGCATATGACTTGTAAGCCAAAGAAGCGAGCCTTGGAACTTGAAATTTGTAAGATCTTATCAAGTTATCAGAGATCATTAGAACATTATTGATGAAATATCAACTTCTACCGCAGCTACCAGACTCATCAGGCGCCAACATTTTGAACTTTGCGATCTATTTTCAAGTCTCATGGCACATGATGCGTTGCTATCTTTCGCACTCCGTCGGTAGTCCGGGATTACCTTCAAGTTTCAATGTGTTATCCTTTGCCCTGTAGGCCTTGATATATCCTGATTCCTGCATCCTCCAGCTACGCCCCACTCCGTGATCTCCAGGGCTTTGTGTCTATTCCAAGGACCCCCACTTCCAAGGTTCATTTCTCATTCCCTTCTAGGGCTCTACTCTCCATAACGTTCATTTAAGAGTAAGTAGTCAGCCCTTGTGATATCTGAAAGTACCAACTTGAATAGACACAGGTGTAAAAAAAGCTTGACCTACGGTTATACTTACTATGCTCCTTCTCCTCATCAGTATGCTGCTGGCCTCGTCCCAACAGTGCGAGGGCTCCCCAACCTACCAGGAAGAATACCGAAATCCCAGCTATGTCCCAAATTTTATCGAAACACCATACGGCTACCAGATTCTTGCACCCGATACTCCATATGTGGCAGCAGCCAGCCGAAACCAATTATACTTTATCGACACACGCCACGATACTGCCAGTGCTCAGCATATCAAAAATCAAATTGAGAGAGCTAGTTTACCAATCCCCGACGAGTACACCGCCATAGACGAGTTTACAGCAACGGCTGAAATCAGAAATAGAAAAACCGGCGAAACGACATTTGTCTTTGACCCTTCCTACTCTCGAGTTTTGTTTGCCAAGGGGATAAACAAGCGTAATCCGGATCTCAAGTTACCTGAGCATGAGCCCGCCGGCGATGAGCTAGTGACCTATGATGTGGATAGGATAATAGGTGAGACACATCATGCCTCAAGGAATGAAATGAAGACAAATATTCTTTAATTATAGATACTTATATCTCAGCAGGCAATAACAACTTGACAGGTCAGGTCGCCAAACGGGTGCTATGCTCGAATTTTGGATGCTACACCAACGCACACTGTTTCCAATCTACAGCATGTACCCTTTGCCATGAAACATAGTTTGAAAGTATGGAGTTATCTTGGAAAAAGGATATTTGACTGCCACAAATTCTAAACATAAGTCCATATTATTTTTCTTTCCAAGAGGGAAAGTTGGGAATAAAGCAAGCAATAATTCCTTTTTTAATCCATGTCATAATATGTTGATCTCATTGGGCGCTGTCAGGTGATAGATCCAAAGGGCTCACGTCTATTGTGATTCAAGCCCCTATTCATGCACTCATCTTGGTCTGTTTAACATCCAAGCCACACTATTATTCCATTTCAGATTTACGACAGCCCTGGAGGTCGCAGCTGACTACTATGCAGCTTTGTATGCGTAGAGAGCAGTCTGACGACATCTCCGACAATTGGCTGCTTCAATTTATCAACGTCGAGGTCTTGAGAGAAGTCGGCCAGTTGGTTCTGATGAACAGTGAAGGCGATGACCCGGAGTTTGCCGTTCTCAAGAAGGGCTTTTATAACCCCACCTTGCGCATGAAGTATAAGCATAGCGCAACTAACATCCGTCTTACCCAGCCTGGCGCCTCCCTGTTTCCAGAAGAAAAAGTCCAGAACGAAGTTGCTGTTATGCGGTACATCCTAGACAAAACACCCATTCCAGTTCCATTCATTCATCAATTTGATTCAAAAGAGAAAAGTCCTCTTAAATTGAGTTCATACATCATGATGGATTATATTGAGCATGATACGAAGATGCATGAAGCCCTCAATTATCCAGGATGCCCGACTGAGAAGCGTGGACATCTTGATCCAAATCTTGATGAAGGCCGACTTGAAACATTGTATGGACAAGCAGCAGGCATCCTACTCTAACTCCTCAAGCCGGAACTACCCCGTATTGGATCTCTCTATCAAATCGATGACTTTGCTTGGGAGGTGGCACGTCGACCCCTGACAATGAACATGAATGAGCTGGTGCGAGTGGGTACCCTGCCTCAATCCAAGCTCCCAGCACCAAATGCCACCTACAAAACAGCATCCTCCTATGTTGAGGCCCTTGCAAATCTCAACATCCAGCTTTCGATATGTCAGAGGAATGATGCTATAGAGTCTGCAAATGACTGTCGCCGGAAATTTGTGGCTAGGCAGCTTTTCTATAAGCTTGCTAAGGACAAAAAGCCCACAAAGTTTGAGAATGGGCCATTTAAACTATGGTGCGATGATTTGCGACCTGCAAAAATCCTTCTCAATAATGATCTGCAGATTGTTGGTGTTGTGGATTGGGAGTTTACATATGCTGCACCGGTCGAGTTTTCCTATGCACCACCCTGGTGGCTGCTTATTGAAACTCCAGAATCCTGGGGAAAGGGCCTTGATGACTGGACACAAGTGTTTGACTACTGTTTGAAGACTTTTTTCAAAGCCATGAGGAAACAAAACGATGGTCAGTTTCTGGCAGACCGTATGCAGGATAGCTGGGAAAGTGGCGATTTCTGGGTTGTGTATGCTCTATTGCACAGCTTTGCATTCGATGCCATATATTGGCAGAAGATTGATACTCGGCTCTTTGGGCCGACTGTGAGCAGCCCTGAGGATGCATGGAAGGAGCAATTAGCCCTGTTGGATGAGGAGGAGATAAATGACATGGAGAAGCTGGTGTCTCGTAAAATGGAGGAGATGAACAGCAGGCCATTGGCATGGGATCCAGATGACTACACCGAAGAATTCCAACAGAAGCTGAGGAGAAGAAGAAAAGAGGAAGATGAAGCAAAAGATCAGAAAAAAGAAGTGTAAATTGCTGATATCTCTGGAAGAGGTACATTCCTTTATACAGTACTAGCATGGAAGACTTGAAAAATCGAAGTTATGTAGCAGTATAGATACCTGATACGCTCATAAAATCTAGTAGCCCTGGCACTATTACTCTCCAAACTTACATACCCCAATAACCTTGGAATGCACACAGGCAGACACTGGCAGCACTTGAGTGTTAGAATGTAGTATACTGCACAATCGCTAACTAGTATCGCTGCTCTTATCGCGATAAGAAGCTCCGACAACGATAACGATAACGATGCGGTATCTCCGCCTTTCGCTCCTATGTTTGCGGTACAACCTCACTCTTCCCAGGATTCCCATACAATTATTCCCGGTGCACCAAGATAAGCCTCTTTACTCGTGGGACCTTCTGTTAATCATCCGCCAGCCCCAATTGAGGGGAGAATGCTGCAGTGACTGCCGCTGTCCGATCGGTGCCACATCCATCCTGGCCCAGTCCAGGTATCGGATGTTCACATACAATCGATCTCAACGGCTCTAAAGCACACTCTGATTTACAACTGAGTTACCCTGTGAGATTCATTCCCCCACTGGACCCCTGTCTGTTCCTGGAGAGTAATCTCCTATGTCTTCAGCGCATTGCTGATTTGCCCCGCACTAAGCAGTTCCCCGGCCCCAGCGTACTACCCGCGGAGCTTCCGATTTGATGGAGGTAAGAGAATGTTTGCCTCTAGATGATGTGTCCTTTTCCTATCCAACCCCTGCTTTATCCTATGATGGATCTTGATCTGTGATCAGCCTGGGTGATTACATTTGATCTCGGCTGCATACTTCACGCTGTACCAATGGTGAGACAAACGCTTGGTTCCGGCTATCTCTGGTACTTGCCGCGGCCATAGAAGACCCCAAACTCTTCTATGCAGGCTGTTGGTCTTCCTGAAATCCCTGAGACTAGTCAGAATTTCACTTTCCTATGATGTGTATGCTTTCGGAGAGTATTGGTTGTCAGCCCCCTTTCTCTCTCCTGTGGCTCATATCAGAAGCGGCTGAAAACGCAGGTCTGCTCTGACCGACATGTGATAAGATGATTCCACTCTGTGTGGTATTCTCAACTTTGTTCCCAGCCTGTCATTCCCCAGAAGACCCCTCAATGCCGAATGTCCAAAAATGCCCTTTCCCCCCTGTGCGAAGGTCCCAATCAGAAGACCCTGATAGTGACCACTTGCCAAACACTTACATCTCATCCACATTCTCTACATACAAGACCAGTGCCCAGCTAAGCCTCGAGCAATTATTACAGGGACCAAACCACGGCGGTGGGTCGACGCAACCCAGATCAGCGCTCATTCCCAACACTCAAGCTCGTGATGCGAAGCCACGACTGCTCCTTATGGGGCTTCGCCGGTATGTATTGAATCAACTTGGCCAGAAAGCAGACACTGACCTGATCTAGGAGTGGCAAGTCATCTATCGCGAGCGTAGTCTTCCACAAGATGCCACCAAATGAAACCCTCTTTTTGGAATCAACTACCCGAATCCAGAAGGACTCCATCCAGTGAGTCTAGTATAATCACATATTCGCCACATGCCACTGACCCCCATGTACAGTTCATTCATGGATTTCCAAGTCTGGGATTTCCCCGGCCAGCTTGAGTATCTCGAGCCATCATTCGATCTCGAAGACATCTTCGGTAGCCTGGGTGCACTTGTCTGGGTGATTGATGCCCAAGATGACTACCTTGACTCGGTCGCGCGATTGAACCGTACTATCTTGACTGTCCAACAGTACTACCCAGGAATCAACATCGAAGTTTTCATTCATAAGGTCGATGGTCTCTCAGATGAATATCGCACCGATACCTTCCAGGATATTGTCCAACGTATCTCAGACGAGCTCAGCGATGCTGGGTACGAAAATGCACCCGTACACTACTACCTCACCTCCATCTACGATTACTCTGTTTTCGAGGCCTTCAGTAAGGTCATCCAAAAACTCATTCCAAACCTGTCTACCCTTGAGAACTTGATCAACACGCTTGCCAACAACTGTGGCTTTGAGAAAACCTACCTCTTTGATGTTCTGAGCAAGATTTACATCGCCTCGGACACCCGACCTGTTGACATGGCTTGCTATGAGATGTGCTCGGACTATATTGATGTCATTGTTGATATTTCCGAGCTTTACTCATGGGACCACCCGGATCGTCGACCCAAAGGCGAGCAGATCCAGGAAGCAGAAAGCCATGTTGTTTTGCATGACGAGACCATGATTCATTTAATGGAGATGAACAAGTATGATCCCTTTCTCCCATAGGACTCTGTTGAGCGGACCACTGACATTTACTACTAGGTATCTCTGCCTCGTTTCTGTCATCCGAAACCCCGAGGCAAAGGAGAAGCGAGGACTGATTGATATGAATTGCCGCACATTCCAAGATGCCCTGAATGACGTTTTTTCACGTAGCTGGGAACAGGAGGAACAAGGCAACGCTTAAGCATAGCGCATACCCTTACGTTAGCATAGTTTAACAAAATATCTTAAGGAATTCTTACCACTGAGTGACGCAGTAATGAATATCAAGTAAAAATCGGGTCATATTGATCATCAAAGTAGTTGTTCATAATAATCAAGTTGGAATTGTCAACTGGTATGGTGGATCATCGTTATCAAATCGATCACTTCCCCAGCTTTAACCTCGGTGAAACAAAACTCCTCAACCATCATACCACCTCCAATGGTCCCTTAACTCCTGACATCGCACCTTCTGTCTCAAGCGCACATTCTTAAATTCTCATCCATGTCAGAACTTCGCCAGCGACAGGCTGCTTCAGCCTCATCCTCCCGGGATGACGGAAAAAGCACGCCGCAACAGCGACCGCAAACCCGTACCGATGAGGACCATGGCATCAGCCTCCTCGACATAATCCGTATCCTTGCGACACTTATTCTTGCCGGATTCGGCACCTCCTACTACATGACAAACGGCGAGTCGATTCTATTCGGCTATCGGCCCTGGTTTACACGGTGGCCAGTCATCAACCAAGCGATTGTAAGCACTGGGACTCATTCCCCCACCATTCCCCCACAGCTACCAAACCGACATCATCGCAAAGGAGAACTCTACTAATTCAAATGATTCGTGAGAATAGAAAGGAGCCGTGAATCTTACCCCTGCCGAACTCGCCCTTTACAACGGTAGCGATGAGTCCCTTCCTATCTACTTAGCTGTTAACGGTAGTATCTTCGATGTCTCCGCAAACCCAGCTATGTACGGTCCTGGTGGAAGCTACAATTTCTTTGCGGGTCGCGATGCTACTCGCGCTTTTGTTACCGGCTGTTTCCGTGACGATTTAACGCCTGACCTTACGGGTGTAGAGGAAATGTTTCTACCGGTTGAAGATGTGGAGAATGAGGGACTGACGTCGGGGGAAATTAAGATTCGGAGGGAGCAGGATTTGCGATTTGCACGCGAGCAGATTGATAAGACCGTGAAGCGATGGGATGGATTCTTTCGGAACTCTAAGAAGTATTTCCCTGTTGGCGTGATTGTCGGGTATGATCCTAAGAGTGATATTGAGGTTGGGAAGAGGGGGCTTTGTGAAAGTGCCCAGAGACAGAGGCCCAAGAGGAGTGAGATGTGAGGACTCTGAAGAGTGCTTGGCTTTTAGTAGGATCTACTGTGGAGGTGCGCTCTCCTTGGTCTTCGATGTACATCAAAACCATATCAAAAATTGATATATCCCAATGCGCTACATCCTTTATATTGAAATCCGAACAAGGATAATCCTCGTATAGGTAGGAAAAAGGTGGAAGTTTTGTAACTTTTTTATTTCATTCGTTCTACTAGACACTGTCCAGAAGGCGAAAGGTTCCACACTTCCGAAATCTCAGGCGTCAAGACCATGCATCACGCCCAACCGAAGCTTCCCATGTGAAATGATATCATTCGTTGCAAAGGAAATAGAATAACCGTGAGAAATGTTGAGAGGGTACGTTTACTCGGCGGTGATCTCGCGGGCTAGATAATCTTCGTTAGTATTTCGCGGTATTTCGATACAGGATGTTTTTCAGGATGACGCACTGTAGATGTTCAGGCTGCTGTGGCCAACAACCTTCTTGATCACACCACGCTCCTCAAGGTCATCGAGGCACTGGCGGGCCAGGGAGCCATTGATCTTGAGACGATCGACAAGGGTAGCAACGGTGACCAGGCGGTAGGACTGGACATCCTTGTTGAGCTTCTCGGCGGTGGTCTTGTCGAGGACGACGGCGTGCTGGGCCTTGTCCTTGACTATATAGTTAAAAGACAAAAGTTAGTTTAACAATTCGTTGCGCATTTAATCGGAAAGTTCGTAGGTAGAGGGTTGTCCGCTTCAACGATTCCGGTTTGTCTCTCGTTTCATTGTTCTTTCTTTGAATGTGGATGTCGACGAAAGTTGGAGATCGTTGTCACGGTCGAAGTTGTGTAGGTGATGTTGATGGTGATGCGTACCCTTGCCCTTCGACCACTTCTTCTTTTGCTTCTTGCCACCGGTAGCTGAAGGCGCCTATTTCACGAATTCATATTAATCTCTGTTGGCGTTGAACCGGGGGGGGTGGAATGTGCGCTCACCATTTTGATTGATAGGGTGGATGGTTGGAAGGAAAGAGTAGCACCGGGACGGACTCTAAGTGCGAAAAGGGCGTGGGGCCTGACTCAGCATGGGAAGCCCTAAGCCCCAGGTCAGGTGATCCAACTCGGTTAGTCAAAGAGCGCTGATTGGTGGGGGCCACCTGGGTATTTAGAGTGTATTATGTCATACTTGACCTGGGCCCTGCTTAGTCATCAATTCTAGGGCTTCCAGGAACCTTGGAAGTATGTAAACCAAAGTCCTGAAGTGATTGTTCTTTTTTTATTATTATTTCCAAGGTTGAGTAAGGGAGCAATTGAGAAATATGTTCGAAACTATTTCCTCAAGTGACTCGGGATGGATTACGAGACCTTGAGAGAATGTGTAACTTCAAGTTGAACGCAACACGCCTGGGCATTCCGAGTCTCAATCCGAACTTGAAATTGATGAAGTTTATACATATCATCCATTGATGAGATCATGGGCTGGATGCGTGCAAAATTAGATATCCGCATATATGCCCAGCTGGGCACTTCCGACATCCATTGAAGTCTAAGATTCCAAGGTCTGGGCTCGACTCGAAGGCCACTCCATCATACAGCACGTTTCATACATATTTGTACAACCTTTGAACCATTGATTCAAATCATGCACATGTGTATTTAACTACGAGAAGATTGCAAGGACATCATGCTGGATTGAAGTTGATAGATTGATGCTTATGTAGAAAATCGAACGAATTTATGGATACTTCCGAATTTTTTATGATAGTACTGGTGTTGTTGCGATGAAAGAAGAAGGACGTTATGGATTGGGCAGGGAATGTCTGGAGAGCATCATGAACTATCTATACAAGGATAATTAGCTCATGAACAATGTACAAGCTGGGGAAAAACTTCAATCAAACTTGAACTTGCACAGACTCTTGGGGCATAAATCCCAGGGTGATATATCCAGCTGAAATAAGCTGGTCCAGAAGAGTGACATGCCTCTTCGCAGCCTCTACCACAGAGTCAAAATCAGGACCAGGGAAGTAGCCCCGAATCTCCATCCAAAAACCTCGATCCACACAAGGTGATTCGACGGGGTTATCGGCCATATAGAACTGCTGATCATGGAATGCTTCATACACAGCGGCGAGGAACTCATCCCGTGAACGCGGCTCCGCATACAATAGATCAATGTCCACGCCGACCCACATCTGTGTCTCTTCGAATTTGGGATGCGTCTGGAGGAATTTACGTGAGGGTATGTAGGAGCGGCCGAGTAGATGATGGGCGTCCATCGGAAGAATGGCGCAGTAGGTAGTGGGAGGGGCCTGCATTGTAGATGGGTTAAATTGGGGAGGGGTGAGGACTTCAAGAGGGTACGCATCTTGGTCTGCTGGCTTTGGGCCAAGCCAGTTACCTTCCATGGGCTCAGACATGTATACCATGAAGTGCCTATCAGCAAGCATGCGCAGTAGTTCAGACATTGCAGAGTAGTAAGTCGAATTTGGACTTGGTTGTATTCAATGTTTGGAATGGAGGAATGCTTGTCGGGAGAAAGCAGGCATTTTATATTCCATTGTGGTCTTGGATGGATAAATTTAGACAATCGAGTCAATGGTTTTGCATATTTACATAACAAAGGGATTAAAATAGGTATGAATGCATGCATCGGGACACAATGGGATTTGAAGGTTTCGAGTCTTTGTATACACAAGCTGCACAAAGAAAGTTATTGTCCAAGTGACAATGATGAATGAGTATTGCCTCATTTTTGGGGACCAAAATAGAAAGGAATGAAGAGAAAGAAAATTAGATTGAATGGGTTAAAAGAGATCGAATTGATGATTTCATTCATCTTATCCCAAAATAATCTTGGAACCTGACTCAAGAGTTAACATCCCCTACTCGCCATTAAGTTACATTTTTTCATGATCATCTTCTCATTACCCTGCAGCATAATTACCGGTTTATACTGCTGGTGTGACTGCCATATCCCTGATTGGTCACTGAATTCAGGACTTCAAATTGCACAGACTGTTCATCGGCAGACAGATATCCCACAACATACTCCTCCGACGAACCGAACCAAAATGCCGAGTCCTCGTTAGGGACCGACAACCATTTCATTTCATACTTCCCACTTTCGTTCTTCTGTGTCGGTACTCGAGAGATCACAGGATGGCTCTGAGGAGACCACCACCGTACTGTAGGTAGTGCATTGGTCATAGCATTGATAAGAAGCTGTGGTGTAGAAGAGTGCCAAAGTAGCTGCCTCACTGGTTGTTCGTGAACCAGGATAGTTGCTAGCCTGGAGCTACCGTCTAGAGCCCATATCCAGACTACGTTTGATCGCATGGTATCTACAGTAGCCAGGATTGTGCCATCAGGACTAAATGCCATGATAGCTACGCCTCGAGGGGGCCCAGATAATTCCGGACTCATGTTGAGTGCCGAGGAGCTTGTTGTTTCAGCGTATTCTGCATCGCCCAGGGGACTTGTAGATCGCTCACGCCAGACTGTGGGAGCGATTTGGTCGCTCGGAAAGGCATGTGAGAGTGTAGTAGATGATGAAAACTGAGTTATGTTAGTTTCACGTATTCCTGGTTCCTGGGAAACATGGTAACTCACTGTTCGAGTCCGTAGTAGGTCAATATTACCATTGACCTTACCCACTGCGAGGAAATCCGAGACACCACTAGAACCAGCTGCTGGGCCCCATTCAATCTGCTTCACACCTAAATCAAATGCGTCATCCACACCTGAAGGTCCATCATATGTCCGGAACAGCTGGCCATCCGCGGTAAATATTAGCACCTTCGTGCCGGAGCTAGCGACGTCCCATACAGCAATCCACTTTCCATCTGGACTCCACTTTAAGCCCTGCGCATCAATTGTGGGTAGAACCGTTCGATTCAGAAGTTCATATGAGGTAGGTTGATGAATGGTGAGTATGTCCGATGTCTCAGGCTTCAGAAGAATGGCAAGTTCCCTCGTTTGTGGCCGAAACCCAAATCCTAGAGGATGTGCGGACTTGGGGGTTTTGATCACGGAACTTCGACCATCTTCTATGGAATGAATGGCCAGTTTCGTATTCCAGGCATGGAAAACAAGAACTTCATTCCCATCTCCTCCAAATTCGATATTCAATGCGTTGGGTTCGACGTTTTCAATCTCGGCGACTAGCTGTAATGGCTCCAGTTGCCAAACTGAAATACGGGAATCATTCGCGCTCAATAGGTGTCGTTTTGAAGGTGGATTATTGGATGACCTCGTAGGACAAAATTTCAGAGATTTGACGTTGTTCTCTTTCAGTCTTGCAGTCTGCACCTCTTTATGATCTGAAGTGGTATCCGAGTAAAGAATCAGATCTTTCGCAGCAATATGGGCAGCAAATACCCCATCATCAGAAATTAACAAGGAAAGGGGAGCTATAAACGTATTAGAATCTGTCGATAAATGATTGTATTGAACCTTGAAACTTACCTCCTCCCCCGGTTGAAGCATCCATTGTTGACTATGAAAGAGGCGCGTACGGAAGGGGTTGATAGTGGTGGGTTGAACTAAACAACAGTGATTTTGTTGTCATAAAGTGCAATATATCTCAAGTCCACGTTATTATTCTACCAAATGCAATCAGCCCATATCTTATCTCAGAAACTCATGCTGTTGCCGCGTCAATTGTTGCAGTCGCTTTTATATGCGCGCGATAAGATATGGAAGAATGTAGTTCCGCCCCGCGATAAGAAAGTCATCGCCGCGGAAAAAAAGTCACCAAACTCCCCGCTCATACCCCAGGTAATTTGTTGCTTTTGACTCAGTCAAAATAGGTTTTCTGCAGAGACTAGTCCCGCGGCTGGGATTCCCTATCCGAAATCCGCTTCGATTTCTCTTCCCAATGGCGTCTGATGCTGCGTCGCAGAATGCGGCTGCGGAGGTCTCCACAGCCAAGCCCCAGAAACTCCAAGGTAGACAATTCTATGAGAGTCTGGGTAGCCCCAAATACATTGTGGCTCCTATGGTTGATCGATCGGAATTTGTGAGTCCATCCATTCAACTATCGACATAATTATTGCTAATACATTTCCTATCAGGCGTGGCGCATGCTCTCTCGATCCTTCTTGCCTCCGGACGAACAAAAAGAATTGCTCGCATACTCTCCAATGTACCACGCACGACTGTTCCGCGAACAAGCAAAGGTCCGCTCTTCCCACTTTCAGCCCACTCGTGGATCGGCTGGCGATGCATCCAAACCAGACGAGCTATTCCTTGACGGGAACCCGGCTTTCGACCGACCACTCTTCGTCCAGTTCTGCGCCAATGATCCAAACGACTTTTTAGAGGCTGCGCGACACGTTGCGCCATACTGCGATGCTGTGGATCTGAACTTGGGATGCCCTCAAGGCATTGCGCGCAAGGGTCACTATGGTGCCTTCCTTCAGGAGGATTGGGATCTGATTTACAAACTCATTAACAAGCTGCACACCGAGCTTGATGTGCCAATTACAGCGAAGTTTCGCATCCAGGAAACGAAGGAGAAGACTCTGGAGTATGCGAAGATGATTCTTTCCGCGGGCGCGAACATCATTACGGTCCACGGGCGCAGGCGTGAGCAGAAGGGCCACGAAACAGGTCTTGCGGATTGGAGCTACATTCGCTACCTGCGAGATAATCTACCACCTGACACCGTAATCTTTGCAAACGGAAATATTCTCAACCATGAAGATATCGAAGTTTGTCTTAAGGAGACGGGAGCCGATGCTGTCATGAGTGCTGAAGGAAATCTCTCTGATCCCACTATTTTCAGCAGGCCACCGCCTCCTGGCAGTGAAGGACGTGATTACTGGCGCGATCGTAATGGCAAGGGCGGCTACAGAATTGATGCGATCTTGCGCCGATACCTCGATATTATTTACAAATATGTTTTGGAACAGCCAGTTCCTCAACGAAAGCCGCTTTTCCTTCCGTCTGATCCGGTCGATGAAACAGAGAAGTCAAAGGCTGAAGATGGTGAGGATGATGGCCCTCCTAAGAAGAAGCAAAAGCGGGAAAAGATCAAGCGGCCAAACTCTGCCAGTCTGGTTGTGATGCAAGGTCATCTTTTCCAAGTCCTTCGACCAATGGTCTCCACTCACACCAATGTGCGAGATGCGCTTGCACACACAAGGCCTGGTGATATGGCTGGCTTTGAAGGAGTTTTAAGTCTTGTGGAAGAAGCTATCAAGGCTGGACTCACGGAGTATGAGGCAACACCCGAGAAGTTTGAGAAACCTCATGACCCTACCCTGACTGGGTCTAAGGCTACCATCGCGGAGTATGGGCGTCCATGGTGGCTGTGTCAACCGCATATCCGGCTCTTGCCTGAGGAAGCCATTGAATCAGGAGCTCTGAAGCGGAAGGGCACAGATAATGCTCAGAACGAGAAGAAGACTGAGGACAAGAGTGAGACCATTAAAAAGGAGTCTACAGGGCCCACAGATACCAAAGTTCCCTCTGAAGGTGTTGCCACTCCTGCGACAGACTCCTCATCAACCTTGACTCCCGATCGCCTTGTGAGTGGTTGAAGGGAAAACTCGACTGCATTCGGAGTTAACATATAGAACATATACTGGTACAAGATGCATATACTAGTATGAAGTACTTGAGTTCATAACTACTTAGTATATACATGAATCATAATATCACATAGAACAGACTTTTATTTTCAATCCATGTTTTTATTAAAAGGATTACTCATCATCATGGCCCCCAAATCACTTGTATCAGCTCCGTTGCCTTTCATCCTACAACACATACTTCGAACCCCACCGGACCCAGTTCTCTCCAGGATCCCATTCTTGTCTTGGCGTCTGACACTTTGTATTTCCTGAGCCAGCTAATTCGTTGACGCCTGCTCACCTATACCGTGACGCAGTGGAGGTGTGGAACGTGTTTTCTTCTCACTTAGTGCTGCTATTTGGCTTCAAACAGAGTAAGTGGCGATATTGACAAGTTCTAACAAGTAAAATGGTTTACTTCGGCCCTTCAAAAGGATGCGAAAGCTGCAAGGAGAGAAGAAAGAAGGTATTGACAATAATCTCCTGCTCAATAACACATTGAAGATAGCCTACTGCATCCTCCACCAATACACCAACTCAGACATCCTTGGCTGATTGATGTCTTTACACAGTGTGATCAGACACGTCCAGTATGTACCACCCAATGGTGAAATTAATTTTTTTTGGATCTCTCATTACTTCACCTGTTGTCATCATTTGCAATACACATACACTAATATCCTATTCAGTCTTGCTTGAGATGTGTCAAAGCTGGCCGCCCTTGTCGTGGGTATCAAGATAATGGGGATTTTACATTCCGTGAGCACGATGCTCAAGTTCATACTCCTTCCAAGTCAATGGCACAGAAATGTAGCCTTCCAGTCCGGGAACCGATTCCTGGAACTAATCTCGTTCCTGAGGATGTCCTACCCAAAGAGGTTTCTATGGAAAGAATGCAGAAGCTCGCACTACAGGCTTTTTTCTATGACTATTCGATATGCACAGTCACGCAATCCATGTCAGGAGGTTTCCTGGGTGGACTAGAGGCAATGGTTCGAAAGTCAGGTCTTGACTCTCCTCTTGCAGATGCATGCAAGGCCGCAGCCTTTGCCAGTGGTGGATTAAAGCTACGTCGAAAGCCTCTGCTTGACCAAGCGGAAATTCTCTACCATAATCTCCTCAGGTATTTAGCCAAGCGGATACAAGCACACTACGCTTCTGACTCTGAGCCATTCGCTATCGCAATATTACTGGGACTTTATCAGGTATGATTATCTAGCTGGTCTGCCTTGACGGTTCCAAATAGTGAATTTGCTAAAATAATTACTAGATAATTGTTGCCAATGCAAGCAGCCCTGGTCACCATACAGCGCATGCGAAAGGTGCAGCTGCAATTTTACAAATTGAAAACAATCCCTTATATCTCATACAAGCAAGCCTAACTAGTCATCCATTACTCCTAGACGGCAATCAAGTGAGTCTCTTATCTTTGAATATTCCTTCAATCATTTCTAACTGTCCCTATTCAGAGTTGTCACTCTACAACAGGCAAATATAGTACCGATCGTCAAATGTATGAGTTTTTAATTCGACTTGATCCAATATGGAAACGAACAGAGGACCTCCTTGCAGGATCACCTTTTGCAGTCGACTCTGATGTGCTTCTCCTTCTCAAAATAGAAGCAGTAAAACTCAACGACGACATTTCCCTTTGGCAGAAGTCTCAAAATGAGGAAATCAAAGCTGTCACAATAGATTCAGGGCCTCCCCCAAATCTAACCCATGGAGTAGGCTATTGGCCCGGAAGAGTCGATATGTACATTGATCTCTATGTTGCAACACTTTGGAACGTGTCCCGCATTGTCAGATGCCTGTTAATTACTTTGATCACTCGATTGTCCGGTATTCTCTGTGACGGTGTGAACCACGATGCTGATCGGTTGGAAGTATCCAATCTTGTGGAGGATATGCTTGCGTCTATTCCATATCATCTCTCAGAGGATCTACAGGTCTTCTTGCGTGAGCGTCACGAACACACCGAAATCACTAACCCTGGTCGGTCGGTCGGTGGTTTATTGCTCATGCACCCGATTTATCTGGCTGCTTATCTAGACATCATTCCGTCAGATAGGCGTCTGTATTTTAAAAAGTGTCTGGTTTGGATAGCGCAGAGAATGGGAGTTGGACAGGCTGCCTTTTTGGCGCAGGTAAACTTTCCCCGTCCTGCTCAGTTCTTGTTTATGTGTTGTGTGTTGTTGCTACCTACCAATTGTTGATACACTAACCCGTTCTTTAGGCACCGCAGGTTGACAATCAGTACTTTGCGGGTGGTTGTCTCATTGTATTGGCAGGACTACTCCTTTAGATGGACGCTCATACTAAAAATATTTTTATTTCTTCAAGAGCATTAATAATTTTGATTTGTGTCCAAGCTGAAGTAGAAAAACGTCGACTTCATAACCTTGGAAGTACCATCCATAGTTTCAAGCCGAAATTTGAAGGTTTAGTGACATCAGGACCCTGAATGAGAATTAGTTTAATGGACTCGTATTTTTCGCTGGAATTCCAAAATTCGTCAGAGTTCTCCCTGTATTGATAGCCAAGAATCTCTGTCTCAGATGGGCCATGACTCCCATGAGTCATTCCTTCAGCCACACAAGGCTCTCCGCCCCAATTGACTCATCCAGTCTGATTAGAGCCAAAACAGGCAATCCTGCTCGTGTTTGATCTGAAAGATGCATCTCAGTCATCCAAAATATCCCTGAAACTATGTTCGGAGTCATTGAAGAAGAGTAGATCGGTAAACGAGACAAAATGCTGTGACGAGATGGGTGTAGCTTATAAACCTCATGATTGTCCCAATAGAAACAGGCATCTCAACATCTAATCTGTCCAGCTTTGTTAATATAGCATCATGGCTACTGATATTCCAAACAACAACAATCTCGCGGATAATTCACCTGAAACACCAACTGAGGTTTCATATTCCCATGTGCAACAGATTGAGCTCTCACAACATCTCAAACGTGCACCCTCTCCACCGGATCTCAAGTCCACCGAAAACCGTTTACGACCCGCCGGAGGTGTCCTAAAATCATTGAAATTCAGTAATAATGTCTAGATGCTAACAAAGTCTTTGTAGACATCATTAATCACATCATTTGGGATGAGAGCTTCAACCCCGACAACTATGTGATTGTGTTTCTAGATCGTTTCGAAGGAGAACTAGAACTTTCATTCGCAGGTTGGAAAAAGGAGTCGACAGATGAGGAATTCATTCCTCAACATCGTGTTCTCTATATCAGGCATATCAATGGAGATGTGGTATGGGATCGACGCAGACGGATTGACACAATCTTCAATAGCGGCAACTCGGCGTTTAGTGAGCTGGCATTTTTGAATTGAGGTTCAGATTTCATGCACCTATATTGATCATATTGAGAACATATTTCAGTTCATGACGAGTGTGAGAGTATCTTGAAATTGTGTCGTTCAGTTTGAAGTGAGAGAAAGAACCAGAGTTGTTTGTTCCTTCCCCATCTGAATGGCCACCTCTTTCCTCGAACGTGACATCCATATCCTCAGCACCAGTCTCTCACTATTACTCTCACTCTTTCTCTTTCCCATACTCATTGTCTTTGTTTATCACCATTGTCTTACACGTCCAATCATGGATCTCCCGAAGAAAAAGCCCTCTTTGCCTCGTCTGGCAACCAACCTTGAGTCGCAATCATCCCCATCATTGCCACTCTTGCACAGGAAATCAGATGAGAATGCGCGCCCCAAGCCTGAGAGACCATGGACTCTGCAGTCTCCATACCCAGAAGAAAGAGAGGACACTATCTTGCCTGCACTTCGTTATGTCCCACACAAAAGTGTGCCCTTGCCCTGGGAAGAGATTCTGCCCTTGAAAGATTGTCAAAACCTGCCGGCACCCAAGAAAAAGATCCAATACTATGAAGATGCATTCACAGCGCGTGGTGCGCACAACTCTCCCCAGGATCGGGTTGCTCAAGACTCCATTGTTGTCATCGAAGTGAAAACCAACTGCAAGGTATGTCCGATTCGTATCTCAAAATCCCCTTTTCTCCTGCTAAACGACCCACCAGATCAAAGATGAACAGAGAAAGCTTGTCGGAGATCTGATTTTTCGACTCGCTCAAATCTATCAACGCCCAGAAACCTCCATCATGCTGACCCTTCAGCAAGAGGCCGGTGTCTTCTTTGGCAACATTACCGAGCCATCCTACCTGCTGAAGGTCTATGCCCTACCGCCTCTGATTGCCCCATTTACGAATCTGCGCAACACCAGTTTGATCCAGTCGGCCATGCAAGATCTGTTGCATATTCCCATGGAACGAGGCGTCGTAATCTACACTCCGGTTCCTGAGGACAACCTCGCTAACAATGGCTCGACCGCCCGAGGAGAAATTGTCCGATTGGAAAGAAATGAGCAGGAAGATAGCCCCGGACTTTTCAAAACAATCTCACGCTCGATGTCTCGTCGTCTGAAAAATACCAGTAGCAGTGGTGGGAGTGGGCCCATATCCTTACCATCTACTGCTGGGACTGCTGGGACTGCAGGTGCGTCTGCAGGCGCGTCTGCAGGTGTATCATCGACGCAGACTGAGATTCATCATTCACCGACTATTTTAGAGAGTCCAATGGAGTCTCTGGGGAGAAGAGACATTCAATTCGAAAGCACATGTCTTTCCGGACTCTCAGAAAACGGCTGTCAGAGGTCACTTCACCAAGGGAAAATGCGGATAAAGAATAGACCAAGAAAGAAGATGCGAAGAGTGACATGATTGAAGAGTATGAGGGTATGCTGAAGGAAGAGAAGGAGCCTGAGAAAGAGAATAGCCAGGTTATCAAGGTGTCTAACGAGTAGATTGTATGGTGCTGTTTGAACCAACGATGTCACATTATGTTTTATCTCCCACTTGTACTTGCTATCCAAAGCTTTAAAGAGGTCAATGGATTTATTTCTCTTACCAAACTTTGCCTTTGTCTACAATCGTCTCCAGCTTATCCACTTGTATCTTACCGCAACCATCTTCCTCTCATCATTCTTCCCTCCTCTCTGCTAAGATGGTCTCCCCAGAAGAAAAGATGGAACTCATGACAGGAGAGCAGATCCCGCACAGTGAGAGAATACGCGAACAGCCAGGATGCATATTTGATGCCGCTGAAGGATCTGCTTTGATGCGTAAGTACAGGCGATGGCTCATACTTGCTTCATTGTTCCAAGGTTGAGACCTCGTTGTTAAGGATACCCGCTAACGGAAAGCTTCTAGATGCCTGCAGTGCCAGCGGGGCGTGGGGCAAGGGCATTGCTCTTGATTTCCGAAAGAATGTATCCAGATCATCTCAAAACCTTTATTTTAGTGGCAGTATTGGCTAACAACTCTTCTTTTGAAGTTTCCAAAGCAATACCGGGAGTATCGAGCCCACTGCATGAACTTGGAGAAATCCCGTCAAATGCACGATATTCCAAATCTCAACCCCAAGGGACCTAGAAAAATCTCCGTTCCACTCCCTATCGGCACTGCTCTCATCATAGCTCCGCAATATTCAAGTACAGTCCGATCGAGAAGAAAAAAGGACTATTGGCTTATCTGCTTGTTCACATCTACGGACTATGGTCTGCGCGTTGACTCGCCAGACACAATCATCAACAACACCGCTGCTGCTTTGAATGATCTCAAATCGCAGTTGTGGAGGTTGGCTGGAGGTACTGCTCCTCATCAAATCTATTCCTGTCGTATGAATTCTGGTCTTTTCAATGTTCCCTGGGAGCGAACAAGGGCGTTGCTGGAAGAAATCCCTGTCCCTCTGAAGATCACGGTGGCTTATAAGCCTCCGATTGGTGGTCAACAAAACAATTCGGCTGAGGCTAGTAATTCGAAGCAAAAGAGCAAGATCAGTTTCGGCATCATGGCTTAGATGCCCAATGAATGAAAACAATGCTAGGAGTGGAGGAGGACCACTTTGATAATTTGAACTGTTGATTCTTCACATGTTTGATTTATTGTTTGAATTATTGAAATTTGTCTTGTGACTATAGACAACACTCTAGTAAAACTCTACCTATAAATCAGCTATGGCAATACAAAGTACAGAATTAACTATCCGATTTGCCTGTTATGGCTTCATACATGTGGGAGCTGTCATTGGTGGCTTCATCCCGTCCGGGCTCACTCTAAGCCAACTGCAATCTTACCCGAAAGAGGGGAGTGTATACACATGTGCATGGCCTGTGGCTTTCTAAAAGTCGGACTCCGCAGTCTCCTCCGACGGAGCAGTCTACTATACATGGACTCTAATTAAGTTGTTTTTTTTGATATGAGTTAAGGCCTCCAATTGCTATGCTTTCATTGTAACCCATTGATAACGATGAAATTAATTGATTTGACGACCAACAGAATCCTTTTTTCCAAAATGCATTAGTCTTAAGCGGGGTCATCATCCTTGAACTTGTGCTTATGGTCACTTCGCTCTATAGCCCAATCTCTTACTTTCCAAAAGTTTCTACATGTATGCTCCATCTCAAAGTCCGCCAAAGGCTGATTCTTCTTATCGTCCCAGGATACAAGAATAGGAGTCACATCAACATTGCACATAACAGCTTGTCTGAGATAATCGAGGCAATGATCTATAGATTTTGATTAGAGAAAAGGCAATCAAATCCATTAAAATTACTCACTCATATGAATCGTGGAAGCTGGCTCGTCATCGTGCTCGATAGTATAGTAATCCCTACGTAGTCCTTGACGAAGCATGTCCTAGAGTATCATTAATTAGGTGATTCAGATATAAAAGATGAATCTCAACTACAACCCACCAGGCAATGTAGTTGATGAAACACGTCAACTCCCACAATTGACCACCCGCCAGGCTTTGTCAAAGTCTGACCGCGAATTGTATCGGCCTCGGTGCCACGGAGATCAACACCGTCGACTTTTCAGTGTTAGTGTTAGCATATAAACATTTGAAAGTCTTTTTAGAAGCAAATATTCCTAGCTCACCTCTGTAAAGATCTTTCCATCGAGTATCTAGCTCATCGCTTGGTTCACCCGTGTACTTAGGACTGTCAGGATCCCAAGATGTCTCCACTAGAGTGCCATTGTCATCGAATACTAAATTACCAGAAAAGCGAGTTTTATGTACTTCTAAAGCTGACTGTATAGGGCCTGGTCACGGTTTAGTAATACTTTAAGGGGATAAACAAATTGGAATGGGCTTTTTTGGGGTGTGCTCTTCCACTCACGCAGTTCAGTATCAAAAACGCTGGCGAGGCTAACTTCAGCTCGGTTACTATCATGCTTCAACAAAATAACTGCGATGAATAACAAAATAATCCAAATAGCAGTGAAGATCAAGTGTCCAAGCCATTTTTGAGAAAAGGAGTTTGAAGGTAACTCCTGTGACCTGTCTAAGATGCGGCTCGATAAAAAGCCACCTTCTTCATATACTTCCAAGCTGCTTCGTTCCTCATCTTCATGCTCAGAAGATGCGTAATCATGGGAGCCGCTCTCTTTTGGATACATTTCTCGATTTCGGTTGTTTGAATGACCCGAGAAGAGAATTTGATCACCTGCAAATAAAATGTGCCGCTTGATGTCGCTCTAGGAACTGGAGGGAGATATGTGAGCAGTACTGAGTCACTAGATCTGCAACTTGAAACAACCTCGCTTACGGATATAACTGCCTAAATAAATCGTGGAGCCCAATGTTCGGAGACTTGGACCATAGATAGCTTCTTGATGAAGCTATCTATGTTGCCCCTCACGCAACGGGACCTGGTCCTAATCTTTCAATGTTTGTATCTAATTGACATTTCAAAAATTTCCTCGTACTCGGCGAAATAGATTGCGACCCGCCAGAAAGACACATGTGAGCATGATCAGGATTTGGACCAGGATTCGGATCCTGGTCATGGTGTAACCTCTCGTTGGCACTGACCTCAAATGTGCATATATGCTGGACGCCTGAGCGGGGTGGGAGAGATAAGTCTTCGACACTTCAAATGTTTGATATATCAGCACTTGATAATCAAGGGAAATATCTAGCCCTGGAGGTATATAAGAAGCTATAGACTCTGCTCTGATATACATACTATGATTAACACTCTACCTACTAGTACTTTTTGACTTACTTTTTGCTCAATACCTCCAGGGCTCAGTTTACATCGATCCATCTTGACCTGAATAAATCAATCAGTATGCACTTCCTCAAAATTGTGCTGGCTTTAAGCCTTACAAGCCTCGGTCTAGCCGCTCCCCTACAGGGTAAGTCCTTCTTCCTACCTGTATTACTTCTTGTCCATGATGAAGTCCTAACCTTGAACTCATTGAACAGGCACCGGTGCTTCCCTTGACAATGTGGAGCGCGACGTCCCTACTGATGACTCGGATCCCCTCCTATTCCTCGGCAAATATATTGAATCATGATGGATGAGCTACCATCATTTCAAAGAGCGCGTTCTCCGTATCAACTGCTCCCCAAAGCTTGGATACAAGACTGGCTTTATTATGAGCAACATCAATTTGAATATATGACCTCACCTGGCAGGCTTGAGTCTTGAGATTATGTATTGAGTGCCAGTGGAAGATATACATAGTAGTGTCAAACCTAAGCTCTCAAGTGTCAAAATCAATTATTCATTGGAACATCTGAAGAACTACCACTGGCATACATATGTATGTAGCGAACAGAAAACGCTGCAGGGAACTTTAACCAGTTATGTAGTAGTTCCAAGGTTATTTCCTAGAAACAGGCATCTTCTCCACCGTGACTCCAAAATTCCACGCCCGAATACCTATTGAAGAGGGGAACCGTTAGGCAGTGTATTCTAGATACACGGGTCGATCCAGCTAGCATGAATGGATAACACCAACCAACATGTACGTTGTGTAGGAGTGTGTATTCTAGACTATAACGACGGGCATTCTTGTACGTACAAAGACGGGACTGAAAACATGACAAAACAGAGATGTAACCAAACGGTAATTCTTAGCACGGTACGTGTAGTAGGGGACAGGGTACCCCACTACACTATGTAGGTAAAGGCATACCCGCCTTTCAAGTTCTATTCTCATACAACTTGTAGAGATCTGCTCAGAAGCTGTTGTAAACCTGGGAATTGGCCCCAACAAGCTCCTCAACCTTTACCCCATTGTGAAAGGCCATGAAGCTTGACATCGCTTTTATACCGACTTCCTCAGAAATTTCCTGCTGTTCATCGACATCGACTTTGTAGAACTTGAGTCCGCTGAATTCATCGGTACCCGAAAACTTCTCGAAAACAGGTGAAATCACTCGGCAAGGTCCACACCATGTCGCCCAGAAATCGATTATAGCGACCTCTCCGCTTTGAATGATCTTGTGAAATTCATCGAGCTTAGCGTAGAGATATTCTGAGATTAGCACTAAGTGATATAGTAATCAGGCGAAAGAAAATTTTAACATGACTTACGAGTTGATGACTGAAACAGGCATCTTGATCAACTTGGACAAGTCCTGATCTATAGAATGGACAAAAACTTGAATGGGTGGTTGATATAACGTGACAAGAACCAACTTGAAGGGAGTAGTCAGATCAGAAGTATAGACACAAGATGAGGAATAAATGGAACTGATTCTCTATTCATGTGATTCCATCCACATGTGCAGCATTACCCCTCCCCCACCTTTCAGCTGCACCTTTGAGCTGCATGCGCTCGATGTGACGACGATGTCCGGGTGGTGTGGGGCTAGGTTTCTTCAGCCGCATCATCACTTCTTAACATCACCTCTTAGCTGGAGATCTTCGATGTTATAATAGATGATATACGTGCAGAAGACTATCGAAACCAAACCCAAAAGTCGACATATTTTGCTGGATAAGGTCCAGCTAGGAACATTTGAAGATTGTGGCTTGATCTCATCTCTATGCATACAGTTTCTAGACACCCGATCTCTTCCTCCCGTGTACCCCCCTGATCTACAAGCTGTAATATAATAACATGGCGGAACGGTATTATATCCAATTGAAATCATCAGTTTGGCGTAGAATTGAATACTTATACAGAATCTTACGAAAGGTTAAGACCAGAACTAGAAGGGTGGAGGACGCGAGAGGACGAAATCAGTAATTAGTTGAACGCGTCAAGAACTACGGAGTACATACTCCGTACATCCATGGATATTGTAGTGGGGAGTATTTCAAGATTTCTTATGTCATGTTTTGCACTTGTACGTACAAGAATGTCTGCCCAGGTCTCTTTACTACTTCGACGTGCGTACCTACTAGGTAGTTGAGAACTTGAATACACACATCTTCAAAAGCACTCCTACGGGTCATTCCGGGGGTCTTTGCACTAGCATTTTGGTTGTGATTTTTTCATTATAGCTGAATCAACCCGTGCACCTTGATTGTACTGCCTAGAGCGTTCCCCACTTCAATACATACAAATGATTTCAAGTTCTTCAACCTTGATATCGGTTAGCCTAATTAGGCAGCTAGACACCTAACCACTAAGGCCAGAATTTGTCAAAACAAACACCCCCTAAACTAACCTTGGAAGTACCAATGTACCACCACAGCATGTACTCCGTACTCCGTGCAGCAGTTGACTTTAGCGGGCCATGGCGGGGAAACTCAAACATTTGAACATCTAACCCCACCTGGGCACCAAACAAGGAAACCCTGGAACGGGTCTAGCTTGACACAACTATACTTAGGATGGGCGTTAGAACATTACTCAAGCGTCTACGCGCCTCAGATGACACAAAGACATCAGCAACAGCAACAGCAACAGCCGACACTCACAAAGAGGGAGCCATATCAACCCGAGCTAGTGCCTCTACCTTACATCCGGAGGTTTCTGCTCCTATCTCTGCTATCAGCGAGAATAGTAGGAATGATAACACACCCCGGGACTTATGGGATGAGGCCTACGCTACTCTCAGCAGAGAGGACCCAAAATTGAAGCAAATGTATGAAAATGTTATACTGACCGAGGGAGATCTGAAAGGGAACGGTACATTGTGCCAGAACAATCTAGGTAAGCACCGAGAACTCTCATCCCAGATTTGAATGTCTGACAAAATGTGGTGTTAAGCAATCACTGGATCATATCAACGCGAAGAACAGTTACGCCAAATAGTCAAGAAAAAAGTCGAAGAAATTGATTTGGCACAATGGCGAGTCCAGGTTGGTGGTCACACCGTGGATGTCAGTGGGCAGTTCGACAAAGCTGTCAAGATTGTCTTGGCAGTTAAAGACTATGTTTCATCAGCTGTCAACTCCGAGCCTCATGCCGCTCTGGCGTGGGCCGGAGTATGCATTTTCTTACCGGTATGTCCCAAAGATGCAATGAAACATTTGTGGTAATGCTGACCTTAAATCCTAGCTTCTTTTGAATCCATCGGAGCAGAAGATTGCTGCCCGTGATGGTCTTGAAGCTCTTCCATTTGCAGTGCGCAGATTGAGAGTCATGGAGAGACTTATCAGGCCAGGAAACTCTGGGTTGACAGAGGATAGCTATCAGCCCGATAGTCTGAAACTCGTTGAGGATTTTGAGAATACAGCCGTGGAGCTCTACAAGACGATCCTGGAATTTCAACTTCGACTTGTGAGGCAGCACTCAGACAATTGGGCAAAGCGCTACGGGCGGAAGGTTTTTAAGGCCGATGACTGGACAAGTTTAACCAGTCATATTAAGACTCTCGAGACGAAATGTACTGAGATTGCTCAGGATTTGAGTCGAGAACGAATTGAGAGGGCTTTGCAGGACAGTGATAATAGTATGCAGCAGGGCCTGCAGAGGATCCAAGAAGAGCTGGAGAAAACAACTCGTGGCATTGAGAAGCAAATTGTGATGCAATCAGCTTGGCGACAGAGTGATGAGGAGCGCAAGTGTCTACAACTGTTTCGAGAATCGAATCCATATGAAGACCAAAAGAACAGAACGCCCAAACGAGTCTTGGGGACAGGGAATTGGTTCTTTGAGAACAGGAAATTTCTCGACTGGAGGGAAAACGAAGGTCCTGATCTTCTGTGGTTATCCGCTAAGCCTGGTTCAGGCAAATCTGTTTTGGCAAGAACCCTCATTGATGAGGGCCTGGTTAAATTGAGCCATCAGAAGCAATCCGCGGTCTCTTACTTCTTCTTCAAAGATATCTCTCCATATCAGAGAAGTGCACTCAGTGCTATCTCTGCAATCCTGCATCAATTGTTCTCTGCAATTCCATCTCTAGTGCGACATGCTCTTATTCCCTATGGTTTGAATGGAAAGGAGCTACTCCAGTTGTTTGACGAGATGTTTGGAATCCTCTGTCGGGCAGCTGCTGATCCCGCCGTTGGACAAGTTGTGTGTGTTCTGGATGCTCTCGACGAATGTAATGACTCAGACCGATCCATCTTAGTTGAAGCAATTACAAACTTCTATCGTGGAGCCAAGAATGCGTCAAATACCGAGAATCAACCCAAGCTAAAGCTTCTCTTGACCAGCCGCCCTTACTCTGACATTCATTCTCAATTTCACGATCTTATGAAGGAGACACCTACAATCCACTTGTCGGGAGATCATGAATCTGAAAAAATTAAAGAGGAAATCGATCACGTTGTTGATGTCGACATCCCAAAGCTTGCTGCGGAGAGGGGCTATGATGAAGAGGCAACAAATTGGCTGGTTGAGAAGCTGCATTCAGTCGAGAACAGGACATATCTGTGGCTAAGCCTGATCAGAGAAGAAATTCGCCTCAGCGAACGCCCTTCTAATAGGCGAGAATTGCATAAAATTATCTCAAACTTGCCCCCAAGTGTGATGGATGCTTTCGATTCGATCCTAAAGAGATGTCGCCATCCTGAACTTGCAAGACAGCTCTTGCATATCATCCTGGCAGCCCACGAGCCCTTGTCAGTTGATGACATGAAAATAGCTACAGTGCTTGCCTCTGATCTTGAATATCGCTCATACAAAGAAGTTGGGGTCGAAAGGTCGGATGCCTTTGAGATGAGAATTAAGAATGTTTGTGGCCTTATGGTGACCATTGAAGATGACTTGGTGTTTCTTATCCACCAAACAGCGAAGGAGTTTTTGGTTAAAGACAAAAATCAGAACGAAAGCTGTGGGATTTGGAGATTCAGTTTCAGTCCCTTGGACTCTGAAATCCTCATGGCAAAGATCTGCGTCTCGTTGCTTTCTTTCACTTGCTTTTCCGAATGCTCACTTACGATCGACGCCGAGAACGCCGCAGACGCTGATGAAGGTGATGACAAAATTTCTCAATATTCTCAGGACCATGCCTTCCTGAAGTATGCGGCGATGAATTGGGTGCAGCATGCCCAAGATGCCATACTGGACGAGAATTCAGAGTGGATGCCATCAATATTATCGCTTTGCACTGTGGATAGTTGGATGTTTAGAACATGGTACACGTTTTACCAACGATCACAGTTGTCTAATTTTCCTTGGAAGACAACAAGCTTGAACCTTGCTGCTGAATTTGGGTTTGAAAATGTTATCGATTCTCTTCTGAAGAGTGGCGAGGACCCCAATGAGATAGACGGCCACGGGGCAACGCCACTTGCACGTTCTGTAAGAAGATCTAAAAGGGCCGTTGAGCTTCTTCTGGACGCCAAAGCAGATATTAACTCTCATACCTGGGAGGAGCCCTGGCATTATGAGCTTGAAGATACAGGCACCGAAATTTCAGTCAAGCCTTTTACGGGGACCCCTCTCACCATGGCTGCACTTGAGGGGAATACTGAAATGATCGAATATCTCATTAACCGTGGAGCCAGGATAGACTTTCCCCCGTCGAGTCCGTTAACGCCACTATCAGCAGCATTCATCAGGTGCCTTAATGATGAAGATTCAAACAGAACAGAGATTCTCCGCCTGCTGGTTCGGCTTGGAGCGAATGTTTGTTTCGAGAATACGGGCGAAGATCTACTGGCGGATACAACAGTCCTTCATTCCGCAGCCATGATGGAAGACTCGTCTATTTTAAAGATACTTCTCGATTCGGAAACTGCCGACTTAAACTTTCAGCTTCGAGAAGCATCAGGCAATACTGGAGCGGGACCTATAGATGAGTATACAGATGAGAAAAGACTCAGGATTAATGAGCCAGAAATCCTGATCAATACGACAAGAAATTGTTCACCTGATGTGTCCTGCACCGACAGTGCAATACGCGTTAGTGGTTGTGAAGATGAAAATTCAGATGGAGGTGGCAAAGAAGATGACATTGCCTCTATCTCGCAGAACTCCGAAAAGAGTTTCAATTCCAGCCCCGATCATGATGACTATCAATCAGATCTGTTCAGCTCGATAGAAAACACCCGTTACATGATAGGAGCCACTCCTTTGCAACTTGCAGCCGCGCATGGACTCGTTGAAAATGTGAAACTTCTTCTTCAGAATGGAGCGAATCCGCATTTAAAAAATGCCAATGGATACACAGCCATGGATTTTGCTCTTGAATTAAGCCTGCACTCCATTGAGAATTGTGATGATCCTGAGACCTTGGCTTCTATCAAAAGGGAAATGATAAGTTTGCTTGAGCAATATTGGCATAGATCAACAGATGGTAAAAAGTCATCTTTTCCAGTTCTTATCGTCAAAGACTAACTTGAATTTTGATTGTTGCAGGCTTATCGGATCATAGCACTGAAGGATCCATACTACATAGTAGTTGAAGGCCCAAAAGTTGCTAAACATTGAATGGAAGCCCAACCACTAGTACCGGTAATCACCCCAAGGGCTGTCAACAAGATATCAGAATAGTTAATGGAACTACTCACTGACATAGAGCGTATGGCCTATTTATTTTGCAAATTACTAGCAATTCATTCCAGATCAATGGGCCGAAGCCTCATAGAGCTCCATCCCGAGGTCATATATCCATCCATGATTCGATCAAGCCAAGCGTGTAATACTTTATAAATACCTTACCGTGCTGTATTTTTTCAATAGTGAGTGACCTCGAAGCCTCCCGAGGTCACTTCCAAGGTTCCCGGTAGTGTGTAATATTACGGAATTGGTTTCCCTTCAGTCACACAGCCTCAAAATATCGATAAATTCATTTGAAATAATTGATTCCAGCCAATGGATACATTTCAAACGACCCAAGGAATTTTCCGCAGAAAAGAATCGTTTTTCGTGGTTTCCCAAGCATTTCAAAAAGTTTCACTAACCATTACTCCGTACTACATCCACAATCAAACACTACATACATCCATGCTCAATCTGGCGCTACATCCAAGCTACATCCAATAATCTGACAGAACTTTTTTCGAACAGCGGAGTGATTCAAGTTATTGCCAGGGCCACTTGGTTAATTTTATTGATGCTTAGAACTACTACTGGTACAGCCCTGGGGTGATTATTGCCAAAAGTAATCCTAGTACCTCCTACTACGGAGTGCTGCTAGGTATTAGTAGAACTTCAAGAACACTGCTAGTACTATAATGATTATTTCAATGTTGGGCAATACCTACTATGATGCAAGTAGTATTAGTTTTCATGCTCAACTTGAAGTGCTGCCAGTGCCAGGTCAAGTGGGAATTAGCAGCTTGAATATGTTGAAGTTCAAGTTCAGTACCAGTTAGTAGCCCCACTGCATAGTATATGTAGACTGCCAGTGAATAAGTACTACTACTAGTAGTATGGATCGAACCTCAACTCGTAAAATCGACTGGTTTCTAGTATTTCTCAATAAAAAAACAAGCGTATCTTCCAAGTTTAGTTCCGGTGTGTATACGGAATACTTGAACTCACCTGGACAAGATACTGTATCACCTGATACCGCGTCTCCAGAACGCGACCCGCGTCCCTCTGAACTCCACCTTCCGGGATCCTTAGGTATCTACAATCCCACCTGGCATCAACACACTATCATGGCCGGTGAACCTCAACAAAAACGTCGCAGACTTCCCTTCAAACCGCCCAGCCGCACCTCGAGTGCTGGTCCTTCCGCAGGATCCTCAACGGCCGCGAAAGATAAAGGGAAGACGAAGGAAACCACAACCAAGCCCTCGAAGCCTACAGCAGCCTCATCATCAGTGTCAAAAGCTCAACCGGCCGCTTCCAAACCAACATCAGCTGCTAAGCGCACTCGAGATGTCGTAGAGAACGTTTTACCAGCGACACCATCCGATTTCGCAACTGACTCCGAGTCCGAAGCAGGCGATGTCGAGCGTCCTGTCTCCGAAGAACCGGATTACATCCTCGCGGAAATTACACACCCAGCCCCGGAGGAGGATATCACGACCAGTGCACCACAAATTAATCCTAAACTCTTGACGGGGATTTTCCACCACTTTTTCAAGAATCAAAAGACTCGAATTTCAAAGGATGCCGATGCTATGATGGCCAAGTATATGGATCTTTTCGTGAGGGAGGCTATTGCGCGTGGGAAACTCGAGAGAGATCTTGTCAACGAGAGCAAGGGACGGAGTGGCCCTGCGGATAATTTTATTGAGGTATGTTCTAAATGTTGATTTTGGCTCTAATGTTACGAGCATTCGCTAATCTTCTTGTCACTTAGGTCGAGGACCTTGAAACATTGGCCCCATGGCTTGTTATGGACTTTTAAAAATATCCGAATCCTTAATAATTTGGACAGACTTACTTGGATGAGACGGCGTTTCGTGTGTCTGCATTGACGTTTTTTATTTTGAATTTCGGGCTCTGATGATTTTGAGATACCAACTACCCTACACAACAAAGCTCTTCATATCTTTGACCTTCACTAGATGTACGTGACCTGTAGCATACTAATATCTCGCGGACGGTTATATGAGGGCGGGACCCCCGATGAATGATCTTCCACAAAAGGCGGAACCGCATCGAAACCATTGGCGTTGTGTAACATGGCAACATCATGATTGACTCGTCGTGATACCCATGGGTTAGCCGTATATGCTGTCTTCTTCTTGCTGAAATGAGTGACAACTACAGGCAGCTGGTTATGTTCTGGAAGATGGCCAAGCTTGACGTTGTACTCGGTATGTGCAATATCGAAGACTATAAAGACTCGTGTTCGCCATTGTTGGACGGCGACTAGACGAGGTTCCATGGGTGCTGATAGGTCTCTGGAACCTCTTGAGATACCATTTTTCTTCAAAAGGTGGGTAGCTAATGGTATCAGATCTTGAGGTGACTGGCGGGCTTTAGATATCAAGGAGCTTCGCTGTGAAACAATGACCAGAACTCGAAGTGGACCTGGTTCTGTCATGATTATCTATGACAGTCGTTAAAATTCCACTATCCAAGTAGCTAATTCAGATTACTTACTTGTCAATGAATTGAATTGACAGAGTTGTTTGCTGAAGCCCTGGAGCCATGAAAATGGCTGGCTCTCCTGTTACCTGTATATAGTAAAGATTAGTTGCCTAGTGCGGAGTACTCCGTACCTGGGACCTGCAGCTATCAGGAGACACTCGGCATTTGGCTGCACAAAGTTTGTCAATGAACATGCATTTTCCCAGGTGAGGATATGATATTTTACTCCGATCCATGTCAGCATCGGGGATATGAGGTGGGTTGTCTGGTTGAGCTTTCAATGTGTAGTATAATAAGGCACATATGCGCACCAATGAATTCAGGATTTAAAAACGCAGAACATATGAGGCAGACTTTCCATTTGAAATCTGATCGGTCTCATCCTTCCAATCCAGTCTGGTTGAGTTGGTGTAGCTCCGATGGAATGTGAGTACAGTGAGTGAGTACCTTGGAATGGTTCAAGGTCCCACGATAAGGCGGTCTGCTATCTCCGCTGTGTCGCGTCTTTTCCTTTTACCCAACGCGTCCATCACAGTACGACGAGGTTTATTTGCACCATGAATGATGCAACTACTTCCCTGCTCACTGAGCATTTCAGCTACACTCCCTTGGTGAGTTTTAATGGTCGTGCATGAGTCCTCAGACTCCGAATAGGGCGCGACCGACCCCACCAACCCCTTGCGAAACCCACTTGCTAACCCGACCTGGTAGTCGCTGATTGACGATATTATCAACTCGATCAACAACTTGATCTACCAGGCAATTTCTAGCTTGGAGACGGGCTTGTTGGCTACTCCTCCAGAACGACTGGGTTTCTCACACGCCACCAATGGCCCCACTATTGCGGACACGGACGATGATGGAAATATTGTCTACCCGGAAGCCAAGCTAGAGCTGGAGAATGGACTGCACCAACTGGAGACACTTCTTGAGGCGAATGTGGATAAGGCCTTTGATAAATTTGAGATTTATGTGCTTCGAAATATTCTCACTGTACCTGGGGACCTGGTGTCGCATGTGCGATTGAACCATTATGAGGTAGGATGCGCTTTCTGTCTCATATCAGCACAAGAGCTAACGGAGTCGTGATCTAGGGCCTCTCATTTAACCCTTCCCCCGATACACCTACTCCCGAAACCATCGCAACACTGCGCAAGAAATTACTTGAGACTAGAAAGCTCAATCGATCCTTGAAAGACGAGTGCGCGCGCAACGATGCTGTCATTGCTCAGTTAAATGGGATCCTATCGAAGGTCAACCCTGAGCAGGACAAACCAATCGATACCGATGAACCAAATACCACTACGCCACTTGATCTTTCTTTCTTGACAACAAGCCCTGCCGCGAAGCAGCTTCGTGTTGGCGTGAACACTGGCTCAAATACAAAGCACAGCCCTCTTACGACCAATACCACCTTCATCCTTACGCAGCTTCCGGCCCTTCAAGCAACGCTGGAGAACTTGCGCCCCAAGTTGGCCTCACTGCCCAACTCTGTTAAGGTGATAGAAAGCAAGTCTAAGCGGGATGAACGGAAAGAGTACATCGAAAGCCGGATCAGACTGCACCTTGAACGCGCTGGACAGCTTGCTATGGGCGATGACGGTCATCCAGTCGTCGCTGGTCGCCGTATCGATATCTCCGAGGCTCATGCATTGGAGAGCGTGGCTAATATGTTGACCCAAAATAAGTCTGCGTAAAGTGATGTATCATTGTGATGAAACTGGCTCTATGTACTGGAAATTTTGGTGCATGGTATTTCTTGCTAGTGTTTCTCTATGACCAGGTGACGGTCCATGTGTCCTGGTTTCTACGGAAGGGGACAACATCAATGTCGCCCGCCTGCAGAATGTTGACGATCTTCTCGCCCTTCTTATCAATGGTGATGAACTCGTTCTGCTCCTCACCAATCTGGTAAAAGGCACGTCCGAACTTGGTCATGAAGCCCTCAAAGATCTCTGGGGTAATCTCCTCGTCCTTAAGGATTCCGTTCTCGCAGGCCTGCTCGAAGGAGTCGAGGACAACCTGGGTGGTGTACGGCTGGGTGAAAACACCAGCAGCGATCTTCTCGCCACCACGCTTGGAGGCAGCAGGGTGGGGCGCACTGTCAGATCCGAAGAAGAACTTGGGGTTGCCCGATACAGCAGCACGGAGCAGAGCGTCACGGTCTGCGGGGGTCTTGGCAACGGGCTTGCAGAAGCAGAATGGGTCACCGGCCCAGTGGTCAATGATGATGGACAAGTGGTGGGCAGTGATAGTACCCGCGACAGTGGGACCGCACTTCTTGACGGCCTCAACAGCGGCGGCGGTGGTGCAGTGCTCCAAGATGATGCGGAGCTTGGGGAACTTGGCGTGAAGCTCCAGCAGAGTAGGCAGGAAGCGCTCCTCCGCCGACAACACGGTCACATCACCCGAAGAGGGAACTTCACCGTGCAGGTTCAGAATCAGGTTCTGACGCTCCATCTCGGCGAAGACGGGGTAGAATGACGCATAGTCATACACACCGGAGCTCGAGTTGGTGGTGACACCGGCCGGGTAGCTCTTCACACCAGTGATGCCACGCTTCTTGGCCTCAATGATAGTATCGGGAGTGATGGTTTCGTGCAGGTACAGCGACATGAGGTAGTTGACCTTGGGCTCAATTGCTTGCAAACGCTTCTTGTAGTCCAGGGCGTGGTCAACGGTGGTGACGGGAGGGACCAGGTTTGGCTGTATGGTATTGATTAGATAGCTGAAGCAAGCAATATATGATAATATAATTGCTCAAGGAACGCTATTCCTCACCATAACAAAGACAGTGTTCACACCACCCTTGCGGATGGTGGGCGTCACCAATTCCATCATAGGACCATCGCGAAGGTGGACTATAGGGCATGGTCAGCTTTATCCTTCTCCGTACCCCAAGAACTAGCCTGACATACCATGGAAATCGGCCGCAGCAGGCAGCCTAAGGCCACGGAGCTTAGACAAAGGCATTATAAAATTGTTCAATTGTAAGTTGAATAGAGATTCATCTTGATGCCCCGCCAAACACTAAATTTTCTGGGTTTCTGCCGGGCGGTGTATGTGGATCTCTCCCCGGCTTTCCCCGCGATCCAAACATCCATTGATCTATACATACAACTTCAAGTTCATATAACTCGACTTTTACACAACTGGACTCGACAAACATGAGAGAAATGGGCAATATGGACTGCCAAAATAAGCTCTTTGGGCACTTGGTGTAACCCCTCCATAGTCCACAACACTCCAGACCACCCTGATGTGGGTCAAACACCTCTGTAGCCGCCGTGGCTCTCTGCAATCCCGGGCGCTTCGCCATCGTCCTATCAGATGCCATTCTTTCACTTCACACTAGAAACCTGCAAGTGCCATGTCTGGACCCGAAAATTACAGGCTCCAATCGATCCGAACCGAGTCTAAATTTAACTCAATGACCACACGGAGCTTCCCCTGGCTTTCTTCAGATGTCACTGCCAAGTCTGCAGGCGCCCGCCCATATGCTAGGACCCTCGATGAACCATACTCGAGAAATAAGCCCATGTCTGAGGGTAATTGATCTTCTATCCCTGAAATCTAAGTTGGGACAACCTGCCAATGGTTGTCTCCCATGATTTATGAATACCCCTCACTATGGCTGACCATTCATGCTGAAGAACCCATCCATTATGTCGGATACGCGCCCTGGTCAATATTAACCTTTGTTACAATATAGCGCTCGCCAAATATGGCTGATAGACTGTTCTCGGAGACATTAAGGTACCTTGTAATTGTTTCAAGTTAGACATACATATTCAGCCTTCTATCCCCTGTCGCAGGAATATTCGGAGACTTAAGGCCTTTATTCTTTCCCTTTATTTCCAGGTTTCACCGTCGTTCTTTTCCAACACAATCCTGGTCTTTCATTCACAGCCACCTCTGTGAGGTCCCTTTTATTCCTTCTCTACTACATCATCCATTTCGGAGTCCTTGCCGGCAAGGTGCATACCTCTACTACCTCGATAATAAAATCCGAACCTTTTTGCATCTTTCAAGTTTCCTCTTCAATATGAGCTCCGGTTCCTCTACTGCAGGCTCTAACGCCATCTCTTCTGATATGGATGAGTCAAACTTTCTGAAACGAAACCGAATGTTGCATTCGGTCCAACTGGGTCTCTCTTCATTCATCCTTGTTGCTGCCATTGCAGTCATTCCTTGTGCAGTGGTGCCTTACCAGCATTACTTGGACACGGCCAAATGGGCGACTGCGAGTCTCGCCCTATGGCCTCAAAATCTTGATCTTCGTCCCACCGTAGCCGCTCTCTCATGTGGCTGTGTTATTACATTTTTGAACTTGATATATGTTGTTACTGCTCTCCTCCCTTCAGTGAGTACCCATTCCGAGTCCCTTGACATATACATGACTTGGATTGAACTAACAATATGTCTTCCACTAGCCTCATTCTAGAATCAGACTTCTGAGCCTATCCTCAGCTGTCTCAGCATTCGGTGGCTTCCTCACGGCTCTGGTCTGCCTTCTGTTTATCATTTACCGCCCCTCCTCAACCTATCCCACTGGCTTCACGGAGAATGAAACCCTGCACAGCTGGACTTGCAAGTGGGAGCACAGCTCTGCGAATATTACTGCCCCAGCCCACTTTGAACGGGATTGTCATACCAGCCATGCTAGCGTTGCATTAGTATCATTGCTTCTCGGATTGGAGATTTGCATGGGAATTGCCGCCGCAGCTGGTACCTGGTTCCAGAAGAATGTTGGTCGTCGACGTGAAGAGCAGGCTGAACTGGAGAAACTGGAGATCGCTACGAAGCAAGCGTATCGAAACTAAGTAGAAGTCAAATGCTATTTTATGTGTGGAGATGAGCAATGAGCGATGCATGTGTGTTACTACTGGGTGGACCTTCGAATGTTGGAAACTGCGTACAAGTAGTACGACTATGGTTTGTGTTTAGCTGTGAGATAGTATCATGATAATCTAGTTTATGCATTGAATGAACCAGCATTTGGATTTTGAAAAAAGGGTAATACAAATATCAGTAACGTCATTCTTGTAGGAGGTTCGCCAAGGTTATAAGTCTAGTTTCCCTTGACTGTGCCTTTCTCAGCCACTAAATCCGCAATCTTTGCAAGAGACACGCCACCCATGATGTCAAATACGGCAACTGTGGCACCGAAAGTTGTCCCAACCCAGTTTCGTAGATCAACTGCCATTAGGGAATCAACCCCGTAGGTTGATAAGGGCTTGCTCGGCACAACATCATCTGGTGAGATAGACATTGAACCTGCCAGTTTAACCGCCAGAGCACGCAAGAAAATTTGCTGGCGCTCACTTGGGTCCGAGGACTGTTGAAACAGAATAGCGGGATCAATAGCGTTCTTTTTGAGCCCATCTTGCTCGGCAGAGGCGCCCGAGTCTGGAATGTATGAAAATGTCGACAGCAGTGGCCTGTTAAGCAAAGCTGGCGGAGCATTTCCACGCGCTAAATGATCAGCTGGAGTCCGAAGACCAAACAAAATTTGGCTTTCAACTGGAGAACGTTGAGGGTTCCCTGGGTCACAACATATTGTCAATAATGCAAGGAGTTCCGCGCCATCGACTGGCCGCATGTCATTCGCAGCTTGCCGTTGACGTTGATAGGCGCCCGTCTCAGCGATAATGCCAATATTGCGCATCCAGCCAATATCAATTGAGATGGCTGTTTGGCCCTGAGAGACTCGGTATCGCGCTAATGCGTCTTGGAATGTGCATCCTCCGGCATAGTTGGAGCTGGCCATCTGACCGACCACACCCGCAAGCGAGGAAAGGAGAATAAAGAAGTCGAGGTTTTCAGGGAGCAGCTGATGCAGATTCCATGAGGTTTGAACCTTTGATTGCATTGCCAGATCCCATTTGGCGAATGTCATGTTTTCTTGGAAGATTCCGTCTTGCAGAACCATTGCTGCGTTGATGCATCCCTTGATGGGCGGCATCGTCCGAGCGCATTCATCCAGCATTTGCGAGAGACTTGATTGAGATGACACATCGCATTGCGGAGCATGAACAGTTACTCCCTGTGCTGTCAATTGAGACACTAACTCTTTTGCAGCTTTGGAATTTGCCCCTGATCGTGATGGTACGATCAGATATTTGGCTCCTCTCTCCACCATCCACTGGAGAATGGCTCGGCCAATGCCGCCAAACCCACCTGCAACTAAATACGACGCACAATTGTCAAAATTCCACGGTGGATGCTCTTTGAAAAATTGCTGCACAAAAGGAATTTGTCAATTTAGAAAATTCACGATTCGAGGGGTTTCATAGAAGTTTACTTACCGGAACAACATCATCTGTGCTTGCCGTGATCACAACCTGGTCCTTTGTCTCTTCGCCTTGAATTTGTTTATATGCTGACTCAAGCTCTAACAGTCCGAAGACTGGAGGGTCATCAAAAATTCGGATTTCGCCATCTCGAATCAACGACATAACAGTGTGGAGTAGGCGTGACAAAAGCTTCGAGCGGAGTCGCGAGAGATCAACGGTCGAGTAAATGATGTTTCTCGAAATCCTCTCATATGAAGGATGGAGGCTGTCATCAATATTTGCAAGACCAATATCAATCAATTGTCCGCCGACAGCAACGCACTGAGAAGACTTTTGCAAGATATCGTCACCATTTAAGAGGTTGAACAGAACATCCACTCCCTCATCCTTAGTAGCACGCAGAACAAGTGCTTCAAATGGCGCATCATTGACATCGAGAATTCTCTCAGCTGGCACTCCCAAGGTTTGCAGAACGAACTGCCTCTCCTCTGATGATTTTACAGTCGCATAAACCTGGGCTTTTTGTTTCTGGGCTATACAGACAGCAGCCTGACCGATGCTGCTGGCAGCAAAATGAATGAGAACTGAATCACCCTCTCCAAGCTGTGCAATATCAATGAGAGCGTGATATGCAAGCAAAGCTGGATGAAGTGTCGATGTAGCTGCTTCAATGGACATGCTTTGAGGAACCTTCACGATTCCGCTGTTCCGACATCGAGGATACTTGCGCATGCGATCGAGAGTGAACATGCAAACGCGATCCCCTATTTTGAATGACTTATCACATTCATTTCCAACTCGAGTGATCCTACCGCCGCAACTGCCGACGCGAGCAGAACTGTCAGAAGTGCTGGGGCTGTCATGTTTCATGAAGTTCCAAGACTCTGCATCGATCTCCACCTCGTTGAGATCTAGAGGGGTCTCGTAAAATGTGTCCCGAACAAAGACAGGAGAATTATCGTTGCCAATAGCAAGTTGCACGGCCCCCAATTTGCCCCAAGAATTATGGACAAGCTGTGGCGAAAGAAGTGATTGGATTGCTTTGTTGCCACACACATCTTTGATAGCCCGAGCAGTCATCAAAACCCCATTCTTAAAGGTATACTCAATCTCTTGGGACTGAAAGGCGAAAGATGTTTCAAGAATCTGGCTTATAGCAATTGAACAAGCCATGCTGTCAGATTCACCCTCGATGCTGAGACTCACAAGGTGACTGGATGGTTGTTCAGCGCGAACTGTGCGCATAAATCCTTGAACAATGTTGAATTCAGGAACCCTTAAAGCACTTGTACCTGAGTCTGTTACCCACAGGAGTCTAGGAGCAAGTGCAATCAATTTTCGCAGAGCCTTAAAGCCATCCTCGGAAAGATTGGCCAGCAACGGGCTGCCTACTTCCACCAAGCAGACAACAATATTATCCCTGGTATTGGTAAGAATCTGCTGGATGTCCTCTTCATTGAATGAACAGATGTGGAGAACCGAGGTCCCATGGGGGTCATGAGTGGCATGAACTAATTTTGCTAGATTCGATTGCATGTCGGAGTTCTGATCAACCACGACAACGAGGTTGCTAGTACCAAGCCTGGGGGTACTAAGCTCTGGAATCTCTACTGCAGTGCTCACAATGATGCTCACAACATGGCAGCTCTCATCCTCGTAGTCCCGGATGACCATATCATTCCCCGAGAAACCATTCTTTCTCAGATTATGATCCCATACCGCCTCAGATACGGCAGGTGAGTGAAGACGCCACTTGTCACGAGCAACCCACCAGCCAGGCGTTAATCCAGCCATAAAATTGGTGACAATGTCCTCTGGCTTGATTGCTTCAAGTAAGATGAGACGACCACCAGGTTTTAGTGCCTTGCGAACATTTTGGATCGTACTTGCGAGACTTGGAGTCGCGTGAAGGACGCTGGCCGCGATAACCAAATCATAAGAAGCCGGCTCAAAACCTTGGCCCTCGATTGACTGTGCAATGTCCAAAGTTTGAAAATTGAGTCGTCCGTCACTCTCAAATCGAGGCCAGCGGGACTTTGCACGCTCCAGGAACATGGGTGAAATATCCGTGTAACAATATTCAGCAAAGCTGAATGCACCAGTTCGAGTCTCGCGCTCTTCCAACACTCCGAGAATCTGCTCTGTCATGCCTCCGGTACCAGCGCCAACCTCTAAGACTCTCATTGCGGGAGTCTCATGTGAAGCGAGATTTATAATACTGGCAAGGCGCCCATCAGCACATATGTTCTCAAAAAGAGAAGCATAGAAGATATCTGCCAGATCGGATTTGAAGATCACTTCAAGCGGGTCAAGCGTTCCTTGAAGAATATTCAATAGCTTACGAGCGCAAACAGTGTACAGCTTCCAGGCCGGAAGAACTCTTTCAATTTCCTGTATCCAAAGGTCAAGCTCAGAATTGATCATTTTGACAGATTCCTCTTGTTGGGACATGGGAATTCTTTCAACGTGAAAGTCAAGCCACTGAACATGTCGAAAAAGACTTTCTGGGATTTGTATACGATCCAAGGTTCTAACAGTCCGCACTGCGATGGTATCCAGGAGCGAGCAAAGCTTCTGATAGTTGGCCACCATTGCTGTCTCGTCCAACTTGGCGCTTGTAGGGTACATCCGCGATAGCTGTTTTTGATCAAGTAGACTTAGCTGTGGCTTCCACTCGATGCTGTGTAGCAAAGTCTTGTCCTTCTCCTCGGATTCCTTTGACACAGTTGCCATGACGGCTTGTTGAACCCGGCATAAAACAGTTCCATCTTCAGCAAAAGCAAAGATACTGCCCTGTTCTCCACTCGTCACAATGTTTTCTCCATGGGAACCCGAGTTTGATTGAGCAGCCCATTGGATAGAGCTGCTATTTGGATGTTGCCAGCCGGATGGTGAAAACCATGCATCCACAAGGCGGATTGGAATATTAGCAGCTCGTTGCTGTCCAGCACTAACTCGCAGAACCTGGAATGCTTGATCCAGAACAGCTGGATGTACCAAGCTTGCTGTTTTGAACTTGGCGTTCCTAACATCGACGCGCCCCAAGGCGCAATTCTTGCCATCCCAACAAACCTCCTGGAGGAGTTGAAACATCTCGCCATATTGAAGACCCTGCTCGGCTGCATCACTGTACATGACCTTTGAGTCAAGAGGGCAAGTGCAAGACGCAACAGCTGATTCACGGAGATCTCGAATATCTTCATCAACCACTGCGTGAGGTGATGAATTGTGATACTCTACCATAATCCTCGTGTTGCAGCACTCTGTCCATGTGTCGCGTGAATACGAAAATATTGCGACATCATAGACTGAGCAGTCATTATTCGGTCGGCCTTTGACTGATCGTAATCGAACTTGCGTTTCAGTGCGCTCTTCCCAAGTCTCTGGTACGATAATAGGATTCATGAATTCAGCCTTTTGTATGAGGTATCCTTGCACTGTTCGGTCTTTGGGGACCATTTGTTGGGCCGCTTCAATGGCCATTATCAGCATACCCGCAGCCGGGTAGAGAACCGTATCAGTCATCTGACTTGAATTAGCATATCAGCACATCGGTTTCTGTGTTTTGAAGCTTACCTTATGGTCCGCAGTCCATGGAGTAGACTCAGTGCTCAGGAAATTTCTCCAACGCGGCTCCAAGGGATTCCAGTCGGACGCTCGCACGCCCAAAGTGTCCCCGGAAACAGCTTCTCTCAACCTGAAATCTCGACTGATGCGCGCCTCCTTCCAATAACTCTTTGATCTATCGAATGGGTATTTGGGACAGTCTACCAGAAATGGTGGTCGACTATTGGGCGATTGCCTGTTAACTGCCGGGATAGAGATGTTGTAACCAAGACAGAAGAGTTGACCGGCAAACTCAAGAGTAGTTTGAATGGCAGAGTGAGACCTATGAAGAACATGAAGATATCTAATCTCCTTTTCTCGATTATTAGGTTGTTGAATCGTATCATTGATCGGTCGCTTGAGCGCTGGATGCGGACCAATTTCAACAAGATCTGTAATACCTCTCATACCAACCTTCAGCGTGGATGACTGCTGAGTTAGTACATGAATTGCATCAGCAAATCGGACTGGTGAGACAAGGTTGTTAACCCAATATTCCGCCTTGGCCATTTCTTCCCGGCGAATGAGCTTGCCAGAGACGGAAGAGACCATTGGGATTCGTGCCTTGACTTTCTTTGACTGACTCTCGGCACCATCAATATTCCCGATCGACGTCATATAGCAATTAGCGATTGCCTTCATGGCGCTTGAGTGGTAAGCGACTCCTGTTTTAAGTTTTTGCGCAAATATGCCATCTTGATCCGCTTGAGATTTTATTGCCTCGATCTCCTCTTCTGGCCCAGAAAGGGTGAAATTGAGAGGACTGTTAATACAAGCTACTGCAACCTGGTCTAAATCAGGTCCCTTAATGCCATTGAGGTATTGGCGTACTTCAGAATGAGCTAGGTTTATGGACAACATACTTCCTGGAGAGACAGCACCGCTACCAGTCAGCCTTCCCCGGAAGAAGGCCACCTTGCATGCCGAATGAAGTGAAAGAGCCCCAATTGTGTATCTGTTAATATCCGTCAGTAATCTGATATTTCCTCTCAATTTGAAAGAAATCGTGAGTTCTCTTCGGTGATACATACGCGGCAGCAATCTCGCCGGAGGAGTGACCCACCACCGCCGATGGCATAATACCAAAACTGGCGAGAAGCTCTACAAGAGCGATCTGGATAGCAGTACAGATAGACTGGCTATACTCTGGCTTATTCATATTCTTTCCATGATGAAGCTCATCTTTCGAAATCGTTAGTTATCGTGTATGTGTAGCCCTGGAGGTAGATGAATAGGCCGATGGTTGTCAAAGCAGGTATTCAAATGTTCATTTACTTACCGAACAGCGACCATTGACACCCAAAGGAGCGATAAATCCCTTCAATCTGTCGCAAGGTCTGGTTGAAAATTGGGTATTTAATGAGATCCCATCCCATAGCCAAATACTGAGCGCCTTGTCCTGTGAATACAAATGCAAGCGCGACGTCGGCCGAGCTTCGAACAGGCTTGCTTCGCGGAAACGCAGCTTTCTCTTCCGTCAAATCCGAGCTCGCGCAAACGGAAGCTGATCTCCACAACAGTCGACTTCGCCGTGAGGCGAGAGTAAAGGCTAGAATGTCGAGGTTAAATGGATCATCGAGTCCCAGGTCTGAACTTGCAGCCTCATAACTCTCGAGCATTCCCTCTACTGATTTTTGACTGGCAGCGGACCAGACAAGCAGCTTGAGCGTATGATCTTCCTCGTTAGGTTTGAAATTGTCATGATAGCCATTCGTTGACGAGACTGCGCCATTTCCATTTACATGTGTTGATCCATTCATAATCGAAACGCCATTTGTGGAAGATGCACCTTTGGCAGCTTCGTGATGTCCCGTACTCCCATTTTCATATGGAGGTGGCACTATGTTGTCGATTTTTGAAATTTTCGTTGGAGCGCCAGGAGTGAGAGCTGTGCAGTGATTCCCATCAAGGCCATGTTGTTGCATGTAATGAAACGCATCATCGAGAACGACATGTGTGTTTGAGCCGCCAAATCCAAAAGAGTTAATTGAAACTCGACGAAGACCTTCAGTTGGCCATGGAGTACATTCAACAGGAACCTAGTGTATATTTGAGTCAGTAAGTCGCTAGACATAGACATAAAATAGTGGATGTTTTGTTATCACCTGAATTTTGAAAAACTCCGCATCGATGGCCGGGTTGAGCTTCTCAAACAGAGCATTAGGTGGGATTATGCCCTTTTCCAGAATCACTATAACAGTCAGTTCTATAGGCATGACATAAAGTTGCGTAGAGACCAATCGTACAGATAGCCTTAATCAAGCTTGCCAATGCACTGGCGCCTTCAAGATGTCCAATGTTAGCCTTTACCGATCCACTGGAATAATCATTAGCTCAGTGTATATTTTTTTGATATTCATCTTTATACTCACACGTGAAGTGGCTCATCGGTGGTTCTGCTTTTTCGAAACACCCTGCCAATCGCTTTCATCTCAATAGGATCACCCACGGGAGTTCCCGTCCCTATAAACGAAACTATTAGCATTTGGAGGAGTACATGTGATCTGCGTTTATCTTACCATGAGCTTCAACATAACGTGTTTCATGAAATGAGAGACCGGCTTTCTTATACACATGACGAATCAACTCCTCCTGAGATTGAGGACTTGGTTGTGTAAGCACAGCAGTATGGCCGTCTTGGTTGGAGCCCGTTGAGCGGATGACTGCACGGATCATGTCTCCATCTTCAATCGCGGCAGAAAACGGCTTGAGCACAACAGCCAGAACTCCCTCTCCTCTCGCGTACCCATTTGCGCGTTCATCAAAGCTATAGCAAAGACTATCAGGCGAGAGAAAGTTCTGAGTTGCGAGCATTTGAAAGATGGATGGATCCAAGAGTAGATTACATCCCGTGACAAGAGCCTTTTTATGGTAAGCGAGGAACATCTACTGCAGGTGGCTACTGTTCGGATCAATACTCACACAAGATGCATCACCGCTCCACAATGCCTTGCATGCCATGTCGACTGCAGATAAACTTCCCGAGCAGGCTGTATTGACGTGGATGCTGGGCCCACGCAAATCAAAATACCAACTCACTCGATTTGGAACGACACATGCTACAGCGCTCCCTGTAGCAGCCGTTCGCTCTGTATTTTCTGGATCCATGGCAACCATACGAGCCTTGTCCTCTAGCATTGACGCAGAGAAAACGGCAGTACTACTTCCCTTGAGTTTCTCCACTGGGATTCCGGCTATAATTCTCGTTAGCCCAATAATATTTCCCGATGCATCGAGCTCACTACGCTTGACACTCACCATTTTCGAACGCTCGATATGACTTCTCCAAAGTCCATCGCTGCATTGGGTCCATAGCAGCAGCCTGATAACGTATCAGCATAGTACTTCGCTTGCAATGAAGCAGCAATTACCTCTTGCGTTGTGACTGAGAAGAAAGGAGCATCGAAAGCGCCCAGATCCTCATTGAGAAAATGTGCACCTTGAGTTGGGAACTAGCATATCTGTCAGATACAAGCTGGTTTTGATAAGCAGGTCTCATGCATACTTTGGTCAATTGATGATTCACAAATGATTCTGGATTGACTCGAGATGAAGGCCAATCCGTTCTCAGATTCCGGCGATTCTCCAAGACCTCCCATAATGCCTGGTCATCGTTGACGTCTTGTGGGAGCTTGAAAGAATATCCAATGATAGCAATATCATTTTGCACTGGTGGTCCTGCAACCGAGTGACCGGTAGAATTCATTGCTTCCATTTTGCCTGCTGCTAATGAGTATTTCAGACTACATTACTTGAGCAGAAAAGCCTATTAAAGGGAAAAGTCATAATAATCGCTACTTCTACTTAGCATCATCCACAGGTGCTTTCCATGCAAAACCCACCTACCTGAGCCACCACTATGGATCTATCGACAAATCAAGATGCTTGGCAGGTTTGCCCCTCATCGGACTGACTCGTCCCACGGTTCCCATTCCTTTCGATGTTTGCTATATGCATTACTGGTGGAAGCCATACTGGAATTGTCCCGAAAAGGAATACTACGTGCTCTACCTACTAAGCTGAAGGAGCACGGACTTGGCCTGACACCGGTCGTCAGGAACTGATGGGCCAGATCGGCCACTTAGACCGGCATACAGAGACAATATGGGTCTCTGAAGGTCCAGATTGTCTTTTGAGCCAATCAATTTTATGAACCAGTTTTCTCACAAGCCAACATGGTCAACGTCGTGCTTTAGTTGCATACCGGGAATTGATCTCGATTGCCGGGAGAACTCACAGGGGCGCTCGGGAAGATTCGAGACAAAGGATTTCTTGGGCTGTAAGTGAGTCCCCTATGGGTCAAGTGTGTCTTTAGCGGGTATCTAGTGCATCCTTCTCGCGCTCGGCACCCATCCGCTTTCCCGTTAACAGTATTAGGTAGTTCCACCTTAGGCAACATGCAAACTCTCATCGACCTCGACGGAGTGAAGTCCATTGAGTTTTGATGTCAAACTTTCAAAATTAGTGTTCAGGAATTTATCAAACTTCTACGGAGTAAACACTCCGAAGATGCTGTTGTGAAATTTTGATTTCCCGCAACTTGAAACAACCAACCAGTGGAATCATGATGTTACATACTGAACAGGGATAAAACCTAGTCAAAAAGCTCATCCGCTCGCTCAATGGTCCTCTCAATTGCTTGCAGAGTTTCACGTAGCCCCTCCGACGATTTATACCCGGGGACTTGATGTCCAAGATTGAGTCGAACCACTTCCCGCAAACTCTCATCACAAATCTGAACTAGCGCTTCCTGGGCATCCTCTTGGTACCAAAAGGGCGCCAGTGGCGAGCGATCTCGCAAGCGAACGAGATTCTCCTCCACTATGAGAGCCGTAGGCACGTGCAGAAGAATTCCATCGGTATCTGGGTTAATACATCGCAGAACTCCCGTGCGAACCACATCAGGATCCAAAGGTAAAGCCGCACTAAAGAATATGCCACATTTGAACTCCGCAAAGGAATGGCGAGCATCTTCAATAAGTAGCATGGCTGCTATAATACCACCTTCCGAGAAACCCATTACTCCATCAAATGGCCCCTGAGTGTGGATATAGTCCACCAATCTGCTCACTAAGTCTTGGCCTTGACTAGCTGCCGTGAAAACAGCCGGCATATATCCGTAGGACTCCGAGTTTTCTGTTATGATAGCAGATCCTGTGGTTCCATTAGATCCTGAGTGGCTGCACTATTGTCTCACCATTCAGGGATCATTCAGAGGGAAGGCCTTACCTTCAAAAGGCTCGGTGAGAATAGTGCCATCGATAAACACAAACTCATGGTCGTCCAACGCCTCCCGGATTTTAGCTAGATTGAGTTAGAACTGAACTTTGAATTTATTGCTGAGAGAAACACTTCAACAGTACCTGTTTGAATTTCAAAAAGCTATTAAATTGTCGTCAGTTAGATAATATAAGACAGAACCGAAGCGTTGATCCACACCTTAGAGCAAGCGCCCCTGCCATGAAGACACAGGAATCTCATCTTCCAATCTCAATTCCAAGGACTCGGAATCAACTTGAATGGCTGTGGATACAAATTCAAGTTTGTCAAACTCTAAAAACATGCAGTTGAAGTCTATTAGGGGACCTTTTCACGATTCATCTTCTTCCGTCTTCCCGAGGCTTAATCGCCCCCGGCGGACACCTGTCTTTATATGGCTAGTGGCTTCGGAAAGGGCCGCCATGGATGGCCCCAGCCCCCGGGCCACACATGTCCACATGTGCAGGGCCTTAAGATACAATTCTGTGGAAATGTGGCCAGTTGGGGATCATTTTCTTGAGCATATGTATGTGCCCAGTTGGTCGAAATTATTTAGATTAGATAATCTAGTAGGAGGGATTTTCAAGGTTGGAAATCCACTGGCAGCCATGCTCATCCCACTCATCCCTAGGCGCTGTATCAGGAGAATCGATAGAAATAAGATTATTGCCAATAAATGTACATACTTTTGACTATAGGGCATTCTGAGTCTATAGATGTCAAAAACCCTTGGTTTCTCATATATATGAGCGTGTATATTTGTCGTCATGAAGATCCTGCTTCACCTTAACACGAGCCACCCCAGTGAGTCCAGCTTCATCACCATCCTTGTGCAGGTACTCTGTAGATTCACTAGCAGTTGACTTGAGAGGGTCGAGCTGGTAGTAATCGTTGCTACCCGTAGTACCACCGAGTCTGCCCCGGTTGGCCTTGTAGCTTGATGGTTCGCTCGGCCAATTTCGTTGCGATGTGTTGACAGCCGATACGCCGAACATTTTCTTTAACCGATCCGCTGCTCCAGTCTCCTTGAGAATCTTTGGAATGCATGGAAGAGAAACAATGAAAAATCCACAGGTCATTTCAGCGGTCGCCCAGAATGCCAATGGAGCTAACGTCCAAATTGCATCGGCGGCCTTTCCATGCTTGACCGTGGTTTCGAGTCGGAAAGCGGCAGAGATACAAGCCCTTTTGAGTCCTCAATATTAATTAAATATTCCAGAGATCTTGGAGATTATCACTTACAGCAAACCAAACCCAAAAATAATGGAAACACCTAGTCGCTTTCGCCAGTTCATCTGGAGATTCCAAATGACTTGCTGCGGTAGGATCAAAATTGCAACATCGGAAATCAATTGAATGCTCGCTGATCCAACTTGCAGCTTAAATAGCTCAAAGCATTGACTTGTTGACTGGATTGTAATGTCCCAGATGGCCCGGTGAGGAATGCATTGAAGATTCAATGATACCACAATCCCAATTCCAGACATTATCTGAATAGAGATCACCACTGCACATCCCCACCAAAACCAGCCCTTAGACCTCCGGCCGATGGGAGCAAACATTCGACACCATTCCACTAGAATAGCTGTCTTTAGGAGAGGTAGTACAGCTGAGTAAAAGACGCCGAAGAGGAAGACATTCTTTAAAAGGGCCCGAGTCAGCGAATGAACAAGTTATACAAGAAGAGGGAAGTGATGAGGTCAGAGTCCATTTGGATTGAGGAGACAGCGGTAGAGACTACAAATAGTCGTTTTAAAAGCGTCAAATTCAGGAACCATACTCACATATTCAACTGAAATCATATCTCCCATTCGAACATTCCACTGATGAACGAAGAATCCCGGCTTTTGCGTCAATCGTATCTCGGCATAGAGAGCACCCCAGAAGCATCCCTAGATAAAGAGTTAGTGTCGCGTGAGAGAAAATTCTTGCTAGTAAAGAACTGACAAATGCACAAAGTGCCAATACTGAGACGAAGTTTCAAATCAGGATCACGTCGACTATAGACTGACTTGAACGAAGATCACATACCTTCCTCAATCTGCACTTTTCTTGCTATCCATAGACTAGCATAAGCCTTCATGAAAATGCATATTGTAGCAACAGATGCACAAGTTGCAAATACACCGATAGCCAAGGGATTATTGTTTGGTGGATTATCGAAATTTGAGGTCACGCCAGCCGGAGGTGTAAGGGCAGGCCCACTAAGATCCATCCTTGTAAATAAGGACTGCCTGTCAGAGCATGAGTGATATCCGATCGATGTAAAAAGACAATGAAGAGATTATAAACAAAGTAAGAGATAGCACACAGACCCCTGTCTAGTTCGTTCTAGTCAAGGACCAGTTACGATCTTCAGGGGGTTAGAATAACTCCATAAGGTCATTGTCCAAGATTGATAGGGTAAAGTGTGTGGCGTTGATGTGCAGAGACGTTAGACTGTCAAGGAGAAGTAATATTATTAGCTTCATTTCTCTCAATATTTTGACCAGGATTCAAATCCTTCGCAGGCGATGGTCAACCTTCCCGTTTCAGATTAAGCGGGTCTATTGTTGTAAAGAAATTTCCCGAGTCTGCAACAAGTAAAAAGGAACCATGCATGCATGAGGTAAACTATAGTATTAAGATCAATCGGGCTTTTTTGCAGATGAAAGTAGAGTCCGGTGAAGTCAAACTATTACGGTATAGAGGAACGTGATCCCCTCTCTGTATGGAATCTTATAAGCCTGTGCGAGGGCATAAGGAGTAGCATGCATGGGTGGCGCATTCATGAACGTCCATACAAAGACTAGGCTCAAATAAAGTTGCTTCGAACGCGTTTTATCTCATTTAGTCACATGCGCAACTGCAGTTTGCTTAATTGATCCCAACTTGAAACTATCACTAAAGACTTAAAACTGGAACAATATGAGGGCGTGTTGGTTCATGTTTCTCATCATCAACACTACACATTCATATGCCTCGGCAGTCTTGAGAATTGGACCCTCCCGATTTCCATCGATTTCTCTTACTACCGATCTCCACAGACTGGGCTCGTGACCCTGTGTTTGCTAGACTATGCTAGCACTGCACTAGTATAGGCTTGCATAAGCGAAATGACCGAACTAACCCCAGATGAAATATATTGGTTGGCGGAAAATTCCAAACAATGGGGACTGAAGGAATACTCCGAACTCCATTTTACTTGAAAATAACAAATTGATTCTTTAACCAGCTCTGGGGACAATGGGACAATCCGTGCCGTTAGGCGATCCTTATGAAGTGGGACCACTTTTTAACCCGATGGTCATGACAGCGGCCCCAGGGAGTGGAATGAAAGGATTCCTCGACCCACATGTCTCAATTGCTCGAGCATTAGCGATTCCAACGGGAAGTCTGGATTGAAAGGAATCGTTTTACCCTTGAGAGCCTCGGGCGATCCGATTAATTCGTTGACAGAGCTGGGCCGCCCATCACTAGCACCAAACAGTGCCCGCTAGCTCGTCCTAAATAACTATTCGTGTACATTCAAGTACACTAGGTTAGTTTCTTTGTTCCTGATTTTTTAGAACATGACTCGGAGGCGCAATTATGGCAATTTGGTGTCTATTTTACGTTCATTTTGCTAGTTTCTTGGCTTTGAAACGGTTTAATTGCAGTGAATGAAACGTGGCCCTGATCATGGCGAGACCACATAAAGCTTCGATCGGCGTAGTCGCTTATCCCCTAATAAATTCTATCAGTCTGCTCCATATCACTTCCCCATTCTAAAGTCAATATGCCTAAGCAAGAGGTTTTTCATCTTCATCCTTTCGGCTGGGAGAATGACCCAGAAGAAGAGCGTTTCAAAGTCTCAACCCTTGACTATCTGACCGTATGCACGTACAACAACTATGCCCTCTTCTTTCGTGTGGAAGACGCAGATAAGCCTCGAATTGCCGAGGTACTGAAGGTTGGTCTGGAGCGTACCTTAAGCCAAGTTCGACATATCTGTGGCACTATTGAGAAAGATCCCTCTGAGGGCCATTCTTTTGTCAAGAAGAAGGATAGCACTGTTCAATTTGTGGTCCAATGGTTAGATTCACCTGAGGATAGCAATGACTACCCAAGCTTTGATGAGATCGCCGAGGGTAATTTTTGCACTTCGGTGCTTGGTGATCTCGCTCGCTGGAGTGTCCCTCCCATGACATATGGCGAGAAGCCAGAGGCCCATCCTGATAACAGCCCGGTAGTTGCAGCTTACAAGGCTAATTTCATTCGCGGTGGCTTGGTTTTTATTATGCATCATCATCACTACTCGAATGATGTGATGGGCTGGGCTGGACTCGCTCACCAGCTTGCTGAGAACTGCTATGCGGTTGTCAATGGGACACCATTCCCATCCTGGGATCCCGCATGTCTGGATCTTTCTCGACTCACAAAGCCTCCAGTGCCAGAGGAGTTGAAAATCGATGGTCCTCCTGCGCCTGAGCGCCACCCGGACCATATCCCGGCAGAGATGCTGCTCTTCCATTTACCCAAGAGCAAAGCGGCCGAGCTAAAGAAGCTCGCTTCTCCAGATGACGGATCTTGGATCTCCACATACGATGCCTTCTCTGCTTTTATGTGGCGCACTGTCATTCGGCTTCGAGCCCCTTTCTTTAAGCCCGATCTGTCAGCCCCCCTTGCTCTGGATCGAGGCTGTTGATATGAGACGCCGAATGCACAGTCCCAAGCCCCCGGCACGTATCCAGCGTAACGTGATGACTGGTGTTCTCTCATCTACCGCTCCGGTCACGGCACCTACGGCTGCGGAGGTGATCTCGGAGTGGCCATTATCCAAGTTGGCCTACTATATTCGCCAGCTGACAAACAGCGTCACACAAGAGGCCCTTGATCAAGCTTTAGGTATGGTGGCCACTGTGCGCGACCAGACTGCGTTGAATATTCGTATTGACGCGCACCCACCAATGTCACTTCTTCAAACGGATCACCGCGATGCCAATATCCCAGCTGCTGATTTCGGTTTCGCGAAGCCGTTCACTTATCGTCATCTTATTGACCGGTTAACCCAGGGTGTCATCATCATTTATCCGTCTCGCGATCATTCCCCTGAATCTGATGAAGGACCCGAATTCTCCATCTCGTATGAGACCAGCCTCAAACAGGCTCTTGTTGATGATCCGGAGTGGAGGACATACTTTGAGTACCGGGGTGTTGATGCTATTGATGCTTCAGATAAGAATTAAAGGGAAGAGATGCTGAGAGTGACAAGGTGATACGCGGGATGATTTAGATGAATTTCCAAGTTTTTGATCTTATTTTTCAAGTTTCCATTCCTATCCCTAGAGAATTCATTATGTTTCTAGTACAATCTGTAGTGTATGTTTTATTCTCTGAGGCACTCATGCGAACTTAAATCCATGCACCTGCTTGTGCTACTCCATCATTTGCACATGTGGGAACCTGTAACACCAAAAGCTCAGGCGCAAATGAACGGCTGAGCTGTCCTGAAATTCGATCTGGAGCTTGTAGACACTTCAAATGCAACGTCATTCTCTCTTCTCACCCGCATCTGAGCAATTGAAGGATTACGGGATAATATGATTCTTTACTCGATGTCTCTTGCCAATTTCATCATGAAGCTCACTCTCACTCTATCATTCCTCCCATCGGTTTGGGCCATTGCTCGCAACACACCCCCAGCTGGGGCAATCATTGTAGCTAAATCTGGGGCTGACTATGACACGGTACTCTAGTGAACATGCTTGGATCCGCTTGAAGTTTTGGCAGCAAGTTGACTCACTGAGACTAGATCGGGAAAGCAATTATGGCGCTGGATATGGGCCATTTCGTTAATCAGACCATCTTCATCGGAGCGGGAGTTTACGACGAGCAAGTGGAGATACCAGCACTACGGGGACGACTCACAATCTATGGAGAGACATCAGAGTAATGATTTTCAATCACAGTCTATTCAAAAAATACCGAGTTGAAGACTAATCCAAGCAGCGCGTCCTCCTACTTGAACAACACGGTGACTGTCACTCATAACATCAGTGCAGCACAAGTAGAGGGTGAGATAACAGGTATACCACCGCGGTGAATTTTCTTCAAAGATTTCGTCTCTAAAGATCAATCAGCTACTCTGGGAAACGCTGCTGCCTCCTCGAGGATCTATAATATCAATGTTATCAACACTCATGGCCCCGGACCGAAGGCGCTTGCTCTAAGTGCTACTGCGACTCAACAGGGGTACTATGGATGCCAGTTTGGTGGCTATCATGGTAAAGGATACCTGTCTAGCTACTCATGAGAGGGTCACTCACCAGTCCTTAGGAACCATTCACACGCAGGTTGGAGGTACGGTGTTATTTGCCAAGGGTCTAGTATCTGGCACGACGTAAGTTTCGTGGTGACATTGGATCCGCAGGTTCAACTCTCACAGCTTCAGCAACTTCATCTTCGGTGATTATGCGCGCGTGTGGTTCGATCACGTCGATATCAAGGCTCGTCCGCTTCCACGGGATGGGTATATCACCGCCAGCTACCGCGCCTCCTCGAATGATCCGTCTTACTTTGTGATAAACAACTCAACAATCGAAGCAACAAGCATGGAAGTGAAGCCAAGATCGTGCTTCCTCGGTCAGTCGTTTGCTGCGAATCACCACATTCCATCACGCCACGGAACATTAGGTGCTGATACATGTATCATATAGGTCGTCCAGAAGCTTCCTATGCCTGCGTTGTGTTCCAGAACACGTATATGAGTGATGTGATAAATCCATCTGGTTGGAGTTCATGGTCGTCAACTTTGCCAAGCACCGGCCATGTCTTATTTGGGGAATATGAGAATACTGGACCTGGTAGTCAGGGCGCTCGAGCAAATTTTGCAACGGAGTTGGAAGCGCCTTTGGAAATTTCAGATATACTGAATGATGATTATAAGACCTGGGTAGATATGAATTATCTGTGATGCTTACAATCAGGGGGTGATTAGGGTGGATATGTGCACGAACCCCTTCAAGTTCGCGCCCGAATGTGACCGACGCGACTGAACTTGCGTTGGTGTCGTCGGATCATACACAAACAAGTCCTTTTCATTATCTTTCTCAGTGTGTTATATTCTTCATAAATGGCCAATCCATATGAAACGAACCCTTCCAAGATTCCTCTAACCGACTTATACGCTGATTTCCCCTTCTATGGTCGATATTGCCCGAAACCTGAGGACTTCCGCGTCGATCTTCACCATGTCAACTCTCATACCTCAGAATCCTTGAAATACTGGTCATCCGTCGTTGATCTTTGCACTAAATAGAGCCAAGTTTACCCTGCTGATACAGGTGGACGCGATGTTTTCGCTCTTAGTAGCGTAATTGTGAAATCCAGCCACCTCCACGCACTTGAGGATGGCCACTGCCCGGAGATTGACTTCTCATATGCCGATGCAAATGAGATCCAGGCAATTAGTCTCGCAAAGATTGTCTTGTGTGATGTCGAAGCTCCAGAGATATACTTTTCTGGCAATGTATTTTCCCCTTATAATTCGTTCGTCCAGCTCAGTGGCAATTACTTACATCTCATCAGATCAACCGTCGCCAAGTGCTCATCCAAGAGAGGCTCCTAGGTGTCGCACTATGCGTTGCCTGGCCATATCTGACCCGGGAACAAAAGCTGTCTTTCAAAGAGCAGTCCAGGGAAATAATTCATCAACTACATACTATAAAGCCATCGGAAAAGCTTCAAAGTCGCTCTCATATCGTACCAGACCCAAATATCCTCACCAACGGTCGGATTAATCCATTAGAAGGAGATATGCTTTTTGCGCCCATTGAAAATGATACAGATCTGAGCTTCATGCACAATGATTTTACGCAGTCAAAGTGTATTGTTGACAACGACACGATTGTTGGATTTGTTGACTGGGAAATGGCTGGATTCTTTGGCTGGAAAACGGCAGGAGAAATTCATCGTCGGATTAGGAATCCCCAGCGAGAGCACTTTGTGAATGCTAACTTGAGCGAGAAACGACTTCAGGATATTATGTTCTGGAATAATCTATATGATGAAGGTGTGCCAGAGAATCATGGATCTCTAATTGCCGATCGCGCATAGCTTTGGCACTGTACTCAACTGTTTAATCCAAAATTTTAATATTTTGAAGAGCAATAGCCCACAAATATTGAGAGCAATAGCCCACAGATATTGAGACGATTGATCACCATCAATAGTCCAATGAGAGAATTTCAAGATTTAGCATTGTTTATTCATCACTAGGGCCGGAAATAGATTCCATGCACCAATTCCCTGCTCAGAATTGTACAAAAGTCAAGCTTCCAACACTCAGCCGTACTCCGTTGGGCAGACAAAGGTCCCTCAGCCCGATCCTCGGGCTGGTGACCTTGCGAATCTTGATTGGAGAACTAGTTGAATAGGCTTTGTTGATCAGACATCACCCTCGTGGAGTTCAGTGATACAAAAAAGCTACAAGACTATCACAAGGACTATCTATTCAGCATAACCCCTGAATGAGTTGAAAGTTACTTAATCAGCTCAATTTGATCACCTTGCACCTTGGCTAGTAAGGAATGAACTAGTTAACTAGTTCAAGTTAATCATCAGCCCTACACACCACATGACCAACATGGGATTCCGGTAAACGACGGGAACCCCCACGATGAAGCGGGAGAGTAACCCGATGGAAGTTAGAAATCTTGGAATCCGGGGGATCCTGGACGAAGTTGGGATTCGATCGAGGTTCTCATAACCATAATAGGACAAAGCAGTTGCATTAGGGTGGAAACCTCTTTTAACTGATCGACGAGATGTCTTACTTTTCACCGCTGAGTCGAATGCTCACCGACAAATCGACACTACGTCAACTGGTCGAAGGGAAATTAGCGCATGGCACGTTTTAGGCAATTCGACCTTCTAAATCGAGTCGAAGTTTCCAGGATAAGGTCTTTATTAGGAAATCTGGAATTTGTTTAGTCCAGAAATGGACAGACAGGGACATGAGATGGACTTTTATGGATGTACGATGCTGCTTGTACCCCTTATACAGATGCAACGACACCTATACACCAAGCTAGGGATAACAACGCCTGGATCACAGGAACCATGTGAGTTGAAGGTACAACAGGATTATTTTATTTTATGAATTTTCTTTTTGAATCATAAAATGAAGGTGAAATCATCTTTTGACACCTGGAATTTCCCAAAAGGACGTTCTGCATACATAGTCCTTATCATGTCAATATTACCTCAAGGTCCAGACTCCAGACCAAGGCAGCAAAGATCATGAGAGAACTTGAATATCACATTCCAATGCATGTCGCCACAACGCACAGCTGAAGTCTATGCGAGAGAATCACCCTAAATTCCTCATGGTGCAAATTAAAGGATGAAAGAAAAAAATGGAAATGAGAAAATTCAAGATGGTTTAATCTCTCAAGCATAAGATCCGCATAACACGTTTCAGCCTGGGGAAGTAAGCGACACCTTGTGCAAGGTATATGTGCCATAAATTCAAGGACATAAAGAATGTGAAATGAAAAGTGAGGTACGGAGTACGGAGTACAAGGTACAAGGAACGGGACACTTCGTGCATATTGAATGTTCCATGATCATGATCTTGCCTAAAGTCATCGGGGAGGAGAATCCGAGTCAGTTTGCACGAGACGCTGCAATGTACTTGGGACCAAACACAAATCCAATTAAATCCTTTTTTTTCTTTTTTCGATGAAACTCTTCAGGACTACAAGGATGAATTATCTGATATCCAACTTATTATGTAGTATTGACTACTCCGTACTTAAACTCGTTTTTCAGACCTAGAAGCTCCCAAGTAGAATGACAAATGGGAAGGTCCAGGCTTCAAGCGCCCATAAAAAAGAAAACATACCAATAGTACCGCGGATAGGATTTCTGTAAGATTCCAGAATAGAACAAAAGCAATTCCAGGCTTATACTTCCGGGGAGGTCGAAACATTAGGTGTCAAAGTCAGGCTCAAAAGTACACTGTGGTGACAATGGTGAGTTAGCGTTAGCTGCGAGAAGATTCCGAAACGAACGTCATGTTTGAAGAGTACATGTGCATTGAGTCAACACATGTACACAAACATCTGGATGATTTGGAATCAAATACACCGAGTCAAGAAGCATAAGCCAAGAATTCGAGAATCACTAGTAAATGTTCATGTATCCTACGTTATGTACATGGGGTAGCATTGTGCTGGAAAATAATAATGAAATATGATTATATGACCATCAAGTGACCAGGGTTTAACCAGGCTATCTGGGTTATCTGCGGCTCACATGCAGGAATCAAGATACAAAAAGAAAAAGAAAAGAAAATATCCTGATCGAGCGGAGATTCGGGGAGGAAAGAATCCCCGGAGTTAAAAGTCGATATTTCATGATTTGGGAGGGGAATATTGGATTCGAGATTTGGATATTCGGCAAGTTGAAAGTTCCAAGGCCCCAAGCCCGAGAGACTGGGAATGAGAGATGCAAGAAGCCCGATATGGGGGAGTACGCATGCGCGGCTCTGGGGCTAGTCCGAGCAATGTTCCCGAGTCCTTGGCAAGAAAAGATGCATGTATCTCAAGCACTTGAGTGCTTTTTTTCTTTTTATCCATTTTATTTTGTTTTTTATTTTATTTTTGCGGTTGTGCGACGGGAATACTACATAGTCAAGAGGACCCACATGTTTATGTATGGCGACGGGCGATCATGATTCATAACTTATTCAGTAAGATGTTTCAAAATGATCAGCCTAAAGATTCTACGGTGTAGACTAATGTAACTAATGTAACTATAACCGGGCGGCACTGGGTACTCCGTAGTAAGTAAGTAATCGGACGATTACCATTGTCCTGGAAGAAGGATTCGCATTAGTGTCCTGTGCGTGTTCGATGGAGCCCGGAAGAAACGAGGAAGAATGACAATCCTTCAAAGGGCTTAGACGTGGCTGAAACTTCAAGATCTTACGAGTCAGAATTGAACCCGTTGGGACCGGAATGTGGAGAATGGCAAAGTACGGAATAAAGGCTATCGAATTCTGGGATTCTGGTGCAGCGAGGCCTGAGAACACCCTAAACAACTGCTCAGTGGGCATGGATGAGGGGTTCAATGACTAATCGGATCCACAAGTGGAACATTGAAGAGAATCCAGATAGATCTGAGAGATCCAGGAACATTTGAACTACAATAAGACTGTGTACATGGTACATGTAGTGTCGAACATATCGAAGTCCGTTAGTCCGTTGTGATGTGTAACATTAAGGCGCGCTAGAGCTTTTCAGGAACCGTGGATCGAGATCGAACAAGATTCAATGGCTTATAAGATTGCCAAGATGAGGCTAGAGTTAATGAGTTGGAATTTCATAGAGTTGAACATTTCAATGTAACAGAGTTCAACTTTTAGAGGTATTGGAAGGATGGAGAACTTGAGAGAGAGTCTCGACTCCATCCATGAATCCATGGATGACTCGGACTCGGGAACTTGAAGTGGAGTTGAACCAAAGAACTATCGGGAAGAGTGGAGTAGAATGGAGTAAAATGGAGTAAAATGGAGTAGAACATTGAATGACGTCTCAGTTTTTTGTTTCGTATTATGCCATAAGGGGGAAAAAGTATTTGGTGATACAAGCAGAGAGCTAACAAAGGAAATAATAAAAATATCGAAGCACATCTGATTGTACAGGGCACCCCATACCATGATTAGCGCACACCGGCGACCAAAAGTCAGAGTAATATGCAAACGCCTGAATTCAGAAATCCTTCCCCCAAACCCTCTCACACCGCACAAATTATGCAAGAAAAGAAAAAAAAGTAGACAAATGAGAATAAAAAAAATAAATAAAATAATAATAACAAAGCAGTCTCCAATCCTAACCAGGGAGACATGCACAACGCCGCAACGACCATTGGGGATCTAGCCGATATATGCCTGCGCCAATCCAATGGCCGGTTCCTTCGATGGGTATCAATATCTTGTGTGGTGCCTGGGCTGTGTTGGGGTCGTCTTTTTGGAATTTGTATCTTGTATTGAAAATTGAGTTTGTTTTCGTGTTCGATTGAATGTATAGATTTTTTTTTTCTGTTTTTCTTTTATGAGGTTGGTGGATCATCTAGTCATCCCAGCCGTCAACGCTCAGGTCGCCGCAGTCGATCATCGGATCCTCCAATTTCGATCCATAGATGGGTCGCCCATCAGGGGTCAACTGTCCACGGAAATCAGGGTCGTAGTCTTGGCTCCCCTCATCCAAAGTGGCGACATAACGATTCCGACCACCTCGCTTGCTGTGGGTCTTGGTGTAATGGGCGTTCAAGTTATCACTGCGAGAGAAAGCACGATGACACCCTGGTACCCAACAAACATGTGGCTTTTCCTTAGAATGACTCTTCATGTGTCGCTTCAGATGCTCTTGTCGCTTGAAGCGTCCCTTGCAATTTGGCTCCTTGCACTTAAATTGAACTTGCTTGATAATAGGAGGGAGGTTTTCCAAGCTGAGATTTGATCGAGTAAGCTGCTTCTTCGAGGATTTGCGTGTAGGTTGGCGGTGGATGTGAGTGCGAATCATACCGTCTCGGTAGACTGGTGAAACGGGATATTCGTCATGATATTCATTGTGACCGGAGAGTCGGCTGACAGGAGTGTCGGATCCAGATGGAGTTCCCAAAGAAACAGATCGGACAGGTGTAGAAGGAGTGTGGGCCTTGAAGCCGTGGATGTTTGTAGGAAATTCAGAGTAAGAAGATGAAGGTGGGGTAGCCGGTCCAGCCTGTGTCGGGAAGGCCTGTTGAGGGGCGATTGTTTGTGCAGCCAGAGACTCATGAGACGGCATCCAATGAAGCATGTTGGTCATTGAGACGGAGTTGGGCATCCGCTCGGACGGATTGAAGATGGGACGGGACAGACAGGGATTTGATGCAGACTCAGGCAAGTAAGTCGTCTGCTGCGGGCGGTATGTGTAGTTTCGGCCCATGGTGTTATACTGAGGCATCGGGGCTTGGTAAGGGAATGTGGGCTGCTCGAAGGTTTTCGGCATATTGTCCGGTAACAGAAACTGGTCCACGTTCTCATCGTAACCAGGAAAGTAGTCAGAAATGGGCATATGATCCTGGCGATCCATTGGCCCGCATGGCATTCCCATGGCTTCGCCGGATGTCAAATCGGCCATTCTGAATGCGCTTCGCAGGGGAGTTGCAGATGACCGGCGTTCCATCGGGAGACTGTGATAGTGACCAGCTTCGTGCCAACCGGGAGATGCCATGGAGTGCTGACTGTAGATGCTGGTGGGAGTCGGAGTAGGAGATTCCAAAGGAGAGAAGCTCGAAGTCATTGAGGGGCAATCACTTGGGCCCAAAGAGTGGCAATCAACTTCAACAGTCAATCTATCAGAGATATGTTGTCCCTGTGATCTCATTTCGTCGAGTTCTTCCGTCTTAAGTTCACGAGTTGCAACAGGAACGATGATGTTATCACCTAAGGATAGCGAAAAAAAGATTGTCTTAGTCCACGTTCACGAGGACTTGGTATGGATAAAAAGCGAGAGGGGACAATTGCAATGTAATCAAAGAGAGATGCACAATGCAAAAGCAATATGGATGACAAAAAAATGAAGGAATAAAAGAAATGATAGAATAAAGAATGATAGGAGCACACAAGGACAGTAACGAGGGAACAAGTCAAGTCTCCGAAGACTCTCAGGCAAAGAATGTGTGATAGGAGTGAGAATGAGGGAAGAGGAAGGGGACAAACGAGCAGAAATAAACAAATCGGTTGAGCATAGAATCTCGGGTGGGGAATCGGACTTACAGCTATACGCCATGACTCGGGTGGTATCTAAAGCGCGTCGCGTGCCTCTAAGCAAGGCCAGGAATGCTAATGTGTTCAGTTACCGCGGCAGAGTATTACACTTCTGCACCGAATTCGGACTGAGATCGGCTACTTTTCGCGGGGAGACTCGATTATTCGGGCGAGTCGCGATTCGCGAAATGGTACCGGGTTCCCGAACTAGGTACCACAGAGTCGATAGAACCACAGGATGGCTGGAGGGAGAGACAGGACCCGTGTAGGTCTTGGATATTATAGGGGGGGTTGGTAGGGTAACCCAGTATACCTTGATTCAATATCCCACTTTCGTTTTCCAGGTAGTATAGAAACCTGGGGGTGGGATGAAGAGGGGTGGTTGGGTCTCAGATTAATTGAACACAGGGGTGTTTGATGTGTGTTGTCGTTGGGTGGTTGGGTGTTGGAAGTCTGAAAGGGAGGATAAGAGGGGGGAAGAGGAGGGGGATATAAGAAGGAAAGACAGGTAAGGGAGATGAAGCACAATGTCTCTGGTTTATAGTAATTTTTTCTCTCTCTTTTATTTCTCAGAGTGTATGATGGTGGAAGCTTGTTCCTGGGGGAAGAAACAGCGAATCGTGATCCGATGTAGGGTAGGGAAAGATGATCGACGGGGCTGATTGCCTCATCCCTAACTTTCTTTTCTTTTTTGTTATTTTCCATTTTTGATTATAGAATATTACGAAAATGATTAAAATTATAATATTGATTTATTACTCAACATGAATTAATGGGTCCTTTTTTAGTCCAGCTGCAGGTGGATCGAATAGGATCTTACATCGGATATCATCTTCCAAGCCCAATCTGCACCAACAGTTACCAGGAATGTCCGGCTGTACCTGATGCATTCCGCGCAATGTGAGTAGAGCTAAAATGATGGAACTCATGGAAATGGATATTTTATGTGGGAAAATGTCTAAAATGTGTAAAATGTCTAAATAGGTGCCAAGTTGACATGCAGCCTCCACTTAGTTGACTTAGTTCATTTGGCCTAAACTGGATTTTACCATTCATTACTATCTTGATCATCCCCAGACTTTTCCGGTCGATCATTTCTCTTCTATTCTGATCATTTCTGATCTTTTTTTTTGAATTCAATCCATGTCTGAGCACAATAAGTTTTTTATTTTATTATTAGTGGGTTAGTCAATGAGTAGAATCCACACGGGATCGACCCTGAATCGACCCACTTCAGATATAGGAATTGTCTTTCATTTCATAGATTTTTCATTTTGACTGGAACAAACAAAATGACCTGGTAGAAATGAACAGAATACAGTAAAGCCTTTCTTAAATCCAGAAATTTAAAAAACCACCCAACTAATGTGGCTGAGTGGGGGGACTTGATCGATCTCTCGTTTGTGGGTGCGACAGGTCAGACATTATGAACTTCAGTCCGTGCGGATCTTCTTAAACCACAGACCATATCCCGGTTCATAGGTAACATTGAAAAATTCCAGTGGTTCATTCTACTATTCTCCGGTCCATGGCTTTCTTTTTTTGTCTTGATCGATTTTATTTTTGTACTTTTTCCTCCCTGGAAAAAGATCTACATAGGGCTCTAGGCCCACACAATACGGCCCTATCATTTATGACAAATTACATAACATCGTCATCAGACATGATTGGAATGTGCAGATGCAAGAAAAAAAAAGATGAACAAAATAAATTACCCTTAGATAAAATAATATGGAGAACTTAACAATCACCGGGGAGAACAGGGGATTGATGTGCATTCCGACGGGGACATTGATTCAAGATGCATCTTTAACGGTCAATCTGACTATGGTATGACTTTCCCACATACAAGAGTGAGAAACTTGAAAAAACTACTCACGGAATCAACAGCCGGAGCTAGTTGGACCTGCATTTGGAGACTCAGGGGCATTGTTTGATCCATCACGCGTCAGTTGAATCCCGAACCCAAGGAACCCACCGTTGACAAAAGACCACTTTGCTTGAGATCTCTCTATTCCCAGTTCTCTGGTCCACTGCGTGGCTGATTCCCCCAAATACACCAGTTTTCATGCATTCCTCGAGGTCTCCGGGAAAACTCCACGTAAGCCACAAGTTGGTGGCAATGGTTCCGTTATGCAATCCCCCGACCTCCCCGTGGATGATACCCACAGATTCCACCCCAGAATTTGCCTCTATCTAGTGTTCAATCAGTGTATCACATTGTTACTGTACTAACATAAGGAGTTCTGTGGGTCGATGCTGAAACAAGAACATCTCTGAGTCCCTGAACCCTCAACATCCACCTGGGCACCGAGCGGGTTGAACCAAAAGGATGCCGACTTCTGACAGCTCTCACTAACTTGATCTGGGCTTGTGATTTGCAGAACCGATTGACTGGACCGAACTCTATTGTACTCTTGAAATAGTCATCTCTTCATGCAAATGGCTTATTAGCGTGACCAGGAATTGGGGACCAACTTTACTACACTAATCCTGGGAATTTACAGATAAAGAAAAATAAAATAAAAAATAAATACAAAATTATTCATAATTCTGGTAAATTTATCCTGGTACTTTTCAAACAAGCTTGGAAGCTCTCTAGCGTTCCTGGCCTGGAACTGGCGCTTGTCGATCCATGTCTCTCCAACTCCACTTGGGGGCGTCGATCATCTCGTCTGTCAGATCCGAGAGCCAATACCCAAATTACTGGACCTCTTACACTAATTTAATTCTTTGTTTTCAAGTTCCACACTTGATCTGGAACATAAAAAACATACTTAATGTTTCATGCATAATTCTTTGTTTTCAAAGCAGGTTTTCCCCCCTCGTTCAAGGTGTGAATAATAGGCAATAGTACTGATGAGAAACCCGTGGGAATACTTAACTAGTGTACTAATGTACATATACCACTTCATTCCATATTTCATGAACTTTCCAAGGTTGGGACTTGAACTTCCTTGGAAATTCAGCTTGCCAAGGCTAAACTGAGTTGAATAGTCTATGCTCTCGTCCCCATACGGACATCTGGAGTACTCCAATACTCCATATTCCAGGGCTGCGGGCTCGGATCCATCCGCCTTACGAGATTAGTGGGATTACGCCTCTGAACTCCATAAACTCCATTTCTCATTTCTTATTTGACTTTGAATGACTCGATTATTTCAAATCTTCATCCAGAATTCTTTAGTAAACACTGTCTCAAAACAACACCAATCTTATTCAATTAATTCTACCCTAACTACACCAATCTTATCTTCAAATTTATCCGCAAACATTTGAAGCACAGGCCAGACAAATCGCCGCAAGGGCCAACCGAAAAAGCCGGTTTCTTCACCCCCATACTCCGTAGTATCGTGAAAACCCCTGCATCTCCCGTGGTCAAGGGATGACTTGCTTTGATCTACGGGAGTCCTGCACCGTTTAAAGCTGCCAAGCCTCCACTTCTGATCTTATTTCATCTAAAAGCTATGACCGATTTCACCTCGAGCTCAGACCAGTCCGAGCTTCAGATCAACACCGAGTCACCGACATCATCAACCAAATCATCTCCGGTATGCATTGATCAGCTTGAGGCAATAGTGCAAAACCTTTCGAAGCTTGGACTTGATCGAAATTATCACTCACTTCAATGCTCGGTGTTGCACTGAGTCATGCCATACTCGCAGCCTTATCGGTGAACCCGAGTCTGATCATCCGCCACTGAGGCTGGGTCGCCATCCATCTGTGGCTGTGTGGCTGAAAGATGTCTATCAATATTACCTATGTGATGTGGCTGCGCATGGAATTCGACTCGTTCGAAGTCGTTAAGGAAAATAGTCTTCACGTTGCTGGTCGCCACCCACGATTAACATTGCGTAATTTGATCCTGAAGCCCTCATGGAACTGTCTTGCAGCTGCTAAGCATCTCAACGCATCTCAACGCGGCATTTACATTCAGGGGTCCCTCGAGCTTGCAAGGTACTAACATTGATTCAAGAAATTCCAAATCAAGAAACTTTCTACTCTATAGCTTGGGCAGCTCATCGCTAGTAAACTGTCATCGTAGTGACATCTCATATTCAACGCTCAGGTACCAGGCACCAGGAACCAGGTACCACAAAAAATACTTTCAATGAATGATTCTGGATAAACCCACGACTAACCCCACGAACAGTGCGCAATGATTTACGACCTCCCCTTTATTTGCAAACCTTATCGATCCATATATATGGCACTTGCATTAGCACGATCTCGGTTTACAATCCAGGTTCAGTGTAGAAGCGTACTATTGATTTTGGATCTTTCTCTAATCCATGTCTACCACTGGTACGAACATTGGAATACTGAGCATCACTGTTTCGGATCCGAACCGAGAAATGAATGATACAAATGATCTTCAGAAAAAACCGAATGATACCCTATGTCATTCGATCTGCATGCAAGTCGACACCATGGCTGAACATACCGTCAAATAGGACATGATCATATCCAACCGGTTCACATTCCTCGGGTGTCAACATACAGGATCCGGCCACGCAAGACCAACTGGATGGGACTGTTATGGTTTATACCCGTTGATGCGGTCGTTTTTCATCATGAGTACCAATGAATATCATTTTTCGGGGTTCATGATTCTCCACACTGACAGATAGTATTAGGAGGCCTTATCATGTACATATTCAAGAACTAAATGCCTACATGCCCGCATGACAGGGTCCAAGTTTAGGTTATTACATAGTACCAAAGAGTCTGAGATCATATTTTCATATTCGTATCTTCCCATCTCTAAGTGATCATCATCCGACGAATTCTCAGGTAACTACAAAATCTTCAGATGTCACAGGGAAGACCGACTCAAAGGCTCTTTCGTCGCTGATATGGCATGATTCAGGGGAAATATGGAGGAGGTCAACGCTCAGGAACCCTGCAGTATCAATAGATTAACTTCATCGTAATTTCTCCCCCCAAATGGCCTCACTCAAGCCCCACGTACTTTGGGATTGCGGGAAAGGCATCCACCCTATAGGATGAACACCTCCTCCAGGTTATGCAAAGTGCATCAATAGTAATGTGGGCAATGCAAAAGGTACCTATAGGTTCCTGAGGCGATATGGGGTTTTCTGTATCCCTTCTTCTGGGGCTCCACCCCCTTGCATATATTCCTCTATTTTGCTGGTACCAACAGCCAGATACTACCTCTTTTTAATAATGAAACGAAAAATTAAATAAACATGTTGAAACAATTGGTTTGTGCTAGTTTTTATTGCCGATATTAGCTCGGTATTTGGGGCTTTTGTGGGATGAGGACCTGACTTGCATTGCAGTACTCCGCATCACCTTGCTTTGGTCCCGAATTCCTGGATACCAAATGTCTAGTGGCAAAAGGTTATGTTTCGGCAGAGCCCTACGATCTGAGCTCTGGGAGTAAGCCTTGATTGGGAGATTTTTTGCGGGGTTGGATGTTTTGCTGATAAGTTACAAGGGTTTAATTTAATTTGCCCAGGTGGTGTATCGGGTACCCAAATTGACCAGGGATGTACCGGTAGTTGATATTATCCTCGTGTAGTATAGGTACCTGAGCACTTATGTTGACAAATTCAAACTACGAGTACCAGTAAATTATTAAAAAATTAAAATTTCACAAAAAGACCCTGAGTACGTAAGACTTGGACCCTGAACCATCTTTGAATGTCAAAATCTTGGAACTCGCGTCAAAGTCTCGGAGTATCTGAGCGCTCTGATCAACTGGTACCTACGGAAGCACCGAGCGTCTAGATGTCAAAGCGCTTAGCCCAATGCGCATGCCAGTCAACTAGCAGCTATGCAAATGCCTCAATAGAGCCGCCACCTGAGAAAAGAAAAAAGTCAATCGAAAGCTCGGACAAAACCGAAAAGTAAACACTTGTCTGATCACCCCACCCGATCGACTGTGCATCGCCCACATATGCTAGACATTCTCCAAGTGGCACAGCTGAGCAGTAAGAGGGCCCTGCTCAGATAAGTCTGGATTTGCGCTAAGTACAAAACTTACTCCCTAAAACACGCATTGGCAGGAATGTACCGATGTACTTCTTTCCTTAGCTTTCACCTGGGCAAACCTTGGAAATTTTCTCCATTGTATAGTTCGTTAGTACATATTACAATAGTATCGGCTTACGCCAGCATGTCTTGTACTGGCGACGAATGGGCTGGACTCTAGTCCTTGTCTAGGGCGAATTCAAGTGACATCATATTATTAGACCCTTGCGCGAGATTAGGACTTCTGCGTGCCTTTTTCGTCCACCAGCATCGCGCTACTCAGTGTAATCTTATGTTTGAGTATCAGATTCCTGTTTTCTAGACTCTGGAGCATGGGTCGTGTTCGATATATTGTTCGCGGGTGAGTCGTGGACATCCATGGATGGGAGTATTGTGTTCGGAGTAAAGGAGGCATTTTAGATAGTACTACGCAGGAACACCCTTCAACGCGAATCATTGCATTTCAGTCATGTATGTTTAATGTCCTTCAAACAAGGGACTTACGGGTTATGGCTTTGAATTGGGTTACTCGAGAGTAGACTTCTGTGCAATGTTTTGATTGTGGCATTATTTGTCACTGTTGCGATGGAAATGGCCAAGTAGTAGGATAATGGAAAATTAGATCAGAATCTCACGTAATTACTACTATGCATGATGAGATGACTGAGGCATCTCAATTGATGTTCTTGAACATTGAAAGGCAAATTTGATAGGCTCACTGAATGCAGATGTTCAAATTGTTCCAGGGTAGTACCTGTTAGTGAGAGTATACTGTCATGTTTAACTATCAGACGAATGACGACTTGATCCATGCCACTAAAGACTCTTCTGAATATACTGCAAAGTAGATTGTAGCGATATTGGTAACTGAACATGCTCTGGTGTGATCATGATCGATTTATTCAAGTCTCAACTTGAACTTGAAGGTTCATTCATACTAGTACCTACACTATGGACACATGTGCATATACATCCATGTAGTCAAAGTGCCAGTAGACTCGGATTACTAGTAGTCTATTCAATGTTCAATTGATTCTTCCAAGGTTGCGTGAGAGTATACATGTATTATTATCCTCTACATAGGTGAACATATGTATCTACCAGTACTCTGAAGCACCAATTTCAATCAACTGATTGATGCCATTGAGTGTAGCGTCCATTTCAAGTTGGAAACTTGAAGAAATTCAGACTGATGGACTCGAATATATCCTGGGCTCCTGACGTAGTATGCAGCTCCATGCCAGTGGGTGACGCACTTCCAATCATGGAAGGTCAGTTGAAACCATCCGAAGAGAACTGCAAATACTACACATATGTATTAATTCATGTATGGATGTTGGTTTCTGTACACTGTCAGGTCCAAGAGAACGCTGGCAGCTGTTTACGAGATCCATCACTCTACCTGGGCAAGGTTCAGCCATTGTGTTGAGTACTAAATTGGACTTAAGATATAGGCCTTGCAAACATAAGCCTTTCATTTCTGACTGGCTTCCATGTGGATACAGTTGTAGAAAAAAGCAAAAATGGGACAAAATGAAGGATAATTCAGAATTTCGTTGGAAGAGCCTGGAATATTCCGAAGCACTCTTAAACTTGACGTTAGAAGCCGACCAGGCAGTTTTGAAACCGGCCGGTTGACTTAGAAAGATCAACTTTCCGATCCGACGCGGTCTATCACATTTGCCCAGACGGCAAGTTGCATAGAAGCCAGAGTGTTCAATGTTTTCTTTTTCTCGGAGCTCGGAGTTTGCCGACATCTAGATGTGTCAAAAATTTTATCTTCGACTTGACTCAAGATGTGAACTCTAGCACTCAGATATGTGTAGTGTTTTGAGTCCAGGCTCGGGTTGTACTAGAAGTTGAAATGGCATTTGAGCATGATTTCTTACTACAACTTGAAACATTTGAATAAAAAAACTCTGTTCAAATGAAGAAGCTTGGAAGCAGCTAAATCAACATCAATTGGTCTTACTATACGGGCATTTGCAGCACTAGCATGCTAAGATACTAAGACTGCACCTGTATACTTAAGTAGAAGCCACATGTGCATTCAGCCAGCCTCGAGAGTTGAAATATAATATCAAAGATCGACATTTCTGAACATCCTTTTAACATGAGATTGAGAATATTAATATTATATCTATTTAGTATCCTCACATACCCTTCTTGAATATATAGTTGTCTATCACCTAGCAGAAAACCTGATTATTTCGGACTAAAGTAACCTGTCATATCCCGGGTAAATGGTCCACAAATCATGAGATCAGCCCCAAAAAAGATCAACTGTCCCCATACAGATTTTCAGATTCAATAGAATGAAAAGAAAAACAAAGAATTGATGAATCATATATAGAATCTAAAGACCGAGACTAGTCTATATTCGTAGTCGCTTAGTCTTATCGCGTGTAAATAAGCCGAACTAATCAACCGTTTTTGAGTGGAGATCCCGTCATCTTGTCATCTTAACATTGGACAAGATTGGACAAAATAATACCACTTAAAACGCCATCCAATCCAGACCAATCTAAACCTCGGATAACTGTAGATAAACCCGAGCGGGGGATTAGGGGGAAAATAGCGTTAAAAGATGCGCTGTTATCTCAAGGCTACCGCATTTATTCAAGTTTCTGGGGAATTTGAACAAAGAACCCAACCAAGCTTGGTTGGAAGTGAGGTAACCTTGAAAGTGATCTCGAGAGCTTGAGCTTTCTTTGTTACGCTTCTCTCGGAGTTCTTTCTTTCAACTCCCTCAAAACCCCCAAGATGGCCGCCCCGTCAAGCGAGATGGCGACTGAGTCGCAGCCATTACTCTCCGAGAATGTTGGCGAAATGAATACGAGAAAGAAAACCAGAAACAAGTTGTTGATCTTGATCGTGGGTGCGATATTCATCCTGGCAGCCGATTCTGGATTCTATCTTTCTGTAGCACCTCAGACTGCGATCTTTGAAAAAATCATTTGCCGAAATTATTTGGAGTTTCTTGATAGTACGAACACCACTCTACCTGCCTCTGATGTGGCAGATCCGTGTAAATCAGAGGCCGTGCAAGGGGAGCTGGCCTTGATTACGGGATACAAGGATGGGTTCGCTGTGGTACCGAGTGAGTTCCTCTCCGATTTCTTGAAATGGTCCATGTTCCGATTCTAACTCTATGAGGTGATCAGCGATTCTTCTTTCACTTCCTTATGGTGTACTAGCAGACCACTGGGGGCGAAAACCTGTGGTTTATCTTGGAATGCTGGGCATTGTACTGGATGAGCTTTGGACTCGACTGATATGTGAGTCAAAAGGAAACTATGTTTTGATTCATTATCTGGCTGTCTTACTGATTCTCCTCAAGGTCTCTGGTCGGGTGTGCTGCCACTTCGCATGGTCTGGCTATCTGCCCTATGGAAAATCATCGGCGGTGGTGACCAGGTAGTGACATCCGTTGTATGCACTATGATTGCTGACGTTGTCTCTGAAAATGAGAGGTAAGGAAATAAGACTGCTAAAATTACTCAGTATATCTAACTATCGGCAGATCAACGGCACTTTTCACCCTTATGTCCTGGGTCTTTGTCGCAGATATCGTGGCCACTCCAACCAGTGCATACTTGATGACATTCGACCCATGGATCCCGTGGACACTGGGCTATTTTATCATTGTTCTGGGATGTATCCCGTTTCTCTTTCTACCAGAGACGCTTGGAGACGCCAAAGCCAAGAAATCCAGCAGTCATCGAACTGATAACACGACTCAATTCACCGAGCCGACCAGGAAAATGTCGAGTATGCAGATGGTTCTTTACCGTCTGCGAGAATTCAAAGAGTCAGCACAATTTATTTGGAAGGATACAAACGTCATGTGGATGATTATGATATCCTTCGTCTCAATGATGTCTCGTCAGAGTACGAACATTCTCCTCCAATATGCCTCGAAGCGATTCGGCTGGAGCATAGCCAAGGTACGTGGTTGAAAAGATCCTAGTTAACCAGAGCCGGAAGCTCAAACTGACGCATGAATAGGCAAGCCTACTCGTCACGATTCGCGGAAGCGTCGGCCTTACCACTTGCCTTGTATTAATGCCTGGGCTCAACTGGTTGAGTGGCAAGTATCTCAATCTACACGGAAAATATAGAGATCACTGGCTCAGCAAGATTACCGGCATATTGTCTGTTGTTGGCTTCCTGCTAGTAGGCCTGGCTCCCACCACAGCATTGTTGATCTTCGGACTGGTCATCGTGGCAATGGGTGGAGCTTTCGGAGTCAATACTCGCAGTCTAGCTACTGCACTTGTTGTACCCGATCACGTTGGTACTCTTTACTCATCGTTCGCCATCTCCCAGTCAATGGGAATCTTTCTCGCCGGTCCCTTGTTTGCTTACCTCTTTAAATGGGGATTGCATTTAGGCAATGCTTGGTTGGGTCTTCCATTCTTGCAGGCTGGCCTGTTTTTCGCTTTAGCCACGGTGGCTGTCTGGAGAATCCGAGTTGATCAATCCCTACCAGGCGACGATGGGGAGCAGGAGGAAGAGCAAGAGCCTTTGATAACCGAGTCCTCGTAGATCTGACATTTCTGTTGCTAGCCAGCACCGACTAAATCAGTCCATTTTCTTATCTTTATTTTCTATTGTCAAGAACCTCGAATAATTGAGGGGTGAGGGGTACTGAATAGACAAGCATATGATTGTGTTCTCTCATCGAAGGATTTGCGTGCTCCACGTAGCGGCAGAACGACGATCAGGGTCCAGGGGTCCAGCTGATACCGGAGCGATACCCTATGAGGTGAATCGTGAAGGAATCGGCGCCCAACAGAGATGTAGCCCCGTCGATCCACCGGGGCACACTCGTATCGCGAGATCTGGTTCGCTGGAACACAATGATCGGCAGCGGGGGCTCATCTCTCGAGGATTCAATCAACACCGGGGATCCCGGAGATCCGCAGGGGTCTCAAGATATGCAACCTCAAATTCGATAATGTGAAAGGGAATTCGACGGTGGTTTGAGAGTGACCGGTCTTTGAAGGGGAATTGTCAAGTTATTGGTTGGATCAAGGTGTTTCCAAGACTCCAAGAGTTCTTGTTCTCCACTTGCGGGATCGGCTTCAATAGAAGAAGGCTGGTGTGATATCCGATTCAAAGGAATCACGAATCAGCGTCCTTTTATCGGAGCATGTGCTATCAATTGATCGACATTCATGCTCCTGGAAATGTCCTGATGTTCGAAACCTTGGAATCAGTGTGCACCTAGTACTTTAGTAGTAGCTCTCACACGTGTATATAATCATCATTGTAACCTCTAAGTCTTTTTGTCCTACTTGAACTACACAATTTGAATCAACTTTTTACAATGCCAATCTCTCAAATTCTCACTTTAACTGCTCTTGCCACCGGAGCTGTGGCCCAGCTAAAGTCATGCTCCAATAACGGCACCTTGAGCTGCCAGAGCTCATCCAAAGCTCCTACCTGTTGCTACAACTACCCTGGCGGTGCTCTTCTGCAGACTCAATTCTGGGACAGTGATCCATCCACCGGACCGAGTGATTCCTGGACCATTCATGGTCTATGGTAAGTTCACTATGATAATGCGATACCCGTCATAACAAGATCATGATGCTGATTCGATTCTCTCTAGGCCTGATAACTGCGATGGTACCTACCAGTCAAGCTGCGACTCCTCGCGTGCATACACCAACATCTCAGCTATTCTGAAAGAGCAAAACCGTGATGATCTGCTCTCATACATGGATACATACTGGGTTAATAATGACGGCAGTAATGAGGAGTTTTGGGAGCATGAGTGGAGCAAGCATGGTACTTGCATCAATACCATCAACCCGAGTTGCTACAACAACTACACACCACAAGAAGAAGTTGGTGATTTCTTCCAGAAGGTGGTTGATCTATTCAAGGGTTTGGATACCTACCAGGTATGATTGTGTCTATCCTTATAACTTTAACCACTTGAGGATGCTGTTCCTTGCTTGTCAGAACCAGAAAATTAATGTGACTTGAAACAGGCTCTCTCTTCTGCTGGTATCACACCCGATGACTCGAAAACCTACGAGCTCAGTGACATCCAATCGGCTTTGTCAAAGCTTCATGGGGGCTCGGAGCCGTACGTTGGTTGCGAAGATGATTCGCTCGACCAAGTCTATTACTTCTTTAACGTGGCTGGCAACGCTATCGATGGCCACTACGTACCAGCTGATCCACGTAAGTTGACTGTGTGTTTATATCAGTATCATATAACAGAGCTAACAGAATCTCAGTTGAGAAATCCAACTGCCCTAGCAGTGGCATCAAGTATTCGCCCAAGAGCAGTAACTAAAGATATGACTATTATGTCTCTCGGGCGACTGTGGATGCATAACAGGATGATGTATTTATTATGAGATGATGAAAGCATGGAGAAGACTGAGATAAGTCTTATGATTGGGTATATTAATTCATATTGGTATCATTGTAAAAGTACATAGGGTACACAATTGTTCGGGGAGATAACCCGTCAATGTGATAAGATGATATCTCACTAGAAAAGGAAAAGGAGACCAGACCATGCTGAGGAGGAGTAGGAGATGAGTCACTTGGCTCTGGGGTCTTTCTCTGTATCCATCAAGGATTATGGCTATTTACCATAACAGCTTTAAAATTGGCGTCCAGGGGTGAAGTTTAACAATTACACCACCAGCCAATTTCTTGTTTCAAGGTGGATATTTGGGGTCGAAGATGATGTTCTGTTGGAATCAAGATCGACTACAGAATGTATTGAAGTAGTGTATCCCCGACAGAAAGAATCAAAGATGGCCTGGACGCGAGGTTGCCACAATAAGACCTGGAATTCATGTGTGCTGGAGTGATGTAGCAGGTCTGGCCAATGCCTCGAGAAGACGAGGCGGTGGTAATCTTATTCTTATGCGGATCACAGATAAGGATCAACGCAGGCAGAGCAAGCTCAAATGCCCTTGATACGGGCCTGTCGTGCCTCCTCGTCCCGTTTGGCTCCCATACGGTCCAGGAAGTCCATACGACCCATGTAGCCTTCTTTGGCCTTGCTGGCAACACGCAGTTCATCTTTGATACCCGCATGATCAACATACTGCGCCCAGTCCAGACGAGACTTCTCAACCGTGTTGATCTTGGGGCCGGTTGCATTTTCACCAGCTTCAATAGCCTGCTTCTCCCAGCTCTTCTTGATCGAGCCCGTTGGATTAGGATCGAACCGTGAGATCTTTCGTAGTGGGCGACGCAGATTTTCATTCGCGTTTGCATCCTCCACCTCGGTGTATTCCACATTCTCCCCGCTCGACAGAAACGCCTTGGCTTCCGCCGAGTCCTTCGGTACGATCTTTTCTTCGGTGATCATCTCGCCGGCAAATTTGTAGGTACGCTTGATCTTGATCATCTGCTCGCCGGGCGCATGGCGCGAGTCCTTCTCCGGTTCTGCAGCCGCCTGCTCCTTCATATCCGTATCGGTGGTCGCGATTTCGAGCTTTGGAGCTGGCTCAATGTCGCGTTTAATTTGGTTCGGTCGCAAGCCCAGCTGATTCCCGGGTGCATTCATCTGCTCCCAGAGGGATTCCACGTCAATCGTTGCGCCATCGATTCGGGCTAGTGGTTTGCGCTCTCGCTCTTCTTGTCTATTAGGAAGGCGACGGGTCAGAATCAATGGTTTATAAAATTAAATATAAAATTAAAGAAGTCAAGGAAATGCTCCTACATGTGTTTTTTCATGGCACGAGTTCGCACAAATCCTCCTGTGCCCCCTTCCTCGTCGTCGATGTCCATCTGGTCATCTTTGGCCGCATTTTTGCCTTTCTTTCCTTTCCGCTTTTTCTCTCGCTTCTCGCGTGCTTTTCGAATTGTAGCTTCATCCCCGGAATCAAGATCTTCATCGGGGATCTCTGTTCTCTTATTTGACTTTCGCTTTTTCTTCGCGGGCTCATCGTCGTTGTCGTCGGAGGAGAGGTCGGATTCATCTTGCGCGCCCTCTACCTGGAAATCTTCATCTTCGGCAGAGTCATAGGGCTCATCATCCAGATCAACAGCTGTGGAGACAGTGTCAGCCGACATTGTGAATTATGAATATGTAGGAAGCTTGGAAGAGAGAAAGTAATTGAACGCGAACTGGAAAGACGTGCGCCCGGCGGTACAGATAAGGATTATGTAACACTATCAGTAGTCAACTGTCCAGTCAATAATCTCAACGCCGACTTCTCTCCTACGGATGCTTGAAGTGGTTGAAGTCGTATTCTTTTGTTAAAATTCTCATTTAATATTTCTTTTTTGAATTCCCGAACTATGGTAATCTTCCTAGTGCAACGAATGCCACGGAAACTTGGCACTAGTTTATCAATCGCTACAGTTGTACTGGTAGGGATAAAATACTCAGGAAAGCCCAGGTGGAGATATATCAGAAATGGCTTGCATTTGGACAAATTTTCACTATTTCCATTCCCGCCCAAACAACCAGCCAAACCCACTGGGAAAACGATAGAGAACTCCTGTACAGAATGGTATCGAATCTGAATTTGAACCCGCTCGCCCACACCGAAATGAAACCGTGCCCACATAGTACAAATTACAAGAAAGACAAAGCGAAGAAAGTCTGAAGAACTGGAGAATTGGAGAGCTCACCGCGAGGAAAGAAAAACCATGGCAAAAGTACTTGTTAACGCCGACCTCTTGATATCCGCGATGCCTGGACCCTGTACAATTCCCGCGAAAAACGACGAGGGAATATGAAAAGAAGAAAGGGAGAAAAAAAAGGGAGATCAAGTAGAAGAGAAAAGAAAGGGAAAACGTATTGAATGTCGAAAGTCGAATGGACTGAGAAGCGTATTATTGTCAGTCCCATCATAAATGAGTTGCGTGCGTGACACATTTTGCCGTAGATTTGGAAAGAAGAAAAAAAGTGGTTTCGAATGCTGGCGAAGATGAAAGCGTAAAAAAAGATTGCAAGTATTATCGTGGCCATCTCAGCAGAATCAGTTGCCCATGCCATTCTGCATCATATTCTGCTGTTGCATCTGTTGAGCTTGCATAGCCGCGGCTTGCTGGTTAGCTCGTTGTTGGTGAACAGCGTCACGTTCACGTCGCATCATCTCTTGCACAAATGCTTTGGCGCTCTTTTCAAGCCCTGCACCATATTGTTGCGCAATCTGAGGCGGGTAAGCTGTCGGAGGTCCATACTGTTGCATGTACCGACTGGCCATATCCGATCGCAACTGCACGAGTCGTTGATGATACATACGATTGTATCGTGCAGCCATATTGTTTTGTATGTTCGGCATCTGACCACCATTGGCTTGGGCAGCGGCCATCATCAGCTGTTGCTGCTGTTGCTGAGGACTCATCCCTTGGAGCTGTTGTGGCTGTTGCTGCTGCTGTTGCTGGGAAGGCATGCTCTGGGGCGTCATTCCCTGCTGCGGACTGCCATGATTCGCTTGACCTTGAGCTTGACCAATGGCTCCTCCCTGCTGCTTTACCATTTGCATCTGAGCAAATTGAGCCCGCATCATCTGCGCCTGGTAAGCCTGGTGGCTCTGTCGAGGTACATTTTGCATATTCGGGTGATTTTGCTGTTGCTGTGGATTCATGCCCTGTTGCTGCTGCTGCTGCTGTTGATGTTGTTGTTGTTGCTGCGCTGCCTGTTGCTGCTGCTGCTGCTTCTGGGCTTGCAAAAGCTGCTGTTGTTGATGTGACTGAATATTTTGCTGGGCATGTGCATTGGCCTGCAGTTGCGCAAGTTGCTGTGGAGTAAATTGGTTCCCTCCCATATGACCTTGCTGCTGTGCTGCTTGAGCAAGCATAGCTTGCCGTTGCTGAAGCGCGAGCTGCTGCTGTTGCTGTGGAGTAAGATTCATTCCATTGTTCATTTGTTGAGGGCCTGCGATAGCGTGGTTCATCATTGGGGTCTGGCCCATTGTCGAATGATTTGGACTGCCATGGGCCATCCGCTGAGTTGGAGTGACATTGCGCATAATTGGGGTCGCGTGGGACATAGCCGGAGTGCCCTGTGTCATTTGAGGGGTACCGTGCCGACTTGGTCCTTGTTGGCTCCTTGAAGGTGCCATAGGGTGACTCATCATATTAGGATGAGCATGCTGCAGAGCTGAAGGTGGCCTTGGTGGGCTTCCAGACTGCTGAGATGCGCTGATGCTCATAGGAACCGCCTGTGTTGTCATGTTACCAACCAGTGGTGATGAGATGCTATGAGGGGTTTGATTGCGTACAACAGGAGAAGATTGCTGGCCCTGGCTGACACCATTGGCTTGGACCATGGCATGTCGGCTTTGTTGAGCTGCGATCTGGGCTTGCGCATGTTGTGCTGCCAGTTGTTGTCTACGAGCCTCCTCTTTAGCATGTTCCTCAGCCTGTCGCTGCTCAATTGCCCGGCGTCGTTCCCGCTCCTGCTCTTGCTGCTGTCGCTTGGCCAATTCTTGCTTCATCTTCAACTCATGTTCACGCTTCGCCTTCTCTTCATGTTGCAAACGAATGGTTTCCAGGGTCTTGAAACGTGAGAAGCGCGGTTCAAACGGTGCCACACCAGCTGTTTCATCCACCGCAGAAGCCTTGGTGCCACCGGCACCGTTAGAAGCTGTGGGTTCAAGACGTTCGTCCATAATAAGCATGAATCTCTCCTCTTCTGCAGCAAGCGCCTCGTCTGCTGCCAGTTCGGCGACTGTTCTCTTGCGACGCTTGGGTGCTGGTGGCGGGTTATTATGTAATGGGTCTTCCAGGAATTTGAGTAACCTTTGAGATGCCTCAAAGCTGTGAACAGGTTCCAAATAGACCGGCGGAGCCAATGCCCGAACGATCAATGATTCACACTCCTGGAGTTGGTGCGGTTCGACGAGAGTCTTCTGCCTCTTTGCTGGACGATCGGGTTGAATACCACCAGTCGCCGGGGATTGAGGCACCACCGACCCAGACTGCGTGCGAGCGAGCTGGCCAGCAGCTGATGCTTTTGCTGCTCTCGGGTCAGGTGTGGTCACAAGCAAAGTTAGTTCGGCCTGCAATACTCTGGCAGTAGGGTGTAAGACGGTGGTAAACACTCGCGGCTTCGGAGGATCAAGCTTGTTTCCAGACTCTGTTACTTGTTCATGGGTATCTGCAGTTTCTCCATTGCTCTCCTTCTCCTTCTCTGGCTTGCTTTGATCGGCTGATGCTGACTCTGCAGTTTTGGAGCTTTGCACTTCTGTAAGCTGGTTTTGTTTCGGATAAGGGACATAGGCAGATGGGGTAATATGTTCGTTGTAGTTATGCAAAGAGAACGGGGTGTTATTCTCATTCGATATTGAAGGGGAGGTCTTTCTGGCTTGCGCGGACACGGATTTATGATCGACCACTTGAACGATAAGACAACCTAGAGAACACCATGAGCAATCTACCCTCTCTCCTTGAGTTCAACATCCAAACGACTGATTTATTGTACCTTCATAAAAGCGCACATTACTTCGAAGAAGGTCGTCGATCAAAGCATGTGGAATCGTGCCGTCGCGGAGGTGTTCAATGATGATCTTCATCTCTGAGTTGTAAGGGAAACTTCCATCTTGCTGTTCAAATCGAAAATGTGTAGGGTGAAGGTGTATGGTAAGAGATGGTGGGCATTTTCTGTATTTCTTGAGTATGTAGGCTGTGGTTTTCACTGTGACAAGTAACCGAGGCTCATGGTCAGTGATCAATCATATACACCGTAGAAAGCCATTGCGTGATAGAATTCAACAGATATCTTACCATATGGTTCAGGGCACCTCTTTGAGGCCCGGCTATCAGTCCCGCCTGATGCTGTCCTTGTTACAGGCCGGCCCGTACGCGAAGACTGCTCGCCGCCCTTTTGCGACTGGGAGTTTCGAGTCCGGTTAATGGCACCCTTTGACGGATTCGCCATGTTGAGCACTCCATTGGGAAGATTGGGACTTGAGCCAGCCGACACGTTGCCAGGAAGTCTTGTGTTGGTGGTGGGTGGAGAAGACGAAGGCGGCTGCGGCTTGACCCCGTTAACCCCAGGTTGTGAGAAAGGCGGGGGCGGACGCTTCATTTTCGGAGCATGGGAGGCAGGTTTCGAGATAGCTGTTGCCATTTTGAAGGCGCTGTCAGGCGCACCTTCAAGAAGATATAGCTAATAATGCGACTTATTGCGGAACCAAGTCGGGGATGGTGAGTGGAAGCCGGTGACCAATAAAGAATGGGATGGCCGATGCGCGAGACATGTGGAGATCGGTCGGCCGGCCTTGCTCACCAACTCGGCGAAATTGGAGTAACAATAAGGATGGCGCTCCGTAATTAATAGAGAAAGAAGGCGGAGGCGTCCATCGAACAACTTCGCGGAGAGGGGAAAGAGTCCGGAGAGGCTCAAGAAGGCGGAAGTCGTGCAGAGGAGGTGATGATGCCAAGCCGCGGGCGAGACGTGACGCTGTCACATGACCGTAGCCAAATTTGGATTAGCGCCTGATATTTATTTGCCTTAGGCACCAATATATTTACCATTCACAACCTAGTTCGCAGCACCTGGGTGTAGATAAGGTGTGTTCTGGTCATTCAATGCTCTCAGTTTGCTTTCACTTAAGAGCCTGGGCAAAGTGAAGTCTAGAAGGCAACTTTCCTCAAGGCAAGTTCAATAAATTGAGATGTTTTTATAGATCGGAGCTCTCCCGATTACAGTGAAAATAGTATACGGAATCTTTGAAACAATTTTAGGTCAATTAACTTGTGATAACTTCAAATGTTTACTAGGATTTTATTACAAGTAATTACTAGTAGTATTCTGAAAAGTGGTACAATACTCACTGGAGAGAAACTACTAGTAGTGCTGGATTGTTCATATCAACTTGAAATGGTAGCATGTGCTCGATTCAAAATATATTGATAGTAGTAACTATCTCCACTACTACCCGGGACTCAGCATAGCCGCATCCATGGATCATGATGATTATGCCAGTGATCAGAGACTCTAAGTTGATGCAACTAGCTTCTGGGCATCTAGTATGTAAGAACTTGAATGGATCGAATCTTCAAGTTGGAACTTCCAGATGTCAAGTTGAATTCACCCAGTACACATACACATGCCAACTGGTATACGGAGTACCTAGTAATCACTGGCAATTATTTACCTGCCAGTTTTCAAGGTTGAACTGCTTCCAGGAAGTTTTTTTTTGTATGGTCAGGGCAAATCGGTTGCATTGTAGGCTATCATGAAGGTGCATTGGCACCTGGGCCGGGCCAGGTAGAACAGGGTTGATTCTCTGCTCCAAGGCCATATTATAACAGAGTCCAAGGGGAATTGGAAAAAAAGGAAAAAGTTCAAGGGGAATCGAAAACACAATCATCAGGGGGCGAAGAGGGTACAGTAAAAGAAAATATAAACATGCAGAGGGGGGCAAATATCAACATCAACATCATTGCGGGAAAAGGTGCTGGACTTGTTTAATCCATGCCACGCACTCGGCGCCGCCAGTCATCACCGACGCGATGCACATCAACCACATCAATCCGCTTTCCAATGCCAGTGGTGCCTTCTTTTTGCCACCACTTCTCTCTTTTGTCGGCAAGGGCAGATTCGTCATCGCTGTCAATAAGACCACCGCGACCTCCCTCGTCACCGACCACAACAATGACTTGGCGAACCCAGCCGGAGATGTGTTGGACAGCGTCGCCTTTCTCTTCAGTCAAGGACTCCTGAATGTAGACAAGATCAGGGGAAAGGTGGCGGACAAGGTGAACGTATCCAGAAGCCGTACTGAAGGGCATAATCATGCTCTCCTTCTCAACCAGTGCTTGCGCCTGCGTGTACAGGGTTCGGAAGAATGGAGATTGTCCTTCAAGATCATCGTCTTGTCGGGGTTCCACCTTAGTGAGGTCACCACCAACCAATTCAGCAGAGGAGCTCGCTTCTTCATGAGCAATGTTAGAGTAGGATGAAGCAATAGATTGCGATTGAGCTGAGCGGGAAGCGCCTCCCTGGCCAATGGCATGCTTCAAGTTCGGCGCATAGATCAAGACGAAAATGCGAGAGGTCTCCAGATCCACGTGTTCAGGAAGATGGGAAAGAATCGACTAAGGACAAGCGGGGTCAGTAAAATTGAAATCAGAGTACATATCTTTTGTAAGGGACTTGTCTTACAGCGTGTTCTGAGGCGAAATCATCAGAGTCAGATGGAGTCAATGATGATACAACAATAACAACAGTCTTCTTCTTCTTTTCAAATGAATGTTGGCCAGCTGCACGGCCTGGCAGAGCGCCACTCATGGTGGGTTCGATTGGTTGACTTCTCTCGTTGGAACGGGACTGTGCTTCCTCGGACCATCTTGTGTGGTCTTCGAAGTCGCCTCGGTTCTCTTCCCGGATAGATGTAAGTGCGCCACCGACGAATTGACCGGCAGCGGCAACACCGGCGACAACTTTGCGACTTGCGCCATCAAAGATCTGTTGTGGGCTCGGTGTTCGGCGCAATGCGCCCTGCATGCGAGCCATGAAGCTAGGATCATCTGAAGCATCGGCGGGGGTCATTTCTGAGCCAATATCTCTGGCATAGTTTCCTGGGCCTGAACCATACGGGGGTGGAGGATAATTAGCTCCAGGAGGTCCTGGGGGTGGCGGATAGGGACCTTCAGCTTCGCCGTGGGGGCGGTCTTCGTCGTCGTCGTCGTCTTCGTGTCGCTCGCTCCAAACCCACGCAGCAATGCTCACGGCCGCGACTCCAACAGTAAGCGCCAGTGGGATATAATACCCCAAGGCAGTTCTCCGACCAGTAGAGCTGAAGCCGGTGCCGGCTCCACCGCGACGGCGTCTAGGATCCTGGGGAAATGACATTGCGATCGCGGAGGGTGTTGTTTAGAGAAAGCGCATCTAGGAAATCAATCGGTGTCGCGAGATTGACACGTCACATTTCACACCTCCTAAAAAGGGAGGCGAAAATAGGGGGGACCGGAGAATAAAGTGGGAGTATGAGAAGGGAGGAGGTTGGATGGGGGGGATGGACCTCGACCCTCGGAGCACGGAAACATGTGGCTGGTGAACCTAAGGTACCGCGGTGTTTACTTGTTTGCACTGTTTGATTCCGATTTAAATCTGGAGGCGGGTCAATGATGACTCATCTATCTCCTATCGGCACGTGAGCGCGTTTTGATTCGAAAAAAAGCAGTTCAAAGCGGGCGAGTCACATAGTACTCATCAAAGTCTTGAGCTTCAACAGGATCCAGTACGAAGTCTAGTCGCTCATCAAGCAGGATATCCGTTATTTGAATCCTGCATTTGACTCAACCCGAGCTTGCGAAGAACCCGTTTCTACATATATACCCCCCAAGAGTCATATCTCCTGCCCCGCGGGGCTCATACAACCTTCAATTAAGATGCCACACTCTATTCCTGTTCCCCCGAGTGGGTTCCAGGCCATTATTCTGTGTGGTCCTGGTGTTTCTCTTAACACATTCACCACCAACCCAGAGGAATACCCAAAATGTCTCATCCCAGTAGGAAACAGGCCTATGCTCTACTTTCCTATGACCTACGCTCTGCGAGCAGGAATTACTGGTATGTTATAGGCGCCAATGGCCTATACTTTCTGTTGCGACAATTGGTCAAAGAATACCAATGTTAATTTGTTCTCCAGATATTACACTGATCACTCCTTCCACCTCCCTCGCTCCTATCCAAGCCGCCTTGCAACAAAACCCACACCTCACGGCGCTTCCTTCACCCCGCGTAATTGCCCCGAAAGGCCTCGAGATGACTATGGGTACCGCCGAGCTCCTCCGTCTACCAGAGGTGCAAGCCTGTATCAAGACCGACTTCGTCCTTCTTCCTTGCGACTTGCTCTGCGACATCCCGGGTGAATCGTTGATCGAAGCATGGATGGTGTCACAGGGTGCGCTTGGAGGCAGCACATTAACAGAAGGCAAGAATGCTCATGGCCCCGTGTCATCGGGTCCCGGTGGTGAGCAAGGAGGTCGACGAGGTGGTCTTAGTGTGTTTTATCAGACTCAAGGGCGGGAGGAGAGTGTCAAGGGCGAGTCTACAGATTTCGTGGCCGTTGCACCGCTCGACCAAGATAAGGGTGAGGCGCCAGCAGTGTCGCACTTGGTTGATGGACCAGAAGCTGTGCGATCTAATCTTTCGAAATTGGTTCTCTCTATGCCCATGGATACGCTCAAGGAGAGATTGGAGCATGATAAGGGCTTCCTTGTTCGACACTCTCTGGTTGAGCAGCATCCGCAGGTCAAGATGTTGACTACCTACCGTGATGCCCATCTTTACATCTTCCCTTACTGGGTTAAGGAGCTCGCCCGCCAGGAAAAGCTCGAGTCGATTAGTGAGGATGTTGTTGGTTACTGGGCTAAAGCTGGTTGGCAAAAGGGACTGAGTGATAAGTTAGGGATGCAGGAGATTTTCCAGCAGGAGAGTCAGGAGCGCGATGATGGTAGCCAAGATGGTGAATCATTAGAGGAGGAGATTGACCTCCGAAACATGAGCACCACCCAAATTGGCTCCAATGTCGACGAACCTCCCTCTTCGCCCGTTTTCGCTTCGCGTGTCAAGGCCTCTACAGAATCCAAGTCGACAGAGGTGCCGCCGATTCTCGCTTACGTTCAACGAGGATCTGCGCCCTTCGTTCGTCGTGTCGATAGCACCGCCATCCTCCTATCTACATCTCTTCGCTTGGCTAAGCTGGAATCTATCGAGGAAGTTGGACGTCAGGCCTCGCCATTCGCTCACAACCAGAAGATTGCTCATCCAGATGGAGTGGCACAGCGATCCACTGTCACAAAGAGCGACTGTCTTCTGGCGGAGAATGTCACTGTGGAAGAGAAGTGTGTTATCAAGGAATCCGTCATTGGTGCCAACTGTCACATCTCCACTGGTGCGCGGTTGACTCGTTGTCTTCTTATGGATGGCGCAGTTGTTGGTCCTCGTGCGGTTCTCACCGGATGTGTGATTGGCAAGCGAGCCAAGATTGGCCGCGAGGCACAGCTCAAAGACTGTGAAGTCCAAGATGGCAACGTGGTTGAGGATGAGATGGATGCTAAGAACGAGAAGTTCATGGTCTTCGAGGGTATTGATGAAGGCATGGAAGACTTTGACGATGATGAGTTCTGATATGTAAGCCATTTATCGGCTTGATTTTCATTTTATTTGTTTTCTTATACCGCTATGTCTGACGAGATAGAAATCATGATTCCTCAAAAGTGCCCAATTAGAAATGAATTTCTACCATGAACTGATCATATCCATGAAGCTGTGTTCTAATAGTCTCAGAACTTGAAGTAAGAGTGTGGATAGCCCATGACAATTCAGAACTTGAATTCAACATTCAACAAAACCAATCGAGGAAAAGCAAAGAAGGGCTGGAACTCAATCAGCCCTGCAGTCTCAGTCATGATCGAAATGACAGGGTCCAATGGGAAACACACAGCTTTGGGACCTCTTGATCCCACGGTTGACTGAGATTTTCAACAAGTCCAGATCCAGTCTTCACCGAACGCGAACGTGCGCCGGTTTACCTGTACGTTGGGATATGTACAGTGTTACGACGATCGACCTGTCGTGACACTTGACCAGTGCATCCCCCGTGACCCTTACTCTTGGGCCACGGGTCGTCATGGTTGAGTCGAGGGACTCTCCAGGGCTGGAGTTTGTAGTGATGCAGTGTTGATTCACGTTATGATGAGTTTTCCTTGAGACTCGTAATGCTAGACATTATTTAGGGTTGACTGTGGACCTTCTTGGGTTCTCGACCTGACCCAATTGCTTAGTCTAGACTGATGATGACGATTAGAATAGCTAATATCATTTCTAGTCTGGACTGTGGCCTATCAGCTGATTTTATGGCTTCTTCGTTCCAGATGTCCTGATACCGTGATGACTTGTTCCTGTCGTGCCACTTATGTAGATATTTGTGTTTTCTCGCGTCGCTACATCCTCGTTGCTGACATTTTCCTAGTTCATATTGATACTTTGTACTATTACATCATCGGAATGTAAGGGTTCTTGTCTTGAAAGTGTCACGAAAGTAGGGTCTTCGGATCAGCTCGAGAGTGGTAGTTCAAGTCATCGCGGAGGACCGGAACATTTGAAAACTTATGTGAATGTTTGTTTTGGTTATTCGATGTATCAATTTTTACTGTCTCCGGAGATATTTCTCTCTCCGTCCAAGACTCGGACTCCATATTGTAGGTGGAGTAACTTGGGATGAAAGACTGGTTAGGTGGGTCGAATGTCAACTATCATCGTATGATATTCAGGTTTTATGACTATCGAGTCGGCCGAAGATCGGTAAACATGTGAAATTTTGTTATCCAGATGAATAGGATAGGAATATTGAACTTGAAGTTGAGATGGAAAAGAATGTTCAAGTTAAGTCTATAAGTTCACTATGAGGTACCGATCTAATTATCCATGTCTAGGGGATCTCCATTATTTACAGGGATGATCAATAACCCTGCAAACCCCGGTATTTCTAGCTGTGACTCTAATTGGACTAAGCACTTGAACGGAAATTAAAGAGGGCACTGATCTCCTTCAAAACCGTTTTGACAGTTTTGACGTGAGTACGGAGTCCCGGGATTTGACATCGGGGTATACTTGCATGATTTTCTAGAGGGAATGTCCATATCTAGTAAAGGGGTTGGAAATGATTACCGTCAAGTTATCGAATCATAAGAGATCGTCGTGAGGGGGAAATTGCTATTGAAATTGAAATTTTTTGACAATCTCTTTACTGTGGAGTCTCTGTAACTTGGAAGCGCACGGCCTCTCGGGTCCGTGACCGGAGCTTTGGAGGCGCACAGTATGATCAATGATCATCACTGACCTCCACATTTCGTGCTTCCCCGGATGCAAGTCGGCTAAGAGGTTGAATGGGTTCATGTATGGATTCATGAACCTTGAAGTATGGGTTGGAGTTTTTCTTGGAATATGGTACTTCTTGAAATTCGTACTTCGTACTCCGTACCTGGGTACTTTGCATAGATCACCACTTGGACACGGTTATGTGTTCCGTACTCCGCGTATCTCGGTTAAGCCTAGTCCGTGCAGGAATCCTGGGCAATTGTATACTATTCCCTAGGTTAGTGCCCAAATGTGCAGGTGGAGCATTGAAAGATAATAGCGTCATATGAGGGGTTTCTTCCAATCATCTAATCCATTGAATCAATGCCGTGTTAATTTTTTAGTTTAGTTGATGCATCATGGTGGTGATTGGATTATCTTCGAGTGGTTCAAGACGGGACAATTGGACACGCTGACTTCATCTTGCCCTAGAATTACCTAGGTACGCAGTCGCGTGTTCTCAATTTCTTTATCTTTCGCAGTCCCTTTAGTACATGGTATAGTACGTGGTATAGATATAAATTTGATCAGACCATAATCCTCCAGGGCTATCCGTCGGTGTCGAGCTGCCATGATAGATGTTAGAGGTATCAACACCACAGCATAGCATGCTCTTTCAAATTTTATTCCATGTTAGCTCCGGGTTGTAAATCTCGCGCAAATTATCACGAATGGGATCAAATCTCTTCGGAGATAATTGGAGGCCATGGTTAAATGGATTTCGGCTTATTAAATGAAATAAGGAAAATATCACCGTTGGTCTATTCACATTGACCCCGCAATCCTAGTCCAACATAGTACTGCATATGTATATTAACGAGTACCAGTGGGTCAGCAAAGCTTCCAATTTGAAGGAATGGACATCTGGAGGTCAATCGCAGTTGTTCAAATGTTGTGTGCTGGATACAGTTCATCCTGGGCCCAATTATTATATTTTAAATACACTGCCCTTCAAGTTGGAAGTGACCTCGGGACCTCGGAGCAAGGTGATCGAAGGCTGAGAAACGTAGCGAATTACTAAATTTCTCAGATACACGCCCAGGTACATGCATGAATGAAAGTCCGTACATCGTACTTTGTAGGTAGCCACTAAGACTGCAGACACCATGCCCGCCATCGAATCAAGCATGGGATCCGCCGCATTCTCAGCAGCCGAAGGCGCCACCAGTACCGTGATATCAGCCGCCCCTCCTCTCACGCCTCGGATTCCACCCGCGCTAGCTCCCGAGTGGGATTGAACAGCAGTACATGACCGGATTCAGGAGGCGCTAATGCAGGCGCAGGTGATTTTTAGGGATAAGCCAGTGATTGTGAGTGGTGGACTCCTCGTGGAGCTGAGAATCCATGGCGCAATACTTGAACTTGAACGGGTTGCCTTGCGTTGAGCAGCTGAAGGCTGAAGCCCATAATGAGATTTTAGAGCGATGTCGATCACGCGGGAAGAGTTGGCGGATCAGAAGTGGTTCAAGTTCCCGGGTGGAGACTCGGGAGAGAAAAATCCTATCATACGGAAACGTGAAAGAGGGGGGAGGATTGAGATAAGATAGAAATTGATTTAGATGAGAAATGAAATATTTAAATAAATAGAATAAAAATATTGCTAGGATGTACTAGTAGATTAATAGGTTAGACTTCGGGATAATACTACTAGATGCTCACATAATGTCCAAGGTAGGAACTAGTGCTGCATTTAAGTCTCTATTGTATGTTATTCCGTTCTCTAATTTTTTGAATCCGCAAGATAACGTCATGTGGGTTCAAGTTGATATAATAAGTGATAGTAATATCAATTAATACTTGTACCATAGGTATCCATATACCTCGCATTCAAGTTCTACTAATACTAGTATAGTGCCCCCGCTAAGATCCCACGAACCACGGGGCTGTTATCACATAGTCAATACCGGATTTAACCATAACCCCCGACAATACACTGACCAGGTGTATAATATTCAATTGAACTTGGATGAGATAATGTGCAGTATCAGCCTCATCTGTAATGCAACACGATCGAGTCTCAAATGCTATAGTACTTGAGTAGTTCTAAAACATTTTGTTTCACTGTTATGTACAGAGTATGTACCTGGGGAATTTGATAATCCACTCCGGGGAGGAACCATGGAACCGTATTATGGTAGAACATTTGAACCAGCTCGCTGGAAATTCCTTTAAGCACTAGGTAAGCTATCTCTGTACTATATATTCAATTGTTGTATTTTTATTGAGAACTTGAAATTCCATAGATTCTGCTAAAATTTGAAACTATCACTATTTTCTACATATCCTCAGAGTACTAATATTTCTATCTATAATATATCCATAGATATAATTCAGTGGCAATATTTATCAATATTTAATATGAAATACTCTGTATCTGGGTTGATCTGGCACGTGCGGTGCACGAAACGCCATGTCTCGCGTGTGGATTCAAGTGTGGATTTGACTGGGGAACTCCGTGCCTAGGGTTGCACTTGGACCTAAAATACGGTTCAAATGTTTTATATTATAAATACTGAGATTTCTACCTATGATAGCATTCAAAATGTTTGAAACTGCAAGTTGAATTAAACATTCAAACCTTCCAAGGTTCAAGTTGATAAAGATCATATTATTATGTACTTTCATGCATCATAAAACTGCCAGTGATTCCGATTTGCCAAGTTCAAAACTCCAATCAACGGGATTCAGGAAAATAGAATGGACTTTTGACAGCCCTGGAGTTAAAGCTAAATTCCCCTTAAATGGCGCGTTGAAGGAGGCCAATGCTCCAAATTTATTCCAAGGTTGGTTCCCTAAGTCATAAATAGGCATAAATCGTATGGACACAATCCCTAGTAGAATCAACTTGATAGAACATTAAAAAGAACAGAAATCAAGTAAATTGACCAATTGACTAATTTAAATAGAAATGATAGAAATGATCTAAAATAATTACTAGTAATTAAAATGTTGAAAATAAGCAAAATGTACAATGTAAAATGTAAATGCAAAGTGCAAAGTGCATCAAACCCCATGTAATCCATGTAATCTATATGGACTTCCCCCTTTTATCTCTCCCCCAAACCTTGAAAGCCCCTCTCCCCTAACCTTCTCTCTCCTTCTCATCCTCAGTCCTGGCACATTCCCTTTCGACGTGCCCTTCAACTGGACTTCCTTTTCTTTCTTTTTCGTTTTCTTTTCTGCTTCCTTTTTTTCTCATTTTTCCTTTTTTTTTTCCTCTCAAAAATCCCTCTTCCCTTCTTGTACATTTCCTATCCTCTCCCCCGACCACCTCCGACCACCTTTCGTTTCCTCAAAAACTCGCCTGGTTTCGAGTTCACTGCATTCTGTTCGCATTCAGCGTTTTTTCTCACCTCCTCTCGCTCATCCACCTCATCCCTTAATCGCTGTACACCTATACTCTTATTGTCCGTGGCTACTTAGAAATCAGGTATGGTGAAACCCCCCTGGCTGACGCGTTGCTCATCGATCCACCTTCCCCCAACATCACTGAGCACGAGAAAAAAAAAAGTCCTCCAACAACACCTACTATCTATTATCCCCTTATTCTCCCCATCGAGATCTTCATTCCCAATAGCGACGTGACGAGAAGATATCTCTCCGATACAAAAACATTCACCAAAAAAAAAACAAGTCTTCATTGACTCCTGAAATGGTTGACTAACAGCTCCTCTCCATTCATAGCACGTCGATTGATTCGTTAGTACTGGCCTGAAAAAGACTGGGAATTTCTCTTCACGTTGCTTTCCTTTTTGCTTGAAGCTCCGAGTTGCCTTGCCGAGATTCCGACCGTCACCGGCACCTCGTTGAGCGTTCACCTCAATCAACATCCTGGCGGAAAGTAACAATATGGCTGCGTTGGTTCAAACCATCCCGCAACAGAGTGGCACCGTTCCTGTGCTTCAAGCGCGCCCATCATCTTCCTCAGGCACTTTTGCCTCCCATAACTCGGCACAATATCAGAATATGTCCTGGACCTCCTTCAATGCCCCAAATTCGGCCAACTATCGCACAGGTCAACCGGTTGTGGCACCATACACCTTTCCTCCAAACCTGAATCAATCCTCCAATACGCAACAGCATCGACAGTCGTGGTCTCCTCATCTCCGGCCAGAACACCGAACTTTCTCTGCCCCCACCATTCAGGGGCCGGCCCAGATGGCCCAGTCCGCGCCTAATCCTCGACTTCCTCACACTGCAGCTGGTTCTGTATCAACCTCTTCTTCATCTAACTCTTCCTTTCGTTCCTATGTCTCCAAGGATGACAGTGCGCTCCCCTCGCGCAATCCCAGAGTGGATTCACCCCTCCGTCCTCTGTCCACTGCCAACCTTCCTCCTCTCTCTGTTATGACCATCTCTTCCCCGCGGGCTCCGTAAAACCTTCACCAAATCGGTACCGTCGTCCAAATCAACGCTCTCAATCTCCTGGCTCGAATCCTACCCCGGCATCTGCCGTTGCATCCACATCCACATCCACTCCGTCTGCACCAGTGACCGTGGAGCAGGCCAATGTAGCTCAGACTCCTCGACCTATTCTACGGTCAAAGGGTCATAACCGTTATTCGAGTGTCGACGATTCGTCTCATGGGGAAAGACCTCAAGAAGCCGCCAAACGCTACCGTCGGAGAAGTATGGGGAACATGGATCCCGCGTCATATCCCAATTTCCAGCTCCAGCTACCCACACTGTCAACGCCGCAGCCTTCTCAATCTGATCCTTACGACTTTATCGCTTTCGATACCAAGGAAGCGCCCCAGTCGGCTCATTCTCACCGCGAAAGCTCCGGAAGCGTTCAGTCAACACATTCATCAGCTCCTTCGGTAGGTTACTCATATCCCAAGCTCTCACATTCCTTTCCTGGAAGATAAAAGAGGGTAAATCGCTAACTTGACTGTTTTTATTCAGGCCGGGGATGGCAATTCCACCGAAGTCAGCTCTGCTGTAAAACCCGAAGAAAAGCGAACGAGCAAGTCATCTCCTCTGTCCCAACCCGCCTCGACAGCGCCTGAGTCTCCAAAGACCGAAGCTAAGGCTCCAACTGAAACCAAAAGTCCGGCCGCGGCAGATTCTCCTGCCGCCAGACGTCTGGCGGAGCTCAAGAATGATACGAAGCGTCCTGGAAAGTCCCGTCTTCGCCGCGCTTTCTCCTTTGGTAGCGCATCAGAGCTGCTAAAAGCAAGCTCTCAGAGCAAACGAGAGGCCATTGCTACGGAAAAGGCGCGCCGAGAAGCTTTGCGAGAGGAGTTGGGCGAGGAACAAGCGGCCATTGCAGAATTACAAGAAGCTAGTGGATTGGGTGAAAGCATCTATACCCATCAAGGTGGTTTGTTCTCCGGATCAACTGATGCGCTCTCCATTTCCTCTACCGCTTCATCGGCCTCGATGATGCTTCGTAAAATGGGCAAAGGAATGAAGAAGTCTACTCGGTCCTTAGTCGGTCTTTTCCGCCCTAAGTCCGTCGCGAGCATCAATTCTGTTGAGGGAGCTGCGATTGAGCCGTTAGCCCCGCCTCAAATTTCAGTCGTCAACGTGGAAGCTGATCGTGAGAGTGTTGCTGTTAACCCTGATCCGATGGATATGCCCCGTGGTGGTACGGTTTTCCCGAAGGTAGAGGCACCTGGCTCTGAAGTGCGTCGATCCAATTCCCTTCGGGAAAAGGAGCGAGTGGCCTCGGATTCCTCCCAGTCGCGTAAGAGCATTGTCGGGGGAGACCGAGAGCGAGCCGAAGTCTTAGCTGCAGTCCGGAAGGGAATTCTTAAGAAGACTCATTCCGACTACGGTGTCTCTTCGCCCGCTCATGCGCTGAATGGCAGCGACTCGCCACATTCCAGTGCTCCAGCTACACCTGACGAGTCAGCTCGATCTAGCCCCCGTCCAACCGAGCAGGTAACTATCGCTGGTGACGATTATTTCCTTTCTGGCGGCGGACGATACGCAGCTGGCGATACGAAGAGCGCGCCTATCACCCCTTCATCGGTTGGTGGTCGGAATATCGTTTTTAGCCCTCGCATCCAATTCCACGAGACCTGGCCTAGTGGAGAGTACGATCGTCGTGGCGACATTGCGACTTGCAATCGCTTGACTCCTCTCCTGGCCCAGCAAATCCGGGAGGAGATCAACAACTTCAAAATGGTATGCTTTTTCTTCCTCTCTTCATGACTGACTAAATGTACATGAGCTAACAGTATCTATAGGAGATGGAGGTTCATGAAAACTCCAAAATTTACACACATTTCATCTAAGATTGGTCAAGAATCTGTGCATGGCTTACCTCTCAAGCCTGGGTCTTTTGTTTTCAAGCCCTGCGTCCTTGTCCATAGATATGCATACACTTCGGCGATATGGGGTTGTTTTTTTTCAAATTTTCCGTCTTATTTCCTGTTATGCGCCGAGTCTCGCCAAATTCCAGGATTAAACCATCCTGGTCTTCCACGGTAATTCCATTCGGTGCCTACTGTCGTTCTGATAATTCTTTTTCCTCTTCCATCCGTCTGTCCTCGATTTTGAAGGACATATGTTTATCAAAACGGTGCGGCTCATTTCGAATCGTGCTGATTCCCTCGTGCCATCGCCAAGCCTACTTCCCATAAGTAGACTTTGAGCGTTGATCTAATGATTGTACTGCGCCCTTACACGAGTGGGCGCGGCGGTCCGTACTGGACGATTTCTTTCTCATATTCTGTCATTTCCGCGTGCATTCGAATCATTGTCATCGAGTATTGGGAGCGTGGGCACTACTGGGCTGTTCTTTCATTTTGTTTTCTAGCACATCATTTTTTCCGTGGTCATGTCCGGGCCCTTTCTTCTCATCTCATTATCATTCAGCTCGTTCCAATCCAATTCGAGCTCCTCTCTGCATTCCGCCCCCTTGGCATCTCATTTCTGCTCTCTTGATCTCTGCAGTTCCACCTGTTTTTGTGGGTAATTATCTGTTTGGGTGGGTATTATGCATTTGTGCAAGCCTGTATTTTGTTCTAAATGGAATTATCCGTGCATTTATCGACTGCCTGAGTAATATTCCATGGATGTAGAGTTCGCCATCTCAAGTGCTGCCAGCTGGCACATGTGGTTGCGGGCTATGTATGCACTGGCATGTGAGCTTTAGGGCTGGAAGTTCAAGTTCCAACAAATGTTGATAAATATACATAAAGTCAACTGGTCCAGCCTAGGCCTTGATAGATTAATAGGTTTACTATTTGAATAGGGAGATACAAGTAGTTTAACTCAAACTCAAATATTCAATTTGAATACTCTCAACTTGAAGAGCCCATTGTAAATTCAAGCTCACGCGCAATTCTCAATATTAATATCAATTACTGCCACTAGGAGGTACTAGTAAGGGACAGCTGGTTAATACTAGTATATGTAGCCCACGAGTGACTTCCAAGAGTGACTTGTTTCTGCCAGTGACGAGATTATTTCCCTGCAGGTTTAGTGGAAGATCATGGTGTACACTGCCAACTCTGCTCTTTAGAGTCATTTGGTATCCTTGGAAGTTGAGTATGCATATGGGAAATGTGAGAGAATACTGTAGGATCGGTGAGTAAAGGACCAGGGTGAGATAGGATCTTATGTATCAGTTGTGTAAGTAGAGGGATTCATCACAGGTCACGCCTGGGCACATCGTAACGGCATCAGTACACATCACTACTCTAGTTGCCTCGATCGAGTCTGCTCTCCCACTGGCACCAGTCTTCATGAGAGGGTAATCGCTTTTCATCAGAACTCCTTTGGCCATGCCAACCGCAATTGTATGGAAAATAACAAATCAAAAGAAAATAACAAGAAGATATGAGGATAAATTATTGCCTCAGTGCATCCTTTAAGCGCTGACACCGGGGAAGCAATCAGCGAGACCCTTGTTGTGCTTGTTGGAGGCGTGCTCAAGGAGACTGGTGTAGAAATAAATATTAGTAGATGTCCAATGATATCAAGGCACTAAAGGCAAGGAGATAGGGAATATATAACATACGCAGGGGCCTTGGTAGTCTGAAGGAAGGTCTGCTTGCAGGTTTGGCACTGAATGTTCATGGCTTTCTCGTTCTGTATCCAGTATTAGTGTCATCGAGGTCTGCTTATGAATCATCACTCAAGTACTCGAGTACTTAAGTACCTAGGCATCTAGGCGATATCCTGCTGACTATTGGGAATAACATACGGTCTTGTTTTGCGAGGTAGGTCCAGTCTTAGCGTTTTTGGCGTTGCGCTCACGCTTCATGTTGGCCTTGGCACCCTGTAGAGGATCATCAGTTTACCGCACATGAAAAAGTGGAGCGCAGGAGAGGACCTTGTCTCCGCTGCACCCCTAGATTTGTAGGATGTGGGGGAATATCCATACGTTACCCATTTTGGCGATAGATGATAAAGAATGTGGGAAATTGAAAGAGTGTAATGAAGTGGATATAGATGGGATTCGAGGTCAAAGAGAGAGAGTGTGTGTGTACGGAGTAGGGGAGAGTAAGAGGGGCAAAAAAGAAAAAAAAATTACTTATCGTACGCTAATTCCTTATCGGGAATGTTCGATCATCAAATCATATGCCTACATGGTCCAGAGTTACTTCTCAATAGATTCCCCCCTCCATCATTGATCTTCGTTCGTTTTTCATTTTTTTTTCTAATCTGAAAGACTTCGCTCATATGCTCTTTTATACCTTAACCCATTCGTGGGAACCAGGATAACAGAATGTCTGCCAAAGCTCGAGAACAGCTCCCGTTTGGTAGCTTTGGTACATCCAGGGAACGGGAGTTTTTTAGGTAAAAAACCCGTGGAGAGTTGAAGGAGCTCATTTTCAATGGGTCAAATTATAGCTAACAGGCTATTATAGATACTTGCCTTCTTATCATTTACAAACCCGTTCCCTTCCTCATATCGATCGAGAATCGCAGCAAACACCCTCTCTGATTCGCCCTTCCTTAGACTCGTCCCTGACTTCCTTTGCCCAGTTGGGTACTTTGCGCTTAAATGCCAAACGAACATTGATTTCGTTATTTGGTCGAAGCGCCCAGTTTGTTCTCGCTGAGGCTACCCGGGATGTGAGCCTTCATGATGATGGTAGCGACAAGGCTCACCAGGGCTTGTGGATTGGATGTTGTACAATGTCATACGAGCGTAGTCTCTGTAAAACCATCATGGCACACTCACAGACTACGGGGGATATCCCCGCACCATTGGTTGTCTCAGACTTGTCACAAGTCGAAGATTTCAAGGATCATCCAGATGTACAGAATAAGCCCCATCTACGGTTCATGGCTTGTAGTCCCATCGTCAGCCCCAAAGGAATTGTGATTGGGGCCTATACAGTCTTGGATGACAAGCCCCATGGTCCTTTGGATGCCGATATGAGGACTTTCTTAATCGATATTGCCAATACGGTCATGGATCATTTGGATGCAACCAGGTCTCGACGCGAATACCTTCGAGGGGAACGGATGATGGTTGGCCTGGGAAGCTTTCTGCAGGGTAAAGGGTCTCTCCGCACCTCATGGATCCATGAACACGAGAGTATTCTGACCCCGTTAACGCCGGGCGAGGACCTTGAGACTGAGGGTCATGTCAACCAAGAACAGCAGAATAAACAAATATCTGAACAAGCTCCTTTGACTAAGGTGACCTTTAATGAGAATAACACCGTACAATTCTCCTCACAGAATTTTAACACGGTCCGTTCTCACAAGTCTTCGGCATCGATGTCGGCATCAACACCAGAAACACAGAAACAATCACTGGCCACTTCAAATATTGACTCGCGTGATTATTTCCAGCCTCGTTCTCGTTATAGACGTGCTTCTCATACTACCACGGGGCCTCGACTCCAGGACTTTCAAAAGATGTCGTCGAAAGACATCTACAACGTTAATGTGAAGGAGACTTTCTCTCGTGCCGCCAATATTGTTCGCGAGAGTATCGAGGTCGAGGCTGTGGTCTTTTTCGATGCTGAATTCCGCTCCCCGGAGGCGCTGGTGAAAAATTCCAGATCAGATTCCGATAGTGGAAGTAGCTTGGAGCCTGCTTCATCCAGCGAGGAAGAAGCAAAGCTTCGAGTCAACCAGACACAGTCAAGGATTTCTAGTGAGGCGCAGCCGGAACTTTGTGGCCGATCTAGTGTGCACCCGTGTGACATGCTTGGATTTGCGACATCACATGTCGCTAGCGTTAATGAGGAGTCTCTAGCTGATCACAGAGTTTCCATCTCGGAGAACTTTCTTGGCCAACTTTTACGTCGATACCCACGAGGTCAAATCTTTAGCTTCGGCGAAGATGGAACTGTTTCATCGGATGACACACGTGATGGCATGCCTCATCGCAGTGGGGTGAAGAAATTCAAGAAAACGAGGAAGGGTCTACTACGCCAGGATGCCGTGACGCTTCTACAGCTCGCTCCTCATGCTCGAAGTATCATTTTCTCTCCATTGTGGGACTCGCACAAAGAGAGATGGCACTCAGCTTGTTTCGCCTGGACAAAAGCACCTCACCGTGTCCTTACATCAAACGATGAACTGGCATTCCTCTTTGCATGCGGGCACAGTATCATGGCGGAAATCCATCGACTCGCTGCTCTGTTGACTGAGCGGGCTAAATCGGACTTACTGGCAGGAATTAGCCACGAGCTCCGATCCCCGCTACATGGCATTTTCGGCACCGTTGATATACTCAATGATACCGTTATGAATGTTCTCCAGCAAGGGTTCTTGCACACGATCTCGTCTTGTGCTTTTACCTTACTTGGCTCTATAGATCAGCTTCTTGAGTATGCCAGTATCAACGATGTTCGTAACAATTCTGTCAAGGCTGCAGAACCCCGCGAAATCTCTGTGATCAAGGCCGAGCCAAATCCCCAACCAGAGAAATCAGAAAAGGACTCCGTTGTGCAACTGGACGCGGCGGTGGAAGATGCCATTGAAACGGTCTTCGCTGGATATTCTTTCCTGAAGACTAAGAACACGCTACTTCGGAACTCCATATCGCCGCTTGGTAATCCATTCGACTTTGAGGCTGGAGTCAAGGTCATTCTTGATATCGATCGATCTGAAAACCTGAAGTTTGCGACTCGTCCCGGAGCATGGCATGTGATTCTTACCAATTTCTTTGGGAATGCCTTGAAGTTCACAGATGATGGGTTTATCTATGTCTCTCTCAAGGCGAATCCTGTGAAATTTGATTCTCGGGGCCGAGCTCTACAGTCAAAAGTCGCGTTGTGCATCAAAGATACTGGGTGTGGCATGGAAGAAGACTTTCTTAAGAAGGAGCTTTTCACTGCATTTTCGAAGGAAGATAAGATGTCGATCGGAAACGGTCTGGGGATCCACATTGTCAATCGAATAGTATCATCTCTCGGTGGCGAGATTCAGATCAGCTCCCAGAAGGGCGTTGGAACTGAAGTTGTGACCACTGTGACCCTTGACCATGTTGTTGAAGAAACCTCTCCTCCAGAAATTCCCAACGGTATTGAGCTTCTCTCGTCTCCTAAGGAGCTTACGAGGGGCAAAACAATTGGGATACTACTCCATACATCTTCCGATGGAGATGCGGCGCTACTTTCCTCCATTCACCGGTTATGTGAAAACTGGTTCCAGATGAAGGTGGAATTAGTGGAGCCATCTGACCTGCACTTGGGGCAATGCGACTTTTATATCTCGCTCCATGAATCCCTGGCTATAGGGAATCGTGGGATCATGCCAATCCGCCATCGATTTGGCGATCGCCCCAAGCCGCCTGTGATTGTCATCTGCTCGTCTCCGAAAATTGCACACACACTGGCCTCTCACAACCGAAAAGACGCAGGCGTTTTTGAATTTATCAGTCAGCCATGTGGGCCGTACAAATTGGCGAAATCCTTGGAAATTTGCGTGCAACGTGAACGCCTAGGTAATGGGCTTTTGCGTAGTAATCAACCTTCAAGTTCTCCAAGTCCAATTCCAAACCCAATTGTCGTGGACCCAATGCTTCAGAAGAAGATGATATTGCCGGATAGAACAAATCAATCGCCCGCTCCGGTGAAAACCCCATTTCAGGTTACCGCTGCTGCGCATCTGACCCCACCTGCATTTCTCGTGACTCCGGGATGGGAGCAGAATGTCCCTGCGGGGGATTATTTGACGGTTCAACCTCATTCCTCGCTTCCATCTAATACGATTCTTTTGGTCGATGACAACGAGATCAATCTCAAGATCCTGGTCGCGTACATGACCAAGTCGGGCTACAGCTATGCTGCTGCGAAGAATGGGCAAGAGGCCCTTGATATATTCAAGCAAAATGCCAATAATATTGAAATTATTCTTATGGGTATGTCATACTAAAAATTATCTAAGAGTTCTGTTTCCTCTCTGATTTTTATGATAGCTAACGTATTATCTAGATGTTTCAATGCCTGTCATGGACGGCATCGAAGCTACCCGACGAATCCGGGAGTTTGAGAAGACGCTCAGTAATAAGACACGGACAATGATCATTGCTTTGACTGGTGTGGCACAAGCTGAAACTGAACGAGCTGCCATTGGATCTGGGATGGATACATTCTTGACGAAACCTGCACGACTGGATAGTTTACTTCCTCTCATCAAGCAAAGACTGCCATCGACGTAATCAGCAGATGGCAATCTGCTATATTTGATATTTTGTTGATTAGACATGTTTATACCTCTATAAGTTTGAATAAACGATTTTCAAATACTACTACTGTTCAAATGTTCAACACTGCATGACATCTACATTCTTGTCATTCCAGGGTCTTCCCTCCAATTTCAGGTACTTCAATGTTGGAATACAAAGTTTACCCCCCACGCTAATTCCACATGTGAGTGACGTTAAATCCCCCACACGGATGATCTTTCCCCTTTCACTCTCTTCATCATCATTTGGGCACTTCCAAGGTTGAACCGAGGGATCCATTCTCGGGATTCAACTGGACCCTGATCCACCCCCGCAAGAACTCCGAGTCTACTATGTAAAACTGTGCAAAACTAGCGGAGACGGCAAACTTGAACACAAGAAAACGCCGTCGGGATCCATCCCTTGTTCCCCGATTATTTCACACCGTATTGGATTATTGGAGACTTTTCTTCTATTCTAGTGGGGGTATTAGACATTCTCGCTATACTCCCGAGCACTAACTACTTGCGGGGGTTACAGTCGGACCCTCTTCCCCATGTTACACCCCGGACTTGTTCCTCTGGAGTTTAGCTTGGCATTCATTAACGGGTTATCCCAGAAATTATCTGATAGACACTGAAATCTTCTTTGATAATCTTGATTTAATTTTCTTCGTATCTTTCGTCTCTCTTTCTCTTTCTTCTCTCCTCTTCACCCCTTGCGTGCCTCGCTATCTTTCTATCCTTCTCGGAGATTTCCCCAGTCTTTCGAAGATCATCATTGTTTCTCATCATACCGCACATCCTTCTCTCCAAGACTGGATAAACTCGAAATGGATCCCACAAATCCAGAGGATCCGGGCATCAACAAAGCAAATGTGGACAATGTTGAGGTTGTCGCCAATGCGGACAGACCAAACCCAAGGAAAGAGGCCCCGGCCTATGTTGCTGGCTTGAGTCCTGAAGAGCGAATCAAGGCCGAGAAGGCTCTCGTGCGCAAGATCGACATTCGTCTACTCCCCATGATCATCATCATGTACATTCTCAACTACCTGGACAGAAACAACATCGTTAGTTCGGCATTAGGACTACTTGGTTTGGATTACTCTTACCTATGTTTAGGCTTCTGCTCGTCTGGCTGGACTCGAATCGGATCTTGGTCTCGTGGGGAACCAGTTTGCAGTATGTTTTGCTATTGATCATTGTTGTGTCTAATAAACTCATACCCGGTGACAGACCTGCGTCAGTATTCTGTTTGTCGGTTATCTGCTAATGCAGAGTGAGTGATACCTGAAATTGGATCAATATTCATCAAGCTGACGATGTCCAGTTCCTTCTAACTTGCTACTCAACAAATTCGGAAAACCTGCCATTTATCTACCTGTGGCCATGATATGTTGGGGAATCATTTCGACATGTACCGCCGCTGCTCAGAATTTCGCTGGTCTGGTTGTTATTCGATTCTTCTTGGGTTTTATCGAGGCCGCATACTTTGTATGTTCTAACGAAATTTAAATTGAAAGGAAGAGAGATATTGACCTTTTCTTATAGCCCGGATGTCTTTACTTCCTGAGTGCATGGTATACGCGCAAGGAACTTGGGTTTCGCACCGCTGCTCTCTACTCGGGCTCCCTGCTCTCGGGTGCCTTTTCTGGTCTCATTGCTGCGGGTATTCTGAACGGCATGGAAGGTGCTAAAGGCCTTCGAGCTTGGTAAGCTATCGTGTACATCCATGGGTGCAAATAAGTAAAATGCTGACACGTTCAGGCGCTGGCTTTTCATCATCGAGGGCGCTGTCACTATTGCCGTCGCTTTTATCTCCATGTGGGTCTTGCCTAACTTCCCTCGAACCACACCTTGGCTCTCTGAGGAGGAAAAGCAGCTGGCTGCATGGCGTTTGGAGGAAGATATTGGTGAAGATGATTGGGTCGACAGTGAGCAGCAGTCGTTCTTGCACGGCGCTAAGCTTGCAGTGACCGATATCAAAACCTGGGTTTTGGTATGTCCTGAATTATACAAAGCACGACAGAGGAGTTGCTAATGAACTAAATGACAGACCTTCCTCATTCTCGGCATTGTTTCCTCCGCGTCTGTCACCAACTTCTTTCCAACGGTTGTCAAAACTCTGCACTACAGCAATATCACAACCTTGCTTCTCACCGCGCCACCATACTGCTTAGCCGTGATCTGTGCCTTCGCTAACGCCTGGCATGCGGATCGTACTGGCGAACGCTACTTCCATATTACACTTCCTCTTTACATCTCTGTCGCAGCATTCATCATTGCAGCCTCTACAACAGGTACCGCTCCTCGCTATGTATCCATGATGCTCATGGTCCCATCCTTCTATTCTGGATACGTTGTTGCTCTGGGATGGATCTCAAATACCCTTCCACGTCCAGCATCCAAGCGCGCTGCTGCTCTCGCAATGATCAATGCGATCAGTAATGCGAGTAGCATTTATGCTAGCTACATGTATCCGAATAGTGATGCACCGCGTTTTGGTATGCTAACCATACTTTCAAGCTGTGGTTTTTTATACTAATTGATTTTTCTAGTCCCGGCTATGGCTGTCAATTGTGGTACTGCTTTCATGGCGATTGTGGCGGCGACCATTCTTCGTTTCATTCTGGTTCGTCTTAATAAGAAGCTGGATCGGGGTGATGAAGTTGAAGGAGCTGTTCCTAGTCAGGCTGGAAGCCGTGGGTTCCGATACTTGGTTTGATTGCGTTCTAAAATACTCCATCTCATCTTTGCAGACGTGTATCTAGGCTTCATCACATACAGCCCTGGATTATTGATTCTAAATGGAGATGGAAGTTGAGACTTCATGGCTGATATGATAAAAGGCATTGACCTTATTGAATTCATCACTCTTATTTTCTCAATAAGTAGCTTGTTTAACTCCTGAACTTCCAACTCTAAAAAGTGGAAGATCAAGCATACTGGAGGCGCTCCTTTGTCCAAACTGGCCTCAGACTCGCGTCATTAATCTCACTCACATCCAACGAGCTTGTAGCCACGTAGTTCACCTGCCAATCAACCGAGATACCAGCACCCTCCTCCGACTGTGCCCAAACAGCAACAGCGATCGTATTCTCACCATTGTAGTTCAGAATACCCAAGGGCACAGGGAACTCAACCTGGTTTCCAATATAAGGATTAAACCGTCCATACTGGTATCCGTTCACGAAAAGCTGTGTACGGTATGTAAGCGGTGATCCGGATGGAGCTCCCAGAACAAATGAAATAGAGACATCATGCTCAGATGGAAGATCCAACGAGACAGTTGTACGGAAAAATCGAACAGTAGCGCCTTCAAAGCTGAGATCCGAATCTTTAACACTCGTCCAGGAGGATGCGTCGAATCCGGGTAAATGCCATCCAACTCGTTCACCGTATAATCCATCTTCGTTGTAGGTTCCACGAACGGGATCGAGGTTGGATTCGCCACCGGCTGTACCTGCGAGGCGCCAGTGAGTGAATCCGGATGATGATCCCTCGAGGTTCACGTCGAGGATTCCACGCGGATTCAGTGCGCCGGTTGTCTCGTCGTGTCCGGTGTCATCGTGGACGACCAGGAGAACGTTGGGTGTATCGCTGTTCACGGTTACATTGCTGAAGGAGAGTGTGAGGTTGTATTGCTCTGAAACATCGTCGCCGAAGAAGGAGCCGAGGAGCTCGCCGTTTAGCCAGGCTGACCATCCGCTGTTATAATGGGTTAGATAATGTATTTGAATCATAGAATTGAGGAACTTACAATGCTGTTCCTCCTTGAACGTTGAGGCTCACGGCTGTGGCAGAGCCGTTGAAGTATCCACGCCAGAGACGGATACCGTTGTGGAAACCTGTTATAAGCGAGTTAGCTTTGGAATAATAAATGATTTTCTGAGATAATAGACTGACCATATTCATCGGCATACAGAACTGGCAGAGATGTAGGGGTGCGAGGGTTCAGAGTTGTCATATGATCCGCAGCTAGGTGAAATTAGCTACTCATTCACATATAGCTTTTTGTTTCTTGATACTTACCAACCCATGCGGCACCAGAGTCGTCATAAGAAGCGAATCGCTCGGGTAAGCTGTCCTTATACTTCCATGAGGTGAGTGCCGGCAATTTGATAGCTTGAGGAGCGGAGACAGAGCCCTTAAGACTACCGTATGCAGTTCGGGTAGTCTTAAGACTCTTGCCATTCCATGTCACGGAATTGACCTTCTCCTCGGCAAAGATTTCGATGATAGTAGTAGTGTTGACGATATCTCCGGTCACTGCAAGCTTTGATCCGGATTGACTGGCGCTACGGACGAGGTAGGGTCCTGAGACCAGGACTGTATCTTTGTTAGCAGCGTACCTTTCAAATAAAGGGATTTTAAACTTACCACTCTCGGTCTCAGGGACAAATGGATCAGTGGTCAGAGCAGGGGCCCAGAAAGTGTAGGCATAGGTTCGATCAAGAAGGACCACGCGGATGCTGTCGATTTCCAAAACGCTTATCCCGTAGGATTGTGTGAAAGTCGCAGTCAATCCTCCGTTCTCCTTGACAAACTTCACATTTGAACATCCAGAGCATGACTTGATTGATCCCGTCTTTGCACCCTTCACATTGAACTCTCCTGACTCCCCAGTAGGAACCCAGAGCACTAGAGTGGGGACATTATCAAAGACTGCGTATGTCAGAACCTCGGCGGTAGAGTAGAGCAGCTTCTCAGATCCGAATGTAAAGTCTGTGACAATGATCTTGGACTGGTGTCCATTCAGACGAATCACGCTTCCATGCTGGGGAATAGTCAAGCTACCAACAGAGGTGTCAACCTTCAGGTGGAAAGCCTCGTTTGTGGAAGTCGATGTGTTGGTATGGAAAGTAGCATAGAATCCGGCATTGGTATCGGGGTTTCGCAGCTCATACGCGCGCACATCCGAGTTATCAGTATACTGAGTTCCATTACCAATGAGATCAGTCTTGGTCAAATCCTTTGCGGTACGTGTGAACAAAGCCAGCAGCTTTGTCTCATAGTACTTTTGATCCAATAGAACGATCCTCAGAAATAGGCGCAGAGTAATCATAGCTGGTTGCTGTGACTGGGGTAGCAATACCTCCCCAGTTGGTTCCACCGAAAATCATGTAAAGACTCATAGCTGTGACGCGCTGGCCGATATTCCAACGATAGAATAAATTGGCAAAGTCGGCTCCCGTATCCTCGGGACAACCGCCTTCCGGTCCGCCCCAGGGGTTGTATGAACCTCCTTGGAATTCGGGCATGAATCCGGGTAGAGTGGGCTGGTAGTCTGTGAAATAATCGATGTAGTCAACTACCTGATATGCCACGTAGGCTCCATTGGTTGAGTCACATTGACTGATATCACAAGTCCAGCACTAGATTCAATGTTGTTAGTTCATCCGATCAGTTTAATACGCAGAGTTGACTTACGGATGGGTAGGAGTCAACTCCAGCAATATCAACATTTCCTTCTCCATTTATGTAATCAGTTCCCCAGGACCAAGAATTCATATTTGGGTCATTGGCTGTCAAGGGGACTGTGATGCCACTGTCCCGGGCATTCGCTTCCAGAAGTTCCATATACGCGATAGCCGTATTGTTAGGAGTCTTCTCCGAAACATCAGTCCACTGATCGCCATATTCATTCTCAATCTGGTATCCAATTGTATTGTGTCCATTGGTTACCTGATACTTGCTGGTGATCTTGGCCATCTCAGTCATGTAAGGTGTCCAGGCCTTGGTGTACCGGGTGTCATTGTTTCGCAGACTTCCATAATCTCCCGTCGTCAACCAAAGTGGAAATCCACCAGCAGTGGTTTCAGCATTGATATAAGGTCCTGGACGAACGAGGATATAGAGACCAATTTCCTCGGCGAGCTCATAGATTGGTGTAATGTCGTGGGCGCCCGTGGAGAAATCCAAAGTCTCATTGTTTGGTGCGTGGTATGCCCAGTTAGAGTAGAATGAGAACGCAGTGAAACCCGCGGCTTTGATCTTCTCCAGAATATCTCTCCAGAGACCTGGAACTGGAATTCGCCAGTAGTGGAATTCACCTGAGAAGACAAAAATTCGCTGGTTCTCTATCTGGAAGCTGTAATGGTCCCACTCCACAACTTTGTTAAGCCCATCATTATGAAGTGGCCATTGAGTCGTCGAATCTTCAGTACTACTAGAGCTAGTAGCAATTGAAGGGAGACTCAAAGCTAACAGAGTGATTCCAGAGAGAACTTTACTCAGAGGAGCCATTTTGAAGCGAATGAGACCGTCGCTGCAGGACGGAATGGCGTGTTCTGGAGATAATAGCCATGTTGAAATAGCTCAATTTATAGCGTTGCATCTTGCATATGAACTCGGACCGCATTTCTTGATCGGTCTCGGGTCAGAATTCCACTTTGTCGGGGTTGTTGCAAATGTGGAGATGGCTATACTCTTGTTTAGCCTAGTTGGAAGTATTGCTAATTTGCAAGTAGTTAAGCGAAGCTCCACATCTTGTCTTCCCCCGCATGGCGCCGGACTCCCGCAATGACATTTTTCCTCCATTCAGCAAGGGTCCTGGGGTATTTTGTGGGGACTTTGGAGTGTTCAATATGCGTATGAAGTGCTCATATTGCCACTTAGGCAAATCAATTTACTCGCAAATTACTTGTGGCTGGAGCTATACCTTGTGAACTGGACTCATTACCAGGAATTCAATGTTGATATTGAGAGTAGATTTATTTTTATGAATACCTAAATACATTAATATTAATTAATATCACGCCATCTACTATAATGCAAAGCATAAAGTCATCAATCCACCGCTTTATCACCGAATTGGGATCTCGCTTGATCGGAGCTCGTATAATGATAGAGCTAAGAACAGCCTCATTTCTCATTTCCCCCATGTTTCAAATTCAGATTCACTCTTCCTCGAAAATGGCAAATTTACTCAGAGCCCGAAGTCTAGCTCCGTAGAAGTAAAGTAGCCAGATTCCAACAATACCAATCACACTCAATCCACCTAGGAGACTGACTCCCTTAGCCACGCCTAGGTTTCCGAAAAGAGGGTGTGCGAAAAGTACACTTCCGCAAGCCAATGCACTTCGGAAAAAGTCGTTCGCTGCGAATAAACTGGCCGCGTATTTGGGATACGATAATGGGATGTAAACGAAGATACATTGCATCACAACGAATACAGTGGCACCGTAAATTGTTATGCCGATTGTTGGGGCGATCCAGTGGATTGAGGCTCGTGCTGTCCAGGCGAATAGGAATAGTCCGATCGTAGGTCCAAATGAGGATGGGAGTGCTGGGAGTAGACGGGACTCTTGAACGGGCCAGCCATATTTGTCGATGCGAGGATTCATCCAGAAATAGAGGTAGGCGGAGTAGCTAGCGATACCGATGATGCAGGATACAAGGATGCAGAGAAAGACTAAACCGGTTTGACCGGTGCTCATGCCGTAGTCAATGGGGTATACCAAGGGGAAGACCTCGAAGAAGGAGTAGTAGATTCCGTAGATGATTGCTGTGTAGATCTGGACGAAGAGCACGGCGGGATCCTTGATTGTGATTTCCATGGGCTTGATCAGAGCGTCCACGGCGATGGCACCCATTTTCATGTGTTGTTGATCGAGTTCGGATTGAGACATGAAGCGCTTTTCATTGTAAATCTTTCGAAGGCGCTGAGCGCGACGTAGCAGGATCGTTGGAGTACTGGTCTCGGGGAGGAAGAGGAGCATCAAGATGAAGACTGGGGCAGAGGCCCAGATGGATTCATAGAGAGACCAGCGCCAGCCTTCGACTGGAACGGCGAATCCACTAAGCAGGGGACCAAGAGCGGCTGGAGGCTTTGTTAGTTACAAGAACAACTTCAATGATCATGTAGGGGATGGCTTACGTCCACAGTATGCAGCCGCAACCCATGCCATCATAGCATAAGGCAGAGAATGCAGACTATACATATCACCGATGGAAGCTCCACCAGAGGCAAGGCAGGGTGAGCCAAAGAATCCTTGAAGGAATCGCAGCACCATCAGACCAGGGAAGTTGCCCACCAACGCGGTCGGAATGGAGATAATCACAAAAAGAAACATGGTGATGATGTAGACAGGGTTTCGTCCGATGATGGGAATCTCACTCAATGGCGAGAAGATCAAGGGACCAGTACCATATCCAAGAACATACAAGGAGAGGCCCAAGGTAACGACGACCTCGCCAACTCCAAATCGTTCCATAATTCCCTGCTCTGAGGATGTATAGATGGCGGAGGTTGTGTAGACGACGAATGTATAAAGACAGATGATGGTAGCAATAAGCGCGCGCTTGAGATTCGACCAGTTATGGGGATTCTCTGCATCGTCGGTATAGTACCAATCAACAAGAATATGTCCATCTCTTGTCTTCTTCGGCGTAATTGGTGTTGACTGGGTTTTCTCGAGATTTTCAAGTCCGTGATTCGCTTCAAGTTCGTCCTCGTTCAGCGTTAATGAATGACTGCTAGCATCGCTTGCCCGACCGCTAGAAGTTGGGTCAGATGATCGCTCCTCTTCTCTCTCGGCGCTAGTATTCTTCTTGTGATTCTTCGGACTGTCGAGCTCTTGCATAATCTGTACCCATGTTTTGGGGAAGCTCGAAGCCAGGCTTCTCTTCAGGGTATTGGAAGTATTTGTTTTTGGTAAAGTACCGAATTAACTGGCCGATTGGGGCCTCTCGAATGACAGCCTCCATTGGAGTTTACCACTGTGAGTAGTATTCAGATGTTGATAGTCGGATCGAATAATCGATATATGTGATCGGGTTCTTCCGAGTGTGATGAGATGGAAGATAAGATACAAAAAGTGATCAAATCAGACCAAAATGATATGAATGGATTGAATGATGGGATACATAGAATCTGATATGGAAGAAAATACATAGCTATTTATCAATGCATGCCCATGTCTGCAACTACAACTTGACCCGTAAGTACTGCTATCTCCATAGTACGGGATTAGGAATTAAGGCCAGCATCATTTGTAAGGGTTTATGAGGAACCAATGAATGATGATGAACGTAATCCATGTTATAAATCAATAAATGACTCGAATGAACTTTTTTGAACTTTTTTGAACTTTTTCTTTCTTAAAACGGTCGTGTTCTACTCAACATTAAATGTATCGAGCACGTCAAGATCCACTATCGCAGTTTTGAATAATTGAATTGACCCGATCCCGATTATTGAACCCGCCAATTATAAACTAGCAATGATGCTAAAGTGGATAATCTGATCTCCACTACCAAATGCTTACAGAATGAAGTCGAAGAGGATTGGACGCCCTAGGACCTCGGGATTTGAAATACGAGTTATTAATCAGCACAACAGAACGCCATTGTCTAAGCAAGATGGGAATTCTTATTAACTTGCCAAGTTCATTGTGACTGATTTCCATGGATTTAAGGCTGATTTAATAATTTTCATTCTATTTTACGTCTCTTATCTCCGCATCGGGACTAAGATCTTAATTCCGGAATCTCCTCGATCTTTGATGGATCTTTGATGGATCTCTGATGCATTTCTACATGACTCAATTGCTCAGGCTTTTTCTAAATGGAAGTGTTTCAGAGTTTATTCTCTCCTTGCTCGGTTCAAGCCGACAGAGCCTCTGTTTAAGGTGATTCATTGCGAGCGTCTTCGTATATGATGTCCCTACCCATGGTGACAACCCATGGGCTGATTGATATCGGGGTTCGGCACCCGTAGACTAACCTAGATCCTAGCTACATCTTAGCCCTGTAGTATCGAGCTCTGAGTACCACCCGAGTACATGTATCATAAGCAGTTGACCTTCCTATTTCATGAATTATTGGACCGTAGATTGACTCCGAGTCGTGATATCAGCTCCATGCACAGGTGCCCAGCTGCATGCTCATGATCTCACATCAAGCTTTGGATGTGCACACATGTGCTGTTGATTTGAAAGTGGTCTAGCTGATGTGATAAGGCCCGCAGTTGCATCATCAATTCAAGTGGTCATGATGTACATAGGTTCGGAGAATTACATAGTACTAGCGGCACATGTGTAGTAGTAGTGATAAGAAGTACTTAAAAGTTGAATATTTTTTTAATCAAATAGTAATATACATTACTGCCAATCATTTCTGAAAGCAATCAATATGTCCATAGAAGCCGAAGCCGAAATAAAAGCATCGCTGGGAAATCATCGTCTGTAGTTACACATGACAATAATGTTTGTAGCCATATCGGCTATCCTCTCATAGAGGCTTGCTCTTCCTGAGCACAAATCCACCCAGAATAGACACTTATTGCACAGGAAATCCAGTCAAGATATAAGATCTTTGACCTCCAGATAAGAATCAACGGCGGGACTGGCATTCCTGTGATATCAAATCACAATGCCCTCTAAATGGGATGTTTTTAAATTGAACTCCATGACTCCAAGGTAAATGTAAAATCAAGTCCTCAATCTCTTTCTAATCACGCATCGTTACCCAAGACACCAAATGGGTTCTGACCCTTGGTTTCAATGCCGCTTGAGGAAGCCTCCTGGCTGGCCTTGGTCTGCTTCTTGGCACCCTTCTTGGCGGGCACAGGAGAGAAACCCTCATCGGAGCCAGACTGGTTGGCAGTAGCGGCAGCAGCAGCAACAGCCTTGGCCTTGTTGGCCGCGGATGCGCGTGTGCGAATGGGGGAATCCTGAGTAGGCTTCTGCTCTGCGATCTTCTGCACGTGAGCCTTGACGAACTCCTCATCGGTGGCCTCGCTGTTCTCGCCCTCAATGGCGGCCTTCTGGATCTCGCGGCTCAGACCCTTCAGAGCATCCAAACTAGCCTTCTCAGCGGCTTCGTAGTGAGTGGCCTGCTTGGTACCCTGATCCTTGCGCTTAAGGTAGGAGCGGACAAAGAATCGCATGAATAGGTAGGTCAAGGGCAACAAGTAGGAAACATTCAGCCAGATGGCAAATGCCTGACCGGTGGTGTCCATGCAGGTCACCATCTCCTGGGTGTATCCAGAGCCAGTAACAGCGGCAGCGGCGGCGCCACCAACGTTCTCTGCGATTCCCTCGGCTCCAGCAGCGCGGAAAGCAAGCTTCTTAATCCAGGAAATGGCACCAGCCTCAGCGGTAGCACTGGCCACGGCGGGGGCCACGTTGGACAGATGCTGCAGAGCAGTGCTGCCCACGGGGTAAGGGATAGTGTAATGGACGAAGAGGTAGGCAGCGGCCATGTTGGTTCCGAAGACGAATTGAGTGATTTGCATGGTGGTCAGGCTACGCTTAATCGCAGTGGGGACGCGAATGCGGAGGGCAGTGAGGGTGTAGTAGGTGTACTAAAGAATTGACACACGTTAGTAAATATTGTTTGGTGTTAATATTCAATGATTTCTGGAGCTTGACATACCATCATCGCATGGATAGCAGAGTTGACCAATGCGAAAATCCAAATAGGAGCAGCCATGTAGCGGATACCAGCCCACATGCACATCATAGCACCAGCGTGGTGGTAAGTCTGCAGAGTAGAGCTCTTCTTGCCCTTGGCGAGAATGATAGCAGTGTCCACAACCTCGTAGAACTTGGAGAGGTAGAAGATCCAGCCAAAGTAGGCCAGGCCCTGGTTCCAGAGACGACCAACATCAGTAGTGTCAGGAAGACCGTTGGTCAACTTGTACTCCGGGTTGGGAATAGACCATTCATCGGTGAACCGGCTGTATGTCGCAGCATTACCATATCCGCGCGGACCATTGATCTTGCAGAGAGAGTCTACAACACCTGCCAATCCATTGGGCTGGTCGCGATCAGACCAGGCATTTCCAAAGGCCTGGAACATACCCACAAATGTCCAGGCAGAGTAAATAGCGAGGAAGACATTGTGCAGGATCACAAACAGCTTAAACAGCTTGGAGTGACTGAAACCCCATGGCTTGTATCCGCGGCTCTTGTTGATGCGATTGATCAGGATCACGGTCAGGGCGTAGACGCTGGCGATGGTAATTGGTACGCGGACATCCAAGACTTGATTATATAAATCATTGGGGATGTTGAAAGGTTGCTTCCAAGAGAATTCGGAGACGTGAGGAGCAGGAATGGTAATAGGGAGTTCGGCGGGGGGAAAGTTGAGGAGAGAGGAAGGAGGAAGACCGATACGGACGGTAGCCGGCCCAAATTGAGTGGGCACGTTGATGTCGTACATGATCGTAAGATGATTTATAAAATTAAGAATTTCTGCCACAACCTAGAGATTGGAAAGGCGAAGAAACCCAACTTAGGGGAGAATATAATAAAAAGAGACCAGCTTCAAAGAAGGAAAAAAAGAGTCAACACTAAGTGTATGGGGCTCCACTGTAGATAAAAGAGAAAAAATTGTTATCTAGTGGAGACTGAACGTTTGTTGGGAATTGGGGAACCGAGGTCGACTTACTATTGGGGGAAAAGGTGTCTTTGGGAGGCGAAGTCCAAGTTATTTAACAATTTTGGACAATTTTGGATTGATCGTCATGATTCTTTGTTGCCTAGTCTGCTTTTTCGATGATTCTATTCAACTTCCAATGTTCTATATACTCCATGTTTGACTCCCCATATGACATACATACTATGGGTATTTCTGCACGCGACAGCGCCACACATGTCAGCACTCAAATGTCAACATTTTAAGTCAACATTTCCAATGGTTAGTATATTGTAAAGTAAGGAGAAATGAACACTTCTCAACATTGAAGTAAGAGAATTTAGAATAAGGACAATCTGAAATCCAATCCTCATCAATTTAGAGCCAATCAGAGCGGAAGGATTCTCTTCTCCAGGTTTTTTTCATCCTTTGAAGCCTCATTATTCAGGCTATTTTATCCGCTGACTCATCCTTTGTTGGCCTCGCCTGGGCGACTCTTACCTAGATGGGGTATGGTTAAGTGGAGCATCTCTCTTCTCCTACGGACTACGGAGATGGAGTACTACTCCGTGTGTACGCCTCTCCTTATAGACAATAGAGAACTGTGCTATACTCTCACATGTTCACGACCTACGTGCTTACTCCAAGGATCGCTTGTTGGGAACGAGAGTTCGCATATCAGGGGGGCAAATCTGCGCTCCAATTTCCCAACAGCTCGGATATGCAGACTCAAGACGATCGGCCAACCACAACTTCACATGCGGCCGAGGCCAGGGTGAAAGAACAGGGCAAAGAGTCCAGGGGCTGCAAATCATCTTCATCAATCTAATTGATAAGAATGATAAACTTTGGTGGGGATTTACTAAGTTCTTCGTACAACTTGAACTGGTCAAATTCTATGAAACTTCTACTTCATACACTGTAGCCTGTAGAACAAGAACAAACAAAGATAAGGAAAATGATATTTCCTTCCGCTACATCCAATTGGCACCAGGCCGAACACAATCAGGTCGTACAAATTACATGGACCCTCGCTCAGCGGGGCTTGGTGCTTAGCGGTACAGGAGGTGGCGCCGGGGCTGACGACGACACTGGCGCAGCGTCGTTGTTCGTTGGTGGTGCACGCATCTCTGCCCGTTTAGGAGGCGGAGGTGGAGGCTTTTTGCGCGCCTGGACCTCTAGGGATACAGGGGAAGGGGCAGGGGCAGGGGCAGGAGCCGGGGCAGGAGCCGGAGTAGGAGTGGTCGTAGGTCGAGGTGCAGGAGCAGGAGATCTGGGACTCGCCGGCGTCGCTGGTTTCACAGGGGAGTTGAGAACACCCGGTCGGGGCATACGTTTGTTGGCATTGGCCGAGAACTTTCGGTCCTCCACAAATGTATTGATCCGCGATGCCATCCCGCCGAATTTCTTCTTCCCCGCATCAATCGTGCCGGCATGTCGGTCACGGAAGCCGGGGAGTGGAGCGAGACCTTCCACCGATCTTGTCGGGCGCGAGGCACGTGTAGGCGGTTCCGGCGCCGGTGAAGGAGATCCTGTGTTAGTTCGCACCTGAGAAAAGCGGGATTGTAGTTCATTTATAGATGCATCATCGCCACTTGGTGAGGGCTGAGATGCGCGAGGCGTCTCTCCAATCCCAAGTGCTGGGACCGAAACACCGGCGTTTGTGAGACGCGCGGCCGCTTCCTGATTCACATAGCCTTGGGAGGGAGAAGGTGTCACAGCCGAGTAGGCTGGCGGTGGCGAAGGAGTTTGTGCGGGTGAGCCAGTTCGAGGGGGAAGTCGAGGTGGGAGTTGAGGCTTTGGCTTCGTGGGGGGCTTTGCGCCCGAGGGAGACTCTGAACTCGGCGAGTCGAGACGTCGTACCGGCGGTGCAGGAAGGTTATTCGTAGACAGTCCAGTTGTATTAACACGGTACGGCACTGGAGGAGGTTTGGGCTTTTGGGCGGCCTCCTCTTCTGCTTGGATTGCTGCTTGCTGCTGAGCCCGCTGCTGCTCGATGTGGTCCTGCGACAGAGGAGCTCCTAGGCCTCGTCGGTCGGGTGTTATCTCATTGGGCAGCGCTGCTGGACCATGGTAGTTGATGTGCTTCGGAGGTGGTCCAAAGGATGATGGATCCTTTAAGGTTGATAACGGTCGCGAGACATGATCGTTTTCTTCGGAGTTGGGGTCCTTGCCCTTGCCCATCCATCCCGCCTAGATCGTCATATTAGGTGCCGTCACATTTAGCCAAGCAACGGATCAAACTCACCACTTGATTTATACCCTTGAAGTCTCCCCTCCAACTTTCTTTACTTTTCCCATCCTTTCCTTTGGGGTGCCAGCCCCCTTTCATACTGAATGATCCACTCATGATGACAGGTAGATGCTTGTTCTAGAGAAGAATAGTTCCGTGGCAACTTCCAATGAAAGACCCCGCCTTTTCTCCACAGTCACGTGTGACCTGGCCCAATCGGGTAATCAGCTCGTCTTCCAAGGTTAAATTTATGAATTTACCTATAGATCATTATCATGTTTGGGGTGGAAGATTTATCAATTTATAGAATACCTAGGTAGGTAGCTGCTCAGATACTATCAAAAACAGAGTAAAACTTCATTAGTGTTTTAAACAAATTTTAGATTGTGTGTACAGTATACTAGCCGGGTATAGGAATGAATTATCTCAATCCTGTGGTAGGGACAAATGCTAGTCACGGTGTGGATGAGGCTCATCAGACCCATCAGACCCATCAGACTCGTCTCGAGGGGTCACCGCCACATCCATGAAGTATACATGCCCCGATCCAGGCCCCCAGAAAATAGTACGGTTGTAAGCTGCATAAAAAGGATCGGTTGTGTCCCAAGCCCTAGCAAATTGTCCAGCCCCAATTCGGTATTCCGAAGGTAACCAGATAATTCTCTTCCCTGAATCAGCTTCCACGATCCAGTGGTCCTGACTGATTTCGAGTTCGGGTTCAAATTGAGGCATGTCCACAGGCTTGAACTGAGGGAATCGTTGGTCCTTTGGCTACTTCCCTGTAAAATATGAACAGTGGCCAGGCCATTTTAATCAAAATATACCTCGCAAAACGATTCACCGGGAGTTGAGTCCTCGAGGTCTAAAGTTTTTGCCTTGATATTCCAAACGCGGAAACGGACACGCTCTCCCCAGTGAAGAAGCCACCGACCATCAAGGGAAAATTCTAGATGGCCCATGTAATCAGGATCATCTGTTCCAGTATCCCAACAAGCATACAGGCTTTCAGTCTCAACATTCCAGACAAAGACCTAGGACCCGGGGAACACGACGCTACATGCTCGCCCGTTGGAGAAATTGCCACATAAAACACATAGTCCTCATGAGGCGAAGAATGATGCGAGTGCGTGACTATGTCTGGCGGAGTCATCCAAAGCTTTACTTTGTGATCAGTAGCTGACGATGCTAGTATATCCTGAGTAGGAGAGAAACATATGGCTCGAGTAAAACCTCCATGTCCTTGAATGTCCATCGGAGAGCTAGTACCATCTTGAACTACTTTGCCAAGGCGAATGTCCTTAGAATCCGATGATGCTGCATTATGATGTTCATCTCGTGAGAATGAAATCTCATGGATCGCTGAATTTGGAGCGAGTTCTTCCGTCGAAACGACCTTCCATGATGCGATGTCCAAGAAAAGGATCGTGTCTGGTGTGGCAATACCCAGATATGTCCCCTTTGGCGAAAAGTTCAAGGTCCGAGCAGTGAAATTGAATTTGTTAACAAGACTCCATGTCTCTGTTCTCCAGATCCTAACTCCTTCAGAGTCACTCATAGCTAGAACCTTTCCATTTGGAGAGAACCTTACAAGGTCATTTCCATCTATGCCTTGAGTCCGAACGTCAGCCGAAAACCGTCCATTTGTGAGGGCAATATCAGACACCCATATTCCATTGCTTGAAGCTGTGGCTAATAGCCCATCACATGATAACGCAATCGAACTAATCGATTCTTTGTAGTCTCGCGTGTGCCTTTTTTGCCAACATGCTGTATCCCAAATAACCCCTAGTCCCTCGCTTGAGCCTACAGCCAGGAAGTTTCCTTGAGGAGAAAATGCAACACAACTGATACAAGGAATGGATCTAAAAAACCTGACCGGAGAAGGCCGAGGATGTTCAAGTGTTTTACAGAGATCCCATGTCGTAGTATTCCATAGGTGAACTGATAGTGTCGTGTTTGGATCTGGTGCTGTGGCAAGTAGCTGGCCATCTGGCGAAAACTGAACGAAAAAGGTAAAATAACTAGCCAACGTATGGAGAAGTGGACTCCAGTCTTTTTCAACGACTGGCTGTCTTGAGATTGACGCAGGGATTTCGTCTTGAAATTGTTTCCGAACTAGACTGTTATGCGGAGAGAATAACAACGACGAGACATAGATTTGCAGTGGTGCCATCTCCACCCCCTCGAAATTCCTTACAATAAATCTCTTCACATCTAGCAGGAAGCTTCCTAGCTCTGGCATTGTGTCACTCTGAATGGGTATTAGTGGTTGAAAAATGAGTCTTACATCAAGTGATACCTATGGTAGTAATCACTTACTTGAAAAATTGAGTGGAGTGAGTCAACTATATTCAAGGCATCTCTCAGAATCCCCATGAGACTCAGAACCTCAAGCCAATGTAATAAATGCTTCTGTAAGAACGTGAGAATCTCAGAGTAGAGAATCTTGGAGACTTCCCAATCCTGTTCTCGATGATTCTCTTCTTGGCAACTCTTGACATGGTATACCAAATTACGACAAGAGTATTGCAGCTCAGGTGGAATGCGTTGCTTGATGGTCTTACTCCAAATATCCGCGCCTTCTGTGGCCATATTTGATAAATCACAAATGTTCCTTCGGAGTGACTCCATAATACGAAGACAGTTGATTGCAATCGTCTTCTGTAGTCGTTTTTCATCCACGTGGAATTCACTATCAGTGCTCAAAAGGAAATCTCGGAATGATAAATGCAAGGCTTTAACAGGCTGGTTTTCATCATCTGAGAAACTCAGGACTGAGCGAAAAGACTTCAGTCTATTTGTAACGCTGTTCACTCTGGCACCAGTCAACTGAGCCAATGCACTGAGTGAGACGGGAGTCGCAAAGAGGATTAGAACACCAATTATGTCATGAGACTCTCGCATGAGCTTTTGCTTTTCATTCTTGGAAAGCTTCTTCAAGGGTTGTTCCAGAATTGGCAGATATGTTCGATTCATCCCTGCATCAGACGTGATGGCTGGATTTGCTAGAAAGTCATTGAGACGCTCCCTGGGCAGCCAGAGTGAATCTCCAACAAAACGACAGATTGTAGCTGCGAAAATGAATCAAGGAACTGATATGTCCACAAGCATTTGGATAGTATTGTCACCGGGCCAGTCTTTCTCGCCCATATTTTCAAATTGACATGTCAAGAACATTGATAGATCCCGTTTGATAATTGGCTCCAGGATATCTTGTAAGACCACACCCTGGTGATCCTGATTTTCAATTTCATCGAAGCCAAGGCCCTTTGGTAAATCAGGTCTACTTGTCAAAAATCAGGTCTACTTGTCAAAAAGAACCGCAAGGGAATTAGTTGATTCTGCGCTGTCTCTGATATCAGTCTCAAGAAAGTTGCAATATCTCTTGGAGAATCGTACTCGTCAAGTGCATCAATGACGACCACCAGAGATTCCATTGTTTGATATGACTGGGCCAGATTGAGTAATGGATGTTGCAAGGGAAGTTCACATTGCCGTTCAATTGTCTTTTGTGGGACTCCTCCTCGCACTGCCTCTGTGATTTCAGGTATAATTCGAGGTATCCTGTGCGAAAGTTGTTTTGCAATGGTAGGGAACAGTCGTTTCGCATTTCTTCGATCACCTTCATTTCGCTTGAAGAAGAAGCTTGCACCAAGAAGCCCTCTCTCTTCGAGCAGACCGGACAATGTTCGAGATACGGTAGATTTGCCAGTCCCTGCCATGCCATTCAACCAAAATATTGGTTTGACATGAGGAGATGTTGCCCAGTCCATCACCTCGGCAAGGAGTTCAGTCCTTGTTCCGGGTTGACACGTACCTTGAAGATCGTCCAGTAGACTGTCCTCTCCTGCTGGGCTGTCAAAGCGAGCAGCATCGAGGCTGTTCAGCTTATCAAGGATAAAGTCATTCAGCAGAATTTTCAGACCCAAAAAGGTTCGGTCAATCTTGTTCAACATTTCTTTTGCCTCTTTTCTGCGCTGTAAATTTTGAACCATATTAATCCATTGCTGCAGAGAGTGTTCTTCCTGGTTGACGGATTTCTGAAGCTCTTTGAGCGATTCACTTGTCATCGCAGTGACATACTCCATCGCTTTCCGAACCTTTGAGGAATTCTGTGCGTTTCGTACCTTCACTGTGTAGATTAGGATGGCTTTGTAGACTCGAGTAATTGCTTCACCGATATTTTGCCTTTTCGCAGCCACGGAATCTCCGCTGCAATAGAAATACATCTCGATTAAGGCAATTTGGCTCAAGGTATCCGCCAGATACTCCGAAGATCGGAACAAGGCGTTTCGCGAATCGTAGTGGTTTTTCATCATCTGTTTCATTTAGCAAAGCCCAAAAAGTCTAATATGGCCAACAACTTACCGTCAATCCAAGCAACACGGTCTCCCAAGCACTTGATGCATGTTCAGTGGGGTCAAGTGCTGTGAAAGGAGTGACAATATCCTTAAATTTCAAAGCAGCATTGATGACCTTTTCCGACAACTGGCGAACGTTGATATCCTCTCCTTTCAAAGTTGGAATCTTCAGACCACCATTCTTGTATGCTTCATATTGTGTTTCCGTTTTTTTGATCACTTGATCGATAACGTCTGTGGTTTTCGAGGCGTCGTTGTCATTCAAACCCGAGGGAACCTTCAAAGTCGCTAGAATTTCCTTTTGACTTGCATCCAGGAGATTGTAGGCTTCTTCCCAAAGATTCTTGGGCTCATCAGCTTGAGTGGGAGAATCTGCGTTCTGACAGGTAAGACATTCTGGGAAGAGGAGGAGGAGGAGGAGAGTGGGTTCGATGCTTCTTCGGGCTTTTTGTGGTGCTTTCCGAGTCTTAGATCGTGACGTTTGAAGAGTGATATTTTCTGCTTCCCAGCTCTTGGCTCTTGATTCTCATTTATTTTGGATATTTTCAACCCATATATGACGATTAGGTATCGGATGAATTGGCCGAGGCGTCGTTTCAAATGTTTTGAGTGGGGAAGCAAAATCAATGTTTGATGAATATTGGGCGATATGGGTATCGAGATTATCAAAATCGGTCCCTGAAACCAACCTTGGACCAGTTGATCGGGCCTGGTTTTGAGCTTGGAACTGAAAAAAATTAATTTATTGATATCAAATTCCTCCTAGTGGTCTTCATATCTTGTCAGGCTAAAATGCGGGGCATTTAGGCGCCGAATACCATGACTGAAACCCTAGGGGATAATGTACACCTGGTATGCATGTTAGATGATGCAGCATGTCGAAATGAGACCTTGGAAATGAGCTATTCTGCATTCATATGTTCAAATTGTAAAAATGAATACATGTGCGGGATGTGTGGCAAATATCAGGATATGTGAAGAGGGAAAGAAGGAGACTCCAGGAGTCCAAGTTGCGATTCTAGACTCGACATGGAGATGAGAGTGAGCAGGTAAAAAACAGCAATTATAGGAGTATCATGATTATCACAAGCCCTCACGCCTCGCTTCGTGCGGCACTATAGCAGCGAAATTGGGAAAGGCATGTCCCCAGCACTCAAGTGCTTGGATAGGTGTGTTTACATCCTACAGGGATGTTTGTATACTTAGATACATGGCTCAGTTAGAAGCATCTATCGGTGAGTGATGACCTTGGTACCTAAACCTCTTTTTATCTAGGTACCTACGGGGTTACCTGGAGGGGAAGGAATGCTAGCCACTACATAGTTCAAGTTGGATATAGGCAACTAGCCGCCATAGAGTACTATCAAGACAGGTGGTAATAGTAAGTAAAATGGGAACCCAAGTATTAGAAGAGGCCTTTAATCGTATCCTCAGTACTCCCCCAAGTTCAAGATGGTATAGTATTGGTCGCATTTTTGAGTCTGAGTCTTTCAAGGTTAAGGTAAACAACAGATAAGCTGCTCTCTGTGCTCCGTAAAAGACTCCTTTGATATGTTCAGATCTCTCTTTATACGACGATGGCCTGATATGTGAGGATGATCATGTCGGAAGCGGAAGCTACGCGTCACATTTCTCGTGTTCAAATGTTCAGATGTTCATATAGTAGGGAATAGGAGATAAATACTCATATTCCAACTGAAGATACTCACTCCTAAGTACTAGGAGCTTAGGTTTTAAGCTGAACATTTGAATTCCTAGTCATAATAACTTACAAAGTTCATAGTCAACTGATTAATACTCCATGAGTCAGTCAACCCACTACAAAAAATTTGAAAGTACACCCCTCCAAAATGCAGATAATCAGGCAGAATCAGGCTGTGCCTGTTTTGATCCAATCATAAAAATTCCCCAGGAGCCTCACAGTGCATAAGACTAGACGCAATCGAGTTTAGAGCTGCCGCCGATCGTACGTGGTCCGCCCCAGTAGCCCCAGGCATTTGTGGCCATCAGCCGCCCACGGAATTAATTATAGAACACTTTTTCTCCTTAAAAGAATCAGTATTGTATGGAAATATTTCTTCATAGCCCATATTAAAAGATCAAAAATTCTTCATTATATAGGACAAAGCATAAAGCCCGTTAAAACATCTAGCGCTAGGATATTTCCAGTTCATGCAGTTTGATCCTTAGTAAAACCGCCTTGTACATACTAAAAACTTGAGTTCCACTGTATTCTCCACTCTCGGACCTCCATAATCCTCAAAGCGGCTGTGAGCGTCGTAGTTCCTTGTCTATCTCTTTGTTGGAAATTATTGTCTTTTTAATTTCTTCTATTTCCTCCCGTCTTGCCAGTGGCTTCATAGGAACTCTCTAAGACTGCCCGTGTTCAGTCCGAAACTTGAACACCTGAACGCAGTATCTCGTTTCTCGCCACGGCATCTCAGCTAATGACCTGCTGATTAGTCCATATTTTTAGCCCCAGTTCCTCTTCTGCGTGGTGCTTCTATTTTCTTTTCTTTGTTGCGTGGTCATTTCATCCCGCATTCTGGGGTATCTGACTGTCTGACTATCTGACTAGAAAACTCATTATTCGTCCTATATCAGCACTATGTCAATGCTGCAGTTGCTGAAGAGGGTTGCACAGTATTCAAGTTATAGCGGTGACACGAATCAGGGTTCATATCAGCATGGTGGCTCAAGTTCAAGTGATGAGGGTTTCGGCGATGGAATAGAGTCAAGTACTACATCGACTCGGAATTATGATGAAGGTGAAAATGCCAGAGCCAGTATCACTACAACGAACGCAGCAACAGCACCAGCAACCTTCAACTCAGATCTTTTGAATCCAGCAGACTCATCCTCAACTTCCGGCACTCCAGACTATACTATATCACCATCGACAAACACTGCAACTGCGACTGCGACTGCAACTACGACCTCAAGTTCCATGTCTACATCAACAACCACAGCCGCCGTTCATTCGTCAGGAGGACTATCAACAACGACAAAACTTGCCATTGCAATTCCAGTCGCAGTTGTCGGTGCCTTGATCATCCTGAGCATAATATTCTTCTTTTTACGTCGCCGTCGTCAGCAACGAAATACCATCAACGCTGCAGGCTACGAAGTGGCTAAAGACCAACCTCATGTTGTCTCAACATCACAGCTTATGATTGCCGTACCAACAAGAGAATCAAGACCTCAACCGGAACCGAGTCTCCCCCGTTTTCCGATGTTAGATGTTCCGGATAGTCGAGATGGCGAAATAAGTCCGGGTACTTCGACGACAGACCATACGTCAGGACATGAAATGGGATTTGGAATGGCGCTCTCAAACAATCCTCGCTCTAGTACAACAGAACAGGATCTCCGAGGTATTAGTCGCTCTGCTTCGCCGGCTAATGCTGTGGAATCACAACTCCGGGCTCGAAATGGTACAAGAGAGGATGATGCTGTCTCTTTGGTTTCAGATTATCATGACCAGAATGGTACCCATGAACATGATTATGATGATTTGTCTTCTGTCTCGTCTTTTGGTGGTGTTAGCTCGCGGCTGAATGATCACCAGCATCCATTTTCATGAATATCTTCCTCTTGTTGGACATTGTTTTCTTCTTTTTTGCCAGTAGCTTTTCCATTTTATTTCATTTGAGCCAAGGTGTTGGTTATTTCATGTATCTATTTTGAGGTTCATGCAAGACATGGATTGTACATATTCGATATTTCTTCTATTTCATTTTCGAGCAGTCATGAAATTGTGATGTATATACCAATCTTTTCATCTTAACTTTTTTGTTCAATGATGACTTGGGTAAAGTTGACATTAGGACTTCAAGTTCAAGTTTCAGCAATTCCTTTCAAGTTGTTAGAGTGACATTAACATCTTAATGGTCAAGCCCTCAATTGCTGCCAGTAACTTGAGGTTGGGTTAGTATAGTAATTGATAGAGCTCGATTTCCTAGCATTGAATCCAATCCGTTCGACTCGGAGGGACCCTGGATTATAGGTAACATGAATTATCTGATCAAGACTGACTTTGTATATGATATAGTTTTATATGCGAAAATATACGATTTATTTGTAATTTTGAAAACCGATAAGAATGAATTATCGGCTGACCATCTCGGGCTTCCATTCTTGCACATTGCCCTTCGACAGTTCGCGAAGTGCCATAGTGGCATACTGGCTTTGTCCAAGTTGGAACTTGACCACGACCGCCAATTTATCCCCAGTCTGGCCATCAAAAGTGCTAGCTTCGGCACTCTCGCTATTCTGCTGAAGGTTGTCCAAGTCGGTCTTCACAAACTGCTGATCCTCATCGGAGTACAGCTTGATATCAAATGAGTAGGCAGGACCCATGCGGCTGAAGATCTTGCGGTAGCTACCACTCAGACTAGAATCCTTCCACTTTCGGCGCATGTTCAATGGATCCAGGCCACCACCCTTATCGCTGGCCATGAAGTCGCGGTAGAAGTCAGCAACCTTGTTGGCGGGGTAGATGATGTCGTAACCAGTCAGGGGAAGCACAATATCAAAGACGGTGTACTGGCCGCTCGCAGCCTCTGCCGCGGTCAGGGCTCGGGCCCGTGTGAACATATCATCAGCGGCATTGGCACTGTCCTGGCCTTGAGGTACGATGATAACCTCTCCATCCGCATCAATAGTGTCGTCGTTCTCGGCCTGACCACCTTCCTTGTCGCGGTGCTCCTGCACGATGACCAAATCACCCTCGACCACCTTGTCGCCGTAGAGACGCCAGCGCTCACTAGCGGCAAAGTTCCAGACGAGGGACTGGTAAGCATGCACGTACATAAGACGCAAATTACGAGGGATAGCCTGCAGAGCTCCGAAGTAGTCATTCTTAGACCGGCCCAGGTGACGAATGATGCTAGTCTCGGCGGAGAACTTTCCAGGAAGCTCAGTCAACGCCTTGCTCATATTTCCAGTGGTCTGGAAGATGTGAATTCCCAAAGCGCGGGCCTTGTCATCTCGGCCAATGAGAGCAGTAGACTCCTCGCCCTCCTGCGCTGCGGCGAGAACATGCGGGGAAAAGTGCAGAATTGCCTTACAGGCACCCTCGAAGTCATCCTGGAGCATCTTCAGACCAATCGCATCAGTGCGAGTGGAGAAAGTTCCAAATCGCTGCAGGCCATAGTAGTTAAAGTATCCACGCTCATGTAGGTTCTTCAGCGAGGATTCGACAAGCTCTGAGGCCTTGGTGATGGCAGCTTGAGGTTCCTGGAGGTCCAGACCGGCGAATTTGCAGTCACGGAGAGTGATAACAAACTCGTTTCCGTGGAGATCTCCAAGATCCAGACCGTGCTGGCGATACTCGAAATCGCCGAGTCGGACATTACGAAGAATGGCGTTCATCTTGGCAAGTCGTTCGGCCTGAACACGGAGAACGCAAGCCCGCTGCGCTGTCACACCGCGACGATCCTTGGTACCAGCAAATTGGAAGTTCTTAGCGTTCATCTTCATCTGACGAGCCAAGAATGAGATAACCTCCATTGTATCCTTGTTCTCCTTGTAGATCGTGAAGTGAAGATATTGGCCACCGAGTTCATCCCAGCTGAATCGAGGGCCCCCATTGGGTCCAGGACGGCCTGGCCGTCCACCTTGAGGAGCGCGGTTGAAGCGATTCGATGCAGCAGTAATGGTGAGATTGCCCTCGCCATCAGCAGTAGAATCGAGTTGCGACTTGAAAACGGCACGGATGGTCTGGTGAATCTTGGTACGCTGGTCGCGATCGGTGATAACACTTGTAACATTTCCGAACTCGGCCGGTCTTCCCTTACGATTCGCCATGGCACGGGCGTGAAGGTCGATGAGCGCGTTGGCATTCTCCTCGCCGAGGAGTTCACATAGTGAAGCTTTGTCGGTGTCGGAGACCTTGAATTCGGCTTCGGGGGTATCTTCAGTTTTAGCGGCGGACTTTTCCTCTTCAGCTGAAGCTGCAGCCTGCTGCTGCGACTGGTGCTTGTTGGCGCTGATGGACTTGGGGACGGATGAATTGCGGAGATGCACGACGTCGCCGGAGGGCATAATCTCATTAACCAAGAAGTCGGTGTATCTAAGCGCGATATGTAAGACGAGGATTAATATTATTGCGATTGTTCATGAACACCTACCTCTTCTTCAGAGTACCAGCAATGCCTTCAATGTCCGCAGTTACCAGCTCGGTGATACCAACCTCCCGCTCCTTCGCATTGCCGGGACGGACCTCCTCAACCACCTCGGGCTTGGGAAGAAACTCGGCAGAACCATCTGTCGCGGAGATATCTTCAGTCTTTTGCCGCTTTCGCGGAGATTCTACAACTTCTGGGCGATCCATTGTAGCTTGAGATGATGTTTAACGCAGAACTTTGAACTTTTATCGGAAGGAGCTTATCGGGGGATAGCGCAGTGGGGCTAGCCCTAAGTTCCGGATTGGGCAACATACTTTGCAGCCTCATTTCCAAGGCCCCAATGCTTAACTAACTAGTTACACTGACATCCATTGTATAGACACTATCTGAGCAGGAATTGAAGCATTTAATCGATAAACTCGACCCATCAAAACAAATAGTCTTTCCTGCCTTTCCTTCAAGGCTTCCATGCACCGGCAAACCGACGGTTGTCGCAAGCATTAGCAGTATTGAAACCTCGAGTTACTATGCCGTTGTCCATTTGCCCAAACGTTAACAGGTAAAATGCATAGTCCACCGAAATCTTTCCCTGACCTAGTTTCTGATCCTTCTACACAGAAAGGCTGCTGAAGACGATGGAAGGGCGCCCATGAGACTCGTTGTTTGGGCGAATCTAAGTCTCCAATACCAATATCAGCATTGATAGACTTCGTCACAAGTGGATGGAAGTCGGGTAATGAATCGGACAATACGTCTAGAATGGCATCAGTGAAGACGCCCGGACCAGTAAGCTCAAGTGTGGTCATTTCATTGTATTGCGGGCCCAAGAAAATGTTGCTTTCATCTAAATGTCTGTTCGTATGCGATATCACTCGAACAATCACCTCCCGGAGCAAAGGACTGAACCGACGGGCTGCGTACATCGTATATTGGGCAAACCCATAACGCCGGACCCAGTGCCAGAACTTCATTTCCTGGGATGAAGCAAAGGGCTCATCGATTTCAATACCAAGAATGAGAGAGATATCAGAGTTGTTTCTCTCTGTTGATTCTTGAATCGCCGGGCAATCTTTAATGCTGCGAGATGGTATTACATCCATATCCGCGTAATATCCACCGAAATACCATAGGATAAGATATCGTAAAAGGTCGCTTCGTTGAACGAAATGAGGGTAAGAGTGGTAGAGGGTGGCGAGGCCTGGTATAGAGGATAGGGTTATGGTCACAAATTCATCGGCCCCGTTGCCAGTGATGAGCTACACCACAGAGGAAAATAATAGTAAGGGATGATTTACTTCCAAAGTTGGCTTCGGCATTACTCGTCATGCTCACCTTATATATCCATTCAGCATTCCGCTCTTCCATTAGTAGAGAATCCTGGCCTCGATTCTCATGAGTGAGCTTGTCTTCTAAGAGCATTTGCCATAGAATATCCGACGCTTCATCATCCCCATATATGTATTGTTCCTTCCTTTCAATTATACGCATAGCACTGGACAGATGTGACTCGTACTCCATATCTGGATTAGTGCGGAACTTTGAGCGATGAAGGTAATGCGGCTGCTCATCATTTGGGATTGATGGGCGAATGTTCATTAAGCTTTGCAATAATTCAATACTGCGTAGTATTATGAGCACAGCCAATGTTGCAAGAATGGTGACTTTCTTCAGTCGTCCTCGGGTATTGGAAAGAGGCAGGTATCGCAAAAACATGACTTATGATATTTCTGAAAAAAGGATATGGTCTCATTAGTAAAGGAAAGAAACTTATTATGTCAAAAGATAAAAGCTCAGTTCATAGAGGCAGTACTATTGAGAATAGGAATTGAATTCTCACCAGCCTTGCGGTCCCAAGGCTGAACAATTCCCTGTCTTAAACCAGGATGAATAGACTTGGCACCCTTGTCGATCATTGTGGGATGGTCTTTCAGGGTCCAGTGAGTCTAGAAATTGTGGAGTAACCAAGAATTTGCAAGCTTGGTGCTTATATTAGAGTGTTCTGTTGTATGGAACCCGAGTTTTGCTGTATCCCAAAATAGAACAAGATTAGGTTAGCCCTCCAGTTGACACTCGATATATGCACAGTATGTCCAAGAACGAGGAAAAGAGTTCGAGGCAACATTTAAAGCACTTGAGACTAGTAAGATTGCGAATATGCTGGTCTCCTTCATGTCAGAAGTTCTAGGTTCCAGGCAGTCCGCGGTTAGGTTCATCGGGTCACAACCATCATCACCGAACCGATACAGGATACTACGAGCTCTCCAGACTAGAGGTGAGTATTTGACTATAAAATGGTTCTTTTTGAATAGGATTTCAGTTGATCAATAGTACCGCGTTTTCAGCTCAGTACATGTGTCATCCTCTCCATGCAAATTGATCAAAGGATCTCGTAAACTCATACATAATTCCCATGTCACCATCCTTCAAACGCCTGCTATACAACAGTTCCCAAAACATTGAACGCCAAATCCCAAGTGTACATCACGCTGATAGTTTACACTGGGCCCGATGACAATTCCATGACTAGATTCTCAGTATCCTCTTCCTTTCCATCTTCCCAGAGTTTCTTAATCCTCTGGATCGTGGGCCACACGATTTTCCGTGCTTTCTCCCGCTTCATTCCACCATCAAGCAATTCATCGTACGGGGTATGCGTGTGACGAATATGAGCTTCAACTGCTAGTTCAGCCTTGCGATCATCCGACTTTATTGAGGTGCGCCCCACTCGCCCAGAACCCTTGAGGAAGGCGTGGTTAAGAATGATCTCCAGTGACTCAGCAGGCATGGACGGGTATTCTTCACGAAGGAGGTCCCGGCTGCGGCTGATAATTTTGATGTCACGCGCCTCAGTTTCATCGGCGCGGGTCTTTGCGGTTAAGGTTTCCATGTCGCATACCTTAACATGAACTTCCTCTGGGACTCGAATGCCTCGGGTTCGTTTGCCTGATTTGTCCTGGGTGTTTGTTAGAGCTTTATCCTGAGATTGGGTTTGCGATTGTCGAAAGAGACTCACGTAGACGACATAGACTATTCTATTAGATTCTTTGGTATTGGTTCGACAGTGTCTGGTGATGTAGACATTCCCTTTTGGCACAAATACATAGTTTTCTGGCATTGGTACGCGTTCGAAGACGTTCTGTTATCAAGTTAGAATTTAGATCAGGCTGTATCACAAGTTTGAGAAAGAGTCATACCTTTTCAAGAGGATCAAATGAAGGTGGAAGGACTCTTGATTTGGCTGGAAGATTGGCTTTAGAGACTTTGGAGGCCAGTGGAGATCGGTGGCCCGAGGTATCTGACTCCTTGGTTGCAGGATCTGCTACGGGCTTTTGGCCTCGGCCACGACGTTTGCCAGGCTTCTTCTTTTGATTTCCTTTCCTTTTTATTCGCGCCATTTTCGAGCACCGATTTTCAGGCTGTGGGTGCTAAGTGGTGAAAGGTGAAAGCGGAAGTCACAGTTGGGGGAGGTAAAGAATCAAGGTCAACAACCCAGGAATGCAATCACTGATTCCAACTTTGGAGGGGTTTAACTTATTCCATGACACATTGCCCAGGTGAAGAGGTTAGAAACTAATTACTGTCACTTTAATGTTCAGCGGGGTTCTTTCACCTTTCTTAGGGCCATTGATTCCTTGAATCTCTTTGACACTGTCTAAGAAAAGTAACGTGGCGCCTGATGTGGGGCCTTCCTGCCTGATATCTCGGGCTGTAAGGGGTAAATCAGGGGAATCTTTAAACATGACAAGTTTATCCCACCTGGCATATGGAATAGCTTGGTCGTAGTTGTTCAAATATTTACTGGCTTGATCCTGTTTACCGATCTGGTGCCGACAGGATATGATAACATTTGAACTCTTCAATACGACTACCTAGTACCTATACTCCGAGCTCTGTAGTAGTACTAGGTACTCTTTGACCTTCAAGTTCACGTTTATGATACGTATACCCATACTTAGACAGTACTCGGGACTCTCTCTAACATTTTCAAAATTCTGGCTATTGACGGCGTATATCATGATTAATCAAGTGAGGCTTGGACTCGTCAGCATTTCGGTCTTAAAATGAGAGAGTTCGACTTACAGATGTCCATGGAAATTTCAATGATCTTAAACGAAATTAAGATTGAAGGCTTCAATTTGCATGCTTCCAATATACCCCGTACTTCAATTGATTCTACTAATATTAATTCAAGTTTGTCCTCGTGTTAGCCTAGGCGCCTCCCGTGCTCGAATACATGGATGGCAAGGACCAAGTGTCCAGGCCTCGGAACGCTCAAGCGCTATAATGCTAGTGGTACTAGTGGGGTGACTGTCACCGCACATATACATATTCCGGAGTACAAAAGTACGGAAGTACTTGTAGATCTCTGAGTCAACTTCGATTGTAATAATTCACGACGTCGACGTAAATAACAGCTTCCGTGGGCCTTTAACTATCTGGGGCAATAGCAGTTTAAGTGGAGTCGACGGGGCCAGATGCTGTGTAATGTATATGTAGTAGCAGGTTAAGACATCTAAAAATCAAGATCCTGATCCGCCTCGGATCCGCTATGCCCAACCTGCATACGGGCTGTTCATACTGTCCAGTTAGATGAGGCGGATAGTATTGGTCTCCACCCGTGTCGCCATGAGCACCCGTTAAGATGGAGTGTCCGTTCAAATGCTCCCACCAAGATCTTCAGAAATTGGGATCAGCAAAGAGATCTGGGTAGGGATTAATAGCGGGGATATGATTTCGGTGCCCTTTTCAAACAATCCAAGGTTGGGAGCCGATAAACCATTTGGTGTATGGAACCACTTTCGCCTTAATATACTCTCTGTGATTGATCAGGGGTAAAACGAGCCCTGTCAGCAATCGGAAGCTGCACATGATCCGACAGTTCGCATGTACGGAGTAAGGGTGAAGCGACAGCGCTAGTGCAGGACCAGGTTCCAGGCTGCCAAGCGGATTTGACTTGGTACATATGCCAGGGGCCGCGAATTAGATGCATGGCGATCCTCGAATGATGATGCAGGACCCAGTGAACAGGCAGCATAGGGCCAAAAAGATAGGTTAGCGGAGAAGTGTCCCTTCGGGGCTATCGGGGCCCCTTTCCAAGGTTAACCAGGGATCAGCGGTTAATCCAAGAGCCCTATGGAGGGTACAGAGTATGGGGATGACTCCTTGGGGGGGAAACAGTTGGATGTTCTTCTTGAGGCTATAGTTTTTTCCCCCCTCTTCTCTTTCTCCATCTCAATCTCGATCTCCATATCCTCTCTCTCTCCATTTCTCTCAGATTGATCCGGAGATAACACTCCACTTTCATACACTCATGTCGTCATCGGTAAGATTGGCCCGCTCTGGGGGCTCACTAAGGACCAAACGGACCAAGCGCGGTTATCCAACGACATTCAACTGGCTCGTCAGCTTAATCCAACATGGAAGACCGGCTGCCCCGAACCAGGCTCGATCTCGTCGCCCCCAATTTGGTTCTAGATCGGCAGTGTTAACCCCAGGAGTGTTTTTCTCCGGGATGATAGGTCTTTTTTTTCAGCTGGGCTGTGCGTGTGAGATGTGGTAAAGAGTATAAAGTATACTACAGTAGAGTACATACTTGATTAAGGAATACTCCGCATAATATAAATTATTTAAAGTATAGAAATAGTCATCTATGACAGATGTACTTTCTACCAGTACACTTATGTCTATGTGACTCTAGTCTAATTTCGGACTGCTACTTCTAATAAATTGAATAAATTTAGTACGGGAAACCTTTTCAGTGGATAAATGAGTAAATGAGTGGAGGCTCATTAAATAATAAAAAAAGAAAAAAAAGAGAAAAAAAAGTCCCCACGTAAAAAAACGTAAAAACGTAAACTCCGTTAAGGAAAAAATCGAACTTGGACAAACAAAGGAAAAGAAAAACAGAAAATCAATTTTTTTTTCTTGGTTTAATCTTAACAACTTCGATCTTACATTTTTAACAGATTTCAACTTCAACTCTTTTATTCTATCTTATCACTAAGAGTAAGATCTTCAATTGAGGTCAAGTGTGAACCTTGGAACATTGAAGCAGATATTCCTTGGACATCAAAAATCCATAGAATGATCGTGCCTTCTCTATAACCTTAAATCTCCCCTCTTTCTCCCTTTCGAGCATTCCACCTTCAATGGTTGCTGGGTCTTAAGTTGCTGATATGAGCTGGGATCACCCTGTCCACAGGTATGTTCCCCTTCCTTCTCCCTTTCCTCGTGCGGGGTGTCCCCTTTCCCCGACTGCATCAGGACCTGGACTTCCATAGACAATACAACACCTTCTCCGGGGCTATCTTCTCTCTCATGTCCATTCCATCATGCTAATCCACCCGGCAATGTTCAGCTTCAGCTATCCCAACGGCGAACCTCAAACTCCTACGAGGACCCCGACTACAGCCGCATTCGACTCCTTTACAACCCCCCAAACTCGAATCTAGTTTTTTCGACCCCAGAGTCACTTGGGATACCGCAGACCCTTATGCTTCCAGTCCAGAGTTTATACGATCACCCCAAAAATTTGCCCTCGGGACCCCGTCAAATCCTTTCAAGACAGAGACCATCGACCCCCATGAAGGAGAGCTGAAGGATGGAAGGGCTTCGGAACAGACCGATACAGTGAGACGGATTCGGCCGCTGAAGCCATTGCCTGGATTAAGCGAAGATGGACCAGGAACAGTGGGATCAGCAAAGTCCGCGGCGTCAATGCAAACACCACCACCCACGAGTGCGTCAAGGAGGAAGATCCCTGACTTTGAATCACTGGGCAGTTTGGGTAGAGGTCCCAGTCCGAGGATAGGAAACCACTTGGAGACACCGAGTCGCTTTTTGGGAGCATCCCCGCGAATGTTTGGCAATTTACAATCGTCACCAGATCTCTTTCAATTAGCTTCGTTGGATCCAACAGGCTCTCCCTTCTTTCCACAACAACGTCTGTTTTGGGACAACGATCAAGATCAACCCACACATGATATCCCCTTCCCAGGCACTCGCCGTGATGCCGCTCACCCACCAAAACCCTTATCGAATACCTCCCTGGGCACCCATATTCCGCAATTGCCTACGATCGATGGTACCATGGACCTTCCCGAATTTAGCGGTCCGTTTGGAATATCTTCTGCCCCGCCTACCGATGCGGCATTGTTTCCTGCGCCTTTCTCTACCTCCCCACGTCTACCTGTTACCAAGGCTGAAGACCCGGCTATGTTCCTGAGCTCACCAGCTCGTCGTTTCGGTGGACCCCAGCTGACTCCAGAGCGGAAACCGTCCCGTGGGCTGAGACAGCCGTACCACCATCAAATCGAAGAGTCGAAGCGTGAAGAGCTCCGTCGTGCTCAGGGCCATGATCGACAAGCTCCTGCCTCATTTTCAAGCTTATCGGATGACGAGGAGGATGACTTGACGCCACGAGTAAGACCAGGATTGACAAGGAGTGTGACGCACAGCGCTCTTTCGAGCTCGTCTCAGCGGTCACTCAGTCAGCCCAGAGGATCGATGCGATCTACCAGCGGGGTCCGTAAGAGCCCGTCAAAGGGCCGAGTATCTCCGGTTAAAGGGGTCCGCCACGCCTCGTTGACAAGATCAGCATCAGTCGCCTCTGGGTTTCCTAGTCGCCCTCCAGTACCTGCAGTGGTGCTTCGTATCGGACGAGATGGCCGTGCGAAGGCTGAAATGGAACCTCTTGATGAGGGTCCCACTGGGCTGACAGACCCATTGACTGGCATGGACCTGGATGGATCCGCCACTGAAAGTGAAGCAGATCCTGCCGAGTATTCTGAATATCCCGTCTTGCCTCGGTCTCAATCGTCGTTCTCCTTGTTCGATGGCAACCGGCCTAACATAGCTCGAAGCGACTCGGGCTCTCGGCCACCTTCCAAGGGATCGTATGCCTCGATTGGCTCATCCCAGTCAGGTCGTGTGTCTCCCTGGGCTGGCTCTACACGAGGTGTTTCTGGTCGATCAACGTACCGAGGTTCTCCTGAGGCTGCAAAGCGGACACCAAAGCGACATTCATCACTGTTACTCCCATCTGACGCCTCATACACTCGTGGAAGCCTTGCATCCCAGTCCTTACCTGGCGATGAGGATGACACCGGTGATGCCCAGGCTGCTCTCCGGCAAGTTCTCAAGGAGCGTGGTCGTGGCCGTGGCCCAAGACCTTCTACTGGTGGTTATGGGGCTCGACTCCCTCGAACCTCGAATACTTTTACACACCTCCGCTCGTCCCCTCCACGAATGCATAGCGATTTTGATATTCAATCTCGACATTCTAATGCCTCACCGACTACTGTCACCGATCCTGATTTAGCCACGCCCCATACGGAGAGACAATGCAATCACAGTAATCCCAGCAACGCCACTCGCTGCATTTGCAATTCTATGGACAATGGTGGGCATCTCATGATTCAATGGTGAGTTTACATTCTTCCTCTACTTTCTACGTTGGGGCATTTATACTGACTTCCCTAGTGAATCATGTACCCACTGGTTACACACAAAATGTGTTGGGCTGGAACGAGCCAACCTCCCCTCGTTCTATGTCTGCATGTTTTGTGTACAAACCCCATCCCGGCAAAACCGAGTTCGCTCGGATTACGGAGCCGGTGGCGGTCCCCCCTCCCTTTTGGCACATAAATCGTTTCGATTTCGGTAAAGCTACCGTTTGTTGATGTACTCTGACGACCTCATTTTTCCTTTGTTCACCTTGCATTAGCCGGGCTCGTTCCCGTCTGTCCTTTATTCCCTAATCTTTTTTGTTCCCTCGATGATACCTGTGTACTACTGTACTATTGCCACATACTTTTTTTCTTCGTTATATAGTTCCTTTTTCATAAGGGACTGGATTGAATAGAATCCTTATTCATATACGATTTTAGTATTTCTGTCCAGTCATTCCAGTGTCTCTACCTAGTAATGTACCTATAGTGTCCAAATGTACTTCTGCATCTTGAGATAAACTCTGCAGATAAGCTTATCTTGTTACCGGCAAGGGTTCCGGCGGTGAGCTTATCGTAGCCCTATAATTGGTCTGATTTCTTATCCGCCTCACCGCCCTTTTATCGGTACCTGAAGAAAGATTTGGCTCCCCGCAAAATTGAAAAACGGAGTCATTCCCCTTCATCTCCACTCGTTTTCTTTTAGGCGTTTGCAACATGTCTGCCTCGATCCCTGGTAAGAGGGACCTACCGGTCTCACAGTACGATCTCACAACCTACTGGGGTCGAGTGCGCCATGCTGCTGATATTTCAGACCCTCGGTAAGTGTTTATTCCCTGTTGAAAGGCGCGTGACCTATTGTGTGGGAATAATATACTGACTCAAGGGTTTTACAGTACCCTCCTTGCAGGCTCTGCAGGATTAGAGAGCGCTAAGGGTCTGATTGCACAGTATAAGCAGAATAAAATCCCTGCCATGACTCCGGATTTGTGGCAGGCTAAGAAAGTGGTCGACGCCACCCTGCACCCCGGTATGAATTGAGATAATTGCGCGAGGGAAATAAAGAAAAAGTCGCTAATATGTGACTTTTAGATACTGGCGAGCCCGTTCTGCTTCCTTTCCGTATGTCATGCTATGTCTTGTCGAACTTGGTTGTTACGGCAGGTATGCTGACTCCCGGCCTTGGTGTGAGTCAACCCTCAATCCTATTTACATGCGGCGCTATGGGATAATACGTGATGTTGTGGATTCAATCTAATCTGTATAATTCAGACGGCCGGTACCCTCCTTTGGCAAATCGGTAACCAATCGCTCAATGTGGCCATCAACAATGCGAACGCCAACAAGTCCACCCCCTTGTCGATTCCACAGATCGCCAAGTCTTACTGTATGGCTGTCTCAGCTTCCTGCTCCGTTGCCCTGGGTCTGAACGCCCTGGTCCCTCGTCTTAAGAGCATTTCCCCGAATACCCGTCTCGTTCTGTCCCGTTTGGTTCCCTTCGCCGCTGTGGCCAGTGCTAGCGCTCTGAACGTCTTCCTTATGCGTGGTGAGGAGATTCGTCAGGGTATCGATGTCTACCCTGTTCTTTCAGAGGAGCAGCGAGCCAACGGAGACCGTCCTGAGAGTTTGGGTAAGAGTAAGAAGGCTGCTACTATCGCTGTTGGTGAGACTGCTATTAGCCGTATTCTCAACGCTACACCTATCATGGTTCTCCCTCCTTTGATTCTGGTTCGCTTGGAAAAGACCGACTGGTTGCGTGCTCGTCCTCGTATGGTCACCCCTATTAACCTCGCTCTCGTCCTTGGTACTTCCCTCTTTGCTTTGCCTTTGGCTTTGGCTGCTTTCCCCCAGCGTCAGGCTATTAGTGCTAGCAGTTTGGAGGAGGAGTTCCAGGGCCGTGGCGGTTATGAGGGTATGGTCGAGTTCAATCGGGGTATGTAAAGTTTGGTTTTGGTTTTTATATACTGGCGTTGCAGCGGATGCATTTGGCATTGCAGGTAGATACTTGTTTCTCGTTCAAATTTTTGGTTGTATAGCCTTGTCTAGAGATTTGAATCTTATGTTATTTACTTTGAATCCATGTTTTGATGTTCGTCAATTCCTATTAGTGGTGAAATGAATGTCTTTCGTCCAAGTATCATATTATTGTAGGCGGGGCTTACTCTTCCATACTACGTCATTTCATGCAGTGTGACTAGCACCATCAATTGAACCATTTTAATCAACTGAAAGTGCGATTAGTAGTAGTAGTAAGACTTAGTTGGGTTTCATCGGACTCCAGCACTTCCAAGGCTGGGATTTGATTGATTGTTCTATCTCTATATAGTACCGTGACTCTGTACCCGGCTCTCAGATCGTCATCTCGACAAATCACTCTAGATATCCGACCCCACCCGTGGATTTGAACAAAACACCTATTGATATACAAACATGAACTCAGTGCGACAATTCTCTATCGAAGAGTTAACAATCTCAACCTTCCACTCGGCCCTCCGTGAAGGCCTTACGAGTTGCAGCGAAGTAACCAACGCATACCTAGCCCGAATCACAAAATACGACCCCACGCTAAAAGCACTCATCAACATAAACCCCAACGCTGAGAATGAAGCACTACAGAAAGACTCAGAAAACAAACAATATCTCACTCAGAATCGGCCATTCCCACCATTACACGGTGTTCCTATTATCCTAAAAGATAATTACACGACATTCGACCTCCCTACTACAGCCGGAATAAAAGCCTTACAATCTCTCCAAACAGTCTCAGATTGTGACATTGTCTCGAGACTTCGTCATGCCGGTGCTATTATTCTCGCTAAGGCCAATCTCCATGAACTCGCTCTTCATGGAACGACGACCTCTTCACTCCGTGGTCAGACGTTGAATCCTTATGATTTACATCGTACCCCTGGTGGTTCATCTGGTGGCACAGCTGTTGCGCTTGCGGCTAATTTGGGGCTTGTGGGCTGTGGTACTGATACGGTTAACTCCCTGCGTTCTCCTGCGTCTGCGTGCTCGATTGTCGGGTTTAGACCGTCAATTGGGCTAGTTGATACCAAAGGAGTTGTACCTGTTTCTGACACACAGGATGTTGCGGGTCCTATGGCGCGGAGTGTTGGGGATGTGAAGATCTTGTTTGATGTTATGAGGGGAAATAATGGAGTTGAGATTGGTACAGGATATTCCGATTCGACTCGACGAGATGGAGGATTGCGTATTGGTATTTTGGATGCTTATTTCGAGCTTGAAGATATTGGATCATGCGAGAATGCTATCGGGGCTGAGAATGCCACTGTACAGAGTATTATTCGCAAAGCTCTGATTTTGATACAGGATTTATTGGATGTTTCTCTGATTCCGGTGGAATGTGATGCAAACTGGGGTATTGCACATCTACTCGCAAATGCAGATACACAGGCTTTCGAGTTCCAGGAATGTCTTGATTCTTTTCTCCAATCGTCTGATATATCATCCACTCCACATCGTTCCTTGGAATCAATAGTGCAGAGCGGTGAATATCACAAGGAAGCCGTGACAGAAGTTTTCTTTGTATCTGTGGAAAATCCAAGTGTTTTCTCCCGTTCAAGTGAGGAGTACCGCGCTCGTCTTGATACCATTGCAGCGTTAAAGGAATCTGTGAAGCAGTGTTTCGATAAACACAATCTCGATGCCTTGGTCTATCCGCACCAGCGTCATCTTGTGGTTAATATCGGAGCAACGAGGCAGCCAAATCGAAATGGCATCCTAGCTGCTGTAACCGGGAACCCGGCGATTTGTATTCCAGGTGAGTATCATCACTTGAGTCTGAGATTCAAAGTTAATCAAGCAATGACTGATCATTATACAGCTGGTTTTAGTCCACCCACTCCGTCGGCTCATCTGGGTATTCCCGTTGGAATAGAATTTATGGGAAGACATGGACACGATGATGAGTTGTTGGATATTGCGGAACAGGTAGAAAGTCTGCTTCAAATAAGACACGTACCAGCTCTTTTCTCTGAGAGGCTTGAAACATGTACATGAGCGCATTCATAGCCCTTGTCTTACTTTGCCAACATTTGAAACCAAACATCTGAAGAGTCGGTGAGAAATGATATTTGGAAGCTATGTATGCCTTAGAAGTACTTATAGCTGTGTAATTTAGTCTACATCTACTAGTATCAAACCGAACCTGCAATCTTGTTCTGATAAGCATTTTCAGTCTCTTCAAAGTTCATTGAACATATTGAATGGCTTATTTCACATGTTTTCCAAGGCTTGTCGGAGTTACATGAAACCCCAATGCCTATATACACCAGTTCACTGCCCCCGTACAATACGCCAAAACAGAAAAATGGTATAATAATCGCAAACTAAGCATCTCCCATCCTCAAGTGAATACTCAAAATGAAACCTGGAAAAATAATGATGAAGAAAAGGCACATGCAAGAATCGCAGAAGCCTGCTGCATATAACCGGCGCCGGAATGAGTGGCAGAATAATAAATAAAACATAGACATAAGATATCACGATGGACCTCCATCGCATGAAATTGTAACCCGGGGAAATAAGTGTGCGAAATGAGTACCTCGACAGGGAAGTGAGAGGGGAATATAAGTCCCGGCCCCCAGGTGATACAAGAATTCAGGAACTGGCCATGGCAGGGGTTGTGTATAACAACGACCCATGAGCTCAGAGCTGACCCTGTAACTCCCAGTATTCCACCGTCGAGAGTGAATAGAAATAGGAAGAAAGAGAACAGGAGAAGTGCGCATCGTTATCATCATTCCCCAATGAGAAAACACCATCCAACCCATCCGTGAGAAAATTACCCAAGAAATATGAACCCATCTATCCATAATGGAACCTTAGAGACGCCGGCGGGATCCCCTGCAAAGATACTATGGCAAAAGCCAGATGACGATGAAAAAGTCATAAGTAGACATGACGGACATGGCATTTATCGTGGATGACGGTGTAATCCCATGCCAATCCTGTATGCCTCCGTGCCATCATCGACTAGAGTCTCCTTGAACCAGGGGTGCTTTAGTGCCTCCTTAGCAGTGATACGTTGCTTGGGATCGTAGACGAAGATCTGGCGCAGAAGGTCCAGGAATTGACGGTTGAAGGGGGGTGTTGGTAGGAATGAAATCCTGGTCATTATTAGCGAAGGGGGCCTCAAGAAACGATGAAAGTGAAATACATACGCTTAGTGCCTTCATCGCACGAACATACTTCCGAGAAGCCCGGGTGGTTTCGGTAGTAGGGTAGTCCAGCTTGGTGCGATTGAAGTACCTGAATAGACGAGTCAGTATATGATGTGAACCGTATGTCTGGTGATAACCTACTTGGCAGCTGAGTTGTGGTTGCCGGCACGTCCTTGCATGACCTGTCGGACTAACTTTGCATCAATCCGAGTATTGATCACAGCCTCCATCATCGCCAAGTGTTCGAGATTATCATGGGTCTGAAATAGAGCATCACCGGTGAAGAACTCCACCAAGATGCACCCTATGCTCCAAATGTCGCAGGGGAAACTCCAGCCCAAGTTCAGGATAATTTCAGGTGCCCGGTAATGCCTTGTGGAGACGACTGAGGAGTGGTATTCGTCATCAAAGGTGGCAGAGCCAAAATCGATCAGCCGGATCTCGCTGTCGAGGAGAACTCGCCGCTGGCGAGCATTTCGCGGGTTTGCGTGGGAAGAGGAAGGGATGGTACGGTTGTAGGTAAAAGTCTGGTAGGCGCTGCTGACGAGGAGAATGTTTTCGGGTTTGAGATCGGTGTGAATGAGGTTGAGGTCGTGAAGAACTGCATCTCAAGTTAGCAAATACTCGGGATTCTGATGAGTTATACAATGAACGTACAGGCCACACTGGTAAAGAGCTGGCGGGCAAAATGCTGAATCTGACTGCTGGGGAAAGGAACAAATCCGTTGCCTTTCAGAAAATCGAACACACTTTGACCTAACAGGTCTGTAACAATGCATATGTGGTTGCGGAAATCAAAGCAGTCCCGCAGATGGATGCATTTGTTGCGGTTGCTCTTGTCGTTCGAGGCAAGAGTCGATAGAACTCGCAACTCGATCCGCGAGGCATCTCGGTACTTTTGGATTGAGCGAATGATCTTGACGGCGCAGCGGGCCTTTCGCTGCTTGTCATAGGCTTCCACCACCTTTCCAAACGTGCCCTGTCCTAGGAGCTTAATGATAGAGTCTAGGAACTTGTCAGCATGGTTGAACCGGAAGACGGAGGAACGTGGAAAACTGACATCGCTCCGTCAGCTGTGTCTCAGGAGTCACAATATAGTGACCATCGTCATCATCGAATTTTTCGTGACGGGAACTCGTGTACTAAGAGGATCGGAATTAGCTGGATTTCCCCAGAAAGGCCAAGGGAAGTGAGCGAAGGAGTGAAGGAAAAGAAAAAGAAAGATAGGACTGCTCACATCTCTAATAACCGGCACAGGTACATCCTTTGCTTTGATTATGGGTTGCGGAGGAGGAATATAGTTGAGAAACGCGTCACCCGCATTCTCCAATTCCCGTCGTTTCTGCTCGTCGCGAGTTGATTTCCGGGTGGTCCGCTTGCGCTTTTGGCCCACAGTGCTATCTTCGTAGTAAGACGCGGCGTTGGCACCGGTGCTGCCTTGAGATCCCATGGATGTGGGGGCAGTCGTGTGCAGGGAAGTGGTTCTGTCCGTAGACAAGGAATTTGACGAATTTTCACCATATTGTTGAGGGTTGATTGAGAATGACGGTCGGTCATAGTAGTTTAGTTCGTAGGCCGTCTCGATTCCCGTTCGTCTCCTCTTGCCCGCGGGCTGAGGCGCGGCAGGTTGACCGGCTGGTGCGCCATGGGCCGGGGGAGCCGGAGCAGCTTTGGCAGCCTCAGGAGCTGGGCTGTCATCGATCACGATGACCTCCTTGGGAATTCCGTTCTTGTAAAACTCACCCCAATCAGGCTTCTTGTTCCGGCCACCTTGCGAAGGGGCCGCACTAGAACCACTTGGGTGAGAAGGCATGCCGGATGGCGTCGAGGTCGCCGGAGCGACTCGAGCGGACTGAGTGAAAGGAAGGGTTGTGGTGTTGGCGGTAGCGGTGGTTGGTGAAGGGACAGAGTAGGTGTAGGGATTTGCCAGGCGAGCCCCTGCGGCGGTGGATGTAGTTGGATAGGCAGAAGTCGCCTGATATGAGGAGTGAGGATATCCGTAGCGCTGGTGAGAAGGATGGGTTGCAGTGGCCGTGGATGGAGTCGACATTGTGTACGGAGGAGTCCCGTCCGTCACACGAACGGTCCTTGGAGCGTGTGGAGAGTGCGTTCACGACCGATTGGCGGCGGTGGAAACGGAGAAACTCCCTCGGACAAATGAATCACACACGACCCAGTGGAAGTCGCGAGGTGTAAGTGAGTCAAGAGAGCTGTAAGAACGAAGGGAAGGGTCGGAAGGGATTTGAGACGTGACAATGACGAGGCGGTCGGAGAATGGGGGGGAATCAGATCAAGCCTGATGCATGTCTAGGGGAATTTTTTTTTTCTTGCTCGAGGATAGATACAATAATATCACGAAGAAGCGGGATAGAAATTGCGAATCATTGAGAAGAAATATAGCGACATTTGGGGGGTAAAAAGGGGAGGGAGGAGGGAGAGAAGAGAAAGATTGAAGTTGATGATGGGAAGGCGACCAGAGTTGGGGACGTAAGAGTGTTGCCGATCACTTTGTGTTATTTTTTTTAATAAGGGACTCGACTTATATTCACTTAGGCATTCACTCTTTTTATTTTATTTTATTTGTCTCAAAATAAAATATGAATCTTTATTATTTTCTATTATTTTTGATCCTTTTTTATTCTTCTTTTTTAACCACTTCCCACTTATACACGTATAGTATTATCTCATCTCTATTCCCCTATATAAGAATATGACAGCGCGTTAGTCTTGAAGTATTCTTGACCGTGCTGATCTTATTTTACAATTTACACTTCCAGGGCGATATTATTGGGTTAAATACGAGACAAATCCCATCACTCAAATTTTGAATTCCGTGTGATATTCTCTCATCCTCATTGCGCGCCGCCACCGGCATGAATAGCCCTGGACTACCCGATCCCACAGAGAGAAGTACAGGAAAAGAGAATTAAATTCTTAGAAAGGACTTAAGCTCTTGAGAGGTCATAAACTACTTGATAAAAATTCAACAGTTCTATCATTTATAGCGAAATAAAATGAATTTTCAACGTGGACTCGTCTAGGATCACCTGACACGGATGAATGGTAGGACCGGCGAATATACGAAGTTTCTAAGTGAAAAGATGAGAATTATGAAGAAATTATGAAAGAAAAGATGGAAGATCATGGTGGCAGACTTGAAGATCCAGAAGCGAGAGAAATATCCGGATGAATTATTGTCCCGCCTAGGTGTTGATAGACTCGAGAGCTGCTATGCTACTAACACTAGTTCAAGTGCTTCCTATATCACCGAGTCATACATGTTAAAATGGAATTTCAGATCAACTGCCCAGGTGGTATCTATTGATCTCATTTTGCAAATAATGGACAACTTGAATCCATATCTTCAAGTTGGGGGCTAGACCCAATTTTAGCACTCCAACATGTTAACCCTCGAGTCCGAGTCTTGAGATCATGATCCTTTCGGTTCAGCCTTTGGGGCCATGGTCATCCTCATGCGGGGCAGAGGTGCCAAGTCACTAGAATCTATTATCTGCAAGCCAAAGCACCTGGGCACTTGAGCACCCGGGATCCGTGGACCAGGGCTTCGTGGAGACTGCCTGGTATTATGTGCATGTCCTTTGCATAGCCGAAGACTCCCTCATGAACATAACAAGACTTCCAAGATTGAACCTCAATCAACCCAGGTGACAGCTTAAATACTGTCTAATTATAAAAAGGTATATGTACTGTTATATCATACTATCATTATACGCATGAAGATGTCATGCTGATCATCGATGCACTATTGCGCTCTATCCGCCGATTTGCGGGGCTTCGCGGGGAAAAGAGAAATCAGGAGTGGAACCAAAACGCCACTACCTACTCAAGTGCATCATGATCAAGCATTCAAGTTGAAATGCACTTGTCAAATTATGTACGTGTTTGCTAGGTATAAACTTGAGACCAGTCATTCTAATGTTTTATCTTGAGTACTACTACTAGTACTAGTAGTAGTATAATTTTCCAAAGATTCACTCAAGTTAAGACAAAAGACCCGCTAAATTACTACTATGTAGTAGTACTAATTCATCCTACCTCTCACTATCAATCTAGCCTCGGGTACAGAGCATGGCCTTTAGGAACCATAATAAAATAGTTCTCAAACTCCATACTTTCATCGGTGGTCGATTCCGCAATCAGCGCCGTGGGGCATTTCTTAAGAAAGTGGAAAATGCCACAGGTGATCTCAAAGATCGCAAGGTGCATACCAAGACAGGCTACATAAATTAGTCCCAACAATTTTGTAAATGAATATTCCGACTCCAAGGTTAACTCACTTCGAGGTCCTGTGAGGAAGGGTGAATATGCGTCCTTCGTTTCCGGGGTTGGGGCATCCCATCGGTCAGGGTTAAAACTGAGAGCGATTTAGCATGCAATACATCCTAACTCTGAATAGAAGAATATCAAGTTCGCAAAAACTACCTGAGAGGATCATGGAAAATCTCTGGATCTCGCATCATTGTAAATGTTTTAAGTGCCCACCGTAGTTCCAGCTGGAATATGATACCCAGCTAGTATGGCCCCCGAAGAGGGTACCATACGGGGTAAACTAGGGCCTCCACCATAGATTCGCAGTGACTCTTCAATCACTTTTTTCAAATATCGTAGTATCATAATATCTTTGGCAGGGGCCTCTATGGGAACAGATGAGATTTCATCCATGAGTTTGTCGCGCACCTCCCTATTACATGGTCTCAGCAATGCATACATGAGAAAGGTCAGTCTGACTGAGGTGGTATCGCTGCCAGCAACAATAAGGTTTCCTGCTTCCTGTGCAAGCTGGTAGTCACTTAGCTCCTGTTTGTTTTTTGTCGGGTCCAAGAATCGAGAGAAGAGACAGTTGGAGGCTTCGGGGTTTTTCATGATGAATTCTCTATGGTTCTGAATTGCGACAAGGCCGTACTCGTTGAGTCGAGATCGAGTACCAAGAGCAACTTGGAGTTTCTTGATGAGGAGATACTGAATTAGATTGAAGGCTGGCATCGTTTCAGACTGAATACCAGTGATCATCATAGTAGTTTCCAAGTCGCGGACGTAGCCAGTTTTCTATACTCAGTCAATAATGGTGAATTAGAAAGAGATCTGCATTCTCAAGTGCTTTGTGATTAAAATACCTCTCCAGTCTCCAAAAGTCCAAATGATTCGCCAAAACTTAGTTCTGCAATCACATCCGTGGCCAAGAATGTCCACCACTTCATGATATCCGCAAACCCATTGACATGAGCATCTCGAGAAAATTTGTCCACTGCCATGGTGATCTTTGCTCTGATCAGCGTTTCCTTGGACATGATTGAGCTATTGCTGAGCTGTTGAGAGAATAATCTCTTTCTGTTCCCATGCTCTCTGGGATCTGTCATCGCAAACAATCCAGGTGAGTCGTGTTTGCCTTCACTATTGGTGAAAGTTTTGTACCACTCTGTTCTGAGGAATTGAGAACCGATGGAGTGTAAAGTCCGGTGTGAGTTGACATCAGAGAATGAGACTTCGTTGGGGGAGATACGGACGCAGTGACCTAGTAGATTGAGACGAGGTCCGAGTCAGTATCCACAAGCATTTTGAGATTACTAGTATAGTAATGTCAGGAGTATGATATACCATAAGTCTGGTGTAAACTATCAATATACTGCGCGCGTTTCCCAGAAACGACGTTCCACTTGAACCAGTAGTGAGTCCATTTTGCATACCATGGTCCTGGCAGTTTGCGCAAAGGGGTCAAGTATGGTCGCTTGATAATCTGGTCTTCGTCAGTCTTCGCTGATCTATGTGGCACACTTGAATCAGTGCACATGTGTAATTTACCGCAATGATTTTGGCGAGTAGTACGATAGATGCTAGTAACTGAATTGTCTGACAATAGTTCATCAGAAATGGGGTCGGAGGTGTCATCTTCAATAATAGAAACTCGGCGTGGTTACAATTTAACAGCGTTGAGGAACATCTTATTCCTCTTGACTCTGCGCATGCGGGGTCTCATATATTAAAAGCAAAGTACTTTCAACCTCGAATTTGTCAGCGCACTCATCTGAGTTTGGAGATTCGACTCGAAAACATTGAAGCTGTCGGAAAGTGGAGGATGGTGCCGAGCGCTTTGACGGTATACTCTTCTTCCAGGTAGATGGTACCAGTGAAGAATGCCAGTGTCTGAATGGGTCAAGCTTCTTCAAAATTCAGACTTCAAGTTCTTTCATTTAAGCCTAAAGCCTCTAAGATACACCAAGGATATTTCCAAGGTTCCCTGTAGATAGATATGGCTTCTTCACTGGCAACAAGGATTGACAGTATTGGCAGTATAGGTATTTGATATGGATTGTCAAAATTTGAACTAGTAGTACATCCGGGTATTGAAAAACCTCGAAAAGGTATGCAATTTCCAAGGTTTTGACACTTTCCAAATGCAATGCCATCTGGGCAGTGTGTATAAATTAATTGATAATAAATCCGAGTCATGACAGTTGATATATCAAGGTTCAAATGTTGCCCAGGTAGAAGTATGTACTACCTAGGTAGTAGAAGTAGTATTCAGTTCTTAGCCGAGACTGAGAAATATCATTTCGTCCAATAGCATTAGATGAAAACCACTTTCTCCAAGTCCGAGCCTTGGGGGAAAAACAGCTTCCTGGATGCCTAGATGTATAATAACGGAGATAGAAAATTCGGCTGAACCCATAATAAAACCATGGAACGGAAATCCACGATTAAGTGCTGATGTGGATACTCTCGCGTGTGATGCTCAGAACGGTAATCTGGATGCTTAGTTGAACCCTAGGGACCATAGGGAACTCAGCCACATCCGGGGGACTACATCCGCAACCATTGCCCGAAAAGGGAGGTGGAGTCAAATTTCAATGACTATTGAACTGAAGAATGTTAATATGCGCGAATGACTGGAAAATTAAGCTTCAGAGTCCTTACGAGTCTTTTCTGTCCAGGCTCCAACCCCGAATAAGGCTTCGAGCACGGATACTTCGATTGGTCGCCTAATATCTGAAATCTGGTACACCTACATCTGACGAGTTTGAAAATGCTTGAATTTGATCCGTGCTAGATAAAGGACGCTTCTGTCAAGTAGATTTAGGCATCCATGGTTAATCTATTCTCCAAGCCCCACCATTATGGTATAAATTGAGGTATCTGCCCTTCGAGTATGAGTTCTAGCAAGAGAAAATCCCAACCTTCTATCCTAGCTTCAAGCACTTGAGTTGCTTCGAGCAAATCCATTTTCACATTTCACACTTACGAGACATTCTATCGAAAACATGCCAACTTCACTTGGAGAGAGGGCTTTGAAAGGAGTTGCAGCTGGTATTGGTCTGGTTTCGGAGAGCATAACTGCTCATAAGACCAAAAAGCAAAACCAGGCCGGCCAGTCGTCCTCAAGAGGAGCATCATCGGAGGAAGATGAGTTGTCTTCTCCTGATCGAGAACAGAATAAGGAGATAGCCGAAGAGTCGGTGACAGCTCTTGAAGAGCAATGGATTCTCGATGAGGCCCAAGAGGAACTCCGTGATTCAGAGGATCAGGAATCCCCTCTAGGATACACTGAGATGGACGAGGGCGCCGATGATGCTGGTCTTGCACGTCAATTCGCAGACTCTCATCCTGCACCTCCACCATATACTCTGAGCGAAATAGTTCCACAGCCGAGACTATCTGCCCCAGTTCTCTTGCCCCAGCGCAGACCCAAGAATCGAGATCGCGGCTTCATTCGTGCATATGCACCCGCCCTCGCTGAATGTGGAATCGATCAGAAGACTTTCCTGGATTTTTTGGACACTGCTGAGAAGGGCTGTCGGGCCGCACCTTGGCTTCGGGCAATCAACCTGGCTTCAATTGGGACAATGTGGATGCCAACTGTCACAGGTATGGCAGTCTCTATTGCTATTCAAATTGCGACGGATGTTGCCATTGCTGTTGATGGACGTCGAAAGTAAGTAGTAATAATCGCGCTGAATCATTGACTCAATCTTGTATGCTGACCTCTTTCCTTTTAGAACGAGTTCCTTCTTTGATCAAATCAATAAAGACTTTTTCCAGCCTCGTGGACTCTTCTGTCTTGTTATGACATGGAATCCGGAACTAGCTGATTCTCCATGCACCACGATTAACCTGAATTCCATGATATCCCAAGCTGCGGATAGGGAATCTGGGAGGCTCGGTCGCTTGCAGAAGAAATTCAAATCCTCAGATGGAAAAGCATACGGCAACATATTCCCAGAAGTGGCACCTCTCATCTTTCCAGATATTGACCAGCTAGCTTGCGATAAAGATGCGAAGAAGAAGTTGTCTGGTTTGAAAAAGAAGGGGCGATTCGTGGGTAAATACATGGATAAAAGAGCTCAGGCTAAGTTTGTGAGTTACCAAATACACCATCATCATGCAAATATTGTGTCTAATGAGAATTGAATACAATTAGATCTATGAGAACCCCGACAGTCATCTCAGCCAGGTTCCAATGCCTACCTTCACTTCCCGATACGCAAATCCAAACCATGCTGCCAGCAGTGGCGACCCGATTGCCTTGGTCACCGGTGGAAAGTTCACACGCGAGAAACTTTCAGATATGAAGGGAAGAGGACCCCGTAGAATCCTTACCGAACGATTCTCTTCATACGATTCACAAAGCGATTCACCAAGAGATACGGGATCAAACTCAAGCTCGAATCCTCCCGCGCCATATGGTCGCAGTTTCGGCCTGAAAGATGCTATCAATCAGGTTAAAGATATTCGACGCTCAGGAAGCTTTACACAGTCATCGCCTAGAGGATCGCGGGATGAAGGGAGAGACTTTGATCTACAGAGGCTTCGCGCAGCAAAGAACAATGTCGGTCTGCTTACGCCAATCACTAAACTCTTGAAAAAGGTATGCCTCTTTTATATTTGATCTGCAGTTTTTATATTGATCTTTGAAAAGGAAGTACTCTATCTGGCTATCGTTAATATGCCATCTGAGGAGGAGATGCAACGAGCTCACGAGGCAGTGAGGCAAATGGCATAGAGCTGAGATCAATAGCATCATATTATAAGGAAGTTATTGATCTAAATGTTGGGGCTATAGAAGCATGATTATAATTTGAAGTTGGAATAAACCATTGACAGCGTTTTTGACTTGATCAAGCTTACCACCTACTAAATCGCTTTGCATGCCCATTGTTGATACTTGGGAGTGGAACATTGATTATCTCAAGTCACGACCGATATCGGTTTGGGTAGTGTTACTGCCCAGGCGCGAGATTAAGGATGATAAGGAGTGAGAAATTTGTAGAACTGTTTTAATTCGTATTTTCTTTTCAATCTCGACTGACTAGAAACCATGCTTGGACCCATTTCCCACAGTCGAGAAATAAAAAAAAACAGGACGAGCCATATGCGCTATTAACTCTATCGCACAAATGCATGGTCTGCTGATATTTGGGAAAGAAGAACATTAAAAGAACCCGATGCCATAAGACTCAGAGTAAAGAAAAAAAAACAAAGATCCGTAACGCCACGAACCAGACTCACGAAGATGCAAAAAATCCTAGGGCATGGGTGAATGGTCATGGTCATGTTCCCTTTCATTTGCCCTCTCAACTAGATTAGACACCCATGAAAAGAGAAAGAAACAGATATGGAAAAGAAATAAGAGTACAAGGGTCTGGTTCATCAAGCTGCACGATCCTCCTTTGGATCCTTGGCATAGCCTCGTTGCACATGTTTGATGCCTCGACCATCCGCCTCCAGCATAAACAAGAGATCGCGAACTTGAATACCGGCTCCCTTTTCTTGGTCCTCACGCCAGGCTCCGAGTCTGCGCTTCGGCTGATCAGCTGGGGTCTCTCCAGGTCGAGTGGCCTTGTCAGGCACGGCAGTCGGTGTCGAGGGAGTAGGGCGTGATGGGGAGGAAAATCCACTGGAAGAACCCCCGGGCTTCAACCACGAGTATGACTTCTTAGTTCCAAACATACGACCTGAAAGCATGCTATTCGTAGCCATTCGTGCTGTTTCAACAGATTGTTGGTGCTGCTGCGCCTCGCTGGCTTTGGAGTCCATCATCTTCTTCGCCTCCTTTTTGGTCATAGATTTTTTGTCAAAGCTGGGAGCTCGCTCCGGAAGTGGCGTAGAGGGAGCTGATCCGGAAATATCCACAGATTCCGCCCGATTACCCGTAATTTCTCCAACTGTGGCATCAGCGCTGCGCTTAGCGCGCTTTGCAGCACGTCTATTCTCCAGCGATGACTCCCTATTCACAAGGCTGCGGTATCTTTCCGCAGTAGATTTGGTGAAAGGAATTTCGTTCTCATTGCGAGGACCTAGAAATTGTGTCAGTATGGAAAAAAATGTCCTATAGGTCTGTTTTATGTCATGAACGACATACGCTTAGAAGGGGTCGCATAGTTGTCTGGAACCGAATCAAAAGGCTGTGCAACATCCTGCCACGCGTCTGGGATCACACCATGTGAGTGTGCTCGGCGACTGCGTGCTAGACAGGAACCGTAATCGATTATGCCTCGAAGTCGCTCTTCACAGGACAGAGACATGAGGTTCAAGATGTCCACCAAAGGAGCCCCCTCTTGATTCAGAATGGTCTGACCAGTACGAATGATGGAAGACCCATCAGGACCAGTTACTTCGATAGGTTGCGGGCGACCTGGAACAGGGTGAAACAGACCCTCGGAAGGAATGCGAACACCCAGGTCAAATCCTCGTTTTTGGATTTTTTGTTCAAGCAGCTTTGCAAACAAGAAGGGCTCTTGAAGGTGATATTGAGACCTTCTGGCAGCTTCCGTATCGGGAAGGGTTGGCTGATTCGGATCTTTGAATGGAACGGGCGTTTGTGATGCTGGCTCGGAGTATGACTGTTGCGGGATAACAGGTTTCATATGAGGCAGCTCGCCGAAACTACTCGAGGCTGAGAGTGTGCCTGTTGTAGAGGCCTGCGAGACGAAAGATGTGTTTATTGGGGATGGGTGTTGAAGCATTTGCCCTCGGGGAACCGGCTGCGCCTGCGCATTGGGCCCGGAGAAGCTGCGCGTGAGGAATGCCTCTTCTTCCCGCACATCAATACCAGACGATGCCAGAACATCGGTTAACTCGGCTGCATCAGTGGTTTTATCGACTGGGCGCGAGGGCGGACCCATGGTACCCGGGGGAGCAGGTGCGGCGACTGGTGTAGATGGCATGCTGTTTGGGGCAGTTCCGTTCATGGGAGTCTGGCCTTGCGGGAGTTGCATCGCGCCAAAGCTAGGTGAGGCGTAGGGTGACTGCGACTGAGAAGGTGGGAGAGGAGAAAGCCGAGGTCGTTTCGATGGCGGAGGCGCGGCGCCTCCGTTAACAGGCGAAGCGGAGTGTGGGGATGGAGAAGAGACAGGAGGAGAGAAAGGTTGCGAAGTGAATTGTGCAGGCGGCTGTTGCTGCTGGTGAGAGGGGCGAGTTTGCGCCATGGTGAATTATCGCAGAGACGCGAGAGAGGCGGCAGATGATAGGATATTCGATTATCACGCTGTTCTTTCAGAGGCGATCGAACGTTTACGCGTGGTCGTTGAAGTGAGCGGGATGCTCACACCAGGAGATGCCACCAGACGTGACCATCTCAGAAGACCACCAAAACCATGAGTTCGACGCGGGGAAATTATCGTAGAGTGAAACCGGATACTAAAGGATGCAACAGGACAGATGGGAGAAACGTAGGCGATGCGGAACGAGGGGAACAGGGAGCTTTCACGTTATTGAGGTTTTGCTCCGCGGATCGCGCTGGTCACGTGGCGTTGGACCTTCTAGGCGGTGACCAGCGGAGCAAGCATCTTTAATTCTGCTTGTTTTTCTGTCACTTGTCTACGCAATATACTGTTTTTCAATACATATTCACATAATGTACCCTAGGTATGTATATAGGTCTGCATATTCGAAGTCGCCCTCTCCAAAGTCTCCCCTTAGCTATCTAAATACCTTCCCCTGGTTTTCCTGGATTTACATCGTCAATGCAGACTGGCGGCTTACCAGAAAGGGTCACCGCCCTGTGATTATTTTTGATAGATAAAGCAAACAGTGCAAACATTCCGAAAGAGGTATTCTGCCTGAAACCTTAGGCGCATGTTTCTGCATGTTTCTGGATAACGTGATTCCCAAGCGAGCGGCCACCTGACCGCCTACCCTACAGCTTTAATTATAATCATTAGAACCATAACGCCAATTTGTTAAAATATTTATCTAAATATCACAGTGATCTGATCTATGTCCTTCTTCTCCACACTTCTTACATGTTGGCAGCTTTCTCCTAGCTAGCTGAGAGGGTAAGACAGGTGCCCTGGGCCGCGGTACGGGAAGGGCAACTGGTGTTTCAACCACCTGTCTAGCACGCTGTATAGCTTCCTGGCTCTCTTGAACCGTCATTCCACCCTCATTAGGTATCTGCCTAGTAGACCGTTGGCGCTTCTGCTTCTGCTTCTCGTGGGCGGCACGTAATTTACGTGTTTCAACCTCCAATAAAGCTGTCGAATGCATCTGAATTTCACAGGCCTTAAGAACTTGATCGATTTGCTGTTTGAGTGGACTTGGAGGGCTCTTTGAACGTTGTTTTAGAAGAGCTTTGATTTGGGGTGTCTTGGGTGAAAATTGGCTTGATCGACTTGGTAGGGCGGCTACCTGGGGGTGTAGGTGTTCGAAGAAGAATATTAAGCTTAGAAAGTACTTGATCTGGGTTGAATGGTACTAAACCAGCTGCAGCAAAGCTGTTTTGAATGGTTTGGGTTTGAAAAGCCTCTTTACGAGCGATTGGGCAGGCTTCAAGAAAATCAAATTTATCGATATAGTTAAAACCAAGCCGCATTTGATTCTCAACAAGCCGACCATATGCACGTTTAAGAGGTGCAAAACATGCAACATCAAGTGGCTGATGAAGATGTGAAGAATGGGCTGGTATGCAAATTGGAATAATATTATTCTCTTTGCAAGTCTGGTCAAATTGGGGAGTTAAATGGCTCCCATGACCATCAAGAATCAAAAGTCGATATTTTCCAAGTGTCCGTTCAGTTGTTGCTGGATTAAAGTGTTTTTAAAGCCATCGAAGTCCAATCTCATCAGTTGTCCATCCATTTGGATTAGTTTCGAATCGCCAATCAGATGGAAGATTCTCAACCCATCCTTTAATAAGAACTTTGCCTTTGAAAATAATCACTGGTGGGAGTACCCAACCAGATGAATTAATTGTTCCAATAGCTGTTACCCATTCACGATTTCCAGGTTGTAAAAGTGATCGCCGACCGTAAAATTCAGAGCGAGTCATAACTTTAGCAGTTGTTGTAAGTCCTATTGTAAATCCAGTCTTATCAAAGTTATAGATATCCTCTTGAAGAATACTATTCTCTTGGATTATTTGGAGAACCAGATTAAACCACTCTTGAACCATTTTTGGATCCTCCATCTTCGTACGTTCGTAATTATAGCATTGAGAGAAACGGGTAGGAAGCTCTGAATTTCGTTTAACAAAGTTTGTAACCCAATTCTTGCCAATAGTTTGAGGGGGGGAGGGGAAGGTGTCTGTCCACGGGCTGCGAGTAGAATATTGGCCATTTCTTGGACAGTAGCAGGCCGCGTGGCAGCTCCGTGTATATTCATAGAGATCACCCATTGGAAAAGTGAATTCTCTTCATTTTCGGTTAGTTTATGATTATTTGCGTGAGTTTCCGCCCGATTTGTACGACCGATAAGACGATGATGGAGGGATGAGAATGGAACATTAAATTGACGTGCTACCTCGCGAATAGAGGGAATTTCTTTTTTCTGAATAGCATCAATAGCAAGCATGATCCTCCACTCTTGTTCGAGAGAATTTCGGGAGGTATTAGAGCGTATTGGTGGCATGGTAGGTGGTTGAAGATGGCAGGACGCGGTCGCGACGCGATTCTTGAGTTGGCTGATCCACTCGCTTGGGTGATCCACTCGCTTGGGAATTACGTTAGTAAACGCCTTAATAAGCACCTGGCTTTCAAGGTTCCCGACCGCCCATGAAATGCTCGAGCATTCATCCAAATCACCGCGCATCTTGCTGTCATTATTCGACAATTAATTCTTTTTTTCCAACATGGATGTGGCCTGTTACAGGTCCTGAACGTCCAATCCTCACTTAAACCCGTCTTACGGGTCTACAATATCTTGCGACTTACACGATTCTGCCAAACCGCGACGAGCGAGACCACGACCAACACGGCACACCAGCACGCCGAAGTCTCTTTGAATCTTCCCTCGACCGGAATACATCGCAATGGCGGCTAAGCGCAAAGCCTCAGTAATGGGCGTTGGGGATGACGAACCAGTGGACCCTTCCGATGAGCTAGCGTTCTACTGTCTGGGTGGAGGAAACGAAGTAGGACGATCATGTCACATTATCCAATACAAGGGCAAGACAGTCATGGTAAGCTTGAATTCGGAAACTTTGGTCAATTCTGGGACGCTAATGTATAATGCGCTCCCATCACAGCTCGATGCTGGTATGCACCCAGCTAAAGAAGGGTTCTCGGCGCTTCCCTTTTTCGATGAATTCGATCTCAGCACAGTAGACATACTCTTGATCAGCCAGTAAGTGACGTCCTTCTTGCGTGCATTACACCATGTGCGAACTTGGATTCCCGATTTGTCCGACAATGCGTCGCATTATATTGCCCTCGACTATCAAGAAACCCCGAGGCAACCAATACGATTAATTCTTCCTTTACCCTATGCTATCGCGCTATTCAGTTTCTGAATATCTGCTAATGTTATCTTGCATTGCTTTAGTTTCCATGTCGATCATTCCTCAGCCTTACCTTACGTCCTCAGCAAAACGAACTTTAAAGGTCGTGTCTTCATGACACACGCGACAAAGGCGATCTACAAATGGCTTATCCAGGACAATGTCCGGGTCAGCAATACATCATCCTCGTCAGATCAGCGCACTACGCTGTACACCGAACGTGATCATCTCTCAACCCTGCCTCTCATTGAGACCATCGACTTCAATACAACCCACACTATTAACAGCATCCGTATCACTCCATTCCCCGCTGGTCACGTTCTGGGTGCAGCTATGTTCTTGGTCTCCATCGCTGGATTGAACATCTTATTCACTGGCGACTATTCCCGTGAAGAAGACAGACATTTGATTCCAGCTGAGGTTCCCAAAGGAATTAAAATTGATGTTCTGATCACCGAATCCACTTTCGGTATTTCGTCTAATCCACCTCGACTGGAACGAGAAGCCGCCCTCATGAAGTCGATCACAGGTATCTTGAATCGTGGAGGTCGTGTGCTAATGCCAGTTTTTGCTCTCGGTCGTGCACAAGAACTGCTTCTTATTCTAGAAGAATACTGGGAGCGCCACCCGGAATTGCAGAAAGTACCAATCTACTACATTGGAAACATGGCTCGACGATGCATGGTTGTATACCAGACATATATCGGAGCCATGAATGACAATATCAAACGTCTTTTCCGTCAACGTATGGCCGAAGCCGAAGCAAGCGGAGACAAAAGTGTCACAGCAGGACCATGGGACTTCCGCTTCGTTAGGAGTCTTCGAAGCCTTGAGCGTTTTGATGATGTTGGTGGATGCGTGATGATTGCCTCGCCGGGTATGCTGCAAACGGGAACCAGCCGAGAACTACTCGAACGATGGGCACCCAGTGAGCGTAACGGTGTGGTGATGACGGGTTACAGTGTTGAGGGTACGATGGCCAAGAATTTGCTTAACGAACCTGACCAGATTCCCGCTGTTATGTCCAAGGTCTCAGCGATGCAAGGTCGAGGACGAGTGCCCGGAGGCAACGATGAAGACCAGAAGGTTATGATTCCACGCCGCTGCACAGTTGATGAAATCAGTTTCGCTGCCCACGTCGATGGCGTTGAAAACCGTAATTTCATTGAAGAGGTTGCTGCTCCAGTCGTGGTACGTATCTCCGGATTCCCTCCAAAGCGAATCCCTTGTTCTTTCTTCTCCTCTCCCAATATCTCTATTCTTACTTATACTAATCTACTACTAGATTCTGGTCCACGGTGAAAAGCATCAAATGATGAGACTTAAATCCAAGCTTCTCAGTCTGAATGCCGATAAGACAGTTAAGGTCAAGGTCTACACCCCTGCAAACTGCGACGAAGTTCGCATTCCTTTCAAGAAAGATAAAATCGCCAAAGTGGTTGGAAAATTGGCACAGCTTGCCCCTCCTTCCGAGCAGGACGACAGTCAGCTCATGGCGGGAGTTTTAGTTCAAAATGGCTTTGATCTGTCACTTATGGCCCCGGACGATCTTCGAGAGTACGCTGGCTTAACAACCACCACCATCACCTGCAAACAACATCTTACCCTTAGCTCCGCCAGCATGGACCTAATTAAATGGTCTTTGCAAGGCACTTTTGGAGCCATCGAGCAGGTCGGTGTCACTAATAAAGAAAAGAAACCAGTCAACGGAGATTCCGAGGCTGCCGACGAAGAGTATCCTATGGAAGAGACGCAGACATTTTTGATTATGGGTTGCGTAACTCTGCGACACCACCCAAGAACGCGCGAGGTCGAACTGGAGTGGGAGGGTAATATCATGAATGATGGTGTTGCCGATGCTGTCATGGCTGTTCTCCTGACAGTGGAGAGCAGTCCCGCCTCAGTAAAACGTAAGAGAGCGCATTCTACCTGTTCCTTTTTACATTGATACTAATAATTCTTTCTCAGAATCCGCTAAACATAATCATCACCATCACCACCATGACGATGAAATTGACTCCTTCGACTCCTTCCCTAACCCTCACTCACATGTCGATTCAGAAGATCGACTCTCTCGTCTTCTCATGATGCTCGAAGCACAATTCGGTTCAGACATTGCCCCTATTGAGCGCCCTCGGGTGCCCGCCGAACTTGTCAATGGCACGGAAGATGCTGACGAAGCCGCTGAAATTAACGAGGAGCGCGTTGCTGATATTGAGTCCGCTGAACTGGACCGCCTCCATGCCTTGGGAATCCCCGTCCCTGGTATTGAGATCAAGGTGGACAAACATGTTGCCCGAGTTTGGCTGGAGACCCTGGAAGTTGAATGCTCAAATGCTGTTCTCCGTGACCGCGTTCGCATTGTTGTTGAGAGAGCAGTTGAGACTATTGCGGGTCTGTGGGCAGCCACCTCGATGCCTAAGGAAGTCGTGCTTCCCAACGGAAGAGCCTATGAGGAGATTGAGGCAGCAGCAGCAAAGAAGGCCGCTGCTATCGAAGCATGAATTTAATACCAATGTACGATAAAGGGATTCATCATAGTGAACCAAAATGGGAGCTTATACTCCATATCAACTTTGTCTTATCTAGTCTGCTTATAGGCCTCGCTCTTGTTCCATAGATATCTCGAATACCTTTAACATAAGAAAACAACTTGAATGAGCTAGATCCCATTTATAGTTCCAACCCCTTGAAAACTTCATCAAGAACCTTGACAGTAACATCAACAATGATATCAATCTCCTCTTTGGAGACAATGTAAGGTGGTGCTAAGATGATGTGATCACCACGAACACCATCCGCAGTTCCTGGACTTCCGTACAACGAAATAGCAAATTCCGGTTGTAAAGCCTTTTCCTGGATCAGGAAAGAGAGGCGTGTTTTTGTGTCGAATGGCTCCTTGGTCTTCTTATCCTTGACAAACTCAATCTATAGAAAGATCAGCAAATTGGCAAACTTGAGTGTTAACAATGAAGTTAAGCGTTTATTTACCCCCCAAAATAATCCTTTGCCCCGAATATCTCCAACATACGGATGATTCCCGAGATGCTCACGCAGCTGTTGCTCCATATAGGCGCCCATATTACGCACATTCTCCAAAAGTGACTGCTCCTTGATAACCTTTTGCACGGCCAATGCAGCAGCGCATGAAATCGGATGTCCTTGATAGGTTTGACCATGGCGAAACATACCTGTCCCCTTATCCAGTGTCTCCACAATTGAATCCTTGATCAGGATCCCGGAAACGGGGGCATAGCCACCTCCCAGACCCTTTCCAATGGTCTGGATGTCAGGAACTACATCTTCTTGTTCCCAAGCATGGAGAGTTCCGCATCTACCCATACCACTCATGACTTCGTCGAGAATGAATAGAGCGCCATACTTCTTGCAAACAGCCTTCATTGCTGGGAAGTATCCTGGCACAGCAGGAACACAACCAAGAGCCTAGAAACGCAATCATGTTAGTGGACTGACCTCATAGTTTGCGACGTGACATCTTCGACTTACCGCGCCAACAACTGGCTCTGCAATAAAGGCACACACTGTCTCTGGGCCCACTCGCTGGAATTCGGCATCCAGTTCGGCAGCAAGACGGGCGACATAGTCGGCGTCGGATTCACCCTCCTTCTTACCACGGTATGCGTAGCACGGAGATACGTGAGATGTGTTCTTCGCTAGAAGTGGCTCGAATGGTTCTCTTCGAATGACATGTCCACCGACGCCAAGAGCACCGAGAGTAGTGCCATGATAAGAAGGCAGGCGAGCAATGAATCTAGTTCGATCGGGTTGAGCGGTAGGTAGCTCGAGAAAATATTGGCGAGCTAATTTCAAAGCAGCTTCAACGGCCTCAGATCCTGTATGTAAATAATGGGTTAGGTTCAATGCTTGCACTAAGAAATCAATTGGGATTTGAACTGAACTGACCAGAGCTGACTACAAATAACTTTGAGAGTTTTCCTCCGGTAGAATCAACTAGCACTTGAGCTAGCTCTTCTGTGACATTAGTTCCAAAGAATGCGGAGTGGCAGTAGGAGATCTGATCGATCTGGTCTTTGATGGCTTGCTGAACTTCTTCGTGGCCGTGTCCTAGGCATGAGACGGCGGCACCACCAGTCGAATCAAGGAACTTTGTACCATCTTCTAGAAAGATGTAGCTTCCTTTTCCACCGATGGCTTTTTTGGGAATGAAGTGGGTATCTCGGTGCAGTACCGCACTGCGCAATTGGGTAGAGGAATCTTGTTAATGTAAGTATGATAAGCGTGTATGAGGATGATTGTTACATACCAAGTTCAGACATGTTGATAGAATCTTCAATAAATCATTCAAATGTTAAAATGTGTAGTTGAAACCCGAATTCATAGAGATAAATGTGCCCCTCTTATAGTTATCAAAACCCGAGGCAATTGATAATGGAGTAAAGTGGGTTCGGCATGCCGATCTGGGGATGCCGATCTTCCTATTGGATTAACAGTAGATGTCCCACTACAATCGGTAATATCGGGATTGAATTGAAAGACGGCAAAGCGGACTAATTTCCGACATTTTCCCTATTATGGTCCCTTTTGCGCTCAGATCGCTATATCTTATCATGCTCCAAGCCACGTACCATGGTGAGTCATGGTCGAAAGCGTGCCCCGCATTGCTACTGAGCCAGTTTAATTTCGAGTACGTACTCGTATGGTGCCACCATGGGCATTGAACCCTTCCAAGGTTCTGAGGTTCTGAGTCACAAAGGTCTTATCCTAGGCTAAGGTTCATTCTGATAGCACCTGAATGGCATTTCTCTCTATCTAGAGGTGACTCACGAGATCCTCCATTTTCATCATGCATTGAAGTTCTCGACTTCATTTCAAACCTGACTCAGAATGTTCAGAAAATCACTGATAACTCATTTCTAGTCCGTCGGACTCCCGCCATTGCGATATTTCCAAAGACGACTGAAATCCTTCACGCGAAGAACTTGATCATCCGTTTTGTCCGGAGACCCTTGAGAGTCCGAGATTGGGAGTAATGTCTCCTCACAGTCGTCTTCCGGCATTTTCTGCGAATTCGTTTCGACTTCCATATCCATGAATGGGTTGTTTTCCAGTACTTTGTGATCCGGGCCAAGGGTAAACATTGGATCTAAGTAGTGTTGATTGAGGAGATGGCCTGATCCTGGATGCACAAAAAAACGACCCATGTATCGGTTGGGAATGTTGATAAAATGGAAAACGCCAATCCAGGCCACAATATCCACGGTATTGGCATAATGCTCGATGTATCCGACCGAACGATTCTGCTCTGACAGTCTGCAGGAGTGCGACCCATTAGCCTTCGAGAGCCATTTTCGGGTCGGATTGTTGAAATGATTAGCTGCGTTGGCAAACGTGTAAACTTCGAGGTGCTGAAGGACGTCATGCGGAAGTGCATCGAGAAGCCAATCAATTACCAGACCCCCCTCGATGCCTCCTTGACTGTGTAGTATAAAGACCACTTTTTGACAGGTCGGATCCAACAAGGCGTTTTTGACCAGCGGATATGCTGCTCGTATATCTCCAGTGGCATAGGAAAAGCAACGTTGAATCACACATTCAATCAAATCGAATACAAAGCCAGATCTAAAAATTCAATTAGTATGGACCAGAATCGTGATTGACTGAGTTGCAACGTACGTGCGATTATGAATACCCGTGATCTTCCGACCAAAAGTATATGATAGTTGATCAACATTTTGTTGCACCCAAGAATGGCTAGATCTACATGAGCTTGGGAACACAAGGAAGCAAGGAGTTATTCTGCTATATAAAACTCACCTGCCTGCTATACCATTGATGAAGAACCAGCGTTCGCCAGAATGGCTCGGTTGCTCAGGAACCGGGACTTGTGACACAATGAGCCTCTGAAAGCCGTTCAACAGAACCATGCAGAACACGTGGTTCAAGGTCACAACCGTGACAATATACAGAAAGATCCACAGTCCAGGAACCATCAAGATTATGGCGATGGGGACCGAAAGCAGGAACAAGACCTGGTAAACAGCGAGGAGTACTTGAGATCCTGCTGATATGCCAGTTCGAGCGGATGGATATAATTCGTCGAGGTGATCGGTCCGACCTATACGAAGAGGCAAAAATGCAAATGGAAGCGCCCATGCATAGCGTAAAGCAAGGCATATGTCGCTCCACAGCAGCTTGAATGGGGATGCTGTATACGGTAGCGGGGTTGAATTGGGCCGGTATGTTATTCGAATCTGAGGGGTCATTTTGATTTGTCTCGGAGAAGACCTGATTGTCTATATCTAACACTTGGGACGAATTGAAGAAGGGGGGGGGGGAGGAACTTGTTTATTGAAGAAGTTCGGATTATTAGAACAATTGAAGTTGACATGTGCAAGTTTGGGAAAGTCCAAAACAAAAGTCCCAATGTACCATCATGTGATAATTAGGAAGCCACGTCCATCTATCCATGGATCTTGTTTTATCTTCTAAGGTTTGTGTATATATCCCGAGGTCAAGTCAATGTATGGAAAGACAGCAAAAAAGGTCAAAAAATGAAAAAGATATTGAATTGAGTAATCTTGAAGGATTGACAAATAGACATTATTGACAAGGAGTCACGGTAAGTCATAAAGAAATCCATGTACAAAGAATTGAGTAAGCAATCTCGGATTATTGATACAATGGGACCAAGGAGAAGGAACCTCGCATTCCCAAACAAATGAATAGAGAGAAGAAAAGAAAATGACCCGTAGCCGTAGGGAGATGGCCAGCAACTCTCAAAGGACCCGCGGGATTATGCAAAAACAGTTGTCACATTCTTGAAAGTTCATCGCGGTTTTAATTGTGGATCACGCTGTTAGATACAGCATGACTCGGCCCTTTAAGACTGTCAACAGTCTTTCGGCGCAGCCGAGTTCGAGTCGCTGGGCCCTCTGATGAGATCACCACGGGCTCATGCTCAGGCTCCTCGGCGGCAATCTCAGCAGCCTTAGCGGTGTCCAAGTCGACTTGCTTCTGTGCCGAATCACGAGCACGCTCGTACTTAAGCTTAACTTCTCCATTCCACTGAGTACCGAGCAGACGGTCCCAGAAGATAAAGAATGGCTGGGAGAAGTTGGTCTTAATACCCCAACTTTGATGGTGGATATCATGGTAGGCGGCATTGTTGGAAGTGAAGTGCTGAAGAGGGTCCCAAGGAAAGGCATAGCCACAGTGGTCATCGACGGTCTTGATAGTTGACATCGTGAAGAACCACATTCCCTGGCGGTTGGTCATTCCAGAAACCAAAAACCCGATACCTGTTCCAGCGGTATCCAAGAGGAACCCTTCCACTGGGTGGTTGTACAGAGCACCGAATGCGTAGGGAACGTAAAGGCGATGGTGCCGGGAGTGGAAAGTCACTATACGCAAGTTAGGATAAAAATGTTAAAAGGGGGTCGAAATAAATCACACATACCATAAAGCCAGCGGTTCAGGTGCATCGCCCTGTGCAGGAAGTACTGCCAGGTATCGACGATGGAGATTGCCAACAAGAACTGGAGAGCCGGAATGAAGTACCAGTAGATGAAGCTGGCCAAGGATAATTCCCAGTTGGTAAACGCGGGCGCAGAGACCTCCGCCCCGCTCTCGAGGATCAGTGATTGCATCACATTGGGGTATGATCCCCCAGCTAGCACTCCAGCCAGCCATGTGTGGCCGCTCTGTGACACTGATTTGGCCAGACCCGTTGCGTCGATGCCAACAAGTGCCAACATCGGGGGAATGGCCCGCTGAGCAATCCTCAGTCGCTGTGCCCACACCGCTACATCATAGTCCTCCTGACCAGTCATCTCGATTGGATCAAAGTAGGCCACCGACATGCCTGCAATGGTTTGAACGACCTGTTGTAAGATTACATCACGCACCACCTCCAATCGGGTAACGCGGTTTCGCTTCAACAGCTCTGCGGGGGTGTGAAGGCGATATTGTTCGAAGCAGCCGTAGACATCTAACAGGTGATAGACCAAGGACAGTCCCCAGTATGCAATAATGGGGAGCATCAGGGCGAGGACATTATCGGGGATCGGCGCGAGAACGGGCTCTCGGACGGTCAGTGTGTAACTCGGAAGTGGCGGGAGGTCGAAGGCGACCGACGCGTTGACGGCCATGATGTTGACAATGCTGTTCAATGTCGATAGTTGATTCCAAGTGACCGAGGAGTATAGATGAGCGGTCTAATAGAATTACTATCAAGATAAGGGAAGGAAAAACGAGGCCCGGAGTCGATAACGAGGAGAGAAAAAATGTGGATGGTGTCGCGCGATAAGCTTGAACTTGAAATATCGGGGGCGAAAGAGTGGAAAAGAACTTTTGACAGTAGCGACCCTGGTAAGATTTCAAAGGAGGAGCAATCTGTGTTCGAGTTGAAGCACAAATCACAACCTTACGCCATGCGGATAAGAATAAAAGAAAGATGATCAGAGAAGATAAAGGATTAAAGGTGATCAGGAGGCGACAAGGCAAAGAAAGTGGCGCCAGTCGGATGCGGCGAGAACGGGTTACAATAGACTAACCAGAAAGAGTCTTCCTATTGGTGGATAGGGCAACGGGGCTGTATTAAACTGTATTGTATTGTAATAAATTTCAATATTTTCGATTTCTACAATAAACAGTCTCCATAATACGGAGTAGATTCACAATTATTTAGTAGATTGTTACATTATATATGAAAGAGTACAAAATTCAGAATATTTGAACATATTTAACGTATGTCAGCCCCAATCATGTTATGTATTGCCAGGTGAGTGGCCTGACTTCAAGTTGTATCTGCTCAGCCCTGTAACTGTTCAAATGTACTCCGTTCCCATCCCGCATTCGGAGACTCGGAGTACATACTACCTATGATACTACTGCCACCGGCTACGACTCGGACCTTATGACTTTCAACCTTAGTTTGATGTATAAATGATATTATTGATTTATTAGACACACTCATTTATTAGTATTACATGCATCATGGTCTTGCATAGCAACGTTTTTCTCGTGAAGGGACCTTCAAATTACCTAGGTAATGGTAAACAGCAGCCCTGGAGGGCTGACATGGATTACTAACTATATTCGCATATGTACATCGAGTATTTATTAGCGCATGTGCCTCTTGAATGCCAGTGGGCTCAGGATCTTCTTTAGTCGATCGGTTCAGAGAATTGCATGAGGTTATGACTGTGGCTTGATTTAAATGTGCCTTTTACTACCCACGTATTTGATTGAGCACTTGAAGGAAGTAGATCTGACCACCGCAAATATTACGAGGGAATGGTACTATTGATGTTGATTAGCCGTCTGCACCAGATTCCCTCGGGAAAGGGTTATGGATCTTACAGAAAACTGGAGGAGACATGATGAGATAACCTGAAACGATGATCACCTGGGCACCTGGGCAGTCAAAGTCAGACGAAAACGGTAGCTGACATTCCAAGGGTTGAAGTTATGGATGCCCAGGTGTATTATCATGATGTGAGTCAACTACACTGGCATTCACTAGTACTTACTCGCAGTAACTTGAACACGCCACATACCATTGGTTCTTTCAAATGAATGTTGCCTAATGCCAGTGACACCGCTTGATTCTTGTCCAATACACATTATTTGCATTCATTGAGATCACATATAGTCATTACCAGCCCTGAATAATATCACTCCAGATCATTTCTTTTCTATAGCTCAGCTGCTTGTAGCCAATTCTCAGTGCTCGTATTTCTCATTGGTGCCGGTGGCCATGAATATGGATCAGACCAACTTGAATTTAAACGAAGCTGTGGCTAAAGAGTCCACGATTGCTGGTTACACAGGGGACTACGCACAAACCATCCTCGACCGACAAGATTGGCTAAATCAAGCTTCTACTGAAAACTCGGACTTCAAATTCAAGTCGAATGATATTCCAACATGGACAAGATTCATCGCACGCATATTTTACCGGACACCTTGTCAGCATATAAACTTCCTTGGGATTGGGACGAGGTAAGTAATTCAAGTTGTATGATGATCTTCATCCGAGTCATGTTTTGTTCCAATCAATACTAGGTGGTAACACAACACCAAAAATTCTATCTAGACGGATCCCAACTACATTGTCATTAAAAATGGGTTTCTGAGGAAGTACAAGAATAGTTGTTTGCGCACACCAGAAAATTGATGGATAAGGTGCCAGTGGTGATTGAGTATGACAAGGATTCGGCATAGCCCTGTGAAAATTGGAATAGGACCTTCAAATGTTATTATCTATCCAAGCTCCACTTTCACACTTTCAACCTTGTGCTTATACTTACGCTGCATCTATCCCTGTTTCGCCGCGCCAGGTTAGCCCTAGTAGGCTAGTATTTACTCCGTAACCGCCATCCCCTTTCTATTGAATATTTTGTAGTATAAATCTGTGATACCTGGGGCTTGGGCTATATCTTCCAAGGTTGTCCAGGCGCCCAGGTGAGCATTGAGATCCGACGTGTAGCTTCAAAGTGGCACCCTTGCCCCCATGATTTTATACTCTCCTATCTTCCAAGTTTGAACTTCATTTGATCAAACTCGCAGACAACGATCCAAACTGTTCATATAGATATCCTCTGATGGCTTCAACCGATTTGGTATCTTCAGACAGATTCATATTTCAATTATTGAAAAAGATATCTAATGTGGATAAAGGCAGAGTTGGGAGCTGACATTATGCTTCCTCAAGATAATTCGCAGAATCATCAGCATATATCAAAAAGGTTTTCAAACTTGAAGATCTTCAAAATCGAGGCAACATCACAGAATGAGGGGATGTTTGATGAAGACGAGCAAGTCCTACTGAGAATCAACAATATTAGCCCAGCGAATGAAATCCAAGGAGATCAGCAACTGCGATGGATGTAAGCACTTCCAAGGTTGAGGTTTTCTCTCCCGAGACTAGAGCTGTACTGGTATACAACACCACTGGCAGTTGGTAGCTAATGCTTACCATCATCCAAGTAATGTGTGCCACGACGGCATTGAATTTAAAACATTTCTCGTACGTATATTATGTGTTCGTCCAGATATAATGCGTGAATAGTATTTACGGACGCCTCGTCTCGACGATTATTAGAAATGGGCACTGGAAGCTTATGGAACGAAAAATCAGACAAATGATGTGACTTTCTCGAAGATCCTACGTATTATCACCACCTCACTGGAGTTGTCTGCGTTTCAGGGAAACGATTCATAGCAGGTCACGCTTCAGGTGACTTCCAACTCTCACCAGGAAATACCACTGTCAGCTCTCTGTCAGTACCATAGTTTCTACTCCAAAAGGCACATTCAAGGAATAGAATGAAACGTTCAAATCACTGGATCCAGCCCTTGGTTCAATCAATCTACCATTTGGATTCGTCTACTTCCAGAGAGAACCTTCAAGCCATTCGACGTTTACACCGACAAAGGACTGAGGTGATTCATAGTCCGGAGCTTTGGATTCTTACTATTGGCAGAAGTATGTCTCTGACTTTTACGTCTCTCTTACATTGACCGTTTTTATAGTTTTGGTCCCGACAACTGGTGGAGAATAGTGTGTTTTTTTATTCATGACTCAGATTAACAATAATTCAGACTTCATGGCAACATGCTCGCCTGGTCCTCTGCATGATACTAGATCATCGGCGATTCGCACTTTTCCAACTTTGACCGGCCTATTTCCCCCGACAATAAGGGTCACTATGAGCTCTCGTTTTGTCTTCTGTATGAAGCGTGACCAGTGCAATGTGTGGTTTGTCAGTTCCTTCGATTACATCCTACTTCAAGAGTTGAAGAGATTTAACATGCCCAGAAATTCCTATACCGGGTCCAATGCCTCGTCAAAGCCGCCTTAAATCTCGATCTTACGCACAAATCGTAGAAATACAGACTTGAGAAAGACACCAGCGTTATTAGCGGGCGTCAATGGCAATCTATATTGAAATCCCAGCCTCCAAGTGAGCCACTATTGATCAAATTCTCTCCCGAGAGAGCTGAATCCCCTCGGAGATCAATCACCGCCCTACTTCTAGAAGGTCGGCGAGATTCCCGGGATTTATCAAACGATGATGCCTCAAACTACCCTCGGGTTAGCACCAAGGTCATAAGCCCGAATACCCTGGATGTTTACAGAATACCCTACTATTGGGACACACCAAAGCCTGGTGTCAGAAAAGAATATCCGTTTTCTTTGTCGTTCTTGGGGAGCTGACTCTTTCACACTCTGCTAGGCACTACCTCATTATTGCTCGAAACTTGACTGAACTCGATCTGAAACTTCTTTCCAATCATACCAGGCGACTTCAAACCACGGAAGACTCATGTCGAGTGCCAGAGCACATCGAAGGTCCTTCAGACTGCCACTATCTCCCGCCATCGAATGTCCTCCGCGCAGCCACATCCAGAGTTCATGATAACAGTTCTCATCCAAATTCAGGGCCCCGCAAACCGATTTCACTAGAAAATGAGATACAACCCATCTTCGGCTGGCCCTTCCAGAAAGACCTACCAGAAGGTCATCCGGCTGTCCACGACTCATTGTATCGTGAGAGATCTGGCGTTGGGACTAAAGCTGTGAGTCCAAGTCGTAATGTTTACCAGCCAGTAGCAGCTACAGCAGGAGATACAGCGGAGATATCGACACCTACCCAGCGGATGCGGGCTATTTTGTTCCACATGCACCACGAGATCCTCTTCCTTCTCGACGTCGACTCCGCGCAAAATTACAATAGGCTGCCACTCAAGACCCAGTCTGACGTTGATATGCAAATGGCGTCCGTACGAGGCACCTGCACTGGAAATAAACACATCATCGTACTTTTTTCCACCTTTGTGCTCCGTACCAGTCAAATCCTCCATTGCTTTATCGACAAAGACTATGATTGCATTGTGAAGCAAAAGTTTTGGGCAGCTTTATATGTTATTATCTCGGTAAGAACTATAGCCTATCTCTTTGAACTCGCAGTGTAGTAGCACAGCTAAACGGACTTTTTATTAAGACATTGAACCACCCTCATACAGACAATCTGTTTTCATTCTACTGTGACATTTTGTCAATCCCGCTTCTGAAATTCATGAAGCAGATTCAGGATCTTCAATATGGAAATGCAGGATCTGCGAGTCCATTTATCACAAAGTCCATGGTCAAAGTATTCATTGAGCTTGCTGTACTTCTTGCAGACTCAGCGTCGATGGCATCCCAGCACATTGACTCTCTTGATGCTGATATCAAAGGAGCCAGCCAGAGCAAAGATAACGCTGAAAATGCACGGAATTCAAGCCCAATAAATTCAGTCAGATCGCCAAACGAATCTTTGAATTTTGGGAAGACACAAATTCGAGATGATGATACGGGGTTGGCAGATACAAGATCCAATGATATGGACATGGAAAGTTTATCTACAGCATCAGACGCCCAACTATTTTCAGAAAATAAGTGCCCTGTACCTCAGGGAAGTGATTTCTTCTGCCGCCGCAATGACCACATTGATCAAATCTATCTATATCTCATTCAAGCACAACAAGAATGTTTAGTTGTATCTTGTTCGGAAGACGACTTTGAGGACTTAGATACCTATAATGGCGTTGACCGGGGTAAGATCATCGCACTTATCCTGCAGTCTATATTGAGGGGTCATTTGACTTGCGAGTCGATGCCTACGTTGGATATTGTGGAAATATATGCTACATATACAGCCTTCCTGGTGAGTATGCCATATTTTCATTTCCCATACCTAGGTATCACCATCAATTCCCTACAAAGTGCGTGGGGCCGTGGACTACATGGCTGACCAGTGAACTGAAAATTAGCAACTTCAAGGCCGAAATAATCCAACAAAAAGTCTTCTCATAGATTTGACCTTGCTCCGGGAGGAACTTGACATTATACAACGCACTGTCAAGAAACAACTCGAATTGGTAAATACTCTACGCAAAGATAAATCATGTCGCAAGAGAGACAATAGGTATAGTATCGACATCAACGACACTTTTAGTCGGACGTTATTCGAAGTATTGTATTCGGCCAGTCCTGATGCATGTGGCGAGGCTGTGATCAACACCTCCACGAGAAAGGTTTTGAAGGCGATAGAAACAGATCTCCAGGAGAGGACAGAGGTATTTTATGAGCTGATCAAGCAAGTCGAGCGTCATGAAACACATGTACGTGTCATATCCTTTTCCCCTTTAACATACAGTTCACTGAAACTAAATTCATGATCCAGATCATCCAACGGGTCGATATCATCCAAGAAGATCATGGAAAAGCTACCTTGATCTTCACGATCGTGGCGACAATATTTCTTCCGCTTTCTTTCGTGAGCAGCTACTTAGGTATGAACACGGCTGATATTCGGAATATGGATGCCAAACAAGTTCTCTTTTGGGAGGTGGCGACACCTTTTACTGTGGTCGTAGTTTCTGTTGTTCTGTTGGTGGCGTATAATGCCAGACGCATTCTGGGATGGTCATCTCAAGAACAGCTCTAACTTCCAAGTGTTCTTTTAGAAGTGCATTTATTTCTTTTCATTTGGAAAATTTGATTGATTTTCATTGCTACATAAGGGCCACTACTACCTACTAGTACATACCTAGCAGTACATATCTAGTACTATAGAACTAGTGCGGGCCGCATGATATACCGCACGGTAAATTCCGACATATTCCCAGCAGGGGAATGGGTTTTCAAACTCCCGCATGATCACTATAATGAAATTCACTGCGGTGATATAACAGATATTTATAGTAATATTACTATATTTAATATATAATAGTTACTTGACTAGAAGCTTGATAAACCTGTATAAAAAAATTACAAGACCAAGGTAGAAATAGTTGTAAAATGGTTGTAGCGCGGCTATGAGAATTTAATTACTAAGCAGGTTTTCTGCCTAACTAACTTAGTTATTTAGTCTAACAGATTAAAATTAATGCCTAGGGAATAATAATTTTTGCCTGATTCTGTGTGATTCTGCCTGATAATTAGTTCTAAGTAAAATTCTTGTAAATGTTATGTTTTTAATGGTCTCCCCCTGAAATGTATATATCTGTCTCTGTGTTGGATTCTTTACTTCTCCAACTCCCTTTGAAAGTTGGACTAGGAAATTTTTAAAAATTTCTAAAAATTTCTAACTTGAACCTTCTGAATACTACTAATCTTCTGAATTTTACTAACCTTCTGAATCTTGCTAATCTCCTGAATGCTAATCTTCTGAATTAATCTTGGAATCTTGGAAGTGTGTGTAGATCTTAAAAACCCAAACCCCAGCTAGGTTATGTCAGTACTTCCAATTTGAACATTGATAACCTTAACAAGCTCCTTCTCTACAAGTATAGGCTCTGATAATATGTCAGTCTAATTCAATAACGAACTATAGGTACTACTAGTTGTATTAAAATATCACTGACATTTATAGTAGGTTAATCCGAAGTATATCCAAATCCCGTGATTCTGAAACAAACAAGACAAACTCCCCCACCAATAGCGCCTGGGAAAAAAAAACTTCTTTTTCCCCTCCTTTTTCTGTTTTCCCTTTCCACCCCTCCATCAATTCTCTTTTGTGTCAATTTCACTCCCCTTTAAACCGCCACTATGATTATCTACGAGGTATGTATCCTTATTTCAGCCTCATCTGAATGCGCCTTCAAGATCCCTGCGCTCTCTCTCAAGCTCGCCATCCGCAATACTGACGATCTCTTACTAGGACCTGATCTCCGGTGATGAGATTCTCTCTGACACCTTCGACATTAAGCCCTCTGCCGACTGCCCCATCCTTTGGGAGACCGACTGCCGCAAGTACATGAAGAAGGTCGGCGAGGACTTCGAGCTCGCTGGTGCCAACCCCTCCGCCGAAGATGCCGCTGAGGATGATGGTGGCGAGGGTGAGACTGTCATGGTCCACGACATTGAGGACCAGTTCCGTCTCGTCTGGCTCAAGGTTGAGGAGGGTCTCAAGCCTTCCAAGGAGGCTTTCAAGAGCCACCTTAAGGGTGTGTATCTCACCCAATGTGGAGGTGGCAAACGTGTGTGACATGAATTAAGCTAATTGGAGTTCTGATTAATAGGTTACGTCAAGAAGGTCATGAAGAAGCTCGAGGAGTCCAAGTCCGATGCCCGAGTTGACCCCAAGGTCGTCGACGAGAAGATTGCTGAGTTCAAGGCTGGTGCCCTGGGTGCCATCAAGAAGATCACCGCCAACTACGACAACTACGATGTCCTGATGGGCCAGAGCATGGATGGTGATGCTATGTATGCTTGAAACCACCCCTTTACAAGTGTTGAATCTATGAAACTAACTTTGCTCTTCCAGGCACGTCCTGATTGACTTCCGTGAGGATGGTGTCACCCCCTTCGCCACCGTCTGGAAGCACGGTCTCAAGGAGGTTAAGGTTTAAATGCCTTAATCTTCTGGGCGATAATACAACCACACTTGACCTGAAGAAAAACAAAAGTTACGAAAGCGAGCCCTTCGCATCCATGCCTAGATCGGACGTGGAGATTGGCTCTTATCTTCTCCCGCCGGACATTTTGTCTGTTCTGGCTTTGACACGTCGCATCTTCGTATCATAATTGACCGATCCGTCTGATCGTCAAGAGTTACGCCTCACGAACCAATAAACTATTTACGTCTACTTATTTAAAATATTTTCTTGATTATTTATCTCCCTCTGTAGCACCCGGTGGTCCTGTCTAAACCCTGGACCATCATAAGCAGTTGACCATTCGAATCGGGACTGTGTACTAGTACTAAAAGGAATCTCGAATTGTTCATTGGTACCAGTTGAACACCGGACTTACTATTCACAAAACCTGCCTGAAATGCTATTCATCAATTAAATACCAGATCTATATAGGGTATCGGTATTCATGTCCATCATTATTAACAATAACCAGTCCAACTTGAATCACTGGGCGATACCCTGTTCATCCAGGGTGATGGCAAATTCCCAGAGGCCATATCAGTGGTATTCCTACTATTCCCAATATGCAGAGTAGGAATTCCAAGATTCGTAAATTCCAGGCCGGAGACAGGGTCCAATTCCATTAATTCATCGGAAACGGGAAGATGTTGCCCAAAGACAGCATCCCATTGATCCCAGTCGAAATTGAGATTTGGATCAACCATCGACGGAGGCGTGGGAACACCCATTGAAGGTTGATTTGGAGACATAGGATCCATGAAGGATACATGTGGGGAAGAATGATTTGTAGTGGAGAGTGGTTGTGGAGGATGGGCTAGTTGAGTTTGAGTACGAGAGGCTGCGGCGGAGGAACTGACGGATGGGGAAGGTATACTCAGAGACGGGGAGACGACAGGGGATGATGATATGACAGATGGTGATGCCAAATTAGATTGCGTTGTCACAGCGGCTGGATTAGAGCTATACTGTGCAGTTGGTAGAGAGAGAGATGTTCGTGCTGGAGGTTGATAAGAGTATCGTAAGGGACTAGGCTTGAGAGTCGCAAGTTGGGAGCGCGTCATATTATAGAACATTCGATTAAAATCGTTCAACTGACGGTCAGACCCGGCAGTACCTTGACGCGCTGATGAAGCTGCTGGAGATCCAGGTGCAGGCGACCCCGAAGGAAAAGACCCACGTAAGCTAGGTGGCTCTCCTGCTGGTGAGGCGATACCTGCTTGGATCTGATCTTGCTCGGTCCAGAGCATTTGCGGGTTTAGACCAGCCTTTTGCCAGGCCTTCTGGCGAAGACGGCGGATCATATCCCAGGCCTCGCGGCCGCCGTCTTTAAGTGGCCGCTGGGTTGAGATACCATCTTCTCCGCCTACCACGCCGCCATCTGGACCGGATAAGGCAAGAATTCGATCAATGAAGGCGCGGGATTTAGAAGCCTCCGGGCTATAGGGTCGCTCGTATAAATCAATGAGCATGATCCTATATGGTCAGTACGACTGGTTATCATATCAGTGAACATCATTATACGTACATTGTGGCATGCATAGGTTGATGATTTCTGGAAAAGTGGTGGTAAGTAAAGGAATAAAGAATGATGTGGAGTGGATAACTCACCCTGGCCAGCTCCAGTGAAATGGTTGGAAATCTGGATCCGTGGCTAGCTGGATGAACTTCTCCATAAACCCATGGCAGTGACGAAGAGCGCTATACAAATGTCAGATCAGCGTAAATGAATTCAAATGAGGATACTCACCTCTGTCTGGCATTAGGCCAGATTCGACTTCGAGCATTCTTTAAGAATGGCTGATATGCGACACAGAAAGCCTAGGACCTGTTAAACATTGATACAAGCATTGGTAACGCAAGGGGTTTAATTACCTTGTCGATGTACAACGATAGGATAATTCTAGCCCATTTATGGAACGAAACCAGAACTAGAGAATGGTATTGTTCTGTGCAACCACCAGTGCCTTCACCTGGAAGCTCTGTTTCGGTGGACTGTACCTCTACAGGTGACTTGGACATCGACATGGCCCGGCCCGTTGACCCTGGTGTCTGGTTCGGCATTCCCTCGGGAATTCTGTTGACAATGGAGTTAAGTTTGAGCTGAAGATCAAGAAGAATTGCACGCAACTCTTCCATATCTCTTCGAGTTACGGGTTTCGTGCCCAATTGGATACGCAAAATGCGACGGACCGCACCTATTGATCATAATTAGCTTCTGCTGTCTTCTGTTTCCGAGCAGGCCGGGTATACTTACGCGCCATGATGTACTTTCCTCTAGCAGTCAGATAGAACACGTTAACCATCGAAGATCCACCGCATACAGACGGGTCATCGGGGTCATCTGGAAGTCGCTGGTTCGTTGCAATGAGCTGTTCATAACACTCGGCGGCTGGAGAGCCAAGCATGTTATCCTTGATTTCGCTCGTTTCACGCACATCCCAATAATTCTCATCGCTCACCAGTGGAGGAAGACCACTTGACATGGCGACGACACCGTCCATGTGCATGATATGCCACCAAAGCCTTCGCCGGTACTCCGCTTCACATGACTCAATCCCGAATTTAGCAGGGTCTCGGTGCAGGCCCATGGTTTGTGCTACTCGCATCGCGAGACTGACAAAGAGACTACTTGTCAGAGGTTCTTCTTCTTTGGACAAAATCGTCTGGACGATCAGATAGGCTGACAACCCTTGAAGAGATGGGCTTCGAGGGAATGATATCCTTGCTAACCACCGAGTAACCTCTTCATTATACAACGAAGACAGGGCAAATCGAGAGACTGAATTGAACTCAGCCTTGATTGTGCGAAGGGAAATGGTAACAGAGCCACCGTACCATATTGCGTAGAGTAGTGGTATGAATGTGGGACTTGGACATGGCTCTCCAGAGTAGCTACTGTAGTCATACCAGTCCCAAAAGGCATTGTAAAGTTTTAATACAGATGGAGGATGAACGACTGGACTGATCGCATGGACCCCAGACATGAATCCTTTGTAAAGGATGTGGCTTTGACGTCGACTGGGTACATGTTCAAGCATCTCTGGTTCCACCACTCTCTCAACCCCGGATGGTGAATCGCCGGATTGGAAGATTCCGGTTTGTGGCAATGATCCTCCTCGAGATCGTGATGAAGTAGAGTAATTGGGACTGCTGACGGATTCTCTCCAAGCTCTGCGACCGCTGGAGGCGGGGTCATTTGGGTCGTCGTTGGCGGTCTCAGATGACGCTAGATCGTGCGATCTATTCTGGTCTCGAAGTAATTGATTGAGATCATTGATCTGCATAATTATAGTTAGTTTAAATGAGACATACAAATGGAATTAGGAATTGAAATACCTCATGGGAGATATAAGCCCAGTATGTCGTTCCAACATATCTAATTATTCACATTGTTAGTGTCTCTTCCTATCACCACCCCTATCGTTCACATACCTCGACCTTCCACCATCCTCCAAACTCAAGTGACCCAGATTAAGACTTCCAATAGGGTCCACCAAATCAGTCGCTTGACCTGAAGGAATGGGAAATTCATCACCACTTGATTCTGCAGCAGCGCGACGTGGACTTGAGGGTCTTGGGGATGCGGTTCTCCCATTCCGAGCATGCGCCCGGCGCAATTCCTCCAATAGGGCGGATTCAACTGCAGCACTCGGAGCTGCAGCATGCTTGTCTGCTGCCTCGAGAGCATTGCTCGAGCCATTTATTCGTTCAATCATTGACATCAACTTGTCTAGGCGATGTTCGATGGCTCGCGAATCGGGCTTTTGACCCGTTGGCGATTCCGTCTGTCTTAAATGACCGTATATCGATTGCAGCTCATCCACATCATCTTCCCACGTTCGCGGTGTTCCCCTCCGTCGCTTGACTCCTTGATTACTGCGTTCGGCTTCATCTCGCTCATCGTCCCGTTTCTGCGACGCCGTATCGTAAACGCACTCAGCACCGGTCTTCACGCAATTGCTACATATGGGATGGACCTAGGACACGCTGGAATTAGTCCCATTTGTGGGAATGTGGCTATACAACATGCGCCATAATCTTACCTTGTCGCATTTCACCTTCCGCCGGCGACAGGTGTGGCAGCTGTAGCTCACCCGATTTCGGGTGATCTGCTTACCCCCCGGACCCCGCGCGGATGATGAGCGCTCGGAGGTAGACAAGCCCGACAGCGCCCCGATGTTAGGTGGACTTGGGTCCATTATCCTAGCAGGTTGCCGTGGGATGGTGAAGATTAAGGGACTGATGGAGAATTGCGGGGAACGATGGGAACTCCTGGTCCATTCGACCCATTTCCCCCGTTTTGACCAATGACGGAACTGATGATACGATTCATGCCTGGATCATCAGGCACTCTATATCGGCATCTGACTATTAGTTATACGGATGCGACTCGGCACCGATTCAAGTTGATGGGACTCGAGACTCGAATAGATATTTTAATCAAGGATGGATAGTTGATGCGATACTCAAGCTTCATCATTCTCCTAATATTTGAACTAATGTACCTGAATCGTCATCTTGCATACACTGGAATGCGATATAACAGGATACCAGCAGTTTGCATTGTTTGCATCCGAGTCATCGTCTCTCGTATCCTCACGAGTCACTACTACTCACACAAACATTTTACGACAAACATCATATTTTGAATAAGACTTCAAAAGGCAACTCCTCTATGTTTCCAGTAGATTGAAATATTTTTTCCCTCAGACCTTTCTCTTCAAATTTTTATTAGGCGCCCCGATCGTTGCAATGGCATAGTTGGGAGCAGCTCTATCTGATAGTTTTTGTTTCATGCATATAACACACCTATGCAAAAATCAAACTCTATGTGTACGTCTTATGACTGATATACAGTATATGTATTCAAGCACTCACGGCCACGCAAGAGCAACATTAAAGATCTACGCGAGTCGCCGCACAGTATCAACAGCGCCCAAGAACATTCAGTGGACAGTGACCTGTTTCCCCCTTTCTTTCACATTGCAATCATTCGATTTGGTATTCTTTACCATTGATTCTTGGCAATACGCGTCCAAGGGGCTGATTCTTCTTCCTCTTCCTTCCATCACATCCGGCTCGTCCGCCAAGCTGAGCCAAGACGAGACTATGCGCTTCCAATCTCCCATAGCCGCTGTCCAGATCAACTTGGCGCTTGGGATTCTTCTTAACAGCCCTCTTACCACATACTGACCTAGGCAGAACTTTTCCAAGATCTTAGTTCTCCAGAGAGCCTTAACTCATTTGACCTGTATTGGACAGGGACCTCTGATTTTGAAACTGACAATCACGACTTGCTCGGCGCCAAGATGGATGATGAATCTCTCTCTCGACATCCCATGGATGGTATCCAGTCCGTTCAATAATAGATCAGAAGTCTCTCGAATATCTTATTAAAGGGATTATAGATCTACCCAGGTTCTAGTCAACCTTGAAATCTCATCCAAAATACCAGTATATCATTATCATTCTGGGCGAATCCAAATTTCACGGTCAACTGGTTTCTCGTTGAGAATTCGAAATTGAAAGTCAAATTTTTAAACATTGACATTCCTGTCGATATCATAGGATTGAAAAGGTTCATATGGGGGTTCAAGCGGCTTCTCGACGGCGATGGCTACTTTTCACGCTACAATTGTCATATTTGAACCCTTTGGTTGAAGGAACGGGGATAACATTAGATATAGACAGCTCAGGTAGGTACAAGTATAATTAACATTTAAAATGGTTATAAAGACTTGGAATCACAGTTACTGACTTTGTGACAAGACTCAATAAAATCAGCAGCAAGCACTGTGGCCTATGATCTCGTCACTTTTTACACCGGCAACAATACAGGCGAGGTCCCTGGAAATCTTCCAGATCCCTACTATTGGTGGGAGGTGGGTGCATTCTTTGGAAGTCTCATCAGCTATTGGGCCTACACGGGGGACACGACATACAACTCGATTACCGTTCAAGCGATGGAGCATCAAGCCGGTGATAAAGGAGATTTCATGCCATCTAATCAAACATACACTGAAGGAAACGATGACCAATGCTTCTGGGCACTCAGTGCTATGATGGCTGCAGAACGAAATTTCACAAATCCCTCTTCATCATCGCCAGGATGGCTTGCCATGGTACAGGCCGTCTTCAACGAGCAGGCAAATCGTTGGGATACATCTAGTTGTGCCGGAGGTTTGCGTTGGCAGATCTATACGTGGAATGCTGGATACGATTACAAGAATACCATCGCAAATGGTTGTTTCTTTGACATTGCGGCACGTCTTGCGCGATATACTGGCAATGAAACATATGCGGAATGGGCCAATAAGGCATGGAACTGGTCAAAGAGTGTTGGACTTATTACATCCGACTACCAAGTCTATGATGGAACAACTGATGCTAGCAATTGTACCTCCTACGACAGAACGCGTTGGTCATATACTGCTGGAATCTATCTTCATGGTGCATCCGTTATGTACAACTATGTGAGAAGTTACATTCACCAACTAACACTTTTCAAAGTGCTGATATCTCCATGATTAGACATACTCGTTATCCGCAAACTCATCTTCTACCTCAGCATGGAAGACAAGATTAAATGCGCTACTGTCCAAAACAGACCATTTCTTCTCAACGAACGTCTCAAGTACTGATGTGATGTATGAAGTGCCCTGTGAACTAAGAGGAAGCTGTGATACAGATCAACTGTCATTCAAGGCGTACCTTTCTCGATGGATGGCCGATGTAACGCAGTACGCACCGTACACATATGATACAATAATGACAAAACTACGCGCGACTGCTCAGGCTGCAGTTAGTCAATGTCAGGATGGGACGACAGGCACATATTGTGGGTTTCGCTGGTCGAGTGGCAGTTATGATGGAACAACTGGTGTTGGTCAACAGATGAGCGTTCTTGAAGTTGTCCAGGGACTTCTTGCTGCTGATATTGGTGGACCTGTTACTTCAACCACCGGAGGCAGTAGTGAAGGTAATAGTGCAGCTGGAACCGAATCTGATGAGGATGATGAGTCGCCTATTCACTACTCCGACATTACAACGGCGGATACAGTTGGTGCATCAATATTGACTGCCTGGGTTGTTACTTTGGCCATTTCTGCTGTGTATATGATGGTTTCATAGAAATTGTAGGGATTAAATTCATTTTGTTTATCTAATTGTTCAACTTCTTCCTAGGGTCTAAATGAGAAGACTAAATGGTCATTTCCGCTAATTATCCCATGGAATAGAAAGACTATATAGCAGTCACCATTCATGCAGCGGGAATCTGCTGCTCATCCAATGGCCATTTCGCAATGGTCGTCGCATCACCCGTCAAGGTAAAAGCCAACACAATCGATCGTTCATTGTTCAGTGCCAGCTCATACTTTCCAGGGTAGACAACACGGTTTCCAAGGCTGTCTGTACGTGCGAGATTGTCAAGTGAGACGGGAATGACCATCGACTGGGCATGGTCAGGCTCGACAGATCCAAGACGGTCAAATCCAACAAGCCATTTGTTGGGGTACGGCTTCGGTCCAGCTGTTGTGTTGACAAATACCATGGCAGTATAATCGGACACAACGCTTCCTGTGTTCTCGACACTGACGGTAAAGTTGAGGAAGGGCACTTGCTCAACCGCATTGTAGCCGGAGTGAGGCTGTGATAGGAGATCGACAATCGAGAAGGACTCATTGAAAGGGACATCTGAGCTGGAAAGAGATGGCTTGAATGTTGTATAGAACTCTCCATGTCCAAACTCGTATACCGGAGTTCCAGTGTACCAGATATACGTCTGACCAGGGTTGTCTCCCTGGGGACGCAAGTACATATCAATAGCTGGGAACTGCAAAGCATACTCAGCTGGGTATTGTGTAGCGGTGAGGCGACCAGCCGGAGCTCGCTTGCCACTGATGATGTCCAAAAGGGCTTGTCCTCCTGACTGTCCTGGGTATCCACCCCAGATGAGAGAATTAACATTCTTGTTTGCCTTGAGTGAGGAAGAATCAACCTGACCACCACCCATTTGCAGAACGACAAGCGGCTTGCCCACGGTACTCAGCTCCTTGATCAACTCAAGTTGATTACCAGGCCAGGCAATACTCTCTCGGTCCATTCCTTCCGCCTCAATGGTGTTGTCAATGCCACCAGCAAAGATGATAACATCTGATTTCTTTGCTGCAACAATCGCATCCGCAAATCCGGCAGTCGATTCGGAGGAAATGTTGGTGCCCAAGGCGAAGTTCACAGTCAGATCCGAGTCTTCGAGAGCTGCGAGGGGACTAATGAGATAAGGAGCATCGCCGTAATAGTTGCCTTGCATTTGGGTTGTGGCATTCGCCCAAGGTCCAATGAGGGCAACACTGCGAACCTTTTGCGAAAGTGGTAGAAAGCCGTCATTCTTCAGAAGAACAATGCTCTCCACGGCAGCTTCGTACGAGATATTCCAAGCATTGGTCGTGGTGACATCCGACCAATCCAGATCGCGGTATGCACTGGTATTCCCTTCAAAATAGCCCAAGCGAACGAGGTTTGCGTAAAGCCTGATTACACCACGCTCGATCTCAGTTCGTGAAATATCGCCCAGGAGGAATGAGTCATTGAGATAGTATTGGTAGGATGTACCACAATCAATGTCAGTTCCTGCTCGCATAGAATCTGCTGCAGCGCTTGTGATGTTGTGAGCATACTCGTGAGGATTCCATACATTGTAAACTGCATCACAGTCAGAAGACACGTAGCCATCTTCCACAAAGTCCCAGCTGTCGCGAAGAAGGGTTTGCAGGAAGAACGAGTTTGAGGAGCTAGGGACACCATTGACTGCATTGTAGGAAGACATGACACTGTGAACTCGGGCATCGCGAACTGCAGTCAAGAATTGCGGCATGAAGTACTCGGCCAGATCCTGCTGGGTAATGTTCAGATCATTGCCGAGACGAGAGTGGTTATGCCAGTTTTCGATATCATATCCAGCGAAATGCTTTGCAGTAGCGACGAGCTTCAGATGCTCCGGATCAACCCCTCCCTGGATTCCGGTGATGTACTCATACGCATATGTTGAGCAAAGGAAGTAAGCATCCTCTCCTGGGGTTTCTTGACCTCTTCCCCACACGGGACTGCGGAAACTATTGATGTTTGGTGCATAAACGTCCAATCCATAACGACCGACATTATTGAATGCACGACCTTGAGTTGAAATGATTCCGGCGATTTGATTGATCAAGGTCCGGTTCAATGCGGCCATGGACAAGATGGGAGAAGGGAAAGATGTGGCCCAACTATAGTCACCGGAGTCGGTAAAATTGGCACGATCCAGTCCATGCAGCGCTTCACTCCAAACCTGGTATGGAGGTAATCCGAGGCGAGGAATTGCCGGAATATCATTTCCGGTGCTATTTACTAGCTCCTCGAAGGTGAATAGAGAGACCAGAGCTGCGGCGCGATCATGAGGGGTTGCAGATGAATTGCAAACCAAGGTGTCTTTGAGGGGTCCAGTTCCACAGTCCGGAAAGCCCAGATTAATTGTCGCAAGGGTTTGAGTATCGAGACTTGGCTGTGGCTCAATGTTATAATTGACATATGAGGTGTTTGCCTGCGAAAAAACCGCGGGGATCAAACTTGAGGCTGCCACCACAGCTAAAAGCTTGGATGGAACAGGCATTTTGACTGATGAAGACCCTGTCTGCCACTAAAGTCTAGATGAATGTCTCTCTGCCGACTCTATTTATACCCAGCCTCTCCCGAGTCCGAATCAGTTCCGGTTGCTCTTCGGCTATAGCCATCCCACGGGGTATACTGAAGGTATCCACATTCTTCCCAATATAGCAACTCCCGCAGTAGATCTATGTACTAGCAAGGGGGTTTGCGCGGGGAATCCCCGATTGTATGTTCTCAATTGCGAGGATTTTGTCATTTAGCCTGAATTTATAATGTTGATCAATGCTGTGGGAAGATGCATGAGCGTTGGGGCAAAAGAGGCTGGGGAATAATATTGAGCATAATTCCGGTTAAAGTAAATATTCCAAGATCATCACTTCAAATTTCAGATGTAATAAGATCTAACCAAATGGCAAAAATACGCACAGACAGACACTCGTGTACTAGTTGATTCAGGCTGAAATATCCCCTCTGTTGGGCGCTGCAGTTACATTGTTGTCTGTGGAGAGAGTCCAAGGCTATTTCCTTGTCTCGGATCCCCCACATCACACATGTGCAAACCTGCATACAGTTCATGTACATAATGGACAGATGAACTCGAATTACGGAATACACCCGGGGCTCCGGATTGAAGACATCATGATTGAAATCATTAAGGTGAATGGTCAGATGTGACTTCTCCACTTGGGAGCATGATGCACTTTATCCCCCTCACTGCCGAAACGAGAATGAATAGTATTGCGGGAAAAGTCAATTTGAGGGTTCTATTTACCGAGTTTATCAAGTTATTTCAAGTTACTTCTCGATATTTACAATGAGTTGATAATGGGTACAGGAATGACTCGTATTCCTGGTAATGACTTGTCTGATTTTGCTAGTCTTCAAGTTCTCTGTATCGCTTAATAAGAGATCTTGAAGACCCATGCATATTCATCCGCTGCTGCAACATCCTCGCTCACTGAAAAAATCACCTCGGATCCATTGTAAGACCTGTGGCTGGGAACCACGATTCCGTGCATCCTGCCTCCAACCACCGTGACTTGATCACCCTCAATCCATGGGATTGGGCTTGACAAAGCAATGGTGCTATTTGGCCTCGCCAGTATATGGATATAAAACGCGTCTTGTGAAAGGGTGAATCGAATTTCCTCTCCCTCCTCTGGAGTCACAAACCAATAGGTTGTGTTGAAAATAGCCTCTTCATGGCTTCTAATCCATTTGCCAGCCTCACGCAGGTGTTTTTGCTCAACATCGATGATCGTCCCGTTGGCTGTGGGTCCAACATCTAACAAGAAGTTGCCGTTCTTGCTGACAATGTCAACAAGGCTTGTAACAATGCTACTAGCATTCATGTAGCTGGCTAGAGGAATAGCGCGATTATATCCGTAGCTATCGGGGTCCATGCCGAGATTGCTCTCCCACTTTCTGGTTTGCACGGCGGAATATGTGGCATACTCGGGGGTATCAAAGTCTCCGGGAAGGCCACAACGGTTGTTCATAACAACTTGGCGGTTCTCGCTGGCTGCTTTGTTGAACCACTTTGAGGCAAACTCTGCTGTCCGGTTAGGTCCACCAATGTCACACCACATGATCTCGGATCCCATGTCGGCGAGAGTATTCATTTCAGGGAGAATTTTGTCCTCGATATAATCATTGACAGGCACCCAGCCAGTGTACGGGAGGGTATGATTTGTGAAAGGATTGGTCGCATTTCCTAAATGCTTTTTTTAATTGATTACAAGCAGTAGTATCGACTCAACTGATACTTACCTCCCGGCCATGTTGAGAATCCATACTTCTTGTAGTCGGGGTTAAACCACTCTGGGAGACTATAGTAGCTTTAAGAGAACGGTTGTTAGCTCACGACTTTATTCAGTCAGTAAAGACTTTGAAAGTACTTACGCCGATCGATGGAGCTGGGGCTGATATTCTTCCGCTGCGTCAAACAATTCCTGATAATTATTTAAATGTTAGTCGATGTAACATAATATTCTGCAGAGATACTGCACACACCTTCAGCAAATGACGATGAGGAGTCAGAGCGACGGAGGTTCTCTTTGACACATTTGCTGGAAGATCGAACAAAGTATATCCTTCATGATGTTTGCTGACTTGCACGAAATATTTGGCGCCGGAATCCGCAAAGAGATCTACCCATTCCTTAGGATCAAATGCACTTGCAGTAAAATTCTGGATGAAGTCATCATAGACCACATGAGGACCATATTTCTCGAGATGATAATCATAAACACCGACCGATCCGTTTGGACCTTCATTCAACCACCACCAATACCTATTAAACTATGTCAGCCTCATGCACTCAATATCTGGTGGGAACCTTGGAATTTCCATGTACCATTCCGCATAATCCTCTTTAGGGGGAACGTTCGCCCAGCCAGGGACTGAGTATACTCCCCAAGTAATGAAAATCCCATACTTCGCATTATTGTACCAGTTCGGAGATTCGTGGGCGTATATTGACTCGTAGGTTGCTTCATAGGGGCCGATGCCGTATGTCGCCTCAAAAGTATACTTGGGGGTTATCACATTGTCACCCTCAATCACAATTGTTGCAGGACCAGAATCTCCCACTGGTACCTCATGACAATTTTTAACACCGATTTCTACCACGGCTTGATCACCAGGTCCTAGTCGATTGATTATACCTTCGGTCACAGTCTCCAGACCTGGTGAGTCGACGCGTATCCGGACATTGTTTTCGCGTAGCGCGAATGATGACCCCACATTGTTGACAAGCACCTCAACAATTTGGACCTTATCAGTGTCTTCGATCCATTTCTTTGTTGAGCGAGCATACTGAGTTTCCAGTTTAATGAGCTCAGACTGTTCTTCAGATGCTGGCAACATGGACAAAGCGAAAATATGCAGGCTTGTGTCAATAGCAGCTCCACCGGGACTGGTTGATGCTCCAGTGGAGGTATTGGGAAGGGTCAGAGAGAGAAGCTCTTTCGATGAGTCCAGCCAGTTGGTGGTTTGGAAGATATTGGATCGATTCCAATTTGTGTCATTGTCTGTGAGATAGCAGGTGAACACCAGATCTCCTCCCTCTGGATAAGGCCAGCTATACCATGCTGGCACTAGCACAGCTCCAGTGGATGTACTACCATCGGCGTACTTGGCCAGAACGGAGCCAGAGGCCATTCCTGATTCCGATGCAGCAAGCATCTGGAAGCTGAAGTATTTCGATGGGGGAACCTGGATTTCCTGGCCTTGAGAGAGAACATTATCATAGCCAGTTGCATTATATTTTGCAAATTGATAATTCATTCCACCAAAGGAGAAGGTTTCTGGAGGCATTTGCGCCGCTGGATAGGAGTCTGTGTGTTCTGGTCAGCTCATCCCCTTATGGTCATTTCTCACTCTGCTAGAGCGTCTTTCTAGAGTTTCCAGTTGATGGATTCTTCTGTTGGTGAAGATAGGTTCAACTGAGATGCACTCACTTCCTTCGCCATCGAAGTCAGACTCATTTGGCTTGAATCCAAAGGCCCGATTATTAAAAGGTAAATCAACAGGAAAGGAATTATTTGATCCCGATATTTCTTGGAAATCGCTTTGAGGCTTGAAAACGACAGATTCACCAAGTGCTGCACACGCAAGAAGCGTGCCCAGACTGATTACCCTCATTATAATTGAAAAGCCTGATTAACTGATCAACACTTTGCATAGTCCTTAATTATGCTTATATACCCTCTGTTCAAGGACTGATCATTGTTATCTTCTCCTACTACTAGGCAGTAACGGTATCATTTCCCCGCAGATACCGACGTAGCAGGTATCAATCTAGTGTGGAATTAGCTTGTAACCTTGACTCTCTCGGGTATTTCTCTCAATCGGAAGCTACCCCTTGATCGGATAAAAGCCGATCTAAGGAGAGATCAATGATGTAACAATGCGTGGCGGGCTTAGCGTGTTGATATAAATGTGCAGATTCCTTCAAAGCCACTAGTGGGGGTTAAGCTGTCACTGCCACTCACTGCCAGTGGTACCAAGTCACACTTTTCGAAGGGAAATATTTAAATTGTAACTTGAAGTCACAGTATACATATCCTCGTTGATTGTACCTCGTACGATATTTCATCTGAAGTGCTTCAACATTTAAATTAATCATCAGACAAAAGGAGAATCCGAGAATTAGGATCGGCGTGGATGGGGGTGAGGGGTTAAAGGACCTAACCATCCTGGAATGCACTAGTTCGACTCACCAAGGTTGAATGGCGTTGATCACATCGGCAACCAGCGATAGCCACTAGATGACCATTGCCACTAATTTTGATTTTAGTACTAGGTAGCCTTTTTACATCGACAAGGTTCCTTCCTTTCTTTTTCACATCCTGCCTTTTCATATTAACGGTAAATGCTGGGACTTTTGGCATATCTTCTGAGTTAACCGTCGTTGACGTATTACATGTCAACTTTCCTATTACCTCCAGTGCTCTCCCTACTAGTGGATCATCCCTGATTTATCCTACCAGTGGGTATTAGATATAAGGCTAAAGTGAGAGATACCTAAAGTCAAAGATACCTGAATTAAGATAGACTAATCATCTAGCAAATCTGGAGGACAAGACGTAGCCTCAAGCTCTTTAACTCTTTGCTTCGCAGCCTTAATCCCACAGTTGAGCTTCTCCTTTACCTCTGGAGTGTTAATCCTCACTTGCCAAGAGCCCTCAGGCATATTGATGTAAAGCAAATCATCCAGAACGTAAAAGTTGAGGTTCTCATCAATGCTTCTATCAGTCCAAATTTTGAAGAGACTTTGCCAGGCCCATTCGCTTAGTCCTGGTAACATTGAATAGAAATCCGCGCGATCTCTTAAAATGAACTCTGCTGCAATAGATGCCCCTTCCGGTGCTGACTCACTTTCAATTGAGAGAAGCAAACTTTGAATGATGGTTGATGGGAGCTTGACTTGATTGCGCAAAATCATGATGACAGGGTAGCTTGCGAATTCAAGCATCACTGATAGTTGACGGTCCATATCTAACTCGATGTGTGGAAATAACAACTTGAGAACATCTTCTGGAATCATCCGAGAGCTTTGGAAAACGCGAAACAATTGGGGTATCTTCAAGTTGCAAATAGCAGGTGCCAGTCTGCGAGCTTTGTTGACAGGAATATTAATTCTTTGCAGAGCCTCCACTGCCATTATTCCGTGATCCAATGTGCCATGATTTATTATTGTTACCAAGGATTGGACGATTTGCTCGGGTAAGTCATCCAACCATCTTATTGCCGAAAGTGCACACGAAACAACAAAGCTGTCTTTGGACTGTAATTCAGCGAGAACATTATCTCTGAATCTGTACAGAAGACCAGGAAGTAAATCTCGACACTTGTAAAGACATTGATTCCAGCTACCGTTTGAGAATAAGGCTTCGTAGTCTTTATCTTCCATGAAAGACTTCTTGACTAGAATGGTACAACTGGGCATAAGACGGATGTCTCGTGCGAAGTTTTCCCTGTGGCAGAAATCTAATCCCTGCTGTAAAACCGAGTCGGGTAAAGTTTGCTGATTCATGAGTGTCTCAGCAATCCAATGGTATATTTCCGTGAAGTCGCCCGCTTCAGAGGCGGAATATTGAGACTCCGACAGAGTAAGTAGTCTTTGCAGTGTACTGGCATCTAGCTTTCTGTAAAATCGTGAGAGACAAACTCCACGCGTTCTCGTCTCAAGATCACCATGAGTCAAAAGTGAAAGGAGTGTATCTTGAGTAGGAAAGTGACATGCTCTCTCCAGCATTTTAAGCTCGTTATGCTGGATCTTCGTATCTAGGAGCCTTGAAAGAAGAAACGTACGGGCATCGATTGACAGTCCCGGATCCTCTGCCAATAGCCTCATGGGAAAAAAATCATCCTGGTCGGAATTCTGTATTATCCGACTGACAAAACTTTCAGGAAGACTCTTAGATTCCAGCAACCCACGGAACAATCCTGAATAAAATTCCCTTCTCTTCTTTGGGTCCAGAGATTCTAGATAATCCAAAGCGAGTGTTGGAAAAGACTTGTGGAAATGTCCAACTATGCGCGGAAGTTCCGAATGTTGAAAGGAAATGAGAAACTCAATGAGTCCTTGAGGGAGAGTGGAGGATTTGAAGCGCTCACAAAGGAATGAGTCATAAAATTCCAAGTTATTGTAACGCGATTGTCCGATAAGAAGGGCTTTCTGGATCAGATGCTCTGGAAATTCTATCTCCTTTACCAGCGAGGCATACTCAAAAGTCGGGTTGGGTACTTTAATCAGGAACAGTCGTAGCAGCCGTCTTTCGACAGTCGTGTGTAATTGTTTCAGCGCTTGATCATCATTCGTTAAGCCCACCTCACTGAAGCAGTGCATGAGAATCTGCAGATGTCCAGGACCAAAGACATCACGCGGTTCACCATCCAAAATATTCATGAAATCCAATAGTTTCTCTTTGTTTGTGAAATACAGCAGCCCAGCCACAAATCGCCACATGATATTATAGCGCGGTGCGTACTTCTCCCGTCGAAGAAATTGCTCGGGAATGATGCTGGTAGTTGTGATCGATCCATTCGAGGAAATGTTGGTGAAGGGTATTGACTTGTCCTCGATCCAAAATCGGATAAAATACTGCGCAGCGAAGAATTCCTGGAAGGTGAGATGGAGGAAGTGATAGTTCTTCATATAATCAGAGGACGTATCGGAGGTTCGCAGAAAAGAGATCTTGTTTAGATGCCCATCGTTTAGTTGTGGAAACTGGGTGTATAGAGCCTTTAGGTGCAGAGGTTGGAACTCAATGACGTTGTTGACAAGGCCGTAGAATGCCAATGTTTCTATCGCCTCAACTTCTGTATTCAATTCCTTCTTGATCTGACCCAGTTCCCGATATCGCTGGGTTTCGTAGGGACTCTTTCCGAGCAACTGTTGCATATCCTTTCGCCACAACTTCTTTTCGATCGCCTGGTATAGGGTGGTCATTGTCTTTTGAGAATTGGGTAAGAAGTCCCCATCTTTCTCATCCCAGCCGAAGCATAGTGCATCCAGTTGAATGGGAATTTGAACTAATCCCTGTATGATTGGGTATCGCTCAATGAATCGCTTGATGTTATCACTTGACTCGGGGTCAACGACACTCCTGATGTATTCCTTGACTTCTTGGGGGCGAAATCCAATAGTCTCCAACTCCAGGTCAAATTCTCTCCCACCGGCAGAGACAGCGGCATATGGCCTTGAAGTAACAATTATATTCTCACGATCAAACAGCCCCCGGAAGAGTTGAGTCACTTCATTTCCAAATCCGCTTTTCTCCCCCACAATCTCGTCAAGGCCGTCCAATATCAGGAGAGTTCTTCTTTGATCCAACACAAGTCCCAGCAGAGCCTGGACTAAAATCTCCTTGTCATTATCTAGTAGGAAATACTCTTGTCTCAAGAATTCCTCCAGATTAGCCTGTCCTTTGAGTCTTCGTAGAGGAATCCAGAAGACATGCTGAAAATCATTTTTCCACATTTGGTTGTGGTGAAATTCATGCATTATCTTTTTACAAAGTGTGGTTTTTCCAACACCAGCTCTCCCTCGGATCAGCACTCGTTTTGGCCGATCTGACTCGCCGTTTCGTAGGGTCCGCTGATTGAATAGGTCTTCCAAACATAATTCTTTCTCTTTCTCGGGTCTTGCAACCTTGAGCTGCTCGAACAGTGAAAGTTCGGCTTGACGTTGGGTCATCGGATCAAGAGACTTCCTATCCTTCACCGAAGATTCTATGATCGCAAGATTGATGTAACACCGCTCCATTGGAAGTAGAGCTCCAGATATTCGAGTGATCTCTAGACGCCTCCCCTTCGTATAATGCTCTGCTGCGGTCACTTGAGCAAAGAATGCTTGCGCCTTTTTGCATTTAGACCAGGCTTTGTCAAGAAGACTATCGTGGTTGAGATCATTGGGTTGTTCCAATTTGCAAAAGATCGCTAGCGTGGGCATATGTTCGGTGTTCTTGAAAATGCGATTCCTCCAAGATGGGCGCCGCTGGTCCTTCTTCCAATCCGGCCTACCAAGGGTATTGGCGACAAGCGTAATCCAGGATTGGAATCTTGGAAATTCTTTCCCCACCTGTCTTGGGCAGCTTTCCCCGACCGGAAATTTGTATAGTGTCCACTCAATGAAAGTCTCAACTTCGTCTCTCATGTCTTCATGCTTCTTCCAACTCTGCTCAAGTTGTGCGTAGAGACCACACCAGAAAGATTCATTCTTCAGACACTTCAGTTCTGGTAGAAGTTCCTTCAATGTGTTCAACTCACGATCCTCAATGAGTATCCCGCTATATCTGAGTGCCCCGTACCACAGCTTTTCTTTTGGCAAATAGCCCAGGGTCTGAAGAAATAAGTACTGAAGCGATTCTGACGCTGTATACATGTCCTTGCGTGCTTCAATTTTACTGCTGAGATTCTTCAGTAATCTCAATATGTTTGATGTCGCATCTAATGCCTTTGTAGGATCCATGGTGGATATTGCACCTGCAATATTTGCAGTTGGTTCCAGGACCGTCCAGCTATAGCGACAAATGGCCTGCCATTGCCCTTCATCATCAGGAACTCCGCGCAAAGCTTCATGTGCATAACGAGACGCTTGCGCCAAGCGAGGCTCCGAATGATTGCGAAGCGATCTGAGTTTGCTCAAGAGCGGTTCATGTGTGCTTTCTCGGCTAATCCCTGATATCTTGATATCGACCATGGCGTCAAGCAAATGTCCAAGGGTACAAATCAGTTGGTATTGTTTCTCGAGCGCGCAATCTGCACCCTTAATTCGTGTGTGAAGGTTGGTAAGCAACGGTTTCAGCAAATGGTGTTTCGAAAAGGTGTCATTGGAATTTCGAAGAACGTAGCATAGATCGATGAGTAAACGGGGGTCAACAAGGTCATTGTCGCTAGCGCCTTGGCTGATCGCGTTTATGAACGCTTCCAGAAGACCATCAGTCACGGCATCGGATAAAATTGTTGACAGCTGCGAGGCCTCATTTGAGTAAGATGGCTTTTTCTCATCTTTGAAAATATCGACCATGCAAGTCGCCAAAGCCTGGAGCGCTTTTTCTTGCCCTGTTTCCTGACCAGCAGCCTGTAAGCGCTTGATAAGCTCGCGCGTTGTTGTGGGTCTCCTCGTGAGTTCTCCACTGGCAGACGACGAGAGATCTTCAAGTTTCACTGATGCTATCATGATGATGTATACTTCCAAGGTTGGATACAGCCGTTTGAACTCGATCTTCAGTCCAGCTGAAGAGAGTACATTAGAATGAGGGGTGAGTTCCTATCCAACTCAAGTTTAGCGTCATGCACGATGACTAACATGTAAATAGTAGTCAATTGGTGAAGAGAAGAACAGCAAAAGACAGTGTAACTGAGGGATATAAACCCCTGAGCTAGAAGTGCTCAATTCCAGCGATCTATATAACCTAAATATTATAGGTAGTTGATATGTATTGAGTACTTATAGTGTTAAGATATATAGATTACTCACATAACTACAGCCTACTATATTAAGGACTAAGTGCCTAGATAGTAATAGTCAGAGATACCTAAAGTCAGAGCTAAGTGAGAGATGAGTGATAGATAAGTGAGAGATCAGCAAGAAATACCTGATATTTACTGTGTATAAGGTTCTTTTTCTTCCTGCTAGTTATAAGGTTTTTAGCTAGTCAAGGCCCCTATATAAATTAGAAACAGAACGTTTCACTTTTATTAAAACCTCTTGACTTAATGGCTAAAGTTTGAATACTCCTAGACCTCTAAGTATTGATTATAGACCTGTTTTCCTACTTGGGTTGTAGTTGTTTTTTTAAGTTTCCTCCCTGGTAGAGCAGAGGGGTAGAATTAACCTCTAACTCATGCCTATAGGTATCAGTTACCTACATTCAACTATACCTATAGCAGCTAACCTTCCCTTATAGGTAGTCGTACAGGTAGCCCTGTAGGGAGCCCTGTTGGTAACCCTGTCGGTACTTATATGCAAAGAGGGCATATCACCAGCTACCTGTAAATACTACTGACTGAGTAATTAACTATGTGAACATGGCTTTAGTGTCACGGTGTCTACTTGACTGAGATTTTTGGTCAATCACTTCAAATTTTGAGTACTGAGTAGATACCTTGCCCTATTTTACTGCTACATACAGTGCCGCGCGAAGCTGAGGATTATTTAATTTGCTACCTAGCTTTGGTGGAAATTCCCTGATTTTAACCTTGGAAGTAGGTACATACCCGATGACTTCTTATAGACTGATTTCTTGATATAAAAAGATAAGACTGGCTACCTATTCCTCGTGAGTCTATTATACTAAGCTCTTTACCTTCAATTATGATCTTATCAGCGGTATTGATTTAGGAAAAAAACTCTTCCATTTAAAACGTCTTCTCGAGACCCGAGATGAAAGACGGGAATATGCTCTACCGGCGTAGGAACTGTCACCTAAAATCAAACCCTACCCGTTAGCTTTGTCCAATGATTGAGAGTTGATGGATTTTGATAATTACCGTTTGACCTCCAGCGTATGTTTGGTTGGTCCACCAATAAGTCCAGGGCTGGGTCTCATTATTGGCAATCTGAGGGAGATAGACAGACCACTCAGTTACATTTGGAAGGGTGACAGGCGTAACCAGTAGTCTTGGTCCAAACATGTATTGTTGTGTTGTTGAGTTGGTGTTCTTCTGTGTCCACTCGGCAATATTAGGATCGGACGCCTGGAAGTCCATGAAGAGCGGGCGCATGATCATTCTGCCAGTGCGATGGAATTGATCAAAAAGTGCCTTCAGGTACGGGGCGAGCTGACCACGGAGATGAATATAAGAGACAATGATAGGAGTGTTCTCTTCACCATAAGACCAGGGTTCATTCGCGCAGGAATAAGCGTCTTGAGAGTAGCATGCCCGAGAACCGTGTGTCCGCATAAAAGGCAAGAATGTAGACCACTGCAGCCACCGGACGTACAGTTCGCGATATTCAGGAGTATCGATGTTAGCGCTCCACCAGACTGTAGGATCCGCCTGGAAGCCTCCAGCATCGAGGGTGAACCAGCCCAGACCAGATGAGGCTGCTGAGAGCAAAGTACTGACTTGGGCGCTAAGGGTTTCCCAGACCGCAGTCGTATCTCCAGTCCAAATCATGCTGCAGAATCGCTGAGAACCAATGTAGCCTGAGCGGCTGAGAGAAACGTAGTCGCAGGTCGTACCTATCTCACTAGATGTAGCATTCCGAAGGCCTTCCTCGATGGCTTGTTGATGAGCCCATGGGTATAATTTACCAACACTACGCTGTGTTCCTGCAGCATACAGCACATCGGGTAGTGTGAAGGGAAGTGATTCGATGTATGTGCTCTGGCCATTGTTCTCATATGCTTCACCGAGAGAGCCTCCATCTGCCTGATCAATCCAGAAGTTTTTGATGCCCTTGTCGAAATAGTTCTCCTTTAGGGTGTTCCATAGGAACTCCCAAGCTCTGGGGTTGGTTGAATCATAGTTGCGAATATAAGATCCGTTCCATGAATCCGTTGTTCCTGGACCAGATCGTGTGGCAGAAAGGTATCCATTGGCTATCAAGTCAAGATAATTGACACTGTTATCAGCCACACTTGGCCACAGGGATGCCATCATCTCAGCGTTAGTGAGGTTCTTTACAGTTGCGGACATCTTTGCAACATTGGGCCAAAGGCGTGGATCAAGAGCCCAGTCGCCCTGGTGGGCCCATGACTGATAATCGATGACGATCATAGACACTGGAATATCGCGTCTATGAAACTCTTCTGCCAGTAAAATCACCTCTGTTTCATTCTCATACCTCAGCTTGGATTGGATATACCCAAGAGACCAATCTGGAGGGAGAGGAGCACGACCTGTAAGTGCAGAAAGGCGTTGCTGTAGTGTGTCGTAGTCACCAGGGTCCGAAGCGACAATGAAATAATCCACAACGGTAGTGGAGTCAGAGGTGAAGCGATTTCTGAGAGGCGAAAATTCCATGCGACCTGTGGAAGGCATGTTCCAAATAAATGCATAGCCCTTGTTGCTCATAAATACGGGTGTAGGGATATGTGTGTTGAAGTTGATGAGATCAATTGTTGAGCCTTTCTTGTTAACTATGTGGTCTTGCTGGGTACCGGTTCCATATACTTGCTCATCTGGTGTCGTGCTGAATGAGAATTCAGCTGCGAACTCACTTCCCGGTCCATTCCATGAGTAGTATCGCGGGTTGATAGACTTCAGAGGCGCATACTCATTCGTGAGCAGAGTCTCAGTGCCATTGTTCTCTACACGATAAAAGGCCAAGCGATAACCTCCAGGACTGCCGCCCCAGCCGGATGTACGGACGACGATGTTTCCGTTGCGTATTTCGACAGATTTATTACCGATAAACGCAGTGTCGAATGACATTCCATGGGCCTGGTCTCCCTCGGGCCCTTCGAGGGGAGGGTCATAAACAAAGCCAATCTCATCGCCAGTGGGAGGGCGATAGGGCCATGCACGTACACGGAATCCGTCATACCCGAATGGCTGGACTAGTACAGTCTCAAAGCCATGCTGCATGCGAAACCCTTTTGAAGTTGCTTGATAGTAGCTCGAGTTTCCTGACGAGGCTACTACGCCAGAAAGCCAAGCAGCACCCAGTACAAAAATTCGAAAATGCATCTTGATCTATATCAACGCGTTGCTTCTTTGCTCGAATTTTCTCCAGAGCATCCTGGGGTTCCTTTTATACCATGAGGGGACCATATTTAGGCTGAACTAGATTCTTGACCCTCTCATTCCTTTGCCAGGGATGGAAATGAATTGCAGATCAACATTGCGAGTTTCCCATAATGTGACAATCAATAGCGGGGAATCGCATATGTAACATTGGATATTGCATGATGCACGGTATACAAGGATCGGGGCGGATTAGTCCGAGGTTGCTAAGGTCAAGTTTTCATGCAGGAGCGTGGGGTGCTGTTGATGTGTCAATAGTGTTGAATGCGTGGGGGATGTGTACGGGAGCCTATAACATTTGAACAGCCAAACCCCATTTTCCTATGATGAATTTTGACCGCCTAGCTCACCGCCGGTTGCTTTATCACCACCTGGGCAGGTGGAGGTCCTGGGCCCTACAGGACTTAATAGTTAAGTAGAATAATAATATAGTTAGGTTTTACTATAGAATTCTAAAAGACTAAACCTCAATAATACAAAGTATACAAGGCTAAAGTAAAGAATTTTTAAAGTAAGAGGTAAGTGAGAGATGGGTGAGAGGTAGCTGATATATAATCTGAGTCTATTATTTACCTACTATCAGTAGTACTATTCACTTTTTTTTTAGCTATATAGGTATAGCCATTGTTCCTAAAGGGCTATATCAACTGAATCTTAATTATAGGATGATATAAATAGTATGAACTAATCAAATATTATAATAATCCTTGGTGTTCCCATATCATGATTCTAATACTACCTAGAATTACTGAACCTGAGGGCTGGGAATTGTCAATCTTAGCCATAAAATTAGGATGTATAGAGATTTATTCGATGAAATGATAAGAACACTATGTGTAGGCTTCTTTTTAAAGGCTTAAACACTGCATTTAGTTGTGGTGGGACACTAGATAAATGCTAAAAGGGCTCGCAAAGTTACAGTATAACTCGTAATACCAATACGCTATTTAGAACTTCAGGGCTGGACCTAAAATCCCCTCCGTTTTTTTCCAGATTATCCATTTCTTGAAGAGGGTATTTCTGTCTTTTTTTATCTTTTTTTTTTACCTGTGGGATCCCTCCAGTAAACCTCAGTACACACCGGGTAGAACGCCTCTGTTCCACGTAGTATCTGCCCCACTGATTCCATGGAGATCGCGTAGCTCGTCCCATTCGCATGAGTGTGCATACGGAACATACAGGGCACTCCAAGTTAGTCCAATACTCCAGACCCACTCCTGGGATTAGAGGTATATTAGGAACTAGGTAACAAGGTTGTTCACATCTGTTCCAACTTCTAGCCCTCGTCCTTTCATTCTCCAAGGCCTCCTACATAGGGTGGTTCATGTTCGGGTCTAGTGCCCCAAACAATGCGTATTGCATCTACACTTGCTGAAAATAAATGTGTCTTTCACTCGCCCTTCCTCACGATTCTCGTCGCCATTTCTACAAAGAAGGACCATTTGGGTCTCCGAAAGGCTGGATGTCAAGTCTGGATGAACCAATTATCCATCCCGACTCAACCGCCAGCAAACTTCCCAACATGGATTCACCCCAGACCAGCTGTCCAATAAACGGGAACACTATCTTTTCATTGCAGGCACCATAGACCTAGACCTTTCTGGGGGTTACCCATTTTTCGTTTAAGTTATGGCGATGATGGCCTTTGGGATTCATATATGAAAACTCTTTACGGGGAAACGCGTGAATCTTTGCTCCAGGCTGACCAAGAATACCTGTTTCCCTATTTCTTTTGCCCTATCTTTTCAGATTCCTCTCTACAAGGTGCCTCTCATGACACGATCCGTGAAAAGTGCAGTAAATGGGCGGTAGACACCCGCAATCCAAGAGTCAACCCGATTCTATCGGAGGACGGCTTTGACGATAACGCCCAGGAGTCCTCCTGTCTTATTGTTGATGATTATTGTTTAAATAAGTTTGCTGAGCTTCAGCACGACAAGAAAAACAGGGAGACTGCGCCAATTTGTGTTCTAACTAGAACATGGGATGTTGAGATGTACAGAGGGTGGCATCGAGCGGAATATACTGATGGTATAACCCATAGGCTGAGCGCGGAGGAGAATAATGCGGAGTGAGAAGATTTGGAGGACCATTTCTCTGCAAATGATGAAGATTACATTCTCTTTGACGAAGTTGATGGACTTCGAGTTCCTGTGTTGGGATGAATGTGGGCGGAGATTGGCTCAGTCGCAAGTTTGTACCAAAGTCTCTCAGAGCATGGAGGTTGATTACCGTGAATCATGGTACCAAGCCTATGCCCCGTCCACCTAGAGTATATTCTGACGGGGAAAATGGGTATTGGAAATTGTGACATCTGAATTTCGGTGCTTCCGATCGGAATCATACTCTTATTTTGACATATCATCTCGTACGCAATTGAAATAATTCTTACTTTCGCAAGACTGGTCCGCTGTGCAGGTGGGATACTTGAATAGGGGGATGCTCATCTTGAACATTGCCTTTGGGGAAAACAGGACCTGGAGATACGCATTTTATTAGTATGAGTTATCCAGGCGATTGGAACCTCAGCTCCGGCGGAGGACCTCCAGATGTCGGGAAGCAGAAGTGTTGGTTGCGTGTGTAGTAGTAACATTTGACTCGGACTTCTTACCTTTCGTAGGATGAACGAGTAAACCTGGCTCAAACATATTCACAGAGTTCTCTTTGGACCATTCATAAACATTGTCCCAATTCACACATTTATGAGGTGCAGATTTATTTGCTGCTGGAGCTAGAACATCTGCTACCCACTCAAATGGCATGACCTGAATATCTGCACGACACATAACTCCTTGTCGAATCATGTCAAGACAATGTGCTTTACCATTATCAGTGACTGGTGTTAGAATTTTGGGCCAAATGAAGAAACCAAACGGAGGCTCTAAAGGCGCCCAGGTCAAAACAGTGATAAGGAATAATGAATATCTTACAAGAGTGAACACGATTAAGCTTCTTTTCGGACTCAGTATAATTCGGATGGTAATGATCGATATAAAGGCTCTGGTATATCCATTTCTTTTTCTCCAATCAGCACAAGTATTTTTTCATTGATTCCTGATATCCCAGGGCTCTTGTCAAAGGATGATTCAAGATATCAGCTTACCAAGCAGTGCAGTTCATGAAAGACATTCAACGTCCCAATATATCCATGTCCAGGAAGGTAGACTGTTTGGTCTTCTCGACCAAGCTTATGAATAAGCTCGTCCGGAAGCCGTATATTCTGGTCTAGAGATCTCGGAAACAAACCAGTGAATTTGATCTCCATCGAAAGTTCAGATGATAAATTCAAACCCACAAAGAATCAAATCATTCCATCGGTTATCCAATTCTATGCTGGGGTCTCCTGTGTACTTGCCGGAGTAAACACCATTTTCGTCGAAGGATTTCGATTCAAATTTCACTGCTTCATGAGCGGGCGCTTATATTTTCTTTGGTTAGAAGAACTTCAAGCTAAGATGTATACAAAGCGTGGGCTTATGGTCGCTTTCCTTTCAAATGTTCTGTCAGAGATAGGAATTCCACATGGTACTCACAATCGATCAGGTTTGGACCATGTTGACATCGGTCCGAGTCTTCTCTTTTTCTCATTACCATAGCTCCCAACAGAGTATAGAGTATTATTGGAATAACCACATATACGATCGCTAGGAACGTTCCGTGTACCCAAGGCTTCGAGCATAACCGTGACCCTACCCTTGCCGGATAATCAACGCGAATATCATCATCAAGTTCCAAGTCACTGTCAAGGCTCTCAGAATTTCTTGAAAAATATTCGCTGTCAATCAGGCCTACCTTTAGCTCCGCCATTTGGAGATTTCCCGGAGAGAGACTAGTAGGTAGTTGCACATATAACATAGGAGTACTTGCAAAGTTCGAAAGGAGAGAACTTGGAAGATGATTCCAAGATTCAAAACGGTAGTCAAAGAATGCCAGAACTTGAGTGATTTCAACAGGTAAGCAAAGCACTTGAGGGCAGGGGCACTGGCGTCACTGCGAAATGTAAAGACTCGGAACAGCTCTGGATACTTGGGAGCCACTTCTGATGTTCAAGTTCTGAACTGACGGAATGTTAGACAAATCAGTCAACGCAAATCCTGAACCATAAAAATTCTCGAAACATTTTAAGGGCGAAGCGAGGTGAAAGATATAGTATTTTGATCCGAATATCGCGTAGGAAGGTTGCATCAACTAATATGGTGTAAATAATACTATGCAACAATAACGAAATTGTGAATCGCCTAAGCTAGCTCGGTAATCAAAAATTCACAATGATAACTTCCAAGGTTGAAATTCATCTATAATTGTAATCCGGCTGATGCTTATGCATGTACATGTCGATCCATTTTTTTTCTGTTCATCCACGCTGCTTGAGTTATCAGAAGCTTGAACCTGTCACAGTACTACGAGTATTGGATTTACTATAATCAGTTCATCGACTCGCCGCCAGTGACGCTTATTCAAGCTTTCTGTCGCTTACCCGAGTGCTTATCTAGGGGGGTTGGTAAGCTACGTTTAAAATTGATTGTAAGGATGCGAAAGATGAAGATTACTAGACGATTGATGGAGATCTTCGATACTATGATGTTTCATCCACGGGTGTTATCATGACTCTGGGATCAATTGATGCTTACATGGATCATGATATGGAAAGAGTCGGGATGACCTCGGGGTGAGATTGCTTACATCGACCCACCAATATAGTTCAATTACCAATAGAATGACACATTCATTGAGGGGGCTTATGTATTGATTTTAATAGTCAGTGATCAAATTCCTGAGCAGAGTAATAATGATACCAGCACTTTATTCAAACTTGTTGAATGTTATCTATCTCCTATCAAACGTTGGAAGTGGTTGCCTAGTCATTCATGTGCCGCATATTTTGGGTAATCAAGGTAAGATTCTTGCATGGCTTACACCACGATGAAATGAAGATGAGATTGACGTCCTCTCAAGATGATGGTGAAAAGAATATAAATTATCATCAAATTCTCTCCCGATGCATCAGTAAGAAAACAAGGACAAAACACATCCACAAGCTCTAATTTCCACGTTGAATTCCATAAAGAGAAATCAAAATGCACTTCACCAACTTTGCTCTGGGCTTCCTGCCGCTTGCGTTACTGACAGCGAGCTATCCAGTTACATCATGTGAGTTAATGAATCTTGGAAGCATAAAGATATTGAAAGTTGACTGAAAGATTCTCAGCGAGTAAGCTGCTGGATGTCTCTCAGGTGACTGGCCTCCAGCATCTGGCCGCCTATCTTAAGAGCCACTCGGGGTCTTCTCCTGCTCTTACCAAGCGGGCGGACGATAGCTCTGCCTCCAGACTGACTATCGAGTTTCCCGGCGAGGAGAACGCGACCGACTCGACCATCGCCAAGCGGGCGGATGACAGCTCTTGATTCAGAGCTGTCTATTAAGTCTCTCCGACTAGAGAATGCCACCGATGTGGCTTTCTCTCAGCCTCATTACGCCTGTTAGCTCGCTCTTGAGATGCCCAATGTCCGTCCGCTGGTCACAGTAGCTAGTGAAAGAAACAGTTTCATATTTTTGTATCCCCAACTCTACTTGTGGAGATATTGAGGAGGGAAGTGATAAGGGGTCTCATTATTACTGCCGTTCATTTGTGTTTGTGCCTTAGTCAACTTTTTCTACAATACAAGTGCCTTAAATCTGTCCCTAAGCTCCAACCATTTATTCCTTTTTGCCCGGAACCAGGGAAGTAGCTATACAACATTTGAAACATTTGGAGAAAAGCAAGAACTTTCGACGATCGGTTTTTAAGTACTTCGATGTGGCACCTTGGTAGGTTTTGCCAGTGGTATTGAACATTTGAATCGTTCATCAAGGGCAAGACCTTGGGATTGTGCACATGTGTATTGCTAAGACTCACAGCTTATCAACGTCTAGATCTTGAACTTTGGAAGACTCAGAGTACTGAAGAAGGCTACACTTGAAGGTCATGGATAGTGCATCATAATCAATAAGATCATTCTCGGCCTGAGTGGAGCTTTGGAAATTTTTGAATCATATGAAAAGGCTCATCAAGCCAAGTCTGCGACAAAATTCCGAGTTCATATCATAATTTCCAAGGTTGGAAGTAGCGAAAAATGGTATATATAGAATTGATTGCTATCTATATCCATGGACTCTCAAGTACTCTTCGATTGTTGCACAAGACCGTAAAGCTTCCTGAATTCCGTTTCCTTTCCTAGCAAAGTCTCTGGGGAGCCATCTTCGATGATGATTCCATTCTCAATGACAACAACTCGATCAAATTGCCGAATGTGCGTATATCGATGAAGGACGGATATAACAGTATGCGGCTTGAATTGTTCCGTTATCACCTTTTGCATAAGCTCTTCAGTCTCCAAGTCGACACTGTTGAAAACGAAATGTTAATATGTGGTTAACAGTTTACAGTAGGGATCTAACGTACCTTCCAGTGGCTTCATCCAAGATAAGGACATGAGATTGAATGGTCATAGCACGCGCAAGGGCCAGGAGCTGTTTCTCCCCGACTGACCATTCAGAACTCTTCAGCTCCATCTCCAAACCTCCACCAGAACTGATCCTATCCCATAGCCCAACAAGTTTGAGAGACTGTTCAATGATTTCGTCCGAAGCAACATTATGGGGATTTAGGTTCAATCGCACAGGCCCAGGAAGGAAAAATTGATCTTGAGAGACAATGCTCATGGACGATCGGATAGAATCTGGCTCCAATCCTTCCAGGTTTATCCCGTCGATTTCAATAGTCCCCTGTTGAATTTCCATCATCTGAAGAAGCGCAAGGATCAATGATGTTTTGCCGCTTCCAGATTTTCCACATACTGCAATCTTCTCTCCCGAAGAGATATCAAGTGAGAGACCCTTGAGAATAGGCGCGGTGGAAGGACTTGTAGAACATTATGTTAATTTCAAAGATAATAAACCAAGCTCGGAAAGAGAGCAAAAAAGTCACTTACCCATATGAAGCAGTTAAATTAATGATTTTGATGCCTCCTTTCGAGAACGATGGGAGGGGGGCGGCTAGAGAGTTGGTGTCAAGAACAGCTTGAGATTCCGATGGAGTATCCTGCATGAAGGTTTTGACACGAAAGACTGCCCCAATGGAAGTCTCCAATGATATCCATGTATCGATCAACTGTGTTAAAGATTGATTGAAGGTCATGATCATGTATAGCGCAACACCAACAGAGCCGCCAGAAAAGCTGCCACGCAGTGATACAGTGATTGCGACAAGCACAACCGCCATTGATCCAGAAACGAGATCGAGAACTAGTGTAAGCCATTGTTGTATACAATATAACATGTAGAATGGTCTTTGGCTGTGCCGAAAGTGACTCTCGAAAGTTCTCTGGAAGTAGGAACCCCAGCCGAGTGCCCTAAGGGTTGTGACTCCTTGTATTGCTTCCAGAAAATGGGAGACAAGGAGTGACTTTGTTTCTATATCCAAGAGTCGTATTTGGCGAGAAGTGCGCAAATAGTAGATTTGAATCAGACATAAAGCAAGGAGGAAGACAGGCATTGATGCAGTGAAATACGTGCCAAAAATGCAGATTATAACGACTTTTGTCACACAACTCGCGGCACCTATTTTTTTTCATCAGTCAATGGTCTTTTTTTGCGGCGGTTTCTGATGGTGGATTCAACAAGTAAGTCTCCTGGCGTGTATATAACTTACTCCCAACTGCGTTAATTGCGTCCGCGGGCAGATTCATATCAATCAGTGTCATATCTTCACTAAATCTGTGTTCGCTATCAGCGGATATGATCGGGCGGAGGTCAAACCAAATTCATTCAACTTTCAATACATACCGGTTGACTAGCGATCCCAAGTCGGTGCTGTAGAGCAAATGAAAGGGTGCACTATTCATATCAATCATATTAGCATATTTTAACCAAAATTTAAGCGAGCCAGTGGAAAAGCACTCACCCGAGTACTGTCTTTAAAAGATCTGAGTGCATCCGTATGGCAGTTCGATTGATGATCCTGATAAACAATAGCCTTCCGAATGTTAGTTTCAAGAGGTCGGAATGTGTCTTGTGTGCTCTAGAAAAGTCTTACCAGCAGCCTGCAGTTAAACCACAGGAAGATGCTATCAAGAATGCTGCATAGACTCCCAGATACATGCCAATATCACTCTTCTGCTTTTTTTCATCGGCACTCGACCATTCCTGAATCCAGACAGCTATAAAGCAAAGAGATTAACACCCATATATTAGGGTAGAGTATCAGGGGATTGACTTACATGAAACATTTGCACAAGCTGACTCAAGAATCATAGCTCCAATGAAGCAAACAACAAGACCGACACCAGACCTCTGCAAGTAGAAGCGATAGATACCACTTCCTCCCTTACGTCTCGATTGGTCATCTTTCTTGCTCATGGAAATCACGTCTTCAATGTCGGATGTGGACTCGGGGGAGCTATTCCCTTTCAAAATTGTGGCTAGAGGCTCCTCTTCTAGAGATTCTGGCTCATCGATGTATACCTCTTGACAGGAAGGAGTCTGAATGGTGAGTCTTTTGTCTTCGAGACTGAAAATTTTATCCGCAAAACGGAATAGACAAGCTATCAAAATTCAGCATTTCCCCATTGATTCTCCAGGAAGAGATAGATTGCTTACGATTTTGTGTGGTTATAATGACAGACTTGCCCGCCTCCCGAAAGTAGCCATTGCTTCCTAGCAATTGCTTTGAAACCAAGCCAAGTGTCTTAGAGTCAAGCCCGGAGAATATATCGTCACAAAGAATGACATCCGATTTGGAATAAACTGCTCGAGCAAGCGCCTTTGAGAAATTATCAGAAGAGCTCAGCTAAAATCGCATGGGTAAGACTTACAATACGCTGCTTTTGGCCACCACTCAAAGCCACGCCACCGCTGCCGCACTTGAACATATCCCCATGTGGAATCCTTTCAAGGTCACTTTTGAGACAACAGACCTTCAAGGTGAAGTCGTACCACTTTTCGTCAATTTCAGTCCCTCCGATGATATTATTACGGATGGTGTCATTGAGGATCCAGGATTCCTGAGGACAGTAGGCAATTCCGGTTGGATTTATCCACAGTGTACCTTCCAGAAGAGTTGTTTCACCCATAATGCTTTCCAGCAAAGCAGACTTTCCAGCTCCGGTTAGACCTGTGAGTATAGAGATCGATTGCCTCTCTATCACCAGATCAATGTTTTGCAATACCGGATCCGAGCCAGAATCCCAAGCAAAAGATGCATTGTTGAGAACAACCATATCGTCATCTATTTTCTCTTTTGGCGTCTGTAATATCATCTTATCGATGTTGTGCTTGCCTTCTGAATCAACTTGGGGGAAGCTCTGAATGTAGAATTCTTCGATTCGATCGAAACATGCGACAGATTGAAATAGGCCAGGACAAATTTGAATCAATGTCAGAAGTGGGCTTGTTAATAAGCTGATCAGAGAAAGTGAAGTAAATGCACGAGCGGATAGTAGAGAGTCATTTCCGTTGACGATTGCGACGAGTGCATAAACCAAGAAAGTTGCGAATGGTGCAAGATCCGCTGGTATATTGGCTAGATATTGGTTAGAGGTTCTGATTGTAACAGAGTATAAGAATCGCAAAATATCTTACATAAACTGATTGTCCATATCAATAGCTTCCGGAAGCGATGCGATGTCTGCAGCTCCACCTCTCGTAATCCCTGCACAAGATCGTAAACTACCTTGTTTAGCCCCAGCATCTTGACCACCTTGATATTTCTCAGGACGCCTGCGGTCACAATGACTCTCCGTCCAATTCGCTGAACCCATAGCTTCTGGCTATTTTTGAATCGTTTTGCCACCGGAATCGAAGCCACAACAGATACTTAGAATAGTCAGTTCTCTCTTCTTCCAATATGTGGATTAAAATGGGTATCGATCGTCATACAAACTGATATAAGGGCGGGTACAACACAAGTAGCTCCTAGCTGCCGCTCAAGCAACCAGACCGCAATGATTATCTCAATCAAGCAGGCCCAAGTTTCATGAAAAGTGTGTAGATTTTTGACGATCCGATCCACATCAACCTCCATATGGGTAATGGCTTCTGACTCTTTAACATCCACTGTTCTTGATCGCATTAGCTTTTCATGGATCATTGAGACCAGTCCTGCTCGAATCATTGTAACGAAGCGGAAGGCTTGGCGCCAATAAATCGAAGTAGCAATTGCCATTCCGAAGTTTTCAAGGATGTAGGCACCGATAAGTCCTTGTCCAAAGTAATGAGGACTTGACTTGGAGTTTGGACTGCTGCTAACATAATTCACTGTGGCCGTGATCAGAAATGGTTGGCAGAATTTGAAGGCAATCAAAATCAGACGAGGGGGTATCGCAGATAAGCAAGATGATAGATATGCTTGGAAAGTTGCTCGTAGTAGACGATTCTTCTTTGGTACATCAGTATCCTGCTCATGATCCCATGCGTTTTGTATCTTTTGCCCAGCAATCGGGATGCATAGATTTTCATCTATGTCAGGCAAGTCATCCACTTGTAAGGTGACACGGTATCCATCCCTGAGAACAGAGTTTATCCAGAAAAAAAGGCTTCGACCCCAGATTCCATGAAGTTCTTCTTTGCTTGCTTTGTTTCTGACTTCCGGCAGTAACATAGACTCTTTCGTTGCTGACTCTGCAAAGGCAGCTAGTGTTGTGAAAATGAAGATCGCAGTCCATAAAGACCGACAGGTCGTATCGGAATGGATGAGCCATAATGAGCGAAGTCTTGGAATAGACAGAATACTGCCCAGTGAGAAATACAAAGTGAGTAGATGGGAGGGGCTGACCGCACGCTGATCTGAGAGAAAAGAAAATACGATCGCAGCGCCGATGGCTATGACGTCGAGAATAGAGGACGCCAATGAGATCTCCGTGAAGAGAGCATCATTGCGCAGCCGAAATATCAGAAAGACGATGTTCAGAACCAAAAGGAAAAACAGGGTGACCTTTTCATACGAGTTAGTGACTTGACAAAGCTATGTTCCGGCTAATAACTGACCGATTTGACGATAGTAAGTCGATAAGAGCTCAGCTTGATAGTTTGTCTTCGCCAGATAAGGATCTGCGGTGTGACCAGGAAGAGGAACAAGCTTGCAGGTACAACCGAAAATATGATATCCTCAAACAAAAGCGTGAAATCAAATACACGGCATTCTGGGTCCACTCTGACCGCAAACACGCGGTCAGAGTTCGGAGGGCAAGATGGCATCATGGCCTTGAACACTCGAAGATGCTTCAAGCGCCGGGTCTTTGAATAATGCAGGGGAGGGACTAAGGTAGGGTAATATCCGCCAATAAATGGCAATATCAAGGCCTCCAAGTCTTGAACACGTAGAAATGAAGCTCACTTATGTCCTGGTTGGAGATGAGCCCTGGAGGGGCATGTAACTTATAAACGCATACGTGCAGATGCACTTAGGTAGTACCATGATAAAACGTAAGCTAGTATTCTCAGGTGGATCTAGATAAGGTCCCAGTACGGAGTAAGCCTGTAATCATTGCTTACCGACTACTGTAATCAACCAAATTAAACTGCTAGTACAAATAGAAAATAAGTGGCAACAATATTCGCTAATTTCCCCAAAGGCGAATACTACCTAGATCTGGATCAAAACCTGGTGATTCCCTCAAATCGTCAATAGTGTAAGCATGTCATTTTTCTAGGACTTATACTCAACGTTCTTTGGATACATATCAAATTCATCAGTCTCCAGGGCTGCCAGTCGGCATTAACTCTGAATCTTGTTCAAGCTGTTCTACCTAACATTTCGAATAATTATCTGCGAGAAGCCATTTTTTGTTTTCTGAACCAAAGGCAAAAAAGCATCATTCTGCTTCACCAATTCCGGATCGATGCCAACTTCGTAAAGATGAGAAAGCTCATCTAGAAGTCGATCCGCCCTACGTGAAGGCGCTCCGCATATTTATCGGTCAACTGTGGAATGCAACGAGTTTGATCATCACTCTCTCTATCATGATGCGCCCACTGGGGGAAAATGTCTCCTACTTGGTCAGCGATCGAATCCTGTAGTTGTGTAAAGTCCTGAGCGGTAGCCATGTGCACGTCGCGTTGAGGAGTCGTATCGGTAATTCCTCCTGTTATCTGGCATCATTTTCATCAGTACAATGAGACTTTCCTTCTAAGCATTGGTTAGCATCATCCTGGCATAAATGTGCAAGAATGGGAGATATAGGTAGTATGTCTTTACCTTAGGATCGCATGTGGTCCCAGATCCCAACTTGAGCCAACTATATCCAGAATTATCTGAGATTCCGTCGGTATATAATAAAGCATCCTCCAGGCAGTCAATGATGGACATGGGCTGAGATAGACTCGGAGGCGGACTATTAATCGATTCATCCACGCTCAACGTGCTTGATATTCTATCATCGTCAAGTCAGGGTGTTGGGTAATCGTCATTCTCGGTATTTGTCTGTTTCGAAGCTCGCATCTTTAGCCCTTTAAATCAAATGCTGAGGTCAGCAATTCTGTATGGGAATTTATGAAAAGAACTTTGAAGCATACGATAGCGTCGCTGAGCAGCCCGATTTTGAAGTCTTCGGCGTAAAAGCTTCTCCTCTGCAGCTTCGCTGGTATCATCATTAACGGAACTCATTGATTCACTTCCAAACTTGGAGACTGAGACAATTGTCCGTGTAGTCGATTGAATTTAAGCAATCCTGAAGTTGTTGCCAGTATGCTTTGGCTCCATGGGACTTGACTGACGATGATAACAGCATTTAACATCCCTGTAGGGCCACAGATGCATGAAAGAGCTAGTCAATTCTAAGGTTAGTGGTTAGGTGATCTGGAGGACAGGAATACAACCTCTCCATGTTTAGTATAACCTCAAACTTGAAGTCATGCAGCCTGTTAATTTCGCGATAATCGATGGCTATGCGGACTTTGATCCGGTTCGACGGGCTTCCCATAAAGGTGTAAGACAGACGGGGTTGCAGCAAAGGATCTCGCCACGATATCTCGCACATTTTCACCGCCTAGCCCTCCACCATCTAGGGAGTATGCAAGGCAATCTTTGAAACTTAGGAGAGGCCAATTAGCTATCAGCTCAATTTAATACTGATAGGTTTCAAATGTTCCAGGTGGGGGCCACTCGGTGGAGCAACATGAGGCCGAGCCTGGCCCAGTGTAGATTACCATGTGCTTCAAATGCTAATCGAGTAGCACGACATGCATGACAGTAATGTACTAGTAATGAGACATGTACTTGAAAGTTCTAACATTAAGGAGTTTAGCCTACTCCGGTGATCAGGTTCGGCCCAGGGAAGCGACCTTGGGAACATTAAACCAGTAAAAAGAGTAAAATAATTGAAATATAGGTACTCCGTGCACACTAGTATCATCCGACTGGGAGCTGCATCGGCCCCAAAACTCCAGAAATGTTCAAGTTGACCTATGTTGACTGAGGTCAACTTGAACGTCCAGGTGCCAAGAAAAATTTAAGCACTCCAGTGGTATTAAGGGCAATTAGACTCAAATTAAACTTGAATATGCATATCGTCCAGCCAAAGTTAACATCCCACTGGCAATTTTGTGAACTTCAAGTTGATTCCAAGGTTCCACTTGGGCAGATTCAAGTTGCAGCAAAACATGAAACTAGTACTCAAGTACTCGTATTCGCATGCGTCGCACTCAAGTGCTAGAACCTAAACCTCCAGCCTCGGTAAAATGACCGCTGCCCAGGCACTAGTGGTAGCCCTGGAGATGGCACCATCCCCGCAACTTGAACTACTCCCACCAGGGCCGGGCCGCCATTGGCACAATAGCCGACTCCGTTTAACCCAGCTCCCGGGCTCCTAGGTAATTTGGGTTTGGGTTCGGGTGAGAACCTTAGACTCTAGAGATCTCCAGGGCTAGATTTACAGAGAAGTCGGATATTCCGACTTGAAGTTGAAATTCAAATGCATTATGGACAATAAATTAAGATCAAGGCGAGAATTTCCCAAGATTAACCCCTGCGAGCGCTAATCAACGATCATGATTTTAAAAATTACGTAAAATCAGCTACGTTAGGATCCAAGGTCTAATCAATGTAATCATTATTGTAAAAGCACGTTATCGGATGCTGATACACATTGGATCTTAGTACCTAGTATCCTAGTACCTACTTAGTAGTGTTATCGGCCCAACATTGAATCACGCGCTATCTCGATTCTCCACCCTGATCTCGCGTACAATGCTTTTTTCGGTCAATTTGAGGCAAATTTTGCCGACCTCTTCTTGGGAGTGGTGTTATGAAATTATCTAACAATGCACATGCAGCGACTTGCCACTTGGACAGGTGGACTTGGATAACAAAGACCCGGCATCCGTCGGGGCTCGGAGCTTCCGAGGTTCCAACTTCAACTTGAAGGTCACTATCCGTACTCAACATTTTGAATGTATCAGAATGTATCACTGGCAGCATGGATATTACGAACCTCGGGACTGCTTGGAGATACAATATTTGAAAAATTACAGATGATCATACTGCATATCTCAGGAGGCTCCGCATAATTGCCTAGTCGCCATGCTTTACCCAAATTTGACAAGTTCAGATATCTGCTCCGACTCGGAAGATCGAAAATATTTTCTTTCAACATTCAGTGTTACCACAAACCTTGGAAGTCAAAAAGCTGGGAAGAATCCGGATAGCTTCTATGTACTAGTACCAATCCATTACCTAGGTAGAAGATGCTCGAACTTGAATAATTGAAATGGATAGTAACATTTGAAAATCATTTTAGATTTCAAAAATGGTTCATCAAGCTTGAAGGCATGCGATCCATTGATAGACCGCGGGAGAGACTTCGTAGCTAACTGGGGGATGGGAACTCCAATATACGTCTGCTAAATCAATGATGTTCAGTGACGGTCCGAGTCTTAATTGTTTCTTTCAAGTTCCTGAGCGACAACATTTGACTCGGAATTGATGCAATTCCACATGCAGTGAGCGAAAGGGATGATGGTGACTTGAAAGCAAACATTTGAATCATATATTCCACATAGTAGGGCCTAGTTTGATATGTCATTCCCCTAATTGAAAGTGTGAGTCTGCGTTCAATGTACTGCTATTAGTAGTATTTCCATTTGAACAAAGTCAGCCATCAGACGCCTCTTTCCGCCCAAGATTGGATTATTCCCTCATTTTTTTTCATTATAAACCTTGAGAGAAACACTATGCGAGTCAAGAACAGTATTCGGCTGTACAAACTTCCAGCGAGGCTCTGGCTTGGAGCGCACTGGTTTTCTCCAGCGTTCGTAAGCCCCATCTACGGCCGAGAGGTTTTTGTAGAACTGAATACATGGCTCAGCGTCTGCAGTGCATCTCCATGTTTGCAATCGACAACAAGACTCGCGAGTGCCGGTTGGCCGTGAGTAGCAATCTTGGCTTGGTTGACAGCTACTACAAGGCTATTCGATGCTGGATCAAAATTGACTTCTAAAACTCCCCCTCCCTCAACAACAAGGTGTTTCAAAATAGCGAATTGGCCCTGAAGTCGATGAATAAACATCGTTAGTCCCCTTAAGAATTTTGGGAGAGGAAGCAGAAGACATACGCTTCGATGAGAATCGCTCTAAATTTGCTCATCCGCGTTGTAAGAACGCAGCGCTTGGAGTCCCTGAGCTCCAATATGCAAATATGTGAAGTACAGCACTGAGAGACGTCAGATTTCACTCTTCGGAGATTCCAGGAAAAGGTACCTATACATACGCTCATTCGTCGTTATTGAACTGACACCGTCATGTCCAAAGATAGAGAGAAAGCTCTTTGCTTTCCATGAGGTACATTGACATCATTTCGGCTCGGCATTCTTCTATCTCATCGGAGAGTTCACCAAACACACTAGTCCAAGTCTGACCTGATAGATACCATGATTGAACTGAATAGCCAGTGAGAGGGTTAATTGGAGGGGATCTCTATGTCAAAGTTGAACTCGCCCGGGCTTGTTTCAGCAAGTAACTTTCCACTGCCATGACCAATCAGCTCGTGCACTGCGACGGTAGTATTGGCGATTATGGGGACACATTCTTTGTAGCGCTTCATTTCTGTCGGTTTTACATAATAGCATGCGCTAGTTAACTGTGTCGTTTTCGGCACTCAGACGATTAGCTATGACGATGTTTTTGAAGCCACATGTCTCCCGTATATCGTTATAGTTGGGAAGGTTGATACCATGTCAGATGATACTTGAGCATGCGGTCAATGCTAGATAGGATGTTAAACTTTGGTTTCTAATTCATGAGATTCTTCATACTGACCGTGCACACTGACAAAGTCGGGTGGGTCAAAAAGGTCTTTTTCAAATGGACCTTTCCCACTGTTGATATCAGCAACAGCCCAAGGCATCTGACAAAGAAAATGGTCACATTTTCGAACAATTTCTTTTAGTCCCAAGCTTTGTAGAGAATCGGAGGTGAAGACAATTGATTGCCATTCACCTCTGACACTATGTGGATCCCTGTAGGGCTCGACAAACCCCAAAGTGGTTTCGATCACCGGGGATTGGTCTTTCACCCAGATTTTTTTCGAGTCTCGGTAAGCCTGTAGGCGTCCTTTTTTGAAGCTGGTAATGTAATAATCTATCACCTTGATTTGGTTTTCATTGCTCGAAAACATTTTCGCTTGCTCAAGTGAATCGCATATTTTGGCCATCTCGTCATTATGGTCGCCTCCTAGGATACGAATTATCATATCATTTTCCTCGAATTGATCCCACTCAGCAAGACATCGAGCATCCTTCGATGCTTGAAGGACTTCGAAAATACGCTTGTCTCTTTCTTTCCTCTTCAGTATTCTCGTGTTCTCTGGTTCGATGCGGTGCATCTCCATGGCTCTCGAGACCAGCGCGATCTCCTCTCGCGTAATTCGATCTTCTTCGGGGTAGTAGTTGGCTTGCGAGGTCTCACTTGGGTATCCAAGACTAGACTGGGCTGTTGACAGCATGCTCTTTATCACGTCCTCCGCAGCAGGGTCCGTCCATCCGGAGTGTTTCGCTAATTTTAGAAGGGCGTCTGCAGAAAGGTCAGGGACAATCTTCCTTCCACCGTCGGCCTTCAAATTCGGTAAGCTTTTGGATTTGAAAAATATCCGAAAGAAAATTTCAATATATACTCACGAAGTAGTTTCCGATATTGTTCAAAAAGATCGCAGCGTAGTCGAGGAAAGCCAATAGCTCCAGCTGCGTGACGGTGCCATCTGCAATCCAATCTGTCCAGCGACCGTTGCAAGCCTTATAAAGATCCGTGATCAAGTCAAATATAGCATTTGATTCTGGTGCCATACCAAGCCGCCCGAGATAAGTGGTGAGCGTAGAGTTTCTCGAGTTCAGTCAGACGGTTAAAGGATTCTTCGACGACAAGCTGATGGGTGGGGTCACCCTGAGGCTCGATTCGTACTGACATTTTTCTGAGGCAGAGCTGAAGAGGACTCGTTTCTGTGCAGTTTTGTGGCATGCAATGACATTCAATGGAATATTGTACTGTTTTTGGTACGATTCAAATGTTCTTACATTCAGGAGTTAGATGGAAGAAAACATGCAAGGCCCCGCATTGCTTTCCCATCACATTCCGTTCCGCATGGACCTGTGTTTGATGCTGTGGCATAAACCGCATCCCTACGAGTCAAACTAATATCAGCCATATTAAGGTGCGTACACCTTTGGTGAGAGGCTGTCGTGGCAATATCGTGGAAATACGAAACGGTTATCTAATCCTAGATTCCACTCCCAACGTTATCAATCAGATAAGATCAACACGTGCTTTCGTTACTCAAACGGTTTAAGCATTTACCCGCACTTGTTGGCTTTATTATTGCGTTTAGAAGCCATAAATGATCAAATTCGATACTAAGGTATCATGGTAAGCAATAAAATTTCGAGAATGAATATTATCTACCCCCAACTCCACCCTCATCGCTGAACCAAGGGATCATGTCCACGGATTTTTAATTTTTTTCTTTCGGGGCAATTAAGTGGGTCCGGACTGTTGGATCGCCCGGGGGGGGGCTTTCTCCTCATCAGCCTCTCTCACCCGGCATCGGCCTTGAATGCGCAACCATGTTGCGGATGGGGTGGTTACTGGTCGCTCTAAGTGCCTCGGGCGCTTGGGGTAATTACCTCCCTGTGGATGAACGATGCGTGACCGCCATCTACTCGGCATACAATTACATCACTTTCGCCGGGACTCCGGCTACGGGCATGTGGGAAACCCGATGCCAAAATCCCCTCAAAGTCGCCTCCATCTACGCAGCATCGGAGATCTACTGTTGGGATGTAGAACAAGCTGCGGGTTTGGCTCAAATGGCGGCGGAATGTGAAGAATACGGACATCGTCTGCTACTTCCGAGAGAGGCTGTTGCGGAGAATCTGACCAAAGATGCGGTGCGAGCCATGCGTGTTGTGCACTGGTTAGAACTCACTCGAACTAATGTTATGGATGCACCAATCATGATTTCTCCGGGTTATTATGAGCAAGTGTATGATACCATCGACTCATGGCAATTCGAGACTTGGTCCCACCATGCGTTTGGGTAAGTATTGTGCATGCCTCGGCTTTGAAGGGAATGGTGCTGATGAGAAGTTGATTAGATATATTGGTTATGCTTACTGGGGAGCCTTGATTCTTCTTGGCATCGGTTACCGTTTGTGTCACTGGCTCATGTACTACCGCAAGGCCGGTCCGAGTCGGAGACGAGAAATCGAGTCGCAAATATATACTGCAACTGCCGGTGGAGCATGGTATGAGAAGCTTCCACTAGTAGGAAGTACTGTTCATTGGATACAGACTCACCTACTTGTGGCTTCTCCGACTAACAGAGGCCGAGATGCGTTTCAATGCACCTTCTCGAATCGAGCAGAGGCTCTCGCTGTGGCTGGATTTTGGGTAATCAGCATCGTACTCAGCGTGGTCGGATACCGCACTTTCATCGGGAATATTTAGTATGTCCCCGCGAAGACCCTTGACATGAATATTTATGAATTGAGGTTTGCTAATATATTTTATAAAGCTGGCCTAATGTCACGGATCAACTCCTACGGTATTCCGCAGATAGGACTGGCATCATGTCTTTTGCGAATCTCCCTCTCTTATGGCTTTTTGGCGGTCGCAACAACATCTTGATCTGGGCGACGGGCTGGAGTTTTGCGAGGTTCAATGTTTTCCATCGCCATGTGGCTCGCGTGGCCACGATCCAGGCGATCGCTCATACGATTTTATATTTCATTATCTACTTCAGAGGTAAGCTCCCCCGAGACGTTGATGAAGTGGTCGAATTGCTGATAAACTTCATTCGAATAGCAAACAAATTGTGGAAGATCCTTTATAAGGTGTATATTCTGTGGGGTCTACTTGTATGTTTTCCGATCACATCAAATATCCAGATAGATCGGTTATGTTAACGAAGACCTCTCTAGGCTGTCATTGTGTTGATACTCTTGCTTGTGGCATCGCTCGATCGGATCCGTTTTGGCAGCTACGAATTATTTTTGATCATACACATCTTCCTTTCCGTCATCACTCTCATAGGATGTTTCTAGTGAGTTCAAAACCCATTGAGGTTTTCATTATTTGTTACTAACATTTAACAGTCATACAATCGTGTTCGAGGGTTATGAATACTGGAAATATCTCTGGCCTTCAGTGGCAATTTGGGTGTTTGACAGATTTTTGCGGTTCGTACGTCTATGCTACTGCAATATTCACGTCAGAATTACAGGACGTGATAAGATTCGCACCTCCTCGGCTCGAATGACATACGATGAGGCGACCGATGTGGTGCGATTGGAGGTCTTACCCGCTACCCCTTTTCTGCGTCCTACCCCTGGTGATTACTTCTTTTTATACCAACCGTTTCGTTGGACTGGCTGGGAGAGCCATCCTTTCACTGTGGGTGCTTGGGCATATGAAGTAGACTCAACATCTTCATCATTGGCTGGGAAGCCGAATGAGTCCCTTGACATATCCCATATGCCCCTTCTCCCTAATGCATTCAGTCAACAGGATGAGATTATCTCCGCGGAGGCTCCTGCCACGGAGATCTATTCATCCCGGTTAAAAGCAATCTTCTGGATCCGTCCATACGACGGCTGGACCAGACAGCTGCGCCAACAGTGCCTTGAATCAAAGGATCATCCAGTCGAAACGACTATTCTCCTGGAGGGACCTTATGGACGTCATTTTCCGATTTGGGAATACGAGTCGGTGTTGATGATCATGGGAGGGACGGGAATTGCATCGGCTGTGCCGTATCTTCAAGACCATCTTCGGCGATCAGGGGAGGAGTGGGACGAAACGACCCGCGAAAAGACTCGAACTCGTGATATCGAACTCATCTGGACGGCAAAGCAATCTGCTTTTCTGAGGGAGTTGGCCAGCCAGGAGCTGAAGCCTTTGATGACTCGCGAGGACTTCCAAGCGTCTTTCTATGCGACTAATGCACCTGATATATCAGAGGACGATCAAGATCAAGTCACTTACGACATCAAATCTGGTCGACCTCATTTGCAGTCGCTCATCATGACTCGCGCTTCTGATGCCTCCTCTGCTGGTGTCTCATTAGTCGTTCTGGTTTGCGGCCCTGCTGGCATGGCCGACGAGGCGCGAGCGGCCACTCATCTTGCTATGCGGCAAGGGTATGGATCCATCAAATATGTGGAAGAGTCTTTCGCCTGGTAGAAATGATTTAGAGGTCCGTTTGGTTACCGCGTGACCAGTCTGTCTTCTAGATCTATCAACACAGGAACCCATGTAAATAATTGCATATACGGAACGGACTAGGATGTCCTTCAAAAATCAAATCATGACCAATTTTCTCAACGGACTCGGAGTACCTGTACTATTTGATCCAGATCATTTTTGTGACTAAGAGAAACTGACCACGGAAGAACTAATATGATGTAACAACTTGAAGCACTCAAGTGCTTCTATCCATTGGAACAAGGAACAGGGTCTCATGTTGCATATTTGGTTTGCTCAGGTTACTCAAACCCGTATTCACATAACTTCGACATCATTCTGATCTCATTTTGTCGCTTCTTTTTAGGGTAGACAGTGTGATCCCTAGGTATGGGGTGGTGTACGCGAGATGCAGGAGACGGGACGCACCCCTGCATCACAGTACGGAGTATTGATTCCAAATTGTAGATCTACATCGAGCAAAACTCGACTTGGCGAGCTCTAGTTCTCGTGTCGAACTTGAAATCGATTGGTGATCTCGAACATTTGGATTAGACTACGAAGTAATATCTTAGAATTATTATCTTGTAATGAAACACCATTTTATCCATATCACGAGTACTTGAGTGTAATATTGAACTGTGCCCCGGATTTGATGTATCAACTGGAATAGCGTTGTCGATCTACCACGCCACTCGTGTTCTCCCTATTTTTCCCCATGAACGAAGTGCGAATAATGTCATCCAAAAGCCATATAAAAAGCAAAAATCAGCCCCTGCATGCTAGGGTAGATCTTAATTAAAATGCCAAGTACGGAATGTGGAGTGATCACTAAATAGTCCCGCGGGCCGTGTGACCCCCATAGTGCGGCTGTTCATGCAGACCAATCCCCGATGACTCTGAACATCGTAAAATATCAATTCTACAGTCAAAGATCGACAGGAACATGCTCTAATTCCAGGGTCCATGCTGAACATGTCCTGTCCCGTATAGGTTGCCTACCACGTAGCTGCCATGTTACATCACGGATCATCAATATGAATGCCCGATACGCAACAACTGGAACGTTTGCCACTAGAAGGGTTGCGGGACTATTTATTTTTCAGGGTCTGCGATATCACAGAATGTTCAGCTGAGATGGAAAAAGAAACCGCTCATTATGAGTTGGGAGCAAACAGCTGGGACGAAAGGTATAAAGGACAACAGAATCCCCGTCCAAGATTCCTTCATCATCCTCAAGCACATTCTCTCAGCATACCAACTCCAGCTTTTCAGCTCCATTCACTCTTTATCTTTGAGTCTTTGCTCCAGACATCTAAACAATCATCAAAATGAAGTTCTTCGCTACCGCTCTTCTCTTCGCCGCCACTGCTATGGCTCTGCCCCAGGCTCTGGGTGATGGCAATGGCAGCAACGATCCTGTCGGCAGCGCTCTGGGTGGTGGTAATGGCGATGGCAATGGTAGCGGCGATGGCAACGGCAGCAACAACCACCCTGTCAGCAGCTACCCCATCGGTGACAAGACCACTCTTCAGCAGGCTCAGAACACTTGCGGTAACGGTGCCACAGTCTCTTGCTGCGACGAGGCCACCTACACCCACGATATCACCAACAACGCCGTCGGTCCTCTCGCTGGTGTCTTGCAGAGTGCTCTGAACGGCGGTCCTGGATCTGAGGGTCTTGGTCTCTTTGGCCAGTGCAGTGACCTCAGTGCCTCTGGTATGTTTCAACCTTCTCAAGGATAACAGAGTTATACTAATTGACTTAACTAGCTGCCGTTTTGGGTGCTGCTGGTCTCAACCAATTGATCAACCAGAAGTGCAAGCAGAACATTGCCTGCTGCCAGGGTGACAGCTCCAACGCTGTATGTACTCCGAATTCAATAACAATGAAAATTTCAGTCCAGCTAATACATCCTTTAGAACAACGATCTCGTCGGCGTTGCCATTCCCTGTGTTGCTCTTGGCTCCCTCATCTAAGCGTGCATTTGCTTTTATCGATGAGTCTATGAGGAATAGCTCCGGGGAGCGATATACCCCAACGACTGTACATAGTACACTGTCCTTTCCCAACACGGGATTCTTTATGTCAATGTTCAGTTTCTCCTTCGGGACTTTCCTCAAGCTTGTCCTGCTGGATCTGTGTCATTCATTCGCTTCTTTCGTTCATAGGCCAAGTGGGTCTGTTGACTGTGTATCTAGAATACTATTTAATCAATACTGATCATAAGTCATGTCAAAATCTTCATTCCAAGAGAATTTCCTATTCAGGAGAAGTATCTCTCATATTTTCATTCTCGTTTGATGTTAAGAGACTGTTCAGCCTTCTCTCGGAACAATTTCAAGTTCAAGTTGCTCTGATCTTCAAACTTGGGGCTTTGGAAGTTGTTATTCAAATGTTGCCGTACTCACCTGTGCATATGCTCAGTATCGTAAATATTGAATAATGTCTAAAAAAGAACGAAATGGCCTCTAATCACAACCTGGAATGGCCCCATGAACGCCTGTCAACTAATGAACATTCAACATAAATCATGCGTGTATATCTGAAATGAAAATAAACACAACGAAAACAGAGGGAGTTATAAACAAAGGGTATCGCAAGATCAACGAACTGAATATCTAGAAACTAACTGTGGAACGTCTTCCCACCGAGTCTACACGTACGCCTAATTTCTCCAGTTCTGCAACATCGAGCAGACCTCGTCCATCAAAGACCCACTTGGGTTCCACCATGTTGTACGCAATCCGGGGCCACTCAATCGCCTCAGTAGTGGGCCGAGTGGAATGAGCTCGGCAGTCTGTGCAATCACGAGCACAAGATTGCACGAAATTAGAATTATGGGTCCAGATGGGTTTCTTCCCCGGTGTGTTGCGGAATTGATCGCAATCTGTCACCACGAGAATCGCGTGTGCTTGTGAACAAGCCAGATATGGGTCCGTGTGTATTTTCACAACATCTCTTTCTGAAACGTCGGGACAGACGTTTTTCAGCTCGCGCATGATATCGTCTGCTCGACAGAATGGGTCGAAAATCGCGATTTCCGATGGTCGCTCTTCTAGTAACACTCGGATCACATCTGCGGCTAGAGACTCGCGAGTATCACCTGTGTTCTTCTTGAACGCGAATCCCAGTATAGCCAGCTTGTGTCCAACCAGATTACCGTCAAAACGAGAGATCACCTTGTGAGCAAATCGATCGCGTTGACGCTCGTTCATGATGTTCACTTGTCGCCAGTAATCAGCTACATCATCCAAGCCTAGTGATTCGGCGAGATATGCCAGACTGGCGATATCCTTTCGAAAACACGATCCCCCGAAGCCTAGTCCGGCTTTGAGGAATTGGGGTCCAATGCGAGCATCCAGACCTATCGCCTTGGCGACCTGGTCTACCTCAGCTCCAGTGCGCTCGCAGATCGCGCTGATAGAATTGATGCTGCTGATGCGCTGGGCCAGCATCGCATTAGCGACTAGCTTAGCTAGCTCTGAGGACCAGGTGTTGGTTTCTAGAATCCTGTCGGAAGGAACCCAGGCTGTGTATAGACTAGCGAGTGTGCGAGCTGCTTGTCTTCCTGAGGGGGTCGCTGCAGAACCAATCAAAACACGATCAGGTGTTGTGAGGTTCTCGACTGCTGAACCCTCTGCGAGGAATTCTGGATTGGAGAGTACTTCAAAAGGTACTCCCGGTCGGCTAGCAGCCAGCTATATCAGATTTTGATTTTCGTCAGAGATCACATCGGGAGAACAATCGAGAAGGAAAAGATACCATTTTTCGCACTCGATCTGCCGTTCCTCCTGGCACTGTACTTTTCTCCACAATGATCGCACCCGCTTTGGCGTAAGTCGCAACGTCCCGCATGGCTCCATCAAAGGCTGTCATGTTGGTGGCGCAACCTGCGCCCACACCGAACATCTTGGTTGGTGTGTTGACTGCCATGAAGATGATATCCGCTTTTGCGAGCGCTCGAGCAGAGTCGCATGAGAAAATCAGATTCTGTTGGCGCTGAGTGGGGGACTGGCTTTCATCCTCCGAGTCCTTTCGAACCGCGCGTACGAGGGCGTCTAGACCTGGTTCGTGGACAGGTAGATGCGGCGATTTCCATTGCTGGATTCGACGAGGGTCTCGGTCTAGTACTTCTACCGTCACTGCGGGATTATGCAGTGCCAGTACTGCGGCGGTTGGACCGCCTATTCCTGTTAGTATGTGCCCAGGTGCTTATCAGGGGGTTTCTTGGAATGACTTACCAACGTATCCTGCTCCTATAAAACACACATCTTTCACCGATAAGTCCCGAGGGTACTCCTCCAAGACATTTCTGACCTGGGGTAACTGCGACAACTTGAGATCATCGATCTCCGAGGGGTGCACCAGAGGACTGGAACTCGGACTTGTTGGCGCTGTTGAGGAGGAGCTACCCTCTGAGAACAAGACATCCATAGGGATCTCGTCGCAAGACATGATTGTGAGATTTTCCAGTTTTCCAGAGGATCTGCTGATATAAAGAGAGAGTGACCACAATTAACCACTCAACCTCAAGTGTATGAGAGAAGTAGAGAAAAGAGGGGCGCGTGAAAGGGGGGGATCAGACGTATAGATCATCAGCTACAGGGGGTGACAAGCTTCCAATGAGGGAGTACATATATTGTAGTCTTCTGGTCAGAGGGAAATTGATTAAAACCTATCTTTAATTATTAGTATGGTAAGTATGACCATGGTCATTTGGCCGGGTTAAGGTTATCATGGTTATCATTTTGGGAGTTTATTAGTATCTTTTCCTTCCTCTTAATTCAATTTATTGAAGCACGAGAATGAATGAAAGAATACGACTGGTTCATTATCATGCACATGTTTGGTTGATTTCAAGCAATCGAGAGCGGGCGGATAAAGCACGTGTATACTCTGTAATGGTTAGTCATGATGAGATGCTTGATCGTCCTTTCTCTTTTATTAAATGATTTTCTTCCTCTTCATCACGATCACCATGATCGAAATATGGAATCTGAACCCTTGCTCGCCTCTCAATCCAGGGATGAATTCCCTCAGATTCTACAAGGCAAGAAGGTCTTGTTAGCCACTGAATCCTGGGGTCCCGTTAATGGAGTTAGTCGCACGACCCGCAGTTTAGTCGAGTACCTGCGTGATCATGGCGTCGAGCTTATCCTGGTCGCTCCTCAATTCAAGGGTGATACCACCAAGCAGAGTCAACCATGGGAAAGACGATTGCCTGGGTGCGCTTTGCCCTATAACCCAGATTTGACCGTGGTCTATCCCTTTCATATCGGTGAGGTCTATCGACAGACCTTTAACCCCGATATTATCTATCTGGCGAGTCCAGCATCCCTGGGTTTTCAAATGTTGCTGCAGATTCGTCAACTGCGATCGCCACCCCCAGTACTCCTCAATTTCCAGACGGATCTGTCAGCTTATTGCGAGATCATGCTCCCCGCACCGCTAGACCGATTCGGAGTCTGGCTCCTGGCAACAGTACAGGGATTTCTGTTCCGTTCGAGAGCTGTTCATACCATCTTCTATCCATGTTCAGCTATTCGCACTTACCTCGAACGTGCAGGTGCGCCCGTGGACCGACTAGTGCAGTTGGGGCGAGGTGTGGACACTGTGCTCTTCACGCCTGAGCAGCGCGATGAAACATATCGTCGCGAAATTGCACCCAATGGAGAGATCATTCTTATCTGTGTTTGTCGCATCGCACCGGAGAAGGGTTTCGAGTTTCTGTCGCAGGTCGCAATGCACTTGGCTGCTGATAAAGTACCCTTCAAGCTACTCATCGTCGGTGGTAACCGCAACCCTGTTGTTGAAAACAAGGTCAAGCGATTATTCGATAAAGTGCGTAGCAATGTGATCTTCACCGGATTCCTCACCGGTGCTGCCTTAGCTCGTGCTTATGCTTCGGCTGATCTCTTTCTCCATTGCTCCATTACCGAGACCTTTGGCCTGGTGGTCCTGGAGGCCATGGCTAGTGGTATTCCTGTCATCGCACGCGATCAAGGAGGTCCCTCCGACATTATTCAGAATGGTCGCACCGGATTCCTTGTCCCACCGAATGATCTTGACCGCTTCACTCAGTTAACCCGTGATGTATCGGAGAATACCACGCAGCGCCGGTCGCTCGCGAAGGCTGCAAGAGAATATGCGGATGATACTACCTGGGAGAAAATTAATCGTCGAGCTGCCTGGGAAATCGCTGACTCCTTAACTCATACGGATCATGAGTCGCACGGTCCTTCGAGAGCTCGATCGGGTGTGATCGCGTCAGCCATTGAGCAGGTTCTCCTGGTGCTGGCGGTGGGGGTTGTATATGCTATGTGGCTTATTGCTGTGGTCCCTCTAATTGTTCATGGTCATCGTTTTGTGCCACGCGCGTGGCAGGCGTTTCGGAATCAGTTCCTATGTGCTCGTCCGGTGCGAAAGTAATGTCGGATATGAGGGTGGAGTATAGTTTAGACGTATACCAAGATCTTCAAGTTATTACGAATCTAATGTCTGATGAGAGTATATGGGATGTGATAATCAATCAGAATCAAGAATTAAATGCAAATTATTCAGACATGAAGTATTCAATGTTGAGATAGTTCGTGACCATCGTTAGTACGCCCACAATTTTGCTCCATGCTACAATCGCACTGGTGCAGTATCTCTACGGACCAGAATGTGTCCCTCGGTGACGAGAGAGTTCGGGCAGGATACACCATCCACATAAGCTGACAAGTTCGATAGAGTGACTCCAGCAATCTCGGTGAGGGCCTCACGTGTGAAGAATCCCTGGTGGCCACATATCAAAACATTGGGGAAGGTCATCAGTCGCATCAAGACATCATCATCAATGATCTCGCCCGAATGATCGTTATAGAACAACTCGCCCTCCGCCTCATAGACATCCAACGCGATTCCCCCCCAGGTGACGGGTCTTCAAGGCATGGATCACCGCCGTGGTATCAATAAGACCCCCCTCGAGACGTGTTCACCAGCATCGCACCCGGGCGCATTCGCTGCAGGGTAGCCTCGTTTATAATATGTCGCGTACCATCCGTAAGCGGACAATGCAAACTGATAATATGACTCTCCTGCAACAGGGTATCCAGATCCACGATAGTTCCATATTGTCGGAACTCGTCCCCTGCATAAGGGTCATAAGCTAACAAGCGACAGCCAAAGCCATGAAAGATGCGCGCGGTCGCCATTCCGATACGTCCAACACCCACAATCCCCACCGTCTGACCATGCAGTGTGGTTCCTAGCAGTCCCTCAATATTGAAGTTCCCCTCACGCACTCGATTATACGCACGATGCGTCTTCCGATTCAAGGTTTGAACCAACGCGACCGCAAACTCTGCGACCGCTTCAGGGGAATATGCAGGGACATTAGCAACAAAGAGCCCCAGTTCCTCGGCGGTGTTGAGATCGACGTGATTGAACCCCGCACAGCGTAATAAGATCGCGCGTACGCCTCCTGCATGAAGTGCTCGTAACACCCGCCCATCGAGAGTATCGTTCACGAATACGCAGACGGCATCACTGCCCTGAGCTAGAGGTACCGTCTCTTCGGATAGTGCAAATGCATGGTACTCGATGTCGTACCCTTGGAATCGTTGGGCTCGAACCTCTTCTAGATATGTTCGGTCGTAGGACTTTGCGCTGAAGACGGCTAATTTCATGATAGCTGATAGTACTGGACTTGCATCGACCGTGTACTCCGTTTACGCCAGTGCTGATCTGCGTTGGGCTTGGGCCTTTCATAACCTAAAAAGTCATGACGACATCAGCTCGATTTCACCCCGGACTTGTTCTACAAGTTAGATGATAGATGCTTTAGATCTACAATGTACACTGTTACTTGTTCTGCAAGCGGCCTTTCGTACGGGGAGAATGGATCTGTTTCCCCGGATATCCGATCGGGAGGTTCAAGCTCAGAGGAACTGGAGTAACATTCTTGATCCGTGCGTGGTACTTTTGTAAGGGACATGGAGCTATGACATAGATGTAGATGTAGATGTACAGGTGAACTTGCATATGAGTCCTGAAGTTTGGTGGTAATGACAGGTCTACTCTGCTTAGAATGGAGTCTTGATGCTACATGGGTCAGTTTCAGAGTATGCATAGTAACTTGTGCTATTTTGAGTCTAGGCGGAATTGACATTAATTGATTACTTTTCAGTTCGGAATAGAGTACTCGATTAATTAAGTTCCCATTTCATTAACTTCATTCAAATGTTTAATGTTATTGCCGGCTTCTGATCCCGGAGAATGTACCGCCACTCACATGCACAGTTGGGGCAGGGATAAACGGAAAGTGAATCCTCCAGGACTCCAAGGACTTAATTAACAAGCTCGGACGAGAACCGAACCAATTTGGAGGCTTCAAATGTTCTAAAGGATTACTGCATTCAGGTAATTGTAAAGGAGAGAGAATGATTGGATAGAGTATAGTAACTAAGATCCACTCTCTTAATTGTCTCCGCGGGGCAAATGTAAGTGATTGGTTACAGCTTATGGCTATCAACCAATAAGAGAGAAGCGATAAGGTAGAAACGCCACCTTTTCTCTTATTGGTGGATGATATAGACTAGTGAACCTTGTGACTTAATTCGGATAATTTTGAGACAATTTCGGGGATTTCGGAAGGAGCGACCGAGTTAACTTGAGTATGTGAGTATGTGAGTATGTGAGTTGTCTTTTCTTATGAAATATTTAATAGATAATAACAACACTTGCATAGCATTGAAATAGATAGGTAGAATATATCTATAGATGTTCATATGTATGTTTAATGTGGATTATAACAGAGTAAGAGTACAACCGAACTGAACTGATCGGCTGATCGCATATCCCGGACTTGAGCGGGGCGCTGAAGACACGGAGTTGCGGAGCCTTTTGGAGATGAAAAGTGGCTCTCTAACATTTGAACTCGCGGAATCTAATGTGGAATCTCATGTGCAAGCAAAACATAGTAGCACATACCGAGTCTATATGCATGTCAGAAATCATTATGAATCACATTGCATTTTCATCTTCTATCTTATAGGTCAAGAATCAGCGGTCAGTGACACTGATCTCAACTTGAAATATCAAGATGTCGGTGAAGGAAGAACCGAGTACTTAAAGTATACCTAAAGTATACATTTTTCTCAAGTTCTGGGTCTCAAATTTAGTCCATTTTTGTGTTTATTTTAACACAAATGCACTAGTACTTTCCGCGTACTCTACCGTAGTATGCAAGTACTAAGTACTACACTATGTACTCCGTACTCCATAACTGCAGTAGCATAAAAAAGAACAAACTAATCCCGGGTAAATGGATTCGGACTCGACCCGTTTTCTATGCGTTCATCCGGATTTTCCCCTTCATTCTTGTGATAGATCAACATACTTTACTCCGTAGACTCCGTACACTTCCTAATGGATATTCCTTTCTTCTGTATTCGCTTCACTCCAAGTACTCCATAATTCCATAACTCTCCATAAACTCCACTGTATTCACTCGCCTTCGCCCAGTGAATAATCTCCACTTCACTCCATCGCCGCTCCATCGGGTCGTGCTAGCCTCAACGCTCCTCCCGTGCTCCACCGCCATCTCGGCCATTCACCGTTCTTTGGTTTTTGCCTCTCGTGTGCCCCTCGACATCATCACTCCTTTATACCCTTTAATTCCTCTACCTAATCCTTTACTTCTCTACTTCTCTACTCTATCCTCCATACTTCAACCTTCAACCTCACTCCTCTCCACTCTTCTCTACTTTCAACTCATCATGGCTACTCACGTTATGACTACTACTCCCAATCAGATCTCCGTCTATGGTCATCCTTCACCAACACACTCCACTACTACTACCCCTTCAAATAATTCTCCCACTTCACCACGCCTGGATACTGCTCATTTGCACCAACTCCCTCTGCAGTCCCGTCAGCTGCGCCCACTCAAGGGTCCTCTGTATGTCCCCGCGGCTCTCCGTCCCACTGAGCGCCCGCAAAAGTCATCTCCGATCACCCCACCCCGCAGTGTCCATGGCTCTCTCGACAGCTTGAGTGAGGACACCGCCGAACCCATTAGTCGCCGCTCTACCATGGAGAGCAAGTCCAGTGGTGTCAGCAAGGTTGCCGAGCATGAGTGGATGAAGACGGAGCACCTCGGAGAGGTGACTGGCGCGCCTACCCGCGATCACTGGAAAGTAAGTGAACCTCAAAGTTGAAGAAAAGAAGAGATAAGAAAGAAGAGAGAGTTCAATGTTTTGGATTCTCTCTCCCTTATAAAAAGGGTTGGCGGTCTGGATGGCGCATGCGCCGGCCAAAATGTCGTATGCGAGCACGCCATTCAGTTGGATGTTCCTGCAACCCGCCCTTTCACAAACCCCATCACATTACTATATTGATCTCTCGAGTTATCTTACTGACTTTCTCCCCTTCCACAGGCTGATTCAGCTTCTCGCAACTGTGACTCGCCTACTTGCCGCTCTTCTTTTGGCATCTTCCTTCGTCGCCACCACTGCCGCCACTGCGGTCATGTCTTCTGCGCCTCACACACTCCTCACACTGTGCCCCTTGACCAAGATGCTCGATTCCACCCCGATGGAGAGCCCTCCCGCGCCTGTGACCTCTGCTGGAGTGCCTACCAGCGCTGGGAAGAGACACGCACTGACCGTCTGAACAAGATTCAAAACAACATCGACGCCCGGAGTATCGATGAGCAGTCCAACCCTGAGGACATGGAGAACAGCCAAGAATCCGGTCGCGCCGCTCTCCAGCCTAACCTGGGTCAGACCCCCGATGTCGCCGCCAGTGTTCCTCGCGACTGGAACTGGAGCACTTTCTAATCACCGACATCTTTTCAACTTTACTGCGCTCAGCGGGTCTGGCTGCAGGTCTAATTCTGTTCGATTCTCTGATACCTTGCTACGGCCTTTTATCTTTCTGATTTGTTTTTTTTTCTTTTGCAATCTCTTTTGCAATCATGGATATGGAGTTTACTGGTGCTTGATTTTACTAAAGGACATGTGTTTTGGGGATCTGCTTTGCTTTGATATCGTGATTTCCATCATGGTTAGACATGTCTTTTATGTGGGCTACTGCACGTGTGCGGGCCATTGTTTTCTGTTTCTTGATACCCAGCTATTTCTATTGAGTGGCGATCTCGTTTCGTTTTCCTTATTTCCTGGTGCCGGATCTGCGACTCTTGAGCATGAAATGGCGTGGGGTCGATACATCGCTTGATGTCCCCTAGATGAATCCAGAATATGAATCCGGATTTTATCATGACTTGACCTTCTTTGTAGTTTTAATTTGATAATTACAGTAGAAGTAACGAACGGTTGCCAATGACACGATGCGATCCGCAGCCAACCCCAGAAGCTTCGGGTTCGATCCTCGACCACTCAATCCATCAATTGATGAGTCTAAATCTTAAGCCCGGGGAAATAGGCAGTACTTCCCTCATGCTCTCAGACAACATTGGAAGTCTAGATGTCTGGGCGTCTCAAAAATGAGTGAACTTGCTCCATGTTTAATGTTTGGTATAGATATGGTGACATCAGTGACTCGAGGTATCAAATGCGTATCGTTGGCCAATCACATTTTCAAGTCCACAGGAACAAAGTTATCGCCTCAGATGAGAAATCATGTTCTCGTATTGGTGCACATGTGCCTTGACATGACCCGCTGGAAGATGCCAATAGGTTGATCACATCCACCACGTTCTCGCCCCGGATCTGACCGTGGGACTCGATATCGGCATGAGATTGGTGAATCTACCTAACTTCAGCCACGCTATGTTACCACTGGCATTTAAAGTCATGAACTTATGGTTCAAGATCAACATGCATATGCATGTGTGCATGTGGTGGATTGTGCATTTGTCTTCTTTTTTGTGCCATCGAACTTTGTACTACCTTTAGTACACAACTACTCGTGAAAGTGAGTAGAACGTCGAATTAGGCCACCCTTCAATAACAGCAATTTGCCCCAGTGACTCTGGCTCAATTAACTTTAAGTGCCAGGTGTGCCCGAGTGGTCTAAAATAGATCGAAGCCCTGCTATGGAAAGATACATGGATTCACATGGCATCTACCCGATCATGGACATTAGGTTGGGCCCTTGTGTATACTTTGAGTACTCTGACCATGATAATCAAGGGTGGGTAAAATGAAAAAGCATTATTTCTCCCAACTACAGAGTATAGTGGCAGGTTTGGATTCATGATGTGAGTTGTATAGATCTCTTCAGGTGTAATACCCCATCGTTGATTGGTCATATCCAAATGTTGGACCAAGTGCTCCATAGATCAAGGGCTTGTAGAACATCTTGTAGGCCTGAATGTCAAATTTGTTGAACTTGAAGCTGCTAATTACGGAAAATTAAAGAGATGCCGAGCAATGATTTTCGCTTTGAAGAGAAGGTATAAGATATTGCATTAAATAGTGCCTGACGTGATATTTGGAGTCATCGCCAACTGGGGAATGTTGATATACTCACGTGATGTGACGCCGGCATAGAAATCATGTGACTTTCCACTTCCTCACGATCCGCCTTGGGGAAAGCGACGTCTTTGTGCCTCAGCTTCAAGTTCCATAGCAATCATGGCTGGCCCCAGCAAGTGTACGTAATGACTTAAGTGCTTTCCAGAGAGCTTGTCGCTAACCAATTGACCCCAGCCCTGGTCCTTGACCCGGCCTACCAGAAATACTACGGTACATGAACCTCCCCTCTACGACCTACCTCTCACCTCAGTGAAAACGGATTCCAAGCAAAGCTCGATTGCGTTGCAGAGTACAAATTTTTGAGACTCGACACTCAGCGCACGCCAATCTTGCTGCCTGCTTGTTTTGCTGGAGGCTGAAGTCACAACGACCATGTCTGGTGAACATTAACTGACAGTCTCCGATAGAAATCAACTCCAACCGCTACAAGTACTTCCGCTGGACTCCTCGTCATGCTTGGTTGTCAGTCCTCTACATGGGCGTGATCCCTGGTGTCCTGACCTACATCGCTTACAACACTGAGGTATGATCGACCCACCTACGCCACGGCGGAGTTATTGGGAGAGACTAGGTGTCTGGAAGACTTGAACTAACTGTGTGCAGGGCAAGTTCGAATTCCGTGGCAAGCGCAAGGGTGACACTATTTCCGAGTGGTAAAGAATGATGGAATCGATTTGATATTGGGTCGATGGAATCACTACTCAATGTGATATGACGGGACTATGACAACCTATTGTCAACCCGAGGGCCGTCGAATGATACTATCGTTAGAAGGGCTTTTTTTAAGCAAAACACTGCGCTTTTCACTGTGCCTTTTATGGCCAGGTTATGTACCTTACTGCAAGCATATACCGCATGGAATTTCTTCTGTTCTTCGTTAATATCTTCCAACGCGCCATTACCGTCAACTCATGCAAGTTCACGACAATTGTATACGGTAATCAGGTGTATTCACGCTGTGTTTCATTCGAAGTTGGCATACTAGACTAGACCGCTGTTAACTAGATGAGTGGTTGCAGTAATCTGATCATATTCCTCTATCTATACCTGGCAAGATAGATATTTCTTCCATACAACATTAATCATACACATGCTCCTGGACTATGATCTCCAAAAAGATTCTCAGATTCATCTGGTCATGGCGCAAACCTTGCCATATCATATTTTGATTTCCTTAATACGGAGCCCAACCCCGACGACCCCCTCGACCACCCTCAGGAAGTCTCTCACCTCGCTTCCAGTCTCCCATAGGAAATTGAGGAGGTGCGCCACGATCTCCACGATCTCCACCTCCACCTCGAGGGCCACCCCGACCGGGTCGCCCGAATCCATTTTCTCTAAATGCGCGCATACCACCGCCCATCGGCGGAGGCCCGTGGCCAGCACGAATTGGTGGTGCGACCGACCCATCTTCTAGCGGCGATAAGATCGCACACTCAACATAGTCCCCAATGATAAACCGCGCATCCTGTAAAGTTTTGTCTGCCTCCGATCCTTGGAATCGGAGGGGCCCAGGGCGAGCTCGTGCCTCGCCAAGGTCGTCTGCCTCTTCCTCCTTCCTGTATGGACTATCCCTTGGTCCAACTATCACACTCCCTAGCTCTTTACCCAGGTATCGGCCGCGCGCATCTGGTCCGCCCATTGCCACCCCACGTGCGTCTCCATATACCAAACGATAGCACAGCCGAGTGCCTACTGGTGGATCTGGTAGCAACGACGGAAGTGCTGATGTAAGAAGCTGAGAGAGTTCCCGCAGTGTACATGATTGCCAAGTATAGATTTCGAGATGAGGTGGAAGAGCTCGAACTGCAGCTGTAGATGAAGGTGACGACGCGCGAATTGCATTCGATCCACTCGCGTGACCACCGTCGCGGTGGCGCGAAGGTGGAGAGTTGTGGTAATCGTTCAGTGAGTGAAAATTATTCACACGGTAGAAGAGCTTAAGATGAAAGGGTGTGGTTGTTTGGCGGTTGATAGAGGCCTTTGGGCCATCTCGCGAGGGAGCTGCCATGATGGCAATTGTTGCGTGCAAAGTTCAGTGGTGAGTTCGCAATTGAAGACTGGATGTTGGAGAATAAAAATGCGGACGTAAGATATAGCCGACGCGATCTCGTTGCGGTCAGTCAAGAAGCGCTGATGGGTTGCCTAGGAAGATCGAGGTGAGGTAAGGTAAGGTGAAGAGAGTACCCAAAGCGGTGTTTTCCAAGCTTTGTCGCTTTCCCGAACTTCAAACATTCTCTTTGATCTCACTCCGCTTCTTCCACCCAACACAACATACTCTTACCATATTAGACCAGTCCCTTGTCTTAACTACGTCTGTTACATTTTTTTTTCATTGGAAACTCCTTGATACAGTCTGCTTGGAGCAGACACCACCGCTAGAATGGATTTTGCCGCTCTCATGTCCAAGGAGATCGCTAAGGCTAAAGGCCCCGATACGACCAAGGCCTCTGGATCAAAGAAAGAGGAAAAGACAGAGGTGAACCCGCCAAAGAAGTACATGCGCCGGGGAGAAATGGAGGCTGCGCGCCTCGCAGCATACGAGGAAGAACAGCGACAAATACAACAGCGACGCGAAGAGAACCAAGCAAAGAAGCGGAAACTCGAGGAGGATGAGGCGGACCGACGACGCGAACGAGAAGAGAAAAAGCAGAAGCTTGCTGAGGAATCTAAAAAGCGAAGGGAACAAGAAGAGGAAACCAAGGAGCGCGAACGGCGAAAACGACTCGGACTACCCGACCTACCCACCAAAGATGAAGATGATGCTGCGGGCGAGGATGAAGAGTTAAAGGATATGGAGGAGGACGAGCTCATTGAGAAACTTCGCGATCTCAATGAGCCTGCGCGAATGTTTGGCGAGAACCACCGTTCCCGACTCCGGCGTTATTATCGTCTCGTCAAGCGAGCTGCTACCGTGCAGAAACTCACCGATGGTCCAATTCCCACGACTCTGGAACCTGTGCCTGGTGGTCAGATGATTATTCCTGCTGCAATTCCGAAGGACGATGCCGGTCGACTTTTCCTATTCCGTCAATTGGGGTCTTATTTCAACATGGTTCTTTCTGAGTGGGAGGTCGCCCTGGCAAAACGAGACGTGAGCGTGAGACAGAGCTTTCAGGGAAAACAAGCATACAACGCAATGGTGCAATCTCGAGAAAACATGAGGCCTCTGTTCCGCCGCTTTGAGAAGGCAGACTTGGAGGATGGCCTTCTAGACCCCATTGTGGAGATTGTGCACAAGGCACAGAAACGAAGATATGTCGATGCCAATGATGCCTATCTCCGAGTTAGTATTGGTAAAGCGTATGTGATTCCTTCATTCTTATTATCTTTTGGAGCTCTTTGCTAACCCTCTTTTCTAGTGCGTGGCCCATTGGTGTGACCATGGTTGGTATTCACGAGCGATCCGCCCGCGAAAAGCTTCATCAGAGCGATCAACAAGCACATATTCTGAGTGATGAAATCACCCGGAAGTACCTGCAGAGTATTAAGCGCTGCTTGAGCTTTGCACAAGTGCGCTGGCCTCCAGAGGATCAATTACAGATTATGGGCTAAACAACCTTGGAAGCCGAGATCAAGCTTATATACCCATTACGTTCCAAATCCATTTGTTGTCACTTGCATTCAAATCTCTGTACATAAAAGGAATCGATTGCCCAAACGCCACCTTGTTGCCTCGTCCACGATGCCTATAGATCTCTTGGTCACAATGAAAGGGAACTTCAAAATCCATCCAACCCTTACACTAATCAAACAAACTCGATGCGTATTTCAGCAAATCCACGGTGGCGGATGCAGAGACAGCCTGGATGGCTGCGGCGAAATATGGGATATCCTGCCCATTGTAGTCACAGCTGTGGCCTTTGATATCAATTGTGACTACACCCAGGGAGCCGTCGCCTAGTAGAGCCTCGTCGATCAACATTGACTCGTTCACTTTGATCAACACCACGGCGCTAGATATATCCTGCTCGAGCTTTAAATTCGGTAGGTCGACATTCCCCAGTGCTGATCCTCCCATGCTGAGATTAAATGTGACGTGTCCCTGGACAAATATCCTGTTAGTTTGAGTACTCAAGTGATGGAACGATTGCGATTCTTCTCTTGTGACCTCGGGATATGCACGTACCATTTCAACTGTAAAAGGCGTTGGGTTCCGGAGGGAGATGGTGGCATTGAAGTTATATTCAGTGTTGTTGCTCAGCGGGTCCAAAGTAGTAATGTTGAATGCGCCGTTACTATTCACAAATCCTGTCCCATCAATAGTTAGATGGGTGATACTTATGCTTCGATCGAATTTGTGGACTTGAAAGCAGCAAATCTCGCTGAAGGAGGGGAGACACTCGACTCACCAGTCACATTATAACCTATCCGTTGAAAACGACCGTCAGCATGATACCTCTGAGGTTCAAAAGGATACGATCTTACCGTTCATTTTCATCGTCTTGTGAATATTCAAATGCGCTGTGGGCAAACCTCCAACCTTCAAGTTCGGTTTTCCTTTAACCAATACAGAGAAGCTTTTATTCGTAGCTGCGGAAACAGCCAACTGAGACACACAGTCCACGCAGGACAGATCGAGATCTTGGTCGATGTTGAGATAGGCTCCATTACCAAATTTGATCTCTGGTACTGGGAAGATGGCGAACTCCTGGTCATTGGAGGTACGAATCGACGCGTTGAAAGCTGATAGATGTCCACTGCCGCTGAAACCACCTCCCATGCTGATTTTCTTTGACTGGCTGATATGAAAAGCAGTGGGACGAGGATTGGTGATGGCTAATCCTGTTTCATCGTACTCATAGCTATCAACATATGAGTCGGCCCAATGTGGAATTCCGACGTAGATTCTATCAGTCAGGACCCGGAGTCAGTGATATTTCCAGTTGTATACATTGCTCCAGATGCCTGCCAGTGGGTCTCCATTAGATGAACAACAACTCACATTGGCAAAAAGACCACTAAGAAGATGCAAATAAATCCGATCAGATACGCCGACCACCACTTCTTCATATGTGATTTGAAGCGCTGCCATATTGTGGGCTTGGTTATCACGTTCGTCTCGGAGCCCCCCGAGCTCTCTTCGAGATCCGATTTTGACATGGTGCTACAGGAGTTGGAAACAACATGTTGAAGAAAAGCCCATGGGGTGAAATTTGCGATTTAAGAAATTAATTGCTGGATCAAACCCTCGTCGATTTACCCCACGCGGCCCTATTCAAGATGTCGATCCTGAGCCCCTTCACATGAGAACCGAACCTCAAGTGTATATAACGGCTCCGCTTGACCGCGGTAGTGGGCGGCTTAGGAGATTAATGGAATTTGAAGACTCCATAGAAAGACCTGATTTGATGTCAGGCTTTAGCGTATTCGATCCCCGAATACGCGATCAGCATGAGACAGGAGTGGCTTGCTGATCATCAGCCGAATAGGAACGAGCACCGGCCGCAAAGACCTTCGCCTATGTGCAATTCGGTAGAAACCCTCCGTGGCTATGTGAGCCAATAGTACGACATCTGGAAGGACTGTCAACAGTTACCTAGTTTTATACTAACATCATGGTGTACTGGAGTATTAGATTTCGTAGTACATACTATAGAGGAACTCAGGTGTTGAATTACTGTCCGCGGACTGAAATATTCTTTCCCTTTTATCCAGTCATATTGATGTAAAAGTTGATTTTGCGAGGGGAATATTCGTATTTTCGTTTTCGAACATGGAGACTGAGAAAAAATCAATCTATGATTGCAATTCGAGTCATTCAAATGCACAACCTTGGAACATTCAATGTTTATTGGCGTGGCCAAGGAATTAACCAGTTGACAGATTTACTGCGCGTGGATCTGCATATTTGATATCCGCTTCACGTTATAACTTCAAATGTTTGATATTTACAAGGCTTTGCATATATTCCCAGAGCCTCCCAGTTGGTTCTAACATTTGAATGGTTTATCATGCTGCGTGCAATTCTGACTGTCTTTGTTTTGTTTGGCCCTCTCTATTTAATTTACAAACCTCCTGTCTGCCTCATTCGCTTGTTCCAGCGACATTGGCCTGATGTCCTGTTCCACCGCCCAACTACCCAGAAAGTTGTCGCGTTGACAATCGATGATGCTCCCTCTATATACACAGCTGGAGGTAGAGTTGATCAAACGGAACTGAATAGCGACGGAGAACATGACTCGACCATTCTCGATCTCCTGAAGGCTTATCACGCGACGGCTACCTTTTTCGTGATCGGTTCTCAAGTGCCAGGGTACGAAGATGCACTTGTTCAGCTAGTCCATGGTGGTAATGAGCTAGCCAACCATGCCATGTATGATGAACCATCACGCGCACTAAGTGATGACCAGTTGGCAGAGCAAATTCTGGCCGTCCAGACCATGATCCAAAACGCATATCGTGCCGCAGGAAAAGATGAGGGACCTGAGGCATGGTTCTTTCGTCCTGGTTCTGGATTTTTCAGTTCAAGAATGCGGCGCCTAGTGAAAGGCCTGGGGTATCGACTTGTACTTGGAGATGTGTATCCCCACGATCCTCAAGTCCCCTTTTCCGGGTTCAATGCGAAACATATTCTCAGTATGGTCAGGCCCGGGAGTATCATTGTCTGCCATGATCGCAGAGAGTGGACCCTGCCTATGCTACAAGTCGTGTTGCCAGAACTGAGGAAAAGAGGATATCGTGTTGTGACGATATCGGAGCTATTACGAGAGACCTCAATAGGACAATCATGACATATATTCAGATGTTTATATTCAATGGATTTGTGAAAGATTATTCAAAGTCTTCAAGTCAAGTCATACCGAGATACACGAGAGAAAAATCACAGGCTGGAATGCGTCTAGAATGCAATACAAAAGAGACAAGTGTACACTATATCAACATTCAAATGTTTCAACATATTCATCGTGTAATACCTTTCCACATTCGCCCTATCGTCGTCCACCAGCTCTCAGAGGGTGGGACACTAGAGACTTTAGTCAAGGTCTCTTCTAAGGCCGCTCCAGAGATGCCATTAGGGTAGATATGATGACCATCTATGCCATTCATCACGGGCAAAGAGGAAGATTGCGGTCGAGTCGACACGGCACTACCACATGTACTTCGTGTCTCCCTTTCACCCTCTCTTCCTCCAATGAGATTTCCAGCGGCAAAGACGCAGCCACCATATGCAAATCGGACCAGTGAATCACCGGTCAGACTGCCAATGATATGCACACCCGGGGCAACCTCCAAGTCTTCAATGGCTTTTGCGCGGAGAGTTTGCGCGGAAACTTCATCATTGTCTTCATCATCGTGCCCAAGAACTTCCGAGCGAAGCTTCGCATCGAGATAACCTAGACTTCCACGCCGTCCAGCAGCATAAACAAGGCCCCGGACAGTCCTTGAAAAAGTCGTCCCGTCTGGTCGGCAGAAGGTGACTTGCGCTGAACCATCTCTTAACTGTACAACCTTGATCTCTACGTTGTAGATTCCTTCGTAGACTTCTTCCCAATTGCGACTTTCCAAAAACGCGGTAGATGTGCCTCGGCGGGATTTGGGCTTGCTCGATGCACTAGCTAAAGCAGCCTTCTTCATGAGGCGATAAACACCAGCATATTCGGGATAAGCCTGTTGATGGCAACCGCGAAGAGGCGAAGGTCGATCATCTGGCGACCACTTAAAGACATGGAGAATCTTTTGGTTGGGGGAAGCGGATATGATCGCGTCAGCGGCGGAGAAGCCTGAGCCGATAACGAGAAGTGGGACTTCGGGGGTGGGCTGTGTTTGGAGCACAAGTCGAAGAACAGGGATAGGAGGAAGTATCTCGGAGAATATCCCGCTTGCAAGCACCAATCGCTTACAATGAAGGTCGTGCGACGCGATATAAAACCCATCGGCGGTCCGGGATATGTTATCCAGCTCCTCTCCGCAGCGGAAGACCTCATCGATCCCAGCCGCGGTCGGATAGACCCGAAAATATTCAGCAATCTCCCGCCTGGTAGGCCGTGTGAAAGGTGCGAGATCTTGACCCGTTGTTTTCTTGTGGTGATCGGCGAAGGAGTACCCAGGTAAAGATAACATCGCCGCGTAACTCAAGGTCTGGATATCCCAGCTTGCCCCGCACGGATCCTCCGTCCACTGGCCTCCGGGATTGGCAGATTTTCCGAAGACGAGGTGAGAAACGGCCTTTTCAGGCATGTGGCGCCACTCCACATTGGAGATATTATTCGAGTCATCATCGATATCAAGGCTGGGTCGAATTAGAGTATCCAAGAGGACGTTCACCGGTAAGGCCTGAGTGGAATATGACAGACGGGAAGCAGCGAAATGAGATGTGAGAGTATCCACGTCCGCGCCCAGGAGATTGCCAGTGGCTTTCAATTTGGCGTCAAGTAATGGGTCTGGATGCGGGGGATTGGCAGAGTAGACAGGAATCCAACCATGAAGAATGTATGATAGAATCATGGCCGACGGCCCATTGCCTGAAGAGACTGGAGTTAGTACATCGTATGATAATTATGCCTCTTGCGCTTCAAGTGTCGAAGGGATTGAGGTGTAATTCAAGTTGATCAGGTGAAATAAGTTCACTTCAGGGCTGGACGGATAACTTGAAGGCGTGCACGGGGTATCACATACCGACGATGACCGTGTCGGTTTCCATTGACGAAGCCTGGAATGGATCCTGGGCATTCTGGAGTATGGAGAACTAGAGTCACCTCAACATGGTCACTGAATAATAAAATTTCCCCTCTTTGAATCTTTTATTCCACGGATTTGAGAAGCGGAGATAGATGACAAACCAAAGAGATTCCCCACTCCAGAAGTACTAGTCCACTATATACCAAGAGGAAGTAAATCCCGGACCACATCAACCCCACGTCAGATCTAGACTGACATGTAAGATATTAATTCATATATTATAAGATGCATCTCAAGATGAGATATATTCAATATTATTCAAACGTTGTCTATCATAATTATAATAAAGGATGATTTCCCTTACTACTACGTCCAGGGTGAGACCTCCAGCTCAGACCTTAATCCCTGACTTACATAATGAGCCCTAAGCCCTAACATCCAAATCCGGATGAGGCGCGGGATATGCGTATGCCTTGGTGAATATCGAACTTGAACTTCCTGATCCACGTAAATCAAACTTGAAGCAGCCTCGTTCTTATGCTCGTACATGTATATCTAAATTCCACTTGAACTAAAAGCTTGCTATAAAATAGAAAAAAAACAAAAGGAAAACTCATCAGAAGCGTGCGCTTTGGGAGCCGAAATTATTGATTGAACCTTGGAATACTCAATAGAAGCTCTGTACTCCGTACTAGTACTATGTTCAAATGTTTACCCAGGTCAATCCGACTCGGACCCCTGGAGTCAACATTTTGAACGACTTGAACTTGAATGTCAACTTGAATATTCAGCGATTGATAGTACTATGTGCGCAATTCATACTATGTTTCGCTTACCAGTCGACTATTAGTATCCCTAGATCCTCCTCTCAGCCCAGGACTGAATAATTCCCTCGTTGCTTTCATCATAGACCTTCAAATTCACGTCTCCATCGGTTACAAAAGTATTTGGCTGCACAAACTTCCACCTTGGTTCGGGCTTCGAACACACAATCTGACGCCACTGCTCGTACACGCCATTAACTGCACACATGGGCTCGGAGAATTCAGCACAGGACGTAAAATCAGCGGTGCAGCGCCAGATGTGCAGGCGACAGAGATAGCTAGCCAGGGCTGGCTTTCCATGTGAGAGAATCTTGGTGCGGTCAATATTTATGGTGAGGGTAGAGGTGGTGAGGTCGAACAAAATTTGAATGACGCCTCCACCTTCTTGTAGCAGGTGTTTGAGGATAGAAAATGGGCCTGGATCAAGTTAGGTCTCTCGGTATTGACGGTGTGAGAGCGTGGAAGAAATGTGAGGAAACATGCCTGGTGATGGACCTGGCCCCAAGTCTGATTTTCAAAGTTGTAATGTTCCAGAGCTTGGAGGCCGTCGACTCCAATGTTGAGGTAAGTGGTGTAAAGAGCTGGTGAAAGAGTAAGTAGGTCCATAACTAGGTAATTGTTCGTTTGTCGTGGTTAAACTTACGGTCTTCGGCTGTGATTTCACTGCTGTCGGTATACCCAAAAACCGCCAGCAACTCTTTATTATCCATGAGATATTCTGAAATCAGAATGGCACGACATTCCTCTACTGTTCCAGCCAAATTACCGAAGACACTTTTCCAAGTTTGGCCCGATAAATAGTAAGAAGTCACTCCTTTCCCGTTCAACGGGCTGATTGGCGGGTTCTCCTTGAAGTTGTAGACACCCGGTTTTGTTTCACTAAGAAGTTTTCCAGTACCGTGTCCAATTAGCTCGCGGATGGCTGTGGTAAGGAATCTGACGATATGCGTGGTGCTCCTAAAGGATTGTACCTCTGACAGGTCGACCCAGTGACATGGTAAGTTGGGGTTATTGTTGACGCTGAGACGATTTGCGAGGACAATGTTCTTGAAGCCACGGGTTTCTCGGATATATTCGTACTAGGTGAATTATCAGTCTAATTTCATCGGAAACGCTTGTATGGAACTTGCGTTGGGGAGGTTCGCGGCTTCAAAAACGACGCTTCCGCATACGGCGAGTGCTGTGAGGATTAGCATGGCTGCATGATTTTTGCAAGAACAAAGTATCTAACCATGAACGCTGGTGAAGTCGGGAGCTTCAAGAAGGCTTTTCTCAAATGGACCTTTGCCGTCAGTTATGCCCTCAACTGCCCATGGGAGCTGTCGGATGATAGAAGTTGAGATTCCCACGAAGTGCTTCAACCTTGATGTCTCATCTGGATCAGCGATTCCTATCATAGCCTCCCACTCTGATCTTATACCAGCTGGATCACGGTAAGCCTCAATAAACCTAATCATGTTCTCAACTCTTGCGGCTACATCCGTCACCCATAATTTCTGTGACTCCTCGAAAGCTTTTAAGCTGCCAGTGCGAAAGCATTCTAGGTAGTGCGCCAGAACGTCCTCTTGCGTGCTGTTGCTTGCATACTATTTTGCCTTTATTAGAGCAGAGCAGACTTTTGACAATTCTTCACAATGATCTCCTCTGATGAGGAATATGCCTTCTGCGAATTCTTGTTGATTGTTCGTCCGAGTTTCAGTCTCAGCAGAAGCTTGCAACAGCTGAAAGATGGACCTTCCATCTTGAACAAGTTTCCGAATCCGAGTATTCTCAAGTCCAATGGAGTTTTTTACCATAGCCTCAGAGACAATCGCGATCTCCTCTTTGGAAATCAACTCAGAGCCAGGGTAATACCCCGATTGTGCATTCTTGCTGGGATATCCAAGGCCGGACGGTGGCACCGCCAACATTGAGTCAATGACTGTCGCTAAACTATTCTTGGTGCTTTCAGATATATTCGCAATTGTTTGTAGAGCTTCAACCGTCAAGCCGGGGACAAACCTTTGATCGCCTTCTCCCTATTCGACACACATATGTACGTTATTGCCAAAAATAACCTTGCAACCTCAATGTGCGAACATTCCAACTTGAGGGTTTGAACATTTGAACATCAAGAACTTACGTAGAAGTTGCCCAGGTTGCTGAGAAATACACTGGCATACTCCAAGAAATAGGTTAGCTCATCAGGCGTGACATTGCATTGTGCGATCAAGGTATCCCATTCTCCGCCACAAGAATGGTAAAGATCCATGATGAAGTCGAATATTCCCGGGCCTTCTGGCGACACTTGCCGCATGATAATTCTACTACCACACCATGCTGCCCGTGCTAGATAATGCGCATATAACTTCTCACGGGGCTCAAGGGCTTCAAAAACCGCTTTTATAACAAGCTGATGGACTGTACCGCCCAAAGGTGGGGTATTGCACATGGGGCTCTCGGTGGGAGACATGAATGGTGTTCAAAAAATTGAAAGAATAAACTGAATTTTTGCAAGCTGAGGTGCTTGGAAAGCAGCAAGATATAGTATATAGCGCTTCGATGAGAAGACTGGATATAGAAACAATCACTTCCAGGTTATGACTGGGCCGATGGAACCATACATATGCTACCTACCGCAGTAAGAGACAGCGCATATATTTTCAAGTTCGCCGTGGAATGGGTTTGATTCCCTTAAGCCCGGCAAGGCTGCTTTGTTTAAAAACATCAAAGCCACGGGCAGCTTAGCGGTCTGCTAGGTATGTACCGGGATCAGACACCTGGGGGCTCCCAGGATACGAAGAGGTCTGAGCGTCCCGAGCTGGAGCCTTCAAGAGTCAAGACTATGAGCTGTCAGGCAGTTGAGGGGCAGCTGAGAGGTGATGCATTAAATTTGTAGATAAGGGTGATCATCGCATATTTTACACCTGCACCTGGGTAGACAGTGCTAGGCCTGTACAAACATCCATGTGCCCAGGTGCACGCCCGGGGTGAGTATCCATGCTGACTAATACCTCACTTGAACGCTTCCAAGGTTATAGAGAGAAAACTAGGTATGGAGAGAGAGACAAGCTACCAGTTGACGCCGCTCTATCCTTTTATCCTAGGTTTCCCAAATGCTGAGTTGACCGAATTTCAGCGCTGATCGCAGACGAGATCTTCAATCATGTATCACTTGGCCAAGTCGCTATATCTCTACGCGACTAGCAAAGAAGGTAAGCTCTCGAGATCTTAAGATCTATCCCGAGACGCCTTGACTTCCCCGAGACCCTTTCATTTCGCCTACGATAAAAGTCTGACAGCTTTATCGAATAGAGTACTCCGTCCTGCTACTTGGGTTAGATAATGCCGGAAAAACTACCCTCTTGACTCAGATCAAAGCCCTATACCAGCCTCGAGCAGATGGCGCGCCCGCCCCCAACCCCGGTAAGACCGTCCCGACGGTCGGGCAGAATGTCTCGACAATCTCATTATCGGATATGAACCTGAAGATTTGGGATGTGGGAGGTCAGATCTCCATGCGTGGTCTATGGCAAAGCTACTACACCAGCTGCCACGCGATTATCTTTGTTGTTGATAGCGCCGACGTTGGCCAAGACCCCGATATCACACGTCTCCGATCCGCATCAGGACGACACTCCAGCTCCGCATCAGGACCGACGCGCAACAGTCCCAATGCGGCAGAGCTCTTCTCGGAACAAAGTGTTGGCACCAATGCGGGAGGAAGTGAGTTTGGTCGTTTAGACGAGTGTCGACAAGTCCTTGAATCTGTGCTCCAGAGTGCCGACGTGGCTGGGGTCCCCATTTTGGTCCTGGCGAACAAGCAAGATCGGGAGGATTGTGTTGAAGTTATTCGCATCAAGGAAGGATTCGTGCGAAAAATCTTCGAAGGTGAAACAGGGACTGGGGTTCGAGACAGTCGCGTGCTGCCGGTCAGCGCGTTACTTGGATCTGGAGTACAGGCGGCTGTGGAATGGGTACAGAGCCGCGTTAGGTGGAATAAAGAGGGTCGTCCACCAGTGATGCGATAATTGCCCCTGGTGGTATGGGTATGGAGTTGGCGAGCATACATTGATTTGCATCCTGGCGTTTTTTTCTTTCGATATCTTTTCTCTTTCCCTTTTTTTGTGGATGATAATACCCTTGACATCAATTCAAATGCAAGCAGGAGGAATCGTTTATAGCCATTGGAACTGATTAGACCACTGTTATGATGCACATGTGTACATATTTGAATGAGCCTAAACTAACTTCAAATGTTAAGTTTCTTCTAATATCCGATAATTAGAGTAACCATACTGCATATTCTCAAACTAATAGTCCTCATACTATTACTCAAGTGCTAGTATCTACTATGCATGTGTGTCTTCACATCTAAGGAGTGGCTCAAAATTACAATGTAATAGGCCGGTGCTGCATCCACCAATCAGAATCATAGAACTAGTATGGAATATCTTGATGTCAACCAGTTGATCTCACCTAGGCATCAGTGCCTGAATCTCCAATAAACCTGCAGTTTTAACCCAATACTTGAAGAATTCATGCTTCCAAGCTGCTTAGTGTCCATATGGCCTGATGTCACAACTACTTCAATGATTTTGCTCATCCCTGCTACTCTGATGTCAAGGCATGTGGCATACTGGTGAGAATGTCTGCGATCTGACTTCATAATTGTAGCTTCAAACATGCATAGAGTATATTAGCATGTGATAAATTGCCACCGGTCCACGGGTGTTTTCTTGTTATACTGCCCAGGTAGTATATATTAAGTCAACCCGTTTGTATTTGACGTCATTTTGATTGAGAGAATGATAAAAAAATATTTATAAAGCGACGAAAAAACGGGGTGAACAGCGCACGTAAAGTCTGTCTTTCTAGTACGATATCAGACTAAGATCAACAGTCAGCCTTCAACATTCTGAATTCAACAAACATCTGCCAAAATGGGCACACTGAGCAACGTTGACTCCGTTGCCAACGCGAACCAAGGCAGCTTCAAGCCTTCTGTTCCCAGGGAAGGGCCTATCACTGACAAGGGCGTATGTCTGCATTTCTCCCACGTGTACTTGCTAGACAGTTGCTAACCTGGAATATCATTCAGCATAAGCCTGGCGTCAAGGTCAACGAGGCTGACCAACGTCCTGAATATCACTTGCAGACTTTCCCTCCTGGGACTGCCCCGCAAGTAACTCCTACTCGCCTAATGTCAACGATGTGGGCAGCCAAGCAAACAATCCCGATGTTCAATATGGACAGGAAACCTCTGCCGCCGATACATTGATGGGGGCCACATCGCAAGATGTCCACACCGGATTTGGAAAGCCTCTACAGGGGCAAACTGGGACTGAGCTGGCTCATGATGGCGAACATGGACGACAGAAACAGTCTGCCGGACTGGAAGGTATTGGCACTTCTATGCAGGACCGGGGCGTGGAGCGACAATTCCCCAACCAACGCGGTATTGAGAGAGAGGAGGCACAGAATGGGACTCGTGGCAACAAGGCCGATCGTGCAGCGGAGAATATGGAGCCCGAAGGTGCGGAAACGTTGGATGCAGAGTGGAAGTATGAGTCCTCCACCAAGCGGAACCAATAAATGGAGGTTGTATGAAATTCAACTCAAAACTTTAAGTTAGAATGAAATGAGACATGGATCAAGATTCTATGTTACCCCTGCTGTCGATATGTGTTCGTATTTCAATGCCGTGACTACCAGTGATCAGTTTGGTCATTGAATGATGCTAATATATTTTGTAATAAGTTGATGTGTGGAAGATTGCCAATAACTTCTCATATACTCTCAATAAATGGAGAGTTTGGAATTAGCATTATGTTCAAAGATAAATGTGGCGGATATGTACAAGGTGGGTAGAAAGAGCATGACCAGGTGGATTGATTGATGAAGGAACCATGGGTATTGTTAAAGGGGTATTGTTGCAGGGCTTAGCGATATCGAGCATTCGTCGATGGCCGAGGCTTTTCCTCCAGCTGTTTCTTTGGCCAACTTCTGGCGATGTCAATATTAGCTCGAGGAAACCACATCTCAAGAAAGACATAAATAAGGAAATCAATCACAACGCAGAGACAAAACAGTTTGCCGGCCCAAACTCCACAGCCGTAATATCGTTTGAGTCGGTCAATGAGAGCGAAACTTCGCACTCGATCTCCACTGGCCTCCCAACCTTGACCTGGATAGTAGCCATAGAATTCTTCCGGAGGAATATCACCAGTGATTCCTTGATATACTCTCTCGGTACGTTCAGCGACGTCTCGCCACGAATACATCATTTTGACTTGGTCATGGAATCGATCCGTCCGTACTTTATTCGAACGGAGTGCTGCAATCGCCTTGCTAGTGGCCACAACCAAGTCGTCTTCTTCTGGCTTCGCAAAGGTGGTCATATGTTGTGGAAGCACTTCGGGAATACCACCAACCCGAGTGCAGACCACATACAAGCCACAACTGGCTGCTTCAACAATGACAGTGCCAAAGGCTTCTGTCAAACTGGGATGCAGATAAATGTGACCTCGGACCATCACATCCCGCACTTCTTCATGTCGAACTGAGCCAAGCATCTCCACCTTGTCCTGTAGTACATTTCGCTCCAGCATTTGTTCCAGGTCGATAGCTTTGGGGCCCGAGCCGGCAATGATGAAACGGGTATTGGGATTGAGAGCGAGAATTCGGGGAATTGCGGCAATTAGTAGATCAGTGCCCTTATTGTAGAATAATCGGGAGATGACGACAATGGTGATCGTGTCATCAGGTCCAATTGGTGTGGGCGAGGGTCGTGGATCAGCTGGTGAAATTGGGACGTGATCCGGGGCTCGGGGAGCATATGAGAGAGGACAGAAATTCTCCGCAACCACGGCATTGGGAATAACTGAGACCATCAAGGGATCTAATGAGGCACGAAGAACAGTATTCTCTTTGCTGTGACGTATTAGCCTCGGGTCATATCAAGACCATTCTCAATGACATACCAAGTATGGCTTACGCAGATCGCATGATCAACGTCACTCAATGTGAACTTCAAAAGCTTATTAGTGAGGATAGAGGCCGCATCCGCGAACCCGAAGAGAGAGTGATCGGTAAAGACAGTTCGCAGGCCCATTGTACGCGCGTGGAGTATGGCCTCTCCGCAGAAGCTACTAAGACTGGCGTGGCCATGAACGATCTCGATTTGTTCGCGAATGACAATATTGCGGAATATAGGAAAGAAGGAGAAGACTGTCGGAAATGTGGTCTCGCGGTAGATGACGAAGAAGGGAACGTGGTAGATCTTGAGTCCATTCGTAAGGTAGCGGACGCCGGTTCGACCCTTGTATGCATGTGTGATGATGATAACTTTGTGTCCACGGTCAATCAGTTTCTAAGGGGAAAACAGAGAAGATTAGATTCCTGTTGCAAACAAAACATATCGAAGGGCGGTTTGAGAGTGGCTTACAGAGGACAACTGATAAATGTGACTCTCAATTCCCCCTAGGTCCAGTTAGTCAAAGTTGTAATCCCGAGGATGTGCAGTCTTGAGAATAGCATACCTGACTGGGGGAAAAAGAAGTCACTGACCATACTGTCAGGGAACAATATATTAGCATCTGGTCATGAGTATCAAGAGATGCATATATGTCGAGGACTCACGCAATGTTATAGGTCATGATGGCTGTTGTTCTCGGGCAAAGAAATCCGAGAAAATGAAAGAATTGAGGTCAACGTCCTATCCATGGCGAATAGGTCAAACAAAGGGAATGCGCACCAGTCCAATCCATTCCCCGATGGACTTGTACCTTCAATGCGATGGAGCTACTCCGTACACTCTCCACATCAACAACGGGCGGTGGGGTTAGAAGCGGTAAGTTAGATCATAATTTCTGCCGGCACAAAAAACATCACCGAAAAGTGAATTTGCTTCTTTTCCCGCAAGCTTCTGAGGAATGCAAGTACGCCGAAAGAATGACCGGATCCAAATCATTCGAGTCAGCATCCAAGATGTCGACATCTCCTGGTTCGGCAAAACACCAGAAACTACATAAACGAAAGCGTGATCTCGATGTCGCCCCAACGAACAGCTCAACTCCAACCAAGAAGCATAAAAAGCGTGAGAGTCTCTCGGCTGAACAACCCGCGGAAAACGGTAGCGCGGTCAAAAAGCGCAAAAGAGTCAAGGATGCATCGCAAAGTGACGATTCTCCGAAGTCGACCAAGGAAGAAGGTTCTGTCTCGACCGAGCGCAGCAAAAAGACTTCTGCAGACTCGCACGACCTGGGCGCTAAGGAAGGAAAGAAATCAAAGGATGGCAAGCGAGAGAGCTCTAAGAAGCATGATGCCTTACCTGAGCACTCTCCAGCTGTGATGGCCGAGTCTGATGCTATGGAGACCTCATCTGATAATGAAGACTCGGGCAAGGCTTCGAAAAATAAACACGCAGGCATTTTATCCAAATTTGAACGGACCAAAGTCGCAGCTAGCAACAAGAAGAAGATCTCGAAGGACGAGGACGAGACTGAACCCTCCGAGAATGTGATCGAACCTGTGATCGCACAAGGCCTGGAACCCTTGCCTCAACCCGAAAACCCGCCTGAGCTAGAGGTGGCCCCGACCTATTCTTCCTTACCTGCCTGGCTTGCGAATCCCATACGTACCTCAGTCAAAGAACGGTCGAAGTTTTCTGACCTCGGCATCAAATCCGATCTACTCCGCATACTCGAGCAACACAACTACGAAGAGGCATTTGCCGTCCAGTCTACAGTTATCCCTCTTCTCCTAGAGGGCAACAAGAACCACCCGGGTGATCTGTGTGTTTCGGCTGCTACTGGATCTGGAAAAACACTCTCCTATGTCCTCCCACTTGTCACATCTCTGACACCCAGACCCGCATCACGACTGCGAGGCTTGATTGTGGTTCCCACGAGAGAACTGGTTAGACAGGCTCGTGAAGCTTGCGAACTTTGCGCAGCCGGATCGCGCCTTCACATCGGAAGTGCAGTGGGAAATGTTGCGATCAAGGACGAACAGAAGCTTCTCATGAGGGTGGACCAAGTCTATAACCCTGCAACTGTAGCGCAGCGTCAGAAGACGGGTCTACAAGGAAATGACTGGATGGACTTCAGTCTCGAGGACTGTGTGACTGAGGCTGTTGACTCCACAGGCTTTCTCCCAGGGTATATTCAGCGACCGGAGCCTAATGTTGATATTCTCATCTGCACTCCGGGTCGCTTGGTAGACCACATTCGTTACACCAAGGGCTTTACACTCAAAAGTCTAGAGTGGTTGGTGATTGATGAAGCCGATCGCTTGTTGAACGAAAGTTTCCAGGAATGGGTGGATGTTGTCATGGGATCGCTGGATGCGCGAAAGTCCCCAGAGACATTCGGCCCTGGTGGCAAGCTCTTGTCTGACCTTGGCTTGCCAATCGAGACCAAACCTCCTCGAAAGGTCATTTTGAGTGCAACTATGACCCGTGACATTTCGAAGCTCAACTCATTACGCTTGGCCAATCCGAAGATGGTTATTATTGGTGCTGAAAATTCCGTGGACTCTGAAGACCCCGCTGCCATTCAGACAGATGCCCATTTCACCTTACCACCAAGACTGAATGAGCATATGATTGCTGTTGGAGAAGAATCCCAAAAGCCATTGTATCTGTTGCGCCTACTTCTTTCACATATCAATGTCGGTGTGGATGGCGAAAAACGCAAACTTACTCGTGGCGCATCCTCATCTTCCGATGAAAGTTCCAGCTCGGATGAAACCAGTGATGATGGAACAAGCTCTGATGATTCTTCCGATGATGACACTTCATCTTCTGGTTCAGACTCAGACTCAGACTCAGACTCCGATTCTGATTCCGATTCTTCAAGCGACAGCTCTTCGGACTCTGACAGCTCTGATTCCGACAGCTCCGATTCTGAATCCATCGACCGTGTTGCCCCCGCTGCGCCTTCCCACAATACAGTGTTGATCTTTACCAAGTCCTCCGAATCTGCATCTCGACTTTCCCGTCTCATTTCCCTCATTCACCCCCCACTCGCCAGTCGCATGGGAACAATTATCAAGTCTAGCAAGTCTTCCTCCTCTCGAAAGACTCTGACGGCCTTCAGAAATGGCCGCATTTCGGTAATCATTGCTACCGATCGAGCTTCTCGTGGATTGGATCTTCCCACTCTGAAGCATGTTGTGAACTACGACGTACCTACTAGCGTCACCACGTATGTGCACCGTGTGGGACGAACTGCTCGTGCTGGCAGGGAGGGCTCAGCGTGGACCTTAGTGGCTCATCGTGAAGGTCGCTGGTTCGCCAACGAAATCTCCTCGAATGTTGAAGGTCGTATTACCCGTGTGGCGGGTATCAACCGAGTCCAGGTGAAATCGGATACATTCAAGCCCCTCCAGGTCAAGTATGCCGCAGCGCTGAATGAACTGGAGAAGGAAGTCAAAGGAGGCAAGGCATCGAGATCTTGACCCTTAATCTAAGGTCTACCTTATTTTCACTTTTCCTCTCTTGATTTTCTGTATGCATAGCGCTTTTAGTATCGACCCATGTAATTTAATATTACTAGTACAATTCTTCATCACATTTGTGTGCAATGTGGGCAGTCTTATTGACCGGACGGTTTACTACCTACTAGTATATGTATGATCTCAGTAGACTGTCCATCTTGTATGATTATTAGTACAGTGGTCTCATCCGAGTCGCCATGATCCTAGTAGAAACCCAGATCTCTCTCATGTATGTATTCAATGTCCAACCTCTCACTTGGGCAGCACATTATTCGCCATCACCCATGGATGCCAGTGGAGGTTGGAAGGGTGCCAAAACCAAGCAAGCACAACTCTTTTCAGCTTTCGGTTCTCAGCACTACTCAGGTGGACTTCACCAAGATTCGCATTCTTGGAAATGTGATTCCAAGGTTGGCGTACCGTATTCCAAAGTAGAACATTTGAAGTGAGAGCGGAGTTGTACTAGTAAGAATTAAGAATTCAAACTTCAGGAATATTGGAGTATTTCAAGTTTGACACGAATCACGAACTTGAAAGGGACCGAAACTTGAAAGAACTATTAATTGACAAATAGTACTACTACCTAGTAGTTCTGTCTAGTAGACAGAGTGGTGTCACCTGATCTTCTCGATACTACATATATTGACTCCTACTTCACGTCTCATTTCACCGTTCTCAGCATGTGAGGCCATAATCCCTCAATAGCACTGGCAACCGTGACCTAAGTTCAAGTTGGAAAGGCCCAGACCAGTTGACGTCGCGGTGGACTAGATAAATATCATCATGATGAACCTTGCAAGGAGTTGCACTCCCAAACTCCGGCTAAGGCCCCTGCCCCGTCGACCAAATCAGGATTTATTTCAACAATTTGAAGCATTTCAAATCACATCAAACAAGGGCTGTCGCTGCAGAGTCACCTTGTCAGCGCACCAATTTCATTTTCTTCATGGCATAGCTGGCTCGTCAGATATACTAAAGGATGAATTATACCATCCTGAGCCAGATGTGGAGGATTTTGAAGAATATGTGCCGGAGGGATACCACCCAACACTGATCGGAGACACCTTTTGTGGTGGCCGCTACGCCGTGGTCCACAAGCTTGGGTATGGCGGGTATTCGACAATATGGCTCGCCCGGGATCGGCTGTCCCAACGCTACGTATCCCTGAAGATACTGACTGCGAGAGCCTCGCCAAGTACCTCCGAGGGCGAAATTCTTGGTTTGCTAATGAGAAACGATCTTGAACATGCCGGAAAGCAATTTATTCCAACGCTACTTGACCAATTTTCTTTTCATGGCCCAAATGGACACCATCGGTGCTTGGTCGGAGAGCCTGCTGGTGTCAATATTGCCAATTCCAAAGAGAATAGTACAGACCTCATGTTTCCACGAGATTCTGCTAGATCTATCACCACCCAGCTTCTCTTGGGGTTGTCTTATCTACATGCGAACGGCGTATGCCATGGAGGTGGGGATTATTAAGCTACATACCACGACCCAGAGATGTTGCGTGCTAATCAGATGCAGATCTCCATTTACTTAACTTTCTCTTACGTGTACCAAACTTTAACACCCTGAGCATAGCCGAGCTATACACGCGTTTTGGTAAACCCTCCGAGGTTCCTATTCGACGACTTGACGGAAAGCCTAATGGACCCCATGCTCCGCCATATGCTATCTACCCATTGTCTCTGAGCATGCCTTCGAACGAGATGGATGACCCAGAGATCATTATCTCGGACTATGGAACTTCCTTCATTGGGGCACAGACGCCCTCGCCAACTTTTTATACCCCAGCCCTTTACTCACCACCAGAAGTACTCTTCAACGAACCCATCACAAGACCCACCGCGGCTGATATATGGACCTTGGGTGTCAGCTTGTACGAAATATTGGGCAAGCGTCCACTATTCGAAACATTCTCCTGCGACCCCGATGATATTATCGGGGATATGATCAATGCCTTGGGTCGACCGCCTGAAAGATGGTGGGATTCCTGGGTACGGCGCTCTGAATTCTTCAAGGAGGATGGGTCTTGGGTCGACGACTTCAGCCGTTTCAGCACTCCTGCTTTTCGGCCTCTGCATCAACGGCTCTGGGAGATGGGCCGCGGTGAGACAGACCAGACATGCGAATGGGATGTTGCAGGCGGGGAACTCGACGCATTGGAGGACTTTCTTAGAGCTATGATGGCGTTTGAGCCCGTTGAAAGACCCACAGCGGATCAACTTCTAAGATCCGAGTATATGGTGAAATGGGCTTTACCTGCATGGGAGAGGCTGAAGGAGAGGAAAAATGATGCTACATGAGCATTAAGATTCAAGCATTCGCCATCGTAAAACACCAGTTTCGCAATATACTATATATGTTTCTTCACCCAGGTCGAAATTCTCATACTCAAAAATCAGAGAGAGAAGTACCAAAGCAAGGCAGAGCTCAGAAGTGGCATGGGTGGTGCACACATTATTCAAATGTTTGGTATAATGGAGAGAATTTCCCCTGAATTCGACATGCAGGGGTCTTGTTTGCTACATTTGCATCTAGGTATTTGTGCCTGAACCACGTCAATATCATCACCTTTTATCAAATTATTTAGCGCCTAGCCATGATGGCTGGCGGCGATCATCTCTTATCCCTCCCTCCTGGATAAAAATCTCCCAGATCCTTTCTTATTGCAGTTGAGTCAAAGCAAACAGCGACGAAGCTTCGATGAATAGCCACCTTCTTCCTTTCCCATATAACCAGTCACAACCACCTACTCGGCTAGATCGCATATTTCAACCCATTCTCAATGCCTTCTTGGGCGGGTCCCACAAGCGTGTTCCACAAAAACCATCCACAGTGCGGGCCGAGATCGCACTTCTTGGAGATGGCTCTCCAATCCGCATAATATGCATCTCGGATACACATAATCTGACACCGCCCCTTCCGCCAGGCGATATCCTGATCCACGCCGGCGATCTGACCGCACACGGGACATTGGAAGAACTTCAAGCGCAAATACAGTGATTATCATCACAGCCCCACACTCATAAGATTGTTATCGCGGGAAACCATGATATAATTCTGGATGAGACACTCGACGGAAAGCTGTTTTCGCACCAGCAAAACGGGAACTTTGGAGACAGGTCTGACTCTTCTGAGCAGCGCGGAAGCTTGGACTGGGGCCACATCCATTATCTCAAAAATGAGGCAGTCACACTCCAACTGCTTGTCCCTGGTCTCGGGGCACAGCAAGTGCGACAGGTGAAGATATTCGGTTCTCCGCTTACACCTGAATTTGGATCATGGGCCTTTCAATACCCGGCAATTCGTGATGTTTGGACTGAGCATATTCCGGATGATACACAAATTGTGGTTGTCCATTGTCCTCCAGCCTTATATGGAGACTGCGATGGGGAGGTTGGACACGATGGGAAGATCAAGGTAAAGGGTGACGGATACTTGCTACGTGAAATAAGAAGGGTGCGGCCTAAATTTGGTGTCTGTGGGCACATTCATGGTGCATTTGGGACAAGTTTGATCGAGCATCATGGAACTCAAGAAGCTAGAGACAGATTGCGGCTGCAGTGGAGCGCATATAGTATACTCAATGTCTTGAACAGGTCCTTATGGAAAAAATTCACTGGGAAGGGGGTGCAAGAGACACTTGTTGTAAATGCTGCTGTGGCGCCTGGCAATTCAGAAACCCAGGCTAAAAGCCCTGTCGTCATCGGTTTTAATGTATAGCTACTGTATCGAGCAGACATAAGACCTCCAGAGCTATTCGAAACCCATAGACAAAAGGCTGATTTCAAAGCCAGTAGGCGGTTACAGGAAGATGATGGTTTTACCGGGATCTAGGCGAACGAGGGTTTTCCGATACTAAGATTCTACTTTTACATGTACTCACCTTTCTCGAGTTTCTTTTTCAATAGAACTGCTACTACCTAGTAGGAGCCCTGGAGGATGACTTTGTCAAGAAACGGTACCAGCAATCTGATTATCTCACAGTATAGCACATTCTAAACATTATGATATGAAGCATTGAACTTTCGAATCAAAGGATCTTCTCTCTTTGGAATGTTACATTAACTTGAACAAAGACGATAATACGAAGACTGCCGATGAAGAAACATCTTTGCAGCGTAGATCAAGAGAAGTCCGCATTAGCCTGGGCCACGTTTGCGCCGAAGATACCTAGCTTAGCTCTCCTTCTATGACTGCGTAGTCAAATCATCAATGCTATCAAAGATAGTGCAATCATCATCATCCTCGCACATAGTTGTTCGGCCCAGGTTCTTATCGTAAGGTCCGGTCGGCCCACTAGAGTAGTGGCATTCAGATGAGATGCAGTACTGTCCGGTCTCAAGATCATCGAGAAGACCGTCTGGGTATTCCTCATCACCCCAGTAGCCCAACCAGCTCAGCCAGTCCGCTGTCTCGTCATCCTCCTCGGTTGCGCCGGTTCCCACTCCACCGGCAACAGTAAACTCTTCTGAGTCCACATCGTACCAATAACCCCGGTAGTTGAGCGTCATGTCCCAGAGATAACCGGCATCTGTCTTATCGGAGATGATACCAAGAGCGATGGTGTAATCCTGGGTTCCTGCTGTCACGTAGTTTGCATGCCCACCATATGCGATGTAAGTAAGAGGCCGATCTCCTGAGAAGTCCACCACATCCCAGTAGTAGGCCGAACCAGCACTATGTTCGGAGCAGTAGATTGCGTATGGCTCCTCGTTAACGAATCGAATCTAGGACAGATTTCAGCACTGGATATGGAATTTTGGGCTTGTCAGAGAGGAACAATTGAAGACAGACCATGACATGCTCCCAGTCACCAACGTGGTCATCGAAATTGATATCCAACACCCTAATAACAAGCGAGGTCAGAGATGCCTTCGTCATTGTTATACATCTAGTAAGAAGGGCATAATTGAGACTCACTCTCCACCATAGTTGTACGAGTAGAAGTAGAAGTAGAAGACATCGGTTGTGGTGCTGTTCTTCTCGGCAGCAATAATTAATCCAGGAGCAGCGCTGTAGTTGTCGTCATCTGGCTTGCCGTAGTCCGAAGAGAGCCAGGCTGGAGTCCCATCAAGTGGATCTAAGATTGGGCCATCCGAAGCAGTAAGATACACGTCGGAAGCGAGGCTATCGAGTGTATTGAGAGTGACCGAATCATTGGCTCCAGTTGCGGTGAAATCGACTTCCGGCTCGACATTCTCGAGGTGGACTGTAATATCAGACGGCCACCATGCCTCCCCGCTGTAAAGATAGGACAGGGGTGCATATTTGGTGGCATAATTTGGCAAAGCCTCTCGCTTGCGAAGTCGAGAGCCACTTGATGGTGCTCCAGAAACACAACTGGCCAGTGCCAGGAAAGTGGAGACATGGTGGAGTGAGTGCATCATTGTTGCTTCAATCAATCTCACTCAGTGAGGGAATGAGAGAGCTGTCACCTGGAGAATAATCTGCAGAACTCTGCTTTCTTTCAAAACCTGAGTAAAATAGAGCGAAGATCATCGTATTTATATCATATTCTGGTTCTCTATGGGATTGAGACGAACTAGAACATAAACCTGTCGGATCATGGTCAGGCAAGGATATCCAGAAAAGAAGCTTTTTCGGGACGGGTGACTCGATCATAATTGGTTTATTCCATAATATGTGAGGTTGAGGTGTGGTTCTTCATAGCTGAAAAGGGTTTAGACAAATGAACAAAAGGATCCGGATGGTAGGATGAGGCGGAGATGAAATGCCCTGTGTGGAAGCACGTGCACGAATGCGTAGAGGATCGACGGTAGATGATTCAATCTACATGATGTGAATAGTGTAAATAATGTAAATGATCACAATGATATAAATTATGTGAAGAAGACGAAAAGCTCATCCTGATTGTAAAATGCAGGGGAAATATCCAGTTAGAGTGGGTAATAGCACATCGTGCCGCGCAGCTAAACAGCACTAGCGCTCATGTGAAGAGTCGATAGGCCAGCATGTCATCATGCATGATGATGTATTCATCTCAGGCGGATCGAACAATGTGACCTTACACGGAGCACCAGACCCGAATAACAATAGTGAAGAGCTTGATTTTGATCAGCTGATAGGAAATTAACCCTCAACTGCTTCATATTTACAGTTGCAAGGATCTTCCTTTTCGAGCACCCCAATAGAGCATTCGTTTGGATACGAATGCTGCGTACAAAGCTTTTCGGTCGCTAAATATCATCCATGGAAGATTGATAGATCTTTTAAGAGCAATGTGAAGTCAAGGGCGCAATGTGCGATGGTATTCACTAGTTTGATCATCGAAAAGATAAGCTCTCCTTATTCCACAAGTTGAAGATTCCTCACCATCCAAACTAACAATATATTAAGCCAAACATTTTTTTAAATGAAAAAAAAACAATGGGATGGCCTTTGTTGTTTGGGCTCTCGAGGTCGGGAAGTTGTGTCGATTTAGGACAAATATCGATTGGCTTAGCTTGGAAACATGATCACACTGGCAGCACGCATGGTATCTGCCCACCGAGGCAGTTGTGAACATTCGAATCTGTGCAGAAATGAGAAAGTTCAAATTCGCTCCGGTAGCTCCTGCTGACTCTAACACTGTTCACATCGAGTCCATGCTATAGCTTGATAGGAATTGAGATTGTTCTCAATCCTCATGAAAAGTGGTCTAAAGTGCACAAAAATAGCGACATAGTTGTTAATAGATAATGGTCTGTCAAGGAGAAATAGAGTCCTATCCTATTACAAGTCCACTGTGGCATTGTAAAGTATTCAATTGCTTGATAGATGACAAGTATAACAAGCCAAACCCGTGGACATAGTGCTTGATAGCCACAAATACCTAGGTCTTGAACAAGGCTTGAAGCTTGCCCAGGGCATTGATGCAGCTTGTGATGAGATTCAAGCTCCAGGAGAGCTTACTCGATGTGCTCAACTATGTGCTTATCATGCGTCTCTTTGACAACCTGAGGATCTTCCTCATCAAATGGCTTTGACTTGGCCATGAATTCTCTGTTCGCTGCAATCTCTGACGGTGAGATACCTTGAAGAATTAATTGCTCAAGCTGAAGAGCTTCATCCTTTTCTGTATCGCGCCCTTCCTGGCTCATCTCAGGCCCAAGAAGAAGGAAGAAGAATATGTATGCCCATACTGCGCCAAGAAAGATGGCAATGACTTTCCCGTAATTATAGCGAGCGGTTCCGCTAGCAAGAGGTGGCAGGGGATATCGAGAACCGATGGTGGTCTCTATCGTAGCTGAGGCTGATGATGCAAGGTTGCCTAGTTGATAGCCGAGGCCTAGCATTAAAGAGCGGATAGGCGTAGGAGATAGTTCCATAAGATGGATAGGGATAGGTCCCCATACAGCGCCGACAAAAAATTGTTCCAGAAACAACTGGCAATCAGAGCCAAACTGCGTGGGTAAACATATGCTGGGATAATCGCAGCACCAGAAATGCAGGCGACGAGCATTGTCAAACGCCGACCGAAGAAAGCGCTTAGGTATCCAAACAACATAGCTCCCAGTAAGGCCCCAACTTGTCCAACAATGGTCACAACAGTCTCGTTTGTGGCAGACATTCCAACTTGGTCCTCGAGGAATGTTGGGTATAAATCCTCACTGCCGTGCGAAACACCATTAAATCCAGCCATCACAACCGCAATATAGACGAGGAGAAGCCAATAAGGTCTAATCGCCTGACCAACCTCAGAGAGAAAGGTGCGATTGAATTTTGAAATTTCTTGGCCCGACTCGATCATCGCACGCTCTCGTGCTTCGCGCTCTGCCTTCATTACTTGGAAATGGTTTGTTTCTGGTAACCACAAGCGAAAGAGGATGATGAGAACAGGTGGTCCAGCACCAAACCAAAACAGAGTGCGCCAACCGTGTGAGGTGCTTATTGCCAGGGCTCGGTAGAACGCAGCGGCGAGGAAATATCCAACTGCATAACCTTCTTGATACAGACCAGAGAGAATACCTCGGGCATCATAAGGAAGATCCTCAAGGGCGGTAGCTCCAGCGGGGCCATACAGACCTGGGAATTGATATGTTAATTTTCTGAGCGAGGGAGATCTCATATTTATTTCGTACCTCCCATTGCGATGCCATATAGTGCGCGAACCCCGAGAAACTGTGGTAAGGTCTGGCAGAATCCAGATGCCACCTCGAGAATGATGAAAAATATCAAATCGATAATCATGGGCCATTTTCTCCCGTAACGATCAGAGAAGAAGCCAAAGATCAGGGCGCCAACGGAACGAAGCATAAGTGTGATTGTCATACCCTGATATCCATAAGTAAATCCAATATTCTTCCATAGAAGCGGAACCCAGAACCAACTCACCCAGGAGACAGAATTATAGGAGACGTTGAAGTCCTCTGCAATAGCTGTCATAGTAATGCTCACGGTGAAGTAGTCAAAGGCGTCCCAAGTCCAAGCCGTGAAACCACCGGCAAACATAAGCCACTGGTGCCGGTCCAGTTGCTTTATAGTAGTGTAAGGATTCTTCAGTTTGCCCTGTCTCAAATGTCTTGTATTAGTATATTTGTAGAGAGTGCCAGTGAGAGCACATTGGAATTCTGGAAAGTCACTCACCCGAGGAGGCTTTAAGCTGGTGATTCGCGTGGCAAAATAATGGGCTATCTGGCTGGGGGAATAAAACCACCCAAGAGCCATATGATTCCGCATCGCGGTAAGGGAGAACGTTGTCCTGCCCTTTTTCAGTCTGCTTGATTGAGCTCTGCTTTTTACCCGAATAGCGGGCAAAATTGGGTTGTTTGCAAGAGTCTTGAGCGAGAAAGAGACAATAAAACGTCACATAGAAAGCTTCCCTTCCAGGAAGTGCTAATTGATCTGCTCCATGTACTCAGCTTTTAATATCACAACCCCACACTTCATACTTCAAGAAATGCGGGGAAGCTAGATATCCCAGAGTACTGAGGCTTTGCGGGGGAATAAGCTTACTGGATGAAAGGCTTAGCTTGGTTGATTGACTAAACGGATCTTATACATGATTCCGGTGGAACGTAGCACCTTATCCATCATTGATGAAACATATTGGCTTTCCGATGCGCCTTTGTATGAAGGACGCGTCACTTGGACAAACAATCCAATCAACTTTCATGCTTTGATGAGTGATGACAGTGTAAGTGAGCACTTACACAGTATTCCTCCACAGTCGAGTTAGCGAGTAAGCAAACTGGCGCCATTTATTTGCGGCGTTTAGTCCTATTTGGGACTACAGATCAGTGCACACATCCTGATCAGATTTGACCCGGCATGATTTGATTTTAGTAACCTGATACTCGGGTGATGGGAGTCGGATCTCTTGTTATTGATATGTTGTAGTGAAGCCAGTGCTTCTCGAGTACGAGGATGCCAAATTTGTGACCTGAAACACAGACGACTTGGCCTATTACTTGTCAGGATTCGCAGATAAAGTCTCAATACTTGGCGAAACGCATTTTTGTCCTGTGATCCGACCAGTCGGAAGATCAAGACTCAGGTGGCTTTTGCGCTCAAGTCCTTGGTCATCTTTAAATTATCGTAATAGTATCCCGATTCTTCCACCGGGAATTTGAAGGACACCTTGGTTCCCTTTTTGCATATCGAGTCGTCTCTGTATCACTGGCAATTGATGGGCACTGACCGCCACTATCACCTGGGTATTGACCTTGGCTGGGTATTTGTTTCTCTGGCGGTCTAGGCTCGTGCCAATCGGCATTGACCTATATGTCTCATATATTAGCCTTTCCATGGCCCAAATTGAAGATCAAGATTTGGAATGATCAGTGGCCAAGTGCCGCGGTCGGAAGAAAGTTACGAGTGTTTCCAGCTTAGCTTGCAATAATTAATAATCATTCCCTCTAGAAGTATGAAGACCATGAATAATGGTTCATCGTCTATTCTAAAAGTATTGAAGGGCTTTCTTCCGCAAGAAACTGCGAGTAAGCGACATGTGAATTTCCTCTATAGAGCCTTTGTGAGGATTCTAACGTGTCAGATTCGGACTAAGTCATAATGTGCACCAGAGGCGTATACCGAACGAGTCCCTCTTTTAGATTTGAGAAAACATGGGATGCAATAACCTCAGTTGCCGGTAGTTCAATATGATTAATACTGTCTGACGAAGAACTCCACTCCAAACTGCACGATGTTCCCCCCCACGAAAAAATTGATAATTGCAAATGCATCAACCGCTTATTTCACTGGATCTTGCCCCATAAAATTAGCAATGATGGTGGTCGTGCCGACGCCGATGCTTCTCGGATCCCGAGGAACTTGAGGAATCTGAGGAACTGGAGCTGGAACCAGAGCCACGACGCTTGTGGTGCTTATGGTGTTTACCCTTATGCTTCTTCTCCTTCTTGTGTTTCTTCCTGATTTGCGAAATGACAGGTTAGCTTCGAGACAGGCAATAGGGAAAAGCTCCAGGATTAATTGACTCACACTTCATGTGTTGCCATGTTCATTCCCACGGCGCCTAGAATCGCACCACCCGCCGTTCCAAGAAACCCTCCGGCCATCTGGTGTCCCGCGTAGCCGCCTGCAGCTCCTCCTACCAATGTTGAGCCTAGACCCTTGTCACCTTCTGCACACCCAGGGCCAGGTGCATATCCGGGCTGCTGTTGGGGTGGTGCATTGGTCTGGTAGTACGAAGCATTTTCACCGCGGGGCTGGTACGGCTGCTGCTGTGGGCCATTCTGCTGGGGAGGGTACCCATAATTGGGCGCATTAGGGTAGCCCTCTGCCTGGGAGCTATATTGAGGTGGGTATTGGTATTGACCCTGTTGTGTTGGATCGATGCCGTACTGTGGGTTGTTGGTTGATTGCTGTGCCTGCAGCGAGGAGAAATGAGATTAGTCGTCATTACTTCTTGTTTTGGAGATGGTCGCTCTTCGCGTTGTCTTGTATGAGCAATGGCATCACTTACTCCGGGAGCGTATTGTCCTGGCTGTGAAGGATAATTGGGATTTTGCTGTGGGGGGTAATAGGCGGGGGGTTGACCTTGATGGCCATCGGGATTACCTTGATAGTTTGACATCCTGAACGCTGGGAGTATGTGGTCCGCGAGGCTGGATGAAATGAGAAGATGTGAGAAATTCAATGAGGAACATGTGTTCTTTATCTTCGGATAGTAAGATTAGGCCACCAGGAATATTATGTGATTGTACCACGTTTGAACAGAGTCTCAGCCTCAATGGAATGTGAAAATGTGGGGAGTTCGAGTGACGTGGATTAGGGGCGAAAGATCGACGGCACTGCCCCCTTTTTCCCCTTTTGGGACTCTGACATGACACTTTTCATATGTGCATATCTTTATTTCCATAGAATCACAGCCCTGGAATATTCTAATGATATATCCAATGGAACCACTATTTTCTCTCCTCCCATTTACCACCTTAATAAGAGTTGAAAATAGTTAAAAGAGAGAGAATTGTGAGACCCGCTATGACCCATGGGATCACACTCTTAATACGATGGCTGTGCGGCTCGCAGATCCAGGATGGAAAAGGTAGATTGTGCGAACCAGAAGGGACTCAGAAGGACAAGTGAGAGAGCGAGAGAGGCCCTGATGGAAATAAATGTAAAACGATTTCATTCTTCTTAACTTGTTATTGTGACACGCGAAGTTCTCCTAGTATTTCTCATACCCTGTACGGAGTAGTCCGAATCGTTTTATGACATCTGGAGGATCGGAGACTTTGTTCCAGGCAGGAACTCAGGTTAAGGTAGCCAGATACTCATGATGATATTACTAGCTAACTCCTAGTACCTAAAATTAAATGTACTATTCAACATTTCGCTTCACACTCTTATACACAACCACAGTAGTACCATCCGCAAGAACCTCATGCTCTGGGACCAACTTATACCCCCCAATCTTGGGAATGATCACTCTCCAGAACGCCCAGTAGACAACACCTGCGACTAAAATAACAATACCGATCACGGATGAAAGCCAGTATGGAAGTGATGTATCTCCCTTGCCTCCCGGGGACGGATAAATGGGGCCACAAGTTGAAAGGCTTGCCCAACCATGAAGAAGAAAGCAACAGGCCACCAGACTCGGAATGGCCGATGTACCTTGGGTGCCTTCCATCTTAGATAAAATAGACCTGCGACAACGAGGAAGTTTATCACACTTGAAGGGTACCCTTCGAGATCTAGAATGAAGTCATAGGCATCGCCAAATGGAATCGCGACGATGACAATGAAGGAGGGAATAAAATGGAGGAGCAATCCGGCTGATGGCGACTTGAAGGGCCAGTTAGAGGCCCAAAACTTGGGATATGGAATGACTCCTTCCTTTGCAAGCTCCTGATTCACTCGGGCCTGTGCGAATGTGACAGTCAAGACATTTCCAAAGGCGGATATAGCGACCAACGCACTGTTAAACGATGTTAGGACCATAGTAGAGTAAAATGAAGGAGATTTTCAATAACATCAAATTCTTACCTCAAAGCTCGTTCGGCAGTTGAACCAAAAACCTTTCCCATAAAGAATGCAGCCACAGTGGTTCCACTATTGGCGATCTCCTCGGGTGTTGCCGCTGCGTAGTATGCCACATTCGCTAGGATATAGAGAGTACCGCAGATCGAAAGCCCGATGGGAGCGGCAATCTTAACGGTACGGACGGGATTGCGAATCTCATTCATAACGTATGCTGCATTAGACCAACTGGAAAAATTAATCTAAGTTAGCGAAGAACGTGGCATAGAATTCATCGGTTTCGGGTACTCGGGGTGAAAGATGCGCATACCCAGAGAATGAATTCAAGACCTTATAAAGTGCAATGGCATAGGGATTGCTTGATGTTGCGGACCCTGCAAAGGCGTCGTGAAAACTGGCATGTGGGTTCGGAATGCTGGACACTCGTCCACTGAGCACCACCCAGCCGGTGATAACAATGAATAGCAGGAGGACGACTTTGTAGACGCCCAGGAAATTCATTCCTCGGACTCCCCAGTTGGGCAGGAAGGTATGCAATAATGTGATGGATACAATAACAGCAATTGCAACGCCGCGCTCTTCCCATTCAGAGGCTTCTCTGCCTGCGGCGACCCAAATATAAGAAGCAAACACCACACAACCAGAAGCTGTAAATCCCAAGGCTACTGCTTGCACAGCGAAAACAACAGTAATCAGTAGCTTTGGTCGGCGATATACCGCCTCCAAGTAGACTTTCTCTCCTCCACTTCGCGGGATCATGCAGCCCATCTCCAGCCACACACAGAGACCAGAGCCGGCTAGAAGGAATCCCAGCACCCATAATAGTAAGGCCGCGCCTACACTGCCGACACTGCTAGTGACCGAAGAGGGAGTCGAAAAGATTCCAGTTCCGATAATTCGACCTACCCTATTCACATAGTCAGATGACGTGCTTATCGATGCGCGCGCTGAGGGTGATTCCTTACACCAAAAAGATCGTGGACCAAATGCCCAAGTGTCGACCCATTCCACCACTTGTATACTCCTCAAAATCCAACTCTCCAGCAGTAGCCGTCACCTCGCCATTTGCTGTATCAACAATAGATTTAGAGTTCTCTTGATCGGCTAGCGTGAAGCTTTCTCCAACTTCCCCCACTTTTGAACCGGCCATTTTGGGTGCGCGGTGAGGGGTGTGACAGAGGAGAAAAAGAAAAGGGATGAAGATGCTGAGTTGAAAGGGATGAAAGTTGAGCACAGGGGTGCCTTTTGTAGAGAGCCCGATAATCATGTCAAATTTTCAGCCCCGTCAAGATGGAAGAAGCTCATCCTTTTTTTCATGATTTAGGTTTCTTTAGCTGTGTTGTTATCAGAGCTATTATCGCGCGATTCGGTTATTACTGCTGGTTGGTTGGTTGATTGTACGACCGATGCATAAGGCTGGAACATTTAAGTGGGTGACTCCAACTCTCAGCTCATTGAGGTGGCCGATTGCGATATCTATCTTACACACGACTTACACCTTGAAAAAGACCCGTGGATCAGTGTCTTACATCTTGGCAACGCCGCTCCAGGATTATATTAAATCTTGGATTTGCTTATTTTAGCATCCAAATAACTTATGATCTTGAAAAAAGAAGCCCTTGTGAGTGTGTCATCCCCTTGATCAGTTCAATATTTGAATAAGAACTAAATCGGAAGTATTCCGTAGGGTCAGTAAGATTCCCTCGGCGAAATGACCATTATCTCGATGATGAAACGAGATAAACAAATTTTTGAACAAATCAAATGGAAGCTTTCAAGTTGATAACGGTGCTATATACGGAGTACTCCGTACTTGATCCAATATGGAACACGCGTCCCCCACCTAAGAATACTCTTTCAAATGTTGAATATTTAAATACTCTTGAATCCAGGGAAGCTTGGCAAACTTGACATCACGGAAATGGCGATATGGCCGCTAACTAGGCTTAATCTAGTAGCCTAATCAGCCTAGTCAACCTACTTAGCCCCGCTTCTTGGAGTACTCGGACCTGGAGCTGAATAAGATGAGAAACCCGATCACGAATTCTCTTCTAACACAATTTTTTTCCATGCACCTAAATTTTTTGCCCGGGTGTGAATGTGCTGAACAACAAGGCTTTGATCCTCAAGTACTGGAACTTTTGAACATTCAAATGTTTGAATAACTGAATTCTCAAGAACCGATCACCAAGCACTCGAGAGCTGAGACAAGATGATTTTAAGGTTAGTATTTCAAGGTAAAAGAGGTACTTCGGATGAATGAAAATCCAAGTACTAAACGTCGCACTGGGACTTCTAATATATCCGGAAATATATTTCAATATGTGTGCATCCCAGCCGGAATATTTGCTTACTGGTGCTAACTGGAACTTCGAGTATATGGGGTCACATTTCCACGGGTACTCCGCACATGGATCGCAGCATCCATGGATGTTTGTGTAGTACTCCAGACTCCGAGTCCAGATGAATGTCGGTGCACGCGGGGTCCGGAATCCGAAAGTTCGGGGTATTCGACCTGAATTTGAACAATATCCCCGACATATCCATGCATACATAGGTGAAATATCATGATTACTACGATAATCGGCTATAGCACATGACCCTAAGTCCGAGTATCGTGTAGCATTAATCTGTACACTATTTTTATCCTAACATCTTCGCGTGTCAAGACTGACTAGTATCCTTAAATCTCTATTTTTATTTCTTTCTTTCTTGAAGTTCTTTTGTGAAATCTCTTATGCAAATCTATCAGTGTGTATATATCCACCCCGCATTGAACCGTCAACCGGTGCATCTGACGCATAATCTGAGACTCTATCCTTACCGAGGTCATAGTCTCCTCCCGCCATGCACCATCAAATTTCAAATTTTGAAATTTACGATAAATTTTGGAGTGCTCAAGACATCTGGACAATATCTGGATGGAACATCAAAATATCATGCTATACGGGGTTAACAGGACTCCGTCGGAGTGTGGATCTTCAGGGTCCAAGTGACTGCCTGGTGCTCCAGAGCTATGACGCCACCACCTAACATGTCACCTTCCTGTCCTTTACGAGGTTACAATCGCTTCATGCGCCTATCAATCCCCACTCAAGATAGTCCAATTACAGCCTTGAGGTAGGATTTACTGACTTATAATTGAGCTGATCTGCATCAAAAATACTCAAATTGCAATTTAAGATCAGCATCGGGACAAAAAAAGAAGGCACAATGCATTATTGAAAGCATGATCTATTCCTTTATATTACTTCGCTTCGGGACCTACATACAGTCAAAACTCTGGAGTTCACTAGCGCTTGAGAGTACTGGCATGATATAAGTGGACGTACATATTCCTTTATCTATCCGATTTTCAAGTTTCACTGGGCCCGAAGTCACCACCAGTAGTTGACTCTAGCAGTTGACTGATTGAACATCTTGATAATGCGTCTTCTATCAGCCGTTGCGGCCCTTGTGCTAATAAGCAATGCCGGAGCTGTACAGAACCCTCACCGTAAGGCGGAATCCTTGAGAAAGTCGCTTGTATCGACGAATGTGCCTCACAAGCGAGACACAACCCCGGCTTCAACCGAAATGAAGTATTTGAATTCAAAAACCGAGGAATTCCTCGTCAATGGAACCCATTTCCCACAAGTCCCATTTGATATTGGTGAAAGCTATGCTGGCCTGTTATCCAACACTCCACATGGCAACTCGAGCTTGTTCTTTTGGTTTTTCCCATCTAGCAACCCGGCAGCCGAGCGTGAGGTATGTATGCTTCTTGAGACTCCCTGCACTCAACTGACACTGACTGATACTCAAGATAACCATATGGCTCAATGGAGGCCCTGGGTGTAGTTCCCTTGACGGATTACTGCAGGAGAATGGCCCCTTCCTTTGGCAATCCGGAACATATGCCCCTGTCCAGAATCCTTACTCCTGGACCAATTTGACAAACATGGTCTATGTTGATCAACCTGCCGGTACTGGCCTTTCGCCAGGACCAGCCACTGTTCAGGACGAAATCGATGTTTCTAATCAATTCAATGATTTCTGGAGAAGATTCATTCAAACATTCCAAATGGAAGGCTACAAGGTATACATCACGGGAGAAAGCTATGCTGGCCAGTATATTCCTTACCTCGCCGCGGGGATGTTGGATCAAAATGATACAACTCATTTCAACCTGAAAGGCATCCAAATCAATGACCCTTCCATCAATGAAGACTCTGTTATGATCTATGGTAAGCTTCAGATCGCTTAGATGGGATTCAAATGCTAACTTAATGTAGCTCCAGCGGTCGCCGCATTGAACTACTTCGATCGCGTCTTTGGCTTGAATGATACTTTCATGACCGAGATCAATGAGAAGTCCGAAAAATGTGGATTTAATAGTTTCTTGGACAAGGCTTTGACCTTTCCACCACCAAAGAATTTCCCGACTACTCCGGACATCAACCAGGATGGCTGCGATGTGTGGGAACAGATCGTTAAGGCTGCAACTTACGTCAATCCATGCTTTAATATGTACCATCTGACAGACTTCTGTCCTTTCCTGTGGGATCAAATGGGCTTCCCCTCGTTGGCGGGTGGTCCGAACGATTACTTCAACCAGTCGGATGTTCAGAAGGCACTTCATGTCCCACTTACGGATTATAGTGTCTGTGGAGGCGATATTTTCCCTAACGGGGATGGATCCGTTCCTAGCGCATTAGGTCCACTCCCTGGAGTGATCGAGCGTACCAATAATGTTGTGCTGGGTCATGGCTGGTTTGATTATCTGCTCTTCATGAATGGGAGCTTGGTCACAATTCAAAATATGGTATGTTCTTTCTCTCTCTCAACTACACACGTTTCTTTCTGACACGTTCAGACCTGGGGTGGAGCCAAGGGCTTCCAAAAGCCACCAACCGAGCCTCTTTTCGTACCTTACACCGCCGCATTGGATGCAAACGCCAATGGGTATCCAGAGTCACCCTATAATGCTAATGCGGGCGCTGGAATCCTGGGAACGGCGCACACGGAGCGGGGCCTTACTTTCTCGACTGTGTATGGCTCTGGACACGAGATTCCACAGTATGTGCCTGGAGCCGCTTACCGCCAGTTGGAGTTCCTCCTTGGGCGTATTAAGAACCTTCAGCAGAAGGGATCATTCACTACCCAGTAATTTATTCCTTGTAGATGGAGGCTATACCACTAGTACCTAAGACTCGGGCTTCAGGTTATGTGCACATATGGATGGAAATATCGATATTTATGCATAGTCGAATACATTGAACAGCATGTTGAGCTCAGCACTTCCTCCCTACTATTTAGTAGCCTGAGAGACAGAAAAAATTCTCAATTCACACAGAGACCTTGGCAGTCTTAGTAATGGAATCGGATCCTTCAGAGAGAGGAACAGCTTCAATGACAGACTCCATTGCCGGGTTACAATTCCAAATTCCGGTAATCTTCAATCCAACGCTGGCAAGGAGATCATTCCACTGCTTTTTGGATCTCTCAACGCCCGCGCCAATACTCATCATTTGAATGTCCATCGCAGCCTGCATTCTGGATACTTTGGTGTCTGGCAAAACAAAATCCACAATAATGATACGGGAATACTCCGGATTCATTGCCGAGATAGTGTTGAGCAGGATCTTTCGACAGACCCGATCGGGCCAATCATGAAAGATTGCTCTGAAATAGTATGTTCGAGCATCTGACAGGTGAGCTAATGTTTAATAGCGTATTGGGAGTGATATTTGACTGACTTTTAATTGGCTGTGGGTCCAAAAAGCTGTAACCCATACATTCTATTCCGGGCTTGTTGACCTTTAGCAGGATCTTCGGTAGGTCCTGCAGAATCAGACGACCAGGAAGGGTCGGGTAATGTGCATGGAGCTTTCCTAAGTCATGGCCCTGATTGCCTCCGATATCAACAAGGAATATGGCATCTTTGTGGTTCACAGCCCCTTCTGTCAACCTTTCGATAGGGTATACATCATACCAACTTGGTTTTCCGTCTCGTCGACTTGACATATAAGAGTTGAAGCGAGCCTGATCTAATTTGTTCTCTGCGAGCCATTCAAACTGACTTTTGCCGACTGCCCACTGCATGGGAGATGTTGAGTATTCCTCAGGGTTGATGTAGTTGTGCTCGCGAAGGTATTCGGGAAGTTTGGATAAGGCCGGAAGTGTAAGATCGTATCTAATATTGTCAGAGTGGTTTGAAAGATGGTCATTTGGTAAGCTTACATGCAAGGGACTCCATCTCGGCCAATTGGTTGAGTCATGACGATTGCCTTGTCTGTGGCCTGGTATACCTCCGGCTCTGGACTCACACATAGTCCCAATGAGGTCACAACTCTCATAAGACGGACTATATAGTAGATTTAGCACATATTTAGGTGGGTGCTGCATGAACAGTATAAACATCTCACTAATAAGTTCCCTTTCCGCTTTTGTCTGTTGAGCCAGTTCTGTGGCAGAGATTCCTCCAGGCTTTTCACTGCTAACAAGCAGTAAAAATATGTCCAAATCGACAACCGTCCTCAAAGCTGCATTCTCAGGAGGCTAAACCAGAAATTTGAGTTAGATATCATGCTATGCAGGGTAAACGCGTATTATCTGGTATTAGGTACCTGATAGATCAACCGGAGGATAGTCTCAGTGGGTGTTTCAACTGCCAGCTTGAGCTCGTCAATCAGTTGAAGAAGTCGAGCATGACTCTGGCCAGCGCCTAGGGAATTATTCCCGATCTCCTGCTTGATTTCATCTGCAAGGGATGCGATTAAACCAGTGGTCGACATATTCTTGGGCTGGATGTGGTGTGTGATAATAGATCGGATCAAAGAAGGTATTTTGTCCCTTTTCCTGGATCATTTTTGCAGGATATTGCCAGTCATTTTATATTTCACAGTGACCACCCTGCGGATACTTGATCCTCACAAAAACAGCTGTCCCTGCTATCTTTCTCCGATCTCGCTGATACAAAACACGGCAGAGGCCATTGAAGGGTGATCATCTGCAACTGGGTCTTTCTCGTGTTGATCCTTTCTCTTTCTTCCCTTTCAAACGGCAAAACAAGAAGCGACTAGTCTTCTGGTGACCGGGATGACCGAACTTTGATGTGACGATCGCTCCACTATTTTGCACAACGGGAAATTTGACGCCAATCGCGGGACATCTGATAACAGAAAGTCCACTGATCTGGGTTATCTGATTGTATCTGAAGCCAGTTGTGACTTGTGAAACGATAATAGTATGATATGATGCCAAGTCCGAGTCTTCCGACCCCTGACTCCAAACTCAATCCTACTCAGGTGGGGATCGAGTATCAAATCATAATGATACCAGACAAGGCCTTGCTCAGAAGCATCTTGAGAAGAAGCAATGTGAGAGGGACTGTGTGTTGATCTTACGTTCTCAAGTATCGATGTGGAAAGATATGTTCATTTTCTCATAGCGACGTGCGGCTTGAGCGTTAATTCCGGCATGGTCGGGTCTGATAGTGCCCCTCAAACCCACCAGACACCAGTTTGACAAAAGAATGGACTTCTAACTTGAACACGGAGCTCTTTTCCTATCCTCACAAATGTCCGCGCTCAGAATATTTGAGATTCTCCGCCTGGGCACGGGTGCTAACATGGTTACGTGTAGGTTATTGTCGTGTAGCTAGGGATGGATCTCGCCCGGGCGGGATGGATGCTGGTAGGCTGACTAACAGAATCGTTGGTGGAACTTACAGTTTTGTGGCCTAACACCTGCTTTCTCATATTTTTCAGCTGTCTCGTTAAGTGAAAGGGTTCCGAGTAACATCTCACTACCAACTCCATTGATTGCCCTGACATACTGATGATCGGAAATTGAGATCATCCGATTTTTCTGTGAAGCTCCCGCATATACGGAAGGTGCAGACACCACAACCGATCATCTCCGATATCATGCAGGGAGTACAATCAAAAGAACATCACAAGTGTAACTCGTGTAACAAAACATTTTCGAAGAAGGAACATCTCACGAGGCATATTCGAGGTCATAAAAAAAGAGAAACCTTTTGGATGTTCGACATGTGGCAAAGTTTTCACCCGAAGGTAACCTTGGAAGCCGGCTCTCTTACTCCGGTTACCAGTCGAAGTAAATACTTATTCTTGAATGCAGTGATGTACTTCGACGGCATCAAAGAAGTCACAAAGATATGACAGACGGTTCCCTCGCTGTCTCGTCGCTGGAACTTGCAAATGAATCCGCTACACTCACCCCAACCCCAGCTACTGAGTTCAGAAGAGAGCTAGATGGTGTTTCTTGTCGCGAACCAACTGCGAATTCCGTTATATTCGACAATGCGGTAGTTCCGGATCCTAGCCTTTCAAGTGGGTTTGATTTCATGAGTTCAGCCTCCGGAAATGTCAATGATGATCTCCTAGGAGATGCAAACACAACTTCCGATTCAGGAAATTGGTTTTTAGAAGATGGGTTTGACGTTGGTGCACTCGATCTCACGATAAATTCTTCTATATTTGAATGGGCCCAGCTTCCAAATATTTCAAATGCTTCGAATATACCACCGTGGCAGCAAGGAAATATCACTCACCCTCAAAGTTCTGCACCTCTAGATGACCCAGCAAAGCCCACCGCGGACCTTGTGAAGGAGAAATGGTTTACGTATATGAAGCAACGGAGTGGCTGGGGAGATCTGGCACAACCATCAGCCCTTCCGGGACAAACCAGTGCAAATGATATTTACCGGGCAGGGCTGACACAGAAGCTTCGTTCTTGCATGGAAGACGAGGCTCTGCCAACATCTGATCAACTCAATCTCTTTGCAAAATTATATTTCCAACGGTTCCATCCTTTACTACCAGTGATTCACGCTGCCTCATTCAAACCAAAAGCAGAGAACTCATTGTTATTCTTGTCAATATGCTCCATTGGTAGCCTGTTCGTTGGCTCAAAGCGCGCAGTCATGCAAGGCTCTCGAATATTTGAACGGCTTAACAAGGCCATTCTAGCTTCTTGGGAATCTTTCTTGTCTCAAAGCCGCCCAGATGCCTTGTCCATGGTTCAAGCAGCTATATTGGGGCAGACATATGCCCTCCTGGCGGGAAACCCAAAACATCTGGTACTGGCAGATGTGCTTCACGGTACCGTGGCTGCATGGTCCCGCGAGGCCAACAAAATTAGCTATCTTTGTCAAAAGTCTCAAGGTCACGTAGATGACACCGATATTGATTCAAAATGGCTGCAGTGGATTGAAACCGAACAACGAGCAAGAGTGCAGATGGCTTTGAATATCCACGATGCAGAGCTTGGATCTCTATTACACCACCAGCCTATTCATAGCCATCGATTTCGCCAGTACCCACGTTTAGCCCTCGATGTTCTCTTTGATGCGCCGACAGCCTCCAAATGGGCTACACTTTACTACCAGACATCTCAAGCACAGATTGATCCAGTTAACGCCAGGGTCTTCAGTCGCATTCCGAACTCCTTACCGGAAACAGGCCAGTCATCTTGGTTTACAGCATATGGCGCCCTCGAAAGTATCAATGCTCGCCTTGTTGACCTCAAAGAATCCCACGAATTCGACTATATGAACTGCCAAGATATCTCCAACCTTTTAATAGAATGGTGGAACACATATCATCCACTGAACCAAGAGCCCTTTTGTCTACGAGTTCTTTGGCAGTCGATTTTCATTTATCTCTACGCTGATGTAGACCTCCTCGAGCGCGCCATCGGCCGAGACGGCGACATCTCTAGCTGCGAAGCGACAGCTCAAGTCCGCGAATGGGCCTCTACGCCCAATGCTAGTCTCTGCCTTATACACGCTTCTCTCATCGCACGTCATATAGAACAGATGAATATCTCTGTCGAGCCAGCCATCCATGTTCCTCGTGCTCTTTTCTCAGCTACTTTGACATATATATGTGTGGCACGGTATGCGCCCAAACATATCATTCGCCCTGACGCTTTCCTATCGCCGGAGATGAAAATGTTGGGGAATGAAGCTTGCATGTGGCAGGGGCTGCGTGAGGCGGGATATTCCTTGAGCGGCGAAGGATCTATGGTTGTGGAATTTGATGACATGTATAGATTGATCAATTTGTTGCAGCGTTGTGGGAAATGGGGCATCTCACAGGCTTTTGCGACTGTTTTGTCTATAGCGTTGGAAGAAAGGAAAGACAATATATAGGGCTTCTACGTGAGCTTTGACTCATTGAAAGGTCATACCAGTATATTCAAGTTTACCTCTGCCGTCAATTACATAGAATTAGTGGATTCATAAGATTAAAAGCTTGCAATGTTCCTTTAATTATTTTACGGATGGAAATTGCCAAATGAATTCTTCAACCTTGGAATACGGTTGACCCATACTAATATGTGGACAGATAGGTAATAATTCCAATGCTAACTACCAATCCTGTGTGATTCATTATTTCACTTTCACCCCGCCGCCCGCGGGCATGTATCGGCGGGGTGAAGACCAGCCTGTGTGGGGTGGTGGGGTTAGTTACAACCTCGGCCCTCTTGAATGCATAATTTTCAAGGCTGGCCGATCCACTATATGGAAGCACTATGTATCGTTTTGAAGTAATTTATACAACATATGAACACCATACCGTATCCGACTCCTTGTTTCTGCTCACGGTAGGGAATGAGCATCGGAATAAAATTCTGGAAGACCTCTCTCAAGAAAAGTATTTGAATTTTCTTACATGATTGCTTGAGACTGGCACTGGCACTCGAGTACTGGAGCCTTCAATATTAGTTCTTAGTACAAATCTATTGTTTGTTCAATAGATCATGAATCACATGTGGATCATGATGTCTTCAACTTGAATCTAATTTCGACACCTGCACCTGGGCATGCAATCAATACTATTACTTGCACGCGTCTAGCCGCCGTTGCCCATATGAGGAACATTGAACATGATAGATATTATGTATTGAATTGATAATAGCAGAAAAGAAAACATCTAATCAAAGCCTGAGTGGGCTCGGGATTCCTCACTACTTTGCTCACGGAACTTGGGCGGGGTTGCAAATGGTCTTTCAGGTAGACCTAGGAGAATGGTAAATATCCCTATATGCAGGGGATTTCGTAATACCAGCCAGCTTTCAGAGGTAATAGTAATTGGGAGTTCTTCGGATATTCATTTTTGAACAACTCCGCAAATAATTGACCTTTGTAGGGTGGATGCAACTGGGTCAATGAAGAATGGATGGAGTAACTACTACGGAGTACATCGGTGCGCATTGAAAACGAACTGTAAAACACTGTTGACATTTTAGATAACCATATGTATAACGGAGCTGGTATGGGGTATGAAAAACAGGAACAGATATCATGTTCGGCAAGCCGAAAGTCTTCCGCTGAGAAAGCTGAAGAAACAAGCTTGGAAGATGATGAATGGTGCCCAGGTGAATGGGTAGTCAAGACTAGGTAGAATCGGGTAGGTGCCTACGCGCCTAGGATCCACAGCCTCGGGGTAGAGCCTATAATGGGCTGACTAAGCGGCTTTGGCGCCCAGGGCAGACCTCGGGATGTTCTTCAGCTTCCGGAATCTTATTTTTACATTGGCAATAGATGAATGAGATAGTGATCATCATGTCAATATTGGCCCCACTGATCGGAAATATGGATGTAAGGTATTTGCTTAACGATATCGGAAAGGCTTTCGGTATGAGTTACTCAGGATCAAAACCGGGAGGTAGAACCGCATAAATAAGCCTGCAAATCCTCTCTCAGCCTCAACTATACTTTCCATATCACTTGAAAATCCGAGATTTCCACATCGACCACCTCGACAACCAATTCAATGATACTGAACAAACTAGTCTTGCTGGCTTTGCCAGTATTGACTGGCCTATCTTCCGCCTACGACGTGGATGGTTACAAGGTGCTTGAGACAACCCCCTACCGAATGAACACTACAATCGACGATCCCAGCTCTAAGATCCTTCCTGCCGGATACATCAAGTCATCTGGGAGCCGTGCGCTTCCTAATGCAACCCGCTTTGAGCATAACCAGGTCTACGAGACTAGAGATGGCAAAAAGCTGCGCGTTGACATTTTCCGCCCCGTCACAGATGACCCTGTTCCCGCTATCCTCATGTGGAGTCCGTATGGAAAATCCAGCACTGGGCCTTTGAACCTTGGCTCCGCCGCTCTCCGGGCAGGTGTCGCCAAATCCAAGCTCTCGGGCTTTCAATCCTTCGAAGGGTAAGACCTTGCAATTCATTCGAGCTTTTGGGTCAACTGTGCTAACTTCTCTTCAGACTTGATCCCGCAGAATGGGTAGCCAGAGGTTATGCTGTTATCAATGCCGATTCTCGCGGTTCTGGAGACTCCGAAGGCGACATCCGTTTTTGGGGCTCTGGTGACGGCAAGGACGGTTACGATTTGATTGAACAGCTTGCTAAAGAGCCATGGTGCACAGGCAAGGTGGCAACAGCAGGAAATTCATGGCTCGCTGTATCTCAGTGGTTCATTGCCAGCGAGCAACCTCCTCACCTAGCTGCTATCGCTCCCCTTGAAGGATTGGGAGATGTCCTACGGGAGACGGTTGCACGCGGTGGAATTTTGTCTTCGAGCTTTGTCAAGTTGATCCAAGAAAGCCTTCCAGGTCAGACACCCCTGGCAATGAAACCTGAAAAAACTCACTACTCACATATATTTAGGGCGCCAAATGGAGGAAGACGTGATTGCCATGTACCAGAAATACCCGGAAAGGAACGAGTACTGGGATGACAAGCGTGTCGATTACAGCAAAATCAATGTTCCAGCGTACATTCTTGGCAGCTATTCGACCAACCTTCACACTCAAGGCGCCTTCCGAGGATTTGATGAGATCACCCACAGCAAGAAATGGTAAGATTGAGTCACTTCTATTCATAAAAACGAACATTTGAAATTAACAATACATTAGGTTGACGACTCACCATACCCAAGAATGGTATGACTTGTACAGCGAACAGCGGATTGAGGACCTTGATCGGTTCTTCAAATTCTACCTCATGGGCGTTCAGAACGGTTGGGAGGAAACAGCGCCAGTTCGCCTAGCTATGCTCGGCTACAACTTGCCCAACCAGAACTTCTCCCTGCCAGATATCCCTTGGAGCAATCCCGGCTCCAAGCAACTCAGACTGCATATCAACCCAGATCAGACGATGACTGAGGCTATCCCAGCTGGTATGAATCAGACAGGCGTCTTGAGCTATCAAGCAGATGCTCCCTGCATGAGCCGGGACTCTGACACTGGTGAATTGTACTTCAACTACACTTTCACCAAGAAGACGTTTGTCGCTGGACCCAGTAAGGTCACCATCAATCTTTCCGCTCAGAAGCAGAATGACCTTGATGTTTATGCTATGCTACGGAAGGCGGACGCAAATGGCAATATTCTTCAAAGCATCAATCAGCCATTGTCTGATCTTGGAGTCAGGAATGCCTCTCAGGTCCCTTCAGTCAGCATCCTTAAATACCTTGGCCCTGAGGGTATGCTCCGGGCATCTCTCCGTGCCATCTCCAACGAAATCTCCAAGCCATGGAGACCAACTCAGGCTTTGGGTGCCAACCAGTATATTCCGCAGGAGATGTGGTCCAGCTTGAGATCTCACTTTGGCCTACCGGCATGATCTTCGAGGCTGGCGAAAAATTGATTCTGAAGCTAGCAGGCCATGATATGAGACTTGTCGACTTCGCTCAGTTACAGGGATCCTTCAACGTCACGAACAAGGGAAAGCATTATGTTCATTTCGCCGAGGCTTATCCTAATATGCTGGAATTGAACATTTTGTAAGGTCACATTGACCGTTCAAATGTTCCATGTTCATTGATATGAATTTGAAGTCAGAATAGGACATGTATGAAGAATGAGTTGACTTTGGAAGGGGATACAGAAGAGGAATTAGTATTGGTGAGAAGATTTTTTGAATGTAAGAATAACTTGAAGAAGTGAAAATTTGATTTTGTCAAAACGTTGGAAGCTACTAGTAATTTGAAGCGAGGGTAAAATTGAGTGAATAGAACATTTGAATGCTTAGCCGATTACAACTTCTTGCGCGGACACAAGATGACCTCGGGAGAGGTTCGTTTAAACATTTGAATTCAAGTTTCTATCTACCATTAGAATCCTTGGAAAAAAGAGGAAAATGGTGAGTATATTTTTACTCGAGCACACCTGGTGGGGATAGACATTTTCACAGTGTTGAATCCGACTAGGATAAATCAATTCCAAGGTTCGTCTCATACAGAATACAGAATGAATCAGGGATTCAATGAAAGGCTTCGCGGGTCGAAAAATCAAATCTGGATCTCTTAAGAGGATAATGATAGGCATTATCTTCCAGTTCCTGGTCAATGAAATTTATAACCCCAAACTACCAGATCCTAAGCTATTTTTACCGTGACTTTTCCGAAATGCTTCTGCGCCCACTGTTCATCAATCGTTCAGTAACCATGAAAGCCCAGTTTTGGAGAAGTGAGAAACGTACCATGTGCTTATAGGCATCCTTAGCTTTATCCAAGGTAAAAACCACTGAATCAACTACAGGGTGAATATCATTGGATTCAATTGCCCGAATCATATCTTGCATCAAAGCTTTGCTCCCAACCAAAACACCTCTGATAATGCAGATTTTATGCAGGGCTTCAAGAACACAGGGCTGACCACGTGGATCTGCACTGCCGAGGAACCCAATGATACTGATGATTCCTTCGAACCTGATACATTTCAAGCTCTCGGATAGTGTGCCAGCACCCCCAACCTCGATAATGTAGTCCACCCCAACATTATCAGGGGTGAGGCCGCGAGCGATGTCGCCCCAATTAGGACTAATCTTGTAGTTGATGACATGATCCGCACCGAGACTCTTTAGCTTTTCGGCTTTTTTGGGGGAAGAAGTCGTTGCAATGACGGTTGCCCCAGCCGCTTTCGCGAACTACCAAGGTAGATTGTAAGTAGCTGTGTGTGAGAGAGATTGAATAAGCACTAACCTGTAGAGCAAAGATGCTAACACCTCCAGTGCCCTGCACTAGTACAGTTTGTCCAGGTAACAGGGGTCTCAGTCCGTATAAGGCGTTCCAACTTGTGAGGCCAGCACATGTGAGAATACTGGACTCTATATGGGTGAGGTTTCTAGGAGACTTTACCAAGCCATTCTGGTCAAACACACCGTATTCGCGTAGGGTTCCGTCAATTGCACCTCCGAGGGTATACCCTGTATCATGAATATTGACCGGACCATATTGGTGATGCTGGTTGAAAAGAGTGGTGACGTGGTCTCCCTTCTTGAATTGTGTAACTTTTGACCCGACTTCGACTACTTCACCGGCACCGTCGGAACCAGGTACCACAGGCAGTTTGAGGGCAAGCGGATATCTTCCCTAAAAGAAAAATTGTTCAGAGACAATTCTTGACATATCTTGAGCCGAGGACTTGCACGAACCTTTGGGATGACCAAATCGCGATAGTTTAATGACGCGGCACAGATTTTTACAAGGACTTCACTATCACCGACAACGGGGACCGGTGCATCAACGCAAACAACGCCATCGAAATTGTTTTCCTTGTTCAGCACAATCCACTGTTTCTGTTGCAGAGTCATTTTGCTTGAATGGTGATTTTCAATGAGACTACTAGCACTTGTGGGTGAGATCTGGTAGCCTTATATAGATTCCAAGGTTCTAGCTAGTAGCCAGTTATGTTTGACTGAAAAATGTTCAACTCCTTGTGTTCAGGTTTGTAATAATTCCTCCACAGCTTAATAATTCCAAAATTGATTACTATTCTCAAGATTGGTAGCAGCCTTTTTGGATTCCACATGTGCAGAATATTATCTACCTTCCAAATACGGTTCCAAGCTGTGGGGCTTGACGGGGTTTTAAAATACTGGACCTTAAGAAAAGCCGATACTTACTCTGCTAGATGCATCCTTTTATTCGTATTCCTAGATTTATCACATGTAATGAGTTGAAAGAAAGTATTTCACTACTAGTATTTCTCTTCAGCTTTTCTCTGAACAAGAAGACTAAAGTCAATTCCTGAAAAGTTAGATAATCTGACCAGGGACTTCAAAATGTTCGTGGTGGGACGATCCATTCAGAAGGCGTTCTCATGAGGGCAGACTACCTAGTAGTAGCTAAAGCCCCAGATTCTCCCTGCTCTTCTCTTTACCTCCCCCACAATCCCTAATCTCATACTCACATGTGCATCGTGTTCTTTGTCTTATTCCGCTCCGCTCTACGGATCTTCCAGCACACCTGGATTAAATGATCATACCGCAGCTCAAGCTCAATGGTAGAGAGATAGTTTCGAATAACTTAGAGGTATAATCTATGACATGCAGTTGGTAGAGGTCAATCATTTGTGGAAATTGAACGTCCAGATGTCTGATTGCAGCATGTGCTGAGGCGTGCAGTTATACATTAAAATTGTATACAAAGCACGCATCATACTAACTATTTGGTAATCGTCGGAAGGACAAGGTAACTTTGATGGTTACCGCCAGTCCACACGTTGTGGTGCCCGATATTATCATCAGCGGGAGAAGTCAAAGCCATTGATTCCACCTCGGGCAGGGACATGTCGTGGCCAGAGACCCTGAGAATAAGCCCCTCTCCAGCCTCGAAGACCATTCCCACTGGCCAAATTGCGATAAGAAGGGGAACAACAGACCCAGGAGTGATTGGTTGCCGGGTTCGGTGGTCATATACTGGAATTTGCTCTTCGTTTTCACGGGGCCCTAGACTGACATGGTGCGAGGCTCGTAGCATGCCCTGCTGGCCGAGATGTTTTGCTACGTTTACGTTTGGTACCTGTGGCCGGGGCTTGCACATGGGTGACCAATTCAGAGACTCAAGCAGTTCCCCAGAGGAAGAGATCTTCCGGAGTTGAATCACAACATCAAAATCATCCTTGCTGGAACAAGACATGAACAGTTTCACAAATGGGCGTCCACAAACTTCAGTGTATTTATCGAAAATCAATTTGAAATCCTAAACATGCCAGGTTAGTGTGAAAAGGTTGCGCAGGTGAGCCTATACCTCGGTGGCACTTACCGAGCATGCGGTCAGCGAGTGACCTTCATGAGTTGCGGTAGCAACACGGCTAGGTTTTGTTGCTTCAAGAGAGCTGTTTGCGGCATTGAGATAGTACCGAGTGGTACATTGACGAGCCAAGGGCCATTGGTCCTCAGGACGCTCAACGACGGTTCTAGCAGAACTGCCGTCATACCCGAGCAAGCTCAGGCGAACACGAGGGGTGTCTTTCTCCCAGCCGTTTTCAATACCCTTCGCAAAATAATCGTAGAACCTTTGTAGATCGTCCATTGCTTCAGGTTTGTAGATATCATGCCATTCTTGTGTTGAATGCACTCGCAGCCATTTTTGAGAGGTCTGTGAACGCTCAAAAGCGTGGAAAGAGCCTTCGCAATGTAGACCGGTCGAGTATGAGGCTGTGAGATACATTGGTACATCACGAATGCGCTCCACATTCACTTTCTTGTCCATCCAATATTCGTCAACTAGTGGGCGGGCGTCAAGCATTAAACCAACATTTTCTGCTTTCCCAAAACCTGTAAAATAGACTTAGCTATCGAGAATCCCACTCTTGAGGGGCTTAAATTGCTGATTCAAGATCCAAGCGGGTCCGTAAGTTGCATACCTGCGAGTCCACCAAGAATCATTTTTCCGAAATCGCTCTTAGGGATGCCTCCCCTGCACATCTGATGGGCGTAGAGGTCTGTCAATCCTTCCCAAGGAGCTATTGCCTTCAGGTTAGGATGAGCGAATCGCGATGCGAAGTTGAGCTGTGATACAGCAAGCCATGAGTTCCCCCTATGTCAGTTGTAAGAAAGAGCCAAGACAGCGGAAAGAAAGAAAGAAAAAGGGAAGCTTCGAGCTGTATCGAAGTGACTCACATCATGACGACAGATCCATTGCACCAGGGCTGTTTTGCTGCCCAAGTAATTGAATCGTAGATGTCGATTGCCTCCTATGAGCTGATTAGTATATTTGGTCTGCATGAAGGACAAGTCAGCTATTCTTACTTGTTTGCCCCAGAAGGCTAGATCACCTTCGGAGTTGCCTGCACCGCGTGCATCGATATCAACAATTGCGTAGCCCCTAGAGCACCATTCAGCCGGGTTTGGGCCCTGGCCTTTGGTAAGCCAGTTTGTCTCAAAGGGTAACCTGCGTAGTGTGCGACATAGCTTACTTCAAATGTCTCATATCCACTCAGACGTTGGTACGGAATGCCAATTCTCCATGGTCCCATCGTGTCATAGTCAATTGCACTAGTTCCAGCTTTACCATACGGGCTCCATGGGATAATCGCTGGGACCTTTTCAATCTCACTCGCTGGCCGAAATACATCAGCATAGATAGTGACTCCGTCCCGCATCGGGATAGCCTGGTCAACCTCCCAGATAACATCAAGGAGAAATGCCTGAAACCCCGCCTCTTTGACATGGCCTTTTGGAAGCCTTATGATTTTGCCCGGGTGAAACCCTTTATAGTGGAAGGCTGGATGTTCATCGGGATGTTGGAGGGGCGTATAGGCTGTGTCCGGATCATGATGGGCGGTGGTGTCTCGCACAGACATTTCAAGGACGCGGCAGTTGAGGTTGAATCACTTGTTAAGGTATAAGGGAAGGAGTTCAATCTAAGATTTTGATGTGTCAATGAGTCGTTTCTAAGGGAAAATGCTGGGAGCTTTCAACTTTCAAGGTTGACATCATTGATACCAGGTGAGTATTTACCGTACGTCCCGAATACGGCTTCTCAGCAATAAATACCCGCCCACCAGCACCGACGCCCGGGTGATTTCAATTTATTTCAATTTATATCCATATGCTGGGGTTGTTCGAGAAAGGATCATGTATCACCACCTGCAATCTTGCCCATATGGGATTTGATGTTTTACCTATCTCCACATGGGGAGGTGTTTTGCCCAACGCTGCCCAGGTGATAAATGAAGTTCCAACCCGTGGACCTCGATTTGATTCAGAGTCAAGCCCCATGTTATTCTTTAACGTGACTGCAAATTCGGCGTTAGTATGTTTAGACCACTAGCTCCTATATAAGCCAACCTTGGAACATCCATGATGCATTGATACATACCAACCACCTGGGCAGCTAGTAGTATGGATGTATACCACCCCGCCACCGCCCCGCCGTACAGGTCACCCCGCAACTTGGAATGCATACCACTCCTTACATCGCCCCACACCTAGATCCACTGGTATGGGATGTGAGGACTCTAGTGGGATGTTCGGTTTTGCTACATCGTAATTTTATCTCTCTCTGACTGGCACGCGGAGGCAGTAAAACAATTCAAATGTTGATGATCAAGATTTTATTTGCGGTTCAACTGACTAGTACCAACATTTGAACATTTGGAAACTTCCAGTCCAAGTCCCCGGGCCGTAACTTGAAGCCTAAATTGACTCGGATTGAGTAAATTATATGTTTCAAGTTAATCAAATTTGATATTCAACCCTTTTGGACGCATCCTTGGAGCAGCATTTGCTTTCAGTTTTTGACAAGACTGCAAAACTAAAAAAAAAAAAAATCTGCTCTTTCAATCAACACACATCACTGGACCAGTTGACTATGTATGATTCCCTACCAGTGACAGGTATCCAGACGTCCCTGCTAGAACACGTCCGCATAGTCTTTCCAGCGCTATTTTCTAACACGTTAAAGGAGGTATGAAATCAACCTTGGAAACCTCCAAGATTTTTGAGGGTTCAAGTTCCAAGGTTGCACTTGCGAAACTCGGGAAACTGCACATGTGCCGACCTAAACACGTTTTATGTTGTACCAAATGATGCATACTAGTAAGTGGAAGGATGCTACTAGTAGTATTCCAAGTCTTGGTTGAGCGTGGTGAGCCCAACACCTTCAAACTTCGGACAGAGGCTTTTAATTTGTCGCAGGACCACGTGCCACTGGGTAATACAGTAATCGCGAATTTCCAATGTTGATAGTCCCGCGATATTCCACACTTGCATGGCCCTCCGGGATTCATTCCGAAATTTACCTCTATGCGGATAACAACCCGGAAGCTTTGTACCCGCATCCATCATGCATGACAGTCTAGCCTCGGATGAATAAAGATATTGACCAATAGGTGGCTGTAATCGGCAATTGAAGTGCGGAAAAGATTGTGGATGAAGATCTAGGCGCCATGGTTTACGAAATTCCCCAGACTTCCTACCCCATAATTTTGCCATGTTCATGTCTCGTGGGTTCATTGGCATTGGGACTCGGAGCATATAAAACGCAACCCCCACCCCGACCTAACTGATGGTTGATATTCAAACTTGAATCGAGTACTGGTTTGAAGTTTGATAAGTTATGCGGGAAACTAAATCAATCGACTCCAGTGGCTCATTGCATCTGGAAACAGTCAATACTACGCCAGCAGAACAATCTTTGAAAATAGAGGTGCATGATGATAACCGCGATTCTGTTGCCTCGCCTGACGATCCTCGCGATCCAAGGAACTGGTCATTGAGAAAGAAAAATGCACAGATCTTGATGGTAGCTTTTCATTCCATGATAAGCACTTTCATGGCTGCCGGCATCATCCCAGCCTATGAGACCCTTGCCAAACAGTACAATGTTACTGTCCCCGAGGCAAGCTATTTGACATCATTCCAGGTATGCCTCCTTCCAAGGATCGGGGTTTTGCTATCTGACATTCTTCCATCTACAGATTCTACTACTCGGTCTTTCACCCCTTATTTGGAATCCAATCACAGCGGTATATGGTCGATATAATGTTAGCCTTCTGTCAGTTTTCGGCAGTATGTTATGCAACATCGGGGGAGCACGATGCACAACGTATGGGGCTCAGATGGCCACACGTGTTTTGACGGCTTTTCTCATCTCGCCTCCAATAGGGATTGGGAGTGGAGCAATTACCGAGCTGTGTGAACCTGAAGAACGCGGCCAGAAGTTAGGCTGGTGGATGCTTCTTACCACGATAGGTACACCCGCTGGACCATTTCTCATGGGCTTTGTCACTCAGCATATCGGGGTATGTAAATCAAACAGAAAATCTTGAACATCCAAATCGCCCTACTGACTCACCTGGCTCAGATTCAATGGATCTTTTGGATCTTCGCAATTATCAACTTTGTTCAGTTACTATTTTATCTCGCATTTGGGGACGAGACAGTATACCACCCTGATCTTCAAATCGAAAACACAAATTTCTTCACGAAGATGAAGCCCCGAAGACTTGCTAAGCGAAAGCTGTCATGGTATGACTTTGTGGCACCCCTAACTTTGGCCAAATCCCCTCGGATACTTGTCACAGCATGCGCTCATGCAATCACTTTCTGCTATGGAAATATTGCGTTGATTGTGGAAATGCCGATCGCATTTGGGGAGAAGTTCAATTTCAGTGCGCAACAAATCGGTTTACAGTTTATCGCTATTATCATCGGGTGTGTTCTCGGAGAGCAAGTCAGCGGCCCTGGATCCGACTGGTTTCTAAAACGTATTCGGAAATCGAAGGGAAACTCTCACCCATCCGATCGCCTATGGCTTGCATATATAGCCTTCTCAACAATTATTGCCGGATTGCTGACATGGGGGTTCCAACTGAAAAAAGCTGGCACAGTCTGGAATGTTACTCCATGTGTTGGTGCTGCAATTGCAAGCTTCGGCAATCAGATGCAAACCACGATTTTGACAACATTCGCAGTTGAGAGCGAGAAGGAGAGAGCCAGTGAGGTTGGTGTATTTGTCAATGTTTGCAGACAAATTTATGGTTTCGTGAGTTTTCCTTTAACTTCGAGCCCTTGCATTCTCAACTTTCGTGCTGACTTATTATGAATCTCAGCTGGGGCCGTTCTATTTTCCATATATGTTTGCTGCTCTTGGTCTAGATGGAGCAGCTGGCATAATGGTTGTGATAGTTTCAGGAGCGGCTCTACTTCCTATTGTGGCAGTCCAACTCGCTGCAAGGAGATATGATGTTCAAATTAGTTCTAGCTGAGCAGTCTATGTTTCATCTTAGTTTCATGGATCTCAATTGAAGCAATCACCTGAATACTAGATAGTAACAGGTCGAACTTCCCCTCTTCACGCTTCCTCAAATAGACAGTTTTCCCTTAAAGTTTGTAGGTTCAGCTGTCATCTCCTAATTTATGCCAATCACTTTGCCGCTTGCTTGCTCTTGTCTGGACCTAGTTCGTCGTTTGTCCCAAAAGTGATTTTACACAACGTAATGGTCTCCGCAAATTGTCTCGGGTACATGGTTAATGTCCCGCCACAGATCATAGTATTGGTATGCATGGCGCATGTTGACCGAATTGAAAATATACAAAAACATTGGTTAGATAGTCCTATACTAGACCCTCGCGGTTTTCTGGGCCTGTGTGTAAGTCGAAATTCACCGTATAGAATTAAGACTTGAGATGGCTTGGATTGAAACTATAGTAGGTTATTAGGCACACTGTTTAACCAAGACATGTCCTGAAAGTCTGGCATCTCAAACCCTTCCAATGAAGCTGTGCTCATATCGCCTCCAAATTGCATGTTGTGCAGCATCGTATTAGTAGCAAGTTCATGGTCAAAAACATCATCCATAGGGGACTGGTGTGAAGATACCACCTGTTCATAAAGGATTTCAAGGGCAGCCACACAGCGCCTAGCTGACTTGCTATAGCCTTGATACTTCCGCAGTATCTCCAAAGCGCTGTTCAAGGAATAAGAAATCGCATCGTTTGTAATCTCATTCTTGATCTCTGAGCACAACTGACCCGCAATCAGAACGGTTGCGGAGGTATAGACGTCTATCCAGTCAGACTTTTGAACGCAATGATCTGATTATAAACTCACATAAGATGTTATACCACCATGCAGGAAGTGGACCACCAGTCTCATCTTTTGGGATATTCCTGTGAATTAAGCCAATGGATTCCTGCGCAGCTCGCACACATAGTATGGAGCATTGTAAAGCAACCCGGTGAGGGAAGGACTCTTGTATAAATGAAAAGTTGATGCTGTTCTCGCGCGATGCGCAATATTTGGACAAAATGGGCCTAAATAACAGTATGCGCACGTGAAGAAAACTAATCACTCCATGTTAGCAAAGTGCTGGAATGATACTTTCAGACCCTGAAACCGTACCGTGCCCTTAAAACAATACTTTGTCGCATAAAAATTGAATTTTCAGAATTGACATTGGGCCATTGCTGAAGATGGGCGGGAAGATTTCGCGTCCAACGAGACAGAGATCGATCGAGCTCAAATATTGTGCGATCGCCTTCATTAGTACCACTGTTAAAGTAGAAATCGTGCATATCCTCCATACTTTCGTCGGGTGTAGATTTGTAAAGGCTCAATAGTACGTCGTTCATAATTTCATATAGCTCCAAAGACTTTGCATAGAATGCCATCACAGATGGTTTTTCAGGGGGTTGTGTAGGCTCTGAGGCGATGCCAGCTTGTAATATTTCGTCATCAACAGCCTCAGGCAGTGGCACTGCACCACTTGAATATCGTGAAATCATTGCAGGTCTGCCAAATGTCATGGAAATCACCCTGTTATGCTCCCTGTTAGACTTCCTTCATCTTTGGCCAGTCGAACTTGACATACCTATCCATCAAAACACAACCATGCCACAGTTTCCGTGCGATTTGCTGCTTGTGAAAGCTTCCGAGGTTATTGGTTGTCTGAGGTAGATGTAAACCCAGACTTTGAGCATTCCGAATGGCTAAGCCTGTCACGATCCAGCACTGATGTGCTGAGTCGGTGCTTTGTAAATACTGTGCCATGAGGAGCAAACATTGTATCAAGCCAGCCGAGCCTGTGTCCCATAAATTAAATTGGAACAAGTCCTTCGCTCGAGAGAAGAAAACATTCGCAGATGTCTCTCGCTCTTCAGGTGGGATGAAATCAGATAGTTGACTAGCCAGAGCAAAAATCACGTTGAATGTGCACATCACCATATGCTCATCGACTTGCAGAGTCTCTCCATCCCACACCTTCTGGTATTCAGATCTCATAGAAGCACTGTCGACAAAGGGATACAGCGGAAAGACATAATCCCAGTATACATTCATCAACCGGTCGGCAGTTCTTCTCGGTGGCAAAATATAATCTTGGTGGTGTACTGTTTCTGCAGGGACGCGGTCATCAGATGTGGATAGTAGGTTTGAGCGGAGAGCTGAGTCTGGAGCTGAGCGCTGCATGTCTGGCGAAGATATCCTCTTGTCTATCGCAGTTTTTATTTGACGCATGAATCCAGCGGCACTAGAACTTCCAAAGAAGCCTTGGCTAGTTCGTCCTTCTTCCACAGCCCCCATCATCGCATTGACGCCATCCCTTCCATTCCTGGGCGGAGCTAACGGAGTGAGGCATTGGGCCTTTCGAGGGATATCAGCAGACGTCGCCGAATGCTCACCACCAGATGTAAAAGAAGGAACGTTTGAAGTCTTTGTGAGTAGAATGATTAGTCAGGATAATATTTTCAGATTGCCCAGGGGGACATTACAAACCGATTGCAGATCTAAAACCACACTCCTTTCAGCCCGATCCGGGCTCTCAAGCTCTTTGATTCGACCCTCCAGGCGAGATATGTATCTATGATGGGTGAGACCCAGTCAGTACCTGGGAGCGATGTGTCCAAGACCAAACTTGGATGAGAACTTGAACTTCCAACTTACGACTGAGTGGCGCGTTTCTTTTCTAGGTCACCAGTGTAGACGCAGGTCGGGCTCGACCTCTTACTACATGGTCCACAGACTAATGAGGTTCAATGAGTACGGGTGGCATTCCGGGGAGGCTGGCGTACATACCAGGTTGAACGCCATCACAGCGCACCTTTTTCATCCGACAATCATCGCATGCAACGGCAATCTTCCGGCGCTTTGGTTGTCGCCCAGATTCATGACTTTTCATAGCTTCCGGTTCAGTATTTTCCATCTTTCTCCGATATAATGCTGACTCTGTTGAGCATAGGGGATCCGGAGGTTGGCGGGAGCAGATCCGAGTGTGGGTCTAATGAAGTACCGGAACAACCTCCAATTTGCCGAACTGATTACCGAATGAATATCACATCTTGATTTCTGAATTCTGAGTACGGGATATTTCCGTGAGTTAATTCGAGCTGGAAAACATTCCGTATCTTGATATGACGCGAGTTTCATGCATGTGCATCTATGCGATCATCATCCAGATGTCCATGGATAATATCTCTTACTTGGTTTCTCTCAGTGACAACTTCCAAGGTTCAGGTTGAACCTCATTATATATTTTCTAATTCCAACATTCAACTTGAACTTGAAGCTTACACTGACATCTAGAGATGACATGAATGATATCTTCCTCGTTCTCCGACCAATGATTCATTGCTCGGTAATAGCCAAAGTTCTTCATCACCATCCGATCGAAACTTCGGACTTGAATGGTCTATGGTTCCCAGGGCCCTACAGCTCGAGCTCCTGTCAAGAGTAATGGCTCCTTGTCACCTTGCACAAGGAAAATATCTTCATGGCGCGCCCCAAATTTGTCGACCAAATATATTCCTGGCTCTGATGTGAACGCCATTCCGGTCTTAAGCAGAGTGGCATGGTTTCCTTTGTTGAGATAGGGACTTTCGTGAGCTATTCAATCGTTACGTGAAATATTGCTGTCAGCCAAGGCACCGAATGATAGCTTCCCAGGTCGAGGAAAATACCTTTAATTCCTATTCCATGGCCAACTCGATGTGTGAAGGCCTCTCCATACCCAGCATCGGTGATGACCTTTCGAGCTGCGATATCAACGCTGGCTGCTGTATAATTCTCTCGCATGCGTTGGACAGATTGAGTTTGCGCCTCAAAAACAATGTCCCAGGCCTTTAAAGGAACGGATTAGTCCGATGAACATACGTCGATGAAAGATTGACTCTCACTTACCTTCAACTTTTCCTTCATGGTTGGCGTTAAAGCATCCCCAGGGTTGGGCTTGATGAGGAAAGGTGGGAAGAAGGTACGACAGATGTCGGAAGAATATCCAAATAAATGGGCACCAACATCGATAAGCACGAAAGTTTCCGATTCTAGTACCTTTGTCCCATTCGTACCGCCATGGGGATTGGATGCGTTTTCATCTTCATTCCATAATTAACACACCTGCGCTGACAGTATTCGTGGAAACGAGGAAAATTGATCATACCGAACAAAACAATATCAAAAAATGGCTCCATGCCAGCTGCCCGAATCGCATCATCAAGCGCACTTGCAATTTCATTCTCCGTGAGTCCCGGAACAAGACCTAGGCATATATTTAGCAAGAAGGTCATATAAAGTGAGCCGCGAAAGTGCATCCATGGATATTTTTACATTTCCTCATCTGTCGCACTGCCTCTACTGTGCCTGTGTTAACAGCCCGAAGAATATCAACCTCGTTCGAGCTCTTGATCTGTCTCACTTCCTCAACGTGTCCACTTAGTCCGACAACTTCGAAGCCTGTCTGGCTAAGACCACGTTGAATAAAGTCACGCATCTCCTCGTCTACCATTAATCGAGGCTGACGATTTAGTCCTAGGAATACCTCAGACTGATGCAAAGTCTGATATGGATCCCAGTGTTCTTCCCATGGAATGATTTGGATCGGCTCGATAAAAGGCATTCCCAAAAGGCGAGCTCGCTCGGCTTCAAATGAAGGGGACAGAAAAGTAGTATTTGCCGAAATCTTGCCCGAGCCATCTCGAACAGGTCGCACGATCATGAGGAACGGGCGTTCTTCTGGCTAATTGTTGGTTTAGGCTTTCACCATCCTGGGACCAATCGAGATTGACTCACCTCCCAAACTTCCTATTCATTTATGTCAATTTTGGATGTGAAGATTTTGAGGGAAGATGATTCTGACGCACCCATTCAGGCTGGCTGACGTTGGCAAAGTATTTGAATGTGTATCCGGGTTCAACTACGAAGGCGTCTACACCTTCAGCTACAAGAGCTTCCGCCAACCTGTCTCTCCTTTCTGTATATTCAGAAACTTGAATTGGAACCACCCCGTTCAGAAATGGGAGACCTGTGTCAAGAAAGTTTTCAATAGCACATTGTTGAAAACTGCTGTATATGTCATGTTTCGCAGTCCCCAACCAGAAGCGCGAAACACTTGTACCAAAATAATCAGTTGACCCGCGTTGAACAAACTGATACCCAGTTACCATCCAAATTCCGACTACTATCACAGCTAATATCAATTTGCGGATTGAATGGTGCTGTTTGTATCGAGACATATATTCCACCTTAACCTCCCCCATAGAGCCCCAATGCACCTGTTTCGACATGTGAATGTATGAATAGTTGCTAACAACTTGAATTTTTATTTGAAGAAGTAGAGATCTTGAGAAGTTGAATCGTTAAAGTGACTCGTCACAATGACTATTGAGGGGTTAGCTCACTAACTCGCATCGACCTTCCTCGTATCCTTTCATGCAGACGGGACGGGAAAAGATCACTTAGCGTCAAAACTCACCCCCATTTTTGTTCAATCATACAGGGATTTACCCCGCAGATAGGCTTCTATTAAGATTGGCTGCACGATAATCTGTAACGAGTTAAATCAAAGTTTAATAATAAAGACAGATTGCCATGAATGTGATGTTTGATAGCACGGATTGGGTATAAAGACCCCCCTTAAGTGGACGCGTAGTGGAGGGAAACATAAATGCTAGAATCTTGAGAAAAGAAATTAAAAATTTACAATGAATGATTGCGTTTCAGAAGATGTTCACGATACGCGTGAGCCCACACTACCAGACGAAAAGACAGAGACTGTAGCTGCCAGTGCCAGTGTCAAAGATGAAGATGTCACTAATCCGAGTCGCGGTTACTCGCATCTCTCAACACTGATGATGATCATCTTTAGTGGTCTAGCAATTGGTTAGATAAAATTCCATCCTCACTCATCACCGATCTATATCTTCTTTTGTGAGAGAGTGCAACTAACCTTCTACAGGGAGTGATGGGTTCAACGCTTCTATCATCGGAAACCTAGAGTTACTCATGGAGGTCATTTACGCGAAGTCCTGGTCTACTGCTGTCGCTTCAAGACTGTCAAATGCATTCATGATCGGCATGATCATCGGCATGCTGGTATTTGCTCACTTCTTTGCGATTTCGGTTATGCGCGGCAGTCACTGAGCTAACGATTGACAGTCCTTCGGTTATATCTCGGACAAAATGGGTCGAAAGACAGGAGCGGTGCTCACGACAACTATCCTGGTACTTGGAGTTGCTCTGAGCGCTGGAGCAAGTGGCTATACTGAAGATGGGATGTTTTGGATGTTGACTATATCCAGAGGGATTGCTGGTGTTGGTGCAGGCGGGTGAGTTCACAGCAATAGATCAGTTCTTTTGTTATTCAAATTTACTGATCATTTAGTGAATATCCTGTTGCAGGTGCTGGTGCAGCCGAGGTTGGCATCCGTATTTCCCTGACTTTCTCTTTCCCTCATTACTCGTCTGTCGAAGAACTCTTTTGCTGATATAATTATCTTGACTAGGCTACCGACGAAACACCTCAAATCCGTAAACGACGAGGATTCATATTCGCCATGATAGGAGACCTGTCTGCCAGTCTAGGATTCGCTTTTGGAGCTCTTGTGCCGCTGATTCTGCTGCTATGCTTCCATCAAAAGGTACAGCATTATGAAGCTGTCTGGAGAGCCTCCCTAGCCATGGGGGCTATTGCACCAATTTCGATCTTTTGGTTTCGCTACCGGATGGTTGTTAGCTCTGCGTATAAAAAGAGCTCTATGCAGAAGCAACGGATTCCGTACTGGCTTGTGGTCAAAAAGTATTGGCGTGGTCTATTAGGTGCCAGCGCTTGCTGGTTCATGCAAGTATCCCTGCGCCCTAATAGCATTTCAGACATCTGAACGGCTTACTGACGGAACCTCTGAACAGGTATAACTATATCTCATACCCGTTTGGGTTATTTTCTTCAACAATTGTCGACCGAGTTAATCCGAGTTCATCCCTCGCAATAACCATGGCTTGGGGCACATTGATCAATTGCTTTTATGTGAGTGCATCGGTACTCCGATATTTTTCATGCTAACTTAGACTTCTTGCAAAAGATCCCCGGGGCCTTTATTGGTGGTTTTCTATCTGATCGTATTGGTCGTCGGCGTACTATGGCCCTGGGCTTTATGCTTCAAGCTCTTTTAGGCTTTGTACTCGGCGGTGCGCTTGGACCCATCGAAACGAAGCTTCCGCTATTCATTGTTCTCTATGGGGTTTTCCTCACACTCGGCGAGGTAGGACCAGGATCCACTATTGTTCTTACAGCGAGTGAGAACTTCCCCACTGCGGTCCGTGGTCATGCGGTCGGCTTCGCAGCTGCGTGGAGTAAGGCAGGTGCTGCTATCGGGACAGCAGTCTTCAAGCCGATTTTGGCTAGTAGTGGCACCCAGGCCGTCTTCTTGATTGGATCTGGATTTGCAGTCCTCGGGTCTCTGGTAGCTTGGTTCATTTTGCCGGATTCTGATAAGTTGTTGGATCATGGGGATCAAGAGTGGAAAGATTACTTGACTGCCCATGGGTACACAAACATTGAATGGGGAGTTCAATCAGCTCAAACAGTTCAGGAGGTGAAAGAAACTGAATGAATAACATCTTCCTCATTCAAAGGATTCAAATCATGATTCAATGTCAATAAATGCATCATTTTTCTTTGTTCTTCATTCCAAACATGCAAGGAATTCATGTGAATAAATCATCCCGTGTCTCAGTTCGGTTCCTCGGTCGCACTCCGATTCCACGGCATCGGTTTATTATTTTCTCCGATCACATCACACAGAATCACACTTACCTAAAATCGTCTAGTTTTCACCCACTTCGACGATGGCCTGGGCGCCCAGATACTAGTCAAATGTTGGACATCAGTCTAGTGGAGGCAAAAAAAAAACAAGAAAAAAAAAAATAATGCTGCGCCGCAAATCCCCGAGATCATTTCATTGTGTGCATCACAATCTCAAGGACAATTGCTTTGATGCACTGGAAAATACGACTGGGGCAAGAACTTGACATGTGTTCAAGTTATCTACAGGGATGAAATGCTCGAGATTGAGATCCCCTACAACTACCTCTTTAGTCAAGCTCGCCGAAAGTACTCCATACCTGAACCATTACAACCTTGGAACTTGAAGCTGCCTTTTACTTCCCAGGGGTCAACCATGGAAGGGGGCAAATTGTTGTGGGGCTCGAGACCCTTCAAATGTTCCTTAGCATCAAATAGGCGAAAAGGCGTTTGAACTATCAACAAGAAAAGTGGAGAGAGATGCGAGCCATGTACGGAGTACTACTACCCCCAAGGTCCGCACGCAGGCTAAATTCAAATGTTGACAAATACATGTACCATGTATTGGAATCTCTGCATGATTGTAGAGTAATGAAAACTTGTTCTCGACCCGGAGTTGAATTCGAGTCGCCACCATTCCTGTGAATCATCACTTTTCTATGGATTCTACATGACTGGCTTGTACGGAGTATTTCGTTCACAGTCTAGAAGCCACCTTAGGGTTCTGACGGGGACTCAATCCACTTCGACCCACTACCGCGTGTGTAACAGTTCTGGCCTTTAAATTTGCAAAATGAGCGGTCCACTGGCATTCTATACAAGGCTTAGTTTAACCAAATCAAGCCATGTAACTGGCGATCGCCATGTGTGTTTCGTTATGGACGATCACTTAAGGTTCCGTGGCTTAAAATTCCAAGCTCCGAAACGTCCTTTACGAGCCTATCCTCTTTTCTGAGATTTCCCCCTCCTGTTGCCTGCATTAGCGCTAAAAATATTCGATTGACATTGGGATGATCCATTCTTATTCTATCCCTTATCCCCCCAGGTCGCGCTGTCGTGCCATCTAAGACATCTGGAGGCATCTTATACGGTTATACGCTGTGTTGACTTAAGCCGTTAGCTGAGAAATTGGATCAGCACTTGAATTCACTAAACGATCTAAGCGCTCCGGGTTTTGATTAGCGCTCGGCATTGCTAATATGGCAATCTACACTGATATGGCTCCGTCTTTGGCGGGCAGCACTATCATGCTGACGGTACTGGCTTTTTTGACCTTTGGGTTGCGAGTTTATTGCCGTTTGTCAAGGAAATTATGGGGAGTAGAAGACTGGATCATGACGATAGCAACAGTGAGTCGTCGTCCGAGAAACACCCCCACTTACTTAGCTAATGGGATGAAAACTTGAAGATCCCGTTTGCTGTGCTTGTTGCAGGATGTATCGGAGGAGCTTTCAACGGAATCGGCATTCTCAATTCAACCTTTGCTAAGCCAGGAAATGAGAAATATGAGGCAGAGGGGAAGAAGGTTAGTTCTGGATATCTTTGTTTTTTTTTTTACTAAGACTAATCTATTCGCAAGTTTTTCCTTATATTCGAAGTCGGATACTGCTCCGCTATCATCCCAATTAAGCTTAGCATCAGCTGGATGCTGATTCGAGTCGCAAGTGGCCGCAAGCTGTACCTTTACATTCAATATGCTGTAATGGTTACATTTGTCCTCATGAACATCATCGCCCTTATCTTCATTTTGATTAACTGCATCCCAGTCGAGTAAGTTTCAATACAACTTTAACCTCGCCTTATAGATGCTGACCTAGCTATAGAGCTGCATGGAGCGCCGAAGCACTTGCAAACGGAGGCCACTGCCAAGCAAGCTATGTTCTCGCTGATGTGTACTATGCCTGCACTGCTGTGAATATCGTGACCGACTGGGTGACAGCCTTCCTGTATGGATCCAAGTACTCTTATTTGCGATGAAACAAGTCTAATCTTCATTTTAGTCCAATCCCTCTTCTGTGGAACGTCCAGATCAACCGCAACACCAAAATCTCGATTATTGGCTTGATGGGCCTCGGTATCTTGTAAGTGGCATCTAAGCTCCCTCCCCCAGTAACTATCTGACTTTTTATATAGCGCATCGTTATCTGCCTGCATCCGACTCAAGTATACTGTCGCGTTGACTAACCAGAACAATTATCTTTACGGCGTCGCGAACGTTGTTATCTGGGGATTCGCCGAGAACGCCCTAGGTATGATTGTTGGAAACATTGCAACCCTCCGTCCGCTTTTCCGCATTCTTCGTGATGGAAAGACTTCGGACTACACGAAGTCCCCTATCTTCCAAAATTCCCACCGCACTGGAGGAGGCATGTACTCAAAGAGCTACGAGCTTGCCGAGCATGGTCAGAGCGTCAATCACACTGCCATCACTACAGTGCAGGAGCATGAGCGACACAGCATCAGTGATGGAGATAGCCAGAAGGAGATTCTCGACAATGTCCAACGACCTGGCCAAACTGAGATTCTCGTCAATCGACAAGTCACTGTGGCGTACGACTAGAATTCTGGTCGATTTTCGCGTCATGGGTCTTTCAATGTTAAATCCGGGGCCCCGAGATATCCGATTCTTAATTACATATTCTAATCTTCCCAATTGTGTATATACTCGTATCAAAGATACTTTTTTAGTTAAACCTTCAAATTTTCGGATGGTGTTCAAAATGGACGTTGCTGCCAGTTCTAATGAAAAGTTAGCCCTGGAGCAAATCCAAGTTCCCAGGTTTACAAACATACTATAAACAGCCTTGGAACATTTCAACCTTGTAAGTTGATTTAAAAACACAATCATATTGCCATTGTTACTTTCCACGCCAAATATCAAAACTCCAATGGTATCCGCCGTTCTTCAAACATTCAGGTTCGAACTCGTCTTCTCTGTCAGTTTCATAAGTAGGATCTTGACGACTAATTCTCTCCCAGGTGACATTTGAAACAACCCTCCACTCAGCCTCACGGAAATCATACGGCCAACCGTATTGCTTCTGGAGAATCTTTTTGATTTGAGGGTACTGTAAACGCTTACTGATTGTTATTGGACGATGTCTTTATATAAGGCTTGTGGAAGAAAATTTGAAAAAAAGGATCACCTACTACACCATAAATATCATTTTCTTCCGTAACCAAGTCACAAGGATATCTGGTCATGTTAGGGAGGATCTCAAGTGATCTGACTCGTTGAAGATAGGATACGAGGTATCTTGGTGCATGATGTGGATGACACTGTCGATAGTCATCATCGGGAGGTGAATCATGAATGTCCCATACTCGAATTGTGTCTGCAAGTTATATAAACAACATGCTCCTCATCGCAGATGACCAGGAGAAAGAATGAGTACTCAAGTGCTTACTTTCTTTTGTATCGAGTGTTAAATGGCAACCCTCATCAGTTGAGCAAGTCAAGGCTATCTCGTAGGGAAGAAGGAAGTCGGGTCGGGGGTCATCATACTCAAACCGATTCGGATCATGACCTCCCCGGATCTCATAGTCCTGAAGATAGGTGAAAGCTCTTGACCAACGGTAGATGAATTCAATATCGCTGGCTATCCTCGAGAATCGGAAGTATGGTAGTCGCTTCATCAAAGAGATCACGACTGGGTCAATGTGAAGTTCCTCGCATAGGGCTTGGTTAATATTGTGACCTCCTGGTGGGGCCCAGGTGACCTGCCAATCCGAAATATAATTTAGCTGTAGATAGATGCGGTATATATCACTGATGATGTTGACAATTGTATCTTCGCTGTAGGGGAGCTGAGAGACATGAAGCTCAGGAGTAACATCTTTGCCTTCATTCATATCTTCTTGTAACGGGGGAGGTATGTGTAGGGGCGGGATTTCTCTTTCGTGGTATCGTTTCCAGCACCATCGGACTCCAATGATTGCCATAATTATGGCCGCTTGGATTGATTGGGTAATCAAAAAGTATCTTGAGCATTTGACGAAGATGCATTGACCAGCGCGAGATGGGGCGACAACTGCGGAGTTCTCATCCATTTCATGCGAACGGGATCGTGTGGGGCAAGATGAAAAAGCGGCGCAGGAATAAGGCACCCATTTTAGAGACGGAGTATAGCCGAAACGGGATTTTATCTCAAAGACTGGAGATAATGTTGCGTAAGGGGCGCGAAAGAATGGAATGATGAGGTTCATGGAGCATTGGGAGGTGAGATCTCCTGCGTGCCCAGGTGGGAGAGTCGGGGCTAGTACTAGGCTTAGACCACATGACTTGCAAGGGTCTGATCTGATAGCTGTATAATGACCTCGGGAGCATCAATTGACCTCGGGAGCATCAATTGACCTCGTAGAAACCCAATGATCATGATGATGAGGATATTCTAACTTGAAGAGAAAAAAAACAAAGTCCAAAAAGAAATGTGCATCATCCGTGAATCGAACACGGGCCTCGTCGATGGCAACGACGAATTCTACCACTAGACCAATGATGCAATTCTTAAATGCTTGGCAATATATCACGATCAGAACTAAGTATTTGATTTCAAATGTTTATGTGGTCAATGCTTGTCATGATATTATGAGCTAGGTTGTATACTTAAACCCAGAGTTCTCTTTATCTGTCAATTCCAGCCAGTCCTGATCAGCAGATAGCTGATTTTGAATAGCCTCAGCGCGCCGTTTGTTATCTAGATGACACACCATTCCATAAATTACAATGCATATCATGGCAACGATATAGCATACGATCATCGCGATGGTTCCACCTGTATACTCTGGAGCCTGATCAGCGCGGAAGGTCTGCGGACCTATAATGTTTCCAGTGGTCCATGCGATGTAAAACCATGCATACAAAACTATTCTGTTGCAGGTTAATAACAGGTTAGTATTCATTTCAAATGTTTGCAAAGGCACTGGGATATATATCCTATTCCAGCCCTGGAGAGGCTCAGGCTTACTTCTTGGTATGACCAGCAACATTGGCCTGATAGATTGAAACAAGGGTGACATAGGGCGCCCAGTATGTACTGATCAAAGGTTAGTACCCAAATATTTGACTTCTGTAACCCTTCAAGCCCAAGGTTTAATGTCGAAACCTTGGAAACTAAGACTCCAACATTTAAAGTGTAAATACTCACTATAAGATGCTTTAGATAAATCAATTCGTGTCAGTCAAACGGCACTACTCAGCATAAAGAGACATGTGCAGGAATTTACTTACTAAAGACCAACGAGTTGCCCCGCAAGATCAGTCCGGGGCAATGCATAACAAATGACAGCGCCTAATAGTGGAAGAAGTATTGAGATGACAACTATCGCTACCCGGTATCTTCTGGTAGTCGCAGCTAGATATGACAGGGCAATGCCAGATATAGTGCTCATAGCTCCAGTGGGCATTGACAAGAGAGATGTTTCAAAATCTCCAAAGCCAAGGCCAGATATAATTAGCGTATTAAAAGTCGTAAGACCTCCATTGGGTACCTATGATGCTTCAGTCAATGTGTTGCCTCAAGAAGTAGACATACCGCTCACCTGCAACGCAGCAATGGCAAACCAGATCAACCAAGTTTTCACATCTGTGAAAGCTTCCCAAACTTGCTCTATCTTGAATGCTTTTGACTCTATACCTGTATTATCGGCTGCCTTCCGCTGGATCACAATGTACTTCTCGCGGTTTGTTAAGAATCGCGCCTCAAGAGGATTATTTGGTCTAGATGAGGTTAGTCTTTTTCTTCTCTTAGATTGCAAAGACTGACATACAAAACAATGTATACGACTAGAGCCCACACAATAGTAACTCTACCGATCAAAAGGAAGATGATCTTCCATGCTTCGAACGGACCGTGATAGTAGCCAACCACCCAAGCAATGAAGGGATTGAGTATAGGGGCAACCACATTCAATATTATGCTTTTCTGAGTTAGTGACCCGCCAGTAGAAAATCCACTGTGATTCCAGGGGTTTGACGTACCTGTTCCTTTTCGGTTGTTCCTCTGGTCGATACCACATTGACACAACCAAAGTCACGGCTGGAATCAAAAGAGACTCACATCCACCCAGTAGAAACCGACATGCGAAAAGGCCTCCGAAGCTGGTGCATGCTGCCATGCACATTTCGAGTACGCCCCAGCAAAATACGTTCAACGAAAAATGTGTGACTGCAGGAACTCTGGCAATATGCTGTTAGCTAATTGAAATTAAACTTGTATAGAACTCTCGGCTTACTTCTGTAAGAGATACGCAGATGGCCCCATGAATGCCAGGCCGCCAAAGAATGGCGCAGAGCCAATCCATGAATACTGACTACCACTCAAATGAAGGTCGGTCTTGATATTATAGATTGCCGCAGCTGCGATGGCAGTCTTATCCAGCCCCGAAAGAGTAGCACACACGAAAAGCTTTGAAAAATTGATCAGCTTGTTAATTCTTGCAGGTATAATGCTTCTGACTGTCACCTAGGTGACAGGACTCGTTCTATCCATACCACAGGGATTAAGCGCCAATCAATTCTTCGGATCAGTTTCTTCTCTTCCTCAATCGTCCAACTATCCCCATCCATCTCGTCTGCATAGTTCGATAAAATCTGCGCCGCAATGTCGACATCGTTTGTGCGACCGGCCTTTACAGCTTTAACAGCTGTATCAGCAGTAGGTAGAGGTGTTTTGCCCTCCCCGCTGGCTGTAATTTCGCTCACTTTCATGTTGACGGAATTTTTCTGCTGTGCCAAAATACCAACCTCAATATCCAGTCAAAGCCATTTGGTTATTAATAAATTCGAACATATGGCCAGCATGGTGGTGATATGTTTGTTCATCTTTGACCTTTAGGCGCTATCATAAATACCACAGCAATGATCCGGGAACTTATCAACAGGAACATTTGAGGTTAATCTCGGCCAATTATCTGAGCATGATCTGACATGGAGGATGTGTTTTACACATGGGCATCTATAGATATCTCTATCATCCTTATCTTCCCCGCACTGATAAGGTTAACCCGTTTTAGCTTTTAGCGTTGGCCGCTCACATAATAATCAAGAACAATCAAGCGGCCAGCCATAGCCACGATAGATATGCATCTCGAATCTTCTGAATCTTCTGAATTGTAAATGCCTCCTAGTTGTATGGTTAAGCAATATAAAATATGAACAAATAAACATTAGGCTAGACCTCGCAGTATACGATTACTAGACCCTGCGACTAATACCACAAAACACTCAAAGATGGTTTCTGAGAACATTGAGAAGACAGGCTCTCTATACCCTGATTATTTGCGTAAGTTGATTTTCAAAGGCCGAATGTTGAACGTTCTTCAGATGAAAGTAATTGACGATCTTGAAGCATTTTATGATCCTCTTGAAAAGGTCGAACCCGTTGGACCATTTGAGCACAACGATCCTGGCCATCGAGCCGATCCAGAATTTCCCAATCTTTTCAAAACTGCAACCAAGATCCTAGAGCTGAGTCCTCATTGTGGGACAGAGCTACAGGGAGTTCAAATTGTGAGAGTCACAAAGTGATTTATCATTTAAATCCATTCAATGAAGCTAATAACTCTATCATATCTATAGTCGGAACTTTCCAGTGAAGGTCTTGATGAACTTGCTCTCCTCGTTGCTGAGCGAGGGTGTCTTTTATTCCGTGATCAAAGTTTCACGGATCTAGGATTTGAGAAGCAGAGGGGGATTGCCTCGTACGAACTCTTACATGTATCTAAATGATCAAATACTTACATTTTTAGTCATTTTGGCCCTCTTCACAAACATGGATGGATGCCACACCCTCAAAATGGACCGGAGGAATTTGTGATTGTCTATGATTCGAAAGAGTAAGTTTTTGATATACTCAGATATCCGTTCAAACTACCTTTAAGGCTGTTTACTAAGTGACATTCCACCTCTATAGCGATCTACGCATTCGCAAGTCATGGGCAAGGAAAAGTCCAATTCAATTTCATGTTGATCAGGTACTTGAATAGATTGAGTGAGCTTGTGATTATTCTGCATATTTGTTGACACTTTTTCCAGTCTCCCGAAACGCAGCCACCCGGTGCGACATTCTTCTGCATGCTCGAGTCTCCTCCTGGGGTCGGCGGCGATACTATCATCTCCAATGTGAGTAAGCACGAACTGATAGAAACCCAACTGTCTTCAATATTGACCAAGCTTTTAAAAGATGACCCGCGCTTTCGAACGCCTATCTCCATCCTTCCGCAGACGTCTTGAAGGACTCAAAGCCATCCACACAACCGCGAACCCAATCATGCGTGAGATCCGTGATAACGGCAACAGTGCCGCCCTCCGTCGCCCAATCACCAAATCCGTGCACCCAGTCGTTGTTGTGCATAGTGTGACAAAAAAGAAGGCCTTGTTTGTGAATTCCTCCTATACACAAAGCATTGTAGGCTGGGACGAAGAAGAGTCGGATTATCTGTTGAAGTTTCTCTTCGATCATATCAATCGAGGTCATGACTTCTGCTGTCGGGTGAGATATGAGCCTGGTACGGTGGTGATTTGGGACCAGCATGTGACACAGCATTCTCAGACACTCGATTATACCGCTGGGGCTAGAAGACATGCGTTCCGGTTGACACCCCTTGCTAATGTACCAATTCCCAGTCTGGTCGAGGAAGATGATGGGGAGTGTGCTAAGGATGAGGGCAGAATGATGCTGAATCTTTGTTGAAAATTCGAGCAATCTCAATAGACTTTGCATGTAATAGTGCACTCATAAAAGACATTCAATGTCCTACCTATTCAAACCTCCCATCTATGGACCTTTGTTCATTTGCATATGGCTCACGGTACAGAATTCCTCATTAGAGCTTCAACTTTGATAAATGCCAAGTTAGTCAGACCCTTAACACCCGCGGCGCCATTTGCTGAAATACGGGTGGCCCATCTCCATCTTCGAATCCACTCTTGGAGTTCACAATGCTCCTCGTTGAAATTATAGGGGAACTCAGGGTGTTGGGGAATTGAGGTTTCACTAATTGGTGAAACAATATGCAAGAGCTGGACCATGAAGGACCCAGCGATTGCAAAATTTGGCCGACTCCCTTCGAAAACAGTATTCATTAGCCTCTATCTAGGTTGGCCTAGGAATAAAAACTCACAGCTGTGCCAGAATGCGTTCCATTGGGCGCCATTCATCTTTTCGAGAAATTCGACAAATTCTTTCACACATAACAATGCACCCTTTGCAACAGCTTTGGCAGTGTTGTAAAGACAGTCGGACCGACTTGTGCTGTTGAGAGCTACCACTATAGCTGGCCATTTATCTAGCGGCCGCAATAGTGCCCGCAAAAGAGTGACATGTGTGACAATATAGCATAGATAGAGTGATGCATTTCCAACGAGCTCATCGGGCTGAGGGCTGGAACAGTGGTAATGATTGATGAGTGATTCGGTTTTAGATGAATCGGCAACTCATCGCGCCATTCCTTCAGTCTTGCCCGTATTGGTCTGGCAACATCTAAGGAATGCTGGAGGTCATTCGTTGTTTTTCCTATTGCTTTCACCGTATAAAATGCTCTCTGGATATCTGATAAGATCGTTGTGAGCTTTGATAGGTTCTGAAGGTGAGTTCTCGTGTTGAGAGAACACGACATTGTGCCATCCATATCTTCGACTGTAAGGGGCGACACATCAAAGTCATCATCATGCAAGTGGCTGGGCATTCAGCGAGCGAGCGAGATCCACTTCTCCATCACGAAAAGTCCCCACCATAATCGACGACGGAGCTTTCTCTCCCAGGCTGGTACTGTAATCCAATCCATAGGATCACGGTGAATGCCAATTGTCTGGGCAATCGCAAGAGCAGTGGACATTAATGACCATGAAAATGCAGTATCAGAAAGATACATATTGGTGGGAAGGCGTTGTAGGAGCAAGAGGCATGCTTGAAGCGTCACCAGAGATGGAGCATGTAATTCTTTCGATATACACAACCAACACAACTCATATAGCTGGCCACTCTCAGGTGGGTGTAGCAGCAATGTATACAATGTCTCATCATACATGATAAATGGCAATGCGGTCGCACATATTGAGGTAAGTAGAGCCAATGACATATACTGCAGCTGCGAAGGATCAGATGGCATCTGACTCTTGGAGACAATTGGGTAGTACGGATCCACATAGCGTGCATAGAGTTGAATTAAATGCCATGCTGCAGTGGGGTCCATCATATCCCATAGCTGAGACCAAGCATCCTCTATCCTGTCCGGTCCCAATTTTGGCTCGGCTTTTGTCAATAGTGCATGGTCCGTAATACCAAAAACAGTTGGCGGGGTAAAGTCCTTGGCATCTTTTTTCTGTGATGGTGTGCTCATGATTCGGTAGCGTAGGCCATTCACATTAGGGAGAGAAACATTTTGCGCATCATATGGCTGATGAGTGAGGACATGGATATCAGAGGTACCAGTGGGACCGATATAGAAACTGAAGGCTCCGGGTATGGATTCCAGTGAATCAAGCTTGGTAGAGCCCAGTTGCATTGGAGGTTGGTTGTCAGTTGGGGCGATTGTTGTGGAGCAATCAGGGAGTGATAAATTACTGCGTGGGCTGCTTTGTGTAACTGCACTCTGATTCATACCACTTGTGGTGCTTTGAGGACTTGTGATTGCGACTGAGTGATAAGTATCTTGCCCAGTAAACTCCGCTGCGGGTTGTAAGGTTGGAAGACTTTCAAACCACCCGCTCTCTTCGGTTGTTCTATCATATGGAAGTTCCGATGATAGACCATTGTAGTGGGTATTAAGTTCGACTGCCTGAATATTATGTTCGAACAAATGTGCAATTTTAGTCCTTTTTCTTGGCCCAGGACCTTCCTCAAAGGTACATTGTTGATCTTTATGAGCGCATCGGCGGCAGGGTGGGCCATGAGGCATGTCACAAGCAACTTTGCGCCTCCGACAAGAATCGCATGGTCGAGACTTTCGAGATTTATACAAGCGACCAGTAGGGAAAGAGTTTGATGCGGTAGAATTCATTTCAACTGAATATGCAACGAAACTGTGAAGGAGAAAGAATGTTGAGAAATGAAAAACGGCCTTATCTTGCGCTCGGGCGCGTCCTTATCAACTGACAACATGGAGAGAAGTCCGGATCCACCCTAAATTCAAATGTTCCCCGGACTTTGCTACAAACTAATAGAGATTATAGTTTGCCTTCCAGTATCAAAAGTTCAGTCAGGAATGGACTGTTTAGGACATCCGCTGCAGTTTCTTCCATAGGTAATAATGGCAGACGTGGCTTCTCGCTGTAGCCATATTTGCGATGCAGCAGGAGTTTCATCCCCGCAATCTGCAGTCGACCTGGTTGTCAGAATCAAAATTCCTATTCCCGAGGAAGGGATGAACTTACACCAATTTTGAGGGCTACTCCATCGGCAAGAGCAATCATATGTTGAAGCTCGGCTGCTTCTTTGGCGGTGGTAGAGCTTTGGCTCAGATCCCACAATCTCACGCACGATTTCTTGATTTGTTAGTGTTATCATTGGATCTAAGGTCAAGATTGCTTACAGGGGCGATATTTGGCAATCCACTAATTGCACCTGAAGATCCCACCGAAATTGAAGGGAGAAGGAAGTCGATGAACCCATTGATGGCCCGGAATGGACTGGTGCAAGAACGTGGATATCTTTTCTGGAAGTCTGCAGTGGATACTTGACCCATGATTCTTGTCAACTTTCCAACATTTCCGCATCTATTCATATTGAATCGAATTAGCCAGTTTAATTTGGATCCATGCCACCTTCTTCATATGCTGTTACATACGTCAGCTTCACTCCACAGATGTTGGGTGATGATCTAATTATGTCAACAATCAAATCGCTGTCCATGTCAATTCCTCCTGAGACTGCCGGAAAGTTATAAATGATTCTAAAACTCGTTAATAGCTAATCTGGGACTCAGAGTGGAAGGCTCACTAACACTGGAACAGGGGATGCCTGTGCGATATCCATGAAAAACCTCTTGACCGAGCCAATGTTTGAAAGCATTGTACCTGCGTAATATCCAGGCGGTATTACCATGACATAGTCCGCTCCGGCCTTCGAGGCATCGATACAAAGCTTTATCGACTCGCGAGTACTCGATGCTCCAGTTCCTGCTACAATCGGTATATCATGTAAATCGATCTCATCCAGAGCAACTCGGGCAGCTTGAATCAAGTGTTTCCTTTCTTCATGACTCTACCTTCACAGTTAGGCTTTTGGCTTTTCCTAAAATTAAATGAATGCTTCTTTATCACGTACCAAATGAACAGCATCTCCCATGGATCCCGATATTACTGGAATAGTACCGCACTTTGCGATAACTTGCAACGATACTATCAGCTGATCTGTGAATCAAATGGGTTTTCATATACAATCTCCTACATTTGACATGCTTCTGGAACGATTCGAGGTCTATTATATCGCTCTTTCAGCCATTCCTCTTCTGCCATCCATCTTGCCCAATTCTTGAGTCTCACCTAAATCCTCATTATCTTTAAAGAAGGAAGGAAGTGGCGTGTAGATACCAGCTGGTAATGGTCGCATGTTTCAGTTGGATTTTGTGACGGTCCGGACGTTGTACAATGGAATTTTTGAGGGTGGAACTTTGAATGGCTCGCTTTCTCCATTTTATGGCCCATTATCACAATCCAATTCGATCAACTAGAAAAATTTGAAATAAATGAAATTATCTATCTCCTGAGCTGATAGCTGATCAAGATAGGCCGATAAGAAGAGCGGCTATCACGATAAGCTGGAGTGCGTGACGATAAATTTCCGCCCGAACCATGCCGCGCCGCCTATTGCCACGCAGCTGAACAGCCCCTTATCATAATGGCTGTGATAACAGCGAACCTTGGAACCTTGGAACACATTGTTGTTTTGTTTTCGTCCAAATTTTCACCCTCGGAAGTTATGCGAAACCTTCAAATCTTTAAGTTCGAAGGGCTATCATCACTAGCACTAGCATGATTCTCTAGGAATTTGAAGCGGGGCTCCCAGCCATCCTCTCTGCCTTGAATTCTAAGACGTTACGCTCATGACCTTGCGCAATTTCTATTTCAACGTACGGAGGTCGGTCCGGAAAGTTCTCGCCAGAAATTATAATTTCTTTTTCTCACACTAGGCTATATACAGTAAATATTGAAATATATCGCGTAATCAAGATGTATATAAAACGGAAATATATAGTACTGAAATATAATAACAGCTTGAAACAGTAAATATTCACATATCTTCCCATATATCGCTGTCGCTGTCGCTGTCGCTGTCGCTGTCGCTGTCGTTGCCGCTGCCGCTGTTATAGGCGTTATCACCTAACCCGCTAGGGGCTACTTCACCTAATTTATCACGCCCCTCACCGTATTCGTTGCCCCCTTCTAGTCTAATGACTTGCTGTATATGCCATGGTATACGTTCAATCCAAGCTTGAATTTGCGCCTGTGGTAGATCACGCCACGCAGCCTCCCATACTTTAATCCCTTCTTTACGCGATTTAGGTGCTCCTTTTCGCGTAGTGTATCTCTTCATCCAAGGCCATGCAGGTTCAATCATATTTAGATCAGGCGAATTTCCAGGCCAGATCATTCGTTGGACCCCCATTATATCAAATATTCGCTGTTGGTAGTGATGTGAATGGGCTGGTGCTTTATCCTCTTGAACTATTGTTTTCGTTCGAATTCGAGCACATTCTTGGGCGAATGGAAGTAGTTTTGGGGCTAAAATCACGGTGTTGTATCGGTACCAATCGATTCCACCTTTCGAATTGCGTGCAAGCTTTCCATTCTTCTGAGTCCATCTCCACTGAGGTTGTCTTCCAGGCTTATTGCGTAGCCCTAATCGCTGTATACCTGAATTAAGCTCCCATTCTGCACGCATAATAGGCTCTAATTCAGTATTCCATTCGGCGATTTGGTGTTCTGCTTCACGCTTTTGGGCTGTAGTTTCAGGTACCCAACAATGACAGGGGCCCTTCTGATCATAAGAAAAAGCACCCCAAAACATGAACTCAGAGGCCCCCTTCCAACGTTCTCGAATACAGCTTCGGACGAACCGCTCACTAGAAGTACGCCATACACGATATCCACCCCGACGGTGTAATAAAACAACCGCAGTTTCATCAGTCCAAATCACATTCTTCCAGTCTTCTATAGTCCAATGGGCGTGTTTTAAACACCATTCAAGACGTTGTTTTTTCTGCTCAGCGGCAAGCCCAGGCTTACGTGTAGGCTTTGTTTTTCGTAGGCCAATTTTTCGTAGTACATGCCAAACTGTTGTTTTTGATATATTAATCCCTAATTATAGAAGAAATATTAGAGGAAATAACATATCAAGTAACATATGAGATAACATATCAAATAACACACCAAGTAACACATCAAATATTATACTAAATAACATATTAAATAACACACTAAATAAAATATCAAATCTTAGAATAACTAACCTGATTCACTGCGTAGCTCTGCAGCTAGCTGTTCACATGTTTTCTCACGCCCATAGCGGTCTACACGGATTTTCGCCCCAAGTGTGGTTTTAAGCTCATCTGTTTGCTTAGATGGACGCCCAGAACGTGCTTTATCAGCTAACATTTCATCTGATATATTGAATGGTCGCTGATTCGGCTGAAAACCTCGTTCGAGTGCACGGTTCCATATGTCTCCTATAGTACGCCGTGGAATATTCATAAATTCACTGATCTCCTTAGGGGCATGTCCTTGGGCCCTTAGGTATACAATGACAGCACGTTGCGCAATATTGGTCTTCATTGTAGCTGTATAGGTGGGACAAAAGTGTAGCTGTGTAGGTGGGATAAAAGTGTGAAGGGGTGTACGGACTGTAGGCGGGGTAAAAGATAAAGATCTACGTGTCCACGGGTGTTATAAGCAATATTTAGCCTAGTACGTAACACGGCAATACATCCAATATACAGCAGGCTATACACCTGACATACAGGGCCGGTAATATATCAAGAAAAAGAAATTATAATTTCTGGCGAGAACTTTCCGGACCGACCTCCGTACATTTCAAACAGCTACTAGTAGCACTTGAGATTATGTGATGTGTGGATCCACTGGAACTGTATATCGGTTTACTGCATAGCAGTATCTCTCATATTTCTAACCTTGGAAACTCACACCTCGTACCTAATAAACATGGATAGATTGTAAACATTTGAAAGCAACATTTGAACATTCAATGTTCTTCCAAGCTTGAATTTCCCTGTAAATTTCTACAAAATGAATCTGAATAATGGGCTTTCCTCCCCCATCTCCGAGAGTTCATCAGCGCTGTACAGGGCTTCCACGTTAGTACTATCGATTTGCATATCATCCCTTCTTGAATTCTCTTTGTGCATCAGGTACCAATGAATCGTTGCGGGAATCATTGCGCCCAGTACAGTCGCTCCGACTGAGAGGCTAAATCCGAGAGGGTATGTGGGGGCCTAGAGATGGCTCAAAGTTAGATCAGTTGATACATACTGAACGGATGAGTAACTTCTTTAAAGTTTGACATACCTCACTAGAAATATAAATATTAGATCCAATGCTACCACCTCCGACACTACCAAATAGCGTCAGGAGTCCGATTGCGGCAGCTCGTTTGGAGGGATTCAAAATATTCGAACTGGTCCATGCCCCGACCTTCATCGTATAGGTGTCATATTAGCGCCGGCTCGAGAATGTGTTATAAAGGAAACAACATACAATAGGGGCTTGTGCAGAATATCCAGCTGCTGCCAGGAAAATAGCAAAGTAGCTCACACCGGAAAGGTGGGGATAATGGACAGTAATCCACAGAATAATAATACCGCTAAAGGGATCTGGTTAGCTGAAGCCATATAGAGCTGACCGAAAGATCGTGAATACTCACATGAGACCAAGTGTGTATGAGCCCATTAAGCATAAGTATCTACTTTGTGTCCGATCACTAATATAGCCAACGGCAACGCAGATGCAGGTCGCGAAAATGTAGGGAGGTGTAGTTGAGGCCTGCGCTTTAACATTGCTATACCCCAGGTTGGCCACCATCGTCGGCAAAGTATAGGATAAAGAATATGTTGGGATTGAACCTCCCCACCAAATAACATCATCCTTGGTTATGTGTTAGCATTTCAAAAATGGCGGTATTGAAGATGTATGAACATGGGATTCTACATGAAGTATGTCTTTCTGTCCTTGGCAGCTGCGACAACGTCACTCCAACGGAACTCGTATGTTGATGAAATAGTACCGTTCGCATATCTGACGCGAAGCGACGCATATTCCATTTCCTTAGCAGTCAGCCAAGAGCTACGCTTGCTGGTATCATATTGATGAGGGAATGATCTGTGCTCGAGTTAATAAAAATGTGTGAAGAAAGTGGAGGGAACAAGTTCTCACGGCAAGCAGAAAATGCAGCATAAACCAGCAAACATAGTAATGGAACCTTCAATCAAGAAGAGCCATCTCCATGCTCTCCAGCCTAGGCTCCCATCGAGATTCCCAACGCCATAAGCGATAACACCGCCGAAGGCACCAGCTGTTGTATTTGCACCATAAAAAATTGCCATCCAAGTACCGATTTCCTTCGGAGTGTACCACATCGAAAGAATAAAGTAGGCACCTGGATAGAGGCCGGCTTCTGTGATACCTAGCATCAGTCTGATCACCACGCATCCGGGGTATGACTGAGCTTGCGAAGTCAGACTTGTGATGAGGCCCCACGAGCAGACGATGAGCGGAAACCAAATCTTGGGCCCGAATCTTCGAAGCATGATGTTTGAGATCGGCTCGAAAAGACCGTATGTGAAGAAGAAGTACATTAGACCAAGGTTGTATTGAGTATCACTCATTCCAATATCTGCTAAGAAGCCGAATAACTGTAGATAGCATGTTAGTACCTTCCTTGAGGCTATATTCCACTGAGAAGGATCAATATGAATACTCAAATGCAACTTACTTTGGCATTTCCTGCGTTGGATTTGTCTAAAGAGCACATCAAGTATAAGAAGCTCAAAGTTGAAAGCAAGCGTAAATCCACTAGAAAAGGTCAGAAAATGATTCGAAGTTGACAACCTTCTGGAGATCATTTCATCACTGACATTTTCTCAGTAACTTTTTCTTCGCCTCTTTATTAAGAGATTTATCTAATTCAAGAAAGCGATTAAACTCAGGTGAAGACTCGGAAGCGCCTCCATTTACGGCAATAGACGTATCGCCTTTGGTCTCCAGCTCATCTAGGGATGTTGATTGAGTCTTGTCTGTTGTAGACATGATTTTTGAGAATAATGCCCGATTGGATTCCGGAAGATATCAATTAATTCTCAAGTTGGCTTGTATATAACTCTTAGACTATTTCCAAGGTTTGTTTTAGAATTCTTCAGACAAAAACCAAAATATATAAGTTGTTCCACATGTGAGGGACCTTATCTTCTACTACATAAGGAAGTGATGTCTTGAGATTACTAAACGACATTCTTTGTTTAATCTGTTCCGACTGACTTAATTGGAGAGATCATAGAGAGTGCTTTATTTTTTATTATTATTTTCTCTTTCAAAGGCCCCAAGGCCATGAACATTGAATCATATTACACAGTGATTTCAATGATTGTCGGATTGATAACCGATAACTTGAAGGCGGCCACCAGTTGACCAGTTGACATCAATTAATTCAATGTTGGTATCACTATTAGGATTTGGCCGCGCGGCCAACTGTGCACATCTGGGCGTTGAGATAGTTCCATTGCCAACTAGACCGATCATGATGGTAGTAGTCGAAGAATAATATGGACAGAAGGAAGAAAAAACTTGGTAGTACCAATTTGAATTATATATTATGTGGCATTGACACCGTGACTTTAAATGTTTTTGTGTAAGAAGCGATTTCTAGTAACATTCAAGGTCGTACTATGAGAACTTGAACTTGAACTTGACTTCAAGTTTCCATTTCATCTATGTCTACCACAACTACTAGTACAATCATGCCGGGCGTAATCACTCGAGAGAAAAATGAGAATGGAGAACCTCTGTACCCAGAATACATGCGTATGGAAATACCCCCAGCTTTACTTCGTTGATCTCAACTTGAAGGGCTCATTTCAAGTTGGATCGTTCAACGCGCTAATTTTCATAGCATTCTATGATCCCCTTGAGACAGTGGAAGATATTGGAACTTTTGACCACTTTGATCCTGGTCACCGCGCTGATCCCAAGATGCCCAATCTATTGAAAAGTGTCACTAAGATGTGGGATATTTCACCGCATGTTGGAACTGAGATCCATGGGGTTCAACTTTCCACACTGAACAGTGCGGGCTTGGACGAATTGGCTCTTCTGGCAGCCCAACGAGGCGCCTTGGTTTTCAGAGACCAGGATTTTATCAACATAGGCTTCGAAAAACAAAAGGAAATTGTTCGTCATTTTGGTCCACTTCATATCCATGGATGGGCCCCTCATCCCGCCGCCGGGTCGGAAGAGCATATGATCATTTACGACCACAAGGAGTAAGTATCACACCTTACAGATTTTCATTGTCCTAGAACGGATGACTGACTTCGCATGTTGATAGTGACCTTCGTGTGCGCCAATCATGGGCCGGTCGGAGCCCTGTACAATGGCACACTGACCAAAGTCCAGAGAAACAGCCCCCTGGAACAACATTCATTGCTATGCTTGAATCTCCAACTACCGCTGGTGGAGATACGCTTGTGAGCTCAAGTGTCAGAGCATTCAGTAGCTTATCGCCCCGATTCCGCAAGCGTCTAGAAGGTCTTACTGCAATTCATAGCAACAACGATGGCGTCAGCGCAGAGCTGAAACATGGCAAGAAAGCGGTTATGCGGCGAGGGGTTCTTCAAGCTGAGCATCCTATCGTGCTTGTGCACCCTGTTACAAAGCAGAAAGCATTATGTGAGTCCTTCATCAAGGAAGCGAGAAAGTCTGGCCTACGTATTCATATATATTTGTAGATGTCAACCCGGTGTATACGAAAAGGATTGTTGGATTTGACCAGGAGGAGTCCGATTGTATCTTGAAATTCCTTTTCGATCATATTGCAAAGAGGCAAGACTTCTCTTGTCGGATTAGGTACGAAGCAGGTACCGTGTTGGTATGGGATCAGCGAGTCACCAACCACTCTCAAACTCTGGATTATCCTGTTGGGCACAGAAGACACGGATTCAGACTGACACCGCTTGCCAATAAACCACTTCCAGCGAAGATAGAAGATAATGATGGAGAATGCGCAAGAGACGAGGCTCGTGTACAGCTAAGTTTGTGTTAGAAATGCCAACCCCAGAGATTCTAAAAGATCTTTTAGTATGGCCGACTGGTGATGTCTTGTTGTCTTAATGGGATAAGATAGGAATCTGCATTGTTAAAATTTTAAGAAGCAACGTACCCGAAGATGCTTTGCAGAAATGTGAAGGAATCGATTGATTGAACTATTTCTGAGGCTCATCAAATCTTATAACTCAAAAATAAACATGGCATCAAGTAGCTCTATCATAAAGATCACCTTTGCCTGAGCAGAGGGAACAGCTCACTTCTCTAAACTGGCATCCACCAAAGGTTTCAAAAGAGGACAAAGTCTCCCGATCTTGTCACATAACACCGTAATAGGGTCATTACTTAGAATATCAAACACAGACACGTTGGAACGCGCCGCATGGAAGACCCAGTTGCGAATCTCCACGGCAACGAGGGAGTCTACCCCATACTCATGCAAGGCTTTGCTTGGGTTAATATCATCCACCGATACCAGGAGGAGTTTCGAGACCTTCTCAAGGAAAGCCGCACCAATGATCTCCCGAGCGGCTTCGAGAGTCTTCGCATGTTCTAGCTGAACATACAAGCTTCGAACCTCTTTGTTGCTGTTTCCGCTGGCACCTGCGAGCACCGCTGAGTTGATGTCCACGTTGCGCAAATGAGAGAACCGCGCATCATGGAAGTAATATGGGAATTCGCCGCCAAGATTTGCTTGAATCACACCTCCGGTACCGAGACCAGTTGTAAGTTGAAAGGGCGTGTCATTATCGGATGAGGGCTTGGCAGTAGAAATGGAACCTCGAAGAATGTTCAGGAGCTCCTGTTCGGGAATGCCAACGAATCCCCATCGTTTCAGATTTTCTTGGGTCTCTGCATTTTCAGCCACGTAACCCACATCCATGATCAATCCGAGGTCAATTGTCGACGCAGCCAGCCCTTGAGATCGACGATGGGCAGCCAACGCATCTTGATATGTGTTCCCGGCTGCATAGTTCCCTTGACCTCGACTACCGATAACACCAGCCGACGAGGACAACATGGTGAAAAAATCGAGATCACGAGGTAGAAGATCGTGTAGGTTTCGTGATCCCTGGACCTTGGGGCGAGCAGCAATACGGAATTTCTCGGTCGTCATGTTCACAAACAGGCTGTCCTCCAAGACCATCGCTCCCTGGATGACTCCACGGATCGGTGGCATAGTTTGACTACAAGTGTAAAGGACCGTTTGCAGCGCGTTTCTGTCGGCCACGTCACAGGCATAGATGGCTATATTTGCACCTGCTTTCTGCAGCTGACTGTCGAGGTCCTGTGCCTTTGGGCTCTTGGGTCCAGATCGGGAAATAAATACAAGGTTTTTGGCGCCGTGGCTAACCATCCACTGTGCAATACTTCTTCCCAAGCCACCGAGACCACCGACGAGGAGATATGTGTCGTCGGGGTTGAAGTGGATGGGAAATTGGCTCCTTGGGTCACACTTGATTTCTTATTAGCATCTCATGGACAGTGCTTGAGTCTCTTACGTACCTTCACGATGCTAGATTCTGTGGGCCGGAGCACTAGCTTTCCAACGTGAGACCCCGACTGCATGACCCGGAAGGCTTTCTCAATATTGGAGTAGTCGTACACAGTTATGGGCTGTATTTCTTTGATGACGCCGATACGTAACAGGACTGCGATTTCACCCAAGATTCTGCCAGCGGTCTGTCGGTCATCCTTCATAATGGCGGCGATGTCAACCGAGGAGAATGTAATATTTCCCTCGAAGGAGGCCATATCCAAGCCACTATTGCCCAGAATATCTGTCTTCCCCAGTTCGATAAATCGGCCATACATGGCCAGTGACTGGAATGATAACCGAAGGGCTTCGCCAGCCAAGCTGTTCAGAACGATGTCTACGCCGCGATTGCCCGTCATCCGCTTGATGCCTTTAGCAAACGTGAGGTCTCGGCTGTTGAAGATGTGATCTTCAGGAATGCCATAGAGATCCATGATGACCTTCTTCTTCTGCTCTGAGCCGACAGTGGCAAAAATTTCAGCATCAAGTGTCTTGGCCAGAATAATCGCTGCTTGTCCAACACCACCTGCAGCGGCATGAATGAGAATCCTCTCACCACGTCGCATGCGCGCAACCTCGAAGAGTGAATAATACACAGTCATGTACACAATGGGCAAGGAAGCGGCAGATTCGTAGCTCATAGTTTCTGGAATTTGCTGGAAGAGTGACTCGTGGGATCGAACTGTCGATCTGAAGGAACCCATCAAGGCAGTCCAGACTCGATCACCAGGTTTGAACTTCGTGACCTTTTGGCCAATCCTCGTCACCCTTCCGCTGCATTCCGCGCCAAAAGTACCGGGGAATTTGCCCATAGCGACCATGGCATCTCGGAAATTTAGGCCGGTAGCCTTAACCTCCACCTCCACTTCGTCATCAGGAAGGGGTTGGCTTGTCTCCTCATCCTCTGTGAACTGTAAAGAATCAAGAAGACCGGGCACCTTGATCTGGAGTTTAAGGGGACACCTTGAAGATGTGAAAGGAATGGTGACGGGCTGTGTACCGGAATGAGAAACAACCATACTATTGACAGACTTGAGCTCTCCGAGTCTGCTGATCATGATTGATTTATCTCTTTCCACAAATTCGTAATCACGGGAGTGAAGGCTCAGGGCTGGTGAGGCAAGTTGAATCTGCAAAATGTCAACTATCCATTTTGCAACCAGCTTCAAGTCCGAACTAAGATCGAGTGTTGAGATAAGAGAACCAGGTTGTTCCGCCCGGATACTTCTCGCGAGACCAACGATCATATTCGCTTCAGGTATGGGCGTATCCATGGCACCACCTTTGGTAATCCAAAGGACTTGCTTGGAAGTGAGAAGCAACCGTTGGACTGCATCAAATACTTCGCCAGTAGCATTTGGGAGGATTGGCTTGTCATGCTCTAGGAGGACTATACAGTTGAACTCTGCCAAGTCCGAGGGTAAATCGGTTAAGAAGGATACAGAGACACGATGACCTTGCTGGCTTAGTGCAGCCTTCAAGCTGACAATACCATCCTCGCTCTGATGTCCTCTCCGCTCCGGCAGAATTATCAGTGTTTGGGGTTCTGAGCATGAGACATCCGAGGTACTTGAATCGGCAGTGGAGACAATGACACTAAACAGCTCATCTTCCTGATATTCACTATAGTCAGCAAGGCCAATCTCAACTCCATTGAACCCTCGACGACGGAGCAGTGTATCCCATCCTTTCGGATTCAAAGTCGGGCCACCATGTCTGCCATCCTCCTCCCCAAGCCACCAGCCCGGTAGAATTCCCATAATCATTGGGATACGCATCAGCTCTTGCGTAATCTCGATCATGATGAGCTTTCCACCTGGCTTGAGGAGCTTTCGGACATGAGACATCGTGCGATCCATAGTTTGAGTTGCGTGCAGAACGTTGGCAGCAATGATAACATCGTATCGATGTTCCTGGAAGCCTTGGCCTTGGGGATCGTTCTCAATGTTGAGCATTTGATATGAGAGGTACTTTTCCCAATCTTCAAATTTGGCTTTCGCCTTTCCGAAGAATCCCGATGAGATGTCTGTAAATGTGTATGATTTGAATCGAGCGGGATGATCGCCATTTCCACCAAGGGTTTGTAGCACTGGGAGAGTGGCACCGCCTGTGCCTGCACCAATCTCGAGGAATCTCATGTTGGGGTATTTGTGCACCAGTCGATCAAGATATGATGATAGTTGATGATATACTCTGTCCAGGCCAAATCCATTGGCGTAGTATTCATGGAGCAGGTTTTCATGCAAGAGCACCTCAAGCGGCTCCATATGGCCTTGAAGGACGGTCTCAAGGTGGTCACCAACTTGGCACATAATGCTACCATCGATGCTCTGGACTCGTGTTTTCTCGATCAGTCTCTGCTCGGAGTCCAGGCTCAACGTCACTTTTTGGTCTGCGAACTTGTCAACATTATCCTGCATCCAGTTGACAAAGAGCTTGTGGTGGACTGCCAGGTTCCCGATGCCGGATTTCCGGACTGTTCGTAAACAACGTTCCATATAGATGAGAGCCGTCTGTTCCAATTCCCTGATCATGATATGGTCTTGAGATCCCGACCCTAGACCCGTTGTAAATAATTGGGCAGCGCGTTCCCGATCAATAAAGTCGACATCCTCTTTCCAACTCGAGTGAAAAACCACCTTTCTTGAGTGGGGGCTAGTTCTATCAGATGAATCATTCTGAGGAACTGTGGCCAAGCGTTTCAGTTCCAGGCCTTTAATCACCAGCTGGACGCTGTCCCAGTCGGAGTCAGAAATAGCGACAGTTGCTTCAAAGCCACTTTCATCCTCCCGTGAAACAGTCGCCTGGCCACTGAGAAGTGACCCAGGGGTGTTCTTGATATCAGCAGAAATGTACAGACTCTGCAATGATACCGGAACATGCGCATCCATCGACGCACCCGACCGCATCCGCGAGGGTAAAACCATGTGAAAAATGTTGTCGAGTGTGATCGGATGAATTGTATGCTTGAACTCAAACATTTCTGGCATTTGTGATTGGGTGTCTGGGATATGTAGTTGACAGAGACTCTGGTTTTGGCTAAATTGGATGCTAGACAAGTTGCGAAAATCCGGGCCGAAGTGCATACCCATCTGGTCCAAGGTATCGTAGAACGCATCAGTTGGGATTGTTGATGAGCAGGATTGAGAATATTGCAGACAATTCTCCCGATGAAGCCGAATCTCTTCCATGTTTTCCCGATGCTGATCAAAGCCTGGCTGTTTGGAATGATAGTGGGTAACAATTAGGCCGCGCGCGTGTTCCAACCAGCCCTGTTTAGACTGGTAGGAATAGATGACAAATTCTTCCCAACTGGAGCCCTTTATTTGACTATTTGCATTATGAGGGCGTAGGTGAAGAATGGTCTCCACGCCCTCTTCATCTTCTGGAATATGTAACGCTCGGCTGATCTGCACATTTCGCAGCTCGAACCCTTTCACCGTCTTTGATGCATCAGCACGCTGAGAAGCCGCCTCAATAGCCATTACCAGAAATCCCGCACCGGGATAAATAATACGGGATTGAACGACGTGTTCGCGGATCCAAGGAGCGTCAGAAACTCGCAAATAGTTTCTCCATCGAGGCTCTAGTGTATTGTGGTCCGACGTGGGGGGCACCAAGGAGATGGTGACGAGGGTGTGCCCGGTGACGATAATCATGACTCAAGCGAGACTCATACCAGAACCGATGAGAATGCATCCAGGGATATGAAGGAAGGTCTGTGAGGACCCTGAGCGCACTGCTGTCCAAATAGTCCAGACGATTCGCCCGTAAGATATCCACGTTCACTCCCCGGAGAAATAAGCCGCCAACAGCCTGAAGAGTCGTCGAGAGACCGCATTTACCCCGTGCTAGGAGGTTGAAGTACGGAACCTCCATTTCATCGTTGTCCAAGATTTGCTTCAAAGGTCCCTTGAGCGTTGAATGAGGTCCAAGCTCGATCATGACATCGACTGCCGCCCGCCCACCGCGAACTCTCCTTCCCACGGGACGAAGCATAGCCTGCACACCTGCACTGAACCTCACTGGAGACACCATATTCCTGACCCAATAATCCGCGGTGAGATCTTCGGCTTTGATTTCTGAAGCTGTCACGGATGAGAACATGCGCCCCGAGCTTTCTTGCTTTGGTGTGAGATCCTTAATGTCACTGAGGCTCTCTTTATATTCCCTGGCAATGATCTCCATTTGAGGTGAGTGGTAAGCATTCTCGACTTTAAGACGTCTAGCAAAGACGCTTTTCGATGCCAAGATGGACCCAAGGCTCTCAAGGTCATCACAGTCTCCTGACAGAGTGACCGATGAAGGACTGTTGATGCACGCCACGACTACACGAAGGGTTGGATTCTGGTCCAAAACGTCCCGAGCTTCCTGTTCAGAGAGATTGGCGGCCATCATTGAACCCGCTGTGTGAGCCTTCATGTAATTCATGTTCTCGCAGAGACGTCCTCGATGATAAGCGATCTTCCATGCGGCTTCACGCGAAAGCGCCCCGATGGCATATGCAGCTGCGATCTCACCGCTAGAATGACCAACGACAACACGCGGTCGCACCTGTAGATGTGCGAGAAGTTCAACCAACGCGACTTGGATCGCGGTACAGATCGGCTGACTGAAGGCAGACTGATTGATATTGGAAGAATCGGAATTGCGTCCGAGCTCCTCTACTTGGTTTCAGTAGATATTCTTTTCTTTGAGGGGATAATGCGTACCTATTAAGTCCCATCTGCAGCCCATGGATTTTAGGTAGGACCCTGCTGCCTCTAAAGAAGTTCGGAAACTGTCAAAGACTAACAGTTCGTTACCCATAGTCGCCCATTGCGCACCTTGACCACTAAAAACAAACGCAAGTGATCGAACGGGCGCTGATTTCACAGGGCGGGATATCTTCTGGAGACTCTCATTCAGTTGAGCGGCGGAGGAGGCCACCACAAAGGTCTTCCACATCAGCTTACTCCGTCTCTCACTCAAAGTGTAAGAGAGACTGTCTAATAGCTCGGCAGTGGATTCTTCATCTCCTTTCTTACCCAGGTATTGTTGCAGAGACTGAGAAATGGAGACACATCCCTCCTCATGGTGGGACGACAAAACAAACACTCTAGAGGAATCGGAAGGGATGAGTTGCCAATCAGATGCACTCGTGTTATCAGATCCAGTCGCTGAGACATCATCTCGTAGTGGCTCGTCGTCACCTTTTGGATTCGTGTGGCTAATTACGTCCTCTGCTTGTTCCAAATCTTGGAGGTAATGGTATGCATCATCCAGGATCACATGAGCATTGGCGCCACCGAAGCCGAAGGAATTCACACTGACTCGTCGGAGCCCTTTATGAGGCCATGGGGTCAGCTTGCTAACAACCTATTCAGATGTTATTTCAATCTCGCATACTCCAGGCTCGGATATCCCAGACTTATCATGTTTAACATACCTGTAAACTCTGCTCTTCAAGGCGCAATTTGGGATTTGGACTTTGGAATCCTGCAGTCGCTGGAATTAGGCCCTTCTCGACTATCAAAACCGCCTTGATAATGCCTGCAAGACCACTGGCTCCCTCAAGGTGACCAATGTTACTCTTGATTGAGCCAACCAAAAGGGGATCTGCGGTAGATCTGCTGAGCCCAATGGTGTTACCAATGGCACTAGTTTCGAGGGGATCTCCGGCTTGGGTCCCCGTTCCATGCGCTTCGACATACCCTGTTTGGGCCATACTTAAACCTGCATTGCGATAGGCAGAGCGTATCAGCTCCTCTTGGGCTTTCTGGCTCGGAAGGGAAATGCCCGGTGTTTTCCCGTCATGATTGGTCGCCGTGCCTCGAATGATGGCCCGAATTGGATCACCATCGCGCAATGCAGCGTCTAGTGGTTTAAGGATGACAGAGGCAGCGCCCTCTCCACGACCATAGCCGTTGGCTTTATTATCAAATGAATGGGATTTGCCATCCGGACCGAGAAAGCCTGGTGCGGACAAGAGGATGAAGAAGTCCGGGCTCAACATAATGCTGCTTCCTCCGACAATGGCCTATGTTTACGTCAGTGCGGATTCTACGTGTTCCCGAGGCAATATACTGACCGATGTAGCCTCTCCTGAGCGTAAGCTTTGACACGCCAGATGGAAAGCCACTAGACTGGAAGAACAAGCTGTGTCAAGCATCACGCTGGGCCCCTTGAGATCGAAAAACCATGAGATTCGGTTGGCGAGCAGGGATGTGATGCTACCTGTGATATGATATCTCGTACTAAATTCCATGTCTTTGTGCAGGTTTTCCCCATAATCATTGGAGAGGGTGCCGACAAAACATGCCGTCTTGCTACCCACGACGTCTTCCAGTCGTATTCCAGCTAGAGGTTGACAATAATTAATCGCCTTAATCCGGAGTGGAAATGCCGTGGTAGCTTACCATTCTCACAGGCTTCATAGGTTGTCTCTAGTAGCATCCGCTGCTGCGGATCCATCGCTTTGGCCTCGTTTGCGGAGATTGAGAAAAATGGGGCATCAAAGGCCGCAATGTCGTCTTTTAGAAAATGAGCACCGTGAACGTTAAACTGAATCATGTCAGACTTTTATGTGGCCCATTGAAGGAGGTATTCTCCCAATTGATCATACTTACAGATCCCTTTCTTCCATTGTCGGGGTGATAAAATGCGTCTGCATTCATGCGGTCCTTTGGAACTTTTGACCACGCATTTCGACCATTTGCGAGCATATCCCAAAGAGCCTCCTCAGAATTGGCTCCCCCCAGGAAATCTATAGCTCATCCCAACAACTGCTATGGGCATGGGCTTCTCGTCAGCCTTGACACAAGGCATGATGGTAGTTTTATCAATTTTCAGATGCTTCGAATAGATATTCAAACAGTGGTTCAGTCTTGTTGTCTTCGATTTAATCAACTAGGTCTGATCTTTAGAGAAATTTTCAATGTGAACGGTAATTCGTCAGATTTCATAAAATTATCAAGTAGGGATGTAGGATTCGACAATGCTGAACTAGATGTATGGTGTTTCAAAATTCCCATGGACATCGTCTGTTTCTTAGTGCTTATCCGTTCTTGTTTTTGTCGGTGGACTGCGAAGCGGCCCCCGGGGCCGGACGGCTCAAGAGCTTGAAGCTAGCGCGAAGATCTAATTCCTCCGTGTTGAGAAGCTGGTGCCTAGTCAGTGTTTCAAATATTTGCGACACCTGTAAGTTGATGTCACCTTAATCCCAATTGATACTCACGATGGCGTGCTGACTGCATAGCATTTAACCCACACCGATAAACACGTGTGTACTTCGTCGCAGTTGCAGAATTTTGTTTTTTTTATCAGTTTCATTTTCGGAGTAATAGCCTTGTTAGGATTCAATGTGCGTAAAGATTTCGATTGAATAGGACACCTTATCTTTCAAAACTTCAGATTCTTCACCCCTATATGCATCTTACAAGGTTACAAGACCCACTTCCAAGATTCTCGAGCGGAACTCTTGGCGGTATATAATAACCGGCAGAATGTTTCCTGTTAATGCAATGCAGAATACTCCCTACAGCTGGCCAGAATAGAGACTATTTCAATGTAGTTCAAATTCGAATAAAACTTCGGAATCGAAAATATTCATTTTTTGGATTTTTTTTCCATTTCGAGGAACAGCCTAGGTGCCTTCAGACAAAGACTAACAAGAAGCCTAGGGAGAAACAATCCCATTGTTTACTTAGCCTGTACTGGGGGCCCCGGGGGCGGAACCTAGCCCCCTGCCCAGGTGGAGATCGCACGGATGCTGCACTTTGGCCCCCAACGAGACATGCTTAAGCTCCACCATACTTCCCATGGATCATACCTGGAGAAGTCAGAGCTCGAGATCCTTTACCTCTCAAGCAAAGGATTCGATAACAGAGTACACTTCGCACTTACGAATCAACTCGATAGTACTTTGGGCTGTGACATCCTGGGCATTCGCCGCTTACGGTTAGCTCAGCACACACTATTACATACCCATTTGCCTCGAAAAGCTCGCTCAGTACAAATTGCTGGCAATATAAAAACGTTCTACAGTGCGTGATACATGACCGTCCAAGTCTTTGAAGCCACGCACTTTCAAAATGCGAGTGCTTTGTCTCCATGGAATGGGAACTAATTCTCAGGTGAGTGAAGTGATCCCTTCCAATCGAGGTGACGGAACAATGTTAACATTCGGATGTATTTGATTTTCATAGATATTTGAAACACAAACAGGTGAGCCCATCGCGAAGACAATCCATTACCGAACGACATTAATTGAAACTGCTGTTCTGTGTTGTCTCAGCTCTTCTTAAAGCATCCCTGAATGCCGAGCTGAACACAGAATGCGAGTTTGTCTATGTAGATGGCGAGATCGAGAGTGAGCCTCGGAACGGTAACGGCCCTGTTCCATTCGATGCTTTGCGAATTTCTTGTTTCTAATGAATCCCCACAGGAGTGGAAAAGTACTACGATGGCCCCTTCCTTTCCTACTACGACTGGGACTCGGCAGAAAGCATCCACACCGCATATCAGCTCATTAACGAACTCATTGAAGAGCAAGGACCGTTCGATGGTATCATGGGGTTTTCTCAGGGTGGATCCCTGGCCGCATCCTTCCTGCTGCATCATTCGACCACGTATCCATCCCAACCGGTCGAGTTGCTCTTCCGATTCGCTATAATAATCTGTAGCGGCAACCCATTCGATGCGCGTGGGCCCACAACCCGGCGATATCACCCCAACGAGGATATGGAGCGAATTCCTATTCCTACCGGTCACATAGTCGGGCGGAAAGATGACGAGTATCCAGGCCAGCTGCTGTTGCATCGTCTATGCGACAGTCGTCGAGCAACGCTCTATGACCATGGGGGTGGCCATGAGATTCCACGCGATCCCCTCGTGGTGAAACGAATGAGCGACGCAATTTGCCGAACTATTGACCAGGCCAGCGTTCTATGAGGACCCACATAATCACGGATACATGACAATGGCATGGTCAAGACTCAATGGGATGGATGATGTGGATACGGAGAGATGGAGGTAATAGGTCATCTTATCAAATACCTCTGGACCGATCATGTCTAGGTCTATGTACTTTGGCCCCATTTTTGAAGCCTCATAGTCGAAATTTTCCATCCCTCACTGTGGAATTTGTTCATGTCACTTTCCCCTAGGCTAGCGTATACATAGTTTAAGATGAGATCTCTAGAATGGAGCTTCTCGACAGCGAAACTCAGTGTGCCAGTGGCCATCATTATTATCGACTGGGGCACTGGCAGGAAGGAAGTACTAGTACACATGTGCACCTTCAGGTTCCAGTTCAAGAAGTTGGGATCCACACCTGGGCATATACATATAAGTGGGTCATCACCCCACAACTCCGAGTCCACACACAACTTGAACTTTGAACCGTACAATTCTCACACACGCTAAAACAGTACTCTTGCTTCGCGCGATACGTGTAATAGTATATCCAAATTTTGAGGGGCACATCGAACTGAAGGGCCGACTATTTATGGTTAAAAGTACTAGTATCATCTACTAGCAGAAGAATCTTTTCTGCATCAAAAAATTCAATTTTTACATGTTTCGAGTTCACTGTATGCAAGGTTTGGGCTTTTAAAATGGCGTTCAAACCTTGGAACTTCATATTCCATTGTTCGATGTCCCATCTTTCAAAGCAGTGACTGGAAAATTAGTTAATGGACAAGTGCGCACGAGGTATCCAGTTGGATTTTCTTCCCGATGGCGACTGGATCATCTTCAAGTTGCTTTGTCTCCCGCATTGATTAATCATTATTCACCTGGCAAAATTATCATGATCATATGGTTCTCCAATCTTTCCTACACCTTCAATTTCTCCCTCACGTGTTTAGTGATAAATCGATGAACCAAATAACTAGTCATTACAACACCTATTTCACCGGCTACAATAAACGGGAGGCCTAGCCATGGGTCATCACCTTGGTTTAATCCCAACCGAAATGAGGAAGCTAACAGAGGACCAGAAATGAGGAGACCAAACGTCTCATTGCCCGTAATCATTGTGTAGATGCATCCAATGAACTGAGTTGGTACCAGAGAAGTGGCGAGCGAGCGGGTAATATTGCCTAACCCTCGTCCAAATGTCGAGATGGAAAGCCCCACGGTGACCAGAGCCACCGTCAGGCACAATATTATGAGAGAGAATCCAACGAAGAGAGCGCTCATGTTTGCCTGGGCAGGGTAGGTGTCTTTGTGTGTCAGACAGCCCCAGCTTTCGTTGCAGCAGCCAGGACGTATCCAGTTGCAGCAGCACATATGTGACGATTTTGGCAACCAACGTGGTGGAAATGATACTATATCCTGCGCGAGCGACGCTCATATTATATCGCTACGACAGGTATTTAAATTCAGACTCTGGGTCGGCTCTCAATGGCCTTGATGAAAAAGGGAGTATCAAGATGATCAATTTAGCGTACGTCATGGCGTAGGAAAGTGGTATCTTGTAATTTCCGGTGTCGTAGATGCCTTTCATTTTCCGGCATAATATATGGAATCATGGTCAAGATCATCAAGAAGAGGATGGGCGCACCGCCTCCCAAGATAGTGAAGACAGGTGAGAACCAGAACAGGTGCAGCGGGAAAATCCGCCACATTTTGCAAACGAACAGTGAGTATTATTGAGAGTAAAATGCCGATTATACTCATCAACACAACTGGCTTACGGCCCCCTATGTCCCCCTATGTCGTCCAGAAAGCCGGAGGGGATAGCCAATGCAACACCTATAATCAATCCCTTATTGTCATACGCTAACAAAGGCGCCCGAAAATGCCTCTACCAGTTGACTATATCTGATTTCCTCTTCCCGAGCTCTTTCCCTATGCTCCATATGAGCCTCATCTACATCATGATCCGTTCCCTTCCCACAAAAAATTACAACACCGCCGGTGAGCACAAGCCTGGATAACCTTGGAATGGAGCGGTTTCCTTGGCAAAGTCGGCATACTCCCCCTTGCTGTGTATTTAGTGCTACGTATCTTAATAATCATTCAAGCTCTCGTTGTATTTAAATTGTCGTGGGATCCCCTATCCCGTAACATTCTCCTAATAAGCAGACCATACATTCAAGTTCTACAACTTGAACCCACATGCACCTGTAAGTGGGCATATCCTTTCAAGCAACAAAAAACATGTCGGAATTGCTCATTATTACCGGAGATTTCCCAGCTCGGGTTGAGTCCGCACTGGAAAAGTTAACTACAAAAGCGAATAAGGTGAGCAGACATAGGGTGGCAGTATCGGACGCCATTTATGAGTCCGATCGATTGCCCAGGTGAAGGATCATGTTGATTACCTCTGCGTCTGATAGATGTGGAGCCTCCCACTTAAGGACTGCAACCTGCAGGTCGAGAGTACATCCACTCACCTAACGCCAATCATCACCTTTCATCTCAAAGTGACAAAGGGGATGTTAAACGGAGCCGGAGCTCTCCATGGAGGGTGCGCAACAACCTTGATCGATGATCTCACGACGGTTTTGCTAGCGGCCGTGTCTAAACCAGGACTTTGTTTCCTTTATGGAGTGAGTCAAAATTTACGGATTGCCTTTTTCCAGGCAATCCAGATCGACGATGAAATGAGGGTTGTTTGTAAGGTCGAGCATGTGGGTAGACGTCTTGTGGTATTAGGAGCGAAGGTGTATCGTGCAGGAGATGGGAAACTTTGCATGTCCGGTGAAAATGAGAAAATGAATACTGACCCTCGCACGGCATCTAAAATCTAACGAGAAAGATAGTTGGTTCTCTCTTGATAGAATACGAAGCATCTGATTTCATCAATCCATCTCTCCGTCTGCGTCCCTCACCCAGCGTCTCAGCTTTTGCTTCCTGTTTGATTTGAAGTCGCACTCCATTATGCTACCAATTCCATGTCAATAGTATATTACTCTGACATTATGGCATCAAATACCAGGTGCACATCACCAGTAAATAACATAAATGCATCAAGACTGCCATTCAATAATTTGTACCGGTCTTCGCCGGGGGCAAAGGAAATTCTGAACTGCTGTACCAGCGCAGCCGTACCAGTTTGTAGCTCCACCATTGCTAAATTCCTTCCAATACAAGCATATGGCCCTATAAGAAATTAACTGCATAATTCTAGTTGGGTGCTCATAGTCAGCAGACCAATGGTCAGTACGTAACACGTACCAGTGGAAAATGAGGTAAAGCCTTGCGTTTTGCGCATCAAAGAAGAGCTTGATAGCCACCTCTCAGGCATACATTCATTTGAAAGGACGTATATTGAGTCCGTTGTACCCGTTAATTCTGTCAATCTGCAGAATCAGACGGCTAGTCCATACTCGCATCTTGCAAGTTGATGCATCGGCACAGACACGGTGACGCCTCGGGGGATATATCTTTTGTCACATATGAGTCCCTCTGGCGGCGTCACGCGAAGAAGTGCAGATGGAACTGGTGGATGAAAACGGAGGGTTTCATGGAGAAATGCATTTAGATACTCGATATCCTGAACATCCCTTTGCCGAAGCTGGGGAAGTTGTGGAGCACTAGCGCGTGTGAGAGCATCGCGAATTCTCTGAGCCTTTTTCGGGAATCTGGCAAGATACTAACAAACGTGAACCAGTGCGGCAGCCGTTGTATCACTAAGAAGAATCAGTATCATGGCCAGAGTCTACCGCTTCTCCATCTTGAAGAGCCATAACATAATGAGACTCGGGGTGTCTACCTTCCAGCTACAATAACAAGGTGACAGTCACCGGACAGCCATCTCCTGGCCTCCGTAGTCTGATTTTGCTTATCCGCTTCCTCAAATAAGACAGACATGAAGTCCTGCCTGCCATCAGTAGTCTAAAAAAGGATTAGCACCTCGGATGAGAAGAGATAAGAAGATGAGGGGAAAATGGAATGAACAAGGGGAGAATGGGCCTTCCCGATAATATGGTAACAGAGTACGTAAATCACGTCAACGCTGAACCTGCTGTGTACACCATGCTTTAAATCGTGAGGCACCGCTAATGTGTGCGGGAAGTTTGAGAAGGATTCTCCCAAGCCAAGGAACTGGAGAGAGAGCCGCAAGATACCTCTGGCCACCATGCCAAATGGCTGACCGAAAGCAAATTCAGCAATCACATCAAAGATGAAGAAGTTGATCCAATGCGTGATATTCAAAGGTTCGCCCGCTCGCTTTCTTATTTGTGTGATCATAAGATCCACATACGTGACTTCACGCTCCTCAAACTCGCGCAATGCTATTTGATATTTTCTTTAATGAGAATTTAAAGCATAAAAACACCTCCCGTCAAACACATACCTCTGGGTGAAAGACATTTAGACCAAATCCGACGCCGCGCATCATGCTTGTCCTTGATACGTACACTATGGAGAAATTCAGTTGGATCCCCCATATCGTACCAAGGGGCTTTATTGCAGGGGCTGCGAGCGCCATATACTGAATCGATGGCACTGTGCTCTAAGAGCGAAATTTCAGTCGGTCCTGCTCTAGAGTTAAAATTGAAGCCTTGAGTGTGTGGATGTGTGGAGGAAGGAAATTGAAGCTCAATATACCAATTCGAACTGCAACACCATACTAGGTATGCCATTTAGCCAATATCCCATAATTATTATATTTGAAGCACAGGTAGGCGTGATACACTTAGTGACACGCGCTAATGGAGGACCTGGAAATTTGTTGAGCGGATGGTAGAGACAACGATAGCTGAGCATGCTTATCATAATCCCAATTATAAATGTCGAGCTGGTCATACAAGAGATTACCAAGGCGTCGAGCATCAGGGTATGGTCGCATATACTAGAAAAACAATGATGAGGGAGGGTATGGTAATGACCACCAAAAGAAACATCGGAGCTTGCATATGGTGCTCCCCTCGAATGAAGCACAATAAATGGCACATCACTCCAGCAAGAGCGCAAGTACCGATAATTGGAACGAGGGGTACTAGTATATATGTATAACTTCACGTATTTCCAAAGCCGTTCATCTTTTAAATCAAATTGATGTTGAAATGTCCAGATGCCAACTGGTTCCAAGGTTGTTCTCATAGAACCTTGGAATCAACCTTGGAATTGGTACCCACCAGTTGACTTGCCCATGCAGACTCGGATTCCCCGAGCTTCGCTGAGACATCATGACATGACGTATCGCAAATCCAATCATCGTCTCTCCGCATCCCCTTAATTCCATGACACTGGCAGTCATCCATATGTGCATGCATGTGCACACCGGCACCATGACCTGGCCCACTATTCATATAACCAGCACGGGCACACCGCTATGTTCGAAGCAGATAAAATCGGCTGAATCAAACAGTTGGAAATTTGCCTCTTGTCATATTCTCCACGCCGTGGCTTGTGATCGGCTCTCTCTTGATCTGGAGCTCTGCCATGTGTCGGATATTATGCCATAGGATAGTCGTATCTGTCCAGTACTGAACTCCAATCGCCACCAAAGCGCCGATCCAGACTAAATGTGAGTCCCACGCATATAAACCGGTCTTATTCACATGAACGCCACTCGAACTGGCCAAGAACATCGGCGCAATGAAGTTCACCAATCCCATACTTTTGGGAAAAACTGGGTTGTCGCTAGAGTCTGAAAATGAAGCCCATGCAATTGTCCAACCTTGTATCCAGAAAGGAATCCAAGGGAAGTCCAGTATAATTCAGAAGAGATCACTGAGAAGGAGTGTTAATTCCGCCCCATAGTCTCTAAATGTGATGACCGCTAGAACAAACGCCGGAACCACGAATCCAAGAACAGAGGCCGCGCTGATTGCGAGCTGAAGCGATGGGATGGCAGAGTCAAGAGTTGGGATAAGTCGCATTTGCTGGGGGATGACTGCGGCGTAGGGAACGTAAATAAATCCTGAAACCATTAGCAGCAGGGCTCCCGCCGCGCATCCTGCACGGTGATGATGATAGAAGTCGTGGGCCGCAATAGCGTCATGGGACGGAGGAACAGGTGGCAGCAGCATCGGCGCCACGAGTCCAAGGAGAAGACACAATCCGCTTAGGCTTCCGGCTAAGACGCTACAGCACATCCATCGCCTATTGGTAAACGCAGACGGAGGTGGCAATGGGCGTGATATCAGTGCCTCTGTAGAAGCCAAAATTCGTACAATTTTGATAAGCTTAACAGAATTTATGCAAAAATTTACCCACAAGATCGATGTTCAATGTTCGCAATGATTGGTGAAAGGTTGATGCCTTGAGCCTTCCTAAATCAATGCCAGAGTTTCAATTTATAATCCTAGCTGAGACAAACCAATAGACAATCGTTTTCACTGCCAAGTATCGACATTCAGAGACATTTGAACATGACTAATCCTCTTCACGGATATCGTGCATGATGGCACAAAAGTCTAAAACAGAATCCGCGGGTTCTATTGGTTACAGATGCTGCATATCTAGCGGTCAAGCTATGCAAAATGCCTCTTGTAAATCAATGTCTTGCTACCAGGGCCATGGAGTAGCACATGACTTCATAAAGGGAACTATCAACGTCGATTGAACATCTGGAATGCAAGTTGCAAGTTTTAATTGGCAGGTGAGATCTGAGGTTGAAATTTATGCATGTGTTTGCAGAGTTCAAAAATTCTGTATCAGTAAGGGACTTTTCCATCATCTTATCTTAATTCTACATGTATGCTTTCCATTTGGCCAACTAGTTTAGGCTTCATACTACCCCGTCACTGTATAGGTTACATTTAGAGCTAGCGGTAATATGGACAGGCCACACTGCGAACCTGAATTCTTACATATGTATGAGCAGTAGTAGAAAATGTAACCTTGGAAGATTGACCATACAATTGAAGATAAAATTTGAATGATGTGGAGTTGATTTATCATTGATGATGTACGGTCAGAGACAGCCTTCAATGTTGGAACATACACATGTGACTCGGAAGTTCCGAGGTTGAACTTGACAACTGGAGTATGCTATGTTAACAGCCTGTGTAGGTAATTGTTCAGGTTCCAAGGTTACGGGTTGAACCGTGAATTTCCAAGTGTCCCATATGTATACTATGGATGCACCCATGGACATGTCCAATAGTACTAATATCAAAATATTGACATCAATTGAACCTAATACCGACCAAGCGATGGAAACAAAGTATTTCTGAGATCAAAAGGTGCTCAAGTTGTGACTTTACATACATGTGCATATGGACTTATCAAAATACAAGACACTGCCCAGGTGGTATGAATTGATATATGGACCTACTGGTAGGTGTGAAGAGATTTAAACCTTGGAACTCAACTGGGAATAACTCGATTGTTCCATACATACCTGAAACCCGAACCAGAAACATTCGGAAATGGTAAGTAAATGCTGAATACTACGCCAGTGCTATTCCTGTAAAGTTTTCTTCTCCGGAGTATATGACTTTCTTATTCGTGCCATCCAGGTTGCTGCTGTAAAGTCTGCCACCCGAATCTGCAAAAAGGATTAGACCACCAGAAATATTGAGCGCAAGTCCAATCGCTTCATGCAAGTTCCGGACGAGCACCGTATGATTTGACGGAGTAGTTCCTCGTCTGTCTAGAGAAAGACAGTTGACAGAATTCCCCAGCGGCATTTCACCGCGATCAGTCCAGTAAAGAATGCAATTTTCTTCATCAACATCCAAATGGATAGGTTCTGGGAGATCATATAAAAGGCATTCTGGGTCTTTGCGGGTAATTGCAGTCTCCCCTGGAGGTATTTTGAGACCAGCAGAGAAGATACGTCCCATCCCGCCTTTTGGAGGACCCTTTTGGGACAAAAATATCTTTTCTAGCTTCAGTGATACTGCCAAGCTAACGCACCAATCGACTGCACGTGAATGAGGAATTGCCGCGGTATCTTCTCCACCGTTACAGTTCTCCACAAGGGCCTTTAGCTGGGATCCGCTGTAGTCACACCGGTAAATGCGCTTGCCTTCTCGATTGGAAAAGTAGATTTGGCGGTTGATTGAGTCCAAACATAGCTGCTTTGGGGTGCTAATACCCCCGTCTGGTAGCACTGTGTTGATATCGGTACCGTCCAAGTTGGCACTATAGATGGCGCCATCCGGTTTACCCGGTTTACCCATACAAGTCCAGAAAATACGGCCGGTAGATCTATCCACATCGACGCCGTCTGGAAGGAATTGGTCAACGACCAGTGCACCCAAATTCATGCCCATCATATTGAAGGCTAAGATGCGACCCTCTTTCAGAGTCTTTACTCGCCCTGCAGCATTATCAATGGCGAGTATAATCGCAGGGTCCCATCTCAATGGATAGCTTGGCTGCTTTGGTACACCAGGAGACGGTGAGTAGAGACCACCAATCTCGCATTTGGATCCTGATTTTCCCCGAAAAATATAGGACTCGCGCAGGAAGTTGACAGTATCAATAGAGAAAAGTCCACGCTCATTGATAGAATTCTGTTCAATGGCGGCTACTGTGTCAGGACCAGTCTCTTCAAAATGGTATTAATACTGAAAATATTATACAATCGACGCGGGATGCTTACCGTCCATCACCCTGCAAGGACCAGGTCGAGTGGACTCAATCACTGATCCCCAAATCTCGTCAATCTCTGTAGGTGTCGATACACCATCCGCAAGCATAGTCAAAACTTCGCGCTTGATAGCAGCCCAAACTCTATTCAGAATGAAACCGGTTGACTCCTGCCGTACGATATATGGGATAATATGAACCTCCTTCTGGCAAGCTTCCATGAAGATCATCATCTCCTCATTTGTGTGGCCGCATGATATTAGCTCAACAATCACTCTCACTGGTGGCATATGATAATGTGTATTCAGTGTGCGGGATCGCGTTGTTGGTAGCAGAGCCCCCGCAATTAACGAAGACCGGTAGGAAGATGAGTTAGTTGCTATAATTGCATCGTGAGGAGCGTATTGCTCTAGTTCTCCAAATAACTCAATCTTACTCTCTAGATGCTCCGGTATGGCTTCAATCACTAGCCAACACCCTTTCACGCAGGCACGCAAATCATGAAACCCGCAAACATTCCGGATCAATTTCGTATTGATCACAGTGAGGTTTTCTTTTAAAAATCCTAGGCTACCCTCAACCTGTCCACAATTCTTGTCGAAGACGCTCACTTTAAATCCACTCTGGGCCCAGATCAAAGCTAAGGACAGACGGGATATGCAATCAGCTGCTCGTTCTCGATTTGAATATAAGATATTCTCCAGGACTCACCGATGCGCCGACCCATGACGCCGCAACCGATAATAGCAACTGGCCGATCGCGGTACGCGAGTGCTATTCCTGATTCGGCCATCATTGAGAAGCCAACACAGCTCTGTTGAAATACTCGCCTGGTGGTTCTGGTAACGAAGTGAATGATATTTAGTCACATGGGATCTTAATGCCACAGTGAACTTGCTTAGGCTTCAACGTGGGGCACCTGTGTAGGTCTAATTATCATGAGTGTCATAGGATGGATTCCAGATTTTCTCTTACCTGACTCCCTGCGGTTGGAAGGTTTGTAATGAAAAGGGACATATGTTTAGGGAGCCTGGTAACAGGACCTGAGTCGGATGAAGTAAAAATTCCGCTTTATCATTTCCTCACCACACTGTCTTAAGGTCTTCAAGTGACGTGCTAGAGTAAAGCACGTCATAATAAGAGATATGTGTGACGCTCGTACATGCACATAACTCCCTTACGCCTAGGATGCTACTACCCTCAAGTGCTACAGCAGCGGAAATATTATCCACGAATGTAGGATCATGGTATGCAGCAGTGAGGGTTTAGAAGAACGGCATTTCCAAGATTGGCAGGTTGCATAATTCATCAAAAGCACATTGCGTGCTGGAAGGGTCACCAACCTCTCATCCATGTTGTCACCTGCACGCATCCTAGGAGGGTTTATACACCGGTATCGCCGTAGATCAATCATGAGGTACTGACATCACTAACATGAATGATTCATGCCCAGGCGGTACTAGGTATGCTGGAAATAGGAATTGAGCCAACTCAAGTCTCCACTCAACCCAGGCCGCTACTTCATGGCATGTGCAAGTTATGTATACACTACCAGTATATTACACCCCTCGACTCCTTTTCAAAACAATGCACATGTGCTATATTAACCTGGGTACAATTCCCGCAAATTCCACATACATAAAACAAAATCATTTGAAATGATGAACCTGATAAGTGGAGCGAGATTCATGGCCTCAAATGAGTGGAGTTCTCACAGTGGGCCATTGATCTGGTTTTCTAAAACATGGACTATATCACCCGGCCTAACTTGCTTACTCCTGGCCTTTGCGTGGTCATGTGCATATATGGCATCCATATACCACAAAACAATTTTGAGAAGATACTGCAGCTCATTCAAGTGTTTGCCAGGCCCTAAAGTATTCTTTTGATATAAAAATCAATCAAATACCTCATTTGGGAAAAGTACCAAACTTTGAACAGTATTCTTCCAAATACCGTATTTGCTTAAGTACCGTTAAACTACCGTCGTGGAGAGGGTATTTCAAACATATAGATTGCCGGCATGGTAGAGTACGAAATAATTTAAATGCCGGAAGGAACATTTGAAGGAAATATTTTTGAACAAGACAGAAAAATTGATTTATTGATTCCAAGGTTGTGGAGGGTTGTCGAGGAGGACAGGAAAGAAGGAGGGAGCCTCACACCCTGATACACTAAAATTGGCAACACATGACTCGAATCTCTCAAGTGCTGATAGTATGCCCAGGTGGTCAACAATATTGAAAAGGGCACGACGGTGCATCATAGTCAATGCTGAAGATTATCACAGCGGTTTTGCAGGTTGTGGAAATGAGGTTGGTCTCTGATGGGAGGTCGCAATCACCGTTGATGCAAATGTCCAGCGCAGGTGCCGAGGCATTCTCGTACTCTGTGAAGAGTCCAGTGGCCTCGCCGTAAGTAACACCAAGAGTCCATGCTTCATCAATCATGCGAGTGCGAATAAACGGGGGATCGATGCAGTCATTGGACGTCGCGGATGTGATTTCTGGCATATTGCCATTTATTCCGTAACCAAGAGGCAGGAGGCGCTCGCCCTTCTGCTTCTTGATCAAATCATTCGCGAAGGTTGCCAATACCTTACCCGCAATGATTTGGGGGTCCTTGAGCCCAACAGAGGTTGAAGCATTGAGGTCTTTGTAAGATTCAGATGCTCCGTTTGCCGCGGAAAAGGCGATGGCAGGGATTCCTCAGCCAATCGCATAGTAAGTAGCGCCAATAGTGCCGGAGCTAGTAAAGGCGAATCTACCAACATTATCGCCGTAGTTGGGTCCTGACATCACAAGATCTGGACTTGACACCCCAAACTTGGGGAGAACGTAGTCAGTTCCTACAGAGGTGGCCGCGACAGGACTACCATCGTAGTACCAAATGTGATCATCCAGGGGGTCAGGACCGATCGATGGAGCGTCAGCCTTAACAAGGCCTGAATAAAAGTTAGCTCAATTTCAGTCGAAACAAATGAGGACTCAATTGACCAAACTCAGTATCCTCAGTCAGGTTCGCTGTAGTAGCAGAGGTCAGGGAACCACCCTTGCCGCTCTGGTCTGTGGCTGGGGCAACGATAAAAACGTTATGCCCGTAAGCCTTCATGGCCTTGTACATCTCTCTGATGTTGGCGGTTCCAAAGCCATCATCATTCTACAGACTGGTTAGAAGTATTCCGAATGAGTACTGGCCCTACAGCAATTTGGCTTACAGTCATAAGGATGTTGGCCCCGTTGACAGTAGAGAAGAAAGTAGCGAGCACAGCAGCGCTGAAAGGGAATGTTGTGAAATGCATCTCGAAAAGGGAATGATAGATTCCAACTCCGAGTCAGGCGACGTATGTAGTGGGACAAACTTGAAAATCAGGGGAAAAACAAAAGTTGAATGGTCTGTTTCGTCAGTGCAAGAAGGCTACTTGAACGATACTAGTATTTATACGTCGATTAAACATTGAATATACTAGCCCTGGAGGCATTTTTATTTCTGCTACAATGCAACTATTAAAGCTGTCCTTCTACTTCAACAAATAGCCGCGGCCACGTGCAGTGTTGAATTTGAACTTGAAGTTGAAGCTTGTCTGGCACCATGCCCGAGAGTAAACATAGCATTGGTCTCAATTTTGCCGAGATTAAAAGTCTCCCAGCCCCCAGAATTAAAGGTGAGGATTAAAAAGTGGGGGGACCATTTAAATTATGGCGGATGTCTCCGGTTCAACTGCTTTTTTGTAAACAAAAAAAGAGTGTCCTGCCCAGGCGCTGCGCTCTTGATATCGACCGAAGGGAATTAAATATCATTCAATATCTGTGTCAGAGGGTATATGATACATAGCAAGGCAGGTAGTGCTGGGTTTATCTACCTACGGTTTCAAGTTGTTGTGCATGTGCATTGACCGCATTTAAATACGCATTTATACACAAGGGCAAGAGTCGCTATCCCCACTTATACATAGAAGCTTTGCATAATCCTAGTACTATGCTGCCAGATACATGTATCTCCAGGGCCGGATATGTATAAGAGTTTAGGTTTCGGCAACGTGTTAGTGGAGAATCACCAATCGCACCCCGTATGGATCTCAGAGACAAGCCTTCCGATTGGTAAATGTCGTTTATTATTCTATTAGCGTGCGGAATTCTGCACGCTCAACCTTGGAACGCTTTAAACATTTGAATGTTGTTTGTGTCAACTTGAAAGATCTTGTGATATTAACTTGAACTTCCATCATGATATACAGATTGTTCTTATTATTTTTTCTCACTTGGAGCATCTCACTTGAAGCTCCAAGAGTGTATGCTTCTCTCCTTGATTCCCAATTCCGCGCGCTGACAATTGGCCTACAAAAATTTGAATGTTATTAACGTATTTCATGAGCGGCGAACAGCCTGAGTTAAATTTTGGGTTTGGACCACACTATGTACTAGTAACTACTAGTAGTGTACATTGTCATTAGCAAATCCCCTATAACACGAGTTTAAAGAACTTGAAAGACTAGTCAGGGTAAAAGGAAATGCATGTGCTCGCCAAATCGAGAATGTCATTGGTATATGATGGCTGACTCTCCAGATGTCTCTGGAACTTCTAACAAGAAAGTTTTGAAGACCGTTTGCATGGTTCATATTGAGTGCGACATTGCATATACGAGTGAAGCCATATTGATTATCAAATCTCTACAGTAAGGCAATCAATAGGTGGTGTGGGCGGTTGTGAAGATGGCGATGACTCGGACTGTTCACTCGAGATTGCTCTACCTTCTTCAAGCGCCCGCCTCTTTATGCCACGCACGAAATGCTCAAAATGCTGTGGAATACCATCACCATGATGGGAACGTGGGCTTAAATAAGACAGATTGCTGCACTCCTCAAACCACGGCTTTCGGCGCTCATAAATTTCTTGTATGTCTTGTGGGAATTCATGCCGAGTCTTGTCAGCACGAAGATATTCGACTACTTGCTGCATATCCCGATGAACAAGAAGAACGGTACCGGTCGCATGCCACTCTTTCAGCAAGGTGCGTGCCTCTTCTGTTTCGACAATGCCACCACCGCATGAGATAACATGACTTCGTGCCTTTGTTCTCATCGTCTCTTTCAGAGCGGCAATTTCCAGGGGTCGAAATTTATCCCAGCCAAAGCGCCGGATCAGTTCAGCAGATTTGAGTCCGTTCTGCTCTCCTATCATCTCGTCTAGGTCGACAAAGGTCCAGGACAATAACTCCGCAAGCCATTTGCCCATGGTCGTCTTGCCTGTTCCCCTCATTCCAATGACAAAAATAGATTGGTGGGTTGCCATTTCATTCTGAGCGGTTGAATTTGAATCCATATTGCTTTTTGTAGAGATATTTCGGTGTTTGTTCATTGTGAAATTCAGCCCGACTGGACTTTGAATGGTCAAGGTACAGCGTACCGACCGGGTCTCGGCCAGCAGTGAGTGTCCAACCTTGGGAAGAGCCGCCGGTGACAGGACTTAGATCCGACAAAAGATAACAGATAGGTTTAATAGCTGGATCCAAGGTTGCGGATTGACAATGGATGAATACTATATTCCCCTTATCCCTGGCGAAAGAGAAAAATTCAGATGGAGTCATTTTGGACTCAACCTTCAGTGCGGACCAATGTAATATCAGCATTCGCAACTTGACCCACTTCAACAACAACCCATACGGCTCACTTAATGATGTCATTTTCAAAACCTCAATAGGCCGAGTCTATTATCATTTCAATAATGTTGGGCTATGCTTCTATTTTGTGAGTCGGCACCTTGGCAGATCATGAACACAATTACAAAATGCCTCTGTTACTGAATGATGTACTCCACAAATTCTCCACGGAGAATACAGCGCAAAATAGAGCGATCGGGGTCCAAGCGCTCCCACTGTGAAATCTACCAGGGGTAAGGACACCTGAGTGAAATATCCCGGGGGACATAATCATAACAGTTCAGTAAAATCGAATTTTAGGACGCACATGTGCAGTATCCATTGACACTAATCATTTTGGAATTCTCCGCGGGTGCTTCCCCTGAAGCATATTCAACCCTGGAAATCTATTCCAACCTCCCCGGGGCTTATTTAAAGATGACCACCCTTGCTATTATTGGGGCATACTTATCACATGGTAATCATGGGCTCTTATGCATCGGAATGCCCCGACTTTTGCAACGAGCAGGTTGTTCAACGCAATCGTCTTCCCACACGAGCTTATTGGATCCCCGAGGATTCTCTTCTTCTAAACGGAAGCTGGGATTTTCAATATGCACCAACGCCTTTTCATGAGGTTGAGGACTGGAATTCAATTCAAGTGCCAGGCCACTGGCAGTTACAAGGATATGGTAGGCCTCAATATACCAATGTTCCCTATCCTTTCCCTGTAGATCCGCCATTTGTTCCGACTGAAAACGCGGTTGGGACTTACAAAAAGTCATTCCGGGTCCCATTGAGCTGGACGTCTCCCGCCCAGATACGATTGAGGTTTGATGGCGTTGACAGTGCCTTCCATCTTTTCATCAATGGGGAGCAGATTGGCTATAGTCAAGGCAGTCGAAATCCCGCCGAATTCGATCTTACCGATCACATTCTTCTCGAAGACGACAATGAAATTATGGTTCGAGTGTATCAATATTGTGATGGGTCATATCTTGAAGATCAGGATCAATGGTGGTTATCCGGTAGGTGATTATGGACCTTTCCCCCTTGTGAACTTTTGTTACTCACACAATCAAGGTATTTTCCGGGATGTCTACCTCCTAGCTTTCTCAGCCAACGCGAGAATCGAGGACTTTTTTGTGCAGACCTGGCTGGATGGCAACTACGAAGATGCCGCATTACAGATTGGCCTTCAACTTCACCTTGACGCTACATCGACAATCAAGATCAAGGTCCGAGACCATGATTCCTCTCTTATCGGACAAGCAGTAGAGTCAGTTCCTGCTGGATTCCCAAAGATCGACATCAAAATGCATGTTTCAAATCCCAAGAAGTGGACGGCAGAAACCCCTTATCTGTATGACCTTGAGATTACCCTCGCCTCCCAGAATTGCAGGTCCCAAAAGATTCAACACAAGGTCGGCTTTCGGCAGGTGGAGCTTCGAAATGGAAATATCACAGTGAATGGTAAAGATATTCTTTTCCGCGGCGTCAATCATCATGACTTCCATCCATTGAAAGGACGCGCAGTACCACTGGAATTCCTGAAGCACGATCTCGTTTTGATGAAGCAACACAACGTTAATGCCGTTCGCTGCTCTCACTATCCCTCTCACCCCAGATTCTACGATCTCTGTGACGAGATCGGATTATGGGTGATTGATGAAGCCGACCTCGAGTGTCACGGTTTCATTAGAGGTGACGTGGACATGAAGAATGTGCCTCAGGAGATATGGCAGAAAGACGGCGCAGATTCGATCGAAGAGTATCTTAGTCCTACCCTAGCCAAGTACACCAGTGACAATCCTGCTTGGCGAGAAGCATATTTAGACCGCATCAGTCAAATGCTTCAGCGAGACAAGAACCACCCCTCTATCATCATCTGGAGCCTCGGGAATGAGGCCTGGTACGGATGCAATCAGGCCGCCATGTACGAGTACGCTAAAAAGCATGATTCGACGCGCCTCGTTCATTACGAAGGAGACAGGAAAGCCGAAACCACAGATATGTGCTCATACATGTACCTTGAACTCAATAATTTGGAGCGGAAAGCATTGGCGGAAGGTGATGAGTTTACCAAGCCTATCATCCTGTGTGAATACGGAATGGCACTTGGAAATGGGCCAGGCGCATTGGAAGAATACCAGGAAATATTTCACAAACATCGGCGACTGCAAGGGGGGATTTATCTGGGAGTTTGCAAATCTCGGATTGTGGAAGGAAGACAAAGGCTATTACGCCTATGGAGGGGACTTTGGCGACTATCCAAACGACAAAACATTCGCGTTGGATGGGCTCTGCCAGTCCGATCATACCCCCGGCCGTGGCATTATTGAGTACAAGAAGGTCATCGAGCCAGTGAAAATGAAAATCAGTGATGGCAGGCTGTCGCTTCATAACCTACATGATTTTGACTGGTTAGACAATCTCACTCTAGTCATAGAGTTAGCGAAATTCAACGGCCGGTGAGTATTACTTCTTTTCTGTTCTTCAACTCACAGTACTGATTTTCCACCAGTGAACAAGAAATGATTCTTCTCGAACGCAAACCATGTCCTACCGTCCGACCTTCTGAGACTATCACCCTGCTTCTCCCAGAGCTTCCTGATATCCAGAAAGATGTTTTAGAGTGCTACCTCAACATCAGTATCCAGCTCGATAATGCTACAGCATGGGCCAAAAGTGGTCACGAAGTTGCATGGTACCAACAACTAGTCAAAAGACGCGAATGGCCAACCTTGACTGCTGTTGTTCAGCACATGCCGATTGAACTTCAGGAATCTAAGAACTCCTGGATGGTTACAGGATGCAACTTTTTTATTCAATTTGACCGGGTCAGAGGCTGTTTAGCTGACTGGAGACTGGGTGGTCAACCGGTGTTCACTTCAGCACCAACTCTTGGAACCTGGCGACCCCCAACAGAGAATGACAAGAAATACGACGCGGCGCGATGGAGTGACTACGCCCTGGACAATCTCCAACGTCGTGTAATCTCAATCTCTCTGCGGTCCGTTAGCACAGATCATCTGGAAATCATCATCGAGGCTTATATCGGTGCTGTCATTCGGGACTGGGGCTTTGTGACCACAATCAAGTACGCAATTCACGGAGACGGCACAATGATTATCGAACACCACATTCGTCCTCGCGGATTCCATCCTTCTATCCTCCCTCGTTTGGGTCTTGATATGCAACTCCCTCCTGACTTTGAGACTGTGGACTGGTTTGGATGTGGACCAGAGGAGTCCTACGCCGATAAACGCAATTCTCAAAGGGTATCCTTGCACAGTCGAACCCCTGATCAACTCTATACCGCATACGAATATCCACAGGAAAGTGGTAATCGTGCAGGAACGCGTTGGCTTTGGCTAGGAGGCAGTCGGAATGTGGGGCTGGTTGTGGCGCGAGTGGATGAATCTGGCAATGCAGGGGGCGAATTTGACTTCGCGGCTCTCCATTACACTCCCAGAAATATAGCAGACGCACACCACCCGACAGATCTAGAAAGGCAGGAAGACGTGTTTGTTCGACTCGATGCAGCGCACGCAGGCTTGGGAACTGCGCGATGTGGGCCTGCGACACTTGACAAGTACCGAGTTCCATGTCGCGAAACCCGGTTCGCATTTGTTTTCAAGCCGACTTCTATGTGAGCGTCGAACAGCATTTTCTGTTATAGGAATTCTTTGCCAGTTCAATCATATTTGGTTTTTTTCCCTTCAGATGAGGCTATAGAAATTAGTATCACTTCGTTTATTTCATGTAATACTTATTTTCACAAAGGGGTAGGTAGTTTCCAAGGTTGATTTCATTGAATGATCAGTACCAAGGTCATAGCAACAGAAGGGATAGAACGGCATTTCATCATCTGTATGCGTAGCCTGAAAACCTCTAAACAGCTTGCGGAGGAAATGGATTGATGTAGCAGAACCCGAAGTAGGTATGAAAAGTGTCCTGTGTGGTTTGTTACGCATCTCTGTGTGAGGCAGAAGGTGATAATTGAGAGGACTAGGTGGCCTACACCTAATCTGACATCTGGAACAATAGCTGACTACGTCCCACGGGGGGTGTTTGATGATAACTTGAAACTTAGATGGATGTATGGATCCAGGCAGCAGGAATTATATTAATTGAGTGCCTGCCAGTTGGCAAATGTTTGAATCTGACATATACTAGACATAGTTCTCCTAAATCTCCGCAAATGGAGTTAATCAATACTGCCAGTATGAGTATTTGGCTTAACAACGATGAAAACATTAAATCGTGATAGGTTCAAAGGGGTATTTGGAAAGCCCGACTGGTGAAATGTTGAAAATCCCTATACAAAGCTCCTTACGCTGTGAAGGCTTCGACAAGGTAAACAACTATGTATACTTGAAGTGGGAGGTGGCCAAAACTATAACCCAAGCCTTCTGTATTGATCCCCTTAAACATCAAAGGCCCACACCATCCCCTTCGACGATCCCCACCCATCTCGACCACTCATGCATCCGACTGCTTATCCCCGACATGAAGAGTGTTAAACACGGTTTGAAGATTCTTAGCCTCGAGACTCCGCTTGACAGGATTGTGTGCTTGGAAAACCTCATCAAGCTCTTCCAGGGTCCTGTCTTTCGTTTCCGGCCAGAATAGGTAGATAAAAACCACCTCAAACAAATCCCAGCCGATAAAGACGATGTAAAAGTAGTATTTGATGTGCTCAAAAGCAGGACCGGAGCCGTATTGGATGATAGCAGAAGCACAGGCTGTGAAGAATTGGGCCAGAGATTTTCCCTTCGCGCGTGCGTTGGTGTCGAGGCACTCGACGACGTACATGGGAGACAGTGGAGTCCAGGCAAAGGAGTATGTAATGCCGAAGAGGTAAATAAATGCGATACTTGCGTTAGCTGTTGACCTCTGCTCTGGATGCTCATCTGCGACCTTTGAAAGAGGCGTCAAGATGGCGAGAAAAACGATGCAGAAGATGAGACTCAAAATGAGGAGTGGACGTCTACCGGCCTTGTCGAGGAACATCGTTCCCATGATCGAAGAAATAAAGCAAAGGGGTGCGTTGATGCCGTTTAGGAGAAGCTTCCGGCTTTCTGAGGTGATACCTGCGTTCTCGAGCATAACGGGAAGATAATAACTGGTGGATGAGTTACCAGACCATTGACCGAATATAGCCATTGAGAGAACACAAATCAGACGATGACGGTGGGATCTTGTCTTCCACAACTCTCTGTAGTCCCACCACTTCTTGTTTGATCCCTCAGCTGAGATCTGGAACTCCATTTCGGCCATCTGTAGTTTGACGATGGGGTGCTCTGGGCTGCCCTCACCGTGGTATCTTGCGAGAATATTCCGTGCTAATTCGGTTCTTCCATGACTGACAAGCCACCGAGGGGACTCTGGTAAGAACCAGACAGCCACAGAAATGATGCCGCTTGCAATGAACTGACAGTATAGGGGGGTGCGCCATCCATTAGTCTGGGTCTGCGTGCCGTATACAACCCAGGCAGCAACGATAGATCCAATGTACCTGGAAATAAATGAATGAAGGTTTTCTGTGGTTCACTAAGATGTTTGTCTTGCTCACCAGAAACAATTGTAAAGGCCGGTTAAGGGACCGCGCCAAGCGGGATGGGCCATCTCGGCAACATATACTGGTCCATTGACGTTGACGAAACAGACTCCGAATCCTAAGACGAAACGCCCACCCATGAACATTCCATGATTGATCGCTCGAGAGGTGATCACCGTTCCAAGTATGACGATTATCGCGCCAAAAAACATACCGGCTCGCCGTCCCCATCGATCACTCACAGGTCCGACGAATGGGACCGCGCACGCAGTACCTTTTAGACATTCATTCCATTAGCGCATCTTCTAAGTTTTTTTTAACATTCAGATAAGATTGAAGATACCGATACTGTAGATGGCAAATATAATACCAGTGCTTGAGGACGCGCTCACCCTAAGGTATCAAAAGTCAAGCGAAGCCAACGACACGGAGAGTAGAGGGACTCACATATGGAAATAGTCCTGGTAAGAAGTCATCGCATTGATTCCACTGAATTCAAATGTTTTATGAGTTAAAACTTGAATCATCCGAGTCACTACGGATATCTCGAAGTATTACTTACCCCATGACAGCACCATCGAAACCGTTCACGGTTGCGCATAGGTATCCAATAAATAAGCAACCGTACAAACGCATCATGCTTAGTGTCCAAAGTGAGGGTTTTATGTTGCCAACATCATTGGCCAATTCAGCTGCCTCATCAATATTGATTTGTATAGGTGCGCTTGAGTGCTCAGCATGCTGGACACTGGCACTTTTTCCCATTTCCCAGATCTTTGTCATTGTGAAGGATGAGGATGGATAGGAGATAAATTGATGAGCACATGGATGTGAGAACACTTAGAGGACATCTGGAACTTGAAGTTCTCAGCACATACCTATATATAGTACTTCGAAGTGCAAGCCCTAGAGGTTATGGCCGTACATTGATCAGGACTCCGAGTCCTAATTGCCGAGTCTGAATTGCTAGGACTGGAGTCCCCACCCCCGCATCACAAGTCATGCAAGGTCCAAGCACTCCAGAGCTTGAGTCCTAAATCCGGGGTCGTGCATCGTGACCTGCCTGTGGGTCGACGGATATCGCAGTGGTCCAGATGTCTCGGGAGCAAAGTAAATGGGCTCGGGAATTCAAAAATGTTCCTTCTGGCTCCACAAAAACTTCGCCAGGTGGAGCACTTGAGTCCTATTTATCCGTGGAGAAATCCATAACCGACCTCGGGCCCCATCCCTAACTAACCAGTTGACACAACCTCGGAATGTTTCAAAATGTCAAACGTCCACGGGTAATTTGTAACTTGAAGGTTTGACTCCAGACCACGTCCACGTGAAATTAGACTCTTCTCATCACCAGCTATCGAAGCTTTGAGTCGAATACGTTCTATGAGGGACCTCGGAATAATTCAAGTTATGGTGCCCAACCTCAACATTGAAGTGGTTGGAAGTACGCTAATAACCCTTGGAACATTTGCGTGTATTCCGTGGTACCGTACTTGTACAGGTTCAAGTTCTCAAATGAAATTGCGATATAAACCTCAAAATTTTACCCTGTGAAATTCATATTCTGTAGACTTAGATTTGTGAACATTTGGAAATTTCCAAATCTTGAGGTCTTACAACTTGAAAGAAAGAATTTCAACATTTGAACATTGGAATCCACCTGGGCAGAAACGTGGAGCCTATCTGGGAGATCAAAAACGTCACAGTGCACCAAGTTATACATCTGCCACAGTCACCGACTTCGTCCTTGTAAGGGAATCACTGGAGGGATTCCTCCCGCCGCGACTCGGCTGCTTTCTCGCCCAATTCCCTCATTTCGATCAAAACATCAGACGATTTTGAATCAAGACGTGAGAGTATGTCCAGGAGTCTTGTAAACAAATGATTGGCACGTACTCTGATGTGCCAAACTTCCACTTGATCCAGAACCTCGAGAAGTATACTGCCAACTAAACGAATCCTTTCAACCTAAAGTGTTTATTTAGTAAACGATCCTAGTATGTCTGAATGGTTCTTTACTCACCGTCGGCTCGCCTTTCACCAACAGAAAGACAAATGGGATATCATCCAGAGTTTGGAGAAAATCCTGAATCATCCCAACTTTTGTCATTTGGAAAGTCATGGGCTGGTTGTTCAAGCCCATGATATCGCATAGTCCGGAGTCAATGCATTGTTGTAGAATGACTAGGCGTAGACACTGGAACGATACCTGAATCGTACATCTTTGAACCCAAAAAGCTGTCTTGTGGAACTGCGCTGCAGCCCCATCGTTAGGAGAAAATATTACATGAGAGGCCTGTAGCCAATATGGAAGGCCGTCCATGATGCCTAAAAACGCCATGTATGCTTGCGAAAACCGTGACTTGTGGGCGTCGTTTACTTGTCCTTTGCACTTTCTTATATCAAAGATCAACCCAGCTGCCGTGTGCCAAAGACGCGGAATAAGATGGAAGGAAACCAGCATACGCTCCTCAAACACCACATCGTACCATGCCGTGGTAGTATCTAATTGAGGGATTATTGGTTTTTTGCCTGGATTGCATATCGTTGCCTCGGCGTTATACAACAGTTCATGTAAATGGAATGGGCGACTTCGCAAACATAATGATGCCTGATCCGCTGCATATATTTGCCAATAGATATGGCGGAGTAATTGGCACTCGAGGGGGTCATGAGACTGGAGTGAGTCTTCCCTGTATAGCTGCATGCTTGTGATGAGCAGCGTCGCTTGACCTAGAATGTGATAAGTCAACCTCGTTTTGCCGGTAATATTCTGCGAGGCAGTGGTATGGAAGATTCGCGTGACCATTGAAGACGAATTTGGATTCTCCACATCGTAATCCTCAATCAATCTCAGCATTTCGCGTGATGCATCAAGACATGGTTTCGCGATCAAATGCCGATACGGCAATAGAGAGCTTGGTATTACCGACGCGACCGACGCACACAATCCACTTAGAAGGGCAAAAGCTCGGATATGCGCGATCTCCTCTTCGGTTGTAGGTGCGGCGAATGACCTCGTGTTGGCGCTAGAAAAGAAGGCAGTTGCGTACTCCCGCACAGTGGGCTCATGTACGATCGGAGCAGTGGGAAATGTGTACTGCATGTAGAGATAGATGCAGCGGTCCACAATCTCAAATGGCATCATTGAGGGCATCACAGAGTGCATTGAGTCCAACAAGCGATCCCTGATGGTCTGTGCGGACAGGGATGCGGATGTTTCCTCTATTCCAGCCAAGGGGGGGCGATGCCAATTCTTCTAACTCCCCCGCGGGTGAATTCATTACATCTCGAATCTGAATTGGATCCATCCACAACGAACCATGAACATCATTGTCCAATGTAGGCGCTGTGTTCCGTCTTTCTAGTGGGGATCGTTGGACGTTTTTGGGTCCCCGCTTTTTAGGGACTGTCGTATAGTGACATGCGATTTCAGATGTTCGGCAATTTGCACAAATCTCCAGTGTCTGTTTCCACGTTAGTCCAATATCCGCGAAATTCACACCATACTCACATCGCATTTGACCTTTCGACGTCGGCAAGGATCACATGCACGGGTCGCCGCTAGACGTCTCGGGGGTGACATTTCGATAAATCCCTCGGGGCGCGACAGAAGATGAAAACAATAACTTCCAAGGTTGGGGGAAATGCCGCGGAGGAATACTAAAAAATGTGACTAAAATAAGTGATTTCCCCACAAATACTACGCCACAACATTTGAACTTGAACCCAAACTCCAGACTTATTCCCCATGATTTACACGGCATTATTGGAAACTCTCAAGATCATCTACATAGAAATTTGCTAAGAGAATTTACCTCAATTCATCTAGATCAATATGAGTTTATTGCTATGATGATCTCCTACGATCGATGAAAGTATCCCGCAGGTAATAGGCCGAATCCTTTATCGTCCGCTCCAAAGTCTCAAAATCAACATGAATTATCCCGAACCGAGGCCCATAACCAGCAGACCACTCTATATAAACAAATCTGTGTTAGTCCGAACATTGAAATACAGGTTGGATTTTCATAAAACGTACCGTAATTATCCATCAAACTCCACGCATAGTATCCATCAACGGTAACCCCATCCTCATATATAGCACGAGAAACCGAATCCAGGTACAACCCGAAGTAATGCTGTCGAAATGTATCATCAACAGCTGTGGAGACATCTTCCTCGCCCGAACAAGGGCAACCATTCTCCGTGACAGTAATAGGCAATCGGTATCGCTTCCAGATCCAATTCAGCAACTTCCGAAAACCTTCTGGCGCAACCCGAAGCCAACCGACCCCCGACACAGGCCCGATCTCTTTGCCTTCACTGTTAATTGACAGCTCCTCTGTGTTGCCAGTCCAGTCGTCCTCAGCCGGTGGATCAGATAGCGCACGTACAAACTTAGTAGAATAGTGATTCATTCCATAGTATGTGTTGATGGACGCAGCTCTCTGAAGGAGCTCGTGCTGCTTGGCTGTGAACGTAGGGAGACGCTCACCCAGGTAGGCGCGCATTGCGGCAGGGTAGTCCTGTCCGAGAAGAACGGGGTCTCCAAACCAGGCGATGTAAAAGAGCAACCGGCGCTCAGCGGCGTCGCGATCTTGGCTGCTCGATCGATCATATGGTTCGTAATAATGACCGTTTAGTACGATGGAGATCTCTCCGTTTTGGGACTCGCGGAATTCGTCCGCGTACATCAGAGCGACCGTGGCATGGGAGAGGATGATAGTGTGGCCCACAATCCATGGCTCGGTTTTCGTGTCAGTGCCGACATCGCGGCAGTGTCCCGGAGCTAGAGTGCCATTCAGGTGGGCGAAGATGGAAATTATATATGGCTCGTTGAATGTCACCCATCTCCGAACGCGATTCCCAAACCGACTGAAGCATATGTGGGCGTAGTTTGCGAAGTCGGCCTGGAATTCTTCGGTGTTAAGAAATGCCCCATACCGGTCATATATTGCTTGAGGTGCATCCCAATGATAGAGGGTCACCACGGGTGCAATATTATGGGCCAACAGTTCATCGATCAGATTGTTGTAGAATGCGATGCCATGCTCATTGATTGGGTCGTTGCGACCCCCAAGTGGAATGATGCGAGACCATGCAATAGAGAACCGGTACACGTCCACCCTCAGTGATGCCATCAGCGTGATGTCCGCTATGGTTCTGTTGTAGTGGTCGCAGGCAACATCTGCATTCTGCCCATTGGTGCGGGAAGGGCTCAGATGAGAGAAAGTATCCCAAATAGAGGGACCTTTCCCATCTTGACTGGCACCCCCTTCGATCTGATATGCCGCTGTAGCGGTTCCCCATTGGAAACCAGACGGCAATGGAAGTCTCTCCACTTCACGATCAAATGCAGGTGTTTCAGGTTCAAAGGCTTCGACTATATCGCTGGCACTAAACATGCCTGCCTCTCGAGCCATTTTGGACGTTCAAAATGTTTCATCCGAATATATTGAGGTCACAAGGCTCGGAACTAGAAATATATGAATTTTTCTGAACAGGGCACCTGTCAGTGGGACGGTTCATCTGCGTAAGTTGTAACTGAAATAGCATAGTAATCACCTCCAGGGCTGGGAAGGCACTAATGTACGGATTAGTACTGCCAGTGACACATGTGCACTTGATCTATCGATCGATATTTCTCCATGGAATTCGAGGTTCAGTTGGCATTGACATACTCGTACCCGTGGACATACTGATGGATCACGTATTGCAACCTTGGAATAGAGCCATGGTGTACTTCCGGAGTAGTACCGTCCGAGGGTCTCTGGATATCTACATAAACTATAGTCCTCCATAGTCCTGAAGTTTTTACAGGACAAATAATGTTGCCATTTGCAGTTTGGACCTTTGGTGAACTCTCTTAGATGAACCGCGGAGATGTGATGGAAACCGGGGAAATTACCATTACAAGTTATTGTCCGCGGATCTTCCATAGCACAAATATCAAGTTCCTGATGCCTAAACACAGGGAGTATTCAAATGTTAACACAGGCACATATCGGAACCTTGGAAGTTTGCACATGTGGTTCGCTAGCTTGAACCGGTTTTTTATTCTATTTGTGGTTGACCCACAGTCACCCACTGAATCACTGAGAACTCCACTGATATGTTCTTCTATACGCGTATGCACGGACCTTCCAAGGTTCGGAAACTTGAAATAGCTAACGGCAAATGGTCATTACGCACTGTATTGACTGACTCTACTAGTGCTGATACGACCTCTCAATTGATTACGCGAACTTCGATTTCGGCACGGACACGATTACGTCGAATAGGCGCCCATAGTTCTGGCTGACGATCATGCAGTCCTGCTGAAGCCCCTCTCCGATTAGGCCTTGTGCGACAAAATATTCCAGGAAACATTGAGTCTTGCTGAAAATTTTAACCTGCCACAGGAATTGAAGTATAAAGTTTGGTCTTTCTGCTACGTTCTTCGAAGTGAATCCGACTTCGTCGCTTGACATCCCGATATGTACTTCTCAACAGTTCAAGTTTTCATAGGAACCTTGATCGTTGTATCAGCCCACGCAAACCAATACGCCCAGGAAAGCCTATATCCAGCTCCAAAGCGTGCGAGCAGGAATGAGCCGATTCAGGTGATCGAGCTCCCTCTACCTCCAGTTACCCTCAATGAAACCAAAGGCGGTTGTACCCGACAGGTCAATCCGCATGGGACTGGGTGTATCGGTGCAAACTCCTCCAATTTGCTAAGCGGGAACTTTCTTCCAGACGGGAATCATGTCACAGCTTCCTTGGTGTTCACTGGAGCACCGGATTCCCCCGATCCAAGAAGTAACTATGCTGGCCTCAACCTAATCATTGTTCGTACGAATGGAACACTATTCCCAAACGGTGACGCTTGGAAATGTATCACCTGTGGCGTACCTACGGACCAACAATATGGCTTTACATCTTCGATGGACTACCAGTATCCCCAAGCGTTTGCAGATGGTACTCGCGTTTTGGCGGGAACCTTCATTATCGACTGCGGGACTGCACAGCTGGCTAGCCCCCAGTGTACCCCGGATAAGGTCCACATTTATCCAATACGGTGGAATACTTCCCCCACAGGCTCCGGAGCTGGGGGCTCTATTCGTGAACTACGAAAACACCCAGACGATGTTCATATCACCTTTAACGCTATCTCCTACTCGGGCTCAACTGTGTCCCAGTATGCTTATTTTGCGCGGTTACAATTTAATCCTGCACCTACAAACGGAACACCACTCACGCCGCGATACGATCTGGTTAATGTGACTGGACTCTACTCCCCCAAACCTACATCTATGTTCTCCTTTGATGGAAAGAATATGACGATCAATGATCAGGCCATCGCGGTGGGAGAGGCACGTGGCTTGAATGGACTGGGGAACCAAGTTCAGTACCTTGGATTTCCTGCAGAATCTTGCAATATTGACATATTCGATATTAACCTAAAGAGTGGAAAGGTTGCTCGAATGACATATGGTCCTGAGTATGTCGATCCGTTTGATGTATCCCCAGATGGTGAATGGGCCGTAATAATGGACACTACTACTGCCAATCGCATGATGTTTCTATCAGGGATGAGGGGCGTTCCACCTCTTATTGATTCGCTCCTCACCGCTGCGATCTCATCCATCCGGAACAACGGTGGACGACGGTTCTTTGTACCGTGGTTGTACAATCGCGTCATTCCATATGTCAATTCTGACCACAGTTATGAAGGGCAGCAGTTAAATGCTGCAGGTGATGGGAGCCCGGGCAGTGTGAATGATCCATTCTGGAATGGAGGTGCCGATCCTCGATGGTCTCCAGATGGTACCAAGATTGCATACTTTCAACTGCTCACTGTAGCCCCGGACTGCGGTGGGAGCAATCCCTTACTGTGTCCTGTATCCACTGCTTCAGGCGGCCGCACCGCTCGGCTCATGCTAGCAACTCTCACTAGCCGCAAGCCCTTGAAAACGACGAAGTTGCAGCCTGTCTCCGATACCGTCCCTTGGGGTGATCCATATGTCCCAGGAAGCACCACACCATCAGTATCCAGCCTTTCATACGGCAACTTCACTTTAACTGGTCAAGTGAGCGGCCATGCTGATGTAATTTTCACTGCCAATAGCGCTGGGACTGCATTAGGAACAGTCGACGTCACATATCATAACTACTCTGATAATGGTGACAACTTCATTGCAGGCAGAGAGAAAGTGACTGCTTTATACCCCAACGCTACATTGATTCATGTGGATTGGATCTCCAATCTTTCTTCCACTGGAATTAGTAAGAGTACGAAGGTCACTAGCCCCGGTGGTTTCCATTTCGAAATTGACATTGAGGAAAACAAATTTTACGCAAACGGGACCTTGACAACTACTGTTGATGGTGTGATCTATCGACAGCCTTGTAATGGTTGCTGAACTACGCGAATCTTTCATGCCATCAAACTCGGTAGTAGGATTACTCACAAAGCTCCGTGTCAGTTAGTCAAGTCTTATGAACTCCACGGCCCATTTTCTTTTTGTGAGAAAGCAGGATTTTTTCTGATCATGGAAAGTTCAGTCACAACCGCAAGCTGTGTACGTGAGGTTTGTGGGTCGCTCTTTTTGTTATGCAGCCATCGGTTATAACATTTGTATTTGAATGAATGTTATTCACTCGTTTTATCACGATCAATCTGCCAACATCAGTGGTCCAATCTATAGATAGATAGTTCGGACCACCATGTTGTTGATATCCAGCTCTCAGTTCGTAGTTTCCTTCCTTCCCTCACGCTTCACCAGATATCGTTCCTTGCCTTCCTAGTTTGCGCCCTTTCTAGTACAATCGTATGCCAGTTCACAGTATGGATGTAAACTTGAACACACCTGTGGACATATACTTGGATTATGCCAGTGTCTACATCTAGTGGTACGACTCGGAAGGTAGAGCTCATGGGCCATTTGAGCTTCATACATGCACAGATCGATGCCAGTGTTGTATTTGATAAATTTCATCAAGTACAGCACATTGACCTCGGGAAACGCGTATATACTCTTACCGGAGCAGGTTATGTGGTAAACTCAACATCTAGAGCCCTCAAGTGCTGGAGGCTGTATTGTGCACCTGTGGGCTGTGCAACCTTGGAAAGATCGGAATTTTGGTTGGAATATTCGCAAAATTACTTCTCGGCTCCACGGACCACGGCGTACTCGTATAGATGAAACTTTTTTTCTTCTTTTCTTTTCTTTTTCTCGGCACTTAAGGGGCGCCGATCTCAAGACCCACTACTCCGTATGGACTGAGGACTCTATGGAGCCCTTTTCAAATGGTCTCCACTCTCAAAGAGAAGGTCTCATCATCTCCGGAGTACTCTTAAGTTTCTTGCCCAGAGCGGGTGACGACGCAGGGAGAGCGCTCAAGTATTTAGTCTTCAAAATTTCCAAATTTTGAGAGCACTGTTCTCCAAACATTCAAAAAACATGATTGTTGCTATCCTTACGCTGCTGCTGGCGGGCGGGTACCCTGTCATAGCTAACAACCAGTCGAGTCGCCATATCGCCGACGCTGTCCATTATTACACTAATGACTCAGTTAGACCCAGCTTCAACGCTCAGTATATTTCCTTGGGCCAGAATATTCAAAAGCCCACCAGCCCCTATCATGAATTCACATTGACATGGGATTCGCCTTACGCGACCCTTGACTATGGGGCTGAGGTGGCCGGTTTCCCTACCTTTGAGATCGCCAATATCGACAGTCCGGCACAGATTGAGGTCAAATACAGCGAGCAGCTTAGTGGATTAGCCGACCCTTTCAGTGACGGTCCCAGCTTGTTTGTGGCCAGTCTCGCCAACTCTTTCCGCGTGGAAACTTTTAACATCACCAGTCCTGGAAATTTGAGCTCTGAGCTCTTACAGGGAGGCCAGCGATGGCAAAGCATTTGCCTGCTTACTAGAAATACGGTAACAATTCGATCGGTTTCGTTTAAGTCATCGGTCGGTGTGGTGGACACTGATAACCTTCCCGGCTCTTTTCACTCGTCAAACGAACTGTACAACGAGATTTGGAATCTGGGTGCTCGGGCAGTCTCGCTGGCATGCTTCGACGCAGGATCACAGAAGCCTACCATGAAGGTCTCTCGCCAAGGATCTAAGGTTTCCAGCAGTGTCCCCAACTACTCATCTTTGAGTTACAACTTTACCGAATACGATCTGGAATTCGATGCTAAGATTTCCCGAGGAGGTTTCATCTGGGCAGTTGGCTACAATTTTGGCATTCGCTCATCAGGGGGAATTCTCATGAACTTGGCTGGCAATTACCCAGATGAGACAACATACCTCAACACAAACAAGACACTATTTCCCCCGTCCACTATCACCCTGGCGCATGGCGTGAACTTCGTCAACGAAACCACTTTGACATCATACAAACTGGCCTCGTTTCAGCTTCCATTCGACGTGGAAGAAGACGTATGGTACCGAATCTCGACTAGTGTTCGCTCTCAAGGTTTGGCTGTCAGCTTGAACCAAATCCAGCTATTCAATGTCTCCCTATCTAGTTATTATGCAGGCGGATCTTCAATTTCAACCTCCGGTGCCTTTGGCTTTGGCGCTTGGCAAGATCAGTCTGCCTATATTCGTGAAGTCTCTGTCCGTGATACCTCTGGCCATTTTGTTTATCAGAACTCCATGACAAACGCCACCGCCGTTCTCCCTGAGTACGGCCAGCATGAAAACTATTTTCCAACTTGTGTGGATGGCGCGAAGCGCGATCGTTTGGCTTGGCTTGGAGACTTCCTGCATACTGCCAGAATCATTGGAGTCACAACCAATCGCAGTGATCATATCACTGGCACCTTCAAGCTGCTTCTGAGCGATCAGCTTTCCACCGGCCAGCTACCAATGGCCCCGTCTCTTGGCTACTCGCCAGACATTGCACCGAGGACATTCGCAGTCAGTGGTGTTGCATACCTGCTGCCGGACTATCAGATTCTTGGTCTTATCTCTTTCGCTTCCTACATGGAGCAGTCCGATGACACGGGATTCGCCCGTGAGCACTGGACTGGGTGGAAGGCTGCCGTCAATTGGCTTGCAGAATATCGCAGCAACTCTACTGGACTCATTGACTTTTCGTCGTTCGGCAATGCGTTCCTGGGCCCCAGTAGTGGCTCAGCCGTCAATGCCGCCTCTGTTGAGGCATTTAAGGGCATGTCCACTGTTGCTTCAGCTGTCGGAGATATATCGTCGGCTAAGAAGTGGGCCGAGATCTCCAAATCCCTCCAAGCAAGTCTCAATAACGAGCTGTGGAGTGATGAATATGGCGTCTACTCCATCCAGAAGTCGCAACCCGGGAACTTCTCTCTTTCCGCTCTTGGATTTGCCATCACATCCGGATCGGCCAATGCCACTCAGATCAAGCTTTCGTTGGCTAAATTATCGTCTCTCAAGCTGGGACCGGGATATCGTGACTCGAGTCTGGTCGCCTCATCAGATTCGAGCGCAAATCTGTCACCCAACACAAATGGTTTCCTTCTCCCAGCCTTACTACAGGAAAAGCAGGCAGCTCCTGTCGCATTCCTGTTGGAAAACCTCTGGGGCGCAATGGTCAGCAATGACTCTACCAAATCCGGTGCGACCTGGGAATATGTGAACCAGAAATCCCAGCCAGGCTATGGCCAGTTCACCTCTCTCAGCCATCCTTGGGGCGGAGCTGCTACATATGCACTTACCAGCTATGTGGCTGGTATTCGGCCGGTGACCTTTGGGTATAAATCGTGGATTGTGGAGCCGGCCTACGCAGGATTCGGATTGGGTGGAGTGAACGCGACAGCTCCAACACCCCATGGACCTTTGAGCGTTGCCTGGACGGTGCACAACAATGTCGTTACGGTGAACATCGATGCCCCAGCGGGAACAACTGGAAAGCTAATCTTAAGCAAAGACTGGGCATGCCAGGGTGAATCTCCGAGCCAAAATTGTGCTCAGGTCAAGGATTTTGTCCGTGAGATTGAGGGAGGAAGCGTACATCATTTCACCCACCCAATGCACGCTTGATCAACTACCGACGGTAGTGGATTCTGTTGCATGCTCTTCATTCCCTAGGTCACTGCCTGATTCCACATTTCGGCCTGTGAGCAACACTATGAGAGTTGACCCATCTATCTATCTGATAGCTAGAATAATCTTCAAATTGTCTTCTCGTTTAGCACTGACATTTTCATTCGGGCAGCCTTTCCCCTGTCACACTCCAGCGATTTCAAGCTCTCATGCGATATTTTCATTTGTGTATCTCGCATAGTCACGTATCACGAGCGATCTTTAGCCTAGTTGATTCAATCGATGAAACTATTCTGTGCGCTTCAACTTGATTCGGATCATGAGCATAAATCCATTATATTTGCTCAAACTTGAGGCTCCCCACAAACATAGTCCTATCTCTATCAACGCACGGCGCTTGGAAATACCCCCTCGTCTGGGCAGAATTCAAAATTTTCAGCAGTACTGGTGATGAGCTACTTTCATCTCCTATGGAAACATGAGTGTCGTTCATCGCTGAGAAAGGAGGTCTTTGATAGATTGCCCAGGTGGAATTCATGAAATTTCACAGCACAATATACAAGTCAATGGATTGAGATTAACATCAATGCTGTGTATGAATAATCAGCTGGAGATTGCTCATGTGGTTTTCTCGATTCGTGGCCCTGGATTGGATTCCACCAGTCCACTTAGGCAGATGCCTTGACTCACTTCCTTTCAGGGCTGTTTCCACTAGCATCTGTAGCGGCGATTCGAACCAGTCTGTCCATCTAGAGCTCACATACTAAATATACTTGAACTGATTCGTTCAAAATTTGGTCTCCATCACCAAACACCCACTTGTCATGGTGAGGATGAATTAGTGCACCATAATGTGCGAGAGCCACCACCGAAGCTTCTTCTTCTCGTGCCGAAAGCAGGGCGACAAACTCTCGAGTCTTGAACAGACGACCATATGTAGGCCAGATAGAGATAACATCTATAGTCCTTGATTTGTTGTCAGATGATTCCAATGCAATTATTACAGACTGCAAAGCCTGAATGAATGACCACTCCAAGTATGTACAGCCCTGGAGTTAGCCTGCATAAAATGATCATATTAACTTACTACTCCGGGCTGAGCGTTCCATCGTGACCTTCCCTAAGCGCAATCCAAGGTATTCTATTTCAAATGTGCCACATATCAATTTATTTTCACGTTTTATATTCATATATACTAGTCTGATCTGGTCAATCTCGCAACATATAATGCACTTTCTCCACACTGATAATCAGGCCGAGGTGGCAGTCTTCAAATAGGGCTGTAAGGCACTAGGGTACCAGATAGCAAAGGAAACCATGCCGGTGAACATGGGGACAGCGTCAAAGACGTAGGTAGGCCATTCATGTCCCAAAAGGTACCCATCATTACCTAATCCATACTCAACCACACGGAAAATAGACCGAATGAGAATCATAGCGCTGACAGTGTATAGACTGCGAAGGTGCTGCTTCCAGGGTATATCATACTGAAGAGCTGCAGGCGTGGGTGTTTTGTCCATCCGTCGGGAAAAAGTGACTGCGGTGATGACGAAGATTACAAAGGTGACAATCTGCAAAACTAGGCCAGCTAGCACAATATATTGTCCCGTATTGCTTAGGCTGCTCTCGGCCATTAAACCAGCTCCACCACCTTGAACAAAGAATGTCAAGATATCGCAGGAAACGAAGATCTTGGTGATCAAATTGATGCGGATAGGAGAATATAGCTCGCCGTTAACGGCGCGGATGATGCGGGCGAGGACCATGTAGATGGCGGCTGCGAAAAGCGTTGGTGCAAGAAGGACGAAAATGCTTTGGATAATATATGGCATAAGTTTTCCAGTGTTGCTACTGGAGCCTATCCGAGCGGCATATCCGATAAATTCGACTTTAATAATCCGGGTTCATCAGCATAGGTATACGCTAGAAAAACTGATCTGGGATGGTCGGTTAAAAACTTACATAAACCACCAATGGCGAAAGGAATGGTGAAGCAAACTTTCGTCTTGAAAAGCTTCCAGAAATGATATGAACTGACAGCGCCGAAGAGGATAACGAAGATAATGGATGCGGCTATAGAGGGGACATAGTGCCAAATGTAATAGCCGCCCTTTAATGGCTCTAAATTGGTCATCTTGCGACAGACTCGGAGCTAAATTAATTGTTGACTTTCAGGGTCCAGCTGTCGAGTTCCAAGGTTGGTCCGAACGATCGAGGATATAATTGTTGATGACCTCAGGATAGCGTTGTGTAGGTGACTAGATCAAGTGGGGTAAATAGAAAAGGGTCTTCAAATTTTGTGTAGGATCAGGATCCACGCTTCATTTAAAGCAATAGTATCACACTAGAAACCCATCTTTTTTGGAGAGGAAGATTTCTCTATACGCGTATTCCAGAAGATAAACCACAAATATTAGGTGGTCTGTGCATACGCGTATAGTCTACAGTTACGGGGCTCCACATGGACCCACTGATCTAACACGTGGAATTTACGGATTGAAACAGTAAAAAAAAAAGACTTTGAATTGAAGCGTATTTTCGTAAGAGCCTGGTATTATAACAATGTTGGGCTAGTCCACTGAGATAAGTTGACGCCTTTTCGACGTAAATGCTCACAAAGTCAATAATTCCCGTCGCAATTAACATGACGAAACTAATCATGAGAATTTGATATCTCACCCAGGATAAAGACTAATTACTCCGAGAGAAATAAGCATGCAATTAGATAAGTCTTAATTAAGGGGGTTGAAATTCTGCTGAATTTCTCTTAGGAGTAAATTGACCGTATACTGTAAAGTACTGTCTCATTCCAAAAATTCTATACGCGTGTTCAATGTTCGAGGCACCCGCCAAGGCCAAGTAAATTTGGGTCACCCGGGCGCTAAGCCAGATATAATTCACCCGTGGAGCCTAAAGTATGCGTATGTGAAGTATTTTCTGAGATTGGCCATCGAGCTCCTGCGTTTAGATGGTTTCAATTTTAGATTTAAAGCTCTACTGTGCTTCCTTTCTATTCATACCGATCGCAACCTTCAAACTTGAATACTAGAACGTACTAGTATCCACTTTTCGATGTCTCTCTTCAAGTTCCAAGGTTAATCTTTCATTCCAAGGTTATATATTCCCACCTTTGAAGTTTTACATTCGGGTTGCCTTCTTTCATTTCGTTTACTAGTACCCTTTCTGCCAGTCCTGGAGGTGCTTTCAAGTTTCTCTCTCTCTCTCTCTCTCTCTCTCTCTCTCTCTCTCTCTCCCCAAAAGGTCCAAGGACTTGACGTGGTCTTCTGTTCTCAGGCTATTCTCACAGACCGACTATCCAATATGCAAGATATTGCCCCTCGCTCATATACATTTTGGTATTATACTCCATCACTGGCTGCGGCAGTGATCTTTATGCTTATATTCATGGGATTGACTGGACTGCATTCCTGGAAATTGTTTACGACTAAAACATGGTTTTGTATCGCTTTCACCCTCGGTGGTTTATGTATGTTTTATACCCTTTTGGAATCGATTGATCAACACAGACTCTCAAGACGTTCAAAAGCTAACATAAGGACTCCTTATCAGTTGAAATAATTGGCTATATCGGTCGCGCTATTGCACATAACAACACTACTACTATGGGGCCATATATCTTGGCAAACATCTTTCTTCTACTCGCTCCTACACTATTCGCCGCCTCCATTTATATGACTCTCGGCCGTTTAATCCGTCGTGTTGGAGCAGAACATCTTTCTATTATCCGCGTTTCGCGCCTGACGAAGACCTTTGTCTAGGGTGATGTTTTGTCTTTTGTCGTCCAAGGCAACTCATCGTCTCTCTCAATTCTAGGATGTGCTCAATGGGCAAAAGTAGCAGTTCTCGGTGGACTAGTAATCCAGCTTATATCATTCTCCATTTTCTGGATCTCAGCCCTCGCGTTTGAGAGGCGTATTCGTCGTGAGCCCACCCCCGAGTCTCTCTTCCCGGGAATCCCTTGGAAGAAGGCATTGTACATGCTATATGCTGTCAGTGCTTTAATCATTGTTCGCTCAGTTTTCCGAATCATTGAATATGTGCTCGGGAACAGTGGATATCCCTTGCAGCATGAGTGGACGCTCTATGTTTTCGACTCCGTGCCGATGGCAATTGTCATGATCATATACTTCATATGGTATCCCAGTGATATCAAAGCTAAGATTGATGTCGTGGGAAGCATGCCCCTTGCGCATGTGTATTCGGAGGTTTGATTGAACCCTTTAGAGTCCGGATGGTTCTCTAATATTGTTTTTCTGGATTTCCTTTCCTCCAGTGTTCCGTTCGGATTTGAATATTCTTTAGTTCGTGGTCTCTCACTTTTCTTCCTTTTCTTTTGTTTTGATAAAAATAATCGCATTGCAGGCGTCATTTGGTTGAAGTTGCAGTGCTGCCCAGGTGTCTGAAAATCATACAGCCATGTTTAGATATAAGAAGTGTTCACTACCCCGAGGCCCACAGCCATAAAGCTATGTCCATATCAACTCAAGCTTCCTATACATAGTCACTGTCTTAGTATGAATCATCCTCACGGTCTATAAGCCTGAATTTCTCAACAACTAGCTTGTCCTGTAAGCCTCTCACTCTCCATTGCCGAGACATCCCTTGCCCATCCTCACGTAAAGTGGTCATTATCGCCTTTTGGGTACTATCAAAGAAGGCAGCTTTAAAGCTTCGCTTGACGCCTTGCCCGGGGTATGCGAGAAGGTTGATGGGGGCTGTAGAGTATGTGGCGTCAGCATAAACCGACCCTTAGAAACATCAAACAAGTAAGGTCTTACCGTGGCCCATCTTAGCAATCACGCCAAAGGTTCCCTTAAACAATCTAGCAGCAAAGCCTAGTGCGCTTCCGTCTCTTGCATGTCTGTAGGGTTGATAGAACGGATCGACGCAGCTTTCAGCCATACTAACAGCAAAGGTCTTAGCCCCAGCCAACATACCAGACTTCCAGTCTGTAACCTTATCAGTGTGACGAACATTCCCTCCACATAGACCCGGAAGTACACGAAATCCCTCGGCAGCAGCTAAAGGTACGTCAATCATGGTACCGGAGACAAATTTTCCCAGAAATCTTCCAGAGGCTTGAGCTGACGCGACAGCCATAGCGCGAGCTTTGCCTTTCTCCTCCAGATCTGATATATTGGCCTCTGTCAAATACGGCATGGATCGAGCTTTCCGAAGCGCTGGGGAACTTCCCACCGCATCTGGCGATGGTGCCAGGAGCAGCTGCGATGAGATTTTCGGTCATTCTATCGAGGATTGAGAGTCTTTGTCACCTGCCTTGTAAACTCCGTAAGGTTTGTAGATAATATTTCCTCCCGCCTTCAGCATTTCAAATGCCATCCCCAAGCCAGCCGAGGAAACGCCTGTCACCAAATCCCAACGTTTGTTCTCGATGTGCATAGGGCATAATTGATATCTTTATAATGGAAAGATCAGTTTCGAACCTGCGATGAGTGATATTTGAACTTAACAGTTTCAGCTTCGTCGGGTCTAGCACGTGGTTCTCGGCCAGGATTTCCGCTGCAACCTTGGATAAGTGATATCGTCTGTTCCCTTTCTTGTATCTCCAACAAGCTGGGAATTGCGGTAGGACGTCACATTCCGTCACGCGCGGGAGGTTTCTGTGGAAAGAGGCCACGGCTGCCTCCACTCCTTGGTCTTGCTGCATTTTATTTGCGACACCCTGTGCGGTGTGAGTCGCCTCAGGCGTCAGACAGTAACGAATTGCCTGCACGAGGTTCGATACATTTAGTTGCTTATACGGTATGGGATCTGGGCCTGCTTCAGCTGCGGAGATCATATCCCCCAGAAGCATTGACTGGAGAAGATGAGTCAGAAAAGGGAAGAGGTCATGGCACTCCAGTTAGATTACTTACTCGCGGAAGAATGGGACAACGACGGTTGGCTTGCCATTTCGCAGCCCGCAGGCTGTTGTACAGGCACCGCCGTGGTGTACAACGGCTCTCACATGTTGAAACAGCCATTCACGTGGGCAATCGTCCAAGTAAAGTACATGAGGCAGGATTGGTCCGCCCAGCCTACTCCATCCACGAGATATGATAACTCGAACACCAGTCTCCTGGATCGCTTGTAGAAGAATCTCCGTCATACCCCCGGGATTTTCAATGACGATGCTACCGAATCCAACGTAAATTGGGGGAGGTCCAGAATGAAGAAATCTAATGAGTTCCGAGTCTGGCTCATAATCTGGTGTTTTGCGAAAGAAAAAACCGCATACATCTAATCTCTGTGCTGTTAGGTATCATATTTTGAATGCAGAATTATGGGGAAGAGCCAAACCTATATTCGCGAGCCAGTCATGTGGCTTGGAAACAAGACCAGGGGACCAGCAATATGTGTAGGGGATTTCAAGGTTCTTCAGGAGAAAGGGATCATCAGATGAAGATATAAACTCTAATCCCACTTCATGCTTGCGCCAATCATTGATAACTCCTCCAAGACTAGACAGAGATGATTGAAAAGATTAGCTTCCTCCATCATATCATAGAACGGGAAAATTCGTGGCGTACCCTTGCCAAGATAGCCAATCCACCACTGAATAAGAGACACGGTTAATCCAGTCCTGATCAGGAGGGATGTTATATAGGTTTGCTAAAGGATGGGGAAAGGCTCGAGTTGCGGTCCATGGCATTGTGAACATTAAGTGGTGGGATACCGAGAGCCTGGGCACAATAACATGCGCAAAGCTGGGAGGATTGGCGATAATAGCTTCGGCAACAAATGGCGCATTTGTAACAGGATCAGGCATTACACAAGAATGCCAGCATCCATGAAGAATTTCTGCCATCATCAAACGATTCTTTTGGATGTCACCCTTTTTTAGGCTGTTCACACTAGGAATGAGACCGGGATTCTTGACCATATAAGACATCAAGTCGGCTGGGTCGCCGCCTATGGGATAGAACTCTAGTCCAGCTTCTGCCACAAAGTTCTCAAAAACGTTGTGTGGCGATCCGGACACGATGTCCGGTTCGTTGTAGTTCCGTGCCCAATGCGAGAAAAGGCTGAAGATCTCCCCCGGCTTCCCACGATTTGAATGACGATATTGAGATTTAACTCGGCGGTGCGAGAACTAGGTCTTCGTAACATGGCGGGAGCCCTGATGGAGGTGGGGTTTCAATGGGAGACGTCGAAATTATTCTGGACAGAGTCCGGCACAGTCGAGAGCTCGCATCGATCGAAATGCGACCATCATCTATCTATTTTGTTAGACTTGGTATCTGATACCTTGTAATGTATCTTCTCACCATTGACTCGAATACCCTCTAAGTGTTGTGGTACCGCCTCATATGGCGGAGGCTGATCCTGAGGTGGTTCTGTTGCCATACTAGCTTCATGGTGCTTCATAGTCATGCGTAGTAGGGTTTGGGAGTGATTTTAAACAGAACTGAATTAACACTGACACGGGTTTGAGCTATGAGAGGCAAAAAGAGCAACTCCAGTTTTGTCTGTCAGAGGAAATTGTTGACAGGTAGAGATCATCACATATGGTAGATACACGATGGACATGGAATGGACTTGTTTACGGATTTCCCTCCGCTATTCTGCAAACCTCCAAGTTCACTAAATTGATGATTTGGCTCTTTCTTGCTGTTCGTTCCGGCGAAACGATTCGGAGTGAATATACGCGTATAGATAAACCTTTAAGACCCATGTACTACGACCCACTCAATAAACACCCAGAATCAATAGGACAAATTATAATTCAAGTTACCAAATGCACTTATTAAACCAAAAAGGACGGCGCTGAATCGACTTTTATTCAAGACCCACTACTGAATATTACGCAAGAAATTATTTGCAACATTCTATCTACGCAACTTGAACAATCTAAAAGTGTTTTACCATTGAGGTTCTAACTATCCTTGGATATGAGAAAAATACTGGCGCGAGAGAATCATCTAAAATCAACCTCGTAGGATCAGCACCATTTGCTTGATTAATGGTTCTATGAAAACGACCATTCTTGAAAAGTGGGTTTCGAGTGAGACGACTCAGATAATTGCGCCCTACAGATTTCCATCACGTTAAGACATGATCTGGACCCGCAGTATGATACCCAACAGGTAACGGAGCGACTATCAAAGAACTCCAAACCTAGTAATTAATATTCACTGAGCACTTGAGTTTTTCCAATAATCTAGAAGCTTGAAATCATCCATTGATTTTAGTGTGCAACTGGTCTGGTATTTAAACCGTTGGCAGTCTATGTATCAATAAGAGCAGACTCCCGGTAATGCATAGAAACTTCGTGGTTCAAATAACCAATATTCTATCCTACAAGGAGAATATGCTATCTCTATCTCCGCGCTATTTACGATGTGTCAGTCTAGTTCACTCCCGGGTGTCGGTGAATACTAGTATATTCAATCCAGCAAGACACGATAAAGTAGCAACCTGAACCTTGAAGCTAGTATTGACATATCAAGAAATTCCTAGGGTCATGCTTTCTGACGGACCTAGATAACTCTTCCGCGCACCACCTAAGTCTATCACAAGCTTTTCCAAGAGACAGTTGCAATTTCTCAAGCGGATTTGAATAAGGTGTGCGCCCGACTTCGCCAAAGAAATGGTATGTCTGCGTGTCCAAGCCCCGGTTGGGCACTCTTCAAACCACCCAGCTGGCAAATCGCCAGGGGGAGCATCACCAGGGCTTGGTGCATCTGGTACGAATCGCTGAGTAGACGGAGAAGATTTGTCAACACATAAATCATACTTTAGTGGATTTTCAGGCTCAAAGTTCATTGTCATGGTAAAGTAAAGCGTCAAAATCGCATCGGACGCAGGATGAAATGTAAAAAATGGGTATTGCAGACTTGGAAGATTGTCCGCCTCCCAAATGGGTCTCTTCAGTCCCACAGAGCCTACACCTGTACGACTAAGATGGGGAAATATATCATAAGGCATCTTGTTTGTATTGATGGTGATGAGGTGAGGTGCATTGATGGAAACATGTCTGTCACATTCGATAAATCCCACAAAGCCTGCTGGGGCCTCTCGGTTCTGAACTGGAACATGGACATAGTCAAAGTCTCCCATGTCTGAACGAACTTCGAGTAGCCCCTCAGCATCAAACCCAGCCGGTACCTGGTCCCAGTCAACGGTGACGTGGATCCGGGTAGTCTCTGCAACAGCTAGAGTGCCAGACGAGAGAGACGTTCGAACCCAAACAGACTCCGAGGAGACTGTCCAGCGGACAGATTCTGTTCTGTGCGAGTACAGCTCGAACCATCTGTAACTAGGTCCAAAGGGCTCCATTGGGGGGACAGTCACACCAGCGACTCGCGCACGCCGAGACGGGTGAGTTCGGTCGTTCTCTTCACAAACAAGCCCGGGCGTACACCTTTATGGCATTCAACTGCGATCCCCATGAAGCCCATTATGGCACTAGCCTTTTGGCGTGTCTGAACGATGCACAGACCAGGCACTATATCGCGGAATGGTGTAATGTCACACTCCCAACGACAACCATAGTGTGGCTGGCTCATTATATTATTCCATTTACCATCTAGCATTTCGTGGTACTCGCAAGATAAATCATAATCTGCATCAAAGAGACGTAACACTTCATTTGCGTAATGATTTGCCGAGGTACGGCGTTGCTCAGCGTAGAGCTTGTTCTTTGCCAGCGAAACTCTCAGTGTCATGTAGATCTGAGAGGCTTTGATTGGGTGGAGGATGAGCTGATAAAATGCAGGCTTGAATTCGGTTTTCACTGTGTCGTACATTTTTGTCGCTCTGTCCAATAGCTTGCTCCATTTTTGCACTACAGTCTCGGCCTCATCTTAATTGATCACTGAAAAGGTTTCGGCTTCGATGAATTCGTGTTTACTAAGGGCCATCAGTTGATCATAGCCGAGACGAAGCTCTGCACATTCTCGGACCCCATCTTCGTCAAATTCGAAATGTGTCTTAATGAACTCTTCAAAGAATTCTGGGAGCTGAGAGGGTTTCAACGCGTCTATCTTCCAGGCTTTCATTAGCGCAAAGGACATTGGTACTTCCATTGGCTTGATGTCGCCAACATTGAAAATCCAGATTCGGTCAACACCATTTTGATAAGTCTCATCGAGCTGATGCCAAACTTTAGGTAAAAAGTTGCTGTTGAGCCATTTGTAGGTTGGGGATGGCCAACAGACTCGAAATGGTAATACAACTAAATTGACTTCAGCAATGTGTAAAACCTTTGGAGAAGGAAGTATGACAACTTACACCGGCCCCACCGGAGCGACTTTTCTCCTTGTCAACGGGAAGACGACGAATTGTTCCTTGATTGTCATCCGCTAGAAGTAGAGTCACATCGCCCTGGATCTGAAGACCTTTCTCATACTGTGTGAGGAGTTCTTTGTACAATGCAATAAGCCCTGCGTACCTGTCAGTCGTCAGTCGTCGGTCACTCACGCAAGAAATATATAAGAGAATGATACATACGTCATGGCTCATTTTCACTGTCATGGGACTCTTTAATGATCGATCTCTGCGTGTGAATGACCTCCTGCAACGCTTTCGTCGCATCAATAGCCTCAATCTTGCGGTCGCCTTGCCCTCTCATTCCAAATGTGATATAACCCTCGTGTGGCTGGGCAAGTTCCGCGCCTTCTTTGAAGAATTGTGTAATCTTTTTTTTGTTCTTATACCAGGACCAGCTTCCATCGGGCTCGTTGTAAGGTTCTGAGAACCATTCATTGGCGGCACGCTGCATTGACTCATGATGAGAGGTAGAAATCACTATGCCATATCGATCAGCAGTCTCTTGATTTAAAGCGTCATCAACAAAGAAGCTCTGTCCTGGATGAGGATAGCCAAACCACATGGCTGGCCAGAGGAAGTTGGCCTGCAATAAACATACGCAGTCAGATTTGGTTTGATATCAATCACGAGGGAGGGAAATCCGGACCTTGAGTCGCAGGAGAAGTTCAAACACCTTCTTGTAAAACTCCACGTTGAATTTCGGTCCAATCTTTTCATTGACCCACCCAGTGAGCGACGGGGCCTCATCATTGATGAATATCCCACGGTACTTGACACTAGGCGGGCCCTTGCGCGTTGGAATATTTAGAGCCCAAAGCTCCCCAGTGCGCTTCGAAGGAACATCAGACCAGTAGTAGAACCTACGCAATGTAGAAAATTGACGTTCAGTACGATCTGATTCCACTGTGACCAAAATCTGGAAGAAATTAATTCAACTTACGGCGAGATGCCAATCTGCTCAGAGAGGGTGTAGAGACCAAATATCGTTCCACTCTTGTCACTCCCAGCAATAACCAGAGCCCTGGAACAACCAGGCTTTGGATGTTCAATCAACTGGGTGGTATAGCACTCCCATTGCCCTGACAAGGAAGTACTATCAAGTTTCTCCTCCTCGATTAGAGAGCGTATGATTCTCGATTTCAAAATGCTCCCAATTATTACCGCGGAATTGGTCTCGTACGAAGAGCCGGTAATCACAGGATTGCTATGATCTTCTAAAACCTTTGCGAAGTCCTTCGATAACGTGTCGGCAGCAATGCGAACACCCTCAAAGTCATCCGCATCAATAATGATAGGTGCATTTACAAGGTTCAAGCTACCCTGTGTGAAAGTAGTCGCGATGAATCTAGTTTCAAACATGTTGGTGAAAGGCCAAATAAGAATTGAAATATGATTGACTCCCAGCTAGTATTGTTGGTCATATTTTATAATGTTCTATAATTCAACTTCGTCCAAGCTCGGGCATCGGTGCTACTTTCGGAGTTCAACCCGAAGAAGAGCAACATTTGAACGGGCCGGGGGAATTATCGGGGCCGGTTTGAAAAGGGAATATTGGGCTCACAACAAAACATATTCTAGTTTTGTTGGATCTCAATCGATTCCCTACTAGCGCAGAACCCCCGCATATTCCCCGGGTTAGGAGAAAATGCGGAGAAAGACTTACTGGTATGGAGATATAAAGGCAGCTCGGACGCGAACTTGCCGAGCATCAATTGATCTATTATTCAGCCCTTTTTCATATTATGTCTTCACACGCCAACATGGCCACATCAAAGAACGAAAACCTCAACTATCCATCCCAAGAAATGTTTTCGATTCAGTTCATCTGGAGTCCACAAATTTAACGAAGGAAAATAAAATGAATTATGACCTTGTCGATCTAGAAGTTGCTAGATACGCCGCTGGAAGGGCGATTCAAATCAGCGACGAGGAAGATAAGCGGCTCAAGCAACTGATCGACAGACGAATCCTCGCCGCAATGGTGGGAACCTACTTTCTGCAGGGCCTCGACAAGTCTATTATCTCTTTCGCGTCAATTATGGGCATTCGCGAGGATACCCATCTAGTTGGATCTCAGGTGACTCCCTATTCATTGCTAGGGTTGAATTCTAGATTCTGATTTTTGCACCCAGTATAACTGGCTCACTACATGCGTTTATCTTGCAGTGCTTGTGGTTGAATATCCGACCAATTGGCTGATCCAAAGACTTCCCGTTGCCAAATATTTAGGTGCCAATATCATAGTGTGGGATACAGCCCTCGCGTGCGCTGCTGCATGCCAAAACTCCGCCGGCCTCGCTACTACTCGTGTCATTCTTGGTATTTCGGAGGCATGCTGCCAGCCCATCTTTGTAATTCTATCGAGTACTTGGTATAAGCGAGAGGAACAGGCGGTAACCTCAATATACTGGTACATAGTCTTCTCTAATCAAGTTTGATAGTGGAGTTCCTGAGCTGATTTCAATCTAGGTTTGTCATGAGCGGGCTTTAACAAGTCATTGGTGGGCTTATAGGCTGTGCCTTCTCCACACTATCGAGGACATCACCCGTCAAAGATTGGAAAGTGTTATTCATGACCTACGGCCTAATTAATGTCATTTGGGGCTCTTTTATCCTGTTTTGGATTCCAGACTCCCCAAATAAGGCCAAGTGCTTTACTGAAGAAGACAAGAAGCTTATAATTGACCGTGTTTGAAAGAATTGCACTGGTATCCAGAACCGCGTAGTTCGAAAGGAGCAGGTGTGGGAGGCATTCACAGACCCTCAAAGTACTTCCACTCAGTCCATGCTGTTTCATGAAACATTAATTCTAACAGCATGACCAGCTTTTGCGTTTGCACTCATTCAACTCTGCACCACTATCCCATCAGCAGGACTTGGCGCCTTCTGCAGCCTTCTCATCCAAAGCTTTGGCTTTGATGTCATTCAAACACAACTTCTGTCCATGATTTCTGGGGTAGTTCAGGTCGCTGCCATGGTGACTGCCGTATGGCTCGATAAAAGATACAAGCATTTCACTTTGACAATGATGCCTGCCCTATTACCTTCTATTGCGGGTAGTATTGTCTTTCTCACAGTGGCTAGATCAGATCAGTCTCGTGTGGGTTTAGTGGTCGCCTACTTTTGCATCTGGACCTTCCCCGCTGCAAGTGGTCTTTTATTATCTGTCATGTCCCGAAACATCGCCGGACAAACTAAAAAGGCAACTATCATCGCTTCATCGTTCGTATGTTGGTCAGCAGGGAACTCGGTAGGACCCCCAGGTTTTCAGACCCACGGATGCACCATGATATTTTATCGCCTTATCTACACAATTAGCGTGCTGGATGGTGTTGTTATCACGCTGCTGTCTTTGCGTACTTATTGTGTTGCGCAAAATAAGCGCAAGGAGAAGCTCATCAGAGATGGACTGGCCGTTGAGGACACAGAGTTTGCACATAGCTACGAAGACATGACGGATAAGGTGAATATGTCAAAACATCGCGCCTTGGAGGAAGTACTGACCACTTCTCCAGAAAGATGTTAATTTCCGATACTTCTACTAGACTATAAAGAGGACAGTTTAGGAGTCAATGTTTATTGTGGAGACTGGGCGGTGCCTAACTCGATGGGAATCGTCTCTTATTCGGTAATAACAACCGTTTTCGGGATACAAAATTCCATTTCATTGACAGCCAGGTTATTCAGCTGAATGTGTTTGACTAAAGTAGTCTGCCAAAATTGGACCGTCGAATCGCATTACACGTTCAAGTTCAGTAAATTGCTGGTCGATGAACGATTCGGATAGGGCCAAGAGATCATTTGGAATTTCGCAGGTGTCATCCGGATGGAAGAACTCCATGCTGGAATTTGTGGCCGTGGAAATATCAGCCTCATTTTCATGCGGTCCAAACGGTCCCTGCATGGTGGCGGAGAGGGAGGGGTGTTGCAGCATTCGATCCTGTTGAAGATCATTCCATTCAACTGAGTCTACCGGTGGTAGCCCGTCGTTTGAGCCATCGGTAATACTGATGCGAAAACTAGGGTCCCTTTGACTCTTTTTATAAACCATCTTCAGACGAATGGCATAACTTCCCGGTAGACAAGTGTTGGGACTTTTCTCAGACAAAATCCCCACCCACCGTCTTGCCATATTTTGAAGACTGCTGATCAGAGTGAAGAATTCGGAGGCAAGTGGCACACTATAGTAGCGCCAATGCACTGAAGTGAAAATTAGTAATATGATACAGTTGAAGATAGTTGTTTGGTCATACCTAATAGCACCCGGGCGCTCATATATACGCAGAAGGCAAACTGCGGGGCAAGTACCGTATATTCAGCGCAAACCTCTAAGCATTTGGAAGTAATGTTATTTGACTCAATGGAAGCCATGAGGCATGTTTCGGCGCTGCAAGAGCTCGGCAGCGGAACAATATGTTGCCAGTCTGCTGGCGGGTATGCAATACATTGATGAAGGAAAATCATCGAGGTATTGTGTGTTATGTGTGCGAGGGTCATGTTATAGTCCAAGGTCTTCGAACAAGTAGTTGTATCAGGCGCATGATTTGGATCCTTCCATCGCTTCGGTAAACTCATCTTCCATCTAATTTTCTATGAGCTGATTGCCGTGAAGTGCATTGCGAGATGGGAAAAACGTACCGTACCAGGTTCAGATCTAACTCTTTGAATATGGTAAAATATCGGGAATCATCTTGCTGGTTGTTGAAAGACACGTTTTGTGAAAGAAGACAGTCTTGAAACTTGCTTTAAAGCCTCAGTTGCTTCAATAAAGTAAGCTAATCCACCTATATTTGATGATTCCAGGGAAGACGGTGTTTTGGTCCCTGTGGCCTTGTGCGATTGATCGCCAAGGGCTCCGATGATGTTGTTGTGTTGAGTCAGTTAAACTATTTCTCGTCTCTGGTATCTTGTCCCGATCGGAAAATAAGGCGCGGGGACCTGACTTTCAGCGTACCAAAATGTCCCATCGACTGGCAAGCGTCGAGGCACGTCCTCCAGTTTGAAGGTCGGCCTACAACTACCGCAAACATTAGTCTCATATAGTTCTTCCATGGGCATAATTCCACTTACCCCATTGTTTTAGAGCAGAACCTTTCAACATTGCTATTAGCTAATTTTTATTGTTCTCTTAGAAAGAACCAACCTGTCTAGGATGAATGCGTTCCAAAATATCCGTCTTTTGCCTTCTTCGCCTGTCCAATCGTGAGCGGACAGAGATACATAGCGCGATTTGATTAAGCCACTTCCTCGTTTAATGTCTTCATCCTCCAGATGGAGTTATTCAACCGCGCGAGTTATTGACCCTACAATGGACCACCCTCGAAGAGCGTTTCCATCTCCAATCTAGTTAGCGAGATCAGTCAGCTTTGCCAAAACCGTCTCGGAGAAAAACGTACATCCATAAAGGCAAGAATAGATAGTGCCTGAACGTTTTCCAGAGAGAGGGAGTTTATTGCAGTGAGTCAAACAACATCTCTCAGGCTAGAGACAATTTCCTCAACTTCAGTGACGGAAAAGTTGAACCTTTCACGGTCTACAGAACGAAGTGACGCCACCGCAATGGCTTGAGTTATCACTTTTGTTTTGTTCCCGTCAGACCAGTGCTGGATCTCATTCTTGAAGCGGCGGAGGTGTAATATAGGAATCCACCAATATACCCGTGCAAAATATAGCCGAACAACTTCCTGTGTGAGATCGAACAGCAGGTGTCCACATTTGAGCTGCTCTACCATATCTCGTTGTCCTTGGTCTCTAACAGAATGGGATCCTGTGGCATTGCTGTCACATTTTTGTCGTTTCCTACTTGGCGCCAACCTAGACGAGTCGTGGCTACGGAAATGTCGTTTGTTGGAAGAGAATTCCGGGGAAGAGATTCGTAATTGCGTGTTCGGATTTTCTAGAAAGCCAATTTTAGATGCAAGATTACCAACCTCTGCGGTGAGTGCAGTAAGCACCCCCACAATAGGTAAAATATTGCTTTGATGGTTTGTATCATGGACAAGATCTTCTAAGGCTTCTGCAGTGGTATCTTCAAGTTCGATTCTTGGATGGTCATGACTCATTCAGGGGATGCATACCAACACGTCGGCCCCATTTCTCAGCGTTGCCAGTTTTGGGTCCCGGTTTGCTCTTCGTTGGACCATAGACGCAAGGTGCACCTTTCATCAAATTAGACTGGGCCAGTGCGATAAGAGTCCCGAATGTCTACAACTTACCCAATCGCTGACAATGAGCACATGACGGTTCCTCCCTCGAGCATTTCTGTTTACGGTGACGACATCCGTTGCAGGAAGGTTTTTTTGCATCTGTGTTTATCTCCGAGGAATCCATGTGGATAACGACGTGAAGGTTGCGAGGGGGATGGTCGGACACCGGGGGAATTTTCGGCCAAGTTCCAGATGGTCTTCCAAGGTTCCCCGCATCTTGGGGTCGATATCTACTGAGGTGCTTATGTGTTCAGAGAGCCCTGCGGGGTGATAAGGTGATTTTTGTGCCTTGAGGCCTTCGAAGCCTGGCGCTTCATACCTAGAGAAGTGAAAAACCAGCTGTCAGAACATGCATTGAAACCATCCCAACCATCTCTTACAGGCTGGTTCTCATCTCTATATGGTCTCCATTGTTTTCTCCATTGATAAAGATGATTCTGTGTTATTTGGTGTGCTACCATGGCCAAGGCTCACGGATTGAGACCCAACTTCAAATTATGCAACCTTCAAGTTGGAAGTCATTCAAACAATGTGGGATATATTTTATCCGATCAATAAAATGTATCTATTTCTATAAGTCCAAGTAGACCTTTGTAAATCCATCGTCTCCTGTCCCATTACATAAGCGGCATTTTCTGGGACCTCGGGATTTTGCGGGACGGGATCCGGGACAAAGATTTTGCTACGACCCATTTGCAAAGGTCTCTACTCCCTACTGACTCTACTCTATACACAATAGTGGCTTCCGATGATATAGTGCTGGATCTAAGCTTCAAGCAGTTCCAGATGTTAATGTTGGACCAACACATAACTGCCAGCTCGAACTTTATCATCAAGCTCCAACTTTGACATCTGGAGTCTTAAGGCATTCAAAAACCTGGGATAGAATTGCACAGATTGAACCTCAAACTCTGGAAAAGTTGGAAGCTTTCTCATGCTCTACCACTTCAAATGTTGCGCGAGACTCGAAGAGATGATGTCAAAATCCACGTGTCAGTGGCTTCCAATTTTGGTGAAACGTTGCACAACTTCACTGATATACATCTCCCGATTGATGGGACTGGTTCATGCTGCTCTGTCTGGCCGGGGGTCAGCCTGAGGGATTTGTCATAATCTCCTATTTCCTTGATTAATCCCGAGGTCTGCAAACTCCGACTACCATGCATGAGCAGAAGGAGCGCTCTTTAACACAGGGAGTGTGTTACTAATAACTTGTAGTCATTTCTATTATATGTCTAGCCTATGAAAACCATGCTTCTAAGCGGGTAAGCCACTCTGAAGTACCGCTCATTCAATCGCTGAGATCATCCGACGCACCTCAGAGACACTTCGTGGGATATCATGGCCTGCTGTGTGCTCAAACACATGTTGTTTGTCCAGGTCGAAAAAGGACGACATTAACCGTGCGCAGTAAGTAAATACTACTGCTTCAGCCCTTCCGCGGACGTGGAGGACCGGGATTGATAATCGAGCGTCGCAAAATTCAGGGTGAAGAGCCCATGGAACTTTGTCTATGGGTCTGTCGAAAAAGTATTCTAGTGGTTGGTGAGTGATTTCCCTGGTCACTTCGAACAGTCCAGCCAATAATTGAACCGCGGGTCGCACGGGGTCTGAGATATCAGCAATTTGGCCTATGTCACTGGATCGTAGCCGTATTTTATCCGCATGGTTCAGACTACGGATTAATCTCCCACAGAGAGTGCGATCGCTCGCCAGGGGCAGCGTGGCGGAACAGAGAATAAGGAATTGAAATGATGGGGCGAGCTAAATTCTTTAGCACATCCAAATTGGGATTAGTGCCTCGGTAGGGTTTGCTGCTGACCATGGAGGCTTATAGCCGCCGCCCAAGTAACAAACTTGGAACCACTTGGTGGAATATCACGTTCTTTTACTGTTCAATATTTGATCATTAGTCGAAGACTTGGTAAATCTATCTCACTTCCTTCACATCAGTACTAAGTATTTAAAACAGTATTATGCATCGGAGCTTTTCAGACTGGTAAATATCATCTAGTAAGCTGCCAATATCACCTTGTGTTAAGAAGGTGGAGTCAGTGCCTATAGTTACCAAAGATCAAATCAGAGACTGAATGGAATATCCACGAGAACCTGATACATGGTATTTTTTTTCTCAGTAAGGCTGTTCCCGCACGTACCACAGCGGATCGGTCCGCACCACAAAAATCTAATATTATTGAACTCCGGATATCAACAGAAGGAAAATATGATCATTTTCCACTAGAATTTATGAGACACGGTACGAAATGAGAATTTATCAAGGGATATTGGTGTATTTACTAGAAATCAAAGTTGAATTCATATTGCCCCTTAGGATTCTCTTCATCAAATCCCCATCCTAAAGACGCTAATCTATTATAGGCTAGATAGATTTTAAGAGGTAAATTGGATTGAAGTCAAAATTGAAACAATATCATTTCATCGGCAATGATCCCGTTAACAATTTTTCACGCCAAATCCTGCACAATGGTCTTATGTTATTGCAGTACGTACGTCCAAGCTCATGTTAGAGATCGGCAGATAACGATCATTGGTTGAAAAGTGGTGATTCTCGATCGTCACTTGTATGAGACTAGCCCCGATAATTACTAGCATTGATTTCGTCCCCATTTTGGTTAGACTTTTCCGCCTAACCCCCCCCCCACTATTCTGTTAGGTACTGTAGCTCTCTGAAATTCATTATCCAAAAATTCTTTCTCTAACAAGAAACACCAAAATCAGAAATCGCTCCGTGTCGAACCCAGCGCGCAAATATGGCGAATCGCCGATGGGAATAGTTATAGGAGTGGGTATGGCAGTGGTGGTCCTCTTGTTGACGATTGGGCTCAATATCGTCATGACCAAAATCCGTCGACGTGGTAATAAACCACGCTCCGGTCAGCTGAAACAGGTCTCCGATCCAGTTAATGCGAAATTCGAGTATGTTAAATCCTTTGGGTAGTGAAGGGTGATATCTGCTTACTCCTTATAGAATCATTGCAGTGCATGGCCTTGGCGCCGACCCTGACTATACTTGGTCCTATCGTGATCCCAAAGAAAAGAAATCAGTAGCTCTCTCGAAGAGAACTCATCTTCTCAGGGGTCTACTATCTGAGGATTTCCCTGAAGCAAGAATCTGGAGCTATCAATATGACTCCACGTGGCTCACTGATGCGCCGGTGAAGACAACAGAAGAGATTGGGACAAGTTTGCTCAGGGAATTGAAAGCCAGTCGATCAGCAAATGTACTGTCAGATTCGAAAATTCCTCCTTAGTAGGCTTAGCTAACTCCAATCAGCGGCTTCCTCTTGTTTTTATCGGCCATAGTCTTGGTGGCGTAATAATCAAACAGGTATGACCCTTAATGGTGATGGTTGGATTGCACTAACATTTTCGAGGCTTTGTGTGGAGTTGACTCGAAGGAGATTGTAGATGAAACTCGTGGTGTCATATTCCTTGGAACTCCTCACCAAGGCTCACATCTACCAATCACTGGTATAATCCTGGCTTTTTTGACTGGATTTTGGGGATCAGATTCTACATTAATATTTTCGCTTCGACACCACGATAAAGGCTTGACAGATCTTACTGAGAGATTTAAGGCTTGTGGAGTGAACAGTCAGTCGGGTCAAACGCTTCCAGTCATATCCTTCTATGAGACTAAACCAACATATTTATTTGGATACTTCTCTATAGGCCAGGTATGTGATATATAGCCTAAAAGCTTTCAGTAGCTATTTCATATTTTTATTTTAATCAGCTTGTTGAAAAAGATTCAGCTATAGTCCATGCGAGCCCTCATGAGTCATACCCTATTGACACTGATCATTCCGGCCTGGATAAATTTATTGGGAAGGACGATGAATTTTACCAGAAACTGAAAACCTCCATACAACATCTGAGAGTCCCCTCGATTCTTGAAAGAGCCGACAAAAGTCTACGAGAATATTATACCGAATGCAAGAGACTCAATATTAAGCGGCTTTCTGGTGACCTTCTGCCTCTAGACCAGTGCTACATAAACCTTGCTATCGTGGAGCAGACGAGCAAAAATATGAGGCAAGAGACCCAGCCGGACAAAAAAACTCCTCAGTATTCATTGTTCGCATGCCAAAAGGTTGAAACTCCAGATAAAGCTGTGCAAGTTGAGCTTTCGGAAATTTTTGCTCCACGTAAAGCGAGCGGTGAATCACAGGTCTACCCAAGAAGAATCCTCATCCGTGGACGAGCCGGAGTGGGGGAAACGACCTTGAGCAAGAAGATAGTCAATGATTTCATTTCAGATAAACAGACTGCCATCAATGTGGCATGGGCGCAGCTGTATTACCAAGTGCTTTGGGTTCCTCTCCGTGATCTTAAGTCCAAGTCTCCCCGGAACTTACTGGATCTTATCTTTCAGGAATTCTTTAAGGAGAGGTCATAACGTGAGAAAGGTAGCCAACTTGCCCAGGAGATCGAAAGACAGGTAATAGGTTCTGGGAATCAAAGAACTCTTTTCATTCTTGATGGCTTAGATGAAGTTGTTTATGAGTTAAAGGATGATAGTCATCTCCTTCTATCGAGACTTCTAGACATGCCAAGTCTCATCATTATGTCTCGACCAAATGCTAGACTCCCAAGTCAAGTGAAACATCGATCTGGAACTAGAAACAGTTGGACTCTATCCAGGACAAGTACAGGCGTACCTTAAGAATTACCCAGGTATTGGCGAACGCTTGAGTGAAGTTCAATCCTTTTTATCAATCCTTTTTAGAACGAAATTGGCTTCTCCAAGGCCTGGTGAGAATTTTATCCAGCTCGACGCATTTTGCTACACTTGGGAAGGTGCCAGTACAGCTTCGCTGAACACGATGACATGCATTTATCAAGCAATTGAGCAGAATTTGTGGAGAAAGGACATTGTAAAGCTAAGGCCAAAGTTCACTGGGGCCCGAGGAGCCAGAGAAAGCGATATTTTTCATGAAATCCTGACCCAGGTTAACTTTCTGGGATACCTGGCTTTTAATGGCCCGTATAGAAATGTTATACACTTCACGCCAAAATTTCGAGATGGATTAGCCAACCATGAGCGAAGCAAAGGGAGAAAGCCGGCATCAGATATGGACCTTACCAAGTTATCCTTCATTCGAACATCAGACCAATCTCCCAGGCCAGAAGACCGGAGTAATCACTTCATTCACTTAAGTTTCCAAGAGCATTTTGCAGCACGATACTTCGTCCGAAGGTGGAATGAAAATAAAGAGCTTGAAATTTTTTCAAGCAAACAAGATCGCCAAAAATCGGTACCAAGAAGACCGGTGGACTTTCTTTCTCAATTCAAATATTCGCCTGATTACGATATCTTCTGGCGTTTTTTTGCGGGGGTAATATCTGGAGATGACGAGGGAATAGTGGCTTTCTTCGAGCAAATTGACGCGCAGCCAAAGGACTTTCTTGGCCCTGTCCATCAAAGATTCTTTATGCACTGCCTGAGTGAAGTGCAGGAAAAGGATGGACAATTCTGGAAAGAAAAGCTGGAGGACAAGTTGACAGAGCTTTTACTGGCCGAATATGAAATTGCAGAGACCTCTTACCTAGCGGAAGCGACAGAATTTCCACCCAGATCCCTGATTCAAGCCTTAAATCAGGGATCTGAGGAGCAAGAGATATCAATCTTGTCTTCTATAAATCGACGGTTGTTCTTTGAGGGAGGGGTTATGGACCTGCTGATCCATTGGCTCAACTGTCCCATATCAAAGCGGAAGGCAGTTGCAGTTCTTGATGCTCTAAGGATTGATCAGGGACTTCAACAACTACAGGAAAGAAACCCTGATGCCCTAACCGTGATTCTTGGATGGCTTGGGGATGAGGAATATCGTATTCGTGAGGCAGCTGTCAATTTGCTAGATCGATGGAGCCTAAGCCCTGAGGCCCTTACCATGATTGTTAGGTGTCTTGGGGACGAAAACTGGTATGTCTGTAACGCAGCTGTTCAGGTGCTAAAAAGACAAGATCTAAGCCCTGATAGCACTTTCCCCGCTATCTTGAGGTATCTTGGGGATGAAAAATGGTGCATTAGTGAGGCAGCTGTTCAGGGGCTAGATCGAGAGGACATAAGCCCTAATGCTCTTCTTGCGATTGTTGAACGACTTGAGGATGAACATTCAGGTGTCCGTCAGATGGCTGCTTGGGTGCTCAAAAGACAAGAGCTCAACCCTGATCTCCTTACCGCAGTTGCTAAACAGCTTAGGGATAAAGAATGGTATACCCGCGAGGCAGCCGTTTGCGCGCTAGATCGAGAGGAGCTAGCCCCTGATGCCCTGAAAGCGATTATTGGACAGCTTGAGGATGACATCCAGATGTTCGGAAGGCAGCCGTTCAGGCGCTCGAGAGACAAGAGCTAAGCCCTGATGCCATTACCGCGATCTTTGAGTGTCTTAAGCATAAAGACTCAGATATCCGCAACGTAGCTGCTCGGGCACTAGATCGACAAGATCTAGCCCTTGATACCCTAACCACAGTTGCTAGATGGCTTGGGGATAAAGAATCGCATATCCGCGAGGCAGTCCTTCAGACGCTGAATCAGCAAGATCTACGCCTTGATGCTCGTACCATAATCTTCAGGTATCTTGAGGATAACAACTCAGATATCCGTGAGGGAGCTGTCCGGGCGCTCAATCGACAGGACCTAACCCATGATGCCCTTACTACAATTGTGGGACAGCTTGAGGATGAAGTCTCTAATATCCGCCTGGCAGCCCTTGAGACCCTGCGATACCAACATGACATAAGCCCTCATACCCTTGCTGTGATTGTTGGACATTTTGGGGATGAAGACTGAGAGATTCGCAGGGCAGCGCTCATGACCCTACAACATGGACAGGACTTAAGCGTCAATATGCTTACCGCAATTATAGGATGGCTTGGGGATGAAATCACATATGTCCGCGATGCAGTCCTTGCAGCGCTAGAAGATCAACAGAATCTAAGCCCTGATGTCCTTACTATGATTGTTGGACTACTTGTGGATGCAAATAACGATGTCTGCGGTACAGCATTTACAATAATAACTCATCAAAAAGACCTAAGCCTTGATGCCCTTACCGCAATCGTTGGACGGCTTGGGGATGAACACCCATTTGTCCGCAAGGCAGCCCTTCAGGCGCTGCAAGATCAACAGAACCTACCTCTGGATGCGGTCATAAGATCTGGAGAGACTTTATACCGCAATTTGCTCGAAATTACCTTCGAGTTTAACAACAATATTCACTGGTGTATTTCAGATGAAACACTGACCATGACCTTTGATTCCCAAACCCTTCAGTTCCAAGATCACTCGATGGTGTTAGAAGATATGCTTTCTGAGGTTCGTCGGTGGTGCGGCCACTTCAATCTTCGCGACATCATGTTTTCCGATAATACTCATACCAGGAAGATAAGGAGGGGAGTTCAAGTCACAGATGCCTAGCTTGCTCGATACGTCATCCACGCAAGTGTAATCACTTGCCCCGGTTTTTTTTCTGTGATGCGGAATTTTACCTTCAAAGTCAAAATACGCACACTCATTTGGTATTTTTCGTGATTTCTTGTTCACAATAAGTCAGTATCATGGGACTGCTGAGGACTCGAGGCGTTTCCATCTTAGGTAAATGGAGTATGTATTAGAATTCATCCTCAGCTGTACGGTCATGTGACCCAAGCGCTTATGACGGAGCAGTACCATTGGTGGATACCCGGAGAAAGGAGATACTATAGATCCGCCAAGATTAGTCATGTATTTGAGCCCATCCAAATTGCCAGCTGGGGGCTATATAGAAATTTAGACCTGTTGAAACCCTATTGGTGCATCCGATGATTGAATAAGCAGTACTTCCCACAGCTTAAAATTGATCAGCCAGTCCGTTCAAAATGAGAACTTCTATCTTTGGGACGGTTGCAGAACAGACAAGGTTGGGTTCAAATAACGTATGTATAGCAGCTGACCAAGATTATTGGTTTTAGTGAAGTTATTAATTCCAAGCTGATCCAAAGTATGTGATTTCGGGCCTCCGTGGCGATTTGGCAAACTTGAATGGCCGAAGCAGGATTAGGCTAACCAGTTTTGGTAGAGCGCCATACTTAGCACTTAGTGTTCATGTTTTAAAGGGCGTAGGAGACTTCCAGGGCTTGCTGACGCTCAGTGCGAATGCTAGGTGGAAATGCCATGGTTTCCTCCCGAATGGCACGATTTCCCCAAAAAATGCCACGCACAACCGTGGTTTCTCCGCTACAACCCCTAGGTTATCATATATCCTAATGTCACGGTGGAATGGCTATGGTTCTCCTGTCGGATAGAGGCCTTACTGCCTGAGATTACGTAAACCTAAACTGTATTTTTACCCCTTAGATTTAGCAGAATTGAACACACATACACACATCTGTACGGAGGTCGGTCCGGAAAGTTCTCGCCAGAAATTATAATTTCTTTTTCTCACACTAGGCTATATACAGTAAATATTGAAATATATCGCGTAATCAAGATGTATATAAAACGGAAATATATAGTACTGAAATATAATAACAGCTTGAAACAGTAAATATTCACATATCTTCCCATATATCGCTGTCGCTGTCGCTGTCGCTGTCGCTGTCGCTGTCGTTGCCGCTGCCGCTGTTATAGGCGTTATCACCTAACCCGCTAGGGGCTACTTCACCTAATTTATCACGCCCCTCACCGTATTCGTTGCCCCCTTCTAGTCTAATGACTTGCTGTATATGCCATGGTATACGTTCAATCCAAGCTTGAATTTGCGCCTGTGGTAGATCACGCCACGCAGCCTCCCATACTTTAATCCCTTCTTTACGCGATTTAGGTGCTCCTTTTCGCGTAGTGTATCTCTTCATCCAAGGCCATGCAGGTTCAATCATATTTAGATCAGGCGAATTTCCAGGCCAGATCATTCGTTGGACCCCCATTATATCAAATATTCGCTGTTGGTAGTGATGTGAATGGGCTGGTGCTTTATCCTCTTGAACTATTGTTTTCGTTCGAATTCGAGCACATTCTTGGGCGAATGGAAGTAGTTTTGGGGCTAAAATCACGGTGTTGTATCGGTACCAATCGATTCCACCTTTCGAATTGCGTGCAAGCTTTCCATTCTTCTGAGTCCATCTCCACTGAGGTTGTCTTCCAGGCTTATTGCGTAGCCCTAATCGCTGTATACCTGAATTAAGCTCCCATTCTGCACGCATAATAGGCTCTAATTCAGTATTCCATTCGGCGATTTGGTGTTCTGCTTCACGCTTTTGGGCTGTAGTTTCAGGTACCCAACAATGACAGGGGCCCTTCTGATCATAAGAAAAAGCACCCCAAAACATGAACTCAGAGGCCCCCTTCCAACGTTCTCGAATACAGCTTCGGACGAACCGCTCACTAGAAGTACGCCATACACGATATCCACCCCGACGGTGTAATAAAACAACCGCAGTTTCATCAGTCCAAATCACATTCTTCCAGTCTTCTATAGTCCAATGGGCGTGTTTTAAACACCATTCAAGACGTTGTTTTTTCTGCTCAGCGGCAAGCCCAGGCTTACGTGTAGGCTTTGTTTTTCGTAGGCCAATTTTTCGTAGTACATGCCAAACTGTTGTTTTTGATATATTAATCCCTAATTATAGAAGAAATATTAGAGGAAATAACATATCAAGTAACATATGAGATAACATATCAAATAACACACCAAGTAACACATCAAATATTATACTAAATAACATATTAAATAACACACTAAATAAAATATCAAATCTTAGAATAACTAACCTGATTCACTGCGTAGCTCTGCAGCTAGCTGTTCACATGTTTTCTCACGCCCATAGCGGTCTACACGGATTTTCGCCCCAAGTGTGGTTTTAAGCTCATCTGTTTGCTTAGATGGACGCCCAGAACGTGCTTTATCAGCTAACATTTCATCTGATATATTGAATGGTCGCTGATTCGGCTGAAAACCTCGTTCGAGTGCACGGTTCCATATGTCTCCTATAGTACGCCGTGGAATATTC